AGCGACCAATCGTGGGAAGATTCAACCCAGAGAACCCAATCACTGTGGAAACAGACGCATCAGACTATGCACTTGGGGCGAAACTAGTGCAAACCGAGACACTACCAAGTGGCAGCAAAAGACGATGGACCATTGCATTTTGGTCTAGAAAAATGATACCAGCGGAAATGAACTACGACGTACACGACAAGGAACTTCTAGCGGTCGTTAGTGCATTCAAGGTTTGGAGACCTTACTTAGAAGGAGCGAAACATCAGGTTTTGGTCAAATCGGACCACAAAAACCTCACGTACTTCACAACGACGAAGACGTTGACACGACGACAAGTCAGATGGGCGGAAACGTTATCGCAATTCGATTACAGAATCGAACACACCAAGGGTGTGGAAAACGTAACAGCCGATGCACTCAGCAGGAGACCTGACTATGAAGAAGGCACTAAGGAAGCTGTGCCAGCTATCCTAAAAAAAAGACGGGGAAGGAAATCTCGTATATAACCATCAGACACTCGCAGCAACGACATACAGCATCGACAACGAGTGGCTGGAAAAAATCAAGGCAGCAACACAGAACGATGAACAACTACAAAACATCATGCAAACAGTGGAAGACGAACAAACAACAAGAGATGGACTTGTGTGGATCCACGGACTTATATACATTCCAAGGGAACTACAGCAAGAAGTCATCACCAAACACCACGACGTACCAACACACGGACATATGGGTATCGAGAAGACGATTGAACATATCACACGAAATTACTACCTACCGAATATACATCGAAAGGTCAAGAATTACATCAAGAAGTGTGATACATGTTTACGAAACAAACCCACTCGACATCTACCGTATGGTGAGATGCAAAACAAGGAAGTACCGATACACCCATGGGAGTGGATCACGATGGACTTCATCACCAAGCTACCGGAAACAGAGGATCAACATGATATGATTATTGTCATCGTCGACCGACTCACCAAATACGCATACATGTTACCCGCGTCAGAAACAATGACGGCGGAAGGGATCGCAAAGACACTGATACGTTACATCTTTACGAACCACGGAACACCTCGAAAGATCACCTCGGATCGAGACAAACTGTTCACATCGAAATTCTGGCAATCAGTGGCGGATCAACTGGGCATTGATCATAGACTTTCAACAGCCTACCACCCGCAGACTGACGGACAAACCGAACGGGTTAACCAAACATTGGAACAATACCTACGACACTACGTGAACTACCAGCAAGACAACTGGGCAGAATTGCTACCCATTGCACAGTTCGCATACAACAACGCTATGCACGCGACTACAGGATTGTCACCGTTCTACGCAAATTACGGAAGAAACCCAACACTCATCGGTGAACCCATCGGGGAACACGCGGTGGCGCCAGGGGCGCAAGAACAAGTGGAGAACATCAAAAACCTACACCAGCAAATGGTTAGAGATATCGAGTTCTTTAATCATCGGATGAAGATGTACGTCGACCGGAGGCGCACGCCCGGACCAGACATGAAGCCAGGCGACAAGGCCTACTTGCTGCGACGAAACATCAAGACAAAACGACCAAGTGAGAAACTGGACCACAAGCGACTAGGACCATTTACCATTGACGAGAAAACTGGACCCGTGAACTACCGACTACGACTACCGGAAAGCATGAAACGAGTTCACCCAGTATTTCATGTCTCATTATTGGAACCAGCGCCAGAGAGTGCAGAAAACGCCACAGAAGTTGAAATCGAAAACGCTAGCGAAGAAGAATACGAGGTTGAAGAAATCCTAGCGGACCGATGGCACGACAATCAGCAACAACTCCTGGTGAAATGGCAAGGTTACCCTACCTCGGAAAACACATGGGAACCCATCAAGAATTTGACTGGCTGTCACCAATTGGTGAGGCAGTACTACGCGCAGGCGAAGAAGACCCCTGCGGGACGGAACGCAAGAAAGCGTCGAAATCAATACCATCCAAAGAAAAACTGGGATCCACCGACGCAACCATCTGCGTCAGAGTAGGATCACCACCAGCACACGTTGCCGCAAGAACCTGGTCACGGACGACCGGAAGAGCAGTTTTATCGGACCCAGTAGCGGCACTGGAAGACTCTGCTTCACACTCTTTACGACGATCGGCCTCGACACGTTCTTTTTCGAGACGCTCGATCTCTTCTTTCTCACGACGCTCAAGTTCCTCGAGCTGGGCAATCTTATTGTAATCACGGGCAATGAAGTCACCAGCCCGATCGCGGAGCAAGGCTTCATGGCGGTCAAGACGCATCAGGCGAGCCATGGCCTCTTGACTGGCTTCGAGAGCGGCGCGACGTTCCTCCGCAATCTCGGCCTGCATTTTAACCAGTTTTCGCCATTCGGCTTCGGAATACGTTGGAGCAGAAGTCATGGTGCACTTCACTTTTCCACCGCCGCGAACACACTCGCTACACTTCTTCGAGTTCGAAGAACGGACACACGACTTATGCAAACGCACACAACGATCGCAAGGGGCAATTGAACGAAAACCCTGAGTGGCGATACGATCTTGGAGCTTCGAGCCGGAGATTCCTGCTGAAGACATGGTCAACGAACACGGGAAAATACAGAAAAGTAAGGGCCTCACCTACCTGAGGGGGGTTCAACGTTTAAAAACAAATCAAAGGTCGTTTGGGGACCAAAAGACCTGAAAGAGGGGGATGGTGTTACGGACCCACTACGGAGGGATCTCCCAGGAGCAATTACGGACCAATCAGTTGGCGGTCGGACCCAGACTGGACGACCGGCCATAATGGACGCGTGGCCCAAATGGACGCATGTCCATTTGGGGCCTCAGGCATCAACAGGAGCCATATTCGGCATGCTATCAACCGCCTGAAAGAATACTGGCTATACGGGAAGGACGGTGCACGAGAGGCCACTTCCGGCCCCATGACACGTGACCAACGGGACTATTCCAACAATAGATCCCATGCATGGATAGGACAAGATCCCATCCCACGATGGGATGAGATCGGATCACACTGACGGATGGGATCCGGTCCCATCGACGGATAGGAAGGACTAGATATATAAGGACACTCGTTACCCATCATGTATTTAGTTCTTCGCGATTATTACTCTATTGTTATTGAGACCTACAGTACAGCAATTCAGATACTTTGATCACAGTCGAACCTTTGAAGACCAACCTCAAACTAGCTTGGGAGCTCACTCGTGATTCCATCACTCGTGACTGACTTGCTAGCGGACACCCTGATCAAGCATTACCGTGCAAGGATCCCTATAGACTCGAGCCCGTGTAAGGCCCAGCGACGGCGACGGTACAGTTGCAGGATAACGGCTTGCGGTAAGTAACACTTTGGAAGTGCATACTCACGTTGCTTGACAGCCGGTTCGTAACACCAGGTACCTTCTATAACTTAGCCGCCACTAGTTACCACTCTATCTCCTCTATTGTAATAGCTAGTATTTCTATAGGCACTCTTTATAGTCTAGCTCCTTCCTTATCTATATTATCTAGTAAGGGTAGGAAGAACTTAGATAGTAACTCCTCTACTTACTTCTTATGATTATAAGTAGTAGTTCTATCTACTCTTAGTAGCTATAGCATCTTCCTAAATACTATATTATCTCCTAACTTTAGGTACTTAGTGGCTTTCCAGATATTATCATTATCTACAAGAAACTTATTCTAGTACTTCTTCTTTTATTTATAGATAGTATTATAGTACTACTTTACCGTATCCTAGGCTATATTTTCTAGCTAGGGTACTTTTCGCCCTGCCTACCACTTGGAGTGAGTGTGGTTTCTCTAGTATATATATATATAATGGAGTTAAATAAGGTTAGCTATCTACTATTACTTTATGTGTGGTAATAGTTTCGCCCTTAGCGTTAGAGTATACACTACTTCCGATACTACTAATATAAGTCGATCGGTTTTCTACTATACTATACCCTCTAATAGGAGGGTAGCCAAAGCATTCTTAATCCTAGTATTAATCTCCTTCTATAGAGTATTTTTTAGTAAGAGTCATTCTTAGGGCTTTAGGCCTAACCATAGGGTATCGAAGATGGTCTTAATAGTGTAGTGATCCAAGCTATGGTTAGTTTTAAGTGTTATATACCTAATTATATAGTCTATTAGGTTTTCTGAAGCTAGAATAAGGTCGATAGTAGACTTATAGTCCCTACTCTATCCTCCCTTGTACCATATCTTATTACCTCGTTTAAGCAGATTACAGAGCATAAACTCATTTATAAGATCAATGATCGGATCCGCTTCCCCTTATCTTCCTAGTAATACCTTATCTCCACCCTAAAGTTAGTTGTATTGATTAAAGTCCCCCATAATCAAAATCTCTATAACCATACCTATATCCTGTTATACCTTAGTAATCGCATTGTATAATTAATTACATATATTATCTAAAGCTAACATATTTCCTCCTTCTATATAGACTAATACTATAAAGATCAGTCGCTTAGGGAGCCTAATCACTGCTACTATAAGGTCTAGGGACTCTACTAGGACCTACTCTGTTTCTATATCTTTGTTAACCCAAAGTATACTCTGGATTGCCCATCTACCTTCCCTCTAGGTGGAGGGAACCATCTTTATCCATTTATAATATCCCATTAGGGTAGTTAACAGCCAGCCTTGAATCCTCCTTGCTTAGGGTTCCTAAATTGCTAGTGCTACTGTGTTCTAAGTATCTTCATCGTTCATTAGACTCTTGTAAACTATACCCTACTTCCTTATATTTAGCTAAATTATACGAAGAGAACTAATCATTACGTGATAGATAGAGCTTCCGGTAGCTCTTACTATATAATTTATAAGGTCCTCCGCATAGGATATACTTTGGAACCATTTACTTATAGTCACTATGATAATAGCCCTTAGTAATATATTTTACGTATTTCTGGGCGTTCTTATACTAGAATGCCTTATAGCCTATTTCTTGGCAGTTGTAATATTATATCGGACGTGGTCAGTGTTCGAAGATACTGGTCACACCAGATTCTCCCCCTGCGTAGAAAAATCCATCAGCTAAGAGCCTTTGTGCGTTGTTATGTTTAGTCAGGTAAACCACCATGGAACCGTAGGCCTTCTCGCTCTCTTTTCTGCTCAGCCATAAAATCTTGGCTACAGTGGTCTTGTTCTCCTCACTAAACGCTACTGTGGCCTCGGTTCGGATCTCACCGTTCTCGTCCAGCATAGAGGCCTTGTTGACGTTGTCGACTTTGATTGGGTAGAGCTCGTCACGAAGCACCCGGGCTCCCACACCGATTTTCTCTTCCACAACCTTCTTGACCAGCTACTGCTCATCCTCATCGCAGCAGGCGATCCTGATCCAGTTGGCGTTTTTCGGGTCCATAGTAACCGCGCAACAGCGCCAGTGCGCATGGTCCCCTGTTGACCGCATCTCTGCCTCAACCGCTGCTCTGACTAAGCCAGCGGATATCACTCCTATTCCTTTATCTGCCATCTTCGAGGTATCTATCGTGCAGTACAGCGTGTCCGTAAAGGTGGTGGGCGTCGTGTTCAGCGTTGAGAGGGTCCGTATGTTGCTTGGGTAACTGGATGGCGGAGTGCGCGCGACATCTGCATAGGAAGGTGAGCTCGTGGCAGCAGGAACACTGATTTCCTCGCGTAAGGACTGGATTTCGCGCAGGATCGCATCGTGGTTGTTCTGAGAGCACGTTTCGGAGTGGCATTGCGGTGTCGTGTTTCTATCCGTCAGGGACTATAGCTCGTGTCGGACCTCTGCGAGGGTGGCACCAAACTCTTCTCTGGTTTTCTGTAGTTCTTCCTTGTGTAGTTCGTCTCGGAGTCTGATCTCTCTCCTAAGTTTAGCGATCTCTCTCACCAAATTGCTGACATCGAGCTCGTCGCCCTCAGTCGCAGCGTCGTCTGAAGTTGTCACGTCACGCTGGGCTTCTGGTTCAATTCTCTTCTTTTGTTGGGGCCGCGTCTTCCTCTGCTCGTTGTCGATCTCTTGTTCTCGAGCATAGTTTTTTGGTGGTCTGGTGGTGCGTTTCGGTCTCGACAGTTGCGGTGGCGAATCCTCGTGTTCAACGCGGTCGGGCGGTTCAGGGGTTCGCATCGCGGCCCGTCCCGTCATTACTCACAATCGATACAGGAAGTCGGTATCGTCGCGTGGCACTTGCTGTTGGTCGTCGTTCTCTATCCCTCGGTACTTCTAAAACCAATCCTCTCGTAATCTCACTCATGTACAGTCGATAGCGAAAACCACCTTTTTGTACTATGTACTGTACCGAAAGATTCTATATCATCAGAATCTGTTACAGTTCGTGTGTTTCAAGCACAGGTACAGTACGTCCCGAAACTGGTGCAACAGCCTACACTCAAAGACTGTTTATTTGGTCCCACTGCCAAGCCACACTAAACCGTATTAGGAATAAAACCGGAATATCAATATTCCTGTACCAGCCTCGATACCGTGATTTACTTTCATTAAAATACGGTGTCTCGTCTCGTAACTGTACTGGCGATCCAAGGAAACTAGAATTTTCCATGGAAATGCAAACAAGTCATACACTAGAGCTTGGGAGTTCCTCGAGAATCTGGCGATCTGTCACTTCCCTTCTCCTATGTCCAAGTCGGTCTGGGGGGGGGCTTACTCGGCACCCGACCTGCAAATAGTGGCTTGCATTACTTGCTTACTGTCCTTACAGACTACCTATGAACCCGCTTATCATAATAATCAGCCTGTCAGCCACAGTCCTCTCTTCTTCATGCCCTGGATCACAATTGGTGGAAGCTGACACACAATCATGTTAATAGAATCCTCAGTGGCATCTACTGCCTTCGGGGGATGACTCACATTCCTTTCAACGATGATGATGATGATTATGATGCCTACCGATCTGAACTGCCTGTTCTATGGGAACGGACTCCCTCGTATGCCCCCACCCCTGGTCACCCAGACCGCGAATGGACGCCATCAGTAATCTGCCCTTGACCCGATCCCGAGGACATAGTTAGTGAATGTTCACCTTCCTTGCATCAACATCTATCCGGCCAGCATAGTTTTGATCCTGTGGTTGAACGTGCAGATGGAAGTGCATGGGATGAACAATCTCCGGACGGTATCCACTACCAGATTGAGTGGAAGGTTAAATTGAACAATCGATTTGTGGTCAAGGATACAAAACAAGACCTTATTCAACCACCTAGGTCCTAATGGGAACAGATAAAAGAGGATGCTTGTAATATTCTAGGACGGAAGACAGCCCGTGGCCGACGAGTGAGACTAGATGATACTGACATGGTGTTATCGGTGAACTCCCAACGGAACATTGACAAATAATTTGAAGGTACTAGTGTTGATTGGACAGCGGTGGAGAAACAGCTGCTAGCGTGGGCCTATCTATTCCGTCGTGGCAAAAAGATCCGGCTACAGATATCGATCAACTACATAGACGACAGTGGACCTCTTCCTTCTAGAACGGACAAGCGAGGAAAGTCATCGGTAACCACACGGATGCTCGCTAACCGAGACGCTCGGATTGACGCCGAGCAGGTCTCCGGCCAATATTCCGTCTGGCGCGATGTGTATCGTGTTATGCGATGTCCCGGGCCTCCATGTCGTCACGAAGGACAATACTGCTGGCAAGATCCAGAGGGAAAAAAGCACCATAGATTGAAGACACACCATCTGAAGGCCTCGTTAAATATGTGGAGCAAGGTGGTGTTCTCGAGACCCACGCTGATGTCCCTGATAGTGTTCGCGAGCAGCTCCATGCCGAGGAGAACCAGCGACTGGACAAAAAAAAGAAAGCTGCGTACAACTCTACGACAGGTTCAGTGTGTCCTCCAATCAATATCAATGTCCTCCCGGCTGGATCATCTCAACAATTGATACAGCCTCCTTCTAATGATGCTATGCCCACCGGGCCCGGCTGTATTGAACCAATCATAATCGACGGCCTGCTAGATGTCGCTGTGGCCGAGTATACTGAATGGCAGCAATCGCGGGTGAGCAACGAGGCTTTCAGGGAGAACATCAACAAAGCACGCGATGTGACCCTCGAAAATTGTCTCGACCTCATGCAGTTTTATGAGGATCAAGACCCAGGTTTCTTCGTTAAGCACGGCGTGAAAGTAGGTGCCGCCAGGCGGTTCGTTCACGACATCGGCATTTGGGTGAAACGACGCAAAGAAGTCACTTGCAACGAAAATATCCATTTAGCTTAGATTTATATACTGTGATCAGAGAACAACCTACACTGGCATGCTGCATTTACTGAACCCTTTGCATGGGTTCGAAATGAACTGTAATTCTTTTGGCGATCATACTGCCCACAAAAAAAAACAAGTAAGCTCGCTCGAAAGACGTTTCCCAACATACTGCTACAGCACAGTAGAATTCGAAACAACAGATAACTTACCGCTTGGACACGCGCTTTCTTTCACAGCGCCCCGCTCAGATCACGCTAAACCGAATATGGCCAATCAAAGTCCCCATCATTTCTCGATGTAGCTCTCGTAAATCACCCAAATTACCGTAATTACAGTTCCCGGCATTGCCATTGGCCCTCACGCAAGATAATAAGGTGCTTCCCGAAGATGAACACCCGGACTAGAGCCAGGGGGGTTATGGAAACACGAGAAATCTGCATGACTTGTTGTTGTTGAGGGCTGGTATTTCTGCCATCAGCAGTGATCCGCATTCCATGTCCATGTTGATTGGATTTCCATGAATTTTGGGAAGGCCCCTTGCATCAGAGGGCATACTAGTTGAATAGCTTTCAAGCTCGAGAGCTAAACACCGAGCCTTCGCTGCTTTGGCGCGAATCTGTACCACCTCAACGTAATGGTAGCTCTTTCTTCGGGGGATCTCCCGTGTTTCTTTTCGGGGCGTGGCAGAGCACTTGCGGTCTGTGGAGGGCGATACTTGCCACCGGTGTCGATCACTTGACAATCTGCATTTCTGCCTGAGTTGGGGGTTGCTTGGATTCAATATCACAGCCATTCGGTGCGCTTCGAGGGGCTGAATAGATCAATCACAAAGATCTGGGCTTTAGCCTGCGTCTATTTTTGATAGGTTAACTTTGAATCGTCTATGCTCTGCGCTCAAGGCAGTTAATAAAGAGGCCATGGTTCTACGCTATTTCCCAGCGAAATCTGCCGTTGAGGAATTCTCCGCCACCGCTCCAGAAGTTTGCCTGGATTAAAACTACCAGCATGCCGGAACAAAATCAAAACGCTAGGAGACTTGAACAACATTTTGCCCTCATCTATATTGACCGTGAAGGAAAAATTTGCCATAAGACGTCTCCTTCCATCTCCGATAGCGCCCGTGCTATTCTGATTTCGGAGTTTCTAAAGGCGGTGGCAGAATCGAATGAAGGCGGCTTTCCAACTCCTGCTCTGAAACTGCCGGACAGCCAGTCTCTGATTTCGCCATCATCATCGCTAGCGCCTACAGCTCCTGGAGCAGCAAAACTAGGGACAGGTTTGCAACGTGGAAGAGGATTGTGGACCGAAGAGCATAGTTTCGATGTTCAAACGGCCAAAATCTCAGTCAATAACAAAGGGTTTCTCCGTCAATACTATGAGAAGGTCTTTCAGAACTTACAGCAAACGAATTGCCGAGTTATTGCCAAAGCCTACATAAAGCTCGTCGAGCCTCGCAAGCAAATTCAATATCCCTACAATGGAAGGAAGGCAGTGGCAGGCAAAACACAGCAATTCAGTCCTGAAGAGACCAAACCGCCGTGGTGGCCACTTGGTGTGAGCCACCGGGAACCCGACCATCTTCCTAAAGCTGGTGAGAAGACCAGCATTTTCCATGGTATTGACTCAGCTGACCTTTGAATCAGAGCGCATCGCACTTCTCATCCATATCCTATGCGAATTATGCACCAGCCACGGAATCACCGCGCAGAAACTGAAAGAAGCAGGACAGCCGATTCAACAACACATTTCTCCGATCGAACGATTAAAACTACTGGACGAGCTATACTTTGTGAGAGAGAAGGAGGAAAATTTTCTAGATGCAGTAACCGGTAGGTTTTTACAGTAATTTGCAAGGTCTGGACTAATGAGGCGCAGATGGGAATGAAAGAGTTTTGATTGCACGAGCGAACCTACCTCAATACATGGTTTCGCCTGCAGACAAAATTATTCGGGCAAAAAGAGGTCTCAGGGTGAGCAAAAGCTGAAATGCGAGCTGCCAAGTCAGAACTTGTCGATACGCATCCGACCTGCCCAGCGGATGATTCCTTTGAAGGTGCCTGTCGACCCATATGCTGTCGTGAACACCTCTACACAGCGACATCTTCTCATGCAATCTGGTTTGAAATCTTCATTGTCGCCTGAATCGCCTCGAGATCTAAAACGAAAGCGTCTGTGTGCTGAGGATGACAATCCTCCCCCAAAGTTTTCTTCTATGAACTACTCCTACTCTTTTCCTATTGCGTGTCATTCTCTATTACCAGATGGCTACATGCCTATACCAGAATTCCAGGATCAAGGGGATTGGATTGGATATCATGGGATATTGGGGTGGAGTACTGAGTTGGGAGTTTCAAAGAGTTTCGTGTAGAGTATATGCATTCAAAATTAATCCAAACGTTTGCGTCAATATAGATAAGTGTGGCATTATGGGCCGAGAAATACAGCTTGAGTGCCTAGGAGGATCCGTTTTCGAATTATGTAACGGGCCACGGGGCGCTTCGACAGGTATGGTCTTCCCAGTGAACATGGATCGACACATCTGGGATATCTTACAGGTTTACGACTTGGCGGGTGGTTAGATACCCTATCAGTGCATTAGAAATTGGTACGATGACATTGGCATGCCAAAGAATTCATGCGTTTCTCTGAATGTTGCCGGAGTTCAAAATACAACGTAGTTTGCAATAACGCTCATGATTGAGCCACGGTAGCGCTATATCTCTACAGCTAGACCAGCGTTTCGAAAATGTCCCTCCGCGCTTTTCTCCCTCGCTCCAACAACATCAACACACCATTCGAGGAAGTTATCGAATCCTTGCTCTGGATTTTCTTCGTAGGATTGCCAATTACGCCGGATAAAGGCCTTGAGCTCAGCAAAAAACTCCTCAATAGGATTCAAATCAGGAGAATATGGAGGCAAATACACTAGCTTTACGCCAGCTTCTAAGCACATCTGTTCAACCTTGCCCGAATGATGAAAGGATGCGTTATCCATAACCAGCACAGACTTCGGCTCGGGCCATTTCCCACAGTGCTGGAGAAGCTGCTCGATAAAATCCTCAAAGAGGGATGCGTCAGTTGAACCCTGGAACACTCGAGACAAAACAATGCCGTCTTGCGCATACGCAGGTAGAATTTGATAACGCTGATCACGATGAAATTTCGACACTTGAACCGGTGCGGTACCAAGTGGGGACCAGCCCGTTCGCCGGAAGCCTATCCTTTTGTCACATCCAGATTCATCGACATAGACAAGGTGGTAAGACTTGAAGTCCGAGATAAAATGATGGTATTCGTCCCGAAGGTCAAGGTTGCGTTCTCGGGCCTTGACCCGAGCAGTCTTTTTTGACCAGCCTTTGGACTTCAGGGCACGACTGACGCTAGATTTCGTTGCTTCAAGAGCGAATTCGTCCCACAGAAAAACCACCATCTCTTCCAGATATAAGACAGGCTTTTCAATCAAATGGTCGCACAAAGCCTCGAGCATGACTGGAGTGATACTACGGGGTCGTCCGCCTTTATTTTGCGGTGCTTTGACGCTGCCAAATATTTCTATATTGGAAGAAATTCTCGAGATGGTGCTCATGTTGCAACCAGCGGCCTGTGCCATCTCGGATATACTTAGTTCGCCACTGTGGATCATGTCACAGATAAGCTCATGTTTGGAAGGAGCTAGGTTTGGAGCCATCTTTGGTTGGACCACTCGTGATTGACGTCAAGAGTTGCCTCCCGAGATCGCCGATTCGGATGAGGGGCATTGAGGTGTCACATGTATTGAATTTACAAGCCAATACATGTTTTGAAATTATTATGTAGCACACGTACGAGAAAATACCCACGTAACAAACGGAATAACTCCAAAGATAGACTAGCGCATCTTGGCAGTGGGGCTAAATAATATCTCAAAGAGTGTAGGCGGTTGCGCCAGTTTCGGGACGTACTGTAGCCTTCGCATATGTAGATTACTACCAGCGATTCGAAGTTGTGGAATTTCTAGGCGCCTGGTGGTGCATGCCGGAAGAATCGAAGGGTTTACATCCGTAAAGAAATTTCATGTAAATTACAAAGGTTCATGTAACGCAAGCGTACTGTAAGTTACAGATAATATTTAGCAAGCGGTCTGAATAGCGGTCTAGATAGCGGTTTAGATAGCGGTCTAAATAGCGGTCTAAATAGCGGTCTTGAGAGCGGTTCTGAGAGCGGGCTCGACTCAAAGCGGTCCCAGGCGCGGCCATCAAGGCGGTCTTAAAAGCGGTACTTCATGTGAAAAGCAAGAGCGGTCCCGAGAGCGGTACAAAAAGCGGTATGGAAGCGATCTTAGGCCCAATCCGAAGACCAAATCCTTGCCAAGTGGCCGCCTAGTCAAAATGTAGTCGGTGTTAGTTGGTAATAACCAACGTTAATTGGCTTGACAGAAAATTTTGTACCATGAGGATAATGAAAACTAGTACTTCTGACTATACTGAACTTCTCGATCTACAAACCGATGTCATAAGAGATTCCTCGCCATATCACTATATCGACTGCCTAATTGTCTGTTTCCCATCAGGCCATCTAATCTTGCAATAAATACTATAGGATGATCATGGCATACTTCAAAGCTTTATACTGTAGTAACAGCTAGGTTAAAGAGCTCAACAGACGTAAGTGCGATGAACATTGATTTCCAACAAAGTCACGAACAGATATCATCAACACGATCACAATGTCCAACTCCCCAGGCTTAAATCCGCCACTTCTTCGCTGCATACTGTACAAAGCCAGTGAATCTCTCCAGCAGACTTCGAAGATGCATCTTATGCAAAGGGTAGACATATATATATAACATGGTCCATCACCAATCTTTTTCACTGTGAATTTGTACTAGCTTCATTCGCGCACTCTTAATCTAGCAAATCAGTGTTTCGGTAACTTTGAGAAGATCGTAGGGTTTTTTCAGAGCCCTTGATATAGTCTTGCCCGTTGCAAGCCATTGTCTGTTTTTGGGTTACTTTACGAAATCCCTTGAGATACGCAGTTGACTTTACTGTATGTAGGTAGGGGGAATAGCAATTAATACTTATGATTCACCAAGCCTATCATTAGATAGTCGTCGTTTCCGTCATCTACGCCACGAGCCGCTTTCTCATACAGGGTAGTTAAATAATATTAATTAGCAGCTACCGCGGTATTTGCTATTCCAATTTAACTTAAATAAGTAATATATGGGCCATATGCCTAATTCCTCTATAAGAAAGATCTACTCTAGGAACATATAGTCATCAGGTTGGAACGAAGCTTTCGCCACCTTGTTATCTACAGTCAATACTCTCAGTCAGATTTCTCTCTTTACTGTCTCTAATCTGCGTGTTCTTACTAGCTTTTAGGATTGGGCACTTTTCTGGACATTCAGGGTTATTGCAAACATATTCCCTCGGCGCCTCTCTTAGATATCTAGACCACATTTTATCGATCCATTGACTCATCCAGGCATTGGCACGTATTAAGTTACACTTGGATTGAATACTATTCATGCATGCCATCTTGTATATCAGTATTAATATACCATGGCATACAGTGATCTAGAGAGGCTTTAGTGGTTCAGGAGCTTCATGATTATTTTTTCTGCACTTAGCTAACTCGTCGCTTTCATCGGCATTTTCCTCCAGCACAACGGAATGAACCAATGAGCAAATTAGCAGCCATCTGAAGATCTCCTCTAGCCTCCCCTCAAAATTCGAGGCACTCACACAGTGTTCCTGAAGGCATAAGGCTATCTTATAGCACCTCTAGCTTCCAGTGAACAGCTTCCGCTCGGTATGATATGTAATATTCTTCAACTTCAGGTAGTAGAGACAATAGCGATCACTGTCGTTCCCCTGAACCACCAGGTATATAGCCTTAAGCCAGAACAAGATTCCGAATATAAATATATAAAGACTTAATATAAGTAATAGATCTTCGACGATTCGGAAATTAGAGGGTTATTTCTGCCAGGTCTGCTTTCATCTAATAGCTACTCACAGGGGGAAAAAAAGGATATACTTATAGTTTAGACTTGCCGAGAAACTTCTTTTTAATACCCCGCTATATCAATACTAACAAGATAGGAAAACTGTGGCATATGAAGAACTGGAAATATGTGAACTACAGTGAGAGGAGCGCACTAAAACGATTAACAGCAATGTGCCCCAACAGGCATACCTGAATGTACTATCATCCAAGGATAGGCGTTTTGATAGAAAAAAAAAAGAATATTGTCTCGGTACAAATAAGTTCAAATCGACCAGCTGTTTGCCACACTCCTTATTTATATTCCCGAGGCCAAAATTATTAACCAAGTTCCGCATACCCTGGATTTATTAGCTCAACCCATTGCCCATCAAGAATAAACTCACAATATTGACATTTTCTTCCTCAGGACTAAACGTCGCTCGAACTTCTTTTTTTTCAATCTGCTCGGAGAAAGCTTGCTTTATTGGTGCCTTTCAAGTGTTTTCCGTTTCTGTCATAGGCTTGAGACAGGCTTGAGACAGACTTGAGAGACCGATTTGGTCACCTAGTGTCACATGGCAGATTGCCTCTTCGGCAATTTTTCCAGTTAGGCATTGAACCTATCTCGTCAGTTTTTGGTCGAAAAAACCTGCTTCAAAGTCAGCAGAGCCATATTGCAGGGCCTCGGAGCACACTCTCACCACTTCACAAGGATGCCAGACGTTTCCCTTCAACATTTTTGTCCTACCGATTGGTCGTGATTAAATGAAAAACTAGCATTGTCGTTGTCTTTATCGTCATTTGAATCATCGCTACACGTTAGACCTGGCCCAGAAACTTGCTTAGGGCTATAAGGCACGTGCAAAATCACGTCAGAGATGTCCGCGAGCGTCGAGATATAAAGGTTTCATTAAGGCGATTCTGATCGAAGATGTTGGTATTTAACCCTTCACAGTCGTCGGTGCCAGGACGGAAAGACATACTGAAAAAATCCCCATCAGAATGTGAAAATTTCTTCATGCATCCTGATTATGCAGCCCATCTGCAGGCACTTTGCCATTAACAATGAAAGAATCAAGTCTGTGGCACAGAGAAACGGCAATACAAGTGGACTATTAGAAACGGCAATCCATCCGCAGAAGAAGAATGTCGAGCTTAATGAGAGCAGAATGGCGGAAATATCAGCTTCCTTTATAGCACTCTCCAAACCGGAAGGCCTCTCCCCCGACACGTGCCTGGCTTGGTCATAGAATCTCGGCTGGTGCCTGGTGTGGCCCGACTCGTCTGACTGAAGGTTGAGCGGAAGGTAACCCACCACCACGAGGCAACCGGCCAGGCAATCCCTTGGTGGGTCCTTTGTTCTCTAGAACATCTTAGCAAAGGGATGAGAGGATACCCGTGGTGGCAATGAGCAGGTGCGCGGACACGCTGACCAATGTCAGAAAGGCTACTCAAGGCCGCCCAAGCTTGCGGCATTTTCGCTATTGGTTTATATCATCGAGTTATGCTTTGATTTATCCACTGGCTGGGTAAAGAGGTATCGGAGACCGACGATGACGACAACCAGGCCATGCTATTCGCGGGCCACGCGTGACGTTGGGGCTGTGCAATGTAACCTCAGGGGTGGTGGAGAAATCACTTGCGCCTACGGCATTAAGGGACAGCTAGTACTCTGCATTTGTCAAGGAGGCCGCTGGTATCAGACCCGGGCAAGGTGCACACGCAGGAGTAATTCTAGACAGCTTCGTAGCAAGCTAAGCTTCAATGGCTTGGGTGAAGCGTGGCAAACTTGCTTGCACATCACACCATGCTGCTGCAGAGGGAGGTATTATCTCAGAGGTCTTGCTCCTGCGTAGCTGCCAGCGTAGAATGGGGCGTCGGATCGAGCGACTTCTCGTAACCTCAAGGGGGGGCAGTGCATGGAGCCGAAAACCGACGTAAATGGGGGGTGGGGCCGAGGCGAAGAGAAAGGGGGTGGCGATAAGTGCAGGATAGAGGAGTTGAAGGAAATGTCAGAAAGAAAAAAAGGTCCAAAGGGCATGGCGAGCTTTTTATGCCGGCGCAACTGAAGGCGGAGCTTACAGAACGAGGTATTGGGGCGCTAAACCTAAAAAGGCAAAACTAACTGCAAGTAGTAATTCACAGGTCCCGGATTTACAACATTCAAATGTTTGAAGGCTGCAAACTTGAAACCCTCGGGCTGAAACAGGACTATGCACATGTGCCGACTCAGGTTGTCCGACCCGGATCATGAACTTAAGCGCTGCCGAGGTGGAAGCTTGATATCATGATGTATCCGAATTCCGTTCACCATAAACGATCAGTTGACTTGGACACACTAACCAATTCTATGTAGAGTATCTCACTACTTCATGTAGTACCGCAGCACAGCTTGAAGATCATTTATCAACTTCGAATGTTGAATCCGAGTCATTCAAGCTCTCTGTGCAGGGCTATTAGGTGAAGCAGCTAAATACCAGTTCTAGAAATAGATCCATGGCTGGATGCAGTAACTTGAATATTGTATTCAATAATTTGATCTCTATACCTCCAGCTTAAACATTTTGAAGTTTATTACAGTTCGATAAGGAGTCCAGTGTATTCAAATATTGGAAGAAGTGAGAATTTTTGAATCAACTGGATTAATCTTCCTGTAAAGGATGGGGATTATGGTCCAAACCTATGGAACAGCACTGTTCGCCCGAAACAGCTTCCAAAGTTATTCCCTCATTATTCTCTCATCAACATTTGGTTCCTATTAGACAGGAACAGGCTTTTTGCCCAATAAAATATGTATAAATCCACCCGTGGACATCTGAGCAGGCTGATTGACAGATCGGGGCTTTACTCGGCCCGCAAGAGCGTGTTTATCTTTCAATTTCACGTGTAGATCTTTTTCTCGAAAGATTTGTGAATTCCCAGCATTGAGTTTATCTGATAATGATGATATTCAAAATATGAGTGGGTCTATCCCTTGCTGATTATGAATGCATCCGAAGCAGATGAGTGGGCATATGCTCATGCATCTACCCTCATATATGAACTTCAACCTTGGAAGTTGTCAATTCTCTTCTTGGATCAGCAATATATCTACTGGTATTGACTCAGCGCATCTTTCATGGATGCAGTCCATTGGAATAAGTCATATTGTGAGCCTAGAGGCTATTATCTACTCCACCTGAAGAAGGAAGACATATGCATGTGCACCTATCATGCACGAACCATGGAAGATATTCATCCCAAGTTTGACTCTATGGATATTTCAAATCTCTTGTCTTAAATTGAAAGACAATATAATTTTTTCACCTGCAAGGCTGATCATAATTCTCCAAATAAACAAACCAAGGTTGAACCTCCAAGGTTGAAACAGTGCTCCGGATTTGACATTATCCAGCCAGCTTAATCGGTGTGGCAATCCTCCTTAACTTGGAATCATGAGTGAGACCTACTGTATCAAATTCAAATAGTGTGATTATGGGTCTCCGTTACGCAAAGTGATAGACGTCTAATTATTGAGACCTGACCAGCCCACATGGAGCTTCTAACGTTCTGGATGGACATCTAGACCAAAATTTCAATATCTGAACCAGTCAACACTGCATAACTGTTATGTCGTCATTGTTTTGACGCGTCACCGAGGATAGTTTCTGGAGTTGAAATGGAGTGGTCATGGCCAATAGTGTGAATAAGAAAAAACCATTGATGGGCGTCAGTACCCGCTGATCTACGCAGATCAGCCGATCATCTTCACAAACTAGTCAAGATGAGCGTTTGAGGGGGTGGACCAAGCTATCCAAGCTTTACGGTCAATACTAGCACCGGTGGACTGATTTCGACTTCTCTCTTCCTTACACATGTGTAGTATTCAGTATCATAGTACAGTAGCTATGGGTACGTAGCCTACATAACACTATGTAATAGTCCCACAAATATAAGACTACCGAAATTGGATATTTCGCTTGTCTATCAAGGGGATGACACTTGGTAAGACAGGATTTTGAGTATTTATACCAGTTTGATTCCATCTTTCAGGACCATCAATCATTCAATCATCTCCTCCGAGGTCGGGTTTAAACTATACATCGGAATTCAGCCACCAAAACAACGGCTGCAGTATCCATTGAGAGGGAAGCATTGACGTTAAAACAAAATAATGCATATTCTATCTCTTTTCTCCCTTGCTGCCATCGCCAGCGTGGCGTCGACTCAGGCTGTATCTGTATCAGGTTGCGGCAAACCAATTCCTAGATATTTCCCGGCCCCTGGTCAAAGCAAGACGCTTCGTCTACCTGGTACCGACCGTACCTATCGACTCCACATTCCAGCAAACTACAATGTGAGCAACAAGACTGCGGTATACTTCTCCTTCGCCGGTGCTGGCAGAAATGCAAGTGAGCAAGAAGGCCTGTCACAGTTCTCCAACCCACAATTCAATCCCAACGGCATCGCAGTCTACCCAAATACCCAAAATGGCGTCTGGTTATCCAACCCAAAAGCCAACACTTCATACCCGAATGACCTCGACTACACCAATCACCTGCTGGATTACCTCGAAGAGAACCTTTGCGTTGACACTGGTCGAATCTATGCCAATGGCAAGTCAAATGGAGGTGCTTTCGCAAACGTCATTGCCTGCAATGCAACAGTTGGCAGTCGCTTCGCAGCGTTTTCAATTGTAAGCGGTGCCTATCACAATGCGATCGATGTTCCTGGTGTTGGACCTTGCGAGCCTGCTCCGCGCGAGGAAGGATATCCATTCCTAATCTTCCACGGTACAGTTGATCAAACTGCACCAATCAACGGAAATAAGTCGGCGAACATATTGCCCGTCATTGATATTTTGGAGCAATGGGCTCACATCAACGGTTGTGGACTTGATTCGTTGTGGACGAGCAACGTGACTACTTTTTCGCATCCCATGGTCAATCATGTTAGCTGGGCGTGTGATGGGAGGAATGGGATTGTGCAGTTCTACCGTGAAGGAAACAACGGTCACTGCTGGCCTTGTACCCGACCGAATGATGATTACATTTCAATGGGTCTTGCGAAATGTCCTATGGGACATTACGTCTTCAACGCTACGGACTACATCTTTGACTTTTACAGTCGATATCGGTTGAATGTTTAAATTTGGGGGTTTTCTCGTGTTTTCAGCGGTTATGACACGGTCTCTATATAATTTTCTGTCCATAGTCGTAATAAAAGTGGTTCTAATATACAAAATCCATATCTATTCAACCCATCCTTGTCAATAAATCAGGTGATCTTCCACCTGATGTCAGTGGCTATAGCTCACATTTCAAGTTTACACCTCTTCGTCCTTCCGAGTCCCAACCCGATTCTTCCTTGCATACGCCTGCAGCCTGCCGGGAGCCAGCCCCTTTTATTTACCTGGCTAAGCCTATTGCATCGCGCCCCGGGCCCCGACCCGACCCGAAGCCTGCCCTGGTGGACACCCCCTTTGAGTGACAGCGTGGGAGTAGTGGCGCGACCGAATCAGTGTTCTTATGGAAAACCGCCTTCGAACGCTTTCTAGCGCTTACAAACCAGGCTAAAATGCCTCTCCTCTCACTTCAAAAAGAGCTTCTTGTCGAATACAATAAGGTTAGGATCTACATGGAGCCATCCCTCAACAAAAATACAAAGTTAATTTTCCAACTATGGCTTCTCACCAGATAATGCCCTTTTCACATATACATCTGGTCAATTTCTCTACAATGAAATGAACGGCTTAATGAACGGCTTAATGAACGACATATGCAATTTGACGTCCCTGCTCTTGAAACTGCCATCGCGAAACATGTTGATCGTGGAAACGTCAAGAGCCTCGTGAAATTAAGTGAAGGTGGCTTCAATCGCGTGCTATCAGCCACTACCTATGGAAGATGGCTTTAAGGCAATCATCAAATCACCGCATGGATTGGCAATACACAATCATTCATCCACTCCTTCTGGCTGCGGTTTATCTTAAGATGTTCGAGAATCCTGATCCTGAGCAACGAAAGGAACTAGCGGCCCCAAAATATCCAGAAAACTACGATTCCCTGAGTTCTGAGGACAAGGCTTAAGTAGACGAGCTCATCCGCCGACAAGGCCTCTTTTACTTGTATCGCGTTTACAATGGTGGACTCAACAGCATCCATCTTAAAACTATACAGACCACCTTAATTTTTGAACGCCAGCATACTGTGAAGCTTGCAGGACCGTAGTGGTCCGGGAATCTCATGACATTACGAGGCTCACTGCCCAGGTGATGTACATGTGTGCTCTATGGCCTTTTCTTGCAGGAAAAGATCAAAGCCTTGGCTGTTCCGGACTTTTTCCGAACGTGAGGTTAAAAAAAGCTAACTGAAAACGAGGAAATGTGGTATAACTTAAACAAGCTTGTCGCTCATTGGCGTGATGAACTCGGTTTGACTGAAGAAGGGTGGGTTCGTACTGAACAGTATGACTTTGCTGCTGAACGAAACAAATCTTTGAGCGGAGTTTGCCAAAGAGGGGGAGTGTAGATGAGCTTGAGAATATTGAGAGGGGCTGGCCTTTTCAGGATCGTGAAGAGTTATTTTTGATAGATCTCACAGGATCAACTCGCTGGAAGGCTAGTTGCCATGTGCAAATGCCAAGTACTGCGTGTTTCACTTGGATCATGATAAGCCAATGAATTAATTTGGTTAGTTGCAGCCCTATAGATGTAGAATCAAAAATAAAATATCCGATAAACTACAGCTTTCACTATGAACGTCTCATTATGGCCATTCTTGGGGGCGTTGTAGATATTTGGCGGTTTTCACCCATTCTTGGTCACCCGATGAATGTTTACCTCTGGTCATACAGAGACTTGATCACGACAAGATGACCCCGTCGGAAGCCAGACATCACGCACTTCAGTCATTATTCACAATCTATTGAACTTTCGTATCTCATGATCCAGAACTCATGCCCCTTCGCACCGATGCTGCTCAAAAACAGCAAATCTTGCAGTCTCCCGTCAGGGGCTCCCTATTCAAGGGATCGAATCGGCCAATCAGGCATGCTACGGGTCCAGATGGATCGACTCGGGCACTAAAAGGATTGATACCCCGCAGCAGTGGGCCCTGACCCTGCATTGCAATTCAGGATTTAGGAAAAGTCTTAGATGCGAAGGGGCACCCATATGGAAGTTGCAAACGATGTTACCCCGCGGTAGCTATAAAGGTCGAGGGACTTTGTGTGAAAGAGAGTGCATCTACAACACATCAACTGTCTGGATAGCCCATTAAACGCCACCAGAGCCATCATGCATATCAGTTCTCTCCTTGGCCTACTGGCCTTTGCGACCGCGGCTTCTGCCGCGCCGTATACGGCCCCTAAGATGGCAGCCAAGCGCTCCCAGACAGCGCACTCGGCAAGTTCCATCAAGAATTTGAAAAACAATATAAAGAAAGTTGTTGTACTGGAGATGGAGAACCGCTCAGTCGATAACTTACTCGGTGGTCAAACTATTGAGGGCCTTGATAATCCTATCAACAACGGTCCCTTCTGCAACCCATACAATCTGACCAACCCAGGTCAAGGAACAGTCTGCAGTCAAGCTGGGGATCTGGATTCCATTCTAGATGACCCCAATCATTCAGTCACCGGCAATAATATTGAGTTTTACGGCACCTTCACACCGAACAATGATGATATCGCTAGCGGCACATTAACCCCTGTGCAAAGTGGCTTTGTGTTCGAGCAGCTGCGCCAGTATAGCGATGCAAACAAGACCAGCCTTGCGCAGCAGGTCTTAAACTATTACACTGAGGATCAAGTACCAGTGATGACGATTCTGGTTCAAAACTATCTCACATTTAATCACTGGCACTCAGATCTACCTGGTGTAAGTGATAAACTTACCCATCTCCATATTCGAAAGAATCGCAAGACTAAATCATTATTCTTAGCCCACTGCCCCAAACCGGGCATATGTACTCTCCGGAACTTCCGCCGGACACGGCTCCAACGATGATGCCTTTGACGCCGATAAACACGGTCTCACTCAGCGCAGCATCTTCCAACAGCTAACCGAAACCAACCGCACCTGGAAGAACTACATCACCGACCCAGCAGAGCAAATGGCAGATGCCTTATTCTTTGACTGGGTATATACAAGTGGCAACCAAGGACTCGCCGTGCCTCTAGATGACTTCTACTCCGATGCAGCATCTGGCACGTTACCTGATTTCAGCTTCATCGAGCCTTCATGTTGTGGAGTCGGCACGACATCAATGCACCCAACAGGTCTAATCTCCGATGGTGAAACACTTATCAGAGATGTCTATACTGCACTGCGAACAGGTCCGCATTGGAATGAGACTTTGCTTCTCTTAACGTTTGATGAAACAGGTGGTTTCCATGACCACGTCCCACCTCCTCTAGCTCCCCGTCCGGATGATCTTACCTATACCGAGACAGCTCCGAATGGGCAGCAGTACACTTTCCCTTTTAATCGACTTGGAGGTCGTGTGCCCACGCTTTTGATCTCGCCGTGGGTAGAACAGGGTGTTGTGGAGCAACAGGGAACAAATTCCAACGGCGAGACTGTTTCGTATTCTGCTTCCTCTTTACTGAGAACTCTGGGGTATCTATGGGATTTTGAGCCCTTCACGGCCCGTGTTAGTGGTGCGGCTTCATTTGATCACTTGATTCAGAGCTCTATGCGCACAGATACGCCTGATTCATTGCCCGAGCCGTCGGCTTTTGCAAGGATGATCAATGGTAAAACTACCCAGCAGCAAATTCAATAAATCTGGACTTGAGTGACCGGATAGATATGAGAAAGTTATTTTAAATCAATTGAGATCATTTACGTTGACAATTGGTTTGTCATGATCAAATTGAAGTCGTTGAAACTACATGGGGAAACCTTTACACTGGCAGACATCTAGATTCACAACGGGAATTTAGTGATTAAAAATTGTTGTAGACATTGCAACTGAGTACTGATTCTTAACATAATCGCTGCATCATAGGAATTGCTAAAGTAACCAGTATCCTTGTACCTTGAAACCACCACACTAGGAAATATGACCGCCTTTCCTTTACACCACCAAAGAAAAACAGTAGGGGAATGTATGCAAAACAAATGGAAACAGCACTAAGCCATCAACTCCGTTAACCTTCACTCGTCCCACAACTGGTCTGTAGAAATCAAAGATTCTCCTTTCCGGATGCCTTCAGTCGTTGACTTTCACGCTTTTGTCTAAGTCGAGACTTCGCTGCAGCCACTCGCTCCGGGGAAAGTGCTTCACTTTTCAGATCAGCTAGCAATCCATATCGCTTTCCAAGTCGTTCTCCCCCGGAAATGGTATGTCCAGCATAGTTACCAAGCCGGGAATCAGTCGTACCGGAGAGGGTATCCAGAGTAGACTTGATATGTGAGCGATGACGGTGGGTGTTGGCGTAGGTAGGTAGTTGATTAATTGTATTGGAAGTGGAGTTGTTTGTGTTTTCGGGGTCACGAAGGTATAGAGAACGATAGGTGCGCTGAGTACCACGGAGAGATCTGAGAGCTCCAATGTCAGGTGGTGAGGAAGGTGGAATAGTATCTAGGCCTGAGTAACGGGATCGGAGCGATGGTCGAGGCAGGATCTCATTCAGATAATGAGTGACTTCGTCATCATTTGTACCGACGTCTCGAATCTCCCTGGATGCACGCTTAAGTTCAAGCGCACCTGTAGTGGCGTTGCGCGTGGGTCGAGGTTCACGAGCTTTAGAGCGTGGACTCGGGCTGGGTGGCGCCTCGATATCCTCGGTAGCCTCTTCCTCAATCTCCGGGTGATCGTTATGGTCCTGACCTGCGAAATCATACACATGCACCCCTGTGTACTCTTTGCGTGGACTGAGAGAACGTCTTTGCTGGGGCCGGAGAATAGGGGCGCGCTCAACAGCTGAGACTCTGGTCTTTAATTGTTCGATCTGGCTTTGCATACGATTGCGTTCTTCATCGAAGCTCTTTCGCAATGCGTCTTCTGACTGCCGATGCTCTTGAGTCGTGGTCTTGAGACGTTCCCGATACTCCTGGATACGGGCCTCCAACTTGGCTTCTCTCTGTTTCAACTTGGTTTCCTTCTCCTTGCGTCGGCCTTCATATCGTGACATTTCCTGCTTCACGCGAGCCATTGTCTGCTTGAGGCTGAGGTTTTCCTTCTCGAGGTCCTGCGCCTTCTTCTCTGAGATCTGTGCGAGGGTCTGGAGAGTACGCAAGTCTGGGTTCTGGCGCTTCATGTCCTCAATCTGGGCGTTTGCTTGCTTGAGTTCTTGCTGAGTTTTGAGAAGCTCGTCAGAGCTTTCTTCAGATGACTCCGGCTTAGGAGGTTCGCTGCTGCTGGAACTTTGAGCATCGCCTCCCACAACTCCTTGTTGTTCGAGTGTGGCACGGAGCGAAGTGACCTGCTGTTTGTACTGTAGCGCCAAAGCAGTTTGTTTGGTCAGGTCCTGAATCAACTGCTCCTTATCGACCTTGGAGTCCTGCCCCATAATCGAGGAAGCAAGACGAGTCACCTGCTTTTCCATCTCAGCAACCTTTTCCTCCTCTTCCTTGAGTTTCTCTGACAGTCGCAGTGCCTCAGAGTCCTTCTTGCGGGCGTAGGACTTGGCAATAGTTCGGTAGTGAATCAATTTCTTGATTTCACGATTGGTGCGTACGCGATAATTATTGTATTCCGTTTTCCAGTACTTGCCCGATTCCGATCGGGGCTCATCCATATTGAGCGTAATATCCTCGGGATCGCTGTCATCTTTGGGCTGGGATGAGACGGAGTCGGTAGTAGACGAAACGGTTGACGACTTGCCCGAGTCTGCATTTTTCGTCGCATTGTCGCGGGCATCCATTAAAGTCTGCGTGAGCTTGCTCCGCGGCTTGCCGTCTGCCGAGCCTGTCATCCACTGGGTACTCAGATTACCTGACGGATTGGGAGGTGTCTTGACTGCTTTGATCGAATGACTATCACGTTTGCCTTCGTTGTCAACGACTCCCTCGCCAAAAGAGACTGTCTTCCGTCGGTTCGAGATAGTACCCGGTGTCACGAGGATACTTTTGGTCGGAGAACAAGCAGGGTTGACCGTCGAGTCCGGATCGGTTTTTGAGGGGTCTAGCTTCTCGGGGATAGAGATTGGGTTTGTAGCTTCGCTCTTGCTGCGCTGATGAGCTATCTGTTTCGGTTGTGATGGTTGTGGTGGTTGTGGTGGACGAGGTGTTTTCTCGTCTTCGCCGGGAGTTCCAAACAAAGCGCTTTTGAAGGCGCGGATCGCAAACACAGGAGCCGGGGTCTCGGGGGGGTTCGAACCCTTTGTCTGATCTGAAATTAGTATCAAACATTTTATAAAAAAAAAAATTTAAAAAAAAAAAAGGACTCAATGCTCACCGGGAGCCTCCAGGCCCTCATTCCCCTTCATCCAGTCCAGCATTTTGGCGTGGAGAAGTAAACGGGAGGTGTGATGTGACGAGTAAACAAAACGCGTCGAGCTTATCGATAGCGGGAAAGTTGATCGTCGTTACGCTTACGCCAAGTAAGAACAAAAGAACAACGCAGAGAAAAACAGAACAAATATGAGATGGAATGAGGGGGTTCTGGAATATTTGATGAGTTTATGAAGGATGTGATCTTCCCCCTACTCTGTACTCGTGGTCTCCTCACATCTCGCATCACACACCGCTCGGTTACATGTACGGTGATCACTCCTACAGCCCAAACAAGGAAAAAGCAAAATGCCTCGTGCTCAGTCCCCTCGTGGTTCTTTTTTAAGTCTGGCTTCTACTTTATTTGCAACTATTTTCGTGGCCTGTGGCATCAACGCATGTATCCGTCCAACTCATGCTCTATCATTCTTTTCATTTGAGCCACCCGCGGGTGCCGCAGATCAGAAGCTGGTCGATAGCCTGATGGCAGTTTACGGGGTTCGCGACATATTCATGGGATTGGTGATTTACATTGCGAATTTTATGGGGACTCCAAAGTCTTTGGGCTGGACTTTGATCGTCACTAGTCTTGTCGCATTCGCTGATGGCGCCCTATGCTGGACTCATGGCCAAGGATATTGGGATCATTGGGGATATGCCCCGATTATTCTCGTTCTTGGGGCCCTTGCACTCGGATCGAGTCCTTCGAAATCGAACTGATCATGTTTATCCATCGATGATTTCCTAGGCAACAGCTACTACTCAATACTTAGCCTCCTCCAGGAACCCGGATACGAATGCTAGTTGATGATCTCCCGCAGAATTGTACTACCTTAAAGATCCTTTAATGACTATCCATGGTACAGAATAAGAAATGATTCATCCTTAATCAGACTTTATGTTCACGATGTTGCTGAAAATTTATAAATGAAACACGAATTCAACTTCAGATTTGTGATGCATCATAACGATGGGCTCAGCGATCTTGAAAAGGACAGACCTTCTCCCATAGCGCCCTCTCGTGTTCACTTCTTGATTCTTGATCTAGAAATCTCTCCTTGGCTGCAGCAAGTCTCTTAATGACGTCGTCATAATCCTCAGCCGACACTGCCCCGTTCCAGCCACAGTATAGCCCGATCTCATCAAGCAATAGTGTCTTTCTATCCACATCTCTTTCAATGCGAGACTCCGGGCAGCCTGGGTTAACCTGGTGTATTCAAAAATAGTACTGTATGATACTACATAATTGATATCTCTGTTCATAAAGAATGAATTTTGAAGTAAGGCCGGATGGGTGATATGCAGTCTATCTCAAGTATCTTCAAAATCCGGGCTCTAAATCTTAATGCCATGACCATCGCCAACTTGAAGTCCAGATGAGGTCTATCATCTATTATGTATCCACCAATTCACAGACGAATAAATACCGAAATTTCCTTTTATCGTTCACGCCATTAATATCACACATTGTATGTTCCTTCCATATCGAGCTGAAAATTGATCATAAACCAAATCCAGCTTAGGCCTTGCCATCAGAGAATGACACAACAGCCCACTTACCACTCCATGCCCACTTGCGAGCCTCGGCACCACCTCCACCGGGCAACTGGCGGAGTTTCTCATCTTCACCAGCAGCAAGACCAACAACTGCATCAGCCTTGCAGGTGCGGAAGGCTAGGACACGGATACCAGAGTTAGGGCCCATGGGGCCGATTGCTGTTGTGAAAGGAGTGGTAGGGTCCCATTGGGCCTGCAAGAGTCAGTAAATGTATTTCCTAATATGTGGAGACGGAGAACTTACATCGTTGGTCAATTTACGGTAGTTCAGATCACCCTTGAACAGAACCAGCTCGCTCTCCTTAAGATCCTCGAACAACTCTGAAGCCTGGTGAGGCAGACGCCAGTAGCTGCCCTGTGTAGTCCAGAAGGCGTGGGGACGCATAATCAACTTGCCCTCCTGGTGGAAGTTGCTCCATTGCTCAAAAAGGAAGCGCACATTAGAGACCTCAGTGTCCGAAAGCGAGGGGAAGGTCTTTCCTGACGCATCGGGGGCAGTGTAGAAAGCTTGTGGGTCGACCATGCAGTTAAGAAGATCAGAGAAGTCCTTGGGTGTAACATCGGAGACGAACCAAGGGAGACGCTTGGGGTGGAGGACGATTGTGGTGGCTAGTCCAGTGGACAGCAAATATCCGGCAAGGATAAGGTCGACAAAGAGTTCAAAACCAGAGTTATCCAGAACAATGTCAACACGACGCTCACCGTCCTTCTTTTCCTTTCGTGCTTTCTGCATAACAGCAAAAGCAGCCTCGAGGTCATTCACAAGGATGTTGCTCTGGGAGGCTTTGCGGGCTTCGGAACCCTGAAGCTTTTGGATATCCTCATATGTGAGCGAAGTCAGGAGAGACAAATCCGTGGCGTTACCCCACAGGCAGATCTCACACATCTCCGAGAAGAGTAACTTTTCGGCTTGCTCAATCTCCTCTGGGGACTTTCCTTCAATTCCCTTGCCAGTCTCTGCTTCCTGGGCAAGCTCGCGGTACCGAGCAGCGAGCTCCAGAACGGCAGGGCGAGAAGACTTGAAGGTCGACATCTTCTGGCGGGCGAATACATCATAGCCCTTCCAGTGTTGAGACAACGCAAAGAAGGTCTCAATGCGGCGATCTAGTTTTAATAGTCAGAACTTCTGTAATCTCTATCGGTGCATTTATGACGTTGGGAGCATACAGAGGTAGCATTCGGAGTACAGCCAAGGCACATCATGCCAGACAGGGTTTCCACGCTGCTCCAACTCCCGGTTATAAGAAGCAATATCCGGGTGCCCATCATCATCAAGAGGACTAAGCAAGATATATAGTGTCAAAGAAAATGAAAGGCAATTTTGATAGTATCGAAGCTTCGGAGGTACTCACGTTAATTGACGGTTGTGCTGTAGCTCATACTTCAGCTTAGCCAGTTTCTCAATAATAGCCTTGCCCTCTTTCTCTTTTTCTTCGTTATTCACTGAGATCACTGTTCGGTGCAGGTCATCAATAGCACCAGTCTTTGGAAGTCAGCATATGCTATAGAGTCATCATATCCCTAGTTCGGGGTGACTGACGATGATAACGGGCCATCGCTCGTCGGCCGAGATCGAAGCAAAGCTCGACGGGTCCGAGGTGAGGAATTGGGCTATTCCTGATCAGCAACAATACTCAGCATGTCGTAGGAATATCCAATTCTTACGCGTCTTAGGATCGAATTCCATCTTTGCGTGGTAAAGTGGAGTTTGGATTGAAGTGGGGGGAAATAATTTAGCTGCGTCACAATATCAGAATCGCGGGGCAGAAGAGGGCGGTGTACACGGAGGTCCAGGTTACTGTTCTACTATAGATTCAAATTCATGTAGTAAACATCACATAGTTACATTGGCGTATAGATCTCTAGCTTCTTTTCCAATCAAATAACGCCTCCGCTTGCAAATCAATGGGTTTCATCACATTTGTGACAGGATTGAGTTTTGGGCGTACGCCTAATAGTATAGTTAGCTTGAGCTCTAGATTTAGATGCATATATCATCTGAAGGGTTTAGGTACTCACCATAGGCTTGATATCAGGGTGAGGAACAGCCTCAAACACCTCATAGGCGAGCTTAAGCTCGGGTCCAATATTGATATACGCGCCCTTGTTCTCAGTCGAATCACAGTATCTCGGGGCAGAGAAGACGGTAATACAACGGCCGTCGTGCTCAACTTCGTAACCCTCCATACGCACTTCATGTGACCGAATAATAGCCTCCAGTCCGTTGTTCTCACAGAAGCGCTTGGTGATATCGGGTCCAAACTGGAGACCAACACCACGCTTGCTTGGGCCACGACCCGGCTGGGTTTGGGGATCAGTCCAGAGCATCTCCATCATGAGACCCTCTTGACCCGGCTGCCTTTGACAGTGACGGTTGAGCTTTCGAATGTCGTCAAGTGTGATCTTATCATCAGAGAAAAGACCACCATGCAGAACAAGGTACTTGCTTCCGATCAAAGTAGCCAATGGCAAAGCAGAGAAGGATTCAGAGAATACCTTGAAGACCCGCTCGCTATACTTCGCCTTACACTCACCCTCAAATCCATACACCTTATTCATGTCATCTGTTTCGTGGTTTCCGCGGTTCAGGAACAGACCGTTGGGGCGGAGCCACTTATAAGCATAGAGAAGCAGAGCGATCTCACACGACCAGGATCCGCGATCAACAAAGTCACCGTTGAAGAGATAAGCGTGGGTATCAGATGGCGCACCGTTGCGACGGAAGATCTCCAGCAGATCGAAGTATTGGCCTGTAACGTCAGTCAGCATTTCTTTTTTTTGAGTCTTGCTTTTTTCGATCGACAATTGAATTGCCATGTACATACCGTGAGTATCACCACATACGGTCAACTTCTTGCCAGTCTCCACACCGATCTCCACCATAGTCGGCTCGTTGTATACAAGATCTCTGACAGCCTTGATAATTTGGAAGACATACTTGCGGTGGATTTTCTTGCCATCCTTGAATCGTTGAATCATATCATCAATGAACTCCTGTGACATCTCATCGCCCAATCGCACACCATCATATCCATCCTCCACCTTAATCGCATCGATGTCCAAATCCTCGAAGGCGGATGGCGGGTCCGAAACCTCAATCGCCTTCTCAAATTCTATACGGCGCACCAGCTTCTCGCATTCCGCCAACTTCAACTTCGCATTTTGGTTGTTGGGTTCACGTCGCACAACAGCCTTGAAATCCTTCAGGGCCGCCTTATAACTCAGAATGGCAGTGTTGGCGAGGGCACGTCTCCAGTAGGCCTAATTCAAGGTAACACCAGTCAGCCACCAGTCCATATTTCCACACTGCCAGATACTGGTTCGCACAGCATATCTGTTCTGCTCCTGCAGTTTCTCTTGAAACGGAAAGTATATCGTCTCAATAACGACTAACCTTGACGTAGTTCGGGTCCAATTCCAAAGCCGCGGTGGCATCCGCAAGGGCGTATCCAAATGCCTCGAGTTTGATTTGGGCCTATTTTTAACAAAATCGAACCAAAAGTTAGCAGGTTCCATATATAGTAAGATTTCGCGATTGTGGCGAAGACGAAAATCCCACGCACCTGAGCACGGTTACAGAAGAACGATGGTTCCTTGTCATATTTCTCGATTGCCTGAGTATAAAAATCTATCGCGCTGGGCCAGTCATGACTAGCAAAGGACTTGTTTCCTTGAACCTTGAGCGCGGTGGCAGCCTCTAGATCTGAAGCCATTGCGGGATAAGTCGAGGGGCACGAGACAGCGGCGATCGGGGAACGGAGTTATAGTGCGGAGGGAAGACCGTGCGCAGAAAGCGAAAGAGAAAGAAGAAAGGAGCCGATGAATGAAAATATACCCCCAAAGAAAACCTCCCGGAATTAGAAGGAAAGGGAAAATGGAGAAAGAGAAGAGAGAAGAGTAAGAAGTTGCGGAGAAAAAACAGTATGGTGGTTCCTGACGATTCTCTCACTATCTTTTTTCTCCGATATGAAAGGAAGAGGCTTGGCACCGGCTTCCCTTTACACTTCGTCACTCCGACACTCTGCTTTCAACCTTTACAACCCACATCTCTTAGCCATGTCTTTCTACGCCGCTCCGAACCAGCAGCGCTATTTGCGCGCATGCATGGTCTGCTCTATTGTTCAGTCGCACACAGTGAGAAATTCTCTCAATTACTACCAAAACTCCAGCATTCACCATAGCTAACCCATGGCACTCCGACTTTAGAAATTCCAGCGCGATGGCTGTCCAAACTGCGAAACTAGCCTGCAACTCCGTGGAAATCTCGATGCAATTCAAGAATGTACATCCCAGGTCTTCGAGGGCTTGATCTCGGTCCGCGATCCTTCCGTCAGCTGGGTGGCCCGCTGGCAGCGACTGGATAACTATGTGCCGGGAACATATGCGACCAAAGTGACGGGTGTTGTGAGTTTTAGCATCACTCTGCTTCGATTGATTCATCCTGGAACACGGTTTACTGATATTATTGGTGTCTGGTAGCTTCCAGATTATATTATCGGTACTTTGGAGGATTCAGGCGTCAAATATGTCCCGTATGTTGAGTTGTCCCTATACTGGTGTCATCACTACTACTGCTCACTCGAAGAGCCACTTTCCTCTTGATTCATTTTGCTAACGCACTCCTCCCTCAGACGCGATGGTTCTACCGGCGAGGAGGACATGTGAAACCTCACTACTAAACATCCCAACGATTCCCCGTACAAATTTTGTTGGCTGGTCGATCGAGGTGCCCGTTACATATGCCATATTTCGTTGCCCCTTCATATACCAAGCAACTCCCATGGTTATTATTTTCGATGTTCGTTCGGAGTTATGGGTCGGAAGCATTGCGCTACTTTTTATCTTTCTGGGCATCTGGTTTCAGGACGAACTAGCAGGAGTTTTAAAAATGAGATATTTGAATAATTTTGGCTCATTGATGTGAGATCATTCTTTTTGATGGACATTGGGAATAAATGTCTATGAATGTACATGGCCCAATTCAAGATGGCATCACTCGTAGCAAAACAAACAGGAGGATAGGAAAAAGGAAAATAAGAAACCGCTAATTAAATTTGAATGAGAAAAGGAAAGTGCTCCACGGGCTCAGTTTATCCATCAGTTGGAGTTTAGACAAGCTTGACAAGCTTCTCGAGGCTCTCCAGGAGGATATCAGCGTGGTGCTTCTGGAAGACCAGCATGGGACGCAGGCGGACAGCCTGGGCACCACTGCCACCAATGTTAATACCAATGGTCTTGGCCTTAGCGAGGACCTCATCACGCTTGGGGGTGTCCCAAGCAATGAAGGTACCCTGACCCTTACCACGCAGGTTCTGGAAGTGCTCGGGGTACTTCTGGGCGAGGCGCTCGAGGCCAGCGAACAGGTAGTCACCAGTAACACGGGTGTGCTCGACAAGTCCAAGACGCTCAACTTCATCGATGATAGCACGGAAGATCAGAGCACGGGCTGGGTCACCCATCCAGGTGTTGAACTGGCGGTAAGGCTTGTTGGGGCGCAGGGCAGGGTTACCGAAGTAGTAACCAGCGGTCTGGGCCTTCTTGGAGAAGGTGACCATATCGGGAGGAGTCTCCAAGTTCCAGTGGTCGTGAGCCCAGAACTTACCAGTGGCACCAACACCAGTCTGCACCTCGTCGACGATGAAGAGGACGTTGGTACGCTTGGTGATCTCGCGGAGACCACGGAAGAAGGCGGGGGAGGCGTGGTTGTCACCACCCTCGGACTGGATGGGCTCAACCATAACAGCAGCGACGGGATGGTGGAACTCCTTGATCAGACGCTCAACCTCCTGCAGGCAGCGCTGCTCCTCCAGGGCGTTCTCCTGGACATGGTCCTCAAGAGGGTATTTCAGCTGAGGGAAAGAAGCCTGGGGCCAGTCGAAAGCGGGGATATCCAGCTTGTGGATGGGCTTGCTGCGAGTGGTGGACAGAGATCCGAAGAGACGACCGTGGAAGGCAGACTTGAAGGACAGGATAGAGAGCTGGGGAGATCCAGGACCCTGGTTGTTCATGGTGGACAGGAGCTCCTCCTCGGTGAACTCAACCTCGGGACCACCGCGCTGCAACTGACGGTAGTACATGAAAGCAGCCTTGTATGCAGTCTCGTTGGCATCGGAACCAGCCATAGCAGTGAAAACCTGGTTCAGACCCTTGGGAGCAGCACGCAGGATACCAGTCTTCAGGATGTGGGACCAGTCAGCCGAGGGGAAGTTACCAAGGGCAGGACGGTTAATGAGCGCGTTGGTCATCTCCGGTGACTTGGTAGCCTCCAGCAGGCTGGGATTGTTGTATCCAACAGGGATGGAGGCAATCTGGGCATAGCTGATTTGGGATTAGCAATTGGGTCTTGATCAACCGTATGTGCATCAACGACGTCACTTACACATCAAGCAGCTTGTTGCCATCGAGATCGGCAATGTAGTTACCAACGGATTGAGAGTAGTCAGTCAGCATGTTCAAGCTGCGCACATCAAAGACCTCATCGAGCTCCGCGGCAGCCGCCTTGTTCTTGGGGCCAGGAATAGCGGTCGAGATGGAGGGGGCAGTAGGCTCGTTGGGGAAGAAAGGCTTCTCGGCTGCGCGAAGGCGAGCAGTGGTCGAGAGAGCACGAGCAGCAGGGACACGGGTCGCCATGCGCAGCTTAGAGCTGCATCGAAGAGTGGAGGCCATTGTGAATTGTAAATTTTTTTCTGGTCCTATCAAGGATATGTGCAAGGGAGAGCAAGTTGGGGAGATCAATTGACTCTCGTGCGGGGAAGATCTAACTGATTGTATCCCAGTGACAGCTCCAATGAGTCAAGTGCAGAAGAAGCCCACGATTTCAAGTGACACAAGATATTTGAGAAAGGGACAAGAGACCGCGGGGCAAACAGCTTTATATTGAGAGAAAGTGTTATCAGTCATCTAATAGCTGTTGGAGCTTCCCAGTTCCCCCGCGTAGATACCATTGGATCTCGGCGGCGTGAACCAATCAGCGGTCGCAAGAAAGAGCGAAACGCCGAACAGTGCAATGTCAGGTTTCGACGAATCGAGAAAGTCTACGCAGGTGGATGGTTCTCGCTACACTTCAATGGAGTAACAATTTGAGCCATGGCCTCCATCGGATTTAGTGCCGACTTCTAATATTGTGTACCAATTTTAGTCTCTTTCCCACAAAATTCAGACGAAAAACCATGATCTTAATTTGAATCGTCGATCAATCCTTATCGATACCGATATGCAACCTTATCGTCTACTTATCGGCTTAACCCCTTGGATATACATTATTATCATCAATTGAAATGCGTCCGAGGTCTTCATTCAAGCTGCTTGTAAATTGAAATAGTCCTAGATTTTTATTCCCAAGAATTTCAAATTGAGATAAACTTGAATTAAAATACTTCCTTGAAGTTGTGCTACATACATATTAGTAAGTACATAGCATCAATGCATGGACCGAGTTCCCCGCATCTCAAAAATATATAATTGTGACCTCATCATGATGGCGCAGCGTGAGTAAACATTGAAGACTCATGTACACCGGCGTGATACTACTAGTATTTTCCAATGACATCTGGACTCATGATTGTCGTACACTGGGCAACACTTAAGGAATATATTCAATTTGAATCAATATTCAAAGCTACTACTACTAGGTAGGTACATACATAGTACTAAGTTTACACAGGGAACAAACATTAAATGGATGCCGTGACTCCTGCAGTAGTAGCATCTGGCCGCAGCTTCAAGTTGAATTGATGCCCCATGGAACCACTAGCCTGAATTAACTAGCGGTGTATTGCACATTATTGTTGCTCCGCAATATTCTGTCCCATGACCTGAAAAATGCATGAATCCAGGAGGCTTCGGAATCACATTCCTAATTCGCTCTAGTGGATCTATAGCAATTGAGTGGAATCCCTTAAGCGTAACCCACAAACTATTTTGACACCATTGATGTAGCCAAAAATCAAGTCCTCTCATATCTACTGGGCTTGTGGTTTAGTGGTATAATACTCCCTTAGCATGGGAGTGGTCCGGGGTTCGATTCCCCGCGAGTCCATCTTTTTGTTATTTTCACTTTCGTACACATGTGTTGTCATTGAGCACCAGCTGTACTCCGTGCCTGAAACTCTTTTTTGATGACCTGACAAAATTTTGGGTTGAAGTAAGGGCATGCATGGTACCTTTCCTGGATCTATGCTTTTCTGCCCATACTTTTTTGTTTTGTTTTCTGCCTCCCTATCCAGATCTTCTTTCCAAGGTTCTCATGTTTGCCCTTTCCCTTGATGGGCCATATTCTATATCTTCCTGTTAGTATTTGTGCTGGATTTTCCAGTCAATATGGATGCATAAGGCGTTCTGTTGCTGCCAATGTCTGTCATTTCGATATCGACTGTAACTATCGGTTTCGGATGCATATATAGCTTTCTTCAGAGCTCAAAATGGCCATCTCCCCCCCCCCCCAGCTTCAATAGCACTTGAGTTACCTTACCTTAGTGTTGTTCTGGGTGGATCCTTAAGCTAATCCCCAGGGCTATGGGGCATAGGAGCTTATATCAACGCCCCTAGCCATCAAGAAAGGCATATCAACTTAGCCCACACGTACAGCAATGAACAGTATAGGTTCTCTCAATTGCGATTCATAAATCTAGGAATAAAGCACTGTATGCCTGCAAATCAGATGTACCGAACTTCGCTTATCATTGCCAACGGATGATTTCGCTAATCCTTCAATCCTCCACCAACCACAATGTTCCAAGGCTGCACGTCAGATAATCTTACGATACTACTCCGTAAACATTTTGATTTTAACCAATTTTTATGCAATCTTACATTCAGCCTGTATATTCTGTCCAGAAGAGAAAAGGAGATTGTCTGGCAATCCGGTTAATCCGAGACGTTAACGCCGCGTGGCTGTGTACTACTAACGCGATAAGGTTGTACCCGACCCGTAGACATTGTGCAAGATGGGCCCGATCGCTAGAAATAATGATGGAATTCTTTCAAGTAGAGAGCTTTGAATGCAGTTGATGAAATGATGTGATCATGAAGGATCCGATTTATAATCGTGTTGAGATGAATCATATACAAACTAAGATTCATAATTTTGAGATCAAGGTTTAGGTGAAAACTTATGCGTGTGCATTGGTCTTTATGCTCTTAAGTCCGGATGGACTGCGAGCCCCATCACAAAAGGGCTTAGGGTCAAGAGCGGGGTCTCCTTTACGCAGGACTGGGCGCGTGGTGATATTTAATAAGATCTCTCTCATCACAAAATGATTTTGTCAGGATTTCTCCAAGTTGCAGCCTGCCCTTTTCTTCCTCCTTGACCTTCCCAGGTTCAAGCCGAAGGGCTATCCGAGATACAATTTCTATACCCCGAAGAAAATTATCTCTATCAAGGGTGAATACGCCAAAGTACCTCTGATATGAGCACCGCCGATCATGCCTCGTCACATTCAGTCACGGAATCATCGCACACAGAGGCTGAAGTGACAGTTGACCCAGCCATCGAGGAGAAGAACATCGAAAGCCCACCTGCTATCCCTATCCCAACTAAAAGATACCCGGAGACAGATCTTGACAAGGGACTTGTTGGTTGGGATGGACAAGATGATCCTGCAAATCCTCAGAACTTCTCATCAGGCAAGAAATGGGGGTTGCTGATGCTCGTGAGTGCCATCACGTTCGTCTCGCCTCTAGCGTCGAGTATGTTCTCTCCAGCAGTCGTATATGTTGGAAAGGACCTGAGAGTATCCAACGACATATTACTTGCCTTTAGTGTCAGCATTTATCTCCTCGGATATACTGTAAGTATTCATTAGGACCCTGATGACTTAATAGTGCGAATACTAATCATACTTCCCTATGGGGGAATTTCCAGTGTGGACCTCTCTTGCTTGCGCCTCTCAGTGAGATCTATGGCCGTCGTATCGTGCTCAGCTGTGCCAATTGGTTTCTAGTCATTTGGCAGATCGGCTGTGCTCTCGCACCAAACATTCAAACCTTGATTATCTGCCGACTGTTCGCTGGTATTGGAGGATCTGGCCCCTTGACGGTGGGTGCAGGAGTCATCGCTGATTTGTTTCCCATTGAGCAGCGTGGCCTGGCAACTGCAATCTGGAGTCTGGGCCCCCTGATTGGACCATCCGTCGGTCCCTTAGCAGGAGGGTTCATGGGAGAGACAATCGGTTGGCGCTGGATCTTCTGGGTATTGATGATCCTGGGTGGTGTGGTGTCCCTAGGCATCGAGTTCTTGAATGAGGAGACCTATGCCATTGTTCTGATCCGCCGAAAGACCGAACGTCTGTCCAAGGAATTGAATCGACCCGAGCTTCGTAGTGCCTATTCCCCCAACCGGGATATTCGCATCTCACTGCGACAAACATTGAAGCATGGCCTCCGGCGTCCAATTATCCTTTTCGTCAAATCACCAATTGTAGCGCTGCTATCTCTTTACATGGCTGTCGTCTATGGCCTGTTATATTTGTTCTTTACCACCATCTCTGACGTCTTCACGAATACCTATGGCTGGTCAACCGGAATATCTGGTCTCGCATATATGGGGATTGGAGTGGGATTTATCCTAGGTCTTGCAGCCAACGCGATGACCAGCGACCGCATTGTGAAGAAACTGACTGCGCGTAACGGCGGCAAATATGAACCTGAGATGCGTCTGCCTTCCATGATCTTCTATGCGTGTTTCGTGCCGGCTAGCTTCTTCTGGTATGGTTGGTCAGCGGACAAAGCCGTTTTTTGGATTGTCCCCATCATTGGAATGGCGCCCTTCGGCTTTGGCCTGATGGGTCTTTACCTTCCCATCCAAATCTATGTCATTGACAACTATCCGGCTTATGCCGCTTCAGCCAACGCCACATTAACCACAGTACGATCCTTCGTGGGGGCTCTCCTTCCACTAGCTGGAACGCCACTGTTTGACTCCCTTGGTCTTGGCTGGGGTAATTCGCTTTTGGGATTTATCGCATTGGCGTTTATTCCTGTTCCGATTATTTTCTCTCGGTTTGGTCAGCGGATTCGGGAGAAGTTCCCCGTTGACCTAGACTAGAGAAAGTTCCAAGGTTTCCTTTCGTCTCGGCGTATAGCGTCTAGAGCTAAATGGAGCGTCAGCAATTCAATCGGCAGCGACGATCTTTGCCCTAATCCTTAACCTCGGGACGGGACGATATCCACAATCAATTTAAACCAAAGTGACAAAATGCGGTTTATCCGGGGATTGTTTTTCATAGTTAATAGTAGTAAGCGTTTAATATTTTCTACAAGAGAATAGATTTATAGAATTGAACATCATTGGAGAATTCATTGTCGATCAATATGTATGTGGAATCCTTTCCCCTTTTTAACAGGACTCAAAATCGGGGAATTTCCCCTTTTCTAAATTTATGTGGTGCAACGTGGCGATGAGGCTCCACTCATGACGAAAAAAAAAAGAAAAAAAAAACCTCGACGCGTTTTAGAAAAGTCTAGATCGACATGAAACAGCCTTGGAAATACTACATTGACGCCCCCTGAAGAAAATGTAGTGTCATGTTTCACTATTGAGTCTGTGTACTCCTTAGTCTTTCATTTATACTCTCTTTGTACTCTTGATGTGTCAATCTTTCTCTCTGAATCGTCTCTCACTTTAAAGCGTTCATTTCTTCTTCAATCTTCTTAGTACATAGAAGACTCCATTCGTTTCTCTACCCACTTCTCCACTGTCGTTCACAACCCCACCCTAATCCCACTGTTCTCTACCTTAATTTTCTCTTTTCTTTGTTCTTTCCTTTTGCTTCATTCCCTGACCCTACACCATGGCGGATGACCAATCTCCTACCTCGCCTACTGGCGAGACCGGTACGAGCTCCTTCTTCGACAATAACATCCCTGCGCCAGTCCCCGTTGAAGTCCACCACTCCAATCCTCATCACCAAGATGTGCCCATTCAACCAACGGAGGAAGAGGAGCCTAGCCATCGCTTCAAGGCACCTACACCACGACCAACTTTCATGGAGCACTTGGCCAACTCCCGCGATGCACAATTCCATATGAACCGACATGAATCGAGCGAGCTGGACCGATACTTTGTATGTTGGGGTACTTATACACTTTCGAGACAACCTCTTTCTTCTTATGTCCTCTTTTTGGACTATGAAAGAGGATGAAGAGAAAGTGATCAGAAATCCGCGTGAAAAAGACTGACTCGATGCATTGATCTTTAGCATGGCCCTCGCGATATGGACAAGCACTCCAAATGGCCCATTTTCTTGCGTATGCATGGAAGTGTCACGCCAAAGATGATTCTTCCCATGCTGCTAGTCGGCTGCTGGGCAACCCTGATTAGCTGTGTTTCGTATTTCTGGCATGACCGTAAGTCAAGAACATATCAAATTGGAATCATCTTACATTTCTAACTGGATGCAGTCGGTATCAACGATATCCTACTTACAGTTCTGGGTTTCGTGGTTGGTTTGTCATTGTCTTTCCGAAGTTCAACAGCTTATGAGCGGTATGCATCTACCCGTCCTATACATTGAAGTTCCCGAGAAAAGACCGACGCCACAAACGCACAAATACTAAAGTTTCATAGTTGGGCTGATGGACGCAAATACTGGGCTCAACTCGTGCAAACGTCTCGCAATCTTTCTCGAACAATCTGGGTCAATACTAGCGAACGTGAAGGCGAACTTGGCAAGGTGGATCTATTACGCAAGGTGTACGTGGACCAAAGTTAATCCCATTTTCCGAACTACAAAGACGATCAAAATCTTCCTCGGAATCAAGCACGAATCGGGAAAATTGATCTTCATTGAAAAGCGGAGAAGATGGAAGATCCTTATTCGCCAATTTGTGTATACTAACGTCGGCGCAGTTCCGCTATGAACCTCCTGCTTGCCTTCGCTATCGCCCTCAAGCATAAGCTTCGCTTCGAACCTGATATCGCCTATGAGGATCTTGTCGGATTAGTTGGACACCTCGATACCTTTGCGCGGGATGCACACGATCACGATGTCTTGCATCCTAGGTCGAAGACCCTCTGGAAATCTGCGGGCGAGTACCTCGGTGTTTCATTTGCGGAGTCGAACCCACGCAAGTTGATTAAGCGCTCAAAGAAGCCGCTTGGACACTTGCCTCTGGAGATTCTGAATCATCTGTCGGCGTATGTCGATTCTTGTGTGGACAATGGCACCCTGAAGTCTGGTTTGCACCAGGGTCAAGCTAGTAAGTTTATCCAGCTTGTGGATGATACACCATGAGAATTGTTTAAACTTGAGGAAGATGTACTGACAGCACATATAGTTACCGCAATTGTATCGCTGAATGAGGTTGTAACGGGTACAGAGCGTGTGCTGGACACTCCTCTGCCATCTGCGTATACAATTGCCATTTCGCAGATTTCCTGGATCTACGTCCTTGTTCTTCCATTCCAGCTCTACGGATTCCTTAAGTGGATCACCATCCCCGCATCTGTTGGTAAGTTCAGACTTTATTCCAATCTCATCCATAAACATGGTGCTAACCTTACTTCAGTGGCTGCATACATTATCATCGGTCTCGCAACAATTGGCAGTGAAATCGAGAACCCCTTCGGTCAAGACGTCAACGACTTGCCCCTGGACACATACTGTCGCCAGATCGCTCTGGAACTGGATCTCGTCACGGCCACACCCCCACCCAAGGTTGACGACTTTATGACTCGCGACGATAACCTGGTCATGTTCCCACTAAGCCAGAGCGGATACAATGAGTGGAAGGATCGAAGTGCGGATGATATTCGGGCAGCGCTTAAGGCGAAGATGGTTGCTACGCCGAGTGTTAATCCCGCGCTTTCGGATACTTCTACCGTTGCAGCACCCTCTGTCACTACTAAACAATCCGTTTAGATGATTTTCTCTACAAGAGATACATTGGGGAGGGTGGTATTTTGAGATTGAGAGGAATATTATTCAATATTTCTTGGAGGTGGACCTGGGAGAGAGGTCCAGTGCATTTTATTCAGCGATCAGATTGACTCTGATGTGGGACAGCATGAGGGTTACGGCGTTTTAAAATGGAGGAATCTCCAACAAAATGAAATTCTTGAGACTGTTTGTTATTCGTGAGACTGATTTCTTTCTAATTGAGTACAATCAGTATTCCCAAAGAGGCACTGTACCATGCCATGTAGAGTTTTTCATAATAGACGGGCTTGTCATGGCTGTACTCCGTAGTCGTCTGTGATATGACGGATCATCCATTAGCATGGTCAAAGTGTGACCATCATGGTATCGTGATGATCCACATGTTGAATGGACCCAGTGTCTACAGGTGACCATATGTATTCGGGCCCAGCGCAAGAGCTGGGCTGGCTCAAAGGAGGTAATGACCGCCATATCAAGGGGCTGGACCCTGATCCAAACCCAAAGCGGAGACCCAAAGCGAGCTCCAAATTATCAGCGAAGGAAGAATAAAACCGCAGACCAGATCTAGACTAAGGAACGAAAAGCTCTCGTCCAGACCCAGCAACCAAAGCACCTAAGAAATTCCCCTTTGCACAGACCCTCCATGCAATATTCGCACCATTTCCACCACTGCCAACCCAAGAGCTCAAAGCAGCCACAACAGCAGCTGCATCATCGCGTGGAATGCGCACCCAAACACAATTGTAGTTCTTTGTCATTGTAGAGGAAAGATTTTGCGGGCTTGTAGTAGTACCTGAGGGCGCAGGCTCGACTTTCAGAATATCGACAGGGATAGCAGTACCCGTGAGACCGAGGAATTGTGAAAGCGCAGCGGAGAGATATGTGCGGGCGGAAAGGGCATCAAGGGTTTGAATAGACGGGGTATCAGAGTGAGAAATACTAGGAAGGAATTTGTTGTTAGATTGAGAGCTCATCGAAGTTGCATTCGTGGTACTGTTTACAGTTGAAGCTTCAGGTAGGTCCATGGTGGATTGCGAGAAGTAAAATGAATAGTGGTTGACTTTTCCTCGGGCGCCTTGCGCTTTGAGGTCTTTGATGCCATTTTCGTATCGGATGCCGTGTTATCTGGTGCTGTATCCGTCTTTTGAGTTGATTCAGACATGGTGGTGACTGATTGAATGCTTGGTTTCTTTGGTTGAAGTTGGAGAAAAACGGGATTTTACGTCACGGGATTCCACAGCTCTGAATAACAGCCAAATAGGCCATGATCAAGCAATTCCTCAGTGCAGCTCATTTCGATCCATTTTTCTGGCTCGCCTGAATCAAAGATTGTATTGATCGCTGGGTGAAAGCTTCTTTATCATTTCCGACATTCAGATTGCTAATGCATAGTATTTTGTCGCGTCCCTTCATCCCGCGTATGACTTCAACATTAGATTTTGGGACCTTGAAGACCTGATCAAAGAATCAGTCGCAAATCATTGCAAATAGGGATAAAGATTCCTTCTTTTCCACATGAAGCAAATAGAAAAGATGATCAACTCACCCCTGAAATGACCTGCGATACAGCCAGATTAGCTGCTCCATCGCGGGGAGCCGCAGTTACTGACACATCAACTTTATCTGTCCCCACAGCTGTCACCCGATTCATAGAGGCATTTGGTTTCACATAACAGGAGACGTAGAGATTGTAAATCCCCCTCGTGGGGATTCCAGAGCGACACTCGGTCAAACGCAGAAAGGCTGATGTACTTGTCATGGTATGTTGAGGGAGGGAAGTGATGGTACTCTAATGGACGGACCAATGGCTGGCTTTACGATATTTTCTATTTGAGAGGAATAATGAAGATGTCTTCATTTCTGTTAACTTCTAGCTAAGGAACCCAATTAGTAAAAATGTTCGAAAAAACTCAGAAGAGGTCCTTGTCATAAAACAACCCGTCATCGAGAAAGTGGGAAGCCAGAAATCAAATCGAGATGAATCAATGTACTAAATAGAGGAAGTCGAGGGTCAATTGTAAAATAAAGATGAAGTTCATAGAAAAAAGTCAGTTCCACCGTGAATAGAATATTGAGCAAAGCCTCCATGCCAAAAATCTCCAGTGGAAGATTCAAACCATCTGGGTCTTAGACTTAGTCTCAACAGTCTCGACCTGGCTCGACTCGGTCTTTGTAGGGTCATTTGAGACAGCTTGAACATCAGTCTTGATACTGATATCATGAATCTCAGCACGGTCATGATAAAGAAGAGGACAGAGAATCTGCTTGCGTCTGAAGATGTAGCGCTTGATCCACCAAGGAAACACAACAGTCAGCTGGTACTTCATGTGAGTGCGAGTAGGAACTCCAAACACATAGTCCAGTTCCTCTAGGGAGCGCTTTGAAGTCTCAGGTACAAACAGAAAACTCAGTACCAGAGCGACAATATTGAGACCAGCATATAATCCGAAAGCACCTTGTGGAGTGAGAGCATGCAGCATCCAAGGAAAACTAATCGACAGTACTGCTCCCCAAGACTGTTAACTGCAACTGCCCATGCCATTCCAATCTCACAATGCGACAATGGGGAAGCCTCAGCGGAGTATGTGAAGGGAACTGGGCCTTCTCCAGGGGAATAGACCATATCAAAGAGATAAATGAACAGCGCAATGCAACCTAGATGGGCTTTGCTGGTCATAGGGATCCAGAAGGAGAAACAAGCTGCAAGCAAGGTCCAGAACATATTTAGAAGAGTGAAAAGGAGAAGAGTGCGTCGTCCAAAAGTATCAATGGTCCATACCGCTGGCCAGGCAAATATGAAATCGATTGCGCCGAACCCAAATGATGCGAGTAGTGCCTCGATGTTACTTGCATCGGCAATCTATTTATTCAGTCAGTAATCTGCTTTTTTTGTATATTGGAAGTGCCTTGTTTAATGACTTGGAGGATATCAAAACAAACATACTGAGAAAACAGTAGCGGAGTAGAATGCAATGATATTGACTGTGTAACAGGTAAGTAAGGGTCCGTTAGTAAGAAAGAAAACCCCGATTGAAGGATCAGCAAAGGAACTTACTTCCGCACATCTGCTGCCCTAGCATCACAATACTGGATGCCAGAGTCGCACGACGTAGCTGAGGGACTGTGAAAATTTCTTTCAAACGGACCAGTGCATTTTCAGTTTTCGCATAACCAGATTCATCCAGCATCGCCTTTTCCAAGGAAAGCTGACAATTGACCATGTAGAGGTCTCGTGCAGCCTGCAAGGGGCTGCTGCGAAGGCAAAGCAGAGATTTGTAGGCCTCACGGTGTCGTCCTTTTGTCAACGAGGCGACTCGGGGCAGAACCAAATCCCCAAAGCCAGAGGAACTGCAGGAATAAAGGCGGATCCAAGCTGCAAACACCATGCAACATTGCCTGTGTTTACAACTGCCAAGTTTGCACAAGTACCCAGAAAGATGCCAAATGCAGTCCAGATTTGCCAGCTCATGACTAGAGCTCCACGGATGTTGGTGGGGGCATTCTCAGCAGAGTAAATGGGGACAGTGACATCCTTCAGGCCCATTCCAATACCCAAAAGCATTCAAGTTGCCACCAGCTGACCCCAATGCTGAGTAAAGGCCGAACCAATAGGTGCAATAAGACTGAAGATGGCACCGAGAAAGATTGTGCCCTTCCGACCAAGGTAATGGTTGATAGGGTCGACGAGCCAACTAGCATTGTTCAAAACAAATGAGCAAAAGCCTAATCTAATTTTGGAAGGAATTTGAACTTACAGAAAAATGATAGTGGCTGCAGGCCCCGCATTGATGAACCCAAGAATCCACTGGTTACGGTTGCAGGTAGCCTTGTCAGGGCAGAGAGGAGGGTTGTTCGGAATACCAAACGCAACATCAAAGGTAAGATTGGCACCATTAGATCCTATGTCAATAAATATCAGACTAAAGAAGTAAGTAAGGTGAAACCTTTGACTGACCTGTCTGATCCCAGCCCTGGATGGCGGCAGCGATGGAATTCAGAATGATACAGTAATAAAGAGGCCATGGATGAGCCCAGCGACGAGTACGCTCAATGAACAGGACCTCCCGGTCGGCAGAATCTAGCTCGCTGAGGCTTTCAGCTGCAGCCGGATTCTGTCCGACCAAAGCGCCCTTCTGCAGCTCAGGTAGGATATCCAACAGATCCCATTGCTGAGCATAGGCCTGGACATCCGCCATAAGCTGGTCACGGGCGATTCCCTCAAGAGGATTTCTTATCCTGCATAATATAAGAAATATTGAAACTAAAGAAAGACATAGACGGAGTTGATACTTACTCGCCCGTGACATTGTGGCTCATGCTAAAACGTGTGTTAATTAGGTGCATAATGGCAGGTGGGGAATCTCAAGTACTTACCCCTTGAAGTGGGAGCTGTCAGCCATCGCGCCAGCTTTGAATTGATGTTGTTGAAGTTATTGATTGAAATAAGGATTCCAAGAGCAAGGAAAGATTGGAAATGCGAATTGAGACACACAAGCTGTCTGGTGAAGGGGAGACCGCAGTGTGTGGGAAGGAAGGAGGAGGAGAAGAGAAAGAAGAAACTTACATGGAAGTGAGGCTTAAATAGAAGTATCCAGGTAACGTTCCAGGAGTGAGAGCTACCTTATTAGGCACTCATCCAAGGATCCAGGGGCTTATAGTCTATAGATCCGTGGCTTTGTAAATTTCTGGGATAGAAATTGCTTACTCTTTTGATCGCATTGTGTATAACCTGCTGTGGATGAAAGCAGAGCTACCAAGAATAAGATTTTACACAGATGATGACATTTACATGGTTGGGAGAGAAAGGTTGACTCATGGTATGGAGAGAAAATCAAGACTACTTGGGTCCGAACAAGAGAAACTTCAAGATTGAGACATGTGCTTCTGAAAATCTATAGTTAAGAATATGAATTTCCACCACATCACAGTCCTGAAGATAAGGAGCCTCTCAGCCTTTAGTACAATGAAGCTTAGCTATTGTACATGTATGCATAAGAAGGTCTGTGCTGATTTCTATACAGTCCTGCATGCCCTACGCCCCACTGTGGATCACTGGCAGGAACGTAGACTTGGCATATGGCTTAATTTAGTTAACAGCTTTACTGCATTTTTCTCATTTCTTTGTTTCCAAAGAAGAAATTTGAGAAATGTTCAAGTTCTATTTGCCCAGGTGAACTATTATTGAGATAGATATCATCCCAGTATTTTGGTGTCAGCATGGAAGACCACCTGGCAGCACATGTAGTAACCAGGGTCACAGTTGTTTAAGCAGTCATTGATAAAAGCTAAGTTATAAGCCATAGTTACGAACAAAAGGTTCCTTGTATTTTGTAGCATGAATATTGAAGCTTCGCGGTGAACGAATTCCGCCAAAGCTCCTGATATTTTTTGGTGTTTTAATAGCCTCGTTCCCGCATCCCCATGCCGAGTTTGCGGGGGACCACGCGACCCCGAAATCGTGGGGAATGCTGAAAACTTTCGTTATCAAAGTGTCATAATGACCAAATAAGGATAATTCAACTTGGAAGCTTTGCATTGAGACTATGTTTCTCACAAGACAAGCCAGCCAAATTTGGCACGTATCCATAGATGATAACCACCCAAAAGTATTTATAGCATCCTGTTAGAACATGGGACTACTAGTGGCCCCATTCTCCTTGTCTATCACCTGGGTCTCCACCTTCTTCAAACCTCCCTCCACAAAGCACCTTCCACTGACAATTCCTCTTATAAATCAACATTTTCAGTCTCAATTGAACGCCCATCTTCAGCCTCTCCCTTGTAGACCACACCTATATCGTGACCGGCTGCCTTCATCTTTATAACCTGTTCAACCTTTTGATCCAGAGCGCTGTGGACCTGGTTTTGTCTTCTATGGTGCAGTAGCTCCCGGCTCGAACAGCTTTTCAATCCCCTCAATAGTTTTTCCAGCCGTTTCAGGGTAGGTGAAGAATGCTTGAACTGACGAAGCAAAACTCAAGATACCAAAAATGATGAAGAGTTTGTAAGTAATATTTGCAAAGCCAGCCGGAATCATAAACCCGATGCCAAAGTTGGAGAGCCAATTGCTCACAGAAGCTGATGGGAGAAAAAGAAAGATCATTATAAATATTTGGAATGAAAATGAAATGGCGACTGACCCAATGCCATGCCAGTGGCCCGAGTCTCAAGAGACCAAACCTCGGCAACGTAGACCCAGGCAATAGGGGCCAGGGTAAGAGAGTATGCAAGAACCAAGACATAGCTGAAGACAATGACCACATAAGATGGTGCACCAGTCACCTTAATCCGTACGCTAAGGTCGCCATCGAGACCATCTGGCAGATAGGTGCCATAGGTGGCGAGGATTCCTCCAACAATAAACATACATGTACTCATAGCCATGGTCCCATATATGAGAAGTGGTCGACGGCCTGTGTTGTCGATGAAGAAGAAAGTCATGGCTGTGCCTATGATGAACACCGCATACTCAACACCGGATGAGGTCAAGTCCACATTTCCCGACAGACCTGCCATCTCAAAAACATACAGAATGTAGTAAGTCATCACGTTAGCACCGCTTAATTGTTGCCAAGCCTGCATAGAAGTGCCCGCAAAAGTCCGTTTCCACATTCCGTTCGTGAAAAATAGACGCCAGCCCTTGATAGGTGATTCGCGCTCTGCAGCCAGAATCGTTGTGATCTCCTCCCACTCCGCGATGACCAGAGGGTCCTCTCTGTCTCCCTTGGCCTGGATATTGGCGAGGACACTGATGACTTCCTCTTTTCGGCCAACCTTTGCAAGCCAGCGAGGCGAGCGTGGAAGAAATGGTAACCCGATCATGAGCATGATGCAGGGAATGTACTGCATCGCCCAAGCGCCACGAAAGGCGCCTGTAGGCTTACCATGGTAGAATGACCAGCCATAAGATATGAAGTACATGACGAAAATTCCCCACTCTATTGCCCATTGCTGAATGCACAAGATGATACCACGGTATTCCTTCTTTGTGATCTCAGCCAGATAAACGGGGACCTAAGAGCTGGTAATGCCGACGCAAAAGCCATTCAGCAGACGATCCACAATCAGCATTGCCTCTCCATTACAGGCAACCTGTATGGTAGTACCGATGAGCCACCAAATACAAGCAAATAATATAGAGTCGCGTCTTCCCAAGCGGTTGGAAATGGGTCCGACAACAAGCGCGCCGATGACAGAGCCGCCGGCCATCGAGGCTGTGATACCATCTTGACGAATGGTATCGGGATTATCAAAGTATGTTGTGTACTGAGTGGTGCCGATAACAAGCGACATGGAGGAGATATCGAATCCAAACCTAGAGGCATTTGTTTCAGCATATTGGTCGAGTTCGAGTTGGCTAGAGAGATTGTAAATAGATTAACCTACAACATACCACCGATCAGCAAGGAAGTAAACATTATAGATCTTGGGCAGCACCATGATAGTGAGTGGTAGTCTGAGCTAACCGAGAAAAGTAGAATCAACCTCGAGAAACAAGGCCGTAAAGACCTCTTGAGTGACAGGTGCAAATGAAACTAAAATGGAAGAAGCAGGCCTGGAGCAGAAAGCTCAATATTCATATTATTTATGCAAAGGAAAAGGCATATATCCTGGCACATGTGGGTGCCATTGTATCAGCTAATATCAGATGGTAAATATGCCCATATATCCGAATGCCCATAGTTGCATCTATGGAATTACTTGTTTACGTTGAAGCTTTGCGTTCTGACAATAACCGAGATCCTTGAAATGTCTCTCCATGAGACCTGCACGGCTACGCAAGCCTCCCGCTTACGCGGCTTGACCTAGGAGAAATTCCATTTATCCGATTCGTTCTTGTACAAGCGAAGCATCGTGGCGTAGTACTAGCGCCGAAACCTTTGCGGGGTGGAGGAGGTCATGGCTCTTCGGCATTAATATCCATATGGATGTAGATATGATGCTGGTGGCTTGGTCCGTGAATTGAAATAAGACATCAAATACTACAGGTAACCCTAAAATGTCTAAAATTCCAATTAGTCTCTTATCCATCATGATGAGCTTCCAATATTGCCAGTGACTTACATCCCGAGCCCGCCGTCCACATCTCTATGGTGAGTGATACAGTCAAAATCCGAAAAGAGCAATGAAAACTTTGGAATACTCGGTGACTACCAGTTGACCTAGTTATCCACATGCTTGTAGTTCCTCAGGCTATGTCGATTCAAATTTATCACCCTGACCCGACATGTAGAACTTGAGGAAACTTGATGTTTGATGATGAAATAATACATACATTCAAATGGTAGATAACCATACTAACTATATGAGAATATTGATCTAAGAATACATACTAGTTATCCATATCAAAATCCTCAAGCGAAGTCTCTGCCTCCTTTCCCTTCCGGCTCAGCTCTTCTTTTAAGGCCCGCTCTAGGCGGGCCGTCGCCTTCTTAGAGGCATCTAGTGCGCTTCCCAGGGCGTCTGCCTCGACACCCAAACCAGTTTCAATCACTAGTTGGATATTATAGGCTAGTTACATTGCCCAATCATACTTGCTCTGCATCATGGAAGGTAGATAACTAGTGTCCGACCAGCCGGGTAATATGTAGTTCGCTGTGCGCCACAGGGTAGAAAGCAGGGAGGGTATAACTTACTTAAGTCCTCCGAGTCAACTAATAGCCCTCGTGAACTGGGCTCAGCAAGCCATCTGGAGGTCTTGGCATTTTTGCTGGCTTTCTTGTCGGCTTTCTTGCCGGGTTTTTGGTTGACCTTGGTGTTCTTTAGGGCCTTCTCGGTGGCTATCTTGGTGGTATTCTCAGCCTCGTTTTCTTGACTCTTAGTAACAGTCTCGACATTTTTGCCGGTGGTCTCTTCTCCATTGCCAATAATCTGGTTGGCATTGGCTCCTTTTTGAAGCTCTTCAAGCTTCTCGGCTTTGCGCTTTTCTTTGCGTTTCTCGTTTTTTTACGGCATGTTTGCCGACCTTCTCGACACGGTTTGAAGGATTTTGCGCAGTTTGTGGGGCTCGCCCCTGGCCACCCTATATATTTTAGATTTATGAGTAATTAGGGTATTCTTTGGGAATTAATCATACATTGAGATAGAATTGCCCAATATGGTGGGTGGCAGCTGCAGCGTCCCAGCATTCAGCGGTAGTGTGGGACCCATATGGGTGGATCGAGCATGCCTAGGGACGGGACACGGGAGTTGGGAATCAGGACTTAAGTGGGGCTCAGTGCCAGTGGGACTTACCACAAAGCCAGGAGGACGAGTTTTAGCCATTGTGATCAAAATTCGGGAATTTTTGATGAGATTTTGATGAGTTCAAAAGATCCTTGATTAATTGTGGGAATTGTGGGGACTGTGAAGAAGAACTTGAAGAATTTTTGACTGCATATGGGTAGTCTAATACATCTTCACATAAGTAGAGGTGACCAACGAAGTCCTTGGGATCGTTAGCATCAGGTGAATAGAAAATCATCATCATGCTGGTGGGCGCTGGTGGTAAATATATCAGTTGCTTTGAAGGGTGAAGGAAACATCATCGGCGTTTTGCGACGGGTCTATTAGTTGGCGCTTAGGATCAGGTTCAGCTTGAGAAGGCCGTGTTGCTTGACGATTGGGTACAGGCTCTTATCTGGAACTGGGAAAGATTCATCATTCTGCTAGTAGACGCTTGTGGCAAAGAGGTTGATTGCCTTGAAGGATGAAGGCAATATCACCTGGGTATGCTTCCCAAAGCGTCACGATATCATACTGGCAGCGAGACATCGCAGGCTAATGGCAATACCATAGGATCAGCTCTGCTATTTTCAGGAGTTTATGAATAATCGAACTTATGTCATATAGCTCACCTCACTTTCTTGGAATTAGGATCTATAAAATATATAGGAATCATATGATCTATTGTGATATTAGATATGAAACAAAGTTAAGGTAAAAGTAAAAGTAAAAACAAAGTAAAAGTGAATTAGTAACATTAAGAGTAAGTCAAATTAACATTTTAAGTAAGAGTAAAAGTCTATGTAGTTTTCCATGTTCCAAGGTTCATATATCTTATATCATATAAAAGAAACAATAAAGTTTGTGTACTAGTACTATAAGAGTCTTAGATATAGCCCTATATAGACTAGTCATAGTACTAATAGTAACTTCCACTAAGTAGTCAACTAGATAAAGAAGAGCTAAATACGGCGTGAAAAGTGTAAATTAGAATAAGAAACGTAAAGAGAAATATAAATTGAAGGACAAAGGAGAAGGCTATAGCCTTCACTTGATTATAGATTCAGCTCTATAGAGAAAGTCACAGAGGGTTGGAACTAATCGAACACCTCATGAACTCTCAAACCATCTGCTTCTCGAGTGGCTTATGATAGGAAAAAGGCTCAGTGCGCAATTTACATGAAGGCCATGGAGAAAAGAGAAAGAAGCAAAACAGCTGTATTTTGTACAGAATCGTCGAAATTTCCAGGTCCAAGTTGACAAATGAGATACAGCTCTGAGAGGTTCCAATAATATCCAGATACCAGGGTTCACGAGCCCGAACTTGAATCATGTAGACCTTTTAAAACAGAGGAAATGAAAGGAGCCCTGGAGGTACCCATCAATGGGTGTATCATGATTAGCTCCAGGTCAAAGAAACGAGTCTGTGATGCACCATAATAGTAAATTCATGTATATGAATCGAGGTCAACGGATGTTGATTCTGGGATATTTGGAATCTTGAAGTCAAAACCGCTGAATCGAAGCAGAGTATGAATTTTAGATCTTTTTATATTGGAACGAGAGGGAGAGAAATCTAATACTAGTTTATACTATTTAATGTGGTTCTTGCTTTATCTGATTTGAATGGCTGCTAGTAGAGGAGGACACTATCCAGACTAGAGAAGCCAGCAGCAACTCCACCCTCGTTGACCTCCTTTCCTTTAGTTCGAAGCAGCCAACCACCTTGATCGTTGTGGATTATCTTCCCTGTGTTCTCCCACAAAACAGTGCCGTAAACGCCCAACTCAGAGATGACGTTTCCACGAAGAACTTCACCATCATTTCTCAAAGCGACGTTCTGAGCATTATCCGCCGGGTTGATCAATTCCATCAGCACCCAGCCTTTCCAATCCGACTCGGGAATAGACCGCAAAAATTCAGGGATCTCTGCTTTGTAGATGTTGTTACCGCCGCCCTCTCGCTGTGGCTTCAAGACATGCTTCACGGCCGTTTCGGGATTGAGAGCCAGATCTCGACCTTGGCCACCTGCCGAAAGGTCATACTGCGGTGCAAATGTTTCGCGCAATCTGGCGATAATGGCAGGGTCGACGCCATTGAGAAAGCTCGTCAGGTGATCGGGCCCTGTTGGCTCGGCTAAGACCTGCTGAATCTTTTTGCAACCGACCAATTGATTCAGCACGGTGGGACATTTGACAGCGGCAGAACGTTCCAAATGTCTTCGGGCCTCCCAATCACGGCTCGATGTGTATTCATCGGGAGAATAGTACGCTCGAAGATAGACAGTTGTGACCTCAAAGGCAGATCCCGGAGAGTGAGGAGGGTGATAGATTAAGGGCCGAGCAGGGTTGGTTGTGGGGATAGATGTTTGGTCTAATATTTGGTTGCTTTTCACACGAAAAACGGGAATTTTATGGAAACCCGTCAGGCGTTTTGAGAGGGCCAATTGATCGAAAACGTTCCTCTCCCCATCTTGAACGATGAAGAGCACACACAAAGGTAAATTCGGCAGCGACTTGGAAGAGCCGTAGGCCTTGTGTGCTTCAGCAAGGCCCCCGGACAATGTCTCGACAGTAGTGTTATCGGGAGGTGTCCCAGATTTGAGGAGAGGATGAGGTGGATAGCTCAGTGGGGTAGCTAGAAGTTCGGCATGCAAGGATCTAACGAGTGCTGAAAGCCCACCAAAGGATGATGAGATTGTATTAAACTCCACCTGCTTCAATGATGGAGCCCTGTTTGGAGAAACATGCGCCATGTAGTCAGACCTGTACAAACCCAATGATAGGTTTTGGACATAGCCCTCCTGCTTAACAGTCAAATGCGTCTTCCATAGATTTGCGACAAAATCATCCACATCAATCAGGCTGAATTAGAGAAGTTGTTAGTCCTAGACCTTCAAAATCTGTGTTCCCAAGCTCCTACTCTTTAATGATGCTTCCAAGCCATTCCTCGTTGCACGTAATAGCCGCATAGAGTTGATTGTAGACAGTCTGTAGAGCTTGAGCTTCCTCAAAGCAGGCTCTTGGAAATGGACTTGGAAATAGCGTAACCGGGGCATTAGTGGCTAGTACTCGATTTGGGTCTGCATTTGCGGGTAGAATGGTTGGCGAGGGCCGAACAGCAAGGCCATTTTGAATTGCCCAGTCTTTGGTAGCTGTAACCAAGTACTCCTGTTGCTCTGGAGACAGCTGAGGGGGATAATCGTTGAAAACCGACTCATCCATGTTGTCTGATACAATTAAGCCAAGTTGGAGGTAGTGATGCAGCAGATCATCCAGAAGTTCTCTCTCCCCGCAACTGTAATTTGATGATTTATCAGCAGCGGGGCAACTATTTAGTTCACCGCCCCAACTACCGCCTCAACCACCGCTTTAGCCACCGCCTGTTATATGTTATATTACCGGCAGAACACGTCTGCTGCCTCATTGGGAAACATTATTTTCTTAAAATCACTGTTGTTGCTCTCCATCTTTCCACCTCTTCCTCCCACGCGTTTCCTTTGCTTTTTTTCACCACCCAAAGCGTGTTTGCAAATACACAGACCTGATTCCTCAAAGTTCTTCTTCTTTCAACTCAAAAGCCCATATCAACAAGAGCGATTACACTCAAGTGTGTTGAGCTGGGGGCCAGAGACTGGTAAGTGTGAACTTGTGAACCCCGCTGCTCGCGTCTTCAATTTTTGATCTTGACAAATTATCCAATATTTTCAGGCCCCCCCCTAAGAAAATGGCGCTTAATACCTCCGACCCAGTGGACTGGACAGTTGATGAGGTTGTGAGCTTTCTTTGTGGCCCTGAACCTCCAACATGGGCCGACTCAGCACACCCCCCACGGCCTCTTCCAAATTTGTTAGAGGCGGCACTTCGCGAGAACGAGATGTGCGGTGAAGTGCTTATGCACGTGAACAACGATGGTCTAAAAGATCTGGGCATCAAAGCGTATGGCCACCGCATCAGTTTGATGAAAGCTGTTGAATGGCTCAGACGTAAATCCCCTAAGTACCTCATGTCCCAAAAGAAAATCAATGAGGACAATCTCAAAATCTCAAGCGACCAATTTTCCACTCCAATTCCCGGATCCATGCGTCAAGATGATATGTCTACGGAAAGAAACCTTACTCCTGCAGCATTGCCCCAGATTTCCGTTGATGATCTTACCATTGGAAAAACAAAATTACCCCAACGCAGAATCCAACCCATCCTTTTGCAAACAGATGATTCTCCTGCTGAGTCACTCGACATTCTTGATGATGTGAACATTCTATCTGCTCATGATCTTCAGTCACGATCACGAAAAGATGAAGAGTTCTTCACCTATCTCACTGAAAAGTATGGAGCAAAAAGCGATGAAGATGATGGGAGTTCTAGCAGTGCTCTTCCCGAGTATGGACAATCAGGCTCGGAAGGCGAATATGATGAGCACACCTGGAAAGAAATACTGAAGGAGAACCCGAGTCTCGACGAATCCAGCCGTAAGGTCCTCTCTCAAAATGAATGCAATCTCATTATGCAACAATACATTTCCCAGAAAGAAGATTCATGGAAGGAGGAAGATCTCCCGGATGAATTGCCAATAGGACCATCCCTGTGGCTGTACTTCCGGCAGACAAACGACCTCGAGAAAGAAAAAAATAAGCTCCGTGGTAGCATTGACCAGCTGGATGACCGTCTCAAAAAACTACAGGACGTACTTCGGGGGAATGAATACGGATCAATCAGATTATTGGTCAAAGCATGCAGAATTCTCGACGTGACGATCTCCCACCGATGCCGTGATCAATGGAGACTGGATACACTTACCGCTGATATTTGCCCACATCAAATCGAACGTCCACCCCGAAATGCTTACTCAAAGATCGATCGAGATGTCGAGCAGTCAGAGGAAGAAACTTTATGCTCTGAATCGGATTCTGTCTCGGATAATTTAGACTCGGATATCTCTGATGAAAGTGTCATTGAGCAGGTGGATCTTGAATCTGATCTAGACTACATTTCAATTTCATCCGGCGGAGAGGATACTCAACCTCCACAAAATGAACCAACAACAGTGCTTGAACCGGGACAAGTATCTAACCAAGAAACAATCCCAGAACCAGAAGCAATCCCGGAACCAGGAGAAGTGTCTGAAAAGCCACTCAGTTTGGAGAAGATCCCATCTTCAGCTCTAGATGCTCCTGTTGATGTTGTTGAAGAGCAATACCCCAATAAGCGACCGCGGGTTGATGCGGTAGAACAAGCTATCAGCCCTGTAGCTGGAAAGGCCGTTCTCTCTGGTCCATTCGTCCAAGACGAGGACAAAGATGAGGACGCCGATATGCCCGATTGGGACTGCAATTCATTGATGCCGGGCTCCCTTATTGCCTCAGAGAGTGCTGGAGATCAAATGGACATCTCGATCAAAACTCCTCCCCTTAACCCTACCAGAGTCAGAGCTTTACCTCCGAATGCGCCTCCCTTGAATAGTCCAATCAAGGAGCTGCGGCCCACCTCACGAAAAACTGTTCCCAAATCGCCTTCCCCATCAAGTCACACGAAACAAGCCCAGTCGCGCATTGGAATTGATGATCCTGATATTTTTGACAATATTCGCTTTAAACACATTCTAAAAATCCAGGATGAGCAAGACGCTGATCGACTGTTGGCAAAATTGGTCACGCAGTTGCGACCCCCGGAACGCGCGGAATTTCCACCCTTCCTGAAGGCTTTCTTCCATGAAGTCTATATCGAAAAGGTACAGGAAGCCATTAGAGCAATGCTCAAGGACAAGCGTGGCTTAGAGGGCGACGATCCAAATGAAAGCAAACTCTCCATGCGCCTGGCTGCGTTGTTTGTATCTTGGCACCATTGTGCTATCGTTAGCCCAGGAGGTTTGACGAAGGAAGAACTTCGAAGCGCGCTCGTTGCGATGAACCAGGATAGTGACTCGAGATTTGATGAGTTTCTCAAAAAGTTCAGAAAACTGATTGATGCTTACAACAATTGGACCCCGCAATCTTCGCATCCTCAGCCTCAATATTCCCCGGAGCCTTCCCGACGTCGCTCTACAATTGATATTCCAGATGAGGGTATTGTGGATCTTGACCTAGATTCACCCCCTCATGCAGAGCGTGGCCAGAAAAGAAAACAGCATCCTGACGTCTCGGAGCGTATGTCAACTTTTCGTGTTCGTCTCCCAGCCTCACGAGGCTCCAACAGTTTGCAGAGAAATGCCCATGAACGGCAAGAAAGACAGATCAAAGCTAGAGCGATGTTTAGTGCAGACAGGATCAGGCGGGGCTTGAACAATGACGATCCAGAAGGACAGGTGGTATCCTTCAAAGACCCTCCTATCTATCTCAACTCTTCTGTTGGTCGTTTTGTGAAACCCAATCAATTACTCGGAATTCAATTCATGTGGCGAGAGATTTGCGAATCTGAAAAGATGGAGGGATGTATGCTTGCCCACATTATGGGATTGGGCAAGACGATGCAAGTGTAAGGACTCTTTCCCCTTTTCAAATGCGCAGTGGTGACTTTGTTTATACTGATGATGCTCATAGGATATCTCTTTTGCTTACAATCGCTGAAGCCTCTGCTTCGTCAGATCCCAAGATCCGGGATCAGGTGCCTAAAAAACTACAGGGTTCTCGTACTATCGTCCTAGCCCCAGCTGGTCTCATTCAGAATTGGTTAGAAGAGTTTGATTTCTGGCTGCCAAGAACCGATCCCCTTGGGAGAATTTTTGATCTATCTGCCAGTTCCGTTCCTCACCTTGGCGAGCGACTTACTATGATTGAAGAATGGGGGCAAGGTGGAGGTGTCCTCATCATGGGCTATGAGATTTTCCTTCGGTTTATCAATAATACGATAGTGACCGCTGGAAGTGGCGATCCCCCCCTATCTCAGGAGGAACACAAGCGGATTCAAGATATTCTCTTACAAAAGCCTCAAATTGTGGTTGCAGATGAAGCGCACAGACTCAAAGGTAGCCATACAGGAGTCACAAAAGCGGTTGCTCGTTTCGAAACCAAGAGTCGTATCTCGATGACAGGATCGCCCCTTGCCAACAACTTGGTTGAATACTTCCAAATGATCGATTGGATTTCCCCAGGCTACCTGGAAGACTACCCTAGTTTCAAAACTCGATTCATTGAACCAATCCAGGCGGGGTTGTACATCGACAGCAATCGTGCAGAACGGCGAGCAGGTCTCAAGGCCCTGAAGTTACTAAATGGTATCATTGAGCCCAAAGTCCATCGACTTGGTATTTCTGCCCTTGCCGCAGACCTTCCTCCCAAGAAGGAGTTTGTCCTCTTCATTAAACCGACACCTATCCAGACGGAAATGTACAATGTTTTCGTCAAGGAAGCGCCAAGTTCCAACGATTTTCACAAGTTTTGGCAATGGGTTTTCATCTTGCAGCAGTTGCTGAACCATCCCGCTCCATTTATTGACAGATTGATCCATCGATCAAAGGAGAAAGCAGAAGACACGGACTTAGCATCTTCAGTCGATGATGCCGGTGTGCCTCCAACCTTGCTTGGCAAAGAGAAGGCTTTATTTGCAAAGATCCAGGACCAACTAGACCCCAGTTTGTCGAATCGCATGCTTCTCTTACACAAGATTCTCCTTGAGGCAAAGCGGGTCAAGGATAAAGTTTTGATTTTTTTCTCACATCTTCCCAACGTTGGATTACATCGAGAGCTATTTCAAAAAGACCGGCACGAAGTACCAGCGCATTGATGGAAATGCCCCCATTGGATCTCGCCAAGGCATAGTAAAAGCTTTCAATTCTGGCAACGATGTAGAAGTCATGCTCATCTCTACCAAAGCCGGGGGTGTTGGCTTGAACATGTTTGGAGCGAACCGTGTTGTCATCTTTGACTTTATGTTCAATCCAGCACACGAAGATCAAGCCATCGGAAGAGCTTACCGCCTGGGACAGAGAAAGCCAGTCTTTGTTTATCGGTTTGTTACTACCGGAACTTTCGAGGAGCTTGTGCATGATCGCTCGGTCTACAAATCACAACTTTCGCTGCGGGTGGTAGACAAAAAAGATATCATTCGTGCCAGTACCAGAGCCACAACGAAATATCTCTTTGAGGTCAAAGCCAGTGAACCCCAGTCGCTCGCACATATCCAAGGCAATGACCCTGAAATTCTTGATCGAATCATAGAGAGTGACTTATCCAGCTGTTTTATCAAAATCAATCTTTCGACTCTCAAGGATGATGAAGATGATGTGTTGACTGCACAGGAAAAGCAAGAAGTCGACAAACAGTTGGCTTTGGAGCAGCTCAGGCGCACTGATATTGAAGCATACCGTATTGAGAGAGCGAGACAGGAGAGAGAGGAGGAGTGTGCTAGAGAAAGAATACGCTTGCGCCAGCAACAACTCGCACAGCAACAATTCGCACAGCAACAACTCGCACAGCAAAACTTCAACCAGAAATTTGGTCAACAGTACGGCTTCCAGCAACCGCATATTCTCCCCACTCATAACCAGCAAATGCTGATGCCACCACCTCCCACTCCTCAAGTCCCGATGTCGACGTCTCTCAACCCGCAATTGCTGACTACGCCGCCACCAACCGCTGCGGCAGTGCCCTACCAGCTCTCGCCGACCCAGCCTCAATTATCCCAGCGGTCAAGTCCAATCCAACGTCTTCAGTCCCCAATGTTCTACCAGCAGTCACCAATTCACGCAATGTCCCATCTACCGACACCAGCTCAGCCAATGCCCTACGTTAAATCATCACCCAATGAGCCAGTGCCTTATCAGCAACATCAAATCCCACACCGGATTACTCAGCAAATAACGCTACTACCTCCTCCCAACTCGGAGTCGCAATATCCCCCTGGATCATCTCGATCTTCCTCGCAGCCATCACCTCCAACTACGGAGTCCTGGCTTTATCATCAAGCCCCATCATCTCCAAATGTGGAGTCCTGGCTTCGTCGTCAAGCGCTCCCAAGCATGCATCAGCAACCACTTGTTGGGCGGCAATCCAGAAAAGATGAGCTGTTCGTTGAACGTGCAAGAGAGTTGATTTTCGTACAGCGCGAGCAAGGGGCGAGCTTCTTGGAACAGAACATGATAACCATGAACCGGCTACTATCTGCTAGCTCAGCTGGTTCGTCGTCGGTTGCTTGGTCTTCCTTCTCTTTGTAGATGGAAATCTCAACGAACCTTTTCCCATTTATTCAGCGCGATTTGATCAGGTTTTTTTTCGTCAGTGATTCAGTGATACCCCCTATTGCAGTTACTTTTCAGTTTGTTTTTCAGGTTACTTTTCCGTCAGGCTGTTTTTTTTTTCTACTACACATGGTTACAAAGAATGTCACCCCTAACTACTAGATCTTGCTGTTTTTGATGGATCTAGACCGCATTCTGTGTTTGTATCAAAAAGATGTACTACCAATCAATGAGTGGTTTTTTTTTACTTTTTTTTTTCTTCATAGTACTATGTAGCTTCGGATTCACGTTTATGGATGTAGATGACTTCTTAAGTGTCTTACAGTGACTTTGGATGTAGAACAGGATCCTTTAACCAATTGATACCACGCCTTGGGCCCACTGAGATAAAAGCTGTCGTCGTCGACAATCTCATGAATAAGGGCTCGTCGCTGAATCGACCCGTTCGCATTTTCAAAAGCAAGTTTCCCATAAATGAGGCTTAACTCTCACCGCGATCTTTCAGTTTTCTTAGCTTTCTTTGCTGTCTTCTCTTTCATCTTGGTTTTTTTTGATATCATGCTGTAAGGCCAATGCTTTGACTACTGGTCTATGTAGGGTTCCGTGGTTAGATCTGGGAGTAATTAGGGAATCTTTAGTCAACTGGTAGTTCTATAGATACTGACGACATTGATTAAGATGCCGCTTCCAATGTTTCCAATTTAGGCCTCTTTCTTGAATGCTTAGGTCTCTGTAATTTTACTTACTGCCTGAGATCATACCTAGGGAGAGCGGTCCACTACTAGGTAGACATCATCATAGTACGTTATCCCTAGAGCTGCTAGTTCGCCATATCAATCCAACTACAGAATAGTACTAGTATTATTCCCTTCTAGGTAGCCCTGTAGGTATTTATGTAGATACATAGAGCCCTGGAGGGGTAGATCAATACTAGTAGTCATGTATAGATACTACTGAGTGAGTACTTAAGTATATGAACACATGTGGCTACCTCAGAGGATATGAATATACCTGGGTAGGTATGGACCATATGGTGCTGACCTCTGAATATGCGTGAAATATCGCGTTCAAGAATCCATTGAAATTTAGGGTGATACGATCGTGAAGCTGGTACTAGTTACTCTTGACCTCTCCCATACCAGGAAAAGCATTGGAACATGCTTCATTGAATATCCCTTCATTTGTTACTGCTTTCCGGTGTAGCCAGGCCTCTGAGCTACATTTGACGGCGTGGCAGTAGCGGGAATGATGCTAGCCCAAGAGCAGATCAGTGAATTTCCAATGCAGGAACGAATTTGATACTGGACGGCACCCCAAGATAGTGACAAGAAATGGGCTGTGTCAAATTCTGAGGCTCAGTTCGACATTAATAGCTCTAGGCTCCACCTTAGACGTACTAGTATTACATTTTCTCCCGCATCCTTGTTTTTAATTCCGATGCATGCCTTCGAAATCGGATGCTGAGAGTGTCCTGATATTTCAGACAATAGAAACTTCCACCTTCTGTTCATTCTCGAAATCAATAGTCTTTCCCCTCTCAAAAACACCGATTCTCTCAAACATACCACCACCATGGCTTTTATCACTTTTCACGAGGAGCAATCCACTCACACCGTCATCAAGTCTCTTTGCCAGAGTAATTCCCACACACAAGACTAAGACAGGCTCACGAAGTCTCGTTTCATCACATGTTCCCTCAACATTACGGAAATATGTGCCGTCAAGCAGCTCGGGATCCTCAGCTATGTCCTCATCTGAGTGTGCTTTCACAACTTCATCTGTGTGTTTTTTCAACGCCTCTTCAAACGTTATGACTGAGTCACCCGTATCCAATACCATGGAAGCTGAAGAAGTAGACTCTGGAAGTATGAAGACATTGGATGTGAGTGGATTAAACCACGCGAGTCTAGTGGGTCCTTGCAGCCTGAGTTGAGCCGATGAGACTTCTCCAAACGGATTCAACTCGGGATGTGGCTTCCAAGATGTCGCACAATATCTCGCGAGGCTCTTCATCCTCCTCATCATAATAAAAATCAAAATTAATTTTTCCACCTTCGACACTTGCCCAGGACCAGGAAGGTGCGCGGTAGTTCTTGGGTCTATAAAAGTTAAAAGTTTCATCCTCAGCCAAGGTTCGATGAGAACGCGAGGTCGACCATGTAAGCTGTCTCGCAAGCTCATATTGCCACATGCCAGCGTAATATCCAGGTCCAGGTGCGCGAGAGAAGGAAGGTCGAGATGCAACACCCGCTAGTGCATTCGATTTATCATTTTCGAGACTCGTAGTTCCAAAGGAGTATGCCGAGACAAGCCGAAGCCAACAGCTTAGAGCTTTGTCTTTGTTTGCGCAGGCTTCATCCTCACTAAGTGGAAGTGAGAAGAGGTTCAGACTGTACTTTTCATCAAATTCATTATGGCCACAGCCGAGGTAATGTGGAAAAAAGAGTGAGTTGTCAAAGTTTTTGGACCCTTCATTGCATCTCCATATCATGGTGTTTGTGGTAAATGTGAGAGCGCGATTGCTCATCACCTGTTCCTGTACGGTCCAGGCTCTCTTTGATATAGGCTCGAGTAATTCATCGTAGGTTGCTGCGTCTAACTCATTGACTGACATGCTACCGAAGCTGTCGGGTCCGAAGCGGACAGGTATTGTGTGAAGGGGCTCATTGTGTACACGAGGGTAGAAAAGGCCATCATGGACGCTCTTTGCGGATGCAGCAACAATGGTCAAGGCTGAACGGCCGTAGATATCATTCATTCTGGAAATTTCCTTGAGCTTGTCTTCCTCAACATCCTGAAGAATGCAGAATGCGTCAATCCACAAGTACGGGATCGACAATGTATGAGCAGTTGCAATGGCATCACGGATAGTAGGAGCCAAAGCATCCATATCCAAGCCATTGGTAAATTTGGCATAATTGGACGTAGTGAGCCTCGGAAAGGCCTTCTTTCCCCGAGCGTAGGAAAGTGTTGCGTAGACTCCCCTCGCGCCATTCGACTCAAAAACACGCGGGCGGTCTTGACCTGGTGGGCTGACTTCTATAACTCTCGTTGGTAATGGAGAGTCTCGAGGTAAACTGCTGCAGGAACTGTGTTCTTTACATTCTTCAAACCAGCTCTGAATTTGCGCCCGGGCTGAGTCACTGTCAACATCAGTCCTCATTGGCCTCGCTGTGACATATTTTGAGGCGTAATCATCAGCTGGTGTGCATGCATGAAGGAAAAGAGAATATCCTCCTCTCCATTTTCCTGTTGGAGATTTGCAATCGATATTAAAATAAAAGATGTTCCTGCCTGTGGGCGTGACCCACTTGAACATGTCCCTTGGGCTCAGAGAGATGGTCACTCGATCATCTGGCATCCAGTCGGCCGTGATAAACTCGCGTATATAAGCGCACCAGTTGCAGGAAGCGCCATTAATCTCAGCAACAGTGGCGGTAGTTTCAATTCGCGGGTAATCGAAGTCCTTTTGTGAGCAACGACCTGTGCAACATCTCTCAAAAGCCTCCATATTGAACATATCATTCCAGCATCAATCGCAAACCAGGCTTTCAGAGGAAATTCTCGATTGCGACATATTCGGATGTGAATTGTGATGAAGACCTCGGGAAATTGCCTGCATAGATGGCTGTCTTCCTAATGCGGAATCGATCGCCGCCCGATGATGATGTCTGATGGGGGTAGCAAGGGGTTTTATCCAAAGTGGGAGACAGATTGCTGCCAATACTGTGGGGCTTTGGCGATGAATAGAATTAATCGGAGCCCGCAACACGAGACTGAAAGGTCGAAGGCTCTGCTTCATCCTGTTGGATAGGAGCCGGCGGCAAAGGAACTGACGGGAGATGAACGGGGCGAGTGCAGGAGAGAGGGATAGAGAAGCCGAACTGACAGGGCTGCAGGTCACCTGATCAAACCACATAGGCTGGATTAAAATGCATCAATGACATCTGATTGAAAGAGCTGGACACTGTAGCATCCAGGGGCTTTTGCAATGACTACTGGGTGTTGACAAGGAGAAGCCGCAGTGAGTGATTGATGGCGAGGGACGAGGAGGCTGAAGCTGAGATTGTGACCTCTCAAGTGTTTTTGCCAATTTTACGTTCTCTGTCCTTTTTTATTTGATTTTTTATTATTATTTTTCCCACGGCGTGAGTCGTTTTGGAGTGGTTGGATTGGAATCGATTGACTCTGGGAATAACAGAAGATATTTATTTTGCCAGTGAAAATCATCTACATTTTTGGATAACTTCGCATCTGGCTTTTATGAACCGGAAAGTGTGGGTATCTGCTTTGCGATTGGTTATGATTTGGAAAGGATGCAAATACATAAAGAAGCCCCCTTTGAGGTTCACTGGCACGAAAGCTGAATTGGTATCTAGGAAGATGTCATATATCTTTCCATTTTCAACCCTCGTAGGCTTTGAATCTCTGTTGATGTCTGAAAAATAATCACCGGTAGGAAACAGTTTCTGCCACTGACTAACTTCTCAGGTGCTCATCTGAGTACTCGCGAACTACTAGTATAGCAGCTTGCAGGATCAGTTACTAGCCTCATCCGGGTCGCCCTTCCCATCATACTTTGCCTGGTATGGATAGTGGCAGATCGGGCGCTGACGAAGGACATTAGTGGCAGTGGTATCGTTCTTCCACTTGGTTGCAATGATACTGTCAGGTGCGGTTCCATTCTCAACCCAAGACATCATGGCCAAAATGATATCGTGCTTAGCATCTCTGTATCCGGGTACACTGTAGGTTGCAGTATTGATTGTGGCTGCTTGATCGGGACCAGCAATGTACCAAGGCATCGGTATTGTCAGGAGTACCGAAACAGTGCCTGTTTGAGAAGAGTGAAAAATCGTTAGAATGAACGGAGACTTCATATTTGTGAGCGACAACTTACTCCATGCCAGGAATGAGGAAGAACATTCTGTAAAAATCATCCACTTCAATGCCCTGGAGCTTCAGAACACTGGAAGCCTGATCATATTAATATATACTAGCGTCAGCAGAGACGTATGCATCTGACAGGCCATGGTAATGAAGAAACTTGCCACCACGTTTCTGGAAAGCACTAATATCATATTTGTCGGCAGTGGCGTTTCCGGGGTTCAGTTTGTTAGCGAGCTCCACAGTACTGAAATCGAGGTCTTCCCAGTTGAAGCTGTCACCAAGACCCATGAGATCACGAGGTACCACAGCTGCTGGTCAATGGTGCTATCCTCACCCAAGCCGATGTTTCCAAGCAGCCATGAAGCCTCACTTCCGAGCCACATGTGACCATAGACATAAGTCTGGTTAACATCGACCCAGTCATTGTAGATCTTATAGAGTGTGTTGAGCTGCGCATCGGTCAGGCACTCATCCGCAGTGCTGGTAGAGTTGCACATCAATGTGTTGGGGTTGCATCCTTTAGGGTTGGAGATAATGGTATCCACGAGACCGTCTTGAGGGTCACATTGTTTCAGAACCTCCGTGGCCAAAATGTCAAACACCTTCTCTGGAATTGTATGAGAGGAGTTGGCGGGCGCCTGGTAAGTGGTTTGCTTGAGGTTGTACAGCTGTTGATGGGTCGTCCACCATGCAGGAGCACCCGCCAGGATACCGTCATAGTCATCAGGATACTCTTGCATGTTCTTCATACTCTGTCTTCCACCAGTTGAACATCCGTAGAAGTAGCTATACTCAGCGGCTGAGCCATACCACTCTTCGATAAACAGCTTTCCCAGCCCTGTGGCATCATGCCATGCCCGATAACCCCAGTCAATGACAGCTTGAGGTCTGTCAATTGCCCAAGTTCCGGCTGTATTGATTCCAACATGGCCCAGGTTGCTCGAAAGGGTGGCAAATCCATAATTGGTTCCAGTGCCCTAAAGATAATTTGAGCAAATTAGTTCAATTTGATGCTTTTTAAAGTGCATTCCACTGAGTGAAATTCTTACCATGTCAACCCAATTGATGCCTCTTCCAGAAGCAGCGGAACTATTGAAAACGGTTACTATCATCACACACAGAATTCAGGAGAGAGATAGAAGCATACAGCAGTCTGCCATTCCATTCATACGGCATGATCAAGCCAACAAGGTAGCTTGAGTTGCCCTCCGACTTCACATTGATCTGAACACCGCATCCTTCAGGGAGGTTTGTGGGATACTCAGAGACCGAAGGGAAATTCATCGGATTGAAAGAGCCATTCTGAGGGATATGGGTCGCCCATTGTACCCTGGCCTGCGTCCCATTGGCATCGATGTACTTCTGGAAAATAGAGGCCTTGCACCTGGCTCGGTTTGTGTTTGCCGTTGCAGCGGCTGTAAAGTTCACAAAGGCCACGGCGAAAGTCTGGAGCCGCATAGTTGAAAGCTTCCAGATGGAAGAGAGGTAAATTTGGAATGGGAGAAACTCTCATGCACAAACTTCAGAATGTGCATTTCCAAGGTTCGGGGTCTGGTTATTTAAGCTACACCTGGGCATCATTCTAACTCTGGAATTATGGATCTCTTCGGCCGGTGTAACTTTCCATTCAAACATTTTTGAACGAACGCGTCATGATGGATCCCAACTAAGCAGCATTTAGAGTGATACGACAACGGGATGTTGTGTACGTGACCATGCATCCGGTCATATAAAGAAAAGATTTTCAGGAACAACCGTGTAATTTCCACAGTAGTTTCAAGCTGAATTGATCTCGTTGGTGTTAATCGTCGGACATATTAACTGACGGGCTGGGACGGCACAAAAGGGAATTGAACCGTGAACGTGCAGCTTTCTCCACCTGATGCCCAAGTTACCCTTATCAATCACACTCTATCAGAGATGCTGTCCCAAATAGGCTCAATGTATGATCTGCAGCGTAACTTAAATCAGGCATTGAGGGTGTTTATAGTATTGATCGCCCATGTACATAACCCTGATTGTCGATCCCTACAAGCCTTGTGGGGAACAATTCCGCGGAGACTAAACCCTTTTCGTTTCAGCCCTGCAGAGTCCAGGATTATCATGAAGTGAACCTTGGAACTTTTTGAAACCATGAAATAAGTGTTCGGCATCCAACGGAGACACCGTTCAAATGATTGGGATCCATATTATGCCCGAGATGGGTTACGTATGGGAATGCGGAACTGTAAAGACATGTATTAGTACTATTACTAGTACTACCTACTAGTAGTCCATATCTCAAACTTGAATTTATGTAGCGATGAGGATAGTAACTTCAATTTGAAGGTCATTGTCGGTCTGAGTACCAGGAATAACTTGTAGTTGAACATTTCACGATTAGAAGTGCCAGTGGGAACTAACATTGAAGGATTCCCAATATGATATATCAAAATGAGTTAAAAGAAATTTGATTTAGCCTAATATCGATCCAGGATCCCCATTCTCATTCAAGTCAATAACCAGAACATTTGAACCTCTATCTAGGTAGAGAGTACTTGAGAATTCAAAATCGGTCATAGAAAACCAGACTAAGCTACTAGAAATTGATTAAAGATACTTGGATTTAAGTCAGGAACCAGAAGCTATGTGGATAAATAGACGTTTCACAATCAGACTTAGCTCAAAAATCATAAAGTAATTTCTATAGCTTAATCAAAATCAATCATACAAAAATCAAAACTAACTCATAAATTGTAAATCTATTTCTAGAGATAAATCAAAATCACTGGCAGTTATAAAAAAAATCAAAATCAGCTCACAAAATAGCAAAACTATTTCTAGAGAACAATCAAAATCTACTATAGAAAAATCAAACTTAGATCAAAGTTCAAAAACCAGATACAGAGACCATTCAAAATATACTTTAAAAAATCAGACCTAGCTTGAAATTCAGAAAATAGATATAGAAAGTATTCAAAATCTATCATAGAAAATCAGACTCAGTTCAAAATCCACCATAGAAAATCAGATTTAGCTTAAAATTTAGAAACTAGATCAAGAGAGTAGTCAAGATCTACTATAGAGAACAAGACTAAAGATAAAGTATCTAAAGATAGTTCCTAAAAAGTTTAGACCAAAAACAGATTTCCTATATAAAGATATCTAAAAGAAAATATTTCTCTGTCAGAATCATCACGATTACATTAATCTTTTATTAGAATTATATCTAATGGATTAAGATTTACTCCAGAATCACTACTCAAGTGCTAAGTTAGTAGTGGCTTCAGGTAGCTGGTGACCCATCCTTCTTTGTATGTAGGTACATACGGGGTTAACTACAGGGTAAGCTGGAGGGTTAGCTGGAGAGTTATCTAGAAGGGAAGGTTAGCAGGCTGGACTTCCAGTTCCATTTTCCCACCAATTTTGATCATCCAGTTATCTCCGTCTAGTTCATGCTTCAGATACAAGTTTAGTCCAACCTTCCTTGATCCCCACGCCTCCATTTAGCCTGCTGACATAGTAAGGATAAGCATGAGGAGGATCTCGGGATAGTATGACCAGTAATCAGCGTAAGAGAAGGTTAAATTTGGTAAAACTTTGAATCCTCTCAGATCATCCGAGTCGTGATTGGATTACTTTTAGATGAAAATAATAATGTGGATTAATTTGAAATTTCGGTGTTCAAACACAGGGCATAACTCTTTGTTGCTATCAATAAAACCTTAGAAAGTGGAGATGTTATCTTCCCCGCAAATACTGCTTCTCCTTATCAGCCTCGGATCTTTCTCTTGAGATTCAACCATTTTCTTCAAAAAATTCAACTCATCATGGTTATATCAAGAGTTCGTACAGGCTGCTGGGCTTGTCGAGCAAGGCGCATAAAATGCGATGGTAGTTGCCTCTTCTTTACATTCTAGAACTTATTCTAATCGTGAGTGCGCAGAACATCACCCTGTTTGCAATCGGTGTAACCGAAATAATAGCCCCTGTGGGTACGGAGTTCGACTAACATGGCACGAGGAATCGCTAGCTCGAGGAATCTGTCATGGCAGGGCCGGAGTATGGTCAAAGCGAGAGAAAGGCCAGCCTGAGAAAGTATCTCAATGCGAACTTGAAGCCGACTCGGAGGAATCGCGCCAGAGCCGACATGGAAGAGCTATCCATTGCAAACGAAGATGGATATTCCTCAACACATTGGAGAGGGATCTGCAAATATATTTTGATGGGATCATGACCCAGGAAGAAGGGGAAGAAACACATGCGGCTTTGCATAGAAGCAGTGCATGCTCATTGACGCCTGGATTGAGCAACATCCCTGCTGGCGGCCGACGGTTAGATTATGACCCGGCACTACTGTCTTACTTTGAGCAGATTATATGCAGTAGCTGCACACTTGTCGATAATGCGCATTATAATCCTTACCGATACTTGATCCTCCCCATGGCGTTGGAGTCGGAGGGACTTTACCACGCGACATTGGCGCAGGCAGCCAATACTCTTCGACTTTCCGACCCTCAATACAGGCTTGCCGCTTTGGAGCATCATCATCGGGCGCTGAACTACCTTCGGGAACTTCTGAAACTATCTTATTGGGCCGATAAGGAGCTAGATGAAATGTTAGGACTAGTCCTCATGCTGTATTGGTTTGATGTATGCCACTTACCTCTCAACGTACATTCCTTCTTTGTTTAATCAACTCAAACACTTACCACTCTTCAGATCTCTGATAATAGCAGACCATCATGGGTTACACATCTCAAAGGATTCCAGGACTTGATCCAGACCCGCCAACAAAGACCGGGACGTTCAGCACATAGCCAAGAATTAACGTGTTTCTTCAGCCGCTATTTTGCGTTCCACCTAGTTCTAGCCAGAACAGCATTTCAAATGAACTCTTTGCCTTCCTACCAGGACTCAACTATCCCGGGCAAATACTTGGATTCTCCAGATACGATCGATACATACATGGGATTCACTCATTCTCTTCTTCTTTTGATAAATGAAGTTGCGGACCTTGCTGGTATTCCAGACGACGCTTCTTCAATAGTAAAAGCCATGGATGTTTATCAGTTGAAGAAGCGTATTGAGACTATCGACCAAAAACCTCCGATAGAATTCATCAGTCCCGATACCGAATGCGCCGCAATAGCCGAGGCAAACCGCCTTGGTGCACTTCTTCTGCTTCATGAAATTTGCTCCTCAAAGTCTGGACAACCAGATTATTCTTATCTCCCATCATTCAATCCAGATGAGAAAGATCGCTATGTTGAGCAGATCCTGCAACTCATTTTATCAAAGAAAGCAAATATGATGCGCACTGCAGCGTTGCCTCTATGGCCTCTCTTTTTGGCGGGATGCTGTACTCGAAATGAAGAAGAGCGAGTGACTGTGTTGAAAATTTTTGAGGAAGTTGAAAGCATTCGTCGGTTCGGAGTAAGTCATCCTATCCGTATCTGTGAGACGCCAGTTTGGCCGCTAATTTATCACCCTCTAGAATGTCGCACCCGCTTTGGAAGTAGTCCAAATGGTTTGGCGGCAGAAAGACCTGGCGGTACAGGATGAGAGAAAAAGGTTTAAGAATGGCCACCCACGCAATGGAAAGGATTCTTTGAAGAGTGCTCGTTTCTCATGGGAATATGCTATGACTATGCTGGGTGGATGGAAAGTCAGTTTAACTTGATTGAAATGAATGAATGAATGAATCGATTTATGAAGCGCGACTCATTATCTATTCCGGACCCTCTAATCATATAGGTATAACAATTTTGATGACTGCTTCCCTTCACGCACTTGTCTATCTTTCCAACCGGTCAGATCAGCTAATTCTAGCTCTGGATCCATATGTGCAAGGTTCTTCGTTTCAAAATTCTGGCCAGCGCGCCATTGCCATTTTTCCACCGTTTCAGCATCAAGCTTCCCTTCTAGAAGATCTACAACATACTTCCCAATAATCGGAAGAAATTTAAATCCATGGGCTGAGCCACCGGTTGCTAAAAACAGTTGCTTGTGACCAGGGTGGGGAGTAACAAGAAAATGACGGTCTGCCGTGTCCGCATCCCAACATAGTCGAGTATAGCAAAAAGGTCGGTCCGCCAGTTCAGGGAAGACACGGCGCAGATTCCGACGCATCGTAGCCTCAATTTCGAGCGGGAGTCCATCTGGCGGGCTTTGCACAAAAGTATGAGGGATTGATGTTGTGATAGCCGAGTTTTTGTCAGTCTGGTGATTGGTGACAAATTGACTGTGTGCTAATTTGAAGACACCGTCTTCTTTGGGAGGAAAGAAATAGCCAAGCTCAAGATTATCCATGATAGGCATCGCAGCATAGTGCTTTGTCTCAGCTGGTGTAAGCTGGATATGTGCAACACCATGACCTTTCGCTGTCAATTGGCCTTGCAAGTCGATTAGAGAAGGAGTCCATGCGCCAGTTGCAATGATGACCAAATCTGCATCATGACGCGCTCCATCAGCGCAGATCACGCCTTTGCATTCCTGGGAAATCTCATCAAAGATCAATTTCCTTGCATAGCCCTTGTCTCCGGAAATATATTCCACACCCTGTTGTTGGGCAACCCTGGCCATTTGTTCCAGGGCTTGACCTGCAGCCGCCCAGCCCGCTGTTGGATTCCAAATGTTGACATTCCAGCCGTCTAACAGGCCCTTGACAACCGGAAAACGCGAACGAATTTGCTCCGGAGTAAGTCTCTCTAGACCCTGGACTCCAAGTTTCTTGCACGTGTCGATCGACCCCTCAACAAATGGTATAGAAAGGTTGGCGGCACTTAAGATCCAGCCAGGAACATGATAAAGGCCACGGAACATAGGCCAAGAGCGCCATGCAGCAATTGATTCAATGCCGAGTCGCGCATAGAGTGGCTCATTATAATCACTGCGAATGATCTTGCTGATATCGGTCGCTGCAGCCTCACAAGACGGCGGTGGGTATCTATCAAGCACGCGAATAGAGATGTAGCCTCGTTGAGAAAGGTGGTAAGCAGTCGAGGTTCCAAAACACCCTCCTCCGACGATAAGAATGCGTGTGTCTTTGTTCATTTTTGAGGATTGAAGGTTTTCTAGATTAGCCTATCTGTGACGAGTGATAGAAAAAAGTATGCTCTTTAGCTGAGTTATCGGGTGGCGCCGGTATCATATTTATCATGATGATTTCGCTCATATGGTGACTCGTTTCGAGCTTCCTCAGGCACTGATGCGGAGTTCATAAATGCTCTCTTCCGAGTTCTGAGGGCTAAGAGTCCGAAGTTCGGAACTGATACAGATTTTCACTGAAAGACTGCATCAAACCCGGGAGGAATATCAAAATGTTTCATTTGACAGTAATTTTATGCGTAGAATAGCTATCTCGCTATTACCTTCCTTCAAGGTTGTCTTATCACCCCTCTTCTCGGAGGGCGGCCGATGCGGCTTCTGTCCCGATCTAAAGCGACCACACGGCCAAACCCCATGTTCCCATAATAAATTTTGACCATCTAGCTCACCTGACTAGTAATAGTAGTTGCTTTATGATGATATAAAAACTTTACTTGTACTCCATATAGGTATCCTTATACCTGATTCATATAGTGTGTAAACCTCAATTCTAGCCATAATATAAGTCAGCTATAAATTACCAAACTAGTCATACGGTCTCACACCATGGCAGAATACCAAGATACTACCATAGCTACCCACCACATTGGGCAGTTCTTTCTACAAGTATGACTAATTCCCAAAGAATTCCCTAATTACTCACAAATCTAACCTATATAGGGTGGGTAGGGCATCGGGGCATACAATCCTCTTAAAACCTACCAAACCGGGTAGAAAAAAAACCTTAAAGCCTGGAAAAAACGCGAAGCAAAAGAAAAAAAGGAAAGAGTCGCGACAAACGGACTGCTGAGAAGAGAGAACTTACAGAGGCTGAGAAGGAGAAGACCATGGGTCCGAAGGATGCTATGAATAATCTGCAGGATGGAGCCAAGTCTCCACAGACTCCAAACAAGAACCAGCAGACTGGAGCTACCAGTATGGAGACTACAAGCAAGAAAATCCAGAAGGCTCAGCAAAAGGCTGTCAGAAAGGCCGATATCACTCGCAAAGGCTCAGCCTGAGAAAAGAGGTATCCTTGCTGAAGAAACTGATGATTTCAGTAAGTACCCTCCCTGCTTTCTACCCTGTGGCGCACAGCAAACTATATGTTACTCGGCTGGTTGGACACTAGTTGTCCTCCTTCCGACGTGATATAGAGCAAGTATTATTAGGCAATATAACTAACCTAAAATGTCCAACTAACTAACTAGTGATTGAGACTGGCCTAGGTGTTCAGGCAGACGCCCTCGCAAGCGTATTAGATGCTTCCAAAAAGAAATGGCTCGCCTGGGACGTGCCTTAGGAAAAGAACTAAAGGGCAAGCTACAAAAAGCAGCAGATGCAAAACAAGGCGACAATCGCAACCTTAGAGAGTCCAGCCACAACCTCTGAGACTCTGACTATAACCTGCAAGATCATGGACAATAATCCCAGGATTTTCACTGAGTCCACCATCAAAAGAACCAAGATGAAAAAGGTCGCGGTAAAGAAAGCCACTCAAAAAGCGGAACAGGTGCGACAAGAAATTGAGCCTGGTCAACGAGGGGTGTTGCTTGAGTCAGAAGACCTAGGTAAGTCACTTCCCTTCCTGAGTGACATACAACAAGTATCATTGGACAATAGAACTAATTTTAAGTGGAGTGATAGATGGAGGCCTCCGGATTGGGTCCCATAAGGAGCAGAGAGAGAGGCGCGAAGAGCCCAGCTTGATGCTGAGGCCAATATGGACCTCATCAATTACTCGCATGAGATGGATGATGTGGAAATGCAGCAGCATCAGTCTTCTTATATAATTAGTATAGTTATTGGCATTTACATTCATCAACATTTGAATACTTGATGAGATTCAACGATACTCGAAGTTGAAATTGACACTATTGACGAAAATGACCTCAGGAGATATAATTAATATAGATTAGGACTATCTTGCAGAGATTAAACATTGAAATATCAAGACTTCCAAGGCTTGCTAAAATCGAACCGTCTTCAAGTTACCAAAATCTTAACTAATATGTATACCTAAACGAGCTCTTCTCCTTATCAGTAAGATCAGAGAAGGGAGTTTCCTCTGATGTTTCAGCATTCAAATGTCGCCCATCCATTCGATCCCGACGATGATTCTCCTGTCGACAAAGAAACCCATAAGCAATGATGGATGCCATTGCCACGACCAGACAAGCTAATAGACCTTCGTAGCCATTGGAGTAGGATGGGGCATCATTAGATCGGAAGACCTGTGGTCCGATAATATTGCCGGTACAATAAGCCAAAAAGAAGAGAGCATTCATCGTAAGCTTCTTGGAGTGCCCACTGGTATTCGCCATTGGGAGCGACGTTGAGAGCACATAGGGACCCCAGTATGTGTAAAAGACATAGTAAGCTGCTAGTAAGCCATGTTTATTCTCTCTCGGAAGTTTCCACATGAGAACTGCACACACAATTGGGACTAGGTCTGCGATGGCAATAATTGCACAGCGTGAGTTGGGGATATGGGCTGTGATAACTCCTAGCAGAATCTGCCAGACAGTTGCGAGTACACCTGTCGGAATGCCCAGAACCGTGGTGATCAGACTGGAGTACCCAAGACCAGAGACGATAATTGACGAGAAAGTGACTAGTCCTCCATTGGGAATGTTTTGAGCCAAAGAAAATAGAAATAACAGCCAAGTCTTAGGATCAAGGAGACATTCGCGAACTTGATACCACTTGATTGTTTTGTCTTCCATTCCAGTATTGTTGGTCTTGACGCGTTCAAGGCAGACAAATTTCTCTCGGTCTGAAAAATACCAGCATTGAACGGGTGAATCAGGAAGAAAAACGTAGAGAAATCCAGCCCATAGGAAGGAGAATGCTCCGAGGACAAGAAATAGCAGTCGCCAAGGGGCTATCGTCGTGTTTGTTTGACCGATGCCGTAACTGACCAAGCCGGCAAAGACAGAGGAGAGTTGATTGAAGTAAAAAGCAACACGAAGAGGCTGCTCATTTGTTTTCCACCACATGACTGTCAAAATGCTAGAAATGGGGAATGCTGAGGCTTCCAGCATGCCCATGATAAATCGAACAGTAGCCAGGCCCGCAAAATTCTGAGTGGACGCAGTCAACATCATCATGATTGCCCATCCAGCAACCATACCAACGTAGAGCTTAGCTACTGGTAGACGTTGAATGAGCAACGCAGAGGGGTATTCGAATACAAGGTATCCAAAATAGAAGATCGAGCCAACCCATGAGTACTCATTGCCAGTCAAATGTGTGTCTGTTTTCATGCCGTAAATCGCTGCATTGGAGATAATGACCTTGTCGATAGCAGCCAGAACAACAGTCACCATGATCATTGGGATGATTATCAGATCGATTTTCCATAGTACGCGACGAGCCTCAGATTCACTAATGGGCTCCGCTGTGATTGCGGTATCAAGCTGTGCCAGAAATTGAGCAGCGACATCTTTTCCGTCACTGCGATCCTGAGACTCAATAATGTCTCCAACTTGGTATTTTTCGTGGTTGAGAGAATCCTCTCGGATAGGAGTTGCAGGGGCCTCTTTATCGGACACCATATTAACGTCCAATTGAGGGCTATGAGTATGAGGTGTCGGATTCAAATGTTTTATAATATGCAAAAACCCTGAAAGATACCAAGGTATAAATGCTTTTTCATTCCCATATACTGAATTTATTACTAGACTAACAAAGGTTTATCTTAGTATCCAGGGTGTGTGTATGTGCTTGAGGCAGGTTAGAGCGAGCACTGATAAGACTTCTCCGCATCTTCTTCCCCTTCAAAAATGTTTCCCCTCACGTCGGAGTCTACCCGATTCACCCGATTCACCCACTAGATCTTACAAGGATCCGATCTTCCGGTTTTTATGACCAGTTTATGATAAAAGGAGAACAAATTCCTCATAGAGGGATGACCGTATTTGACGAAACGCACAGGAATTCCCGATAAGATGTCTCCTCACAAGTTAGATTGCCCAAGCATCAATATCGCCATTGGTAAGAACATACTCTATGTTGAATCTCGAATCATTTTGACTCTCCATCTAATTGTTAGATAGATCGGGGTGGTACATTTACGGATTGCCTTGGTATTATTGAAGGTCGCGATGAGGAGATCGTTGTCAAACTACTCTCTCAAGACCCATCGAACTATGCCGATGCACCAATTGAAGGTATCCGTCGCATCCTCGAGCAAGCGACCGGCAAATCATTTCCTCGAGACCAACAACTGAACATGTGTGACTTTTCCAATGTCAGTATTCGCATGGGTACAACAGTAGCGACAAATGCTTTACTTGAACGGAAAGGAGAGCGCCATGCTCTTCTAATCACGAAAGGGTTCAAAAATGCTATGCAAATAGGCAATCAGTCTCGTCCAAAACTATTCGCTCTCAATATTCAACGTCCAGATGTGTTATATGAGGATGTTGTTGAAGTTGACGAGCGAGTCACAGTTGAGGACTACCAACAAAACCCAACACCAGATAAAGAGAGGCTCGAACGTGCCTTGGAGTCTGATTCTCGTCTGACGCGTGGTGTTAGTGGTGAGATTATTCGTGTACTGGAGCCACTCAATGAATCTAGTACACGAAGCAGCCTTCAGAAGCTTTATGATAGTGGCTATCGATCAATTGCTGTTTGTTTGGTGCATTCATACACCTTCCAGGATCATGAATTGTTCATCGAGCGCATAGCGAAGGAGATCGGATTCACACAAATTTCTTTGTCCAATCAACTCCTTCCAATGATCAAAATGACTTCGCGTGGTGCATCTGCCACAGCAGATGCCTATTTGACTCCTGTCATCCAACGCTATATCGAGGGTTTCCGGGCAGGGTTCAAAGACGGGTTGCGCTCGGCCGACACTCGCTGCGAATTTATGCAGAGCGATGGAGGCTTAGCAAACTTTGAGAAGTACGAATAGCTTTTATGTGAAGCTTTTATGAACTCAGCTAACAGATTCAGGTTTACCGGTCTTCGTGCCATTCTATCCGGTCCTGCTGGTGGTGTTGTAGGATATGCGGGAACGTCTTTTGATGAAAGCGAGAGGAAGCCTGTAATTGGGTAAGAAATCAAAACAGCGCACAAAATTCCTTAGCTTCATGGGCTAACAGATTTAGCTTCGATATGGGAGGCACCAGTACAGATGTCTCCCGATATGATGGGAAGCTCGAACACACCTTCGAAAACACCATTTCAGGCATTACAGTCATGGCACCGCAGCTAGACATCAACACCGTTGCTGCAGGGGGAGGAAGTATTCTCTTCTACCGCCATGGTCTTTTTGTTGTTGGTCCAGAGTCAGCGGCAGCTCATCCCGGCCCTGCATGCTACCGAAAAAATGGGCCCCTAACAGTGACTGATGCCAATTTGTTCCTTGGCCGTCTTCTGCCTGACTATTTCCCCAAGATATTTGGACCAAACGAGAATGAGCCGCTTGATGTCGAAGTGACTCGACAGAAGTTCACTGAACTTGCAAAGCAAATCAATGAGGAAACTGGCCAGAACAAGTCCCCAGAAGAAATAGCTCTTGGCTTCATTCAGGTGGCAAATGAGTCTATGGCCAAACCTATCCGCGCACTGACTGAAGCTCGTGGATTCGAGACATCTGCACATAATTTGGCTTGCTTTGGCGGTGCAGGAGGCCAGCATGCTTGCGCTATTGCCTCGTCACTATCTATTGGGACAGTAATTATTCACCAGTACTCATCAATCTTATCTGCATATGGCATGGCCCTGGCAGACGTTGTCCATGAAGCCCAAGAACCTGCATCGGGCGTTCTAGATGAGATTTCTATGAAGAGTATTGCTCAGAGGATCGATGCTTTGAAAGATAAAGTGACCACTGCTCTTGGCACTGATGGCATTGAAGAGACACAGATTCAACATGAAGTTTATCTTAATCTTCGTTATCAGGGTACCGACAATACTCTGATGGTCTTAGAGCCAGAGCATGGGGACTTCCTTGCAGAATTTGTGAAAGAGCACCAGCGTGAATTTTCTTTCACATTCCCAGGTTGCAACATTCTTGTGGAAAATATCCGCGTTCGCGGTGTTGGTAAAGCCACTTCTGCCGTTCCGGAAGCTCCCCAGAAAGAGATCAAATCTCTCGACATCCAGCCTGTAGGCTCGGAAAAACAAGATGATTCTTCATCTGTGTACTTTGCCAGTGTTGGTCATATGACTACGCCAATCTTCTTTCTCAGCAATCTTAAGCCAGGGAACTTTATCCAAGGGCCTGCAATGATTATTGATAACACCCAAACCATTGTGGTAGAACCCAATGCGACCGCGAAAATACTTTCGCGACATGTTATTCTTGATGTTCAATCATCAAACAAACAGACAGACGATGCGACTGTTGTTGATCCCATAAAACTCTCCATCTTTGGCCATCGCTTCATGTCGGTCGCAGATCAGATGGCGAGAAGGTTTCAAAAAACATCCGTATCAACAAATATCAAAGAACGTCTCGATTTCTCTTGTGCTGTCTTCTCGCCGGACGGAAAGCTAGTTGCAAATGCGCCAAACGTCCCTGTTCATTTAGGCAGTAAGTCAAATCTCCCATATGTATGTCACCTGATCAGAAATAACTAACATTTGAAATCATATAGGCATGGAATATGCTGTGAGATATCAGCATGAACAGTATGGTGGCGACTTGAAACCTGGAGATCATATCCTAACCAATCACCCTCTCGCCGGAGGTACACATCTTCCCGATATCACGATCATCACTCCCGTTTGGGACAAAGATGGGAAGCGTACAATATTCTATGTTGCTTCGCGCGGACATCATGGTAAGTAGTCCAACAGCCAGTCCTCGATCTTGTGTTCGGCTACTGACAAATGACAGCTGAGATTGGTGGTATCGCGCCTGGCTCTATGCCATCAGATAGCAAAATGCTTTATGAAGAAGGTGCCATGACCATGGGCTTCAAGGTAGTATCGCAAGGCCGATTTGACGAAGATATTGTTCGAAAGTTTCTTTATGAGGATCCAGCCTCTTATCCCAATTGTAGTGGCACCCGCACCTACAATGACAACGTTTCCGACCTCAAAGCGGCAATCAGTGCGAACCACAAAGGCGCACAACTTCTCGAGGCCCTGGTACAAGAAAACACATTAGAAGTTGTCCACTTCTATATGGATGCTATCAAACTCAATGCAGAGGTCGCCGTCCGGGAGCTTCTTGAATCGATTGGTCGTCAGAATCCAGGCAAGCCGCTCCAATTTTCCGATTTCATGGATGATGGCACCGAGATCAAGTTAGAGATTCGCATCAACACCGAGGATGGATCTGCAGACTTTGATTTCACAGGAACGGGTCGCGAGACTTTCAATTGTCTCAATGCACCAAAGGCGATCGCCCATTCTGCAATTATCTACAGCTTGCGAGCCTTGATCGATGTAGACATCCCTCTGAACCAAGGTTGTCTGGCACCGATCAATGTGATCATTCCTCCTGGCACATTGCTGAATCCATCGGGACACGCAGCTGTCTGCGCAGGAAACCCAATTACCTCTCAACGTATCACTGATGTTGTTCTCGGTGCATTCAGGGCCTGTGCTGCCTCGCAGGGATGTTGCAATATTATCTCCTTTGGTATGGGTGGTGTAGACTCCAAGACAGGAAAGGAAATCCCTGGATTTGGAGTTGGTGAGACCATTTGCGGAGGTTCCGGAGCTGGTCCATCATGGCATGGAACATCAGGAGTGCATGTCCATATGACAAATACGCGGATCACGGACGCTGAGGTCTATGAACTACGATACCCTGTGATCCTGCGACAGTTCTCGATTCGTCAGGGCTCTGGTGGTCGGGGTCAATTCCGGGGTGGTGATGGTGTTATCCGAGAACTCGAATTTCGAATGCCACTTTCTGTGTCCATATTAAGCGAGCGCCGTGTCTATCGCCCTTATGGGCTGGCAGGTGGAGAGCATGGTCAGGCTGGACTGAACTTGTATCTGAAGCATGAATTGAATGGAGATGAGCGAATGATAAACATTGGCGGGAAAATGGAATTGGAAGTCCAGCCTGGTGATCGGATCCTGATTCATACGTGAGTTTCTACCAATTTCCCCGACTTATTAAGGAGTTTATTGAACTGATTTTTGAAAATTAAAGACCTGGTGGTGGTGGCTGGGGCTTTCCATCAAATGAAGATGCAGCGCTACATACCAGAAAATATCCTGGTAACACAGTTTTTCAGCCTCGAGGTAGTGTGCACACCTTCAACTCTATGGCTGAAGCAGCGCAATAGGGCATTCAACTCACAGTGTCTATCGCATCAGGTTTCAATGATTCCAAAAGTTGGAGTTATCCTTAAGTTGAGCCTTGAAAGGGAAGCATGAGTCCTGGATTTAGGTTAAACAAGTTAAGATTGTGACCTCAGGCTTTGATCGTATCATGATAGGAAATATTTCAGGATTCAAATTCCAGAATCTAGACAGGGAACATTGAAATAGATGATTATGTTTCTTTTGCGAATCTTCCTTATCCTGATATCAATTATTCTAGAAGGTCCCGATTCAAGTTGTTTTTAAGGACTCGGATCTTCTAGTATTTATATGGACCTCCTTTACTACTTGGGTTCCTGCACTTTTAATCACTGCCGATTATGATATTAGTTTGGTCTACCTGCAGGCCTGTATGCGAGGAGAGCCTACATCCTATCCCTGTAGGTACCAGTTTCCTTTATCCAACAATATAACAGCTAACCTTCCGTGCCCGGTAACCCTCCAGCTAACCCTGTAGGTAGCCCGCAGGTACATACATACAAAGAAGGGTCGGTCACCACCTGGCAGTTACCTGTAGGCTACTGACTGAGTACTTGAGTATGTGAACCTGGCTGTCTGAGGGGATGTGAACACAACTGGGCACATGGCAGTCATGGTACTTACAAGTTAATCCGATTAAGATGATATGAGGTGTTCATTGAACCGAGCTTCCTGACCAACCTTGGAGGAACTTGAGTGCTGTGGACATACCTTTCCCAATTTTGCTGCTATATGGTGCCGCGCGAAGTACGGCGTGAGGAATTGTCCTGATATTTTTATGGAAGCTCTTGATTTCCTAAAGAGAGTTTCCAAAAGGGTTACCCCCATGAAAAATTTTCGATCTTCCACAATCATCAGCTTTCCATCAGATTGCTAGCAAAATCCATCAAAATCCGATCAAATTATCATCACAAACAGCTGGATTCCCTCCACAATGGCCAAAACTCATCCTCCCGGCTTTATGGTAAATCCCACACCAAGCCCTACTTAAGTCCCGATTCCTAACTAACTCCCGTGCCCTGTCCCTAGGCCTGCTTAATCCACCTACATGGGTCCCACAACAGCCGAATGCCGAGATGCTGCGGTAATTACACATCATATCAGCCAAGCCTTTCTTGACGTATAATTAATTCCCAAAAAATTCCCTAATTAGTCATAAATCTAACCTATATAGGGTAGGCAGGGGTATCGGGCCCTACAATCCTCATAAAATGCACTAAACCGGGTGGAAAAAACTCAAAGCCCGGAAAGAACGTAAAGAAAAACAAAAAGAGAAAAGAAAAACGGACCGCTGAGAAGAAGGACCTTACAGAGGCCGAGAAAGAGAAGACCAAGGGTCCAAAGGATGCCATGAATAATCCGCAGGATGGAACCAAGGCTTCACAGACTACAAGCAAGAACCAGCAGACTGGAGCTACCAGCGTGGAAACCCAGACAGAAAAAATTGAAGAAGGCCAAGGTAAGCCCGCCAGAATGGCTGAGATTGCTTACTAAAAAGTTAAGCCAAACTAGGAAGAGTATAACTTACTAAGGTCCTCTGTTTCTACTAGCATCCCTTATAGACCAGGCTTAATAGCCTATCCAGAAGTCTTAGCCTTTTGCCAGCTTTCTTGTTAGTTTTGCAGTTGGCCTTGGAGGGCTTTGTAGGGGTTTATGAGATATAAAGTGATATACAAAGTAAGAGACAGAGTAAGATAAAAGTAAGAGATAACTAAAGTATTAGAGTAGTTAGTACATCACATCACACACTTCCTGTTTACTAATGAGGGAGAATATAACATATGCAAAGGCATACGTCCATCATCAGATCCTCCATCCATTCTAAGAAAAGCCCCAAAAAGCAGTAGATACAAACCCAAACAAGGCGATGCTCACAGCTTCTAAGACTCCAGCCACAATCACTAAGAGTCCCATAACCCCCGCCGCAATCCTAGAGAGTCCGGGCATAACCCACAAGACCATGCACAAAAATGCAAACGATGTCACCGAGTCCACTGGCAAAATCACCAAGATGGAGAAAGCCGCGGCGAAGGAAGCCGGCCAAAATGCCGAGAGATCGCGCCAGGAGACCTTGCCTCCTAGACGAGGCAATTTAATGAACAATGAAGATGGGGAGGGCCTGAGTAAGTACATACACCACATATGCTATCCAGTAATAGAAACTAATATACAATTATAGTAATCGATACAAGTTTTGGGACCGCGAAGAAGGATGATGACCTTATTGATTATTCAGATATGGATAGTATCATAATGGAGAAGTGGTATTTTTATAGTATTATTTCAAGTATGCTGCTCTAATTGGCTCAATCCAGACGAGTCCTGATCAGGGTGCGACTTCACAAAGGAGGCTAATCTCGAAAGAACTGCAATTTCCAACTTGAGCTTCACGGTATAGAAGAAACATTTCAAGACCGTCTGTGTGATAAAAAACCCCATATACTCGAGTATGAGCAATGCAATATCCATAATAATGATAGCGGCATTTATGGTCAAAAGCTGATACATGATATTCGTTTTCCGTTTGGAACGTGTCGGGTATGAATGCAATAGCCTGAGGGTTTGAACAATGAACACTCCCGAGATGATGATCTCTTGCGCGAAGAACACCGTCAATTGTACCTTTTCCCATATATTGAAAAATCTTGTGAACTGCAGATGGCAGACATAGACAGCTCCATATGAGGCGATAATCTGTGGAATTTGCATCGTAATCGAATTGAAGATGATCATTCCTAGGATGCAGTGCAAAACCTTTCGATTCATAACGACGAGATGTAATCGCGAATAAAGGACCAGTGATTGGCCTGTCACCATGACACACCACCCGGCCGTAGAAAGTGTCACGGGCACCCAGATCGGAGCGAGCTCGAAGTATTTTAAGATGAGGCCAAGCGCATCAGGGATAACGCCCAAGGAGGCGGAGATCAACAGACTCCAAAAATATAAGCCATGATAGACGTGGAAGACGGAGAAGACGAGGACTATCAGTTCGAGGGCGCTGTAGAGGGCGCAGCCGAGGAGACTGGCGGTGGAGGCTTGAACGGCGAAGCTGCTACCCGTGTATGCGCCGACTATGCCATCGACGGAGGACGTGCAGTGACTCATCTTGCGCTTGCATGTTCAAGGCATAGACTTCAAGTTCGCGCTGAAGAGAAACTTAGAGAGCAGTTGGGAGAGGAATCATGCGGGGCTGGAGATTTTCCATCCAAGCGGTGAGCACCTGAGGTTGAAATGTCATTCCCGAGGTCCCCTGCCAGTGATGGATGTATCCATGGTTTGGATGCCGGAATAAAGTTTGTCATGCAGCAAGCCACATTAAATCCCATTGGAGCATATTGATCTTGACCGTGTGAACTGTCATGCCTACTAAAGACATAATTGAGCAGCTGAGAGATTAAATTTAGAATTACCTAGTCTCCCATGAAGAAGTTTTATGTACATTACTCGAGACGTCGGGGAATTTGGTGACGGCCACTGGCATGAAGCCCTAGAGATGAATTAAAATTTTAGTTCAAGCTGTTCCAAGGCCCCGGGTAGAACCTTGGAACTGGGTCCCAACTTGAAAGTCTGGGGTAGCCTATCGCAGATCTTATACACCTGCAGTCTAGCTTCCAAAAAACCCCGCGCAATGATTTACCAAGATATACATGGACAATGTCCCTTGTACCTCAAATAAGCCGTATTCCGCTCCCCCAAAATGTTCCATCACTCCAGTATCCAAACCAAGCTCCATCCCAACACCACCAACCCTGACCATTGGCTAGCCCAGAGCCACGAAGGGGGCTAAAAGGAACAGGCTCCATTAACCAGAGTCCACCTCGTGCAAAATCGTCGGCGATGTAAACTCCCGAATACAATAACCAGAAAAAGACAAAGAGACCGTTAGCTGTGCGTCTTAACCATCGCGGCATAGCTTGTAAATGAAGCATTGGGAGGATCACGGTCTTGAAGAACCCCCTCGACAATGATTGCAACGCTTTGTGATATAAAAAACAGAAACGGACCACTAAGAGGTTTAGTATTTGTAAACTGTGTATAACTGCCACATGCATGAACGATGCCACTAAGTGCAAATGCAACTATGAGATATGTGGCACGTTTCACCGCTGCGCTTTTTCTCCAGGAAATTGGATACAAGGAGATGACCCAACGCCCAGGAGAGGTAAATCCGTATCGGAAAAGTTGATGCCACCAGCGACCCCAAGTACCTGCAAGTCCTTGTTCCAAAGTCGGGGCAATAAAAGGACCGAAGCTTTCTGCATATAGCCATGGTTCATCCAAGGGGGCACCCGTTAGCCTTCTTGATGCATTAGGGTACGCTAAAGACAACCCAAGGAAGAAAATCGGATTCAATGAAGTAACGTAATTGAGTGCGACGTAAACACCCATACAGCTGATAAAACAGCGGTAAAAGCGAATACCAAGAGGTATTGATGCAAGGAATATAAACGGAAAGGGAGGTATTGCATCTGCTGTGATGCCTCGGAAATAGGGATCTCTCATCATAACGACTTTCAAAATATCCAGAGTCATATAGGAGATGAGGAATGTTCGGAATGCATTCCGAAGGCAATCCTTTGTAGAAATGTAGGATTCATCCTCTTCCACAGAATAATTGTTCGAGAGGAAACCAGATTTCAGCTGTGCATATACAGTTTGAGGCAATGGGCCGAAACGAGAGGCCCGCCAATTCCATTCGGGGCCACGAAGATTGAACAAGAGCCCTGCACACCACTCAACCCGGTGCAAGAATGTACTTGGGTAGGATTGCCAGCGGAATTGAGCGTGTTGGTTGGAATTGACCTTGTCTGACATGGATATTCTATTATCGGTTTCTCCAATCTGTTTCGACAGTTCATCAATCTCGGCGAGTTTCAAGTTACGCACTGGGTCATTACGCTCAATGCGCTGAAAATCACGCTCAACATCAGAGAACAAGAATAGGGTGGCGGCCCATACAAGCCACCAGGCAGCGATAAGGCCAATCAAATATCCATTTCCACCAAGAAGAGCGCGGTGGTTTCTAAGAAGCTCAAGCGCAAATGCAACCCCGAGTCCGAAGACTAATGGCCGAAGGTACTGGCCACCATGGTGCTTAGGTATAACCAGAGCAACCCAAGGCAGGCAATTGAATAGAATAACCTGGTAAAGAAATACCGGTTTGAAGGTGCCCTGTTGCAACAAAGAGTCTAGCTCAAACTCATTTTTCAGGCTGAGATTTCTTGAAAAGTCATGGGCCATATATGCGGAGAGGGCTCGGCTCGGCTCGGGAGCTTGGATACCCTAAGCACTGACCACGTGCTTATAACCCCTGTATATAGGAGACTCCGCCACTGGCGCTATGAATAATGTAATGATATGTAAAATTGACCTCCCTATATTGACCTGGTCAGCCCTGGAGGGAAGCAAAACTGAATATGAACGAGATTGGGAGAAATGAATGGCGAAAAAGCAAAGCAGCGGGTTCAGGCCGGTTATGTCATGACCACGTGACTACGCGACGCGTTCTAAATTGGGTTTGGGTCTCCACATGGTCAACCATCTTCACGTTACAAAGAATCCTTACATTCCAATGAGATAGGAGCGGAGCAAAAATCCTAGGGACGCCATACAATCTAATTTTTGACTGTCTCAACATGCGGCGGATATCGAAAAAGCGCAAGTCGGAGATAGATTTGACTGAAGAGAGTGATGAAACTCGTCCTGCGAAGACAACCCGAGATACAACATATCTGAGCCCAGAGGATGTCACCACAGGCCAGAGGTTTGGTGAAAACACCGAATTTGTGCCACTCACTCAAGTCCCAGATGCAGACGAAGACGACGCAGATGCTGCCAACATTGCCGAAGAGAATGAAGATGCAGATGAGTCTGTCTCCCGTATGCTTTATGGCACTTTAGATACGAAGATCGTGGGTTGTCGATTTTACAACGGCATTGCCACACCTGGTGAACAGGTGGTACTCAAAAGAGAACCTCGAAATCAGTATGATCGAAATGCTATAAGAGTTGATAACGTCTTGGGTCATCAGATTGGCCATATTGGAAGAAACATGGCTGCAAAGCTAGCACCCTACATGGTATGTACTCTATGCCTTCAATGATATGGAACCTCATCATTGACTACTGCAGGACTCACGAGAGCTTGTTGTTGAGGGTGTTTTGACTGGCGAGAAAAGTTTCTATGACTGTCCTGTTGCATTGCCATTGTACGGAACAAGCCATCCCGCTGAAAGAATATCATTGAAGCAAAAAATGCAAAAGGACCGCCTCCCTATTCGTGAATTCCTGGATGCTGAGCGCCAGGAGCGTAAACGCGCCAAGGAAATTGAGGCTCAAAGGAAGCAGGCCGAGAAACAGGCTCGGGCCATGGCTCTCAAGAGAGCTGCTGCAGGTGCTGATTGGCAGACCAATGATGAAGCACAGTTCGCCAACCTCTCGACACCGACAGGAATAGGTGAAGCCCAGACAAGTTTAGAGGAACTGCTAGACCAAAGCAGCTTTTTCAACCCCAGAGAGATTGGCCAGGTTGTGGAGAATTTTGGACAGAAGGAATCAGATATGGCCAAGATGCCAATGGCTGAAACCCCCGTTGGGATGCTCACGCAATTGTTACCGTACCAAAAGCAAGGGCTTGCATGGATGCTCTCTCGTGAATCTCCTACCCTTCCCTCTCCCGGCTCCGATGATGTCGTTCAGCTGTGGAAAAGCAGTCGCGGAAACAAGTTCACCAACATTGCAACCAACTTCGTCACTTCTACTGCGCCAACTCTAGCAAGCGGTGGAATCCTAGCGGATGACATGGGACTTGGAAAGACGATCCAAATAATTTCTCTCATTCTGGCAAACCCCGCACCTAAAACTCCCGGTTCCAGCAAGGGCACATTGATTCTCGCTCCGGTGGGCGTGATGAGCAATTGGAGGAATCAGATTCAGCAACATTGCCATCCTGAAACCGCACCCCGTGTTTTAATATACCACGGTTCTGGCAAGAAAGAGGCCGCAAATCTGTCAGAGTATGATGTGGTGATCACCAGTTATGGTGCCCTAAGCTCCGAATATCAACCCACTGCCAAGATTCCGCCTAAGAAGGGCATATTTTCCTTACAGTGGCGACGTATTGTCCTTGACGAGGGCCATGTGATACGAAACCCATCTTCCAAGGGTTCGCTGGCCGCTTCCAGCCTGAGGGCAGATTCTCGATGGACTCTTAGTGGTACACCGATCATCAATACCCTGAAAGACCTGTATTCACAAGTACGTTTCCTGAAGCTTACGGGAGGTCTTGAGGATTTGGGGATGTTCAATCGTGTGTTAATTCGCCCACTGAATTGTGGAAATCCCGAGGCCCGTCTACTTCTTGAGGCGTTGATGGGAACTCTGTGCCTCAGACGCCGAAAGGACATGGATTTTATCAACCTCTGTCTACCAAAGCTTACATCCCGCGTTCTCCGGATCAAATTCCATGACCATGAACTTGAAAAATACAGTGCATTCCAATCCGAAGCGAAGGGAACCTTGCTTTCCTTCAAGGACAAACAAGGCAGCGCATCATACTCTAACCTACTTGAGGTTCTTCTGCGTCTCCGACAAACTTGTAATCACTGGGCACTTTGCAAGAAGCGTGTTACCGCGCTTTTGAAGCTGCTAGACGAGAACAAAGTCGTGCCACTCACCCCTGAGAACATGTCAGCGTTGCAGGATATGCTTCAGCTTCAAATCGAAAACCAGGAAGTATGTGCAGTTTGTCTTGACAACTTCGACGAGCCTGTCATCACTGCCTGTACACATTCATTCTGCAAGGGGTGTATCGAAGAAGTCATCGCCAGGCAGCACAAGTGTCCGCTTTGCCGTGCTGATCTTGACGACAATACCATGCTGGTATCCCCTGCTGAAGAATCACAAGAAGATGAGAAGCAGGTTGATGCGGACCCCGACAGCCCTAGCAGTAAAATTGAGGCTTTGGTGAAGGTTTTGACCGCCCAAGGTCAAGCACCCGGCACCAAGACAGTGGTCTTCAGCCAATGGACCTCATTTCTTGATCTCGTGGAGCCTCATCTTGCGAAGTGTGGTATCAAGTTTCTTCGAGTGGATGGCAAGATGAATGCTACAAAACGCGATAACTCCATTAATATCTTCTCCACCCAACCAGAGTACACTGTTCTTCTCGCCAGTCTTAGCGTTTGCAGCGTCGGTCTCAATCTCGTCGCCGCCAATCAAGCCATTCTTGCGGATAGTTGGTGGGCTCCGGCTATTGAGGATCAGGCTGTCGACCGTGTCTACCGACTGGGACAGACACGAGAAACCACTGTCTGGCGTCTCATCATGGAAGACAGTATTGAAGAACGCGTTTTAGATATTCAGGCACGTAAGCGCGAGCTAATGCACGCTGCTTTCAGAGAAACCAAGAAGAAAGCAGAAGATAGAGCAACTCGTGTGGCTGACCTTGAGACCCTTCTGAGCTAGTTCTTGATGGTATCTCCTCCCACATTCCTTTTTAAGCCCCAATTTTCGTTCTTTTGTATCAATTATTTCGTTGTCATCTATTTTATTCAATGCTGTTGCTCAAAAGGATGTCTCTCCTTCCAGATTTTCTCATATTCTTCCAAGGTTGTTTTTTCAAATGGTATCAATTTAGGCTACATTGATGATTGTTCATTTCAATATAAAGTATGAAGTACATGGGTATTTAAACCGTTGGGATATGCGAAGCACTCAAGTAACTAAGCACCGCATCGTAACCAATTTTACATGGAGAGGTGATGCAAAAGAACATCTCCAGGATCTCTCGTACGTGATTGGCTCGCTTAGACTGTCGTGATCCTGATACATGATTGGTTCGCTTGTTCTCAGCCTGGTGATCTTCGCTTAGCAAACACTGATCCTGATCCAGGAGTTCGAAGTACCGAAGCATTGAGTTGCCTGTGATTTTATATGTGGGGCGATGCTTAAATACAACCCGTGTGATCCTGGCTCCTGATTGGCCGACCCCAGATCCACATGTGTGATCCTGGCGCGTTTTCCAGGCCCCACCCCCAGGGTATAAATTCCCCAGGTCTCACTCAGTTTCAAACTTCTTCTTCTTTTTTCCCCAAGACTTTCCCACTTAACATTTCTTCCATCCATCTATCCATCCATGGCCCTGCCACTGCTCAGTCCTTGCATGATTGACGTGTTGCCTGATCACCAACATGTCAACTCAACTTCCAAGGTTCTTGTTGCTCTTTCCACTCTATCATGGCCTGACTTCTTCACATCTTTCTTACCTTGACGCGTCCACGACATGACTTTGTTGACATGACCACTCCCAGTTGACACATTCTGTAAACAACCTTCTCCATCAACATGGCATGGCATTCATCCACATGGTCTGCTATCATGACACATCAACATCATGACACGTCAACACACTGCTGTCAACATGGTCTTCCTTCATCACCATATGATGAACTTCAGTCAACATCATGACACATCACTACACTTCAGTCAACATGACATCCATCATAACCTTGATGAACTTCAGTCAATATCATGTCATGACACGTCAACACACTGCTGTCAACATGACCATCCTTCCACATGGTCTTCCATCATGACCATATCTTCAGTCAACATCATGACATGTCAACACACCTTGGTCAACATGACATCCATCATGACCTTGATGACAAAACCTTCCACATACATCTTGTCTCAACCTTCTTTGAATCTTCATCAACATCTAATGCACCAAACCTTCCTTTGAGACAGTCTCTTGGTCTGATGGATTTTTTTTACTTGGGGGCACGGTGACCAGGTAAGTCCCTATTCCCATTTACCATCCAGGTTACTAACCACCTCCTCAGCCACTTCTCAAGGCTGCATCTGCCTGTGATCATTCGACCTCCCTCCCCGACGCGCTCTCCTCCATTTCAACCCTTCCACAATACAGACCCTAGCACACCCTGCATTGGCGCGCCGGGGAGATGAAACTGCTGTGCTTACCTTCTGTGGCCGTGGCGGGTTTCGCGAGAACCTCAGGACAATCGGCACAGAGAGCTAAGAGAGGAAGAAGCTATGACCGTGGCGGGCCCCGCGAGGCCTCAGGACAATCGGCATAGTGGTCTTCAGGACACACCCTTCATGCACTTCCCACTTTCCACTGCTCTGTTCAGAGTCTCAACAATTCAGATAGTAGCACAACCTGCAGCGCATCTTACGTCGCTGGTGCTTATCTTCTGTGACCGTGGCGGGTTTCGCGAGAACCTCAGGACAATCGGCACAGAGAGCTAAGAGAGGAAGCAGCTATGACCGTGGCGGGCCCCGCGAGGCCTCAGGACAATCGGCATAGTGGGCTTCAGGACCTTACAACTTTCTTATACTTCTCTTCTCTCCTCTATTTCTCTTCATCAAGAAGGAAATATGAAGCCTCTGCCAGTTTTGCATAGACTCTTTTCAGTCCACATGGTTGAATACATTCCCAAGCGCAACGGCACCCTCTCTATATTCATCTACATTATCCTTCATGTCGATATTTTTATTGATGTCCATATCAAAGTCTTCTTTTATTCGTTGTTGCATATCCTTCTGACAATGACATGACTTTGACTACCACAAAACCTTTCTCCTTCCGTAATGAGTAAACAACCAGTAGTACTTGGGTACGAATACTAGTACCTAGGATCATGATGCATCTCAACCTTGGAAGCTTCCAACGTTGAAAGTTTCCAGTGCAACTTAGAACTATCAATACTAGGTAGTAGTGCTTATAACCTTTCAGTAGTAGTACATTTTGAAACATTTTACACACTTGAAGTCTCATGGACAATTTCAAGTTGGAGTATTCGAGATCATCAAAATATGCATGCATGCGGGCTGCCAGGCAGCGTGTGTACATTAACAAAGCTTTTTTAATACTATACATGTAAGTCGAGTACAAAACTTTTGATATAAATCTATCCCTCCATTGTCACATCTTCGTCGTCTTCGCTCTCAGTATCAGAATCCATGTTCACGGTAGGCAACTCATCGTCGCTTTCGTCCTCAGCCACAGGCACGACTGGGGCAGCTGATACCTGGGAGTTAGGCTGAGCCTGCTTCTCCAAACTCGATTTCTGAGCTGGATGAGATACAAAAGCAGAAACCCGAGGAGCTTGTTCCGACGAAGATGACTCTCCGAATCGGGCCTTCTTCTGCACGGTCTCCTGGGTAGACGAAGCTGTCAGGCTGGGTGTCTGAATTGTAGACTCCTCAATATAAGTCCGCTTGTGCACTGAGGGTTGATCCGCAGTCTCCGATTTTGTCGCAGAAGGTGCGGGGACTGGGGCCTTCAAGAAGTCGGTGGTTTCAGGGGCAGCTTCATACGAGTCATCGGCCATTTCATCGGCCTCTTCTTGCTCTTCTGCCTCTGCATATGCGTCGAGTTCTGGTGCAGTCATCAGCACGGGCATCCTGGGACGCACCAGAGCCTCGACCTCCATCTGGTCCGCATGGCTGCGAACCAAGAAAGGTAGAATACTGGCACCCGCAGCACGGCCCTTGATCGCTGGGAGTGGGTTCAAAACGCTAGCAAGCATGGCATCCTTGTCAGAAACAAGGATGATGGTACGGTCGATTTCAGTGCGAATTGATCCGGGGAGGAGTTCTGCTGGAGTTGACAAGAGTACAGCCTGGAGAAGAGCAGAAGCGGCATTCTCGAGTTCGGGAGACTGGGAAGAGGCCTGTGATATGCGATTCTTCTGAAGATCAGGGTTCAAGAAAGAGTCTGCATTTGTAGTTCCTTGCCCATTCTTGGTCTTAGATTTGCTGTCGGTCTGGGACTTGGATTGGGAGTTGGAGTCATTAGAGACAGGCAACAAGTCGTGGCAACAGGCGCGCAGGACATTGACAAGGGATGCCACATTCTGCTTTGTCATAGCTGGGCCATTGAGAGTAATCAAATCGCGGAGCAACTCATAAGAAGCCACACGCACGTTCCGGCTGGCCTTTTCGTTCCGGAAGACCCAAGTGATTTGTTCCAGCATGTTATGCATGACAGATGTAGTACTGGTTTCCAGAACGCTGGCCACACGAGCGAGCAAATCCATGCAGGTAACATGGATGCGAGGCAGCTCAGACCACAGCATCTCTCGCTCATCGCGGCCAATTTGGGGGTTCGCCTGGATAGCTGACTGGGTTCCTTCAGTTGAAGGGGCAGTCACGGAGGTGAGTCGCGAGGTGATATCGAGAATAGAGCCAAGTGGGAGGGCGACGGCGGATGCGGATGGCATAGCAACGAAGTTGGACAAAATGCGCAAAAGGGTGATAATCCTGTCGGCTCCGGCATGAATTCCATTCCAACCTGGAAGTCCCAGGGCATCGGATCCATCATCGGTCAGTTCCTCACTATACTTCTGTCTGGTAAAAACCAATGAGCCATCCACCGATTCCCACTGTTCTTTCACGGCGCGGAAGACATAATCCGCAGCGCGATGAATGGACAAAACTGTTGACCTGCAATCATCAGTCCAGCCCGCTCCAGCCTTATCCTTGGGTGCACATTTATGCAACGAGGCAAACAGCTGTTCCGCAATATCCATAACCGAGTCTGGGTAGTATACCGAAGAGGATCCCAGAATCTCTGTTAGCAACGATCGGAGTTGTGAAGCGAACGGACGGAAGATGGTAGGGTGGCGGGGGACCAGTTCCAAGCAAACCTGGAGTACAGTCTCCATGAACGGGGTGTTGGGCTTGGGCTTGCGGGTCGATCCCGAGGGAGACTTGACCAGTGTCGAAACCAAGTTAAGGGCAGCGGTGATGAATCCCGGAAGATGAGGGGTGGTGATCTCCCGTACCAATGTGGGGTATTGATAGGTCAGATGGAAGATGCGAGTCAAAGTAATCATAGACATCTTTCGAGTCGAGATCGGATCGGGTTTCTAGAGATAGAAGATATTAGTCCAATTGAACCGAAAGGATCCAGATCGAGACCGAAATGCATATCTCCTATCTATATTGCATAAGAATGTTCATACCGCCAAAATACCAATCAAGCTGCGAACAATTGGCTCATAACCCCGGAGGATTTCCCACTGGCCCGCCTCAACGGTGGCCTTGACAAGTACGACGGCAGTCCATCGTCCCTCGATACTGCGATCCTGCAACAAACTGGCCAGGCGGGTCTTCAGCTTGTGAATCTGCACAGTATTATCGGACTCCGCTTTTCCGCTTTTTGCTACTTGAGGAGCGGAGAGAAGCTCTGCGCAATCAGTCAAGGAAGTCGCAAGGAATGAAGCTATAGCGGGTAATTGTTCCACGGGAGTTGTAGTCAATCGATGGGTGACAGCCCGTAAAGTAGTTGTCGACATAATTCCTCTTTCACTCTCAAAGAGTAATCCTTTTTCGCTTCTTTTTTCCTTTGAACAAGAGAATGTTAAGGTGGAATTCTTATCGGGAAGTTTTTTTTTCTTGTTAGAAGCTTGGACCCACATGACTGGGCAAGAATGTGAACATTGGACCCAAACCTCGGGTAAAATTACATACCAAAGCAATACCGCAAAGGCCTCCACATCCCCTGGGCGATCATTCTCCAACCTCTCGCCCTCCATGTAATTGTCCTTCCTGCAACTTCTTCAGATTATTCCTATCCTGACATCATGGCGGTGAGTATTCTTGTCTGAAGGCTTCGAACTGTGTTGATACAGGGATCCTCGAAATCTACCCGACATGCAGCAGATCTTGTATACTGACACGCGGCGCTAGGGAGGCAATCTCGAGAAGGGACAACGCTACATCGTGGCCTTGGATCAGGCGCGGGCTCAGGGAAAATGGGAGGAGGTCCCCGAATTGATCCGAAAAGTCACCAAACACGCTCCGCAACAAACTTGTAGGTCATACGAAAGCTGGACGAGGAAGCTGTTTTCCCCCCACGTCGGTGGCTTGCGCGCTAATCCGGATATTTCTTGTCCTTGTCAACAGGCATTATTCAAACTGCGACCGCCGAATCTCGAGTGGTAGCATACATCCAACAAAAGACTACCACTGAATCTACATCCACTCCGAACTTGCCCGAATTGATCCCCGCTTTGTTGACAACGATCGAGAATAATGACGGCACCCCGCAGGAGATCCTGCAGGCTAGGGTATGCCTGGGATGGATTCACTGGACACTCAATGAACCGGCACTGGCTGCGAGTCGTCTTCCACAGGACTTTACTGCCACTATTGATAGCCTTTTAAATGAAGGGCAAGAGTTGTCCAGCTGGACTGAGGTCTGTTTAGTCAAGGGATGCTACATCAAGGGTATGTATACCTATGAGGATTTGGGTACATGTGATTCGACACAGGCAGGGGCTAAGAAGCTTGTCTCATATAGGATCTGCTCAGTCAACAGTGGCAAGCATTGATGAAACACTGGAGACCTTTGCAGCCTTGATCGCATGGCTTGGCAATGGGAAACTCACCAACAATGCCAACAGCCAATTTCTGAGCTGGTCCGAAGCTCTGCTGGGCAAGGGAGCTGTGATGGCCAGTGAGGAAGCTGGGACAGCAACTCCATACTCCGACCCTAGACATGTGGAAATCGCACTACGATTGTTCCGATTATGGTCGGTGCATCCCGCAGTCAAGGGAGGGATGAGTGCTCCCAATGCTGCATATGCGGGTGCTCCTGGTCAACCCTCTCGTACATCCATCTGGAAATCATACTATTTATTCCTCACAATTGTTCTCCAGGATGGCCTAGAATACCCACCTCCACATGATGGCGCAGGTCGTCCACAGCTTGCCAGTGAATTGCGCCGTATTGAGGGTATTTGTGAGAGTAACATCCTCCGAGAGGTCAAGTTTCCCACTGCGAGCTCTGATAATTCTCAGGTGGAGGAATGGGTAGAGCAGGTTATTGGCAATTGGGAGGTGCTGTGTGGTCCCAACTGGCATGATCAAGACCTCGGCGAGGGAGGTCAAAATGCCGTGGGCCGCAATGTTCTGGATGTAAGTATAAGCTGTTGATTATTTTTTGGAAGATTCACTAACGCAAAGATACAGATCCTGTATCGTGCCGCAACGAAAACTTACCACTCACACTTGATTCTGCGACGCCTCTTTCATGTTCATTCCGCGCTGGCAGATTTTGATCTTGCTATGCAGGCGCATGATTCCTACGTCGAGATTGTTACTGCAGCTAAGAAGCGAGCTGAAAAGTCGGCTGAATATGGAGAGCTAGAAAAGGATGAGACATTGTTACAAACTCTTTCTGAGGGCGTCACACTATTGTGCTGTCTTGGGTCGTACGAAGAGGCAGAGAAGGCAAAGAATTTGACGGAGTTGATCAAAGAGTATATTGATAAGCAAGAGACAAGTCACAGTGAGGGTCAGAGCAATGGCAAGCTCCTATCTTCGCATGGTCCTAACTGTGCCAATTCTCCAGATCTCCCTGCTGCTGTACTAGCCACGTCCTACCGCGCTATCGGAGTTGGCCTTGCCAACTGGGCTAGCTACACTCCTTTGAATGAAGCCCGGGATGAAATTCGAGGGGAAGCAATCGAGTACTTGGAAAAGAGCATCGATCCCGAATACGGACAGGATACCAACTTCCCTGCGCTGTACACCCTCGCTCTTACACTTGCCGAAAACCGAGATTTGGATGGCGCAATCGACTATGCGAAGTCCGCTCTGGCTTCTCACAACTCATCGCCGGTCACGGATGATCTCAATAAGCAACGGGACCTTGTTCCATTTTGGCATCTGCTTGCATTGCTACTAAGTGCCAAGCAGGAATTTGACATCGCAGAGCGCTCCTGCGAGGCAGCATTCGAGCATTTCCCTTCTGACATTTTCTCCAAGAGCCATCGCGAGCAGCGTCGATCATCGAGACATTCGCAAAATGGTATCAAGCGCTCCCTGGCCAGCCGTCTACAGGGTCGAGAGAAGGAGCGCATCCTCCAAACTCGTATCACACAACTTGCGTTCACCGAGGTTTTGGAAGGCCCGGAGGCTGCGGTGAACCAAAGTGAGCAGCTGCTTGGTCTCTTTGGCACCTTGTTCCAAGAGCTGGATCTCGATGAAGGACAAAAGAGGTCGGATCACCTGGTTCCCCCAAAGAGCTCTGCAGGCACAACCAAGAGCTTCCGCAGCAGTATCTTCCATAGAAACCGGGTATCCCAGCTGCCCGATCGCCGTACCGATCGCTCTGCTAGCTCTCACTCTGCAGCTCCGCCTGTTCCGTCCCTACCCAATGGCTACTCTGGCTCCGACGCCCCGGAAATCCAAGTCACAGATGAAGATTTTCATAACAGTCCCGGACTCGGTCGATCTGATTCCAAGAAGTTGAGAAAGCGTAGTTTCAGCTCACAAAGGCCCGAGCAGCCACGAGACCAAGATGCATCAGTGCCTCACGAAGACGAAGTTGGCATTGCTGTATCTGGTAACTCTACGCCTGTTCCTCGCGAAAATTCTCACTCTTCTTTTGCCAAGCAGCCCCTCCAACCAATTCCCCATAATGTCCACCACAAAATACAGCCATATCCAGTTGGTCACGAGGATCAACCCCCGCAACAGGACGTTCGGCTCCCTGCCGCTCAAAGATTTGATTCTCCCACCAGTGCAAACACCAAATTTTCCGTTATACAATCCAAAAAGCACGCACTTGCACTTTTAGTGAAGATCTGGCTTATAATCGCGGGTCTGTATCGTCGAGCATCCCTATTCGATGATGCGCGCGAAGCCTGTGAAGAGGCTCTGAAGCAGACTGCCCGAATGGAGGCCCTAGCCTCTACCGAGGAGTCATCGGCTCGTCACTTCAGCAAGCGAGGTTGGACTGCTGCCAAGAGCCCCGAAGAACTCTGGGCAGATGTATATGCCGAGGAGGGTCTTCTATGCCAGGCTCAGGACAAGCCTCACCAAGCCATGAAATACTACGAAGATGCCCTTCTGCGTCATCCTGAGCATCCGATAGCAACTATCGGGTTGGCAAACCTTCTCCTGGATATCTGGGACCAGAAGCTTGCTCCTGAATCAACAAAGACGGATGTGGATATCAACATTTCCCGTCTGTCCTTGCTATCTGACAGTGCCAAGCTGAAGTCAGCCCGTGCCATTTCGGCTGATGAGCTGAAGCATCCTGAGGCGGCTGAGATCCCATTGCCAGTCTCAGTGTCTAACTCCCCTCACGAAGTCGACCCGAAGCACTTGCATCGCCTTGCAGCTCGTGACCGTGCGTATGGGCTGTTGTCAGTGCTCACCAAGCTTGGTAGCTCATGGGACAACTCCGAGGCCTGGTACGCGCTTTCTCGCGCCTACGAGGCTGGTGAACAAACTGAGAAGCTGAAGGAAGTTCTGTGGTGGTGTATTGAGTTAGAAGACCGTCGACCAATTCGACATTGGTCTAATATCGGGTCTGGGTTATATGTGCTTTAAGGAACTAACAAAAGGACGGACATGTTTCACTAATTTATTCTTGTATCTAGTTGGTTTTCTCTTTCTCCTGACTGTTCACGCTTGATTCCCCTGTTTTCATCTTCAAGAACCTGATATACCATGTCCTCACTTTGGAGTGGGGACTGAGAATGGACTGGGCATGTTTCATCGAGCGTTCTTCCTTTTATTTCAGTTTTTGATCTGAGCATTTATTGGAAATGGAAAATCGAGTTCTCTTCTATTAGCCCGAGGTGCATGGAAATAATCACTTGCGTTTCCAAAGTTTTTTCGAAGAATATTTTTTAGTAGTCCTAGGCTCATGGCAATAATCACTCGTTTGAAAAGTTATTTTAGTCTCTGAAAATTTTCTTAGCCCTAAAGCCTATATCAACAACCACTGGCACACATTTGTTGGAGAATACATGTATTCCTTGCTCTGGGCCAAAATATTTCTACTCATACTTCTAAGTTGAAATCCAAGAAACCTTAAGACGGATCTTTCATGAAAAGCACGAATAGCACAACTTTATGTACAGTCCTCCCAAGCCCAATGCTTGACTTTGAGGGTTTATAAAACGAAACGAAACTAGCGTAAGAGTGCAAAGCTTGTATTTATTTTGCTAGCTCCTGGCCAAGTGGATTTACCGGGGAGCGGCAACAGGATTCCAAGCAGAGTACTTGGGGCGGGTGCTATAGAAAGGTTAGTTGATAATTGCAAGTATAAAGCTGTAGGTACATACGTCGAGTAGGTTCGGAAAGCAGCGCGAGTCTGAGTAAGGTTGGGGCGGTGCTCAGGGACCTCGTAGTGACGCAAACCAGGCTGCAGGACCTTGTCGGCAGTGGGGGGAGCATCGACCATGTAGGAGATCCACGCGTGCCTGTATTTTGATTAGCTTAACAGCACTGAGCCGGAGCATTAAGCTTTGAAATCCATGAACTCACCAGCCAGGCTCAACTTGACAGGGCTGGAACTCGGGCCACTTGGTCTTGTAGTCGACCCATCGTGTGCGGACTGTGCGGATAAGATAATCCTGAATCAGCACCATGCTTCCAACTTTCCTCTATGCTGGCTCGGGCCCCGATTTAAAGTGTCTCTTACGGGGAAGCTCCTCCTCCATGTTCTCGTAGTACTTGTTGCCCCAGCGGTCAGTTCCGATCAGAGTTCCGGCTTTGGTATCACCTGTAATGAAGTCAGTTAGAGATGCACCACCTATGCCATGGCCGGGGAGATGACATACCGATGTTCTATTTGAAACAACAAATAGTGAGCTGGTGTTAGTCTTTCTGCTGTTTCTGTTGCCATATCTCGAGTCTCCGCGGTTGAGGTTCATACCTGCATCTGGTGGGCATATTCCTTTATAACAAGTTAGCACCTCGAGATCCTTCAAGTGAGTCAGAGACGAGCGGATAACAAACCTTGAGGCCAATGCGGCGCAAATTGCGCAGTGTCCGCAGAACGGTCGACATAGTGACGGTGCAATTGAGGGAGGAACAAATGCGTAATCCCAGTGTCGTGAGTCGTCGCGAGGTTGAAGCGAATTGAGGTCGGGATGTTTGCACTGTTTGCACTATCGGTAGCTGTGCCTTCCCGATTCAGATACTCGGACATTCCCTCTTGGGAACTCTCTATATAACTTCAATTCTTCTTCCTTCTCTTCATCATGTTCGGTCGCATTGGGGGTCAAGCACTCCGCTGTGCTTCTCGTCGCCCTGCTGTGCGCCGTAAGCTCTGCGGTCGCAAGTTCTCTGCCCAGTCGGCGGCTAATGCACCCGCTGCTTCGGGATCGTCACCTCTCGGAGCCATCACGGTCGAACTGGATCGCATTGCACCGCGATTTGAGATTTCTGCCTCGCAGGTGAAGATTCTGGACTCACCGGCTAATTTCTACTCAACTCTCAAGGTTGGTAACTTGATTCTCCCCAAAAATGATCCTCAATTGACCAGAACTGTCTATAGCACAAAATCCGCAATGCCCGGAGGCGCGTTTACCTGTCGACGTTATACATTGGCAAGACAGAATACGAATTAATTGATACACTGGCGGATGCTTTGCGCGAAAACCCGGATCTCAAAGTATCCGTCCTGACGGATGCACTACGCGGTACTCGAGAAACCCCCAATCCGTCGTGCGCTTCATTGCTGTGCTCCTTGGTGGATGAGTTCGGTCCTGAACGAGTGGATATTCGGATGTTCCATACTCCCAACTTAACTGGCCTACGAAAGAAATATGTTCCTCGTCGAATCAATGAGGGCTGGGGCTTGCAGCATATGAAGCTCTATGGGATTGATGACGAGATCATCATTTCAGGGTAAGATTTACCTCTTATAGTCCTACTTAATGAGTCCCTATTCTCATACTTTATGCAGAGCAAACTTGTCTGATGACTATTTCACCAACCGTCTGGATCGATACCACGTATTCGACTCCAAGGCTCTGACCGATTACTACGCTCGCATTCACCATGCCATTTGCAGTTTGAGCTTCCGGGTCTTACCAGACCCTCTCAACAAGTCTGCCTACCTTCTAGAATGGCCCACATCTAATGGAGCCCCATCACCATTAGACGATACCAAAGCATTCATCGAGTATACATCGAATTTCCTCGGTCCCCTCATCCAAGCTCCCAACAACAAACCCGTCCTTCCCTCTACCACAAGTCAAACATTTGTCTACCCCGTGGCTCAATTCACGCCCCTCCTCAAGCCCGACACCTCTACCGAATTTCCAGCTGTGACCAGCATTCTCCGTCTACTATCTGAATCGTCCGCATTTGCTGGAGCCCGTTGGCTCTTCACAGCAGGATACTTCAACATCCACCCCGTCCTTTCTTCACTCCTGATAGCCAGTACATCAACCGACTCCAATGCGCCGTCCACCACACAAGGCACGGTTCTTACTGCCTCGCCCTGGGCCAATGGGTTCTATGGTTCACCGGGAGTCTCAGGTATGCTACCAGCGGCCTATACCCATCTATCTGCCCGATTTCTTGACCGGGTTGCCGCTGCCCAGGCGACAAATTCCATCCAGCTAAAGGAATGGCGCCGAGGTACTGTCGGAACACCGGATGGATGGACCTACCACGCCAAGGGTCTTTGGGTCACATTGCCACACGAAGAGCACCCTAGTCTCACATTCGTTGGTAGCAGTAACTACACGAAACGGAGTTACAGTCTGGACATTGAGGTTGGTGCGCTGGTCGTCACAGATGACCAGGAGCTCAAGCGCAAACTCGGCGAGGAGACTGAGTGGCTGCAGAAGGACTCCAAATTCATCTCGCGCGAGGACTTAATGCTCACAGAGCGACGCGTAGGCTGGAATGTCCGATTGGCAATGTGGATTGTTGAAAAAGTGGGTGGTGCTCTTTAGGGCATCTTGTAAATTAAACTTGTATTTGTATATACTGCATTGTCTAGATCTGAGGGAATACCTCATTGTATTTATAGATATCTTGCATGTGAGGATCTTGGCTATCACGCCATTCTCTTTGCAAATGAATGTCACATATTCTGAGTCATGAACCACCTTCAACTTCAAGTTGAAGTTAAGTGCTCACTACTACAACTCCAGAGCTGTCCATTTTGAAGTCTGGATTCTCATATTCTTGCTTGACATTTAAGTTTTCACGAAACATGCTCGATCCAAGTCTCAAATCAACACTGCTTTCCAAGAAATGGTTCGGCTTTGACCTAGACGACACACTCCACAAATTCCGCAAAGCCTCGTCACAAGCTTCAGAAAGCGTATTTGAAGCCCTTCATACCGATCATGGCATCAATATCGATACTTTGAGATCTACATATGCAAACGTATTACGCACATCCACCGCAAACGCGTTCACAGATGGTCGAAGCTCCACGGAGTATCGTCGGGAGCGATTTACTCGGATTCTGCAAGCGCACGCTGCTATCAATGTTGAAAAGACTAACATTGATTCATTGCTCGGTATTTACAAGTCTTCCTTGCAGTCAAGTTTGACCTTGAAACCTGGTGTTGTAGAGTTGTTTCGAAGTTTGCGACAGCTTGGAAAGAATATCATCGTGGTTACTGAGGGTCCAGCTGATGCTCAAGAATGGACGGTCCGAGAACTGGGCATAGACTCTTATGTCGGTATTCTGGTCACTACGAATGAAATTGGGAAGTCAAAAGTAGATGGCTTGTTTGGTGTTGTGTTAGAGAGATATGGAATTGATGCTGAGGAAATTGTTTACTTTGGGGACAATGAGGTGCGGGATGTAAGGGCTGCCTTACAGAGTGGCATATTGGCGATTCTTTATGATGAAAAGAGACTCGAACACTCGGTGGAAGATTCAACCCTTGATGTTGTTAGAGTTAGCTCTTGGAGAGATTTGCAAGATATACTACTATTGAATGATGGTTGATAAGTATCGAGGATTGAATATTCTGGCAAAATATCACTTTTAATCTAAGAAATTTGAAGATATACCAACCCCGACATACATGCATGAACAGGGTACTGACCATGGAGGAATAGAACCAGAAAATGAAGAGAAAAAATAAACCAAACGCCGTATCATGATTTGTAGATCCATTCAGTGTCGTATCATGGTGCAATGCAAAAAGACAACAATGCTGGGCCTTGCTTAAGCTCGTCCGGGAACCTTGGGGCTGTTCGAAAACCGAGCCGGACCAAGACCTGAGCGAACCTCATCAAGCATACGAATACCAATCGCTTCGTTTCCGTGCTTTCCACGCTTGTACTTGACTCCCTTTCGCTTGACTTGGGAACCTGTGTTGCCATCCCAGCCTGCTAAAAAGTCATCCATGACATTGTGGAAATCGCTGCGAGAAACAGCTCCTCCATTGGCATCAACCAGACTAGGTGCCTGAGAAGAGGCAGTAGACATGCCAGTCATTCCAGTCATACCGGTCATACCAGTCATGCCACTAACCATGGACATGCTGTCGTCATATTCATCCTCTTCATCCAGGGAGTATAATTGCTCAACCTTATCGAATCGGTCATCCAGAAGTCGGTGACCCTCTGTGCGGGCCAAAGCGGAGGATGTCATCGAGTAGTTAGAGGGGTTGGTCAAAGCACCCTTGCGCTTCTTGCGTCGGATGGGTGTGCCGCCAACAGTGAATGCAGTAGAAGCAAGAGTATGTTGCTCAGAGGGCGCAATGGTGGGGGCAGCCGGCGCGGGGGCCTTGCCCGCCTTAGCATCCTTCTTGAACTTGGCGAACTCTTGCATCCAATTTTGGTCTGTGGGGTGCATATCCGGAGCAGGCACGTCATGCTCAGGCATTTCACCGGGCGCAAGATCTTTGTTTAATTCTGACGCATCCTCATCAACGTGGGCGTCAGAAGTATCTCTCTGCACAGGCGCCTTCTCAGTCGCATCCGACTCCCATCCCTCATCTTCGTCGTCGTGGTCGAATAAGCTATCCTCAAAGTCGCCTTGATCAACTTCCTCGGCATTGGCGGTCAATTCACCGAATATGTCATCATCCTCGTCGTCAACGTATGCCTCGTCCTCAAGAGCCTCCAAAGCCTCACGAAGACGCGGATCCATATCAGGCTGGAAACCGGCAATCGCATCGGGGATGTTCTGCTGGTCCTGGTATGTGGGCTTCCGGGAGAAAGCTGTGTAGTTTGAGCGCATATCTCCATATTCACTGGCACCATAAGCGCTTTGCGAATCGTCCAAAGAAACCTGGCGCAAGGCATCTTCCAACTTCAACCCCTTGGACTTGGCCTTCTCAGCCTTGGCCTCCACGAAGTAAGCGTCTCCGCTGCCAGTCCCTAGCTCACGCAAATGTTGCATGTAGTCATATCCGGAGTCATCGTAGTAGATGCCATAGTTGGCAGCCTCGCCCTCATTACGGCGAACACTATCCTTGCTGAATTCGCTCTGAAGGTCGTTAAGGTTTCGGATAGGCTTGGATGAAGCAGTGGATGGCCCAGGGGGGGCCAGGGGCAGGTCCGCGAACTTGGTGTAGAACTCGATCGTCCGCTTCGGGGTCGTGGATTTGCGGGTCTTTTTGAGACCGGTGAAAGAGCTGGAATGTGCTCGCGTTCTTCTTGTCACTAGAATGGGGGGGTCAGTCTTGGATTTCAAGTTAGAGTTTCGAGTACAACTCACATCCACTGCTTCGGCATGATGGCTGATTTATGCGACGATGCGATGAGTAGAGTAGTATATCGACTTGATCAAAAAAAGCGAAAAAGTGGGATTGATAGGGTCACGTGCTCCTTATCGGTGCCCGAACCCCTCGGGTCCTCAGTGTGGCGAATGCAGATATTTCACGATATTAAGTGATATTTCTTGACGAGAAACGGATATAAATCTTTAATAATTTGTAAAAAATTATTCTACAGGTAATCGAAGTCTTTTCATGTAAACATACCTATATTGATCTTATGTATTTGTAAAATTGAAAATTTTCGACCTTGCTGAGTCAGCTATCTTATCCGTGGGATCCAAAAGATTTCCTTTTTCAAGCGGGGTTTGATTTCCTACACACTACATTCCAACACCAACTGATTCATACATATTCATCATGGTGTTGGCTAAATCCAAAAATTCCGTGGGGCTGGGTAACAGCCTCATGAACGATCGTTTCGGAAAGGGAAAAGCTTCGAGAGAGAAGAAGGCCTCGCACAACAATGCCATTGCGCGAAAGAACATGGAGGGCGAGACCTACATTACAAATGCCGCAACAGAAGCCTCATGGGTGAAGATGCGCTCGATCACTGAGCAAGCTGCCCTCGATGAGTTCCTTAGCACCGCCGAGTTGGCCGGTACCGACTTTACCGCCGAGAAGATCAACAACGTCAAAATTATCCATTCCGACCAGAAAAACCCCTACCTCCTGTCCGCCTCGGAGGAAAAGAAAACTGTGAAGAAGCACCAGCAGAACAAGGGTCGTTTGACTGTTCCCCGTCGGCCGAAGTGGGATTCTACGACTACACCACAACAGTTGGAGCAGATGGAGCGAGAGAGTCTGTTGGACTGGCGACGTGGACTGGCGGAACTTCAGGAGTTCAATGATCTGTTGATGACTCCGTTCGAGCGTAACTTGGAAGTTTGGCGTCAGTTGTGGCGTGTTATTGAGCGATCCGATCTCGTTGTGCAGATTGTCGATGCTCGAAACCCGCTTCAGTTCCGTTCGGAGGATTTGGAGAACTACGTTAAGGAGATTGATCCGCGCAAGAAGAACTTGCTGTTGGTCAACAAGGCTGATATGTTGACCCTCCAGCAACGTGAGGCCTGGGCTGAGTACTTCGAGAGGAACAACATCAACTTCCGTTTCTTCTCGGCTCATCTGGCTAAGGAGAAAATCGAGGCTGAGATGCTCGGCGAGTCAGAGTCTGATAGCGAGGCTGATGAATTGGCCGAGTCTACCAAGAAGATGGGTGTCAACGATGAGGAGGAATCCCAGGAGGCCGAAGAGGAAGTCGATGAAGAGCACCTGGCTAAGCTTGCTGATCCTGACCGTTCATTGGGTCCTCACATCCTGGACGTTGATGAGCTGGAAGCACTTTTCCTCGCAAACGCCCCAGAATTGCTCTCCGAGCTTGAAGACTCTGAGCACAAATCCAAGGCAAAGACCACTATTGGTTTAGTCGGTTACCCTAACGTGGGTAAGTCCAGCACAATTAACGCTCTTCTGGGTGCCAAGAAGGTGTCTGTGTCTGCCACTCCCGGTAAGACCAAGCACTTCCAGACCCTGTACCTCTCTCCGGAGATCATGCTCTGTGATTGTCCCGGTCTGGTTTTCCCCAACTTCGCTACTACTAAGGCCGACTTGGTCGTGAACGGTGTGCTGCCCATTGACCAGCAGCGTGAGTTCACTGGTCCTGCCGGTATCGTCGCTCACCGTATCCCCAAGCACTTCTTGGAGAATGTCTACGGTGTGAAGATTAAGACTCGTCCGATTGAGGAGGGTGGCACTGGTATCCCTACAGCTAGTGAGGTTCTTCGTGCCTACGCCCGTGCTCGTGGTTTCTCAACCCAGGGTCTCGGTCAGCCCGATGAGTCTCGTGCCGCTCGTTACGTTCTGAAGGACTACGTGAACGGAAAGATTCTTTACGTTCACCCTCCTCCTGTTGCAGAGGGCGAGGAACCCATCGACCCGAACGCCTTCAACCACGAGCTTTACGATCTCGCTCATCTTCCCGCGAGGCGCCAGGCTATCCTTGCGAATAAAATCGTCGATCTCGATGACCCTAACTCCGATATTTCTTCCATCCTCTCCAGGGATGCTGCTGGTGAGCTGCCTGGTGCCCGCTCCCGTAATATCGACAGTGGTTTCTTTGGTACAGCGACTGGTCCTTCCGCCGGCCGTATGACATTGCCATTTAACGCCAAGAACACCGCACAAGGCCAGCAGATCCGCCAAAATCTTACAGGTCGCAAGGAGCGTATGATGATTGCCTTGGAACGTGGTGTTGATGTCTCTGAAGTCCGGAGTGCGGGCTCCAAGAAGCATTTCAAGGGCAACAAGAAGCGCGCTAAGGCCCACCGCAACGTCCCAGTCGACGACGACCATTATTAAAAGTGCTTTTTTTTTGTTGGTGGACTGAATTGAAGATTAGTCTTTGGTTTTGATTCCCCTTTTTCATGTAGCTATGTTTTTCTCATTTTACGTTTGTCCATGTATGCACGATATCGATGATGGGGGAAGGGCCTGATGATAACCGGCTTTCTATATGGATGTTGCATGCGGTTGACTTGAATCTAGACATTTGCAGGCGTTGGGTTTATCACGAATTCAATTGATCTTATACCAGATTTACATCATTTGAAAATATTCATGATATCTCTTAAATTTTTCATTCTTCAAGGTCAAGCATGTCGTAAAGGAATCTCAATATAACCACAACTTAAATATGCAGTATCAGTATACTATAAAAACCATAATATCCTCAATCCAACGTCTAAAGATGACTCTTTGCCTTGAATCCAGCAGCAATAAGTAAACGATCCGACTCCTGTTGCTGCCACTTCAACTTAGCAGTAACAGCATCCTTCCGAGAGCGGTTCTCTCTGCGACCAAGCTGCTGCAAGTGCACCTCATCCGGACCATCAGCAATACGCAATGTCCGGATACCAGCCCACAGGTACGCAAGTGGTGTATCCTGACACACACCAGCAGCACCATATGCCTGGACAGCGCGATCGATAACGGCGAGTGCACTCTGCGGAACAAGAACCTTCGCCTGGGCGATCTCCTTCAGCGCAGACTTCGCATCACCCTGATCAATCTTGATCGCTGCGTTCAAAACAATCAAACGCGCGGAATCAACCTCAATCCGAGACTTAGCAATCCATTCCAGAATGACACCGTGTGCGGATAAGGGTTGTCCGAAGGTCTTCTTGCGTTCGTCGTTCACGCGTGCAATAAGCCACTCCAGAGCCTTTTCGGCGGCACCAATGGTGCGCATAGCATGGTGAATACGACCTGGTCCAAGACGACCCTGGATAATTTCAAAGCCGCGGCCTTCGCCGAGAACCATGTTAGAGGCTGGGACGCGAACATCCTTGAAGCTGATGTGTCCGTGACCGTGAGGGGCGTCGTCATAGCCGTAGACGTGGAGCATACGGTGGATAGTGATTCCGGGAAGACCGGCTGGGACGAGAATGACAGATTGCTGCTTGTATGTGTCTTTGTTGGATGGGTCGGTCTTGCCCATTACCAAGTAGATCTTGCAGCGGGGGTCACCAGCACCAGAGGACCACCATTTCTGAAGAAACTTAGTTAGTTGATATCCTATAGATACTTTGGGATAGCAGAATATAGGTAAAAACGTACCGAGCCATTCAGAACATACTCGTTTCCTTCGCGACGGATGTTCAATTCAATGTTGGTCGCATCACTTGATGCAACGTCGGGTTCGGTCATCAGGAACGCAGATCGAATCTTACCCTCCAGCAGGGGAGCCAGCCACTGCTGCTTCTGGGCATCGTTTCCATATTTAGCCAGCACCTCCATGTTACCCGTATCGGGAGCAGCATTGTTAGTAGCCTGTCATCGGTCAGCCCATATACATGTTAAAGTTTCCCAGCAATTATATCGCCATTGTGCCAGCAGATAAACCAGTTATCCGCAAGACACCTAGTAGTACACTCCCACTGGCGACTATAGCCAGAAAGATACAACAACGTACCTCTGAAGCAATCTTGCTCTTCCCCAGTAACTCCGCCATCAATCCATATTCAAGGTTGGTATACCCAGCACCCTGAGTGAAATGACTCTTGGACAGGAACATATTCCAAAGACCCAGTTTCTTAGCCTTGTCCTTCAGCTGCTCCATAACAGCGGGTGTGGTATTCCATCGCTTCTCTCCTTCACCGAGCTGAGCGGAGAAGACAGCTTCGGCGGGGACGCAGTCTTTCTCGACGAATTCCTCGACCTATGCAGCATAAATAATAAGCGTTCCATCCTGAAGCAAATATCTTAAATTCGAATATTGAATTCAACTCGCGTGTTTGGCAGGGACATGTCATTGCGCGTCGTGGGAAGGGACTAAAGCCAGGTGATGTAGCATCACGAATGCGGTAGAGAGCTCCACATACCAAGTCCAAGGTCTTCTTAGCCCGATCGCTAACAAAGGGCTGAGCGATGGGTGGGATACGAGTAGATGCAGACATTGTGAATGAGATAATAGAGGAATCCAGATCAGGGATAATCTGGGGATAGAAAGTAAAGGCAGAAGAGGTCGAATATAAGTTGGGGCGCTCAGTAATTGCGGAGTAGTGGAGAAGCCGAGCGGCGGGTTTTTTGCCTCGGCCCAGTCTCACTAAGTATGTGTGTGGCACCACCATTAATCATGAAATCTACCCAAGGTACTATTATAGATATTGTGGAGATACAAGAGATATTGTAACCATGCTATAAGCTCGGTTGATCTAGACTTCTTCGGTCGGAGTCTATGTGTTAGATAGGGAGAAGTTGGGCTGTATTCTACCTCGGCCAAATGTCCGATCCGGTGGAACTTAAGATGAATACCTTAGGTATGGGGGCTACAAATTAATCATATCAGATTGACTGACTTAGATAGTACTAAATTATACCAGTATTAGTATGTAGAGACACTTGAACAGGCTGAAGCAATGTCCAATTAATCCTATTCCTATTCCTGTCCTGTTGGACTACCAGATGAGTCCCCAAACCCCCAAACCAAAGAAAATAAAGAAATAATAGCACACGGAAGAAGACATTGCGGTCATGAAAGAAAAGGAGCGAAAATAGGAGAACCAATGAGTCCACCGAGAAATGCAGTAACCACCATTATCACCAGAAATATCCCAATCACCCCCAGAGCTCCAGGAGCAAGAGTCAGGCTCTCGTATTTCCTTCCGATAAAAGGTGTCCAGCACCAAGAATCAGATCAGGAGGATTCTAGGAAACTGGATAGATCGAAGAAAGTGCAATGGGAATCACAGAAGAAGAAAAAGATCCAAAAATCGTAGAAATCAATAGAGCATGACTCAATTGAATCTATTCCGCATTTCGGTTCTGTTCGGCGGAGGATTGTTCGTAACTCTTCTTGCCAAGCTTAGCGAACAATGATTGGGGCTTGCCGGCACTGTGGGAGAAAAATAATAATTAGCATTTCTCAAAAAATATCACCAGTCCAGATTACATACTTCTTGAATCGCTTGCCCTTAATATCACTCAGCTTCTTTGTGCAAGGACTCATAATATCATCGGAGGGAGAAACGTAAGCACCGGGTTGCCTAAGAAAACATCATTAGCATTGCTGTTCCAGGATGGACAAAAGAGAATCGGAAAACCAGGAATCTACTCACTTCTCGCCATTATCCAGTTTGCTCTGAAGGGCTTGTCGGTGTTGCTCCATTGAAGACAGGTCAGTAGACTTCATGTCTGTCTTGTCCGCGTTGGTGTTGGCAAGGTGGGTGTTGGTTGAGCGGTCGGCCAGAGGCTGAACTTGTGTGGAGTCCATTTTGTATTGGATTGTGTAGAGAGAAGTTGATTGTGGGGATAAGACAAGAGGGTGTTTGTATGAGTGTAGAAATGGGAGTTCTGTCAAGTTCAAGTTCTGATCGGTGGATCGGGATAGAGAGGGAAAAAACGTGTTAAACGTGTGTTGTTGCGGGTTAAAGGAAAAATGCTGATTCTGATTGTTGGCCCGGCAACACACTATGACTCGGATGACGACAGACATTCTTGCTACACGTCTACTGCACTCCAGTGCTCTTGTGATTTCATCTGTACACGGACCTTGTTATTGTCTTGGAATTAATTATTTGATATATTGATTTTTCTAATATTGATTTCTTATACCAAAGTTAAGACAAAATACTCAAGGGACTGGTGAAACCTTGGAATATTGTTTTGCGTGTATTGATCTAGCGAGCCGGTCACTACGGAGTACATCTGCCAGACAAATAAGTGAAATGACCCAGTGGTGAGATCAGCAGCTGGAAGGGGCTTAGACAAGGGCCGCGGCAGTACATATATCAACATATGACTAGATACATGCGGAACATGATGGCAGTTCAAGCGCCAGTAGTTCAAAGTAAACACTGGCCCTAGGGTAGGATCTGTAATGGGAGGATATAAGATTGACTATCGATGGGGTTCTCCTTAAAGAGCATCTGGGAAGATCTGATGCAAGACCGCGACTTCATAACAAGGGATATCATGTAGTCTATACTGGAGGCAGTCATGACTCTAATGTTCTATAGCCTTTGATACCCGCTACCTCGCCTGGGATTTGATTCGAAGGAATCATGCTACCTAGGTAGTATGTAGTAGACCAAGACCATTAGTACCAAGGTACTACATTACAAGAAAAAAAAGAAAAAGAAATCCAGCAAGACCAGGAATCGAACCCAGGACCTTCAAAATCAGAAATGCGTGAATAGCCTCAACATCTCTCACTTGATGCATCCATCCCCATCCCATAATCCCGTCTATCTCCATCAATTATTTTTATTTAGAGGATCTGAAAGCTGTAGTAGAAAGGGAATAGCTAGAAGTATGATAGGTAAAAATATAAAAAATTCAAAAAAAAAGCATTATTCCCTGGCCGAAGCCAGATACCCTCCCACCCGCCGGTAAAGTCTCTGCCACTGAAGATGGGTCCAGCGTCCGCATTTCAGTACCTTTGTCCCCCAGAAGGGTCGCCGACCGCTAGACTAGCAGAGCAGAGAAGTTATCTGGGGATCTTTTTACTCAAATATAAGGGAGCTCTGGTTCCTTGAATGGTCGACTCTCCCTACCCTGCACTATTTACTATAATCCTTATACCTAGATATCCCCAAAACAAATTCAAGTCTAAATAATCAATCCATTCCAACCTTGGAAATGATTTTAATATTACCACCAGCCTGAGGGCTATACCTAGTACTCCGTATCCCTGTAGTAACTTCCGCACAGTGCCTTCCAAGGTTTAAATACTAGTACGTCCTGCGACATATGACCAGCTGTATTATGCACATGTGCCAACCCAAGTAGTAAAAGAGGCCTACTATTTATCTCAAAGGTCTATGTTATCTGTTTGTAAATCTTCAATTTTCCGAGTTAGTACCTATGTACTATGTAGTAGGTCCAGATAACTTGAACTTGAAATTCTCGACACCCAGTCTAATTCCAAGGTTGTATACATAGCACTTCCAGATGTCATTCAAAGTGTGGTTCTCCATGAAAATTCAAACAGTTGATTCAAAGTAAATAAAAATTGAGATCAGGTAATAATTCTTTCGCTCGAGACAGCATTGCCATCTCAAGATCACTTGATTACAGTCTAAACAATAGTGGGAATCTTGATCGTGCATCATCTAAACGTACACTCGCCAGATCGTGAAGGTACATGCCTCAAAACGCCAAAAACATAGATCCAGATAGAAATCGAAGGAAACAGAAAAACAAAAACAAAATGGCTATGAGAAATTCACCTGGCGGGTGGGAAAGCATGGAGTCGGCATGAAATGTTTTAGGTGGGACCAGCCCACAAATGTGTGCAGTGTTCAGGGGGTTAAAAATTGCTCATCGGATGTCTGAGAGCTCTCAGATGTCGATGCAAATTCGTCTACCACGAGATCCGGGTTCAGGATCGGGGCATGACCATTCAATACAGGAGGAGTACTCTGAGATCGGAATTGGGGAGTTTCAAAGGTGGGCACCGACATGGAATCTGGAGATGGAGGTGCGTCGATTTTATCGTTGTCCTCGATCTCCCGGGAAATGTCAGATGTCGGAGTCGGCGGGATGTATGAGATAGATGGGCTGACAGGACTGGGACTGGGGCTGTCCTGCGACGAGGAACTCTCCGAGAGGTTTCGTCGATGGGTTTCATTCTCGCGGTAGGAAGAGGTAGGTCGGGTAGACCCGGGACTGGCAGATGGGGAAATAGGGGACGAGTCTCGCAGACTGTAGGAGCGAGTGACCATCCGTTGGACGCGAGGAAACTCCATATAGTTGCTGACAGATCCTCGCGAAAATAAAACCAGAGCAAAACAGCATAGAACCATGATGCTCTGGATGATGGTAACCCGTTTCTGGAAGACCAACTCATCGGCTAGCACACCGAGTTGGGCACTAAGCGAATGCAGTTCTTGGTGATATCGCATTCGTTGGTGCTCAAACTCGAACGCTACAGAGCTCCAAACCTGGTCGTATTGCTCTCGGAACTCTTTAAGCTCACTGAGAACAGTCACATTGAGAGTTTCGAGAAAAGTAGATGTCTTTGCGAGTTGACGCTTCTCGACCTTGTTGAATGCGTCGCGGAGGATACGAGATTGCTCCTCAATATAAAGAAGAGAGAGGGTAGAATTTGATTCAAGCATTTGAAGTCGCTTTTGGACGGATTTGAAGAATGACTCTTGGGTAGTTGGGTTTGAAGAAGGAGGTTGGGTCGATGTTGGTCTGATAGATTCAGGCTGTGGGGTGTTTTCTTCCTTAAAGCTCCCCGTTGATTTACCAGGATTCTCGACAGTAGAGTCCTGCTGCCCTGACTCTGCGGCTGCAGCTGAGGCGTCAGGCGTGGTCACTATCGCTTTCGCGGTGTCCCCCGGTTTCCGGAGATCTTCAACTGCCTTTGGTGGAGCTGAGTGGCCAGACTGGGAGGCTTGAACACCCTCCCCCGTAGATCCTGTAGAATCGGTGCGTGGTACTTGCTTGCTTGGGTCCGTCGCAGCGGATCTGTCTGGGGCAGTATCGCCTGGCGGCCGCTCGGTAATATCACAAATCTCCGTGGGTTTCTGTGCAACACCAAGTAGGAGAAGTTCTACCTCTGATGGAGATTGAAGGCAGATGTCAGGAGATTGATCCCTCTCGATCTCTTCCGGTACAAATTCATCCACTGAGAGTGCAGCTATCTCAGCTTCAACCTCCCTGAGGGTCTCCACATGTTCAACCGTCTCCAAGACTTCCGTCTCGCCCCGGTCAGCACTCTCATCATGCTTGTATTCTTCCATCATCGTCGTTCCATGAACCCGGACAAGGCTGACAGGACAGAAAAATTCATGACCATAATGCGTCAAGAACTCGATGCGAAGGTAGCGTGCCCAAATCAGAGAGTTTTCGACCGCAAAGGCCTGCACCTCCCGAGTATTGCGCGCTTCATACACACCCAACTCTTTCCACTGGTCTGGCTTTGCAGGATAACGATCAGACACGCTAGCACGGAACGTATGGAAGATTGAGCTGAAGAACTCGTAGTTGGCAAGCACAATTGTATCCACAAGAATGTCATCACATAGTTCCAGGATCAAAAACTTGTTGTTAGCCCTGCACTCATTCAGCATGTAACTATCCTTGTTTTCAACAAGAATCGATGACGATCCTTTGCATTCTGGATTGGTCTTCAGCACGGTAGCCGCACAATCAAAAGAGGCATAATTGAAGCGCTCTTTGCACGTTGTTCCGGCATCCTTGCGGCGTGAAAGTTCTGCCTGTTGAACACGCTGAGCATTGATATCATTTTCAACACGAGCATCCAAATTATCGGCATGTGCTGATGAAATCGGCGTGCCCCACGCAGTAGGGCTGGCTTCGGGTGTCTCAGCCCCAAACCCACCGAATTCCAGCTCAATCTCCGCATCATCGCCAAGTGAATCCAACGCATTGTTGATCCCCGGTTGACGACGACCCTCCTTGCCAGCTGCAGCTACTCGTCGACCGCCTCCAACATTCTCAGCAGACTGCCCAACCTTGGCTAGGTTCTGCTTCTTCCAGTCCTCAAAGGAAAGAAAACTTGCACTATCAAGCAAAGAGTCTGTGTCTTGCTCTGTGTCTGTTTCAACCGTAACTTGCTCGACTGGTGGTGTAGCTCCGGCTCCGGCTCCGGTAATAGTACTAGCGCCAGAACTTTCTTCCACCGTAGTTGCAGAGTCTGTCGCAGTAGTTACAGGCGCGACAATAGCATCATGCGCCGAGCTCCCACGCGTCGCAACACAAACTGGCTCACAAAATATCTCCGCCTCCACCTCCCACGGATTTATATTCTCCACGGCACATATCGTATCGGATATCGGTACCTGCTTCGGCAGCTGGTTTTCAATCGCCCGTAGTGTATCTTGATTGTGATCTCCAACCCCGGAACCAGCTAGCACAAGAATACAGTAGGCCCAGGTTAACCTAGACCATTCTGATCTCGGCATCTTATCGCTATAGGATGTCTGCCTGTGGCTGGGTTCGTGTTTACCCTCCTCCCCGGGCTTATCTCAACCACTTGACGCGACTGATACCGACCAGGTCAAGAGCAGCAAACGGGATGGGTTTCCGACAACCCTGATCTTCAAAGGATATACTAATCCAAGTTCCAACCCAGATCCCATACAGTATATAGACGGTTATGATGGGCCCATTATCGTAGGTGGCGGGGCCAAGCGTACTCGTTATCTGTTCGGGTTTTCGAGGCTCGGCTTTCGATGTTCAGGGTCTAGGGTCTTGAATCTATTGGGTAGAGGAAAGAGCGTATCGTGTTCGTATCGCGCGAAGAATTTGGGTTTTCAGCAAGAGAGTTATTTGGAATAGAAGAGTGATTGTAACTTGAATTGTGTGCTCGCCTTGACTTCAAGAAGCGAAGCACCATAGAGCGGGAAAGCTGTGGACAGAAAAGTGGATCGTGTCATCTCAAAGGGTTTAAGCTGGGGTCACCGCCCTTTTCACCGCTGATTGTGACTTGGCAAGACTCCACTGAGCTTCAAGTTTCAAGTTGAAGTTATTTATAGTGAATTACAAGTATGACTCAAGTATGAATTTTCTGGTTAGATCGATAATGAATTGTACTAGAAATTGAGGGATAGAAGGGTGAGCATCAAGGCCTCAGAATTGATAGCATTGTAGGACTTAGCTATACTACTACCTACGAGACAACTCGAAGTTGACATCCAACTTGAAACTGGCGCTTCTCTACTATTGTCAATGTGCAAGAATACAGTCTACAATGAAATCTACTGATCTACGAATAAAATAAATCTTTCACGGATAATAATTCAATTCTCCCATCAACATCCCAAACTAGGTACAATAAAGTAGAGGGAGAGTATCCAAGAAAAACGGCCGTGTTTCAACCTGTTGCCAAAATGAAGTCCAATATGCGTAGTTGGAACTCCTTATGCCGACATACCACTCCATCAAATTTCTGTTCCTTTTGCTTTTCCGAGTCGCTTTTGTCCGAATGCGTAAAAATAAATCCTCCCCTCGATGAAATTTCACCCCGCCTTCTAGTCTTTTTTGGTGCATGATGCTGCCACCTGCCCTCTGCTGCCCCAACTCCATATTGTACAGAGATAAGAAAAGAACAGAAGATAAAATGGTTGGGAGCAGTGCTGCAGGACAAGAAAAGGAGAAGAGAAAAAAGAAGTGTCCTGCAGCAACTTGAAGGACAGAGGAGGTGAGCATCAGCAAACAAAAAGGATCAAAAACAACAAGACGTGCGAGAAAGGAAAATAAAAATGAAAAATAGAAAGAAAAAGAATCCAACACAACATTAATGTATCATTGGTGGGGTTTTTTGAACTTTTTTCCCAGCTGAATCGAAACAGTGCAAACAGGACGCGTGGCGGACGGAAAGAAAGGGGAAATTGAACAAGGTTGGAAGAATCAGCAATGGCGAAATATGCTACAGGTGGAGATCATGCCATCCACCCACAAGATCCAGGTCTTCATCGACACTGCCATCGTATGACGAGTGCTTGAGAGGAGAAACTTTAGGCGCTTCCGCAGCTTCACGTCGCCAGTCCTTTGCAAGGAAGAGTTGACGGCGACGATCGGATTGAGGTGACTCACGCTTGGGTCGAGTACCGTGATCGAACCCGGAAGACCCAAGGCCCCAGTCACGTCGCCAGTTACGACCAGCACGCTGCGGACTCAAGGGTTCTCGGGTCTTGCAGTTGCGGCGCTTGTCGCCCAATTCGGCCCACTTGTCGAGATTGGATTTCTTAGGCGATAACTGGCGAGGAATGGGACGAGGAGTGCTGCTCGAGGTTCCGGTGTCGCTGTCAGCTTCCAAAGAATTGGCTCGGATAGCGCGAGGGGCAGCGGGTTGAATGACTGGAGTGTGGGGTTGGTCGATAGGGATAACAGAGGCCAGCTCGTGCAATCCAGTTTGTGTGCCCGAAAGGCTTTCTTGGCTCCAGCTGCGAGAGTTCTGCTCACGACGCTGCTGGATAGAAAGATCTTCGTTCTCTGACTCCTCCTCATCCCAGAGATCACTCCAACTCTTCGAAATCTGGTCAGTTGAGTTCTTTCCGAACACCATGGACAAAGACGGCAAGGGCTTCGTGGCATGGCTTGGGAGAGACCCAGTGATAGGGACAGGATCCGAGCGAGGGAGCATGGGGCGCTTGTTCTGCGGAATGTGAAGGGAGCGAATAGATTCGCTGAGGGCAGATTCAAGGACCGAGGCCATCGACAAGTTGTCATGGGTAGAGAACCAGGAAGTTCCGGCCACCTCAGAGGGAGGGAACAGATCCTCAGAGTAACTCTCGTTGTCAGGGATAACAGAAAGCTGGCGATTGGCAAGAGGAGGACTAGACTGCAAAGCCTTGGCCCAGGGAATGAGTCACCATGGTTGATTTGAGGACTCTGGATGGATGGAGTGCGCAGAGGCTCACGGTTGGCACTGGCGGTGACAACCTCACGATCCTCAGTGCAGAACTCATCGAGAGATTCGTCATCAGTGGTGAAAGAGACAGCACGCAAGATACAGCTGCGAACGCCGGACAGGGAGCGTCTCTCAGGGTCAAGGGCCAATGAATGAGTCAAGATCTCAAAGGTATCCTGAGACATATTGGGAAAGATGTCAAAAAGTGACTGGCGGTCACGGACATAGTCCAAGAAAAGGACATCGGATTCGGTGGGAGTGATAAATGGATTGCGTGCGAACAAGATGTTCAACAAACAAATACCCACAGACCAGATGTCTGCCTTGGCAGGAGAGTAGCCCGAGGAAGGTGGCTCATACTGTTCGGGGGCCATATAACGGTCGCTACCCACACAAGCCTCGTGAGACCAAGAGTCTCGTGTGGCAAGACCGAAGTCACCCAGTTTCATCGATCCATCAGAGGTTAAGAAGATGTTCTCAGGCTTGATATCGCGATGGTAAAGACCCTTTGAATGCATGAACTCGATAGCATCAACAAGCTGTAACATGAAATCACGGACATGTTCAGTTTCCAAAGGACCACGGTTCAAACGGATAGCCTCGTAGAGGTCACCATTGGCGCAGTACTCCAAAACCAAGTACATGTGAGTCTGAGTCTCGAAGGAGTGGATCAGGTTAACCAGATTGGGATGGAAGCCAAAAGTAAGGTGGCACTGTAGCTCTTCAAAACGATCATCCATTGGGAAAGGGGCCGATGAATCTGGAAAAAGAGTTTTGGACAGGCACTTGATGGCAACCTGCTGGTCAGTCTTCATGTCCTTGGCGAGGTAGACCATACCAAATGATCCTGAGTTCAGTGGAGCCACTGTTCGAAAGCGGCCATCGAGGAGCTCATCCTTGACGAAGTTCTTCTTAAGGGACTCCATAGTTGATGACATGTTGATGTGAAGTTGAGAGGTGAGAATGGTAAACAAGAACAAAAACAAGTAGGCAAGATAGGCTCCAACAAATAATATCTATGCGCTTAAAGAAGTTGCACGTGGAGGGACGCTTCCAGGCGTGGCAACAAAAAAAAAAAGTGAAAAGTGAAAAAGGAACAGCGACCAGGCTATTGAAAATGATTATAAGGTTCAAGAAGGTAGAAAATCAGGCCTGTGATCGGACGGAATTGACAGGACAACCGAGGGCAGAAGGCGGGCAAATATCCGTTCGGTTGGCTTGAATGTCGTAAAAATATACCGATGAAAGGGAGGAAAGAGGATTGATAGACAAGGAAAAGGCAAAATGACAAGACGGCGCAGGGCGCAGCTGGAATGACCCGAGGAGGGGTGGTAGACGCTTAAGGAAAGGGTGTAAAGACCGTTATGTGCTCATTTGTATGTCGTTTTCGTTTTTTGGTGATGGCTGAAGGGGGCCAGGACGAATGATAAGTAGAGAAGTGTTCGAAAGAATGTATGTTGAGGTTGAAAGTCAAAGGTGGTCAGGCCTGAATGGTTGACGAATTGAAGGGTTTGAGAAGTTGAGATAGCGCTGCGTAATATCGTGACTTGGATGGAACAGTATAGCAAGTATAAAAGAAGAAAACGTAAAAGACAAAATGCCTGTGAACACCAGGTTCAAGGTTGGCACTGGTCGTGACTCAGATATAGAAGTTGATTAATGAGTCATGAGTGGGGACCAGTTGGGCAAGAAGAGCGATGATGCAAGAAATAGATCGAATGGAGAAGAATTCCACTCGTCGAGTCAATACCTAAGCTTGAATCAAAGAATCAAGCTTCGATAGAGATCGAAAGTCCAGGAAGAGTCGTTTCGGGGGATCCTGGGGGAGCAAAGGCCAATTCCAAGTTCGGAAGAGTCGGAGTGCTCAAAGGCCAGGTTCCCAGGATAGAAAGACCTCTCAATCGCTCGACTAGCTGTATTCACAAGGCACGTATGGGTGATCCGCAAAGGACGTCTTCGTGATCGTTGAATCCAGGACGAAGACGAGAGGCGAATAGAAGTCGGGGGGGGGCAGTCCAGGTATTGGGACAATCCAGATAGCAATCAGATGGCAATATAGCAAGAATTCGAGTGGTAGTTCAAAACTCGAAATGAAATTGAGAGCCAAAGAGGATAGTCGAAGGGGAGTAGATGAGAGGATGATACAGGGTAGCACTCCTTGTCGGATGGCAACAGCGAATTGGGGGTTGAAAGTATAGTATATCGCCGAAGATCGAGTGCAAGGTCCCGTATATAGGAGAAGAGGTGGAGGGGGGGGAGGGAGAGAAGAGAAGAGAAGAAAGCGGGAAAGATAAGATCGAGGGAAGTGAAGTGAGAGTGAGAAGGAACGAGGGAAGAAGATGATGATAAGGAAGTTTCTAAGGAGAAAGAGTCATATGGGGAAGAGTGACAGTACAGCAGGTGCCAGTCAACGACAGGGCTGTATTCTATTGGGGTGTTCTATGACGGTATCATTACAGTTTCAAACGGGTTTCCTCGTGTGATCTGCACTGCCCCTTCCCTCTACTCATTCGATGATTCCACCTTTGTTACCCCATTGTTGCGCATCTTTATCCACTTCTTCCCCCGTTTCCGTACCACTATCGCCCGTCACATACGAGACCCGGTAACAGTCAAACCGCCACGCAATCCGAGATCTTCATGAACCTTCCCAGACATTCCACATTAATTTGGGGATGACAAAAGAGACGACCTCGGGAGGACCCTGGATCAATACGGAATTCTGAAATGACGAGCTTCCTTGTCAATGAAATTGCCATTGTCTATCTGAATGACGGAGTCGATTCCATCCCTTATCTAGAACTAATGAAAGATCCTCAATTTGGATCAATGAGGGAGACACATCTCCCAATCACTCAATCATTCAACCAAGGTTCCCAACTTCTTGTTTCCAAAACTCTCGGGGGGATAGGCAAAGTTCGAGAATGGTCTCTTTTTTTTCGTTCCTCAACCCCCCAGAATGGTTCCAAGCAAGAGCGGTAGCGGTGGCAGGAAGTAGGAGCCAGCAGCCAGCAAGCCGGAGCAGGGGCAGGAAGACCCCCAGCAGCCTTTGGACTCGCGGCCGAGGGCGGATCCAAGTGGCGCGCTAAACCAAAAACGTTGCAATGTGCAGCGGAGTCTGGGGCAACAGCCAATCACTTCACGACCAAATATGCACTATTTCCAGCCTGCATGACGCCATGAATGAGTGATGGCGTGATGCCTTTTCATTGGTGACCCACCCACTCCCCCTACTGCAGGCCCCGGAGTTTCTTTGCCGGGGCCTTTGTTGGGCCATGAAGGTTAAGAGACTAATGTTTCCGCAGGTACCGATGTACATGTACGAAGCACGGTCTCAAGGGGGAAGAACTGGTGTGAACAAAAAAAGGGGGGCCGAATTTAGCACCCATGCAAGAGCTGTCCCCCCCATCTGGCCCCATCAGAAACAGACTTGGTTACCCATGCAGGGTGGCTAAAACTCCTGTACGCGCCCGACCTTGAAGGCGAAGTTCTAGTCCCCAGTCTAATTATGGGGTCCTTATTTCTGCGTGTTCTTGTACGGAAGTACGGAAGTATACGTGTTAAGACTTGGGGGCACTTCCGCGTGCACCAGGGTCCCCACCTATCATTTTTTGTTTCGACCACGTTGGGAAGTCCTTTTGGCGCGCGGGACTCTAAGACAGGAAATGTGGCAGATGGCTGCCTCTTGCGGGGGGGGCTCATCAGGGGGGTCATGCTGTTGATCCCAATCCAGAAGCGCCTCCACTAACCTCTGATGACCAAAAACAGACACGTAGTCAGGGGAGGTGTGGAAAGTAGCTTGTACGTAAATGGCTCATCTGGTGGAGCGTGCGTCGCAACTTCACCCATCAAGATCTCTTGTTGTAGAGTCAGGTACACACAAGTACCCAAATCCTCACAGGAGTCAACCCATCCTTCTATAGTCTTAGACATCCACGCAGACTCAAGTGCGACGGGTCTTTAACCCGAGTACCAGCGGTGTAGGAACTGGAGCTGACCGCCTCCTGCAAGGACAAACCTTGCAGCCCATCGAGTCCCAATGGAGGTGGCACGGCATTTCTCATGACGTGGTTTCACATCACGCGATAGACTTTCATAACACCATCAACACCTTTATTTTATTGATACTCGCAATATATCGCAATATGATGGGTGCTTATTGCTTTTTTTGTATATGGTGTAATCGAATCAGATACGTCTCCATTTTTGAGGGTCCGAACTTTGTACCGAGAACGGTTAAGTATAATTGCTTCTGTTTATATGATAGCATTCAAAGTATCGCAGGGTTATGCAGATTTCTGTGCACGGCTCAGATACTGATCTCCCCCTCCATCATGGGCCGTCGCCGTTAGCCCCCTGCCCTACATAGATCCTAGACAGGCTGCTGCAAGCATGTTTCGTCATATTCCGATGTGGGTTTAGTAGTATCGTCTATGCATGACCGGGAGTAAAATTCCCCTAGCTGTAGGCAATATTATGCGCCGAGAAATGCAATGCGACCATTGCTCTGCGACATGCTTGAATGTTTGTATACATCATGATGTACTGCGGGCGCTAATTCCTGGGGGTGAGGCATCAGATAAATGGATGCATGTACACAATTTTGCATACTACCATGTTAGTCTTGAAACAATGTGAGCATTGAATGTTGAAAATCCTATCAAGATACATATTCTGTAGTACTTCGCAGTACTTCGCAGTATGGAATCTACACCTATAATTGATCACCTTAATATCGATGATGATCCTATCAGTAAATTAATGAACCATCAACCTAAAAACACGACCCATATTTTCCCAGCGTGTCGCTCATGCTGTAGAGTCAACAGAGGTTAAATTGCGACAGGTTGATCAGATTATTCATCCTTATTGGGTCATGATAAACATACGACTTCTTAGTCCGGATGCGTGCACATGTGGGCAAGTCACGGCATAAGAGTGGATTCTTCTCGGGCTGCATCGTGAAGTGTACCCATGGTACTTATCCCCTATCTACACTTTAAAATCACTAAATAGACGGATAAACGATCATCACGATAAGACTGAAATCTCAGATAGATGAAAAGATAGGTACATTATCGTTGATCCGTGGTTTTTGTTATCACCTCTTTTGGGGCCTATCATCTTTACCCCGCACGATCGTCATTCCACGATCATCTTTCGGGTTCACAACATTTTGAATACTTCGGATTTCAGAAAGGATGTGCAACGAGTAACCACCGATAATGAAGTCAGTTTCAAATGAGTCTTCGATACCGGAGAATCATGTTGAGCGACCGGGGGTTCATTCAGACAGGTTGGGTTAATGAGGGAAAGGTGTGGGACTATGATATGCCGCTTGAGATAATAATGAGATCACCCTCAGTTTCAAGTCATCCATTGGATCTATCTTCCACGCTATTTGTGACTTGTTCCCGCCCCCAAGAAGACTAGTGCCCTTAACCTCGTGTTTGGGATGTGGGAAAGGGGGGGTGCCTTATTCGGGACAATTATGTATTCTAATTCAGTTGCCGAGCAAGCGAGACCCATCTTCATCTTGGCATTACAAGTCTAAGCGTGACTGATATGAGGAATGAGCCAAGTCCGATGCTGTGCCAGGTGACTAGGATAGAGTTCCCCGGATGTCTGGTCTGACCCCCGGAAGAAAAAACAAAGGAAAATTTTTGAGAAATTGGCTTCTGGGGGGGGGATGGGTTGCTTGTTGGTCCGCGCTGTTTACACTATTGGATAGTCTGTACCAATAGGCATTTGGTTGGGAAAGCAATGGCCCCTTTCAGGGCTGAATATGTTTATCATTCTTGGTTACTATAGTGCTAGTCCGGAGTAGGCCGCGATGTACTCTATACATGTCTATGATTTATCCAGAGTACAATATACTAGTATATTTGGTCCTATAGTCGATATGCATGATGGAATGGACCCGACCACCTGGGACTAATTCATGTTCAATTTGAGATTATTGGTATGATTGATAACATACGGTCGCATGCATGAATATCCGGGGATATGTCATAATGCCAGTCCTGGGGGTTCAAGTTGTTGGAAGCTGCCATTCTTCAGGCTACCATATTACCTATCAATCTGAACCATCCATAGACACTGGCATTCAAGTCTGAATGGATACTAATATCTTGAACCGGGTGCCAGTGCCACTGGCAGTGCCCATGTGCAGGTGTCGATGCCAGTGGTGGTGTCATATGCATGGACGGATATATTATTGATATTCCGAGTCGGATTTCACGCACAGCCCTGGAGGCATAACATCACGACGATGTTCATCCCAGCTTGAATTTGGGTAGTACAGAGTTTTGGTCTCAATAAATAATATGAGAGTTTTTACTAGATTTACTACTAGTACTGAAATACTACTATTTCAAATTCCAAGTTCATTTGAAACTCGAATAGTATGCCTCAGGCACCTAGGATGCCAGTATGTTCGTCAATTGAAACGTCAACTGGCCAACATTGCAGTGGGTTCATTAAGTTGTCTCATTGATCTCAAGAGCCAATGAACAGAGCTCTGCAATGTGCACCTATCCAATCATAATGATCAATCACCTGGCAGGCGGTGCGACATAGATAGACTGTAGACACTACATCTACTATAAGGTAGTATGTAAATATGTAAATATGGAAAATCTGAAGCTGACAGTCATATTCGGGAGGTTGGAGCACTTGAGTAGTGCTAGTACGTAATACAAATAATTTCTGTCCGGGGTAAAATGCGATGCTGATACAATTTATCCTGGTCCGCTATAACTTCAAGGTTTCGAATGATGATACATGTGGACACATTGGTGAGATCTAGGGTATTGTTTTTTTACCTGAAATATTTCTTTGCCCTCGAGTCCCTTGGAAAGAATTGGTTACTTGGGCGCATGTGGATGGGGATAACAATATCAGATGAATAATCTCGTAGGTTGCCCAGGTGCTTGATATGCATGATTTCCCTAGAAAGAAGTGTACCAAGGTTTCGATACTGAAGTCTTATCGATTAATTCCCTCGGGCTGAAGAAGCCGTACTACATTCATATCTGTAACCTTTTGTATGAACTACTTTCTGCAAATTTTCAATTAATGACAAGGAGCTAGCTAAGTTCCAACTAGACCTCTGGGCCCTTTCTGCGTGACCCTCGAGAGTAATCAACGTGAATTTTTACAATGATAGATTTCAGGAAAAGCCTTAAGTACCAAATTTAGACTTTGTCAGGTATGATTCTTCATCCATGAGGGCCTCTAGGTCATCACTAAACGGGAATTGTGCACCGTCTGACTAGATTTCAATACTTGAGCTATGGAGGTACAATCAGAGCTTCCTGGAGGCTGATTATAGTATTATGTAGGCATACATTCCTGAGGCCACCCAGGAATATGGAAGAGTCATTAATATGTGGTACTCTGTATTAACAAAAGGGGACAAAGATTGTCTTCATAAATTTCATGGACTGCATGTTTTTTTATACCCCAGCAACCAGTAAACTGTTCATAGTCCAAGTTTGTACAATCGGAACGTATTATACCACCTAGATAAAATTCCAATGGTATAATTATGTGAGATAGTAAAATGATTGATGATTACGATGCTCCTGGGAGTGGACACTGAGGTTTTTCATCGTGGCCACTGAGAGCAGATATCTGAATAACGCGGCAAATTTTAATTATTTACGATCAAATAACATTCAGACCAAAATAAGATCTGAGATCATGATTTCCCATTCTTGAGATCTCATACCGATTATCACCATGGTATCCGAATTATTTACCCAAACACAACGCCGTAGCCCTGAGGAATGTAAGCCCGGCTACGGATATAAAATCCCACTCGCCCGAACTCAGCCCTAAACAAAAATTCCACTGGCATTGATTAGTATTTTTGAAACCTCAATCTCTTTACATATAATCTCGAAAATCAAACATAATTCTCATCAGAATGAAGCTCTCAATCTTCGTCCCTCTGGCCACCTTCCTAGCCTTCTTCGCTATCGCCGAAACTACAGATGATTCTCCCAGCCGATGCTTTGTGAGTTTGATCTCCCCCACTTGGAGATACGATTGGCATATCATATATGCTTATTGCTCTCAATTATAGAACCAATGCTTGAACGAGGCTGCCGCGGTAGCTGGCTGTGCATCGCAATGGGATACTGCTTGCACCTGCCCGAGCCCAGCGTTTAAAGATACACTTGGTCTATGTCTCAAAGATGCCTGTACGGCCGCAGATGTAGCAGGTGAGTATCCGCAAAAACCCAGCATGAGAGCCTTGTACTGACTCCTTTATAGCTGCAGGATCGTTGCATGAAGAGCGTTGTGGAACGAAACCGGACCCGGAAGACTGAACTACATACATGGAGTAGTAACATCAAGTTTTTCTTTCATTAGCTGCAAATATTTCAAATATTAATTTCATAAAGCACTGAGTGCTAATGTCCTAAATTCTCCCGCTTTTGAGTCTACGCCGTCGTTTCACCCTGTATTTTACCTTGATGCGTTCGTAGGTCTATTTCAAATATAGTCGTTAGGACATCTACCGTATCGAACATGGATCTTCCACCAACTTTTAATCCTCGTCCTTGTGTGATTAGTCGAAAGTTTCGAGGAACATAGCTGCGGAGGAATTCGGGTCCTACCAAACAATTAGCAGATCAGCATGTTGCAGACTTTATTGAAACCTCTTCTGAACTTTTTATTAACATAGCTTAATACCTTGCTCTGAATTATGAAATAGGGCTCATGATTGAGACTTTTAATCATATTGATTTGACTATAATTGGATTGAGTCTCTCCATGTTGGTCCTCAAAACTCATGCTTCAACTTCATCCTGATCACTGATACTTCCAGGAGATGACGATTCAAGCGCCAAAGATTTGAATGGTGATATGAATAAGTCATCTCGTAGTATCATCTCAGTCACTTGACCCACAGTAGATGCCTCAAAAGCGCGTTGTATATCCAGGTTGAGGTCACTCAAAATCCCTGCAATATCAATGCCACGTTTTTTCATAACCTGCAACGCGTCCCGACACCACTGGAATTTGGCTTTTCGGCGGAGGGAGATGTAAGGCTTCTTCACATGAATCATGCATGACAAAATAACGTGGGTTCCCCAGGAACTCATTTTTTCCTGGAGACAATACGGTATCGACCGACAAATTTGATCGGCATAGTACTCCGCCATGATACATGACTCGTGTGAAATGGATGTGCTCTTTGAAAATTCCTGGTTACTAGCGTGTGTCATTGAGGTAAAGATGACATGGATCAGCATCTCGACGGTCATTAAGGCCATCCAGTATAAGATATGGTAACGTGCGGTGCTCATGTTTTGGAATCGATAAGGTAACCCGAATAGTCCGTTTGAAGAGAGGTCGGCACATGGGGATTCGCCGTGGAGGTATTGGGTGGGAGGATGCCCAATTGTGCTCCCTTTTTCGATATACCATGTGAGAATTCTCCGTTTTAGAGAGCAGCAAGCAGAGAGATCTGCATGGCTTGTCTGACTGCCAATGGATCTGATCTCCTCTACTTTGATAAACAGTTCGTTAATGCTAACGTATATCTCAAATAATTCGTCTAGAGGGCTGGCCGCGGGAGAAAGTAGCAGGCTTTGCCAGTTGTTCATGGATCCTTTTGGTGCTGTCACAGCATACATCTGAGGTACATCATTGTCAGCATATGATGAATGGGCAAATTTCGTTCAACACATACAGTTGCAAGCTTCTCGATGTCGACTATAGCCTTTTTGATAGGATTAGCACTGGCGGTAATGTTCGAATAAGAACGCTTTAGAATAGCGTTTGTTGCTGCTTTATGAGAAAGCCAGATTCGGAGGCCGTGAGGGCAGTGTATGATCTGAAAGATTAGCATAGCTCGTTTTCTAGGACACAACAAACAGGCTAATCCTACCTCTAGGACTTGGAAGACGACAGTAGTGTAGAGAACGTCATCATCAAGAATGCCACGCCGCAACTTATTTGCTAGGAGTCTAATGCCCTCGTTATACAATTCAACGCCATACCGCAGAATCGATTCATCCCCCTTGATCTTCCCAAGATAAATGCAAGACAGTGCAGAGATGGCCTTCTCAAGCATCAACGACTTGCTTGGGAGTATCAATAGATTTTCCAATATAGCATACCAAGACTCAACTCCAAAGCTCTCTTTGATATCGATTGGAAAGTAATTCAGGATATAAACCGATGACATTTGCATGCGTGTCTGCGGGGCCGATGGCACCGTGCGAGGCAATAGCGATCTCCGTGTTCGGGTAAGAGGCGTCGAAAATATTGTCTCCACATCTGGTTTTTCATAACTCGATCGGGTGAATTTATGGTGAATGAAACTTCGATCTGGGTACCCAGGGCATGGGATACCTCTTTTGACGCATCGTGCACATTGAGGCTCTTCTAGACCACACTGTCGATCCTCAGTCAGGGGATTCTCAATTTTCTTGGACGAGTCACTTACTTTGACCTTGCGCTTTTTGCAGACGGCGCATGCTGACGAACTCCATGGTTTCCCACCCATTTTGACCCCGAGTATACAATGTATCTGAGATCACCAGTGTTGTGGAGGGGTGTTTTAAGGTTAGGTGGTTCTCCCTGGTTCGGATGCACGGGAAGTCCCCGCTTTCAACGCTTATGGCCCCCACATCGCGTAACCTTGGGATGCAGCTTGTTTTGGTTATGACAGGGATAATGTCACTGCAGCTCTCATACATAGGAATTTGCTCTATCTATCAGGAATCTCAGGATACCCTGTGGAGCTCAGATAATTGAAATCTCCATATGTAGATATTCATATACGTGGTAAGAAGAGCTTTCTGGTCACAGACAGTTGCACGCTGATCATATCTTGGCGAAACATTAGGTATTCAAACCTTGCAAAATGCATCTTAGTGGTTCTAAAGAGTCATGAAGCCAAATTAATCTTAAGTTCAGTATGTACTGGTAGATGGACTCCAAGTTACTCGTGTGTGTCGCTCATCTACGTCATGAGATCTTGTGGCACACCGGCAACCCTGTCCAATATCTTTGCTACACTCTCCCCTCCTACTACTGCCTCTCGTGGACCTCGATGAATATTTCAGTTTTGACCGCCAGAAAGTCACTTGCATGTGCATATGCGGAGTGTCATGGTAGTTGTGGTCTCATACACAGTTAATTGGCCCATATCCCTTGGTATGTCTCACCAGTCTAACCACAAGAAATCAGGGTACATTCAACCTCAGGCTTAGAAATTGCTATGAAATTTCTGGGTCCTCAAAAGTTGGACTTCTGAGGTTGAAGAGAGAACGCTAGGTACAAAAAAATGAATACACGAAAGGTAATCCTAACTTTGTTCGATTCAAGTTAATCATTCGATGCTCGCTTTAATTCAATAAGATCCAACCTCCATACATGACCCCCATTAACTTAAAACAGTGCAATTAACACCCTGCCAGAGCCCTGTACCATCTTTGGCAAAGTGCGAAGACAATCCAACCATACTACGTGCTCGCGGGCTCATTGTTTCTGCTGTTTTGGGACCAACATGGAGTGGAAAGGCTTCCTCGGGTGTCAAATAAGAGCATTGCATGGCAAGCACTAGACCAAGTCGCTGATAATTTGTATTATTTGCACCAGCCCCATGCACCGTCTTCCCACTGAGGAGAAGGCAATCACCAGCATTCATAACAGCCGGGATTGGCTCCCCGGCCCCGTTACAGGCAACGGAGTAATCCAGTTTATTTGACCCAGGAATTATTCTTGTTGCTCCGTTCTGTTCTGTGAAGTCCGAGAGAGCAACTAGAAAATTTAGACATGCCTCAGGAGCACTTGGACCTATGAGTTTGAAGATAGGCCACTCGTCCTGGTCGCGGTGTAGAGGCTGGTCTTTTTCACCTGGTCCAACTTCCACTATCTCAGCACCACCAAGCCAGTATGTGCCGCACTGGGGGACGAAAACACTTTCGCAAACCCGATGAATCAGATCATGGTCTAAAAAATCTTTTCGAAATGTTGGGCTCACGCTTGTGAGATCTGAGAGTCTTTTTGTCTTGGACCCATAAAATAGACGTAACTTCTCGTCCGAATATTCGGTGCCCTGTCGAGCGCATGCCAGAGGCTTTTTGGTGTCTTCAAGGAAGGATCTCACTTGCTGAGATGAGAAAAGACTTTGAAGTATCACTGCTCCGTCTTGTTGGAGGGCTTTGATGATTGGATCGAGGTCAACGGAAGGACCGACTTGGATCTTTTGGAGACTCTGTTGGCTCATTGCAGCCGGATTTCAAATAAACATTGAAATATCCAAGGAGAGCTGTTTGAGATCTAATTGATAATATCTGTATGGATTATAGATCGAAATGCTAGAATATAATTGAGATAGAACAATTGATTGAACTGGTGATAGCTGCTAAGCGAGTTCAGCCAAATGCTAGGAGAGTCCTCTTATTTATCTTTCCTCTAAAGATTACTTATAATCTTCATATTGATGGGTTGAATTCAATCCCGTGACGCAATGGCCTGTCATACCTGGATATCCTGGTTGAAGGTATACTTCCAGTGGACACCTTGTACCGAGCCAACTGGAGTAGACAAGGATGCGAGAGATCTGTATGGATGCCCACTGGAACTTAAACATTTGGATCAACCCGCCTTTCAGGGCTGACCCCGGGGCTAACTACAAGCCATGCACGGTCCAGCCTTGAACAAACAAGCAGGAGCTCTGATTCGAGCCACAGTGACCAATCCAAGTCAGGTCTTTCAATAAACTACAACCTTCAGCATTATGGCTCATGAATGACACGAAGTACCAAGCATTGAATTGTACCACTTGGATTACTACTATGAGCTGGATAACCACATGCAGTGACGCGAAGAATTCATATGCTCATGTACGATATTACCTTCCCTCTGCTTGTTGATAATTGGATCAAAGACACAGGGATTAATCCGGTTACTCCTCCCTTAGGTAGGTTTGATGCCGGGGTTATGAGTAATCTTCTGCCCAGGTTAGCCTGAGATGGCTTTTCTCCAAATCCTTTTCTCAAGTATGGTCACAGACCAAGCGTTCAAGCATTTACCCAGGTGCCCACGAGATCGTTGAGCTATGGATAGAGTGAACCGACCGGAGAGGCGACCAGCCCTCTTAAAGTTGCGCTCATCAACTTGGTAATTATAGTCCCTTCATATCTCACAAGAGGCTAAGGCAGTTTTTCTCACCGTTAACCAGGATTATTACTCTCACTGTGTGTCTGGCCATATTTACTGTAAATGATGCCTTCCCTTCATCCAGGCGGCTCAAGTCCTGATTCCCACCTGTGCACTATTCAAGTGTTGCATTTCAAAAACTTAGCTGAGAAGAATGGATAGGACATGTTCATATACTCCGTCATTATACCCATCTTTCCATTCTCATTGGTGACACGTCTAAACGTGGCAGAGGATCAAGTTCAACACTGGGTGTCGGTCTTACTGTCAGTTTATGGGGCAGCTTTGCTGACAGGGGCGCCTATCTTTGGATTCTTTGCAGACAAAATGAAGCATCGAAGGTCATCTCTTCTCATCGGTCTCGTGGCTCTCATAGGAGCTACATTTCTTTTATGTCTTGCGCCCACGCTCCCCGTCTTGATTATTGGTCGACTTCTACAAGGGTTTTCTGCAAGTGTCACATGGGTGAGTTGATACTGATGCTTCTCTTCTGAGGTTACTATAACTGATTAAATTAATTTGATCAGGTTGTCGGTCTTACTTTGTTAGCGGATACTGCAAATAAGGAAACAGTTGCTCAGTCCTTCGGTTATGTATCAGCTGCTTCATCTCTCGGGACAATTATAGGACCTGTTCTTGGAGGGATTATGTATGAACGTGTGGGATACTACCCTGTTTTTGGACTATGCTTTGCATTCCTAGGGGTTGACATTTTCCTACGCTTCATCATAATTGAGAAAAAGTCCGCCGCTAGGTGGTTGGAATCGCCACTTACCAGCTTTCAATTGCAATCACCTAGGGAATCACCGTTAACAGAGATTCCAGCTCCCGCTATCTCTCGTCCAGAAAGCAAGACGTTGCCAGCAATCTTTACTCTTTGGAAATCAAAACGAATGCTAGCGGCCTTCTGGGGAGATTTTGTAACAGCAACGGTCATGACATCGTTTGATACAACCTTGACTATGTTTGTGAAGAAGACATTTCACTGGTCATCTTTACCAGCAGGATTGACCTTCTTGGCTCTTCTCCTTCCCACATTTCTTGGACCTGTGCTCGGAATGGCCGCTGACAAGTACGGAGCGCGCTGGATATCCGCGATTGGGATACTCATCATGATACCCCCTTTGATACTGCTTAGGTTGGTTGACCATGAGTCTTTGAACCAGATAGTGTTGCTATGCGCACTACTCATCCTGATTGGGCTGGGCGCGGCTATGGCATTGACAGGGTTATATGCGGAGTATAGTAAGATCTGTGATGACATCGACGCGGAAAGCCCGGGGTCTTTGGGTAATAATGGTGGCTATGCCCAAAGCTATGGCATATCTGAGATTGCCTGGGCTTTGGCAGGCTTAATCGGGCCTTTAATGTCTGGTGCAATCTACGAGGATTATGGCTGGGGGACTTTGGGATGGGTCTTGAGTGCATTCTGTTTTGTGACTGTCATTCCGACTATATTGTTCATCAAGCATTAAATGATGACGCTCGAATTCTAAGCTTCAAGTTTGACTTTGTCTAGATGTCCGAGTCGTTGAGTGATCGTTGCCCCCAAGTGTATCCAATTTGTTGCTGATGGCACTGTATGCGTGGACTGCCAGTGCGGCACTGACATCATGCCAATTCAACAAGTTCATGGTCAAAAACCTGTAGCTCTGAAGGCCAATCTCCTTATCAAGCCTAGTCGAGTCGTACTGGTGGGGGTCGCCTTATCGAAGAGGAGAAAATGGATATCTAATCTTACGAAATACAAGTAGGAAAGCTACAGCAGGAAGAAGAGTAATTTAGACCCTTGGAGAAACTCCATTGCACACGAGATATCAAGCTAGGTGGTAGATAGGAAGAACAGGAAAGAGGTTAAGAGGCTGGAGATATTTTTTCGTTCTTGAAATTCGTATTCTGAATCAATCAACCCATAACCATTTAAGCCTGAGAAGCAGCGTTCTCGTAGGCGTCGGGGAAGCGCTTCATGTTCTCCTCAATCAGACCGTGACCACGCAGGAACTGGACGTAAGCACCATCCTGCTTGAGCTTGCCCTCCTGGCGCATCTGGACGTAGTCCTCGCGACGAACGGGGGTGAAACCCCAGTTCTTGGAGACAATGATCTTTTGGCGACCGGGGAACTTGTACATGGAGCGACGGAGAGCCTCGATAGCGGTGGCGCGGTGAGCGTCACGGGTGCGGACGGACAGAATGATCTGGCCAATGTTCACACGAGCAACGGTACCCTGGGGCTTACCGAAGGCACCACGCATACCAGTCTGCAGACGATCGGCTCCGGCACAAGACAACATCTTGTTGATACGGATGACGTGGAAGGGGTGGACACGGACACGCAGGTGGAAACCTTCCTTACCAGCGATCTTGACGAGGTACCTAGAAGAATCATGGATTAGAATCTTTGGTGATAGTCGAAAAATCTCCGGTCGTTGATCGATCGGGTTCGGAATAGAACGTACTTGTTGGCACAAATACGGGCAGCCTCGAGAGCCTCGGAGGACAGCTGCTCGTACTCGTTGGAGACGAGGTGGACACAGTTGGGGAAGTCATCAACGGAAGCCTTCTTACGGCCCAGATCGAAGATACGAATCTTGGGGTCGGGAACACCACGGTTGAACCGAGACTTAGGGTAAGGCTATATGACGAACATACATGGTTAGCGATCGAGCTTGCCTAGTCATGATTTCATGTCTCCATCTCTCTCTAGTTCGCAGATATAACAGACGAAAAAAAGGTCCATTTTTTCCGGAAAGAACATCCACAAGTGAGGATAAGCTGAAAAACCAGAACCACACCGGCGGCGCATGTTGCCGACCGTTGCGAAAGTGGTGCAGCTACTGCCTCAAGATGTTCCCCCACAACCGAGATTCCCGCACACAAAATCCTCAAAGGGTCGAAAATCTGCAACGCACCTTGTTCTTGCAGTAGCGGTAACATCTCGCGGGACGACGGGCCATCTTGAATGCTGGAAATTGGCGATAAGCACTTCCTGCGAACGGAGTTGTTGGTTGTCGGTTGGTGGTCGGGGGTCGAAGGAAAAGAAGAAAGTGTCCGGCGGGTCACGGGATTGTTTGATTTCCAAGCAGCGATGTGGCAATAAGCCCTAACCCTACTAGCGGACCAACCATATCACTCTGCGAGGGGTCCACTTTTACAATTTAGTGGAATCGATTACTGAGCTTTTCACTATGAGCTTCCAATGTTACAATACTACTACAATTTCCATACTGGAAACTGGTTTTTTTTACAAGGCAAAAAAATGAAACAAGTATCACGTCAACTGGCTTCATAAATGCCAGGCTTGCTTATTAAAAGCTAGGGAACACAATGTAATGATAATCATGGCCCAGGATTTGTGTGCACTGTGAGTCCTCCAATCAAGTGGTCACTGCACATACATTTCCAACCCAACACCTATGGTCACCAGTTGTCCCAAGTCAACCCATTTACTGGGTGCCAGTAAGGATGTCCGAGTCACCAGCATCCAGAACAGCCATGGTCGAGCAACGGAAGAGCTTACCGCAAGCGGTACCGAGCTCGATCTGTTCCAAGTAGTTAGTATTGAATATAAAGTCAAGAAGATTAAAGCTTCTAGTACTTACGTTGTTACCAGAGAAGTGGTGGACGGGGGTCTTGGCCAGCATGGCGTAGTACTCGAGCTCACTCTTGCGGAGAGGAGGAGTGTTGGCAGCGATGATGACCAGCTTGGCCTTACCGGAGCGCAGAGACTTCATGGTAGAAGAAACGCCCAGGGTGACCTTACCGGACTTCATCACCAGGGCGAGCCTGGAGTTGATCTAGACCGCATTGTTAGTTTCCATCAAACATGATCATCATCCACAAAATTGCGGGGATCCTCTCAAGGAATCCGCAGCGCCGGGCCCGATTATTGTAACTTACGCTGTCGGAACCCTTCTTGTTCTTGGGGGCCATCGTTGCGCTGTGAAGTTCGTTACGGACTTCGAAAAGGGGTTTGGTTGGTTACGGGGATGCGCTCCGGCGTGATCGTGGATGGAGAACTGAATCCCCGTTGAAAGTTGAATCCAATATGTGTGAACGGATAATTATATTATTCCGCTCCGATATTTTGATAGTCTGAGCGGTGAAGTCGATCAGAGCATGTCTTCGGGTCACGTGCTGATTGTACTTGAAACCGGAACTTTGCACCCAAGGCAACAACGCGAGGTATTAAGGCATCAAGATCACCCTTTTCGAGTACCCTGTAATCTCCTCCTGCCCAGGTTCATGGGTGGACCTAATGTAATATTTCGTACTGTAATTTCCCTTGAGTGCTTCCACTCCCAATTTCACTCTATTTGTTGTTGTTTCTGATATCGCCCTGAGTAACATAGAAATTTGTCTCCCTCGTGCTCCCATCGACATATTCTCTCTATTCCATTACTCCGATTCATCGTGTATCGTGTTTCCTTTTGAGGTTTCTCACTCTCACATCACAGCCCCCAATTGCTCATTGGAGTAGTGTCACTGCCTTGGTATTTTTAGATACCAAAGTAAGGGCACCTAAGACTCCGCCCGCATTCCTACAAAAAAAAGGTACTACAGTTTGCTGCGATCGGGTCTCCCATTCTTCGCTGTCTCCCATTCCAACCTGCGCTCAGACAGAAATACCACTTCTTGAATGCTTCTCTGGCTTCTATGAGCCATGTGGCAGACAATTAACCTCTGACGATTTTACATTCCTCGTTCCATACAACCACCCTATCTCCACCAGATCCACCCGTTTTGACCGCTCTGCATTGATACACCTTGCAACAGTCCTTTCCACACATTTAGTCTGACCAGAACAACCCTCGATTCTGGACCGATTCGCCTGCCAGACTACTTTGCCTCCTTATATACTTTGCTTATTGTTCCCGGGCCTTGGGTCGCTGCACGATGTCAGCAACGCCTCGCAAGCCTGGAACCCCCGGCAGTTCCAGCAAATCAACGCCCGCAGATCCGCAACCAGCCAACGGGTCCACCACACGAGGACATGCACGCTCGCCCAGCGCTGCATCTAACGGTATCAACCGCACCCCCTCTTTGCGAAGTTCGCCCGTCTCTGCCCGCGCCGCCGCAAGGAAACCTGGCCGATCAAACCTAAGCATGTCCAACGTCCCACGGATTTCCAATGACCCGTCCGAGGAAGAGGCGCGAGCCCAAAATGCGGCCTTGATCGAGGAATTGCGGGAGCAACTCCAGAAGGCCGAAACGGCCTCGGAACAGTACCAGAAACAACTTGGAGTCTTGCAAATGCGTCTGGATGAGGCAATCAGCGAGCAGGCCAAGTTGGAAGATCAGGCTCATGAGCGGGATTCTCGGATTGAGACCCTCAGCAGCGAGATCCGAGATCAAGGCCGCCAAATCCGGGATTTGGAACAGAATCATGAGATGGAACGAAATGCAATGCTTCAGGAGAAGGAGCAACAGACCAGCAGAGAAGAGGAGTTGCAGGCGACTATTCAGCGCTTGAAGGAATCGGTAGCCCAGAAGGACATGCGCATCAATGCTGAAGGTGATCGCCACCAAGTATCACGATCTTGTAAGATGTGACATCGCGATATACTTTGAGAACTGAATTGCTAACATTTGATACAGCGAGTTTCCGTAATCGGGCATCGCCAGATTTAGATGCTCAATTTGCTCCTTCCTCCCAACTCGAGCGCAGCCCCTCACGCAATAATTCCAACCTTCTCCTCCAGAAAGATAAGTTGATCGAGTCATTGCGACTGGAATTGGCTGAATCACAGATCAAACTTGTGGAGATGGAGAATTCAGGTGGGGGCCACCAGCGTGAGTTGGAGAAAGAGCTTTTGGAGGCTCGCATGGCTAATGCACGTCTTATGGAAGACAACGAAAGCTATCAACTTCTACTCAGTGAAAAGACGCTTGCCGGCGACTTTACAAAGGGTGACTTCATGCGAGATGCGACCCCTGGGAAGAGTTCCGGTGGTGGCTTAGGCTCTTTGGCCGACGAGCTTGAATCCGTGGATGAAGAAGCGGGTGAGGGAGACCCGGGCCGCAAGACTGACAGTGAGCTCAAGACCCTCAAGGACCAGAACAAGGCCTTGACTCTTTACATCGAGCGAATCATTAGTCGTGTCTTGCAACATGACGGGTTTGAGCATGTGCTAGATCGGAACGATGACGATGAAGCCCAGACTGCGAAACCCTCCACTGGGGGCAGTGAAAAGGAATTGCCACCTACGCCCCCGGAGAAGGATGACAACGCTACTCAGACATTCCTGCAGCGGGCGAAATCTGTCGTTTCAGGCCAACCTCCGCGCTCTCATCCCCAGCCCCAGTCCCGATCTCGCCCCACCAGCATGATGCCGCCCCAGTCAATCCCTCACAATATCGCCCATGAGAACCCGGACACTGCCCCCAGTATTCCAATTCGCACTCAGTCCGTGAGAGCTAGTCACCGTCGAACCCGCTCTGAGCAGGTCGACCCTAATGCGGCTTCTGTTGTTACGCAAATGTATCGGGGTCGCAACTCAGGCGGGCCAATGAGTCCTACTGGGATGGGGCCTGGCTCTCGCCAGAGCATGTTCTCTGGTACTGCCAGCTATGTTTCTAGCATGAGTCGGGCCCCGTCCATGTCCAGTCAGCCCGATCGTGGTGGACGCAGTAGCTCCCCCAGCGTTCTCAGTGACGCGCTCGGAGATAATTCTTCGACGGGGGCAACCTCCAGCCCTCCTCGTTCCAGTAGTGGTATGACAAACTACACAGGCGCTGTAATGACGCAGAACAAGCTGCGACCCCTGCGCCTTGTAAGCGATGCTGCCAAACTCGAAGAAGAGGAGGCTGCACGCAAGAAGGCCAACCGCGCGAGCTGGATTCCGCAGTGGTTTAACAAACCCAACACGGATGAACAATTCCAGCAATAGCTGAGCTGTTTATATGCTGGAATGCGATGATTTGATGTGATATTGGAATTATCTTCACCATGTTTAACATACCCCTTATGTGATGCACAAATGCGACCCCCTGTCATGGATGGCCAGGATATCGAGTCTGATCTGTTGCATAATTTGATTTTCTTTTTCTTTGTATCGTTTGTATGACTCTGATGCTTGAACGAACTTATATAAGGCGACCGTGAATGAATACTAGTAGTAGATACTCTAGCAATGTACTTCATTAATAAACCCTCGGAGAGAGAAATTGACAAGAATCCAGACAATTAAAAATTAAATTTTATGCCTTTTTTCTCTACTACGTAAATTCAAGTTCAAGTTATGGCTTGATATTTTCTATGTCTATTCCAAGGCCGTAATCTTCTATTGTAGATAGGCTGCGCCAGCGGATCAACTTTAGTGCGTCTCCGCCTGCGGCCAGATTGACCCTCCACGCATCAACAATCAACTAGCTCCCACCCTGATTTCCTAAGATCTCAAACAAAAGACACAATGCCTGCTCCTCTGTCTCTCTTCTCCGTCAATGCCGTCCTCATTATGTCGGCGGATGATGGATCCCGCATCTTTACCAAGTACTACTCGGCGCCTCATGCCCCAGCTGGCACAGCGCCCAACTCGACCAATTACCCCGGTGCGAACCCCTACCCTGCCCTGAAGGAGCAGCGTGCATTTGAGAAGGGTCTCCTTGAGAAGACCAACAAGTCCACTAGCGACATAATTCTTTACGACAACCGGATCGTCGTTTTTAAGATGGAGAGCGACGTGATGCTCTACGTGGTTGGAAGTGCCGATGAGAACGAGGTTCTACTATACAATGTCGTCCTGTCTCTCCGTGATGCTCTTGGAATTTTATTCAAGTAAGTCTAATCTTAGACATCCAATTCGCGAATTCTGTGTGTCCGTGTATATTCAACTAACAAACTCCTCAACACAGGGGTGCCACCGACAAGCGCACCATCGTCGAGAACTACGACCTCGTTTCCCTTACCATTGACGAGCTTATTGACGACGGTATCATTCTGGAGACTGACCCTGTCATGGTCGCCTCGCGTGTTAGCCGTGCGCCAGCTGCGGATGCGCCCAATATGAAGAACATCGATCTCTCGGAACAGGGTCTGATGAACGCTTGGGAGTTCGGTAAACGCCGTCTGGCCGATTCCTTGCGACAGATGTAAAGAGCTCAAAAGCGCCTCTTTTACTTGATATCCCTCTGCTTCAACCTTTAACCGAGCAATCCTGTATCTGCTTGGGAGGTTTTCACCTCTTCCTTTTTACTCCTGTTTTTCCATGGCTGGCCCTGGCGTGATATGGTTTCCTTTTATTATCCTTTACGGTTGTTTCCCAATTTTCCCAGGGATTGAAAACTCCATAGATATTTCGCATGTTTCTTTATATCTGGTCTGCATCCTGCAAAAGCAAGCCCTATTCCGTCGCGTGCGAACTCGACCCTTTGTGACTCGAGCTAATATTCCCATGGCTGAAAGCGCTGATGACTACAATGAAAACTACGAATTCAATAATAATTCCATGCACCATGTAGATTATTTGTGTACTATACACTATACAATGTATCTCGCGCGAGAAATGCTTCGTGGAAAGCTATCGAAGTGGGTAGCTCACCATTCCTAGAAGAGACTCCGACTTCCGTCCCTGCCCCGCATACGTCACGCTCGAAAATTCCTTTCCTCTCACAACACCTCACAGCCAAGATGAAGCAAAGATTCTCGTCTCTAGACGTCAAAGTAATTACTCTGTATGAGTTTGAAAATCACATAATCACTAACTAGCGCTAGGTCATCACACAAGAGCTGGCCGCGGAGCTGGTCAATCTCCGGGTGTCCAACATCTACGACTTGTCTTCGGTAGGTTCAATTCCCTCATATGTGAAAGTTTTGACTCGAAGAAAGGAATATTAATTGATATGGGGGACTGTGTAGCGCATATTTCTCTTCAAAGTTTCCAAACCAGACCACAAGCGCCAACTTATCGTCGACTCCGGCTTCCGCACGCATGTCACACAATACTCCCGTACAGCAGCCACTGCGCCCTCTCCCTTCGTAACACGATTGCGCAAATTCCTCAAATCGCGTCGCATTACAGGAATCACCCAGATCGGCACAGATCGTGTCATTGACATCTGCTTTAGCGATGGCGCCTTCCACATGTTCCTCGAGTTTTTCGCCGGCGGAAACATTATCGTCACTGATCGCGAGCATACAATCGTTGCGCTGTTTCGGCAAGTGAACGCAACTGAAGGCGAAGAGGCGAAGCTTGGCCTCAAATATGATATCACCAACAAGCAAAACTACAATGGAATTCCGGATATCACATCAGAACGGATCACACAGACAATAGAGAAGGCGAAGGCACTGTTCTCTCAGGAGGGAGGTGCTCCCAAAAAGGCAAAGAAGAAGAATGCGGATTTCCTACGGAAGGCTCTATCGCAGGGATTTCCTGAGTTCCCGCCTTTATTGCTCGATCATGCATTCGCTGTTGTTGGGCTTAATGCTGCGACTCCATTAGACCAGGTCCTAGGCAATGAGACTGCGCTGCAGGAGGTCAGGAAAGTTCTGGAAGAAGCAGAGAGAGTATCAAAGAGCTTTGATGTTAGCAAGGATTTTACTGGCTATATTATTGCCAAAGAAGATACACGCTCCTCTGCGGCAGCAGAAGGCGAAAGTGCCTCGAAGACTCCTGGTTTGTTATATGACGACTTTCACCCATTCAGACCCCGGCAGTTTGAGGACAAGCCGGGACTTAAGATCCTTGAGTTTGAACGGTTCAATGCAACAGTTGACGAGTATTTTTCGTCGTTGGAATCTCAACGTCTCGAGTCCCGACTCACGGAGAAAGAAGAAGCAGCTAAACGCAAGCTAGAAGCTGTGCGGGATGAACATCGAAAGCGTATCGATGCTCTGAAAGATGCACAGGAATTGCATATCCGCAAGGCTGGTGCTATTCAAGATAACATGTATCGGGTTCAAGAGGCGATCGATGCTGTGAACGGTCTAGTGGCACAAGGGATGGATTGGGGTGAGATTGCTCGGTTGATTGAGATGGAGCAAGGCCGAGGAAACCCAGTTGCGCAGATCATCAAACTTCCCCTGAAGCTTTACGAAAATACCATCACTCTTCTTCTGGGCGAGGGCGAAGAAGAGGAGGAAGATGATGATGATGATGCGGAATCTAGCGACGAGTCTGATTCGGACTCGGAGGATGAAAAGCAGGAGGAAAAAGCCCGTGCTGATGCTGCTTCGAAGATGCTGTCGATTGATATTGACCTGAGTCTTACACCATGGGCTAATGCCTCACAGTACTATGATCAAAAGAAGCAGGCATCGGAGAAGCAGCAAAGAACCGTTCAGTCTTCTTCCAAGGCCCTGAAAAGTCACGAGAAGAAAGTGACAGCAGACCTCAAGAAGAATTTGAAGCAGGAGAAGCAAGTTCTTCGTCAGGCTCGTGAGCCATTCTGGTTCGAGAAATTTGTTTTCTTTCTCTCGTCAGAAGGATACCTGTGTCTTGGGTCAGTTTCTAATTTTCCCTACGATCCCTTGATTATTACTGATTTGATTTTTATAGAGCACGAGATGCGCTACAGGGTGAAATGCTCTACCGACGATATCTGAAAAAGGGCGATATCTTCATCCATGCAGACCTGGAAGGAGCGCTACCAATCGTGGTCAAGAATCGCGTTGGAACTCCTGATGCACCTATCTCTCCCAGTACTCTCTCTCAGGCCGGTAATCTGTGCGTTGCGACATCAGTAGCTTGGGACTCGAAGGCTGTCATGGCTGCGTACTGGGTGCACGCAAATCAAGTTTCGAAGATCTCGGACACTGGTGGTGGGATCCTACCCACCGGTGACTTCCAGATTAAGGGCGAGAAGAATTTCCTCGCGCCATCGCAATTGGTGCTTGGTTTTTCGATTCTGTTCCAGATCAGCAAAGAGAGTCTCCGCAATCACAAAATTCATTTTGACACAACGGAAATTCTGGCTCCTCAGTCTACAGAACGCCAAGAGGCTCAAGAGCAGCATATTGCTGAGAGTGGAAGTGCTGAGCAAATAAGTCAAGTTGAACCTGCAGACGAAGCAGATGAGGCAAAGGACGAATCTGATGAGGAAGAGGGCGACGATGATGATACAAAGCCGACAGCCCGGAACCCTCTCCAACGAGGGGATTCCGAAATTCCTTCTTCAGGAGCACAGAAGTCTGATGAACCTGAACCAACATCAGAATCGGATGACGAGACTACCAAAGAGGAGGAGCCAACTCTGGAAGCTGAAGTGGACATCAATGAAGATCAGGGTGATGAGGAAGCCGAAGAGAGTGGAGAGCTTGAAGCTGACGAGACAGCTTCTACGGTTCAAGAGGAAGCCCCTCAAGAATCAGAAGAGCAGAATCTCACAGCACGAGAGCGCAAAGCCTTGCGCCAAGGCAAGACCATCGATCGCGTAGGCGAGGTTGAGCCCACCCCAGCTCGCATTGCCCCAACCCGTGGTAAGCGAGCGAAGGAAAAGCGCGCCGCAGCAAAGTACGCCCATCAAGATGATGAAGAGCGTGAACTCGCTCTCCGACTTTTGGGTGCTGGCAAAGGCAAAACCGCCAAGGCAGCCCAAGCAGCGGAAGCCAAAGCCAAGCGTGAACAAGAGGCCGAAGCACAGAAAAAGCGTCGCCGAGCACAGCACGAGCGAGCTGCCGCCGCTGAGCAAAAACGGCAAGCCCAGTTTACTGAAGGAGGTGGCGATGACTATAACGAAGATACCGCTGCCGCGGAAGCTGCTGATCTTAGCTGGATTCCAGCCCTAATCGGTACTCCAACGCCCGATGACGAGATCCTCGCTGCTATTCCCGTTTGCGCCCCATGGGGAGCGTTGGGCAAATACAAGTACAAGGTTAAATTGCAACCTGGTACTGTAAAGAAGGGCAAGGCTGTCAAGGAGATCATTGGTCGTTGGGTTTCCGAAACTACTACGGGCAAAGTGAAGAAGGAGCATGCTGAGGATGCGGGCCTTTCTCGTGTTGACGCGGAGCGGTTGCGGACTCGAGAGGGCGAACTCATCAAGGGCTGGAAAGATTCAGAGATCATCAACACTATGCCTGTGGGTAAAGTGCGTATCATGACCGCTGGCAGTGCTGGGGCTGGCGGAGGCGGAGGCGGCGACAAAGGCAAGGGCAAGGGTGGTGGAGGGAAAGGAGGGAAGGGTCACGGTGGAAAGAAGAAATAGTTCATAGACCCTTTGGTTCAAGTTGAAGCATAGCCTTGGAAATATTACTAGGACATGATCCATCCCAACCTTCCAGTTGAAGCCTTGGAATAATTTTGAATGGGCTCTTCCAAGTCAACTGGTCAACTTCCACATACTACGTCAAATTTGAAAGAAGTGCTACTAGTAGTAGTACTGGGTACACTAATAGGTACTACATGTAGTACTACATATGGACTCAGAGGGCTGTCGCAGTGAAAGGGATGGATCGATTTCGAATGGATGGTAGTAGTATGACTTCAAGTTGCCAGTGCGTCAGAACGTTCAGCTGAATATATCCCGAGGTACCCTGCGAAGTCACTAGTACATAGCACTTGAGACAACATACGCTAGCTTTGGAGCATTTGAGTGTACTATACTTACTCCATATATGTACCGATAGCATTCTCCGAGATCCAAGTCAGATCAATATCGATTTATCAATGGTCTAATCCCATTTAGCTCTAGCTCTGGAGAGTGACTGGCCTTGCATGCAGGTCATACCACAAGGCGAGCCCTAATATGTACTGATAGATCTTGGCCGCCCCGATTACGACGTCACCTCTTTAAATCTAAGTACTTGAATTCCTGATAAACGTGATGTACGATATCTTTCTTTCTTTTGATCTAAGCATATCCCAGTCCCCTCTTACGTTTCCTTACAAGGCTGATCTCATTGTGCAGCGCTGTTCCTGCCTGACTCGCTGAGTCATCCGACGTCATGGACAATCGCGGATTTTCGCGTTTTTTTTTGTTCCTGATAAGGACCATCAAAAACCATAAAAACCCTCACAGACAGCCACCAAGGGCTCGTGTGGGCTGATCGTCGATCGGAAACCCCAGTTCAGATCTGATAAACTGTATATTTCCCGGAAAAAGAGACAATCAACACCCAATTCCGTCGTGACTCGGACCCGTGCGCTTGGGCATATTCAATCCACACCCCTCCATTACGTCTGCCCGACTGCCTCCTACCGCGTCATTGATTGATATTTCGGCCATTATATCAAGCTGTTGTTCCTTCACACTTTCACTGGCAGTCGACGCAGACTTGTCAGACAAATCACCACCATGGCCAACTTAAATACCCGGATCGTCTCCGTTCAACGCCTCAACCAGGACCCTGGAGCCCGATCTCTAGCCGAATGGTGGGCGGATGAGCGCAAGAATCAGACCCCCGAATCAAAAGCCATCGAAGAAGCCGCCAACCTCCTCCGTACAAGTGATATCCCCGTCGCCTTCCCTACCGAAACAGTATACGGCCTGGGCGCTGATGCCACACGCAGCGCTGCTGTGCAAGGCATTTACCGCGCGAAACAACGACCCTCCGACAACCCACTGATTGTTCATGTGGACTCTATCGACATGCTCAATAAGCTGCTAAATCCGTCTCAACAAAGTCCCAGCGCAGCGAAAACCCCGCGCACCCCACTTCCTCCGATCTATGCTCCTCTCATCGAACGTTTCTGGCCTGGGCCCCTCACTATTATCTTACCGAACCCATCTGGATCGGACCTTGCTCCAGAAGTCACCTCCAATCTGACGACCTTTGGCGCTCGTATGCCCTCCTCACCACTGGCCCGTCTTCTTATTCACGCTACAGATCGCCCACTCGCTGCGCCGTCTGCGAATGCGTCTACAAAGCCTTCTCCCACTACAGCGCAACACGTCCACCATGACTTGAAGGGGCGTATCGACCTAATTCTTGATGGTGGAGCTTCTGGTGTCGGTGTTGAAAGTACCGTTGTAGATGGATTGTGTAATCCACCGGCGATCTTACGGCCCGGTGGTATTGGAATCGACGAACTGCGCGAGGTCCCCGGTTGGGAAAACGTCGAAGTGGCCTACCGCGATGGAACCCTAGGTGTCAAGGAGATTCCCCGGGCACCAGGTATGAAGTACCGACACTACTCACCGAAAGCGCGAGTAGTGCTCTTCAAGGCATCGTCAAACCCAGAAGGTGTGGCTCGTCACGTCCGAAAAGACCTACAAGATAGTGCGATTGGCGCACATAATATTGGCATTGTACGTACCCGGAATTGGAAGCAAGGATTAGGACTTGCGCCGGAAGACGTAGTGGCAAGTACGCTTCAGCCTGTTGCTGCAGCCATCGATAACCTGGTGAGCTTCCCTGTTCCCGTGCAGGAGAATGGTAGCCCCAGTAGTCGAACCAAGTTGGCCTACGACTACCATCTTGGCGATGATACCACCTCAATTGCGCACGGTCTCTTTGCAGCATTACGGGCCCTTGATGAATTTGATGTGGATGTGATCTACGTCGAAGGAATTTCGGATAGTGATGGTGATCTGGCGGCTGCCGTGATGAATCGTCTTCGGAAGGCCGCTGGGACGGAGATGAAGGCATAGATCCTTTAAAATTATGTATTTCCTCTGCTGATCACAGTACTCATGTGTTCTTTCGATAGCGTTCCCCTCTTTTTTTTCTGTACATTTGAAGCATATTATATACATGAATCTGTTGGACTTGCCTCATTTAGAGATATCAATCTGCTCGGTTCTTCATTAGCGGAGACCTCCGACCCACTAAATGGAGTTGGTGGACTATGATTTGACAAATCTAATCTTCACATAGTTCTCAGTTATCTCATTAAAATTAGACATAGAATCAGTAAAAATAAAATAAAATAAGAAAATCAGACTGTTCTGCTCTTAATTGGGATAAAACGGAGATGGGATATAGATTAAGTTATCGGTGAAGAAAATTCCGATCCGACATTCTTAATCGGCGGTTCAGTTGAACTTTCTCCCCCGCACGCTTTTCTTTCTTTATATAGCCTGTCCTCCGCTTTAGCGAAAGTGATTTCTGTCTTTTCTTTTTGATACTTAATACATACTATCGTTCATTTTCCCCTTGCATACAAAACCATTCGAAATAGCACTTGAAAAACCACAATGTGCCAACACCCACTTCACGAGTTCCTTGCAGGCCTGCCCAAGTGCGAGCACCATGTTCACCTGGAGGGCTGCTTAACACCCGAGCTGATCTTCCAGCTCGCGGCACGCAATGGTGTTACCCTCCCAACCGATGACCCAGCTTTCGCCTCCATCGAAGCCCTAGCAGACCGCTATGAGCGCTTCGCCAATCTCGACGATTTCCTGCACTACTACTTCGAGGGCATGGCCGTTCTGCAGTCTGAAAGCGATTTCGCTGATCTCGCCTGGGCCTATTTCCTGAAAGCCCACGCTGATGGCGTGCACCACGCAGAAGTCTTCTTCGATCCGCAGGTCCACCAAGACCGCGGAATTCCCTATGAGACCATCGTGGCTGGATTCTCTGAAGGCTGCAAGCGCGCAGAGCGCGAGCTGGGTCTTAGCACCAAATTGATTCTCTGCTTCTTGCGCCATTTGCCTGTTGCATCGGCTAATAAGCTGTATGAGAAGTTCCTTGCTTCGGGTGATTATGAGAAGGGTACTATTCATGGACTGGGATGGTCTTCATCTGAGGTTGGTCCCCCAAAGGACATGTTCCGGGAGATTTATGCCTCGGCAAGAGAGAAGAACATTCGTCTTACGGCGCATGCGGGTGAAGAGGGAGATTCGACATATATTAGTACCGCTTTGGAACTTGGTGCGACGCGAATTGATCATGGAATCAATTTGATTCAGGATCCGGAGCTTATGAAGCGGGTTGCACAGGAGAATATCTTGTTGACTGTGTGTCCTGTGTCGAATGTTAAGCTTCAATGTGTGAAGTCTGTTGCCGAGGTGCCAATTCGCAAGTTCCTGGAGGCGGGTGTGAAGTTCTCGATTAACAGTGATGATCCTGCATACTTCGGAGCTTACATTCTGGAGAACTACTGCGCCGTTCAGGACGCACACAAGTTATCTGTGTTGGAGTGGAGGATTGTGGCAGAGAATGCGGTGCAAGAGAGCTGGATCTCTAATGAGAGGAAAGCGGAGATTTTGGAGAGCATCACAGCGCATGTGAACAAGTACCTGTAGATTTGAGGTACTTGTTGATACTCCCTGATGTTCAATTTTCAACATGTATATTTCATACTCAACTTTATACAACATACGGAGCCCTGGAGTAAATAACTAACTAGTTAACTAAATAATGATGCCTGAGAAGTGAGGCGACAACAACACATATCAACCAGTTGACCATGGTACCCGAGGTTCCTTATACCTTTGCTAGCTCCCAGTTTAAGTACCAACGCATCTTCCCCGCTCGGTTCTCATGTCCCAAGCCATTCATTCCAGGACTTGGTCAACCGTCAAGCCTACACTTCGGCCAGAGATAGTTCGGTTGAACCAGATATTTCGAGGTCTGCGTGGCTTATCAACCCAAAGTTTACGTCTTGGTCATATCAGAAGCCCCCACCAACCAAGAAGTGTAGCAAGACATACTATCTTTCAACATAACTCTACAGCACCCGCAGTTTTTCCAACTTACTACTGGAGCTTTTCAACCAAAGCGAGAACAATGTCAGCCACTACAGACTTACCCGACCGCTACAAATTGATCTTCTTCGTCCCACCAACCGACCTTGAAGCTTGTAAAGAAGCCATCTTCGCAACAGGTGCCGGTTCCTTTCCAGGTGGCAAGTACACAAAGTGCTGTTTCCAGACCAATGGCACAGGCCAGTTTCTTCCTAGTCAAGATGCAAACCCGGCCATTGGGGCCGTCGGGACACTGGAGCGATGCGAGGAGGTTAAGGCGGAAATTATGTGTCTTGGTCGCGAGGTGATGTCGGATGCAGTTCAGGCTTTAATCAAGGCGCATCCATATGAAGAGGTTGCATATGAAGTTTATCGAATGGAGAATGTGTAAGCGTCCACGGGTGTACCTGGCTAATATAGCTGGTTTTGCTGGTAGATGGTTGGTTTTTGAGGACGAGCATCACGAGAAGTCTGGTTGATGTTTGAGGTTAAAAGATGATAATTGATTCCATATAATTCATTTAAAATCAAGATATCATGAATTAATCCCAATTCATAGAAGAGTGTAACTGTGTAAGTAATATGCAAACCGAGGAGGAAGAATATGAAGGGAGTAATCTGTCGACTCTGATTGGTTAGCCGCCCGCAAAACGTCTTGCCAACTCGATCCGTCATTCTCCTCAACTCAACATCCACCTCAATCCACCTTCAATCACCCTCCACAATGGCCTCGAAGCTTTTCCCCGTTTCGCGGGCCAGCAGGCTACTGCGCCAGACTCCTTTCACCCCTTTCAGATCATTTTCCGCCGCCCCGCAACGACGCAGCGACTCCCTGTCCGTTGTACGTGAACCCAGCTCCCCTCGGGCATTGCCCCGGTGCAAGCCGGTCATGCATTCAGCAAGAGAGGACAATTGACTGATATATTGCTCTTATATAGCACCGCAACACTCCTACCAACAACCCCTCCATTCCGTTCAAGTTCACCGAGCAGAATCTCACCCTCGTCGATGAGATTCTTAACCGCTACCCACCGCAGTACAAGAAGGCCGCCGTCATGCCTCTGCTTGACCTCGGTCAGCGCCAGCACGGTTTCACCAGCATCAGCGTCATGAACGAGGTTGCCCGCATGCTCGAGATGCCTCCTATGCGTGTCTACGAGGTCGCTACTTTCTACACTATGTACAACCGTGAACCCGTCGGAAAGTACTTTGTGCAGATCTGTACTACTGTATGATCATCCTTTGATATTCGCATTTTATTCTTGCAAAATACTAATCTGATTGTTTTATAGACCCCCTGCCAGCTTGGAGGCTGTGGCTCTGACGCCATTGTCAAGGCCATCAACGAGCACCTCGGCATCACCCCTGGTCACACCACCGAGGATGGCCTCTTCACCTACATCGAGGTCGAGTGCCTGGGTGCCTGCGTCAACGCCCCTATGGTCCAGATTAACGACGACTACTACGAGGATCTCACCCCCGAATCCATCAAGACCCTCCTGACTGCGCTTAAGGAATCTGCTACTGCTACTGGCTCCGCCGCTACTAAGGTCCCTGCTCCCGGCCCGCTGAGCGGACGTGACACCTGCGAGAACAGTGCTGGTCTGACCAACCTTACCGAAGTTGTCTGGAACCCTGAGACCATGATGCGCAAGGATGGTGCTCTGGATGCGCAGCCCCAGCAATAAACCAGTTTCAACATTGGAACTAGTTTAATTTGCTTTAAAGGCCGCATTTATGATTTGAATTGGATCGAAGGAATCAAGGAAGGGCTATTAATGGAGAATACCTTCTCTGATACCCCACCGCCGACGCAGAGCTGAAGAAAACAAAATTTATATGCACACCGGCGCGCTGCACGATCGTCTTTCTAGAGAGCATTTTGTTTTTTCATTTGTCTACCATGTACAGTACGTGGCCCCTAAAGTTTTTATTTTTTTCTTGGGAATAGGAGCCCGATGCAGATTAAGTCGGCATCAATGCAATTTTTTAAGTCTTCCACCCTCGCTTCAGACTAGTAGTGTATACTACACGAGAGCTTTTCGGTTATGTTGGATCCGTATTGTATAAAGACTAAACTACCCCTCCATTTAACAATTTGAAGGCTCATACAGCTCCAGGTCTGTAAACAGAAGAGTGTTTCCAGGGCTTGAGAGTCGCAGCTTACTATACATACTAGTACTACTTGCTCTCTACGAATGACTACGATTATCATAATAACTTCAAGTTTGAAATAAACGCACTGGTATTAACAGCCAAACGGGCTGGGCAATGATTAATGAACATTGCAAAACAACGAATCAAAAAATCCAAAAAGTAAAAGAGATACAAATACAATGCAGGGGCCACCTCGCCCCCCCAGAGGATCACTCCTCGAAACCTCCTTCGTAGTCGGGATCCAGTGACTCGACAAAGCCGAGTGGCTGGCTCTCAACTACGACGTCAGAATCGAGGACTTCCTCCCCAGGAACGAACATGGCTCGTCCATTGCGCTCAATGATGACTTCATTGCGGCGGCGCTGCATAATCTCGATATCGGAGGTCGCACGGTGAAGCATGTGGTAGATATTGACAGTACGCTTCTGTCCATAGCGACGGGCTCTGCCGATTGCCTGAGTCATGTCTGCAACATAGTCGTGCAGATTGTCTGTGTCCATTGGCGCAATGAAGACGAGGTGGTTTGCATTTTGTAGGTTCAGTCCGGCGGCCATTTCACGTCGGAGTGGTAGCAGCAGTACTTTGACTGGGCGTGCATTCGGATCTTTAGGACCCTTGATGAAGTCATTCAGGCCTGAAAACCTGCCAGTGCGAATAGCTCGGAATTCAATGTCGGAGAATTCCAGAGCGCGATTGACCATGGTCATGATGTCGTCGAACTGAACAAAAAGGATGACCTGCTCATCGTCGGGGATTGAATGAAGTAGTTCGAGGAGAGCAGTGAGCTTGCAGCTTTGTTTGATCATGAAACCGCTGTCCAACGATAGGCCGTCGAGGCGGCAAGCAATTCGTGCAGCTCCGGTACATCCTTTGACGGAGCACTTTGAGAAGGCTACGTCACTGGGCTTTGGGTCTGGGGGTAAAATTCCTTCATCATCGGACTCGTCAGCTTCTTTGCGTGCGCATCTTGCAAGACAGGTTTTGCACAGGACATGTCCACAAGAACTGATGATCGTGAAATCAAAGAAACTCGTCAAGCCCGTCGTACATCTCGAGCACGAAGTAAGTGGGGAAGTTTGCTGTTTGACTGCGAGCTGAACTGACTGCATTGTACCCCAGAAGCGGGTGTTGCGGACATTTAGCACATGGTCGTTCAAGGCTGTATTTAAGTCTTTCGCCATAGATGCCGCAATGCTATTTTCGACCTTGGCTTTTTTGGCTGGTTCTAGGCCATTGTACTCGGCAATCACTTCCTTTTCTTCTTCAGTGGCCTTGTCCTCTGAAGGTGGCTGGTCCCCCGTAGGTGGATGTTCCTCGGTAGGTCGCTCTTCCTTTCCAGGTGATGTTTTCTTCTTTTTGCGGGGCGATGATTGATCCTTGCAGACTTTTTCGTAGTCGCTATCATCAGAAGGGTCGTCAGCGGTACCATCAAAAGATTGAATCTTTGCTGGTCTGCTGGATCTTCTGCGCTGTGGTTTTCCTTTGGAGGTTTCGCCGTTCTTGTCCTCTGTAGTGGTCGGCCCTGCAGAGTCCTCAGCGGTAGCCCCAGTAGGTTTCTTTCCTTTCGTCTGGCTTGATCTTCTGCGCTGTGGTTTTGATTTGGAGTTTCGGCGCCCAACAGAGTTCCCGGTACTTCCAATAGAAGATCTTCCTCCCGTGGATCTTCTCACTTTGTCTTTTGACGCCTGGGGCAAAGCTTTCTTCGTTCGCTGGACGAAACTTTTTCGGATCTCTTCCGGGATCTCGGCGTTCTCATCGGTGAACTTGACAACCATATCAGAGATGAGCTGGAGTAACTCAGTACGAGTTTCACTATCGCCAACTTTATGGGGGGAAAAGTTTGTTCCTTGGAAGCCTTCCCAAGCTGGAGCATTGGGTGTGTTTCGGATTTCATGTAAGACTTGCTCCGCGATTAAGCTCTTCAGCTTTGTCTCACGCTTGGTTGCCAGCCCAGCGAGGGCCGCGAGCTTTTTCTCACACTTCTCAAGAGAGTATTCGTCATTCCAGATTCTAACTGTCACGCAAGCCTTCACTAAAGCCTCAGATGCAGCCTTCGATACAGAGAAGAGTTTGTTCACAAGTTCAACCTGAAGATCATTATCCGGGTTATGGATTTTGCGTGAACGACTACTGTTTGCATGGTCCAGACGCTGGTACATGACATCGTACGTCAATCTTTCAGCGGCGAACTGTTCAGATAGAAGGACATGAGTTTCCACAGGGATTTGATCAATTTCAGCAACATTCTGACGAGCAAATTTGTTGAGGAAGCGCTGAGCATGGTGATGACGATTCATATGCCAGTCATTGGTGTGAGGAGGCTGGTACATTTGGAATTTTTCAGCTAGGGTGAGATTTCTTCTCTCTACCTTGAGACGATCGTTCTGAGATGGGGCATCGCCGTCATCATCAATTCCGAGGTGAACTCCAAGATGTTGCGCAATGGTCTTGATATCAGCAAAGTCTCGGAGTCCGGGCGTGCCAGACATAATCCATTTAGATCGTGCAGAGAGGCCCTGCAAACAGACTTGCTTGTCCTCACGGGCGTATGTGAATTCATCAATGACAATTCGGTTGAAATGGAAAGCGTGGAAGAATGGACATTTCATGTCAGAGGATTCCGGCGCATTTTCAGATAGGATCTTGAACGCACTTCGGATTTCGCTTTCGGAAAAGGTATCTTTCTCATAGTTGAAGGACTTCTGAGGATGCTTATCCTTTGTATCTTGGTCTTCGTCAAACTCGCCATCGTCATCAATGTCGTCTAGTGCATTTGGTAGTTCTGACCAGCCTTCAGCATAGCCTTCGTTGGCATTATGGGTGGCACGATCCCACTCGTCTCGCTCGTCATCAGTCTCGAATTTTTCACTGTCGGGAACATAGTCTTCCTCTTCTGGATCAGCGCGAGCCTTGCCTTTGCCTTTGTATGTGGTTTTGGGTTTGGCCTTGGGCTTGGGCTTGGGCTTGGCTTTAGGCTTAGGGGGGGGGGGCTTGGCTTTGGCTTTGCCCTTGCTGGAGGTCGCCTTGCTGGATGAATGAGCGAACTTTCGCTTGTTGCCCGCTTGAAGGGTTGGCTCCTCTTGTGTCTCTTCGAAATCCTCTTGTGCCTCCTCAGATTCTTTCTGAACTTCTGCCTCCGCCTGCTGGGACTCTCGTTGTGCTTGCAGTGACTTTTGATTCGCACGAACAAATGCAGCTCCACGAAGTCGACGGGATGGTATGTAGGACGCATCATCTTGAACCTTTTTAAGCTCAGCGAATCTCTCCAAGAGTTCTTGCACGAAGTCATCAACGCCATGCTCGGTCAGGGTTCGGATTCTGTCTCGAAGAGCCTCCTTGGCTTCCTGGAACCAGCAATCGAATGCTCGTCCACTACTGCCTTTGTTGGGAACCTTTGGAACACCTGTGAAGAGGCGGAGTAGCTGGTAATAAGAAGGGCTGGTGAAAATGGCCCACGAAACGAGAACGATATCAGCGGTTTGAATGTCGCGAATGCTAATGCCTCGAAGTTTCGCAACATTGGAGATCTTCAGAATATTGTACTTCTTTCCGAGGAATTTGTGAATCTCTTCATACCATTGTTCAAAAACATTTGCAGGCACAACAAGCAAAGTGGCATTAGTTGAGATGAGTCCTTCGGTGTGAGGGGCTATGAGACGTGTTGCATTTCTCGCTTTATCTGCTTCGAATTGCGAATCTATGAGACCAAGGACAACCGCAGTTTTGCCGTATCCAACTTGATCAGCAATGAGTCCTCCCCGAACGACTTGTGGAACCGAGATATTGACTTCGGCTCGCCATCCCATGAGTGCTAAACTGGCTTCTTCAACTTCTTCGTCAATGAAAGGCTCGATATCTTCAGCTTCTTGGGAAATCATCCAGCTCAGGGATCGAAGCTGTTCCTTTCGCAGGTCGAAAAGAAAATTTGGTGGCTGTGAATGAGGGATATTATCAAGGTTATCACGAAGAGTGAAGCGGGGATGTCTCTTTCTGCCGACATCATACACGTTGGAAACCAGACGCCACTTGAATTCGGCCTTGTTATTGTCTGGGAGTTCAGGGAACTTTCCAAATCCTATGTGGGCCATCACTTGGAGATTCAATGCGAACTGTAGCTGTGTGGAGCCATTTTCAGAAACGGACTGGAATATCAAGAAAGGTGGCGCCTTGTTTTTGACTGCACGTTCCCACACTGCTGCTTCTTGAGGATCTTCATAAGGCATGACCTTTCCTTTAACGTCCACACCCCATAGCAATCCGGGGCTGCGCGGTCTGCAATCGTGACATATTGAGCCAGTCGTAGGTATTTGTGATGTTGGCTGAACAGGGCGCCATTTCTCGAAGGCTGAAAGATCACCGATTCTCTGAAGAGTCCAGGTGATTTCTTGGAGTTCCTCCTGAGCTTTTTCAGGCTTGATGTGCTTCCAATCCGACGCCAAGGCCGTTTGTAAGGTCTGACAGCAAGATAGGTCAGTCATCGATAGGATGGGAATGTATCTTTCGTGGCAACTTGTGCCCGGGAAGTCAATGACGTTCTCAGAATCCAGGTGCTGGTAGGAGATTGAGTGGTCATCAAGAGGGAGGAGAGTCATTCCAGGAGCTTTATGGGCGCGTCTGGCAAAAGCCATCTTTGTGACTGCCTCGTTGGTCATTTTTGTGAGGTCCCATTGGCATTCAACCTCTGCAATGACCTTTCGGACTTCATATCCTGGGTTTCTTCGGTGCTCGACGGAGAATACATATGAGTCTTCAACAATCTCTCCATACTTCCGTGGATCAAGGAACAGAAAGATGGGAGTTTCGCCTTGTGAAGTTTTCTTCTTATACAAGGTGCCCATGGCAGTTCCACAGTTGGGGAGATGCTCATAAACCCCATTCAGATCCTGGTCAAGAAGATCCAGATCACTTGGCTTACAGAAAACGTTGAGTTCAGCCCATAACTTCTCATCTTGTTTGTTCTCTTCAGTGATGCCGCACTCCAGTATGTATGACTTGACTTGGTGACCTGAACCGTTCACCTCGATATTGAACCTAGTGCTGAGAGGCTCCATGATTTCCCAAATATCTGAAGACGAGCCCTTTGTTCGCATTCGTGCAATTGGCTTTGCGAGAATCTCTCTTAATATGCTCAGAGATGGAGTATCCTCAGGAGCTTTGGCGAACAGCAAGAATTCATGGCCATCATGATCGATCTCAATATGGAGACTAGCCCACTTGCTGTCAAAGTACATGGTCCAAATCTCTCTCCGCTTGATATCAGTGAACCGTACCACTTCGCTTAGGGCATTTTGAACAGAAGAGATGTATTTCCCCCAGATGACTTCGGGTTCGTCGGGGTTGGAGATATCCTCAAGATCTTGGAAGTTATCTTTCTCGATAGGCTTTTCAAATTTGTACTGGTACGCGTCACAGATTCGAACTGTTTCTTCCTTGAAGCGTTCAAATTCCTTGCTCGATAAACCGGAAATCTTGAATCGCAAGGGGATTCCCTCTTTCAGTGTCTTCATAAACTGCAGTGGCTGGATTCGATCTTCATTAAGCACCATCGATTTGTAAGAGTGAGGGGGGTTTCCAGAACAAGCCTCGCAGGCTGTATGACCACAATCAATGCACTTGAGGATTTTGAGCTTCTTCTGAGTCTGTTTTTCACAATAACAGTAACGAGCGGCTAACACAGATTGTGCTTCGAGAGCCGACCAACGTTCCTTGCTGCAACCAAACTCACTGGTCGGTAGGTCCTTATCATCGGACGAGCTGTTTTTTGATTCCACATTGTCCACAATGGCATCAGCAAGACTGTGGCCTGTCTGTATTTTGCACACTGGGGGTGGGAGAATTTCATTCTTCTTCTTTGAGCCACCATGGGCTCCCGGGGGGCCATAATCGGTTCGGTCTTCTAAGATCTCAGAACATGCAATAAGTGTGGCTAACATCACTGCGCCAACAACGGTAGAAGACATAGCATTTCCGGCAAGATCTTGAAGTTGTCTGGAGGATTCGTGGGACAGAATAATGTTTTCACCTGCGAGGCCTTGAAGGAGTAGAGCCTCAATACCAGTGAGAGGACCACCACGAATGGTTGAAAATGGAATACCACATGGGGTCAGACATCCAGTCACCCCAAAGTTGTTGATACTATCACTTCCACGGTCAACACCTTGAGACAGATCAATGTATTGTTCCTTGTAGTGAAAGTCATACTTTTTCAAAAGGGCCATGAGGTATTTGATGTCGAGTGTCTCCCAGATTCGCTCCACTTGTTTTTTGAACCATGTATGTTTGTAAAAGTCGGGCGCCGTACAACTGGCACCCCCGGGTTGTGAACGACTGATTGTTCGTTGATCTCCAGTTTTTATCCTGTCTCGAAGTTCCTGGTGTCGCACTTGGTATCGAAGCCAACTTGTTTCACCATGCTCGGTAAGGGATTGAAGGCGTGTCAAGTTATCTCTCTCAACTTGCTCTAGTTGCCGATCATCTTCACCCAGTAAGAATTGGCTTGTTGGTGAGCTACACGGGCGCTGGAACTCGAGAATCAAGTCTTGGGCGTTGGATAAAATGCTTTCGATGGCGGATTCATCGAAGCCGAGATTCTTCATACGACGGTTGTCGATAGCAATCAGATAACCTCGCTCGCGGGTGTGTGGGAGGTAGTAATTCTTAGTGTCGACAAGTTGGTACGTTGCCGAATAGTTGATTGCATTCCACGATTTCACAAAGTCGTCCCATGGGGCTCCCCGAACGTTCTCGCAAATGACGAGGCGAGGTCTATACTTTTCCGCATAGGCCAAGAGACCATTGAAAGTAGAGGCCGACTCGCCTTTTCCCTTCTCTGGTCTGCTGGAGTTTAGCATCGAGTAGTCGACACACGCCGTTCCCGCAATCAGGATGTCTAGGTCACCGGGGATCAAATCCAGTGACCCGTAGGCTGTTTGACTAAACATGTTGTCAGCTTTCCATCTCTCACTTTAATTAGAATTGAGAAATCACTTACGCCACGTCACCTCCTAGGTCTCGGAGATCCCTGAAGAGGTGGGCGGGCCCAAAGTTGCGTTCAATTAAGGCTTGCTTGAACGCGACGATTTCACAGCTGAAAGTGTGAACCATCCTGAAAAGCGGACCGTCAATTGGTCCGAGACCTATTTGAAAAGCAATACGATAGTCAGTTACAGGTCTTTATCTGAAGCTAAAGAGATGTGAAAGTGAGCTGAATACAACGGAGGCTTGCATGATAGTGGTTTTGAACCAATAGCAAAATTTGCCGATGAGATCCCGGAGAAAACCAGGCCGAATTTGAAGCCTCCGATGTATACAACATTGGAAGGCCTGGGAGAAAAGCGAATGAGATTGACTTACCCTGCATTATCATCTGCAGGGCAATGAGGGGACTCTCGGTCCCGGAGCACACGGTAGCCGTCCGGAGAGGAAACCTCTCCAGGCGTTCCAGTACCCGGCCTAGTCCCAGGCTCATTGCCCTTTTGGCGAGATGGGCAAAGATCTCCTTAAGGGTCGACATTGGGGGCTCGTCCCCCTCAATGCCACGGGCGCCCTGTCTGCTCCAGGCATGGAAAACCTCCGGAGGTGCCTGCTTGATGCTGGCCACCTGGGTGCTTGAAGAGGCCATGCTGGAGGAGGAGGGCGAAGGAGTGAAGGGTGTTCGGGCGAAGAAGAATGAAAGAAAGAACAAATGGTCAAAGACCAGGTTGTTCAAGGCAGGTTGTTGGATTGGCTGTTCCATCAAAACATCAACAAAAATCATCAGATTTATCAAGATTTAATCATCCTTGACTTACAGGTTGGCCTTTTTGATGGCCGCGGCACGCTCCACAGAAAAAATGCAATAAAGCATGCGCTTATTGCTGGTTTTTGGTGGCTGTGGATAACGTGGGGGAGAGAAAAGAAAGGAGGAAGAAGAAGAAGAGAGGGGGGGGGCTTTTGTTTATGTTTGACCAGGCTACGATTACTCGTTTTGGAAAGTTACCAGCCGCAATCGACGATGAGTCGTGATGGTCGAGCCACGCGGCTCGGCGCCGGCGAGGCTGGAGGGCAACCTGGTCAAGCCGCGGGCGGCTGAAGACCCCCAAGATCACTTGACCAAGCTGCGGCTGGAGACCCCCAAGATTGCTCGACCAAGCCGCAGCTGGACACGAACGAGACAGACGGCGATGAGGGCACTCTACCCTAGCATAGCTCGGTCACGATATAACATGAACATGCAGCGAGGAGGTACCTGGGAGCTAACATCAATTAAATGTCATTTGAGCAAGATGGAGCTCATATTGCGGCTTAAATGAGCTTCAAGTGTTTAATTAAGCACCAACAAATCACCAAGATATCAAAGAAATACTACTAGTACTACGGCTCAATGTTAGCTTTGAAGTCTTTAACATTTGCCTGCATACCAACTATGGATGGAGATATGGTTCGTTGTTAAACCTGCATGATCTCGGATTCCGGTAGGAGCATAATAATGCTTTTTAAAGAGACTGGGCCAGACAAAGGCATGTTTGCATTGAAGTACAAAGAATTGCACCTGAGATATCATTGACAATGCATACTACAAGTAGGAAGCACTTGCAATACGCAATGTAGCGGAATAGGTATTCATGACTGATTTATTGTTAAGAAATCATGGACAGATAGATAGTTCAAAGGAGTGATTCTTTCGTACCAGTAGGGCCTCATCATCTTTTAGCTTTGCTTTGGAAAACAGATTATCAAGTTCTCAGGGCTTTGAAATCACGTGCGGCAGCATAAAGCTGTTCCAAGGCTGTCCGCAGGATATTCAACTTTGCAGGGCTTTGATATCACGTGAGAGGTGTCCCGGCTGAATGATGGCCAACTTTGCAGGGCTTTGACGTCACGTGCTGTGACATGAGCTGTTTCGTGTCCATATGGTGGTTTGTTTCTAACCATCAACAGCTTTGACAACCTTAATGGTCCCACTCACCCATGTGCGCTTTTCCCCAATTCTGAGTAATAACGCCTGATTGCATAACACTGTCGATGAGTGTAGCCTCTTTCAGTATCTCCCCTTCCCTGTCTTCAATCGCAGATAAGAGAGATAGTGTTCTTCTTGCAAGCAATTGCAATAGTGACACTCAGCATGACTGCCGCTGCTGGTGAGAGGTCATTGAGTCTTTGGCGCGGGTGAAACCCCATGGTCTTTCCTCTTGTAGCCCTCAGGTCTTGTTTCGCATTCATAGGGATTATAGGCAGCCCAGCCGAATTGATGACATGCAATTCATCCCTTCAGACATTTCTCATCTGCTGTGCTGTCTTGTTTTTTGTTTCTGGGATGGAGTGAGTCAGAACGAGAGCAACTCGAGACAGCAGTCACTCGGGACGGAAGACATTCGGAATAGGAGTGCCTCGGAATGGCAGCCATTCGGGATAGGAGTGGCTCCCGAGATGAGAGATATTCAAGACAGGAGTCTGAGCGACTCGGGTCTGCAGAAATTCCGGGTGGGAGCCCAGATTCCCCGTGGATTGAGTTGTGCCTTTGGTCCGGATCTCTCGTTTTGGTGTTGGGTTTTTGTTAGGCTAGGTAATTCCCCTTTATATCTTTGAGCCGGCAATTTGATTTGCCTTGCGAGGAAGTTCAATGCTTTTTTCACCTTTCCGCCCTCAGGAAGACTCTCTGGTTGTCAAAGATGTACTACCCATACTGGACAAGGTGCAAGTCCAGTAATTTGAGAGTACTTCCTCAGTTTTTATCGACTGGGGCGGGATGCCTGCATGTAGTTTCTCGGTAAGTTTCCCTAGGGATGAGGAGTCCTTCATGGGGTGGTAGACACCTCTCAGCGATTTTCCGTGTCCTTTTTACACAGCATGTGGCTGGCATTGTCCATTCACTATGTTAGAGGTCAATCTGGTCAATCTGATCAATATTCGTAGGCTCAACCCAAAGGGTATAAGTGGGAGCATCGAGTAAATTAGGTATATGCATTTCCATAATGGTTCTATGCTTTCAAAGAGAAAAAAATTTGATTTCCTGTTTTAGAATTACAGCCCGGAAGAGCTGACATGCAATTGGTCCTAATAAAAAGATTGAACTCCATGCGCCATCCATCGCCACGTAAAAAGAACTATGAAGCATGAATGAAAAAGGAAGAGGAAGAAAAAAGGCCACATGAATTCGAGCCGCGGCGCAGATGCAGAATATTGATTTTCAAGTGGTCTGTCACGTGCCATTACCTCATACCACCTTGCATCAGTTGCTGACGGAGCATCATGATTTGATTGCGTTCCATTGGGGGCAGTGCGTCGATAGCAGCTTGCGGCATAGCCAATACCTGCTGTAGGAGCTCTTCTTGGCCAGCTACAGGCTGGGGAGCTGCAGCTTGTGGAGGTGGCGGTGCGAACGGCGTGGCAGCAACGGGTGGAGTAGATATCTGACCAGGAACACCATATTGCTGGTACTGATTGTGTGCTGCCGGCTGAGGCTGGGCAGCCTGCTCAACAATGGATCCGAGAAGTTGGTATTCAACCAGATTCATGAGGAGTAGCGCCTGGAAAATAGCGTACGCGAGTTGTGGCGCTTGACGCAGAAGCTCAGTTGCGCGGGCCGGATCGGCCACTGCAAGGGATTTCATCTGGGTGAGGACGTCGAGGAGCTGGTTTGGAGGGAGAGAGGCGAGAGTGTGGGAGATGGCGTTGGGGCAGTCGAGATGAGGTGGGACTTCGACACCTGGGGGCAGAGGAGGCAGTGGCGCAGCACCAGGAATCTGCTGCATCTGCTGTGTGGGGTCCTGTGTCGGTTGCGATTCTTGGGGATAGTCTGTGGGTATCGAATCCTTCTCATTGTTATGAGGCCAGTCGACTCGGATCTTGCGACCCATGATCTCGTAGTCATTTAGATTGCGAACAGCTGACGCTGCGGCGTCGGCGTCGGCAAAGTCTGCAAATCCGTATCCTTTCGGCTTTCCAGTCTCTGGGTTCATCATTAACCGGAACTTGGTAACGGTTCCAGCGGTGCTGAGGATGTCTTTGACTTGCTCCTCAGTGAGGTCTGCGGAGATGATCAGTAAGTGACAGGAATATTGATGTATTGACGGATCCAACTAGACATACTGTAGGGAATGTTCCCTAGGAACACGCTTTTTCCCGTGCGATCGGGCGCCATGGTTGCAATAAGATGATGTAGAGAGAAGCGTAAAGGTTGGAGGAGCAGTTGAGTTGAAAGAAGGAAGATATTCTGCCGGACTTTGCTCCTACCGCCTACCTATGCATCTTCTTCGGACGTCCCGTCTTCACTCACACCCTACAAACCACCTCTTCTCTAACTTTCACATCATGTCTCAGAATCAACGAGAGGCTTGGGAGCGCGTACAGCTTATGCTGCAGCGACGCAAGGGTAATATCCCAGGTGGTGGTCGCGGTGGTATGGGGTTGGCCGGTCTTGTCCTGCTTGGAGCCGGTACCTGGGCTATCTCGAACTCGCTCTTCAATGGTATGGTCATATGATGAATACATTATGCCGGGGCCCAATATCTTTTCTAACGGCTTTCTTTAGTTGACGGTGGTCATCGCGCTATCAAGTACTCAAGATTCAGTGGTGTGCGGAAGGAGATCTACAGTGAAGGTGAGGACTGAGGACTGACCTCCGACGGTGCTTAGAGCTCAAGACTAATCTTGCCGGTTGTATAGGAACCCATTTCCGAATTCCCTGGGTCGAGACCCCGATTATCTATGATGTCCGCGCTAAGCCGCGCAACATTGCTTCCTTGACTGGAACCAAGGACTTGCAGATGGTGAACATTACTTGCCGTGTGCTGTCCCGGCCCCGCGTGGATGCTCTGCCGCAGATCTATCGTACACTTGGTGGAGACTTCGATGAGCGTGTGCTCCCCTCGATTGTTAACGAGGTCCTGAAGAGTGTTGTGGCCCAGTTCAACGCCAGCCAACTGATCACTCAACGTGAGAATGTTGCCCGCCTGGTCCGTGAGAACTTGGCCCGCCGTGCCGCCCGCTTCAACATTGCCCTTGACGATGTTTCCTTGACTGTAAGTTTCGTCGGACTCTCATAAGCATGTCATTTCATTCGGGCCAAACGCTTACACACATTCTCTCCACAGCACCTCACTTTCTCTCCCGAATTTACCGCTGCCGTCGAGGCTAAGCAAGTAGCCCAACAAGATGCCCAGCGTGCAGCCTTCGTGGTCGACAAGGCTCGCCAGGAGAAGCAGGCTTTCATTGTGCGCGCACAGGGTGAGGCTCGCTCTGCTGAGCTGATTGGAGATGCTATCAAGAAGAGCAAGAGCTACATCGAGCTGCGCAAGATCGAGAACGCCCGTCACATTGCTCAGATCATCCAAGAGAACGGTGGCAAGAACAAGCTTTACCTTGATGCGCAGGGTCTCGGACTGAATGTCAACGCGCCTAGCGAGGAAAGCAAATAACTACATTAATTCGGGCGCCGGGGTGGAGAAATATCTGTACAAATAGCTTTATTAGGAGCATCCGAATGCGGTCTCTTCTCTTTATTTGATTGACCTCTCCGATTTCTAAGTAGAATTCGTAAATCGTGATCTGCGCATTCAAATTTTTAGTATGTATTCCACTTTTCCAAGTTGAGTACCAGTTGACCACCCAGGCTTAGGCACCGGTGGACCTTCAAGTTCCAAGACTCGTCGGATCTCATGTGCAATTAATGCAGGTCCTCACTGGCAATATATCGCTAGGGACCTACCTAGGTATGTAGTACATACCCAAGTGCTAGTAGTAGTACTATTCAACATTTGAATGTTCCAAGTTCAAACATTGAATGTTCTAGTTCTACTCAAGTAGTACTATGTAACCTGAACAGGTACCAGAAGTTGACGAGTCTATGTACTCCGTACTAGTAAAATATACCTAACCTTCCAAGGTTGGAATATACATCCTCCGTGGCATGATATATTTTCCTAGTAGTAAGCGCCGCGGCGGGGACGAAGGCGGCGAGCGGAGCTCCACCAACTTTTTTTTATTTTTTATCGTACAACTATTAACTTCAAGTTCAACTTGGACATTTATTCTACGGGAAATCCAGATTTTCTGGGTAAGTACCTTTTAAGTCACTCTATGCCCAATATTACTCGAAGCGCTTTACTACGAATACTATATAACCCGGCGGAGTGGAAGTTATAGCCGTGAGATTGAGCTAACACCCCGCCAGAAAATCAGATCAAAATGACCGACCCCACTACAAACGAATTCTCAGAATTCTCAATCACCCAAATCGATGTCGACCTTGATGTCCAAGAGATTCTCCTCGCCGCCTCCCAACATGATATCCCTAAGCTGCGCCGCCTAGTACGCACACCATCTGCGCATGCGGACGGCGCCAATGTCAAAGACCCAGAGACCGGCTACACACCCCTCCACTCTGCCATTGCAGCATGCGAGCCCGAGGATGCGGAGGAAACCAACGGCGTAAACGGCGCACCAGCGAATGGCGACGAGCCCGATGCGAACGCCGAGACTCTGAAGACTGGTGCTGAGACTGTGAGGTTTCTTTTGCAGGAGGGCGCTATCTGGAATGATCTTGATAACAACGATGAGACACCTGGATGTCTTGCAAGGAGAATCGGAGCGATTGAAATTTACGAGATGCTTGTTGATGCTGGAGTGAGAGCGGAGATGCTGCTCGGTCGATTGGAGGGATACGGACTCTTGTCCGATGGGGAAGATGAGGAGGACGAGCAAGAGGAAGAAGGTGCAGACGAGAATGAAGCCGTGCCCGAACTTGTCGACGCTACCGAAGCAGACGTTGCCACTGTTACGACAACTGGAGAGAGACTTGCAAACCCCGAAGTGTCGAACCCCGGATACCTGGATTCATCGCTGAATATCACAAGAGATCGAATCTTGGATTCGGATCAGAATGGTGTGATGATGGGATGGGAGACTTCTATCATGCAGAAGTCTGCGCAAAAACTCTTACCGCGCCCTGGTCTCAAGGTGCTCAATGTTGGTCATGGCATGGGCATTGTGGACGGGTTCTTCCAGGAGCAGAGCCCCGCAGCGCACCATATCATCGAAGCGCATCCAGATGTTGTTGCAGAGATGAAGCGCAAGGGCTGGGATACCAAGCCTGGTGTTGTGATTCATGAAGGTCGTTGGCAGGATATTCTCCCTGGACTCGTTGGAAACGGGGAGACCTTTGATGCGATTTACTATGATACTTTTGCTGAGTCGTATTCCGATTTCCGGGATTTCTTTTCAGAACAGGTCATTGGCTTGTTGGAGCAGGATGGCAAGTGGGGATACTTCAACGGCATGGGGGCCGATCGCCAAATCTCATATGATGTCTACCAGAAGGTTGCGGAGATGGACCTCTTTGAGGCCGGATTTGATATTGAGTGGGAGGATATTTCGGTGCCTAAGTTGGATGGTGAGTGGGAGGGTGTAAGGAGAGCTTACTGGGTTGTGGATAATTACCGGTTGCCTTTATGTCGCTTTATGGACTAGAGAAAACTGCGGAGGACTATATAACCAAAGGATATACAAATCCCTTTTTGGGAAGAACGAATTTAGCTCTATGAACAAAGATATGCCACCATTGAAGATAATTTACAAGAAAAGGAATAGAAGGAAATCCAGAGGCGCCTGTAAAATGCATTTCTCATAGTTGAATGAGGTCCACTTCTGAGAAGTCTGGTGGGCTGCGGCTGAAGATCGTTCGGCATTTACCATCCAGTGCTTGGTACTCGTTGCTGATCCAGATATGTTTACTGAATCGTTGTGTTCTGTAGACCTCATCGTCACTGACACCGATATCATCTCGTGGAATCCATATAACTGGCCTTTTGGCCCGGAGAGCTTCGTGTTGGAATGCGCGCTGTACCAGTTGATCGCGTTCGTCGGGTGTCAAATCCTCCAATTCATCATGAAGACCAGAGAATAAAGAATGACCTAGAGTTTTTGCTGGTAGACCTTGATTTTCGGCATCATGCATAGCGTCATGTGCCATCTTCTCTCTAAGAGACTTTGTTGTGGGAAGAGAGCTCGATGAGTTCACCCCAAAGAATTTAGACCGTCTGTTTGGCGATCGGGAGGCCCAAGATGGTCGTTTGTCCCCAAACTTAGGCGTCGACAAATGATCACGAGAGGCATTCGGCTTGCGATCTTCCTGGTTGCTCTCTAGACTTCTAAGCTCAATATCCCGATCTTGCTGAAACTCCTCGTGCTGAGGCTGAGGAATGCCGTGGTCCACGGGTCCCTTTTCTTCCTCATCTTCATCCAAAGGAAGTCCAAGTCGAGCATGTTGAGCACGCTTAAACTCCTCATCCCGACGAATTGCGTCGTCTTCTAAAGTGACAGGTATATACCTGATGAGAGGTCCGAATGCGTTAGCAAGGAGGACTTGATAGACAACCGTTAGAGCTAGAACGAAAATCATAACAATGCCCTGGCCTTTGGCAGATGTATGCCCATGTTGATCTTGCACCAAGAAGAACATGGCAATTAGGGAGGCCTCCATGAAATAGACACCTGTGAAGAGCTGATTGATAGCTCGTGGGAAAAGAAGACCACCCGTATCGAAACGAAATTTGGTGACATAGAGCGTATTGTAGCGATAGACAAACCAGAAAAGACCGAAAGTAATGACGTTGAATACAAGGATAAGAGGCGCGATCACACAGTAGATCATACCGATAGACGCGAGTGTTGTGTACACAGGAAAGAAGGAACCCCATTGCATCTGATTCAAGTTTGTTGTGCGAGCCCACTTCTTTCTGGCGGTCTTATCGAGGATCGGGGCGAGGATGAACCAGCTGATTAGACCGAATATTTGCACAAGGGCTCCTGCACTAACCGACATGGCTTGCAGAATCATGTATGAGAAAAAGTAGTTGCTTGATTTTGGGATATTGTCCGCAAGAAGATCTGCCCAGTTCGTCACATCCGTGGCATTGTCAATGATAGTCGAGAAGCTGGATGCAATTGTGACAACCAAGAACAGCTGGACGAATAGGAAGGCAAAATAGTAGTTTTGGACAGTGAGTTCCACGGCCATACCAGTATGCACACCCTGCTTCCTGCTTAAAAACCGTAGTAGTAGAGGAAGTAGTGCCATAAGAATCGCAAGACAGAGTGCTGGTAGCACACCTTGGATTGCTGAAATGAACCAAGAAGGTAGCTTACTTATCCAGGATAGCCACGAGAATGCGCCTTCGAGGTAAGAGAGCTGAGATAATAAGCCTGTAAAAGCAACAGGAAATGCCCAACCAACTACCATTGCACAAACAATGATAATAATTCCGATTGTGCGCAGATACCGTTCCCACCATTTGAGGGACATATTATCCCATATAACATCATCAGGTGAGATCTCTACAATCCGTGGAGCCATCTGTTTTGGGAGATGATGAGCCACAGACTGACAGGCCATGTGAGCGGCCACCTGATGGTTGAATTGAATAAACGCCGAATTCATTAACGGAAATCGTTCAGGATGTTGCTGGTCGATCTCGATTTCCAAGTTCAACCGAGCAAGTTCTTTCCGACAATAGTCGATTGTATCAACTTTTTTGCCAATAAGCCAGATTGTAGGCCATTTGCTCCATTTGAATAAAGGAAGACGCCAGGTATCTCTGTCTTTGGGGCGAATATATTTCTTCCACAGCGGTTCTCCATAATCCTCGTTGTCGAATGCTTCGTTGTAGGAGATTGGATATTGTTCTCCCTCCATCTTGTCTCCTTCTTTGCGATTTTTCGACTCGTGACCCTTCTCGTCACAGGGTTGCGTAGAAGGTAGACGATCCACATCAATAGGGGTATCGGGTGCGGTGAGAGGATGTTCATCAGTCTCTGGATCATTTTTAGTGTGTTTTGAGTAGGATGAGCCACGAGACCTCCAAAACGGCCGCGTGGGAGGAGTTCGATGATCGCGGCACATAGAACCTTTGCTCTGTTTGGGCTCTGGTATTTGAGGCATCGGGGCGGACGATGGGTATTCAGTGTCAGCAGAATTCGAAAGAGATAGGTCCTCATTTCCTGGAGGGGTAATTTGGCGAGATGGTAATTCATTATCAATTGCGGCCACCAGGCCTCTGTTTTGCGTGAAAGTATTATCAAAACCACCTTCCACTTTTTTTAAACCGCCTAGAACGGTTTTACCCAATTTTCCAACTCCCATACCAACTGCGCCAGCCGCTGCAAGGGCAGGGTCAAATACCCTGGTACGGGACGCATTAGAAGTTTGTCGCTGATGGCTGTCCGGATTACGATGTAGAGCTTCATCCAATGTTTGTACCTGGTGAGGGTTGCCAGAGCTTACACCAGCGTCCATGGCCATCTGAGAAGCACGCTGGTCTGTAGCCATTTTCTCTCGATCTTCACTGCTGAGCTTTCCTTTGGCCCCTTTACTCTTGCGCTCTGATTTTAACTGCTTCAGTTGCGCCTCTTTGCACTGGGCAATCAGTGAAGTCTCAGCAGATTCGAGTTTCAGGGCCACCTTATTCCGCTGTTTCACTTTTTCGTTCAATTCATCGAAGTTGCGATTGATCCAAATATTGCGGATTCCACCTGGGAAAACGTCGAAGAGGTTATCTAGAGCTTCAACTTCAAGCCACTCAGGTGGAATAGCGGTAACAAGCACTGTAGTTGCAGAGGCGCGCAGTCGATGTTGTGGCGATGTCATATACGCCTGACGTAGGCGGATATAGCCTCGCAATTCATCAAAGAATATTGCGCAAATCCACACCACAACAATGATGGCCATAACCAGATGAGCCCAATAGCGGTGGGTATTCTCGGGTTTGATATTCCCCCACGCCAATTGATCCAGGCCACTGACATTCCACTGAGAACCATTGTGACCGTTTGTGTAGGTTTTGCCTTTCCCGTCCACTCTGTTGATAGGGAGTAGGACAGGAAGGAGGAGGAGAGCAAGCGGTACGAAGATCTTCAACAGCATGCGCAGATAACGCAGAAAGAAATATGCATCTAAACCGCTTTTTTGGATAAACTCCGCACTTGAGGTCCGGAAGACCGGGCCGATCCAGCGAAAGAGACCAGGGGGCGATGGTGATGTACGTTCTCGATCTGGAACAAGGTATGTGCGTGGTTGACTGATATAATGGTCAGCTGAGATGTCTGTACATCCTCCAGGGGAATATATTGTAGACCTACTAAATGCGAGTCAATTTACCCTTGAGTATCATGAAAAGAAGGAACTCAACCCCAAACACGATTAAGGCCGTCGCCAGCGAGGCCAGAAAACTGGAAAGTGATTCACCCTGGTCTGCCTTTCCATGCCCACCCGCATGGTCCAAGGCTTCCACGAGAGCGTTTGTCATGGTAAAATAGATAAGAAACGGAGATTGGAGAATTGAAAGACGAAAAAATAAGGCGCGATGGGGGGTATCAAATGAGAATACTGAGCCCGAAAAGTCGGGGGAATCTCCCTGGTCAGTAGTATGCGTTGCGCTACTATCGAGGATTTTTGGAATAGTCTTCCAGGAGCAAGGGCGTTTGAATGGATAAAGTGAACATGACCAGGGTCATGTGCTAGAAGTAGCCTCCAAGAAGAGAACAATGGGGAAAAAGCAAGTGAAGAAAATAGATCATCAAAGGACTAAGTGAATCAGAGTGGGGACAAGCTCTACAGCTTCCAAGGCTGGTGTCCCACCCGTATTGTAGTTCTCGTGGATGGTTGCACAATGACCGAAGTGGCTGATGATTATGACTACCGCCAGGGAAAGTCGCAGCTTTTCACCAAATCAAAGGAACAGGGATGGTTGAAAAGGTTGCGGGTATGCCGATCGCTTGTGGAATGACATAAAGCGCCTAGTGAAACAGCCAAGTAGATCTCGACGACCTCTGAGAGATTGCAGGACGGTTCTAGTATGAGTTGTCTGTTGGTTCTTTTGTAGTTCCGCAAAGCAAAAATAAATTGTTTCACCTTGGAAGAAATGGCGACGAGCACTCTGTCAAGGGACCTTGTTTTGGAAACCAACGAGCCCACTCTCTCCACTGGAGTGTAAACACCAGGACCCTCGAGAAAAGGGGATGCGTTGTTGATTGGCCCGATTATCCTGTGGCGGTGCGAATGAGCGTTAGAATGGCAAATGTTTCCTGGCACCGCCACCCTTTGACCCTCTCAAGACCCTGTTTAGGGCTGGAGCTATCCCTTTCCGAGGTAAAGTTGGATACTAGTGAAGTTTAGCGGAGAAATAGTGGAACCAGATTGATTGCAGAGTCCGTTACCTGCGACGCTCACTGGGCTGAAACGCGTTGGTGAATGAGTGGAAGTCCTAGTAGGAAGTTGAGATATGGTGGCACATACAACTTGAGATACTTGGAATAGCACTCAGGAATGGCATACAAAGGCATCCTCATCTGGCAGGCGCGTCGGCTTCTCGATGCTATCTCAGGTATGACGATGATCTATTCCCGATCCGGATAGGATCGCTGCAGGGTCATTCTGCCGCCAGACACAGCGCGTATTGAGGCGGTAAGGATCAATGGAAGGCGGTATCTTGGCGGAATTGGGGCCTTAAAAATAGGGCATCAAAAAGTCCCAAAGGGGTTAGGTGCCATACATTGAGCTTATATAATCACTACGCGTCTTAAATTGCAAATCTGGCCAATCAGAAACCGGCCAGGAACGCGACCGCGTTCTTACTTGCAGACGCGTCTTGATTTTCAATTTATCCTAATTCGACAATTTTGCTCTCCCTTCTTTCCACACCTCTAATTCTAATCTTCCCCTATCACCACCCACCACAAAACCCCTCCCCACATCTAATTCTTCCTACACACTTCATAATGTCTTCACCGGCAAACAGGAGAGGTCGTTCTTCGAACCAACCGACCTCATCGCCGGCCTCTTCACACTTTCGTGAACCCCCAAGCAGCCCAACCCAGGCGACCCCCCCGCGCTGCCAGACGCTTGGCGGCCGAGCGAAATGTTCCGTCGTCTTCGCCTATGTTTTTCCAGTCATCACCATCCCGAAGCAATCAAGACCCGGAAACTCCAGATGTTCGTATGGCGGAAGCTAGCTCAACTGTCGACGATGGCGAGCGAACTCCCCGTGCGGGCGCAGGCATTCGAGGTATGGATCCATATCGAAGAAAAAAATTAGGTCTCATAAAAAAAATTGAAGCTCACAAATTCTATAGACTCCTCCCCTATCAATTATATTCCAAGCTCTAGTCCAACCAGGGGCTTTGGCCGATCAGATATTCGTTCCGACATTAGATCCGACGCTCACAGCGTAAGCAGCGGTTTATTCGTCTCGCCCAGTGGCGGCAATGGCCGTCGATCTGCTCCTCGTCGAAGTGATCTCCACTCCGGTGGCTTTGGATCGACTCCCTCACGCCGGAACCGAATTTTCGTTGGTCCAGACGGACTTCCCTCTGGCGACAATGTCCTCCGTTCCGATGCTACTTTCTCAAATATCAATCCAGGCACTTCCGAAGCAGAGGCCATGGCAGGAAACTCTTCTCGTGTCATCTGGGGTACCAACATCTCAATTCAAGATTCCATGTCCGCCTTCAAGAATTTCTTGTACAACTTCGCCACAAAATACCGTCTGTGGGCCGACGGTGCGTCCGAGGATGAGACTCGTATTCTGGGAAGCGGAGCCGAGAAGCGTGAATACATTACCATGCTGAACGACATGCGCCGACTTGGTGTGACGACCTTCAACCTCGATGCCAGAAACCTCAAATCGTACCCTCTTACGCAGAAGTTGTGGCACCAACTGCTTGCCTATCCTCAAGAAATCATTCCCTTGATGGATCAGACAGTGAAGGATGTGATGGTTGATTTGGCTTTGAAGGAGATGGATGTTCTGCGTTCCGAAAGCCAACGTGGAGCCCAAGGACGGGACCGCCGTGGCCACTCTATTCTTACCTCGGACGTAGTAGCACCTCAGGGTGATGTGCCTGATCTGGTTGGCGAAGTTGAAGCCATGTCCTACAAAGTCCTTCCATTTGGACTGGATGAAACCGTGAACATGAGAGATCTTGACCCAGCTGGTATGTGAAAATGGATATTCCTGCTATCGACAATCCGCTAACCCGTAATTAGACATGGATAAGCTGGTTAGCATCAAGGGTTTGGTGATCCGAACTACGCCTATTATTCCTGACATGAAGGAGGGTAAGAGACCAATATTTTCCTGTTCCATGATTATGATCCCAAACTAATTTACGCTTTAGCTTTCTTCCGTTGCAACTTCTGCAGCTTCGGTGTCCAAGTTGACATTGATCGAGGCCGTATCCAAGAACCCACAGTTTGCCCTCGCGACACGTGTAAATCGAAGAACTCGATGCAGCTGCTCCACAACCGCTGCTCTTTCTCCGATAAGCAGGTTATCAAGCTCCAGGAAACCCCCGACAATGTTCCCGATGGTCAGACTCCCCACTCTGTTTCTCTTTGTGTGTATGATGAACTCGTGGACGTCTGCAAAGCTGGTGACCGCGTTGAGGTGACTGGTATTTTCCGCTGCAACCCCATGCGCGTCAGTGCTCGTCAGCGTTCCCAGAAGGCCCTCTTCAAGACCTATATCGATGTTCTTCATGTCCAAAAGGTGGACCGCAAGAAGATGGGTATCGACCTTTCAACTGTTGAACAGACTATGTCCGACCAGGCGGCGGAGGCAGACCAAGCTCGCAAGATTTCTGCCGAGGAGGAGGAGAAGATCAAGTTGACTGCCTCTCGTCCTGATGTGTACGAACTTCTTTCTCGATCTCTGGCTCCTAGTATTTATGAGGCAGATGATGTCAAGAAGGGTATCTTGCTTCAGCTATTCGGTGGTACCAATAAGACCTTCCAAAAAGGTGGAAACCCTCGCTACCGTGGAGATATTAACATTCTTCTATGTGGTGACCCTTCAACCGCCAAATCTCAGCTGTTGCGTTATGTTCACAAGATTGCCCCCCCGCGGTGTTTACACCAGTGGTAAGGGTTCCTCCGCTGTAGGTCTCACAGCCTACGTGACTCGTGATCCAGAGACCCGCCAGATGGTATTGGAGTCTGGTGCGTTGGTCTTGTCCGACGGTGGCACTTGCTGCATTGATGAGTTTGACAAGATGAACGAAGCCACCCGATCTGTTCTTCACGAAGTGATGGAGCAGCAGACCGTATCCATTGCCAAGGCGGGTATTATCACCACCCTCAATGCCCGGACATCAATTTTGGCATCCGCCAACCCTATTGGCAGTCGTTATAACCCCAAACTGCCAGTGCCCCAGAACATTGACCTGCCTCCTACATTGCTCTCACGTTTCGATCTTGTTTACCTGGTTTTGGACCGTGTGGACGAGTCTGAGGATCGTCGATTGGCCAAGCATTTGGTCGGCATGTACTTGGAAGATACCCCGGAGAATGCAAGCTCAGAGGAGATCCTGGTAAGGCTTTCCCCCCAATCTTTACATTCTGTGCTTTTCACTAATCACTCGCCTAGCCTATCGAGTTCCTTACTGCCTACATCACCTACGCCAAAACCCAGATTCACCCTGTTCTGACACCCGCGGCTGGTACCGCACTGGCAGACGCCTACGTTGCTATGCGCCAGCTGGGTGATGACATTCGAGCTACCGAGCGCCGTATCACCGCGACTACCCGACAACTGGAATCTATGATCCGTTTGTCCGAGGCACACGCTCGTATGCGTCTTTCACCAGAAGTGACCACTGCAGACGTAGAAGAAGCCGTGCGATTGATCCGTTCCGCTATCAAGCAGGCTGCTACTGATGCTCGCACCGGTCTGATTGATATGGGCTTGCTCACCGAAGGTACCAGTGCCAGTGAACGTCGCCTGCGCGAAGACCTCAAGAAGGCGGTATTGGACCGTCTAGAAGAGCGCGGTGGTGTGAACAATGGCTCGGTGCGATGGACGGAGTTGTACCGCGACATGGTCGAAAATACTAGTGGTATCCAGCTGGAGCATCAACAGTTCAATGAGGCGGTTCGTGCGCTTGAGATTGAGGGGGCTGTGAACATCTCAGGCGAGGGCCCCCGGCGAAGCATCCGCCGGGCAGCAATGGGAATGTCTTGAGAGGGGACCAAAGAGTGCGTGGATAGACCACGATGATTTCCTACGATGCAATGATTAACCGGGGCTGCATATTGATACATCAACCTTTTCTTGTCTTGTCATTTTATCTTTCTGTTAGATTCTCAGGCGTTGGGTGTTCGTGCCTGCATGTCTTCAATGTATCATCTGAATAATAATGCCTTCTCCAACTGCCACATGTGTAGGAGGTAGTCTTGTAGTGCCAGTGTTTACCTAGTCATAGTACATCATGTAGATGGATGCTCAGTACTCTGTACTACTAGTCACGGTCCACGGGTACTACGAGTAATTCATCCACGTGCACAGACATCTGGATGATTCAAGCCCACAGTTAGCACGTGCTCAATCTCTGGACATCCGGAGTACCACCTGCTCCTAGTAAATAGTGGGTAGTGGCTGCCGGTGGCGTCAAGTAGATACTTACTAGTACTAACCTTGGAAACTACCAGTGGATACTAGTACCCTCCAGCCCTGGCGTAAATCATGATGTGGAGGTAGAGTACTCCGTAGTACCTATGTAGTATGAATCCTCCACGGTGTCAGTGGTGTGTGACTGCAGTACCCACTGCCACCTGGGCAGCCCTGGAGTGGCAGGTGATTTATGGATGCCCAGCCCTGGAGGTGTATACCTATATATCCAGGACTCGGACTGTGTCAATACTACATAGGCAACTCACACTGGCATGCACTGGCATGCACTGGCAGTCTACTAGGTACTACCTACCTAGTACCAACTCAGCCTTGGAAGTCACGGTGCTCATACTACTACTATCAGCGCTACTCCAGCCTGAGGGCCACTATTTAGCATGATATTGGTCACGGTATTCCTAGCCAATTTTTCAGATATTTAAATTGAATGGTTCTCAAATGTTTAACCTTGGGTTTTTATTGTGTATAGCTGCAGGAGTGCGCATATTGAAGTCAGGTGTGTGTATCGTGGACATGTCGCGTGAGCGCCTTCCTTTTCCGGCGACAGATTACCCGAGTTTCTGCCGCCTCCAGCACTTAAGGGCTCATGCATGTGTACTGCAGTGCCGATCACGATTCTCTCCCTTTAATCCTTTCGCGCTTCGTATACGCGAGCCATCTACTTTGTTTCATCTCGTCTCCACTCGGGACATCCGGTGTCGGTGGGCCATCGGGTAAGAGAGGGATACGGCCAGTCCCGACTCAAGCCCCATCTACAAGTTCCCACCTGAACGGCTCGGTTAATGCACCTAGAGCAACGTGCATCTGGTGTCAAGGACCGAGCAATATTAAGCTTTGTGCGATTGGTTGTAATTGCATCAGTTGGGACACGTATGATTATGCACTCCGTATTAGGGTGAGATTCTATCGGATATACGAATCAGGCAAGTTGTCGCGTGCCTCAGATTTTCTTTCTGGTTAATAGTCTCGATTGTATCCTCCTTCCAGAAACCATGGAAACTACCGATGTATTTTCGTAAAGGGAGGTCCCATTTTGCCTGAATTCGGAGCTGATTGCTCTTGGCAGATCCACCGGTGTGTTCTTTACCAAGCTGCACATGTGGGGTGTAGCCAATTACCGCGGGGCAATTTCGATATACCTTGCAGGGATTTAATGTAGTAACACGAACTCCCCCTTGAGAGAGAGGAATGTAGGTATCCTTGGCAGTGATAAGTAACCTCGAGGGGTAGGAGAGAGATCACAGGAGGTATGGTCAAGGATTTGTCTATTTACTATGAAATATGATATATGATATCTTCCAAGTAATTAATGCAAAAGAATCAAACGTTCCAAACTAAGCAATTAGCGTGGTCCAGATATCGCGCACGTGCGGGAGTGAGTGGTCACCATATCAGTGGGGTTTAGCTGAGTCAGGTCCTTGTGCAGGAGCTTTGACCAATCAAAGATTCAGATCATCACAGCTCGAAGACTGCACGTTTCCCAATGGTTGATGAATGAGAGTCCAGAGTGTGATCTAACTTGTCAATTCATGAAATTGACTAAGTAAAAACCATTTTAATACATATACCGGACGATTACCGAACTCATTATTCTTGATTTAGCCCCAAATCAGTTCAAATTTTTATTTTTATTTTCATTTTTGAATTTTCATTTTCTCTTGTACGGAGTTACCCATACATTAGATTACATACATCATTGTTCTCCGAGCGGGTCCTAGGAGAGCTAGACCGTTCTCGGGTCGATAAAGGCATTACGCCTTCCTCTTCTCTCTTTCGCTCTCTCGGTTCTCTCTTCTCTACCTTCCTTCCCCCCTCAACCCTGCTCCTTCAGGTCGACCACCCATCATGAGGTACGTAGTACCTTCCTACAATGCTCAATGCTTTGCGATCATCTTCCACTTTTTCCAAATCTCCTTATCTTATCCCTTACCTATGAGCGAGGATCACTCCCAGGAATGCTTCCCCGCATGATATACTGACCAATGTCCCAGGTTCGGCGAGCATCTCCAATCGTCTATGATTAGGGAGTACCATCCCTACTACATTGCATATGACGAGCTCAAGAAGGCCCTAAAGACCGATTACATCACTGAGCCAACTCCGGATGTCGCCAAACCGCCACGACGGGACTGGGCTGAGAATGATGAGAAGACCTTCGTCTCGTTGCTAGAAACCGAGCTGGAGAAGGTTTTCCTGTTCCAAAAGAGCAAGAGTGAAGAAATTGTCCAACGCATTAAGGAGAGTGAGACAGAGGTAGAGGATGTCGTTTCACGCCTGGACGACTCTGGCGCTCGCCGCCCTAGTGTGATCCGCCCGCCGCGGCCACCACCAACTGATGAGGACTTCTTGTTGCTTGAGCAAGTGCTTAGCGATATTATTGCGGATGTCCATGACTTGGCAAAATTTACCCAGCTCAATTACACTGGCTTCCAGAAGATCATCAAGAAGCATGATGTATGTCGAGTCTCCTCTCTCAATTGCTCAATTATGCTTGGGCGGTGATTTGGATTCGAGTAGCGAGTACTGACCTTGCACTAGAAACAAACAAAATGGTACCTGAAACCTGTGTTCGCGGCGCGCTTGAACGCCAAGCCATTCTTTAAGGACAACTACGATGCGTTCGTCGTGAAACTATCGAAGCTTTACGATTTGGTCCGCACCAAGGGTAACCCTGTCAAGGGTGACTCTGCAGCCGGTGGTTCCCAGCAAAACTTTGTGCGACAGACGACCAAGTACTGGGTGCACCGCGACAATATCACCGAATTGAAGCTCGTCATCCTCAAGCACCTGCCCGTTCTCGTTTTCAACGCCAGCAAGGACTTCGAAGAAAAGGACACCGCGATTTCCTCGATCTATTACGATAACCCGGACACCTGGGAACTATACCAGGGTCGTTTGAAGAAGACGGAGGGCGCCGAGGCTATTCGTCTACGGTGGTACGGTGGCATGGAGAGCGATCAGATTTTCGTGGAACGAAAGACTCATCGCGAGGATTGGACCGGAGAGAAGTCAGTCAAGGCCCGATTCTCATTGAAGGAGAAGAATGTCAACGCTTTCTTGGATGGTCGCATGACCGTCGAGCAAGTCTTTGATAAGATGCGCAAGGAGGGTAAGAAGAGCAAGTCGGAAATTGATGACTTGGAACAATTGGCGCGGGAAGTTCAATACCGCGTCATTACCCGTCGCCTGGTCCCTGTCACTCGAACCTTCTACCACCGTACAGCATTCCAGTTGCCTGGCGATGCGCGTGTGCGTATCTCTTTGGACACGGAATTGACTATGGTGAGAGAGGATAATTTGGATGCCCAATCTCGAGCTGGACCCAATTGGCGCCGAATGGACATTGGTGTCGACTTTCCCTTCTCCCAGCTACCCCCCGAGGATATTGATCGTTTCCCATATGCCGTGCTAGAGGTGAAGCTGCAGACCCAGGCTGGCCAGGAGCCGCCACAGTGGATTCGGGACTTGACTGCCAGTCATCTGGTGGAAGCTGTCCCCAAGTTCAGCAAGTTCATCCACGGAACAGCTACTCTCTTCCCCACACGTATCAACCTTCTTCCTTTCTGGTACCCGCAGATGGGCGTCGATATCCGCAAGCCTGTGACCCGGCGCTACGGTATTCAACGGCCACTGGCGAGCACCTCCATCTCTGCGAATGATGAAGACTCTGATGATGAGTACTCACCGGATACCCCTCAGCCCCCTTCCAATGGATTCTCCCGAGAGTCCACTGAAGAGCATCTCCTATTCACTGAGACCAATGGAAACGAATTAGATATTGAGGAACGTATCGCCGCCCAGCCACTTGCGGGAGACGAGGATTACCCACTGTATGACTCGGATGATGAGATTATGGACTCGGATGAGCTCGAGGAAGCTCGCCGTGTTGGAGGTGCCTACTATGCTGAACAGCTAGTTAAGCACTATCTTCGTAAGACAGGCCATTACGCAGTCCAAGGCCTGCTGGCTATTATTCCCCGTCCTCGACCAACTCAGCTGCCACCCGCTGAACAGCGTGGAATTGCTGTTTTACCTGGTACTCGCCGTACATTACAGCGCTTCCAGGCACCCCCTGGTAAACGTAAGTCTTTATTAGCCCTCTTGACTGTTCCATCTTTATTCTTTCCTTTGTATTCCTTTGTTTCCTTTTTACCAGTGCTAACTTTGCCCCAGGTATCTTTGTTCCTGTTCGTGTTGAACCCAAGGTGTACTTTGCTGCTGAGCGAACCTTCTTGTCCTGGCTAGAATTTGCCATTATCCTAGGTGGAATCGCTGCCGCTCTTCTGAACTTTGGCATTGACTCGATCTCTCTTGGGTCAGCTTGGGCATTCACCATTCTGGCCGCTGCTGCCCTGATCTACAGTCTGGTGCTTTATCTATGGCGCGTGGACAAGATCCGCAAGCGCCGCGATGTCAAGCGTGTCTACTATGAACGATGGGGACCCACAGTCCTTTCGATTGGTCTTGTTGCTATTGTTCTGGTGAACTTTGGTCTTCGCATCCGTGCAGGCGGCTTTATGGCTGGTAAAGACCAGCAGCCTGAGCCCCGTCATGGCGAGCTGTAAGTTGTGAATTTCTCTAGCGTGGTTTCTTGCTATCGTATTTTCAATTTCCATTGGCATATATGCAGTGATAATGGCTCCAGCTTGGGGCATTGTATCTACAGCGGCGTTCTTCTTTATTTTTCTATTTTTCTTTCTTCTTTCTTATTATCTCGGAAGCCTTTGGCGTTGGATCGGTGTACAGTTAAAATCCAAATAGGGTCAATGAACATACTCGATGACTATACACCTGCAGTTCCTTTCCAAGGTTCCATGGATATTGACTAATTAGGGCTAGCGCCTGATGTGAGCTTAAAGCGTCAACAGACCAGCTTAAGGCGGCAATCCCTTCGCTTGAAGTCGACTCTATTCGAATGATCAAACATTTGTGGACGCGTTTGTTTATGATATGATCTATTCACACTTTCGTTCTTCTCTTTCTTCTCTTCCTTCCTCGCCCCCTCTTCCCACCTCTGCGCGAAACATCTCGGATCACAAAAACTGAATCATATTATCAACAAGAATCAAATACGACATTCAATATGTTTCCGTTCAACAACACTCCCAGATTTCACCGTCCGATGAGGCGCCACCAGCAAAATCAAGATGACCACAGCCATGCTGAGGCTTCTACCCAGACCGGTAACCCCGCGGTTAACCCGACACTCCCTCCCTTCTTCTTTGAGGGTCCCACCCTACCAGATGAACAGCGCCCTCCCCGGCCCTGGACCTACCATGTAATTCTACTTCCACATGAAACTTGATTAACTTGCACTAACTATATTCAGCTCAACAGGGCACTAGAGGATTCTCTAGCGGAGCCTCTTCTAACTCCCGCGGACCTAGGAGAGGAACTCGATGATGATCCACTTCTTTCTGATCCTGCCATCGACACAAGCATTGTGGAGTTTTGTCCTCTCTGTGGGGCTGAAGACAGAGAAGTTCCGATCTTTATGACCACGCTTCCATCTGTTCAGGAGGCAGTCCGGCACATAGCCCAAGAGAATGAAAGTGTGCCTTACAGCGTCACCATTATGGAGTAAGTGCCATTCCTTTCTGATCACATATCGATGAACATATACAGTCCTTCACACATCTACTCCATGGAACCATGATACAAGTTCGGACTAGTTGATTGATATACTGATACCTCCCCAGATGTGTTTCAGCTCTCTTCTCTATTCAAGCAGAGTTCACGGAGCTTCTGCGCCGTTATCATCACACCCTCCACGAGAATCAAAATCTGCTTCTTCAGCTTCGATCCATCGTCGGCCCCAACAGAACTCTGAGCCTTAGCAGACATATCAACCACTTCATTCCTCTGTAAGTAGTCAGCCCTAGTTACGACAAGATAAATGGTCCGAAGACCATATCATATATTCGGTCTGACTAACTTCTGTACCAGGCGACGCTACCTCATCGTGAATGAGTTCGAGAGAATGGTCCGAAGAGCGACCGCGATTAGAGTCGCAAGAATACATGCCCTTCAGCACCTGAGCCAACCTCGCAGTTATCACCATGAGACTGTACCGCAGAATTCCAACTCTGAACCTGAGAGTTCTAACGCTGACGCTGAGTTCGACGGAATCATGCGCCAGGCACCACATACGGGTCCGAACAGAGACCTTTTTGAGCATTCCCCCGCTCACCCCGAAACCCCCCTCTGGCAATCCTCCCCCATACGACCGGATCTTTGTCCGCTGTCAAGAGCCCCTTGAGCCCTACCAGCCCCATGAGCTCTATGACGTGCATGCACGTCGGGGGCAGCTTCGGACCGGCACAGTTCAAGGTCCATTCTACCGGGGCACTCCGCCGTTCCCTGGCCAGGAGCCCATCCAGGCTCACTCTACGCGCCCTGACCAGGCGCGTAGAGTGAACCTGGACCGAGTGCGCGCCACTGGTAGGCGCATCCAGAGCATGGTCCGGCCTCGACCACGGGATCCTCCACGCCAACATGTGGATGATCCCGTGGACGAGGACCTGAAGGCCACCATGCGGGAGCACGAGAGAAATTCTCGTGGAAAGCCTTGATACTGAAGGCTTTTCGTTCCCATCCTTGGCGGTGTGATTTTCTTTTTTTCAGACCGTTAGTGCGGTCTGTTTTTTTTATGTTTGTTGTATTATATTATTGTTAGCCAAGGGTGGGATGTATTTTTATGTATGGTTAGTGAATTTGCTTTATAAATTTATTTTTACTCAGAAAAAGATTCATTCTTTCAAACCATAGTACAAACGCTCATTAGAGCCTCATTAGGTTAAGCACGTGGTGTTAATGTGTGAGTATACGGCAATACCCAGGTCTTATAGTCTCAGCGCCGCCTTACTATCCAATCATTGCATGGCCTTTCAAGTTGATCCCAACAGTGCCCCTCTTATATCACTTCTCAAGGTTCTTTGTCTCACTTCAGACCTAGGTTCAGGGAATATTCGCAGCTCTCAATGTGAGAATTAATGAAATGATTTTGGGAAAGTAAACTCCTTCTCTTACCCATCTGACTATGATGACAATGAGTTCAAAGCCCTTTCTTTGACGTACCTTGCTTCCTGGGTATGATATCTTGCCGTCTGAAGAGCTTATATGCCTAGTCTGAACTAAACAAGAGTTTTACTAGTAGCGCAATACTGTGCCAGAGCGAGCATTACTATCCGATGTTACCTACCTATGGGAGCCTTTCGTTTGTTAGCCCAGCCCTTTCTGATACCCTGGAGACACTATCAATATTCTACCTTGAACAATCCCTCACCAAATAGCGAAGGCATGTGAGCAGACTTTCCTCCTGGTACCAGGAGGCTCTGGGGGCTGGGGGTGAAAAGGCCATTCAGAATCACTCATGCCATGAACTCCATGGTGGTCTTTGTTATTTGAATTGTGATGAATACCTATGAACAGCACTTTTTTCCGATTCCCAATTTTATATGCCTTGAATTGCAAATTGAAGTCATTCTGAATGACGTCCCGACCTTTATTAAAGGGAGAAAAGTATCACCAATCATACTCGAGTCTGTGTTACCAGGCAGTCCTTGTCACTTCAAATCCGAAACCTGAAGCTGGAGGTACTTATATCATGTGTCATGATCTCAGAAAATCACTGCAGTTGTCTACCTAGGTACATTGGCACGTGGATAACTCACTACTTACCATTTTAGGTCATGGAATGTAACATTTCCCCCCTTGGCAAAGGAAGCTACCACCATCAACTCCCGCCTAATATAAATCTGAACAAGATTATCGACAAGATACAGTCAGCCATGTATGTCAGCTAGGTTCTGTTGATAAGTTCGAGTCTTCTTTCCTCAATTATCAACCCGCTTACTTGTGATTCATAATGCGAGTACCGCCGATACTTGCCCTTGGGCTGGTACTGGGAACGGCTATTGCAATAACGTCTGAGTCAGTGCCTAGATCTGATTAGATGGAAATCATTGCTGACAGCGTGATAGACAGCTAATCACTGCGCCGCGGCGTAGTGAGGCGATCCCGAGTCCTCATGGGGTGGGTTTTGCTTTTTGTAGCACCAACTTGTGGAGAAGATCGCTCACCATGCATAAATAGGAATTTGCCTTATTCTCCGAAACCCAATATTCATTTGAGAGCCATTCAAATGCAAAATTGTGGAATTTGATGAATTTGAAGAGTGGAGGAGTCAATTTGCTCACTAATGATAGCAATGTGTCTGAGTTGATCTGGATATCGAGTGATACTGTGTTATACATCAACAGCACCAATGAAGACATCCCTGGTGGTACTGAGCTCTGGGTATCAGATATCTCTGATTTTTCAAACTCGTACGTCCTGTAATTTTTGCGACTAGAATAAGTACTAATTTGTCACAGTCGCTACAAGGCAGCCTCCCTACCGGCCTCTTTTTCCGGACTCAAGGTCGCTGAGACGGCGTCTGGAGATGTGAACTTTGTCCTATACTGCCAGTCACACCGCAATGGAACTGCATATAACGAGAAGCTCATAGCTAAGCCGCGTAGCTCTGCTCGGATCTATGATAGTATCTATGTGCGACACTGGGACACATGGCTCACAACGACTTTCAATGCTGTTTTCTCAGGAATCCTGAAGCACCAGTCAACTGCAGCACATAGTGATTCTCGCTACCATTTGAGTGGCAGTCTAAAGAATCTTGTTTACTAGATCAAAAATCTCGAATCCCCATATCCTCCCTACAGCGATACGTCGGATTACGATATCTCACCCGATGGAGCATGGGTTGCATTTCGGAGCAAGGCACCAGAGCTGCCAAAAGCTAGTCATACAGCATCATACATTTACCTGGTTCCTCATGATGGCTCACAGCCGCCCAAGGCTATCAATGGCCCGGACAGTCCTGGTACCCCGGATGGTGTTCATGGTGACTCCAGCAGTCCCTCATTCTCTCCCGATAGTAAGCGAGTTGCATACTTACAGATGCGCGATATTGCCTACGAGTCAGACCGACGTGTACTATACGTCTACGAAATTGGTTTGAAGGAAGCCATCACTGCGCTTGCTCAGAACTGGGATCGCTCCCTCAGAGGGTGAAGTGGACCACCGACGGTGAGAATTTGGTCCTGAATACCGAGGATCATGCCCGTACACGGCTCTTCATTTTACCTACCGACGCAGATGATAACTTCAAGCCTCGAAATTTCACGGACACTGGCTCTGTGGATGCGTGGTATAACCTTCTCAATGGAGACGTTCTTGTTTCAGGGTCAGCTATCTGGACTAGCTGGACGGCGTATACAGCAACACCTGGGCAGAATGTCAACAAAGTACTATTCTCTGCCAATGAAATTGATCCAGGTCTGAAAGGACTGAGCCCATCAGATGTTGACGAGTACTACTTTAAGGGAAACTGGACGGATGTAAGTATCCTTGCTCATTATATAATATTCGAGCGGTCATTGATGTCTGTTTAGATTCATTCGTGGATAATCTATCCTCCAAAATTTGACAAATCCAAGACCTACCCTCTCATGTTTTGGGTCCACGGAGGACCTCAGGGCGCCTGGACTGATTCGTGGAGCACACGCTGGAACTACAAAACTTTTACTGATCAAGGATATGTGATGATTGCACCCAACCCGACAGGGAGCACTGGATTTGGAGCGAAGTTGACTGATATGATTCAGAATAACTGGGGTAGAGGAAATGCAAAGCTACCTCCTAATCTACTCAGCTAATTTATTTAACCCAGGAAGCTACCCATACGATGATCTTGTTAAATGTTGGGACTTCGTAAACGAAAACTTCCCATTTATCGATACAGATCGTGGAGTCGCTGCTGGTGCCAGTTACGGAGGGTTCATGATCAACTGGATCCAAGGAAGTCCTCTTGGACGAAGATTCAAAGCTCTGGTGACTCATGATGGCAACTTCATTGCAGATATCAAGATAGCGACCGATGAACTGTGGTTTCCTGAGCACGATGTTTGTATTCCGACCACTTCTTGAGCCAGATATTTCATCACTAACTCCTATGTTCTAGTTCAATGGCACATTCTGGGCCAATCGAGACTCTTGGCGTCGCTGGGATCCATCTGCTCCGGAACGTATCATGCAGTTTGAGACACCGCAGCTTGTTATTCACAGCGCAAAGGACCTTCGACTTCCGGTTGCTGAGGGCGTCGGCCTCTTTAATGTGTTGCAAGAGCGTGGGGTCCCTAGTAGGTTCCTCAACTTCCCAGATGAAAATCACTGGTACGTATCATATAAAATATACCCCCACGAGACCAAATCTAATATTCTCTTAGGGTACTTAAGCAGGAGAATAGTCTGATATGGCATCAGCAGGTTCTAGGATGGTTGAATCGATACTCAGGAATTGAAGAAGAAAACCCAGCCGCTATCAGCTTGGATGACACTGTGATACCTGTTGTAGATTAGGTACTGATGTATGAGCTTTCGCTGCTTCTCTAGTTTCAATATAGCGAGCCTCACGCCGCACTACAGCAATGAAATTGGGAACGGTATATCCAAATCCTCAGCATTTAAGTGCTCAACTGGGAAGCTCAGTTAAATGGACGCACTATATTATCCTAATCAGATTAACTTGTGAGCACTCATGACTGCTCAGGTGATTTCCCATCTTCTTAGGCAGCCATGTTCACATACTTGAAGTACTCAGTCAGTAGCATCTGCAGGTAATTGGTGACCGACCTCTCTCTGTATGTAAGTATCAGTGGGGCTATCTAAAGGGTTAGCTGGAGGGTTATCTCAGGCTGGAACTTGGGAATTTTAGCTGTTATATAGTTGGATATAGAAACCGAGGGATAAGCTGTAGGCTGATTCTGCCCCTTTCCTTGGGTATTATGCCAGGTGAATAAAAGTGCCGGGACCCAAGTAGTAAAAGAGGCCTATCTCGCTCAGTACTCACAAATCATCAAGAATTTATGAAATTTGCCATTTAAGACACCGATAAAATATAGTAAATGTTAAAGAATCTTGTGGGGTAATAGTGTAGAATCTAGATTGAAGGAAGTGGGGCGAAGAACGGAGCGGTCTAGTCAACTTCCCCCTCCTGCACTTACCAACTGCATTCTAAGGTTCCCCAGATAAATCTTCCGCCTCACTTCCCCTTGTCGATCGCACGTTTCGATATTGATTTAACCGCTTTTCTTATTCTCGCTTGACTCACCATTCCCGGCCTTCATAAAGAAAGCCCCCTATCAACCCATCTCTTCTTAAGCTCGGAGCTCCATCAACACTGACCTCATCTCCCCAATCGAAACCTTAAACAAACACCCTCAGCTTTGACCTCCATCACCTCAAAATAAACGACTACCCCAATCCTTTGCTCATGCCCACCTACCCAAGCTTCAAAGCCCCCACCGAATGCTGTGACTAGAATCACAACCCCTTGCAATTCACAGCTCGGTGGACGGCCCCGTGGGCCGTCACACATACGGAAGGAGGGAGGAGATCTTGAGGAAGCAGCAGGCACGACTTTAGAACTGAAGCTACAGAAAGTGGGCTATCGGGTCTTCAACTTCAAGTCACTGCTGCTGCGGTTCAACGGGTAACGTCCTTTGTCTTAATTCGATTGAAAAGACATCCACCAGTGCGGTGGCAATGGATGCCCAGTACCCTTTGGCTTCGCGGGATGAAATTTGGCGGATCTTTGAGGAACTGAAAGGCCTCCAAGTATCCCAGTTTGAACAGGCTGAGCGAATTGCACAACTTGAGCGGCGCCGGGACGAGGATGCAAGACTGAAGAACCTTTGGGGTCCATCATCGCCATTCCCTACTCCGGTGGGAGGCTACATTCCCTCTGGTATGTAATTTCTACTGCTTCCCTTCAGACAGTAACTTTGTCGCTGGTTTTCACATGACACCTTGCTAATATGTGATGGACTTTCATTTAGAACCCGCTTTCAATTCCCCGCCTGACACCTTCAAAGGTTTTGATCAAGGGCACCAGCATCACGCGATGACAAGCTCTACCATGGGCCTGGATGCGGATGAAGAGCCTCGTCGGGGGGCTTCGCGCGCAAATAGTGTTCGGTTTGATGAGAGCGCTATTCATGGATACTATGGTCAGGCTAGTCGCTCTACTACCGAGCTTCCCGTCCGGACAGGGAGTGGAATGAGCAGCCTTCCTTTGACCGAGCGGTCTTTGTCTCATAGATCTGATGGTCGAATGAGCTCCTCGGGTCACTCACACCACTCTGTGCGAACCAACAGCTTGGGCCTGGATACTAGCAGTCGCTTATTGGGTTCGTCCTTCAGTGCATCGTCGCCGGTGACTCCCCCACCTGGATGGTTTCTACTAGGCCCGCACCCGTCTATCATTAGATGCTGGCTGACGACTGAGTTCTCGAATGAGACGCTGTTGTATGCTGCCGTCTGCTCGGGTTCTTACGTATCAACCTTGGCCACATCAATCATTCACAAGCTTGGATTGGAGAACTCTGTGGTGTATGAAAACGAGAAGAAATATGTCCGACTTTCCGTTCATCTTCCCGAGGCCAGTATTCACCAGGGGTCCTCCCGTCCTGGTAGCCCCGACCCTCAGGTCCCTGCTTTGACTATTCGGTTCCTTGTGTACGAGGCGGACAAATCAGATGATACGATTGGTGTCATTATTGGTTGCGATGCACTTCGCTCGCACAATGCTGACATTTTACTCTCCAAAGACAAGATCCTCATGCTCGATGATGAGAGAAACCGTATTTCCATCCCTCTCGTCCGCCCTGAGAATGATTCTGCCTTCAAAAGTCTTTGCACAGCATCAAATGGACTTGAAAATCAATCGCCAATTGAATCCGTCATGAATGGCAAAGCTTCGGTTGGGGTAATTGGAGAGCCTATCATTCCCCTGAAGTCATCATATCAATCGACCTCAGCTCCAGCCTCGGCTCACGTCTCAGTTGGCGATGCAGACGAATCCAAGAAGGAGGATCACGTCTCCGCAGATGAAGAATCGCGACCGGCAACGGGATCTTCCAATAATGGTAATTCTACTCTGTCCAAGACCGATACTGCCGCTGCTTGGAGTTCCTGGCGCCGCCCTAAGCCGGACCTGAATGCTGCCGATAAGGCCGCACCGAGACCTATGAAAGTCCTTCGTCCCAAGTCTACCGCTCGGGTCGCTTCTTCCTCTTCCATTGCTACTGCTTCGCAGCCTGCCACCCGTCGCTCTTCTGATGATCATACTGCATCTACCCCTGCAGCCAATCCAGTTGGCGGTCTTTCTGCTTTTCCATGGTTGAACTCTCCTTCCGCTCGTTCTTCTGGAGCTCCTAAGTGAGGCTTCATCTGCGGAGGAGGTCACTTGTTGGCACCTCCATACCTTAACGGCAGAACTCGGCATGAAACCCGAGAAAAAAACACACACCAGATGAGATTTTTCCCAGCGTTGTACCAACATGGTATCTAGCCTTTCCCTTTTCAATTTTCCCTCTCACGGTTAGCGAAGACATATCCAGGCTTGGATTGTTATGACACGATAGTAATTTCGCAAAAAATGAAGTTCGAATTTCCTACTTCCTATCTCTCTCATCAGTAAATAGTTCAACTTGAAAATGCTTGTAGCAGCTCGAATGGTATCTAGTACTACTATTCAACTTTCTTTAAACTTCAATTACTTGAGAGGCCTCAACAACCTTGAAAACCCTCAGGTACATTTGCCCGGGTCTGATCTAGATCTTCGAAAAAACCTCCAAAGCTCCCTTGGTCGCCTCCTTGGTCTCCTTCACAATCCCACTGATAGTCCGGAAACTCTCATGCTTCGCATCCCCCAGGATCTCGAATAACAAGCTCTCACTACTGGTTATAATGGCCCCAGCATCCCGCAGGCGATCCAACGCAATCTTCCTCTCCTCCTGATTGATACTACTCACCCCATCCACAAGGATATAAACCCTATAACCATTCGCCAGGAGATCTAGGGTGGTCTGCGTAACACAGATATGTGTCTCAATGCCCACAATAATAGCATCAAGTGCAGCCGGATCAGACGGTAAGAGGGTTGCAATCTCCGGTGTAATCATCGAGAAGAGTGTCTTGTCGACATCGGCTTTGGTATTCGGGCCTTGTAGATGGTGAAGGAGTTCTGGAACCGTGTTACCGAGTTTGGAGCGGTTCTGGGTGGTTACGTAGACGGGGAAATTGAGAGTTGTTGCTGCCCGGAGCATTTTGTCTGTTGTTGAGACTCTATATTCCGAGTCGTAGTTAGTATAAACTGCATGCTTTAGGGTTATGGCGCAGGGATCTATACAGCTTGGGGAACTCGTAGATTCCATGGCGGAATTTCTCTTGAATGTCACAAACACTGGGTGGAATTGATTTGGTTAGTCTTGCTCAACTGGTTCATTGAGTTTTGGTATGAACACACAACAATGCGGGGTTCCCTGTGCTTCAGTTAGCTGCCAGTCTTGCGCATTCAATGGTTGATTTGATCACGAACGAATTCTAGTTGCACGTGCAGCAGCGGCCATGATGATATATGAGGTAGTGCGACGAATACTTCTGTAGGTATTGTGGGTTAAAAGAGAGGACTGTAGCACGGCAGATTCAGGGATTCGGAGATGCGGGGAAAGCAAATCGCCCGAGGGGAACTATACGAGAAAGTAGGTAGTGTGACCGAGAACTCCAACTTCACCGACATTTCGCTTTTTCTATGGCGTTGGAAAAAAAAGGGCTCCGGGTATTGGACTTTTGATTCTTTTTTATATGATTAAATATTCTACAGATCGAGTTTCACCTCGTGCACCTTTGCCCGGCCCACAAACCAACTGTCATCTCCCTTAGACGCAGCAGTACGGATAGCGTACAGCTCATCAAGGAAAGCGGGGACAAAGCTACCAGGACCGCGGACATACTCCTTGGATGCCGCGTTTTCGGCTGCAATTTCGTACATCAGGATACCGGAGAGCACAGCGAGCAGCTTGTCTGAACGATGGGCTGTCAGGAAGCAACCCGAGATAGTGCCAATAGCACAGCCGGTCTGAGTGGAGGAATGATTAGCTTGACTGGATCATGAAAACCGGCATAAAATTGACATACTCCTGTGACCTGTCCCAGATATGGGTGGCCGTTTTCCACGGCGATCACTCGTTCACCATCGCTGAGGTAGTCGACGGCGCCGGTCAACAACACAACATTTCCTGCAGCTGTGTTAGTGTGACATTCGTAACTGTGATTTTGAGTGACCTACTCTCTCGTCGGGCCAAGTCTCGGGCCAGGGCCGCCTTCTGTTGACCATCCAGGTTGCTGGGTCCACTATCAACGCCACGCTGTTGCACTGTACCACTTCCCCAGACCTGTCGAATCTCGCCCTCATTACCCTTGATCAGGTCAAAGTACCCGCCAGTCATCAGTTGAGAAACGGCCTTGCGGCGAATATCCGTCGCGGCAGCGCCCACCGGATCATAAACCACGGGGTTGCCGCGGGTGTTGTATGCCTTGATGGCTTTTTGGTAGTTGGAGACGCTCTCACTAGTCAAAGTTCCCATATTGATGAGCAAGGCACCGTCAAACTTGCACAAGTCCGTGGCTTCTTCTCCATAGGGAGACATGATAGGTGATGCGCCACTGTGACAGGGATTAGCAAGGTGACTTGGAATATTCGGAGCATGACTTACATTGACAAAGCCACGTTGGCGACAAAGTTGGAAACTACGAAGTTGATCATGTTGTGCACGAGCGGGTGCACCTCGACCATCTTGCGCACGGTTTGTGGTACCTCCTGCACCAACGCCTCGGCCTCGTTGGCACGCGCGGACCTCGGAGTCATCGAAAATGCAGGTGTTGACTTGATAAGTCTGGCGAACTCTTCTGCTGACGCTTTGGGGTCATCTGCGGCCACAATGGCGCTCACAATAGCTACTCCATCTAATGCCTTCTTTGGAGAGCGGGATTGATAGAGCACCCTTTGAACATTGCTATGGTTAATACCTCCAATAGATACGGTGCCCACAGAGGAATCACTAATGGCAGTTAGGATAGCCTGAGTTCCTGCAGTTCCAATGGTTGATTTTGTGTTTGTTTTGCTAATTTTTAGATTTCCAGTTAGATTGCGCTTCTTCATGCATCAGACTAAAGGAACTTACGTTGGAGTGGCGAACATGGTGCCAATGCCCAGGTAATCAGCCCCATCGGCAATGGCTTTCTTAGCCTCTTCAATGCTTGAAGTACTAATTCCAATAATGGCATCCTGTGGGAGGAGCTTCTTGGCTAGCTCGAAATCTGCCATTTTCAAATTATCAGTCTCCGCGGGAAAGTCTCTGATTCAGAACATGAGGAATATACTCATATCATCTTGCCCCAAGTGAACGCCTTCGGCTCCTACGGCCAAAGCGACATCCACACGATCATTGATAAGCAGTGGTACGCCATATTTCTGAGTGATCTGGTGCAACTTTTTGGCTGTTTTAATCAAGTCTCCGGTATCGCTCTTTTTATCCCGGTATTGCACCACGGTGACACCTGCACGGCAACCGGCGGTTAATATCGCATTTTGAATGGTCCACAGTGTATGCAATTCGATACTCACCTCCTTTGAGAGCCTCGTCCACCACAGTACACAGATCTCGACCCTTCAAGATTGCTGGAGTCGAATCTGTAACCAGATATAGTGACAAGTCTACCGGCATTTTGCCCCAAGCTTTATTCTTGAACTATAGGTGAATTTGAGGACCCGAACCCAGTAGACTAGTACACAATGTGTAGGCACCCGATGTTTCACGCACAATTGGCACTAAAAATGGCTCTAGGGATTTGATGATCGCAAAACTAGGACGATCCCGGCCGCCGTTGGGGTTCTGGTGGGGCTCGGAGGGGTTGACTTCATTACGCAGGATCAAGTTTATCACGGGACAAGTTCAAGTTTTGATTTGAATGATCAATTGGGATGAAAGTACAGAATGAGACTGGTTCAGTTTTACTCAATTCAAATCAAATTTGACGGAACTTTTCCACTAAATCACTATATATCATATTGCAACAACATAGTGAAAGAGGAAACAAACAATACAAACTCCGAATCACCTGTATGTCCGAGACCACGTGCCGGCTGCTTACCTCATCGGGCCCGCTTTTAAAATCCATCTTTCTCTTTTCGTTTTCGCCCGCTCACTTTCTCTTTTAACCCACACATTTTTTCAAGGGCATCGACATCTTACTGCGAAGCCTGAATTTCTCTGCGTCAGCTGTCAAGACAGTTTACGCGTCCAGCTTGATAAATTTCAACCACTTCTTTGGCCTCGCCATCATCACTTTCATCAACTTGCTCCAGGGTCTCCGGCCTTTGACTCGGATTCCCCCAAGAACAACTCCGGTTCTCGCCCCAAAGAGACACCCATCAAGGAAGTCGACTGCGAACTTGTCTATGTATTCGTCCTCCGTGCAAAATTTCGAACACCACCTGCCGCCCAAGCTGCAAACGTTTCGCGCGCCGAAACCTTGCAGTATACACCTTAGATCCTGTGGTTGAACCCAGGACCTCTCCTACTTTACCTTTGAAGTACGTTCTCTAATTAAAGAGACCTTCATCCTTTCTCAAGAAAACCTTTAAAATATCAAAATCGTCTCCGACACGCATGTCTTGTTCCGTCGACAAAATTTCGGTTAAGATTCCCTCCCGCTACCTATTCCGCAAGCCTATCGTTCCGCTCTCGTGATCAAATAACACCAATTTTCCATAACCTCCAACCGTCATCATGGCTACCGTTAACATTCGTCGGGATATCTCCGACCCCTTCTACCGCTACAAGATGGAGAAGCTGCAGTCCAAGATTGAAGGAAAGGGCAACGGCATCAAGACCGTCGTCGTCAACCTGAACTCTGTGGCTCAGTCTCTCAGCCGTCCTCCTGCCTACGTGATCAAGTACTTCGGTTTTGAACTGGGTGCCCAGGCTAACGCCAAGCCCACTGACGACCGCTGGATCATCAATGGTGCCCACGATGCCAGCAAGCTCCAGGATTACCTCGATGGTTTCATCTCCAAGTTCGTGCTTTGCAAGAAGTGCAAGAACCCCGAGACCGATGTCATGATCAAGGACGAGAAAATCACTCTGGACTGCAAGGCCTGTGGCCAGCGTTGCGACGTCGACCCTCGCCTGAAGCTGAGCACCTTCATTGTCCGCAACAACCCAAAGGGTGGCAAGAAGGAGAAGAAGGACAAGAAGGCCCGCCGCGAGGCCAAGAAGGAGAAGCAAGCCAATGGCGACCACGATGTCAGCCCTGGAGACAGCAATGGCTCCGAGAACGGTGATGATAATGACGATGACGCTCTTGAGGCCAACAGCGATGATGAGATTGTCCGCCAGGCCAAGGGCATTGAGCAGGAGGAGATCAAGGACGATGACTGGGCAGTCGACTTCTCTGAGGCCGCTGTCAAGGCTCGTGCCAAGGATCTTCCTGACGACCTCAAGCGATCGCTCGTCCTGGAGGACGCTGATGATGATGAGGCTGATGGCCCTTCGGCCTACGAGCAGCTTGGCAGCTGGATCATCGAGAGCGCCGAGAAGGCTGGTGACGTTACCAAGATCAGCGACATCGACATCTACAAGAAGGCCAAGGAATTTGGTATTGAGACCAAGCACAAGACTGTTGCCGTCCTGGCCCAGAGCATCTTCGATGCAAAGATTGTCAAGCAGATCGAGGACCGCGCTCCTCTCCTCAAGAAGATGATCACTTCCGAGCGCCACGAGAAGGCTTTCCTTGGTGGTACCGAGCGATTCGTCGGCCAGGACCACCCTGCCCTGATTACCCAGGTCCCTGCCATCCTTCTTGGTTACTACCAGAACGACCTTGTCTCTGAGGAAACCCTCAAGGCTTGGGGTGCTAAGGCTAGCAAGAAATACGTTGACATTTCGACCAGCAAGAAGGTCCGCAAGTCTGCTCAGCCCTTCCTGGAGTGGTTGGAGAACGCGGAGAGCGAGGATGAGAGCGAGGAAGACAGCGACTAGATTGGAAAATATGACAATGTCATGTCTCATCGCTAGCTTTTGGAATTCTTCATTTCTTCTTCTTGCTACTGGATGTTACTTTTGCTTGGTTTCTCTGATCGTCGTCCTACTTGCAATGGTCAACATCAGTTTAAGTAATTACAGTTAGTTAGTACCTTAGTTTAGCTGACCAATCGCCACTCATTTACCATTATCATTTTATCTTCTAGTATTCAGTATTCAGTATGCCCTACTGCGAGGAAAAAGCTCAACCGACAGGTAGTAAATGCAAATAGATCTGGATCATAAATGGCATTATGGATATCTAGAAAACAACCTCGGCAAAATTGAAGACCTGTCCATCAATATTCACAGACATGGCTCCATGTATCTCACTCACAACAGGCTTAATGGAAGGAGCTTCCATCAAGTCCCGTTGCTGAACAAAGAGGAACCAAGTTAGGTCCGCATTCCAAGTCTCCATTGCATTGATAGCATCATCAACCGAATCAAGCATATTCTTCTGTGCATCGTCTAGCCCAGGGATGGGATAGGAATCTGAGCCCAACTTTCCAGCTGAGCGGAAATAGTACTTTGGTCCAACGAACAATGCAATCCACGCAGCAAGGTTCTCACAGATACGATCCCCTGTTTCCAAGGGCAGACAAACGCGTGTGAGAATAGTGAGGAATAGAGAGAGTAGAGCTCGCCATAACGCGTGATGCGGTGTAAAGGCTCTAGAGCCAGAGCCAGATGCTAGAGGGGAGATAGCAAGAGCGGAGGTAATGGTAAGCTCAGTAGCCGAGCTAGAGGCATCGGAGTCCATTGATTGGATAAGTGAGCTTGATTGGGAAGACTTCTTCGCTTCGCGCTGCTGACGAGCACGACGTTCATTTGATGCCTCGGCTTCTTGTCGGACTTTTGACCAGACACGTTGGTACAGACGTTCCCAGCGAAGGAATTCTGGTTCGATGCGAGAGGCCATGAAATCGCCTGCACCTTTGCACATTGCTTCGATGGCTTGACAGGCTGCGGTGATGACGTATGTCTCTTCTTGGAAACTCTGTGTATCGGGTTGAGGTGTGGAGCGGGTGGATTTAGAGGATTGGGGAATCAGGCTGGTCGAGGAGGATTCAGAGGACAAGGAAGAAGGGAAGATGATTCTTGATGCAACAGAGGGCCAGAGGTCGTTTATGAGAGGGAGGAAGCTGTTTTCATTTTGGGAGAGGGTCGGAAGAACGTCAATGAGGATTGCGAGGAGGGAGCGTCGAAGGTAGGGTGATGGGGAGGAGAGGTGAGATGGAATGGATTTGACAATATGAAGGAGCAGCGAATGGGTCTTGCTTAATGGCTTCTCGGCGTCCTCTGGCTCCTTAGGAGGTGGAAGTGGCTCGTCCGAATCCGCTTTGTTCAGCAATTCCTCGATGCTTTCAGGTTCTGCCGGAGGCTTCTCGTATGTTTCTGACCAAGGTTTCTTGGGATGAGGAATTTTTCCGTCGACATCCACTCCCTCTTCTTCTTCGTACTTCACACGCTTGGACTTGCGATTTGCGAGATCTGTAGCGAGGGCAGATATCAACAAATGCTGCGGCTGAGACTTGCGATGGTCATGAGGTCCACTCTCCCGACCATCATCAATTGTCAGGAGAGACTGTTTCTTTGAGCCGGCTTCAACGATAGCTGCCAAACATTTGAACAGCAGTTCCACCAACTTAGGATAGCCATGGTACATGTCGATAATGCCAAAGATAGAGTCGACCACATCGTCGAGGTAGGGAATGAGTCGTGGGCCAGAGAGCTTGACCATCATGAAAAGAACCTGAGGTGGATATGGGGACACGTCGAAGCTATTTAGCTTCAAGGCAACCGAGTTGACCAAATAGTCGACATTTTCGATGATCATTGTACTGGTATCAGGGTAATTGCAGGACTTGGTTAGAATGTTCAAACATGTCATGGCGTGTCGTTGAAGGACGGGATTATTGGATGCCAGAAGTTGTAGTGTCGGATACAAGGCCTCCATGAGCTCGGGTCGAAATGCTTGCCCGAGTTGTTGTGCTTGGAGTGCGACGGCCTCTAGAGCAAGTGCCAATGTGCGCCAATCACCAGATCCATCGGCTGGGAGCTCCGTCAAAATGATCAACGAGTTGTAGTATAATTCATCAATCATTGCAGCGCGGCTTGATACGGAAAGGTGTTGGTCCGTCTGGTCATCCACGAGGAAATCATCAAAAACAGCCATAGATTGCGACTGCGAGCGGAGAGATTCGAGTGCTAGCCAAAAGGGACTAATATCAGTTTCATCAGACTTAGTCCGCATTCGGTTGACAACCAAGCGAGTGATCTCGTTTCCAGACTCGGATAAATTGAGCCTCTTGATCATAGATCGTAAGTCCTTCAAAGTTTGCTGCTGACTTTGATGCTCCAGCAGTATTGGAGGGAACTCCATTGATTGCGAGTCAGGGCCAATTATGTCTAACCTCAAGCTCTCTGGGCTAATGGATGCCAAAGGCTGGGCCCCACTCGTGCTCAACTTCACGACCTCACGAACACTGTTACATAGCCCAGTAGCTAGACTGCTGGTGAGTATCTCTGATCCTGACTGTATCTCTGATATCACCTGGAATGCCGTGGAAATTTGCCGGATTCCCCATTGCTTAGCGGTCTCGTCATTGCTTTGCATAATTCGCGGGAACGAGAGGAGCCAGCTATGAAGCGACTCCTTCAGGGAATCGAGAACAATTGGATAGGTCGTGGTCAGATGAGCAAGAATTTGATATGCCTCGTTCTGTTCCTCGCCTTCCTTATCCGCGAGAACAACCATTGTATCCGTCATCAAAGGCACTGCATCTTTGAGCGTGACCGGGCAGTTCTCAATCACCATGACACAGAGGTCTAACATTGCAGTTTGAACCTCCTGTCTTTGATGTCGTCGAACTTGAATAATATTTACCAGCGCTAGTTTGATCTGCGTGGTTGTAGCCTTCAGCCAAGACTGGTCTAACGCCAGTGTCTCGGATTTCAAGTTGACATCAACGGGCTTAGGTTTCTCGGTGATCATACTGACGCGATCATTGAGCACTGTCTTCAGCAGGTAATTCAAGATTTCCAAAGAGGCCTGCAGCAGCTTGTAGGATCGTCGGGTCTGTGTTGTGGGCTTCACGACTTTAGCTAACGCAGAGACTGTCCTCGGCATAATGCTAGCCAGTACGACACGGTCTGAAATTCGAGAAAATAAAGCCTTGAGAGCCCTTGAAGCAGAGACACACAGGTCATCAGACCTCTCATCCACAATTCCTTCCAGCAGAATATAGATTGTTTGATCGACGACCGTTGCAGTTCCAATCTCATGGAAGATAGTCTGCTCCGCTGTCGGACCCTCTAGCATATCAAAGATGACGTGAAGACACTCGAAGCAAGCTATCGACAGCTCTTCCACTGCTTGTGCTTTGAGTGGCTCCCTTCCGTCAACTTTACTTGGTGATCCCCCCCACGATCAATGTGAGCAAGATGATCAATTGCTTGCCCATAGCAGGTGATAGTTGCTGACGCCATCCATCTGCCACGAGTAGCTGGAGACATTTCACTGCTAGCTCAAGACAGCGGGCTGGAAGTCGTTTCGTCTCATTGAAAATATGGGTCAGGGGGAAAAAGGCGTACTCCGCAAGCTTCTCGTCAAGCTTGTTTTGATTTGCAAGCTCTTCGATGATTTTTTGAAGTGGCTCAAGAGCCCCTACCACATTAGAAGCTAGAGTGTGATTGCCTCGGAATGCTAAGCCCACCGAACTAAGCTCCACACATGCTGGGCGTAACTGTAAAGCTTATTATTAGCATGATCTATATTATGTGGTAGGCATTACATACCCTCTTGAAGGATTCTTGCCGCTGGGTTTCCATTGTGGCAGATCGTTTCAACTGATTTTGATCACTTCCCTCAGCAAGTTGCTCTTTGGTTATGGACCAGATTTTCAGTCGAGCACCAATACAGCCATTCTTAGATGGCTGTCTGTTAATCGTCTGAATGTTGAACAAGCTGGACGTGGGATGAGTTGCCGCCTTCACGATTCTGCCGGTCTATCAAAGGTCTATCAAAGCGGTACCTTCACGCTTTCCCCAAGATGGCAAGATGCAGTAATATCACGTGACTTTGCGTCGCGGTCGCGTCGCGTGAGCCAAGATATGATGATGTTGCCTAAGTCCAAAGAGCTGGATGAGTTATGCTGCCTGGAGCTACCCGTCTGTCTCAGCCAGAGTATTTGAATGAGCCTCAATCCTGTTGAACGGGGTATTTACAGAACTTGATTGCCTATGCGACTCATCAATCCTGCATTCGCGCCAAAACCGCTATCGTCAACCCATTTTCATCTCCGCATCAAACGAACTCATTTGCTCAACCGCACAAAGCTTCCGATACAACCCAACGTCGAATTTTGTGAACCGCGCTATCAAAGCTTATTTGCACAATCTTCGAGTACATTCACACCTCCATCACTGTTTCGAATTCCGCTTGTCACTATGACAGACGATAAGAGCAGAAAGCAAGCTACGCTGGGGTACGTACGAGATTCCCAATTGACCATCGGGTGGGTAGAGCTGGCCATAGGAGCAAACTCATGTGCATATTTATCACAAGATTATGTTACCCTAAGTTTGCTAATTTATTATCTCTCTTAGGCGATTTTTCGGCTCCGACGCCAATGCGAGTCAAGCTCCTAAGAAACAGACAACGCTTGCTTTTGGTGGAAAGAAACAGAAGGTGCAAAGTGATACGCTGGATGGTTCCGCAGAAAATACCGCGCCCGAGAAAGACGATGATATCATGGACGTGAAGGATGAGGGAGAAACAGCCGTGTCTGCTGCAATGAAGGAAACAGAACCAGCCAAGAATTTAAAACGAGATATCGCGGAGGAAGGACATGAGAGCGACAACTCTGATGTACAACCTGTCACCAAACGCCGCCGCAAGACATCAAAGGACAGTCCCTCACCAGCTCCAAAGTCAACTCCTAAAAAGAGTCCTAAGAAGACAGCGGCTTCTCCAGCGGCCTCCAAGTCGCCCAAGCCCAAGCCCAAGGCCAAGGCCACGGCCACTGCATCAAGCCCCAAGGTAGATGTCAAAAAGGTTATTAAGGAAGAAATTGCCGAGGAGCAATCAAAATCTGACAAAGAAGAGGAGGAGCAGTCTGAATCAGATGAGGAGGAAGATGCTAAACCCGAGGCAAAGAAAAAGACCATGGAGAAGGTTCAGGCTACCCTGAAGTCAAGCGGAAATGATCCATATCCTGACTGGAAAGCCGGTGATCCCGTTCCCTATGCCGCCCTCTGTACCACCTTCTCACTCGTCGAGATGACTACCAAGCGTCTAATCATCATGGCATACTGCTCTCAATTCCTTCAGCAGGTCTTGCGCCTCACCCCAAATGATCTCCTTCCAACCGTTCAGTTGATGATCAACAAGCTGGCTGCAGACTACGCTGGAATTGAACTTGGAATTGGAGAGTCGCTGATAATGAAGGCCATTGGAGAAAGTACAGGCCGCAGTCTGGCTGTCATCAAGACTGATCAGCATGAGATTGGCGACTTGGGCTTGGTAGCTGCGAAAAGTCGATCCAACCAACCTACCATGTTCAAACCTAAAGCACTCACCGTGCGGGGTGTGCATGAAGGACTGCTCGGTATTGCCAAGGTCAGCGGACACGGATCTCAGGACAAGAAAATCTCAGGTATCAAGAAGCTCCTCTCTGCGGCAGATGTTGCAACCACTGGTAAAGGCTCCAAGGGCGTGGACATTACCAAGGAGAAGGGTGGTCCTAGCGAGGCCAAGTTCATCGTTCGATTCTTGGAGGGTAAGCTGCGACTGGGTCTCGCTGAGAGGACTGTTCTGGTGTCTCTAGCCCAGGCAATTGTCACTCATGAAGCGGCAGTCAAAGGCAAGAAAGCAACCCCTGAACAAATGGCTGAGGGCGAAGCCATTCTCAAGACAGTGTACAGCGAGCTCCCCGCCTATGAGGAAATCGTTCCAGCTATTCTGAAGCATGGTCTTTCCAATCTCTCAAGTGTGTGCAAATTGCAGCCAGGTGTGCCTCTCAAGCCCATGCTTGCCAAACCCACCAAATCCATTACCGAGGTTCTCGACCGCTTTGAAGGAAAAGAATTCACATGCGAGTACAAGTATGATGGAGAAAGAGCTCAGATTCACTTTGTCGCGTCAAGTGCTGTTGATAAATTCCCTACGTCTGCCATTACCATGCAAAAGGATGCCAGGGGCCTTTTCGGCGATCTTCTCCAGGAACTCGGAGGACCTATCGAAGAAGTACCCTGACGTACTGGGTAAGCTGGATACATGGGTCAAGGATGATGTGAGCAGTTTCGTGTTGGACTGTGAGACTGTTGCTTGGGATACTGTCAACAAGAAGGTCCTGCCATTCCAGCAATTGATGACTCGAAAGCGGAAGGATGTCAAGGCAGAAGATATTAAAGTCAAGGTCTGCGTTTTTGCGTTTGACTTGTTGTTTTTCAATGGAGAGGTAAGATTCCATTCAGACGCGTTGTGCTTATCTGCATCACTAACCCGGCGAATCTGTTTAATAGCCCTGCGTGAAGAAGTCTCTTCGGGAACGTCGAGATTTATTGCACGAGTGCTTCCAACCCGTGGAAGGAGAGTTCCAATTTGCCCAGTTCGGAAACACCAATGTTCTTGATGAGATCCAAGACCTGCTAGAGGATAGTGTCAAGTCTTCGTGCGAAGGACTCATGGTAAAAATGTTGGATACCGAAGAGAGTGGCTACGAGCCAAGTAAGCGCAGTCGGAATTGGCTTAAGGCAAGACACCTGAAATGTGATTCTTGCCAGATTCTTCTAACAACGAGAATAGGTCAAGAAAGATTATCTCGCCGGCGTGGGTGATTCCCTTGATCTTGTCGTTCTCGGCGCATACTATGGTCGTGGAAAACGTACGTCCGTGTATGGTGCTTTCCTGCTGGCCGCCTACAACCCAAATAACGACAAATATGAGACCATCTGTAATATTGGAACCGGATTTTCCGAGGCAGTTCTGGAGGAGTTTCACAAGGAGCTGAAACCCATAGTCATCGATCGACCAAAGCCATTCTACGCGCATTCAAGCGTCCCGAAAGACCAGCCCGATGTTTGGTTTGAGCCTCGCTTGGTTTGGGAAGTCAAGACCGCTGATTTGACTCTTAGCCCGCGCTACCAAGCAGCGGCCGATGAATTTGTTGGAACCACTGGCGGTGGTAAGGGTGTCTCTTTGCGTTTCCCGCGATTCATCAAATCCCGCGATGATAAGAAGCCTGAACAAGCGACGACCACCCGTGCTGTGGCAGAGATGTACCGCAAGCAAGAGGCTGTGGCTAAGGAGAGTGCGGGTAAGAAGGGAGTTGATGATGATTTCGAATATTAAGGTGTATTCAGAGTTTGAATTTATGCACCCATTCACAATTCTAGCATAGTGCAATTTGAAGCCCAATTTCATTCAAAGGACCTAATAATCACTATCGTTGCTCAAGTAACTGTTTCAATAACTGGAACCTTAAGTGCTCAAGTGCTCATGATTGCGTCTCCTTGGATTTCTCCCGAGGTCCAGGGCTGCATACATCGTAAGTTTATTATGTACATTCAAGTTGTTCATTCAATGCGAATATAGCTTTCCACCCCGGATGTCCCAAGTTGAATTCAAGTTTGAATAAAATATTTGAAAGTCGCCAGCGTAACAAATCTTCATATTGAATTTTCATACTACATCACTTCAAGTTCATCCGTGTGCAAGCAGTACTAACTACATCATGTAGACAAATACCTTAAACTTGAAGATTTCTAGTAATACACTCAAGGTGCACGGGGGGGAATTGAATTTTGAAAATGTAAAATAGACATTAGGTAGTAACTATACATACTAAGTAGATAATGATATTGACAAGATCAGCATACTACTGATCCACCTCCATATCAACATCATCCACCGAGTCCGCATCGTCCCCCTCGGCCTCGTCCTGCTTTGAACGTCGGCCCACAGCTTCTTCCGCCAGCAGGCGTTCAATCTCAGCCTCCTTGAGGGCAATCTCCGCCTGACGGCGAGCAATCTGCTCCTGCCTTTGGGCAATACTGACTCGGAGGGAATTAATCCGTGCCGTACGGGCCTCACTTTCGACCACTACAATTACATATTAGTTAATATCACTCAACACCACTCGCCGTATGCCATTCAGGAGAGTAAAAAACAATTGATAGCTCAGGTACTTACTTAAAGTGCGTTGGCCTGGCTCCTTCTGAGTCTCTGCCTTGGCGTTTGCCCGGGCCTTTTCGACTGCGCGCTTCTCGCGGCGTTGCTTGTTTTTTCTAGCTCTCTTGGCTATCTGAGCTTCTGTCTTTGGCTTCCGGATTCGATTTGTGGAATTATGGAGATTTTGTGGGGCCGTGGCCTGTGTAGGGTTAGATATGGGAACAGAGAATCCTTTGGGAATCATACATTCAGAAAGAGGTTCCCAATTTCGGCCGTAATTGCCGCGGCATCATTGCATTCTGCAGTGGTAGGAGACCCATGTGGGTGGAGTGAGCACGCCTAGGGACGGGACACGGGAGTTAGTTCAACTTAATTGTGCATCGGGACTTGAGTGGGGCTTAGTGTGGGGCTTACCACAACGTTCTTTGGGCGAGTCTTGCCCATCGCGAGTGTGGTCTTGGGTTCTTTAGATGAAATTTTGATGGAACAGGTTGAATTTCGATGAAATTCTGACAAGAGACTGAGAGAATGTGATGATTGTGAGAGAGATGAAGTGTTTGGTAAACACTTGAGGGTTTGTGGGAAATTTCCTCATTTCGGTCTAACCTATTTGGGAACTATATATCTTCAACTGGGCACTGGCAATCTTCAATCTTCAATCTTATGAATTCAAGTTTGGCCTGAGTCTAACTCCATTGAACTAATTTTAATAGTATGTCTGGGTCATTCATCGATATTTCCTACTTTACATCTTCTTATTCTTCCGAGTCATAAGTTCTGGTTCAAATGTTGGGGTTAGCTATGTAGTTCTTAATTTGAATCAGATTACCCTCTATGAATTTTGGTCTAAGTCTGATTTCGTCTTACTGATTTTAATACATCAATCTCAGTAATCCTTGGAATTGCCCCGGGGCTTCCAAGGCTATAGCTCCTGCTTGGAATTGAATTATCATTTCTTAATTTTGACAGGTCTGATTTCTTTTAACTCACGTGCTGATTTTGATTAATATATCACCTTCAAATTGATAAACAAGCTCAGGTCTGCACTGGCAGATCCACATGTGGGCAATCATTCAAGTGCATGTTTACTAGTACACATGCATAGTCCGAGTCGGCTGCCCAGTTGGACAGTCGTACTATTTGTAGGTGAATATTTACCAACTCCTCCATGTATGAACATTTTGAAAGTCCTTGAACTAGGTACTAGTATGTCGCAGAGCAACAAGGGAACTAAAAATTTTCCTATGTTGAGCATCACAGTTTACAACCTTGCTTTTGCCTTTTACCCTGTTCTTCTCGGTGCCAATTGCAAGTATTTGGGATGGAACAGAACCAAACGGAACATTTGAAATGGGCAATGGGAGGACGCCCGGGGCTTTTCTGAACTAAGCCTATATTTTATGCCAACCCTATTTAGGCTTTTCCTAGCCATCATTTGAGCATGGATGAAAGAAAAACCAAACGGAAAGATGAAGAATTTATGAGCAGTACTTGTGTCATTTTGCGTTGGAAACCCCCAAGAATTAAATACTATGTGAAAGCCTTAAATTCTACGCAATTTCACCAGTGATCTGTGGTGTATTTCCATGATAGCCCCGTATCAACGAGTTAAGGGGAGCATGCAAAGAGAAGAATGCAGAAGATCATGATGTAAGGCTTGAGAAATTCCTCGGAGACCGGCACGTTGCTCTGCATCAGTCGGTTAAGGTTCATCTGAGAGATAGAGTTTGAGATCTAACGTTTATTTTCACCAACACTTAGCCCATACAAGATCAAATAAGAAAATTTGAACCATTAATCAATTCAAATCAAACTGGAAGAGAACCTGCTTAGTTCACAGTTTTAGAAGAGCAGGGATGCATTCACCAAGTTCTGAGAACGCTTACAACTTGCTATTCCTTGCATCCGTATGTAGCAAATAGCCAACAAATGACGCAAGAAATCCATATGATGCTGTTTTCCTCGTAGCATGCCAGGTCATTTCAAATATCCGAAAGCAACACTTGACATGTCTTGTAACTGAGATTGCTCTCTTCTAGGCTTATATTTGGCTGGTCTTGCGGGTAAGGAACTTTTGCGACATGTGCGTTAGATTCCTCTCGGATTCGTGGACAGCGTGTTTGTTAGACTAACATGCTAGAGCCCTTTGGCTTAAGATGAAATAGTCCTTATAGAAAGGCCAACCCCTCGTAGATGCTCTTCATTTTCATGTTTCAGGGACGAGAGATATGGGGACCATGTAAGATTCCTCGAGCTCATGACAATCCAATCCAACCATGGTTGATCAAGGTGGATAGATTGCGACCTAATAATTGCGATCGCTATTTTAATATCACTGTCGTAACTACGAAAGCAGAGATCGAGTGTAGCCATGGCTGGGGCTAAGCAGACGACATCACCAGAAAGCTCGCAGTGACCGTATCAAGCGCCCAGAACACCTTCCCTGTGTTGAACATCATCGTCAGTCTTAGAACATAGTATGAATGCGGAACAAGCTTTCTACCTGCAATGCGATCGGATAAGTGTGTCAATGTTCAGTTCTCGGCCATGCAATGCAACATTCAAGAGCCTATACGCTGGGTTCAAGTTCTACAACAGACTTCTAGTCAAAATACAGATGTCATACAGATCCGAACACGATTGCAATTATTGGGTCGTAAATAGAAGCTATGGTATAAATTGAGTGCGATGCACGGTATCTTTCAAATTCAGTTTCATCCTACTTCAGTATTTTGAATAACGTTCTATCTCCGATTTATCACCAGCCCTTAGTCAATACCCAGAGCCCGATTACCTTCATCATGTCTCGATTTCATGCCGGTATGCACTCCCATAGTGGAAATTGGATTTTAATGATCTCTGCTCACAGCCAGCACAGGAACCGTTCTCAAGGTAGAGGACAAGGCCCGGGGGGAAGGGCGTTTTCGCGGTTTCTCAACCAAAGGAACTTTCGGCCAAGCCCCCAACCGATGGTAATCGGATCCCAATTAACTTCAGCTGGGAAATCATTGGTGTATGTTAACCTCGTGGATTATTGATACATACTGTTATCATATCTTCAATTTGTTTGGCCATGGCGGGACGGGATCATGCTAATTGGTGCAACAATAGGTGAAAGGTTATATCGACCTCGATACAAGCGTCATCTCCATTACTGTGTCTGCCTTTGGCGTCAACCTGGGTACATTCACAGGAGACCTGAAGAATGGAATCAAGATCGATATCAACGTCGGGCTTGCTTCAGGCTACCTAAAGTCCCACATCGAGGGTAGTACCCTCTATCTGGATGTTGATATTAATGTGATCTTTGGTCCGCACTACGATCAGGATCACATCAAGGTCTTTAGTTGGCAGATGACAATGCCGCTCCTCTTTTGGAACAAAATTGAATCCAATGGAATGTGCGCAAAGTCTGTGGACCCCTGTTGAACTATTCAAGTGGGGATACCGATATTAGAAAACCAAATGAATTATTCGTATCTTCATATGCAACAAAGAAGATATCTTATATGTAGCTCCAGGTGCTGCATGACCGTATTCTAGACTACGGAATAAAGTCCTAGTAGGTAAGGGGTCTTTCATCTGGAGCGAAATGCTCTGTAAACGGTTGTTGGGAGCTAGCGTTGCTGCCGAGGGCATCCTTTTCGTCCTCAATTTTTGGACTTTAATACTACTACTTAGCATCATGATAAGACTGTTTGAAGGAGGCAGTGGGGTTTGCCTTGCTTGAAGAACCATTCCTATTACACAAACACAATCATATTCTGTGTGATGTTAGATCTGCAGAGTTATGTCGACGTTCTGGGCATGCACATGTGCTATGGTCGGCTCCATCTGACCAATTCCGGCGAAGTAAAGATCCATTAGTCAGCCTCGAAGGGCGGTATTCCAGGTTAGCATCTCCTGTTAGTACTGGAGATTGTGCTGTTGCAGAGCCAAGAGTAAAACTCGCTTGAATTTCCAAGGTTGACTTACGAGTACACTGATGCTCATTATCAGACAAATTCAGTGATTAACACCGGTTGCCTTCAGGTATGCGGCTTGCAAATCCTTCCATCTTTGGATTAATCCATACATAATTCGCCGCCTGCCGACTCGGTTGTTTGTGGCTGCCGGCCCGTCGGCCCGTCTCGCATGAGTCGCATCAGGAATGTGGGACTATATCTCGCATGCCGCCGTGCTGAGTAGCTGCATGCCACAGCCAGTGGAGGTCATCCCAAATTGGGAAGGTGGTCCCTCTATCACGTTGCTTGTAAATACTGTATAAGCTTGAGGCCAAATAAAATTGAACTTTGGTTCCAAGGTTAACTCAAAATATATGGATCCCTTAAATGACTACTGTATAAAGATTGCACTGGCATAGGTCCAAGGGTAGGTCCCGGATGGAAGGGGGTTGTTTGGTAATTCCAAGATTTTAATCATCTGTGTGATTACTATCAAATTGAGAATAAAACTCATGTTTGCAGATTAGTATTATATTACATATAACTTGAATATTCCACCTTCACAATTCGGTATGGTATGTGGCATGGATGTACTCGGCACGGCCCTATATCTGCCCAGGCCATCTCTTGAGGTCAGTGGCTTGGTCAGGTAAGGAATCGGTGGTACCATAACCCACTATATACCGTATCCGTCAGCTAAATGGCTCTTAGTAGCCCGATTTACTGATTTGGATCATAAATTACGCGTCTTACGACATAATAGCGTAAAATTATGCCCAAGTGCAGTTGGAACATGTCTTCCTATATACTAATCTCAACTGCTCACAGCAACTAGGTGTTCCCAATTCGTCATTTACCGATATGAAGACGGAATCGTGTAAGGAGTTGTTGATCAAGGTATTCAAGATGTCTAGGCCCAAGCATCGTCGCAAAGCAGCTTTTGCTGTGTAACTGTGAGAGGAATTTCTAGATGTCCCCTCAGGAGACCTCAATCCGATAAACCTGGTGATTGGATGATTAAATAATTTTAGCTGCAATCGGAAAGCGACATAAGAAATGTGAAAGGAATGCACTCATGTTGTTGATCATGTTATAAAGATATGGAAATCCCGACCACGAGAGGTTTTTACAATTGTCCAGCATCAATACAAAGCAAGCATCTAGTCATGGACTCTCTCAATAATCCTTAGACAACTAAAACTCCCAGCACTAGCCAGGAATTCATTCAAGTGAGTTGGATGTATGAATTCATTGAAGAGTCATTACTCACAAATACCCCCACATGTGCAGAGACTTGGGGAAACGCTCACCCTCGCTATAATCAACTACGGCACTGGGAAGATTGTAAAGGTTGCCAATGGACGTGCTGTTACTATTCCAGTCACAAGTGACAGTCACGAAAGCTACTGGGTGGTCAATGCTAGTGTAGCAGACCAAACCCTGAATGCTATCCTCAATGGATCATCTGCAGAAGCCATTCCTTCGAGCGGTGGGAATCCCATTCCGATCTCTCAGTGGCAAATCACTCCCAATGAAGACAATTCTGAAGTTTTTTACATCACAGACCCACAGAGCGGGACACGACTGGAAGGTGCAGGACCCAGGACTGAGATTTCTGCGATCTCAACCGATGCTTTAACTAGTGGCCCAAAACATGACGACATTCATTTGTGGCAGCTTGTTGCCATAGTTGCTGCTAACAACCTCACGCCAGTGGATGAAACCATCAATTTCGCGAGGCCAGCAATGGAGCTTCTTTTCTCTCTCAATGGGAAGACAAGAAGATTGTGTATACTCCCAAGAAGCCCGTGGCCACAGTGGCGTCCATCGACAAGAATGATATCAAGACTTTGAAGGACAAGGGCAACAAAATAAAGGAGAGTGATGAGGATGCGCTCTTGAATGGTGGGGTTCGAATCGACCGTCAGGGCTTCTTCCAGAAAAAGCCAGGCAAGGACTCAACCTATTTCGCCAACTTGCAAGGTCAAGTTTCAAAATTGTCGGTTTGGCAAGTGAATATACAGACTGGCCAGGAGTTTGGTGTAGCTGCTATCAGGAAGGAAATGGCAGAGAGTATGAATTCGGATCCGCCAAAGGAGCTCTGGCTGGAGGCATGAGCGGTAAAGATCATACTGGACTCATGTCGACCCCGACTTTACCAGCAGACCGGTACCAGTCAAAGCATTTGAAAGTGACTATTTGTATTCATATACTTGATCCATACATCGGGGTTGAATCCAGATCTTCCATTGGTGGAGCACGTGTATCTGGTCCAGCCCTGGAATCAAAAGACTCGGAGTCCTTACGTCTTGGTGGAATTATGCCATAAGCTATGAAAATCCTCCCGCGTAAAGTGAAGCTATTAAATACTACTTGTTCCATCAGATCTGAACAAACATGCAAGTGTTGGAGTTTGAATGGATAATATGTAAATCCATTCGATGACTATGCTAATTATATAAGAATACTACCTCCTCTTCTAATTCCTGTCGAATTTCCTTGAGATCATCCCGTAGGCTTTTTCGCCCCCGCTTCCGGTACGAGAGCTGGCGATATAGACCAGAGCCCAATCAAGGATGTGCGCTGCCCCAGTACCCTGTCCATATGCGATGAAGACCGCTGCCTGAAAACACCGACCCGAGGTGGTAGGATCTGGTATGTATGAAGTTCCGTAGGGATGTGGTCCGTAGTTAAGTCCATAATTGCTTCTCTGCTTCCTTGATAGCTTATCAAGTGTTTGGATCGGTTTAATCGCTGAATAACACTCACTATATCTCACGTCGGAAGGTAGACAACCAGGTAGAAGGTGAAGGGTAGATAATACCAAGATCACTCTCCACCACCATTTCCTCGCAGACGAGGTTCAATAGCTAGCCGCTCTTTCTCAGCCGTATCTCTGTCATTTTCGACTTCAAGTGTGGCCTTTGCGGCGTTGAAATGATATTTGTCCTATTACCTACCCAATGTGCAGGGCCTCATCCCCAGCGTCCTGTTTTTGGTGTTTTTTTGGTGTTCTTTTGGGCATTTTTGCCTGGTGTTTTCCCGTTCTTTCCGAAATGATTTGGAAAAGTTTGTAGTCACAGGGACCACTAGGTACCGCTGGCCTAATAAGGTAGAAAGTCAGTGTACATTTCTTTTTCCCAATCAATCAAGTCTGAGTTCGCACCGCCCTTCAACTTCCTTTGGATTTTGATCGCATCATCTTCGACAATAAGGCAGTCAATTTCTTCGACTGTGATCAACCTAGGTCAGTCGGCGGTCACTTTCAACACCTAGGCCAGTCTCAATCACTTTGATTAAATATTAGTTTCTTTTGCCGAAGAAATCTTGCGATATGCAAGGGGAAGGGTATGACTTACTTAAGTCCTCTGACTCGATCAGCACCCCTCGTTGACTCGGCTCAATTTCTTGTCGTACTTTTTCCGCCTTCTTCCACGTTCTTGCGCTGAGTTTTGAGCTATTCCGAGTTTTGCTATCGTAGACTTGGTGCTATGATTTGTGATGTGACCACGCCTTGGTGTGGTAGGTTTTTGTGTTCGCAGTCTGCTTTGCTTGCTCCACATCCTCGAATTTCGTGACCGTTTCCTTCTTCGCATGTACTGCTCTTTGTAGCTTATCATCTTTTCTATCCCTTTCTGCTCTCGTATTTCTGATTGCGGGTGTCGGTTTATTCCGGAGTCTTCCAGCTCCTCTTCACATGGTTGGGTGGATTCTAGGTGGATGGTGCGATCGGCGTATCTGTGCTTAAATCTGAGAGTAATTGTAGAATCATTTGGGAGTCAACATTAAGCCAAAATTGGCCAATGTGGTAAGAGGTAGTTATACCCTCTATATACTCCACGAATGGGTGAGATCTATATGGGTGGATCATGTAGGCCTTGTAGGGGAAGAGAGTTGGTTAAGACTCAGAAGCTAGAACTTTAGTAGGATTAGGGTCTTACCACATGGTATTGACTGTGGTTCTTCTCTGTTTTGAGTGTTGTTTCAAGAAAAAGTAAGGATTTTTGATGAAGTCTTGAAGATTTCCAAAGATCCTTCATTAATTGTGGGAACTGTAATGATTGGGAAATAGAGGAATTCTTGACTGCACATAGACAGTCTCACACATCTTCACATCTTCACGTACGTAGAGGTGATAAAAGACGTCCTCAGAGTTGGAGATGGTAAAGGTGGCTCCGTGTGATGAGACAAACCACGAAGCAAACGGGTGGTGAAAGATGTTTAAATCGATGGGTAGTTGTAAGTTGGGTGGGACGTTTCGAAGTGCATGGTCGTGACATCATGTTAGTCGAAGTAAAAACAGTCAGCCTCATCTTTCCTTCGAAATACTCAAGGCTGGGTCTTCAAGGGATAGTACTCACTGGACGTCAAATCAAGTATTTTGAAGAGAGTAGACGTATTTTACTCCTCAGGTTGCTGGAGTTTTCGAGTTTATTTACTGTCTGCACATGTGATAGAATACTCAACTTGAGCCAGGTCACCCCTTATATATGGATCAATACCACTGAGTGGGTACTTGAGTATGTAAATGGTAGGGCCTCCTGAAAGGATGTTAGCACACTTCGGTACCGGGGCAAGGCGCCGGTAGGTTAAATATGATGAGGATATGGTGTGTTCATTTGACCGACCTATCTGCCAGTGGCTAAGTGCTCAAGTCCTGAGTACAAAGCTTTCCCAGTTTTGCTGCTAGCACTTGAGAGCAATGTGCCTTGCGCGGAGTAAAGACTTGTATCAGATGACAATATGTGCATGCACAGAATGTGGGGCTGGTTGGATTAATTTTGACCCTCATTTTCTCAAGCACTTCTCAGAGATCTACCGAGTATTATGATGAGTCTAGGCCATGATGTTCAAGTCACTTTATCTCATCTCTAACATTGAACATGACCGCCCAATAAATCATACATACCCCGCGGCGGTTGTTGTCTAGTAATGGTACAGACTACTTAATTCCAGACCACTGCCAAGATGGCCGGCTATGTAGTAAGAAAACTGTTGTCCAAATTGAATTCCTTCAGTCTATACTTTGATCCTTCGAAATGTTGTTACCGCAAAGAATCGCCTTGCATTTAATATTTTATTGAAGCCTTGAATGAAATCCTTGATGATCAGTGGGCGCTGAAAGAGTACTATATTGAAGCTAGAGAAACAACAAAAGCTATCTGTCTATGAGCAACTTGAACACCTAAAATGCTAGCTCTACAGACACTGCTAAATATACTAATTGCTTCAAACTTGAGGCCAAAGGTTGAACTCATAGGTCGAACACATCCCAAGCTGGGTAAACCATGGGCAATGCACTTGGAGACTGTGCTGGCCAATTGGCCTCGATCACTTTCCTTACTTCAGCGAACACAAGGCGATACCCAGCACCAGTTAAATGAAGTCCTTTATATTACCGTTAGCATTTATGATGTTTTTGATTGGGGAGAACTGAGACAGGGTGACAAACCATCACTGAACAGAGCTGCAAATTGCTCATTCTGGGACAAATCGCGTGATCCGATAAAAGGCTGGCCCTCTTCCCATCCAACTGCTCAGACAATGCCATATATTAGTTTCTTTTCTTTTTGATTTCTCTTGATATTAGTCAGGTTCATACCTGAAGTCATAAACGAGGTCCAGATGTCCGCTGTCGGGATGCCGAGATCAGTCCCAACCTCCTTGACTGCCTCACTGTAGGCTTTGGCCAGCGCGGCAGTCCGGCTGGGGTGATTATAGTTCTTCCCATTATCGAAACCTTCCAGTTGATACTCATTAATGGGCGGTGGGGTGATAAAAATGATGTGAAGGTCTGGTTGAGCAAGAACAGCGGAGTGCTTCGCGAGGGCCTTCAAATTCTCCTTAAATTGAGGGATTGGAATGTGTTGGCTTTGGCCTGGAACACATGAATCATTTGCACCAAAGAAGATGGTCTAGGACTTGATTAACCAGTGGCTCATATTAAACCTGAAGCTGGGGGTATTATTACCATGAATCGGACAGTAGCAGCCTCGGGCGAGGGCATGAACCTTGGAAGGACATGAAGAGCATGATTCGTGTTATATCCACTGTTTTAAGTTAGAAAAGAACGGGTCGTTAAGAGGGATATGACTCAATTGATCGTTCAGATGTTGATGTATGCTTACCCAAAACCACGGTTGATCACATCCAATTTTCGGACGTAGGCTATCGAAATGATTAGTAAAGTGTTGGCAATTTCAATATTCATTGACCAAGCTTATTTTACCATCTTGCAATGCAGGCTGCAAACCAAAGCCAAGCTGCATATCATTGCTCATTTGCGTGATCGAGTCACCGAAAAGGATGAACTGGTCATACGGTTTGCCCATATCTTTGGTATTGGACATTGTATCGAATTTTTCAAACGCTGAAAGTTCTTCCTAATAGTATAGTTGGAAATATAGAAAATGTAGGAGATATTCGGGTCTTTAAAGCTTTTGAAGTGTAAAATTGTAAAATTGTAGAATTGTAGTGGGGTTGAGCTCCGTGTCTTATCGGGAAGGAAATTTCCACCAATCTCAACTTCTCTGCTTGTAATAACTGGTGAATAGATTGAGAATAGATTGATCTTGCTTATCTGAGATTTAATTTATCATAGATTCATCTAGTCTTATTCAACATTGAAAGGGTTTATATAGTAATTGATAGAGTCATATCAAATTATTCCAGTGTTTATCTATATCTATTCTCTGGTCTTAGGATCGATCTCGGCACAAATTACAATTGAGCGAATCAAACCAGTTGACTAGTCTACATGACACTTCGGCCAATAAAATAGCCATCTGGACATGACCATGCGTTCTGACATCGATCTCATGCAGGTTTAGATATCTGGAGCTATTTAGCCCCGGAATCTACCGAGAATAGCGCCCAAAGCTTATTGAGGTATTTTGCCCAGATGGTATGTTCGAGATGATATGCTCTAGCAGGGGAATCATGGACCATCAGACACTAGAATATTTCAAGTTGAAGAACCGACTCGTTGGTAGAATGTCATTCCGCTTAATATCCCCACTTCCAAATGATCAGCACTGACTTAGCGGGGGATGCGGGATCGACGGAATAGCAGATGACCAGTACGCCTGGTATGGCTGATGAGATCATCGGACTGTATGTCTCAATATATGAAGAGGCAAAAGCCGCTCAGACCGATGGTACACATATACTTGTTGTTAGTACTCATAGGGTGTAGCCTACCGTGTAGGGCGTAAAATCCCCGCATTCAATCCCCTCACGAATTATCCCTGCTCCAATAAGATAGAACGAGACAGTTAGAAACTTTCCATATCCCTTCTCTTTGGATAATTCGAACCAACAGGGAAATATAGTCTTGGATCTTCCCTTCAAGGCAAATCAAAAATGTAGATCACCATAATGATCTCGTAAGGATTGAACTCAACATAGATTAAAATGGCAAATAATACAATGTGGATCCCGTGAGTCCGTGACCGCCTCACTCCAACCTTGAGAAGTCATCCTCATCAGCTGCCTGATTACTTATAGCTTTTTGGTTTTTTTTTGCTTAGAGGGGTGGGCCATGCTCGGGTGAGTTCTCTTCACAAAGGGTCTTCCTTTCCTTCTTACTCTTTCATCAATGCTGGGATTCCATGTCCTAAAGGCTAACACCCCTAAAGATTAGCTTCTATCCTTAAACCCCGGAGCATCAAAGCTGCTCATACTCGCCATGCCACGTTCAGTTCCACAGTTTGCCCCCTCTCGAGGCGAGCAAGATGAGGCTCAGGTCGAAGCTCAGGCCGCCCGAACCGCACCGCCATCCCCCACCGCTCACCGCCGTCGGAGTTACCTATCGGAAGAGCATACAGGATATCAATCGCTGGACTCCCATCTAGAAGCCACCGAAACTACGAGTCTACTAGGAGCTACTGCACCACAGCGCCGAGCTCCCCGTCGATCATACACCAGTGTCTCCGGGGTATCAGGTCCGGATTCTGTACGCTATCTCCTGGGCGCGGGAAGCTCGCGTCGGGTACGAAACCATAGTCGAACGAACTCAATACGGAGACACACGAGCCGACGGAACAGTATCGGAGACGCAGATGGAGGTCGAGATGCGGACCAGCTGGCGCTCGCGTACGGCGAGGAGACATCGAGCTTACCGGCGTCAACAAAGAACGGGTTAACAGCTTCATCGTTTCTGGACGAGCGCACCTGGTATGATCAGTTCACCTCCACAGACTGGGTCCACGATAGTATCGCCGATGCTGCTCGCCTACGTCAACTTCGCCGTCGCAAAGATATCCGAGGCCGGTTACTGGCGGGGTTTGATGGAGCACAGGGATGGATTCTCGTTGCCTTGACGGGTTGCATAACTGCGGCGATCGCCTACTTGGTGGATGTAACGGAGGATAAGGTGTTTGATGCGAAGGTCGGGTTTTGCTCTTCGCGATGGTTTGCTAGTCGGAGTATTTGCTGCGAGGGTGCCTCATCGTGTGAGGCCTGGCAAACGTGGGCGCAGATCCTCGGACCTTCCGGCTCGGAGAACAAGTCGATGGACTTTGTCATGTTTGTAATTTGGGTGGTCGTTTTGGCTATGATTTCCTGTGGCCTTACCCTCCTTACGAAAACAGTTGTGCCGTCCTCGGTCTCGTTGGCCACATTAGATGAAAACCTCGGGGCCGAGTCTCGGAACTTGTTCAGTGCTGGTGGTGCCGGTTCCCCCGGATCCCAAACAAGTCCTCATGGCACCTTCCCCAATGCTCCCTCGAGGCCCGCTATGGTCTACTACTCGGCTGCTGGCAGCGGAGTGGCAGAGGTGAAAGTCATCAACAGTGGCTTTGTTCTGCATGGATACCTGGGCTTGAAAACCTTGGTTGTGAAAACAGTTGCTTTAGTATTTAGTATTGCGTCCGGCCTGAGTCTGGGCAAAGAAGGTCCATATGTTCACATTGCTACCTGCGTGGGCAACATCTTTTGTCGATTATTTGCCAAGTACAACCAGAATGATGGCAAGCGACGAGAGGTTCTCAGTGCTGCTGCAGCCAGCGGAGTTGCAGTTGCTTTTGGTGCTCCCATTGGTGGAGTGTTGTTCAGCTTGGAGGAGGTCAGCTACTACAGCTCGTCCAAGACCTTGTTTCGCACGTTCTTCTGTTGTATTGCGGCCGCTCTATCCCTGAAGTTTCTGAACCCCTACGGCACGGGAAAGATTGTTCTGTTTGAAGTAAGGTATCTTTCAGACTGGGAGGTGTTTGAGCTATTCATCTTCATTTTCCTTGGAATACTTGGCGGTGCAGCTGGTGCTCTGTTCATTAAAGCCTCCAGTATCTGGGCTCGTTCATTTCGGCGTATCCCTGCCATCAAACAGTGGCCGATGCTCGAGGTTTTTCTGGTGGCCCTTGTGACTGGCCTGGTCAGCTTTTGGAACAGATATACCAAACTCCCGGTCAGCGAGCTCTTGTTTGAGCTCACCAGTCCTTGTGAGCGAGTTTCCCAGGACGGCACGGGGCTATGCCCCCATGAGGGCAATATAATGGCCACTGTGCAGTACCTGCTTGTTGCCTTTCGTCCTGAAGAGCTTTTTGACTGTGATCACTTTTGGAATCAAGGTCCCAGCTGGCATCTACGTACCGTCCATGGTTGTTGGTGGCCTAATGGGTCGAATTGTTGGGCATATTGTACAGTATTGGGTAGCGAAGAACCCGACTTTCTTCCTTTTCAATTCATGCCCTGCTGTCCCCGGCATGGAGAGCTGTGTCACCCCAGGGGTGTATGCTTTAGTGGCAGCGGGTGCCACAATGTGTGGAGTGACTCGCCTGTCAGTGACATTGGCAGTCATTCTTTTCGAGCTTACCGGAAGTCTGAACCATGTTCTTCCATTTTCGCTTGCAGTACTTTGCGCCAAATGGACTGCAGATGCGATTGAGCCACGCAGTATCTATGTAAGACATTTCAAACTCTTTGTTGATTTCCTGAATTCATATCTAACAATCTTTAGGACTTCTTAACCGATATGAATGCCTACCCATTCTTAGACAGCAAACTTCAACCGACATCTGATGCAGAGCTGGGTGATATCGTTCGACCAGTGCGCAAAGATCGCATTATCGATATCTCCAATTCACCATTTGTTGCTGCAAGCGAGCTGCGCTTAAAACTCGAGCACCTGCTGATGGCGGGTGAGCTGGACAGTGGCCTCCCCATTCTGCGAGACGGGATTCTCGCAGGCCTCATCCCAGCCCCAGACTTGGAGTTTGCGCTTGATACTCTCGGCGATGACGAGGAGAGTACATATTGCCTCATGGCAATGGATTCTTCACTCGCAATTTATGATAGTGATAACGAGGATATCATCCAGGAGGATTTCACGCGCTACATTGATCCTGTAAGTTTATACTTGTGGATATGTCAACCCTTTTCATACTAACTGAAGATAGGCGCCGATTGCTCTCGATGTCCATTCGCCAATTGATTTGGTCTACCAGTGTTTTGCCAAACTTGGTTTGAGATACCTTTGCGTTCTTCATAATGGCCAGTACGCCGGATTGCTTCACAAGAAATCTTTTGTGAAGTTTATGAAACAAAATGAGTAGACTGCTTCGGAAGTCCGCTTTGCATATTATTTTGATTTTGAGCCTGTGATGTTTCTTTTTTTCTGTTCTCCATTTGAGAGGTTATTTGTTTACCATATGCAGTTTTCTTGGACATATTGCATAGCATTTGCATATTCTGTCATTGGTTTCGATTAACCATTCAATTCATATAGGCAATATCTAGAGCCTTGTTGCAGATACCCGATTATCGAGTTCAAGTTTGATACTTTTCCTGATGAAAATACCGAATATATTGCAATTTTTATATGCTTAGCCCTTTTGAGCGGATGCAAAGACATACTAGGATATGATGCTATCTATCAAGCCCATTAAATCAACTTCTCATACCCAACCATCTGAACTTCAAAATCCCCTTCCCGAATCCACTCCCCAGTAACCTCCTCTCCAACCCACTCAGACAACTCCTGGGGACTAGCACTCCTCCAGCCATTCCGCTCATCCATACAATCCAATGGCCAGAAAGTATCACACTCGAACGGCACTTCCTCACCACCCTCAGGTTTCCGCACCACATTCGTCATAACAATTCTAAGAGGTCTCTTCAAACCATCCACATCCCCAAACTCCCTCCTCAACGCAGCACCATAAATCTCCGCACCTCCAATAACAAACATCTTGCCCAGAGCCTGACCAGCTCCATAAATCTCTTGCAGCTCCTCAAGCGCAGAATCCAAACTAGGAACCACAATCGCATCGGTGATAGGTTCATCTTTCTGTTCCTTGTCATTCTCAACAGCCTTAGCAGCCGCAATTGCAGCCATCTTCTCCTTCCTCTTCTTCAGATCTTCTTCAACACCCTTACGCACCGAACCGGTAGTATCACGTGTGATGATTGCACTAATACGTTTTCCCAGTGGACGCAGATGCTTTGGTACGGAGTCATAGGTCTTTCGTCCCATAATGATTGCGTTCGTGGTTCCTGGCTCTGGTGCGCGGGATGTAACGCGTGCGAAGAAACTCATATCCGCCTTGATACGTGGCCAGGGGAGAGTGCCATTTAGACCGATGCCGAGACGTGTGCGTGGTTCGGGGTTTCCTGGATCTTGGGACGCGACGCGGATTGGGGTTGTCGCGACGATCAGGGTAAGGGAGGAGGATGGTGATTGCATTTTGGTTTTCAGATTCATGCTCGAGGATTGGAAGGTTCTGACGAGGGTGTAGAAAGATTGTAGGAGAGGTTTTGGGTATGTGTATTTGAACATGGGGAAGTTGGGAGGAAAAAGTTGTTTATCGTGAGAGCTTATCGTGGCCCCGCAGTTAAGTCTATATGGATTTGTCGGTCAAGAAGATGATCTGCTGGTGGACTTGACTCAAAGGAAGTTCGACTTTTGCCAGAGTTGATTTTTTTCGAAGTAGTGAGAACTTAATGGCTTTATTGGTATCGTAGAATGAATGCTATTGTATGTTTTGGATTGACAATGGTATCGAATTAATCACCTGGATTACTGATATCGCCATGAAATTGTAGGTTGAGATTAACAACAAACATGCTAGAGAGGGTGTTATCAATGCAGGGCGTTCTCATAACTCCAGATAAGATTTTAAAAATTCCCATAAACGCCAGGTGGGTATCTCTAGCCCAATGCAATAGACTCAATGAGTGAATTATCACCCGAGCAAAACTGCCCACTTAGTTCTCCGGAGACAGCTTTGACAAGCTACCCTGTTCAATAGCCTTCTGCACAGCGAGTACATCACCTTCAAGCTTCTCTCGGCGTTCGACATCCCGCTCGTCCTCGCCAAGGGTATCAAGTTTGCCGAATAGCCAGGTTTCTTTCATTGTCCTTGTTAATGCGAGGATGTCTTCTGCGGCCCGGATCTATGAGAATAGATACGATCAGTGAATGATATCAAAGAAAATATGCTCCGGAGGTAGCATTGAGACAAGGATCTCTAGTCTCAATAGTTCGCGAACCAGACGTACCAAAGCCGTTGACTCCACATCAAGTTGGTATGTTTCCACCGCGGTGGATGTGTAGCTAGGATTCTGGACCTGAAAGATCAAAAGTCAGTAATTTGAAAGTAAACGATACTCAATTGGCTTACAGTTGCTGTCGCCATAATGTTCTCGAACCGCTGCAGCAGTTGCGAGATGTCAGTGTTGATGCGGTCTGTCAGAACAACCTGGGTCAGCCTTCTGTGTTTGAAATATGAAGCCAACGAAAAATCAATTCCTCGTGTGCAATCACATACTATGCAATGCCTTGGCTGTTGGTTGAGACTCCATCTTGTGAGCTTGATGAGAGGAAGATTGCTGCTGTGTATTGCCGCTGATGGATTACAGATAAGCTTGGGCGGTGAATTGGGGTGGGGCTCATAAGCCCCGGATTTCACTCTGCTCTCAATTACCCCAGGGCTACATGGAGTATGTATACGGAATTAAATCGTTTAATAGAATTAGACAGGGTGCTCATCGGAAGGGACTATTCGATTTCTATATTGTGGTATCAAGTGCTATTTTGTGGATCCTAAGCCAGTGTCATCAAGCTACTATACCATTCGTGACGATAAGCAGCATCTGAGCATTTTGGCTCTTATTAAAGAACAGTCCTTTGCAGTCCTTCCATTGAGTAATTCAAGCAGCTGTTAGTAGACATGATTTAACGAACGTATTTGCCCTGGGGAAGGGTTAGTAAAGAGACCACCATACTCGGATAAGCTATGCACATACCATAAACCGCTTGTGGAAATCAGAGCGTAGTAGATCCTGATAGAAGAGTTAGTATGGAGAATATGATATCAAGAACAAGCATTCTTACGTTGACAAACTCCTTCCCATCTTTGTTCTCGGTGCCTCGAGCTTGGTTCTTGAAAACAACATCATCATCCCATCGTCGCTTCATGTTGAAATCCTGTGTGTTGAGAAGTGGGTTTCCGCGGGCGATATCAACTTCGCGTTGTTCCTCTTCCTCGGCCGCGCGTTCTTGTTCCTGCACAAAGTAAGCATTTGCTAACGAATCCTCCATCATTTCATCGGTGCCACAAACCTCTTTCTCCTTTTGTGCTGCTCGTTCTTTCTTGATTTGCTCGAGTTCGCGCATCAACGCGGCCTCGTCGTCATCATCGTCACTATCCTCTTCCTCGCTACTATCTTCTTCTGACCCATCTGAATCTGCATCTATGTCGCGTGTCTCTTCTAAAATGCGTCGTCTCTTTGCTTCGGGATCTTCGACTTCGCCGCCCTCGTTTTCTGCATCCGCAGGTGTGAATTCAAGCTGTCGCTTCGGAGCCTGCTCCGTAGCAGCGGTCTCATCGATGAGGGTACCGTTCTTCTTGGCGAAGTGGGCGGCCTCAGCCTTCAAGAGCTCGGCGCGCAGGTCTCGAACTTCATTGTCGGCGTCGCCTCCTTGGCCGGGTTGTCTAAAGCAAATTAGTTTTGAGTCTTGATTGCTGTCCCGTTCTTCGAGGAATGGGTGCTTTCGTACCGGACTTTCAGGTGGGTGTATGCTGGAAGGAGTCGCTGGTGGTAGGCTGGGCCTCGGAGGGCCTCTTTACCTTGCGCCTGTTCGTGTTCAGGTTAGTCTTGAAATCGAGAACGAGACGGTTTAGTCGTACCGGGTCAAAAGTGGGACGGTGAGCTGGAAGAGTATTAGCTTATGAGATCATAAAAGACCGCCAGAGATATAATTCATACCTGTAGTCATCTTGGTATTGTGAAATGGGTGGTGGAAGAACTTAAAGCTGATCTTTGATGCCAAGGCCGAGATGTTGAAGATTAGAGTAAGCTGCCAACTGGATAAGGTCATGTGATATGGAGAAATATATCACCGATCCAAAGCGTCTGTCACTGACGTTAGTCATCTTTTAATTATCGGAGCATCGACGAGATAGAGATGAAAGATAGGACATTGGCATTCATTATTGACCAATTCTTGGGCAATGGCATTCCGATCCTAATTCCTCCAATGTATTACACAGTGTGACCAGATACACTCAATGAAGAAGCAAAAGGGCCAGAATACACATACAAAAGAACCCTTATCACATAGAGTCGTACAAAGGTGCCCAAATGTCCAGTAGAAATCCAGATGATTACAATGTTAAGACGAATTAACAAGATATCGGAGCTTTCCCGCTCATTGAAACCCCCACGGCTGGAACCGTCGGCCTAATCCGAGCACTCGGCCAACGCCGGAGACTCCCCGTGGAACGGAGAACCAAGAAGAATTACATTTAATGTGCGGGGGATCTCTGATCCTTTCCTTTAACTAATAACTTACGATATAGCGCCACTCAGCTCTTTAATAACGCCGCATCATTGTTCAAGGCATTCTCTCTTACCAACCTCCGACTCAACTGGAACGTCTCCCCGCAATCCCACCTGAAAGCTACCCCACCATGGGCAACGACAAGAAGATCGGCGCCTACTATGCGCCAACTGGCGGATTGCCGCCCCAAACTCAGCTTCTGACCGACCGTGCCATGTTTACCGAAGCCTATACCGTCATTCCTAAAGGCACCTTCAGCGACATCGTTACAAGCTTCCTGCCATTCTGGGACAAGACACGACTATGGGTCATCGCTCGCCCGCTGTCAGGCTTCGCCGAGACATTCTCCCAATACATCATGGAAGTTCAACCAGGAGGTGGCAGTGATCGTGCCGAATTAGACGATGAGGCCGAAGGTGTATTGTTCGTCGTGGAGGGCGAAGTGACCGTCACCTTGAACAACACCAAGCACAATCTCGCCGACGGTGGCTATGCCTTCCTTCCCCAAAGAGCGGCTGGACCCTTCGCAACGAGGGCGCTACAACAGCTCGTTTCCACTGGGTTCGCAAGGCCTACGAGGCTGTAGAGGGTTTGGATTACCCCGAACCACTGTTCCTGAACGAGAAGGAGATCGCGCCTACCGTAATGCCGGATACAGATGGTGCTTGGGCCACTACTCGCTTTGTTGACCCGACCGATCTCCGTCACGATATGCATGTCACTATTGTCACCTTCGAGCCTGGTGGCACCATTCCTTTCGCGGAGACACATGTTATGGAGCACGGTCTTTATGTCTTGGAGGGTAAGGCTGTGTATCGACTGAATCAGGACTGGGTCGAGGTCGAGGCTGGTGACTTTATGTGGCTGCGCGCGTTCTGCCCACAGGCTTGTTATGCTGGTGGCCCTGGAAAGTTCCGCTACCTGCTGTATAAGGATGTCAACCGTCACATGAAGTTGAAGCTCTCCCGATAAATGATTCATTGCACGATAAAAGCATGTTGCTCGTTGTCACTGTCATGCGAGACCAGACTTTGGGCAACCATGGGGTCGATTGGATATGAATAATGATGAGATGTTCGTACAGAGACAAATGAAAGGCCTATCAACTTCTGTGGATCAGTTGATCATCGGGTCAATTGTTTATGAAGCAAAATGATATAAAAAGGCCTTGGCTTCAAAGTTGCCCGAACTTGCAGCAGCTATTACACAAGGCGGGGACAGTTGATAGCCCTATACAGGGCTCCCGCAATATTTTCGATATGGAGCTTGAGTCTTGATAGATGCCCACATAGAGCATAGCAGTCAAATAAATTAAATAATCAAAGCTTATTATTTGACGCCTTCACCATGCATATTCCAAGTTATGTACTTTGGTTCAATGCCACCGCTCGCGTAAGCAATCTCGTGTGCACAGTAATCTAACCACTGTGGATGTAACGGATGATCCAAGTTTGGGAATACGAGTCCAGATGTCTGTTGGCCGGCACCCAGAATGGATGGAAATCTTCAAATGCTGCAGGCAACCGATGTGATCTATACGAACATTGAACTGCCTTAAGAAAGTACCTAAATTCTACTATCATGTAGGCATCCAAGCGTGAGATTGTTGATACGTTTGAAGACTTGTCAACTGTTGGAAATTATAGCTCATCGCATTAAACTGTGTTGGTTTTGTAGCGAGTTTTATTGGCACGTTCGAACTTGGGTATCTGGTGTGCATACGCATTGGGCACTGAGATCAAATCAAAGAAATAAGGAAAAGGCCACAAAGTAGGGATCAAAAGTTAGTCAAGAATTAACCTCATATCTCCGCACTTAAGCGCCCTTCTTCCGCCCCCACACACTCGGGCAAGATTCTCAACCCAAGCGACCGCCGCAGAAGCCATATGGATGCATCGCACTCAATCTATCAATTCCTTGATCATGGTTTCTGAAGGATGAGGTTCCATGCGGCTCGTATCCGGCGCATAGACCGGAGAGGTCATCCAGACTATGATAGCCCACAATCCTCTACAGAATCTCACGAACTATGATCCAATCACTCATGCGCCCGGCGCATTCTCCCAGGCATCCTTGTGATTGTTCCCTGCTTGAGGCTCACTACGCATATGCACTGGGTGCATGATTTGTTCATGGCCTGGGCTTTGGTCTCGAGGTATGAGGCTGATATGTAAGGCAATACATTTGTCACCTACTTCGCTTAGGAAATTCTTTCTTGCGGCTGAAGGTGTCCAAGAATCTGGTTTTTTAATATCATACAATGACGTGGTCAAATAGGATCCAGACACGGAGTTTCTCACGGACTTGGAGGCGTCTTGATGGATACGAGTAGATGAATGGAGTGCGCATGCAATCTGCAAATCGGATCCTGAGAGATATACAGCTTCTGACAGACCAATCAGAGCCTGCTAACCGCCGGGCAAGAGTACATGAGAGGTCTTCAAAGCGTTCTTGGGTGGAGTCCTTCTGCTTTCCGGAACTACAGAGAAACCTTGGAGCGATCCTGTATCAGAACTCAAGCAATCCGAGTCCACAGATGTGCAGGAGATGAATGTTTTTTTCAGGCTACATGTACATACTTTTCACATACATAGTATCATGGATGCTGCACATGTGGGATGTACTAGTAGAACTTGAGTATTGGCAGCATTTGAGCAGAAAGAGCCTCGATTTACATGGATTGCAACTGCAACTACCGAGACACTAAGGACTCCGCTCACTCCGTTTAATCAAAAATCCCCTGAATCCACGAGGCTCAAAATCCTGTTGTCCACATTCAAATTCGTCATGATATGAAAAGCCTTGTGAATATCAGCATAGACCATGGCCGATTGTTCTCCTTTGCATAGCTAGTGCATAGAGATGCATGCCGCTAGAAGCATTGAACCAGTAAATTGTCGAATGCATCCGCTGGAAAGGCCATGTTAAACATGTAGATGAATAGGATGGGGAAGGTCAGAAAGTCAAGTGCATCCTTTAAAAGCAGGGTTGAAGACCCGAAAATCGAGAGTCTTCAGCCGAGGTGCACTCTCATCCTATCATTAGGAGCTGGAGGGACCGCGATCCTGGCTAGTGGGAGTTTAGTGCGAGTTGGGACCAACATAATCATTCAAGGTGGATTCTTTGTTCCTGTGTTGGTGTGCTACGGCGTGCATAAGTGCCTTTAGATGGGTCTGTGGTTATGTTGTGGTTGGCGGGAAGAACGCCTCGGCGGCTACAGGGTCTTATTCTCCCTGACGATCTTTGTCGGTGATGATTGGTGTTATATGATCCACCACTTCAATAATTCATGATGATTGGCTTCAAGGAGGCTCAGAATTTACTGTTATTAACAACGGTTATGAGCTAGGATAAGAGGTTAATGAATACCTTTTGATCGTGATATGTCTGGTTGGTGCGGGGGTTTGGTAGTGGATTCCCCCTGCATCCTCGGTATATCAGGACGCTTTTCGCCTGTTTTCCTGGATATTCAGTCCATCATTGAAAGATAATTCTTTCAGTGTGACATCACTCGAGAACTTCATCAGTTTGATCCTTTTTAGTTTACAACATGGGTGTTCGTCCTCCTCGTCCAGCGGGCATCTATGTCCCCAACACTCCCACTTGCTCAACACGCGAGAGTATCTCCGGTCCCGTTTCCCCTGAATTGAATGTGGATTCAGATGCGGTTGTCCTTTCAACCCTCCCTCTCCTAGAGTACATCTCCTCCAAATTACAGCAACGAATGATGCATGTCACACTTCTCGTCGGCCGCGGCAAACCGGTCCCCACGGGCCAATCATCTGACCTAATGGTTATCCCCGTCAGCCATCTCGATCAAACTTCATACCGCGTTCTGGAACGGGCTATTGCAAAGGGGTCTAAGAAATATTCTCTCGGTCCGGACTGGAGCGATGCCCTCGGTCGCAGTCATTACGAGCGTCAAGCAAACGATTACCTTCTACAACAATCAATCTTACAAAATGAAGTTGTCTTCAGCCAAGAGGGTCTCACCTTACTCAATATGGACCGCATTTATACCTTCAAACGCCGACTATGCGTTCTATCCAACCGACCAAATCCCCGCCCAGAGGAGCCGGCTATGGTCTCGACAGTTCAACTTCTCGAGCGACTGATGGGCGATTTCCAAGGTCGCCCCTTTAGTAAAGCCTTTTTTCATCGTGTCTATGAGCAATTAGACGTTCGTGATGAGCTCTTGACCGCCGTCGCATCTGCGTACAACAACATGAAAAAGAAGGATGCAATCATACTGCCTGTCAGGGGCACCGCCGAAAGCACTAAAAATATACCAATTCGAACGATTCGAATCCGTCGTCCACCTCCAGTTACATCCGTTAAGAAGAAGTTCCAGACCAAGCGTGCACCAAAAACACCTTTGTCTGCATCGGATGTTACACCGATTACGCGAAACGAGTGGAATATCTTCAGTCAGGATCTTCGACATGTGCAACCTACTATCACGAAATGGACACCATCTCCAATTGTGTTTGTCGGGGCATGAGATTCAAGGGGATTTTTGTTAAAATTCTTTTCAACCCTTGACTCATTACCTCATCCTAATATACTGGTTTCTGTTAGAAGCTCTGAAACAAGACTTCGCGACCAGACTTATCGCTTCGGGCTTTGCCCAACTTTTGATCAAAATTATAACCGATCAACCCATTTACCTATCGCGTTGGCTGAAAATGCCAAAGCATGGGACATTCTCGTGCTGGATCAATAAGAATTTTCGGGATGGGATGCAATATGGGATTATTTTACTTCTTTCTTGTATAAATATTTATGAGGCACGACTTTCAATGAAAATAGCCCTGGGGGACACCGGTTGTTCATTCATATCATTCTAAATTTTCAACAAGCAGATTCCATAGCAACTTGAAGGTCGTGGAGTTCGCTACTGGTATCACATTGAGCCCTTGAGTATAGATTAGCTACCATGCTCATACGAACTCCTGGCTCGAAACACTGGCCCGAAACGATAAAATACCCAAGGGATAGGCGCCATCACCAGCGCCACAAAGCCCAGGAGACTTGAAGCCCAGCCCACACCCAGAGTCTCATACATTTGCGTCACGAATAGCGGGAAGGCAGCCGAAAGCATGTATCGTGAGAAAGACGATGCGCCGTTCGCCGATGCGCTATATTGTGCACCATACACATCGACCATATAAAAGCTGCATGGGACATAGATTAAGAAACTGCCTATAAACGCGACGGTCTGTGCGAGAATAGGACATATCCAATGAACGGATGATTTCGCACTCCATCCAAACCAGAACAGGGCTACCGGAAGTACGAGACTCCCATACAAAGCGGCAAGAAGTTTGTTTTCCGGTGGAAAAGACGATTGGCTCGTGGACTCAGACGAAAGCAGTGGAATTCGAGTCTGTTTTCTTGTTCGAACAACATAGTCCAATATGACCAGAATAAATGGTGCGAATATACACCCACCCACCATCCCGAGGAATGATAAACTTTGTCCACTCAATGAGAATCCATACACAGTCTTGAGGACCCACGGACTAGCGACAATAAATGTGTATAGCAGGGCAAACTGGAATCCCGTATACAGACATATAAAGCCCACCAATGGCTCCGTTATAAGCATATGAAATGGCCGGATAATAGTCGACGTGATAAAGATCTGCAAAGTTTGCAACACACTCTTGGTCTGCACTCCACCTAACTGATCGACATATCCTCCCTTCGGAGCCTTTCGCTGTAGGATCTTGGGTTTATATGATTCCCGTAGAAAAAGAACAAGAGGATGGAAAACAGCTGCGATCATGAGAACCACCCACGAGGTCCAGCGCCATCCTTTTCGCTCAACAGCGAACCCACCAACCAGAGGCCCAATCGCACTCCCAAGCCAGGGCATGGCATAATAACCAGCCAACGGAATAACGCGTTGATCAGGACTCGTGAAATCCGAGATCACGGCAGCAGCAACCGAAACACCTGGTGCGGCAAAGAGGCCTGCGAAGAAGCGGCAGATAATCAATGCAGCAATATTCTTCGAGAATCCAGCTGCAAGAAGGAAAAGGTCACACGGCGGTAATGTAATAAGGTAAACAACTTTACGACCAAATGTCTCGGACAATGGAGACGATATCATAGGCCCGAAGGCCAGACCAAGAGAGTATGCTGATAATGGGAGTAGAGCGACGGTCGCCGAGACTTGAAACTCTTGTTGGACCTTTGTGTGTCCTGGGGAGTAGATTGAGGCACCTAGAGTTGTTGTGAAACCAATTCCGCAAACTATTATCGCGGTGGTTATTTTGCGATGTCGTGGCCAATTATGCGGGTTGTCTTTGTCAGTGGCCCAGTTGCTGGTGGGCTCGCCTGTGGTTCCCATCGAGAGTTCATCGGGATTTGGGGTCGTCATGGTGATAAAGAATCATCTTAAGAAGTTGGAGGGGCTCGAAATATAGATTGTTAAAAGTGATGATCATTCGGTGGAAAATCATAGTCGCCGAGGTTTCGGCTTTACGCAGACAGTTGCCGATATTAAGCATAGCCGGACATCAGGAGGTTGTGAAAGTGTGCAACAATCCAAAGAGGGTTGAGATATTTTGTAACCAGCGCAGGTGAGTATTCCAGGTTGCTATAAGCCAAGGGGCAAAATAAATTTCGAACAAGCTGTGGATGTGGGTGATTATTCCAAGGTTGCCATGACTTAATGCCTAGTATATAATTACTAGTCCCAGGTACATACTAGTATTTCGGTCGATGTCTGATCAACTCCAGGGCTTGAATTCAATCAAGTTGTCTATAGTACCCATTCAACCGTCGATGACAATTGATCAAAAAATAATTCTTACTAAAATTTGAATTATCTCTCTTTAACCCAACCCTGACTATGCTCCATACTCAAAATACCATGCAAAGACGCCCCCGCAAATCCTTCTTCTGATAATGCTCATACATCTCATTGATCTGTTCAACCCCATAAGTCTTCTCAATATGAGTATTACATCTGTGCTTTTCATGCAGATTGATCATATCCTGACTTTGATCTGGTGTATAGATCAATCGCCCTTTCACAGTCTTTTCCTTAAACGACAACGCGAAGGGGTCGACTTCCAAAGGCCACTCTGAAGGCAATCCAACATCAACCAAGATACCCCCTTTCCGCAAGAACTGCCGCGAGAATTTGATCAAGTTTCGCACTTCTGTGTTGATGATGACACGATCGACACCAGTATTCGAGTCATAGAAAGAAGATTGCAGCTCCTTGATAACCTTCTTTTCCGTCTCGGGAGAATCAATAACAAAAGTCTTATCAGGTCACAGATGCGATGGGACCGACAAGGCAGTGTCGATTCCTTCTTTGCGATTATCGATTGCAATAACCTTCGCACCTAATACCTTAGCATACTGAACACCCAAGTGTCCAAGTCCACCGATCCCGGCCATAGCCAGCCACTGTCCCGCCTTGAGATCCGACGCCAGAATTGCCCCTTACACAGTCGCACCAGCACAGAACAAAGGTGCTGCCTCTTCGAAAGAGATATTTTCCGGGATTTTCGCGACAACCCGCGCGTCCGCCTTCATGTATTGGGCGAACCCGCCATTAATCGTCAACCCCAACATCCCGACCAGTTTCTCACAGAGCTGTTGCTTCTGCCTCTTGCATGGATCGCACTCTCCACAAAAAGCATATGTGTTGATTGAACCAACGCGGTCCCTGACCTTAATGCCGGAGTTGTGGGCGTCTGAGCCGGCTTTCACCACCTCACCTGCTGGCTCATGGGATCCAATCAGACCTGGCTTTGCGCCGGATGATTCGTAAACACCTTGCATCACTTGCAGGTCTGTATGATAGTATCCTGCTGCTCCAATCTTTATTAGTATATCATTTGGGCTGAGGTCGGTGGGAACATCGACGTCGCGGACTTCATAGCCTTGGTTGAAGTCTTTAACCACGGCCACCCGCATGGTACGGGCAATCTGGTCTGTTATGATGGCTATTGTAATTCTTAGAAATTGAATGGACAGGAAGCATTTTGAGGACCTTGCTAACTGTGATCTAATATATATATATATATATATATATATATATATATATAGATATAGTGGTGCAAAATGAAATCAATGAGTGCCAACGCCACTTGTATCGCATCATGATCTTGTTTCCTAGGCTTGGATCAACCCCACGATGATTCATGGACCATGACTGAACCAGTCTCCATTTGCTATTCCTGCTGCAATCCAACCAGATTCAAGTTTGCGTGGGCAGGAATTTGATGAATTCAGCGTTGTATATCTGCTTTCTCCAAATTGTGACGCCATAATTCGGTAAGAACACTGGTCTGATTCATGGAATCGTATCTACTCGACTATAGCGATTATTTTGAAAATTCATTATCAAGAGCTTAGTTGATCTAAATTTTGAGCGATCTGGATGTTCGGATTTCAAATATACTGAGCTCGGGAGTATTGATGGGCAACCAATACCGTGACTTCCGCCAGCTTAAAGTGGTCTTCAAGTTGTGGCGATCACCCAAACTCCACGATCGCAGGGCGATTTGAACCATGTCAGAAAGTTCAATTTTTTAAAGGTTAATTAATTGATAGGTTGAGTGATTTGTTTTCCCCGCACATCTAATGGGTTAAAAATGGCTCGAATCTGGGGCTTTCCAAAAGTCCCCTCTTCCATCGAACCCCTCATATCAGGATACTGAGCACCTGAGAGTACTTTCAGGTTCATGACTCACTTTTGTCATTCTAACTGGATCCCACTTCGAGTCATCTGGAGACTATGCCAGGACCACTTTGCGTTCACCAGTCAAGATGCTCGGTCGCGTCTCATGCATGGCAAATGAAGTCATAGCTCGCCACATAGAATATTTATATACAGGATTGTCAACGTCCAGCTTGAACTTGGAAGTTATTCTCTCAATTATTCTACAACCTACGAAGCATACGAATTTACGATCTTTTGACTTTATCACACGAGATACCTTTATCGGACAGCCAACGATATCTGATTTCCAAAAGATACCACAATGCCTGAGTCCTACACCAGCTCTTCATACTACTACAGTTCGTCAACGAATACGAATGAAGGCACATCCACCACCGGGCACCGGTATTCAGCAACCTCCCACACAGATCCCGAGGGAACGACCACTGTTCGGACAGCCCATCAAGACCTGGGACAACCTCCTGTCATTGAAGAGCGACGATATGATCGTACCGGCGAGGAGCAGCTAGAATTGCGGGCACCTGGGGGTACATCAGCTGGAGGAGTGAAGCGGATTACGGAGCTTGACTCGGATGATTCGAATTCATAGGAAGCTAGGAGAGATTTCAATGTTGGTGATGAGCTATGTGACAATGTTTAATGATGACGATGTTATGGGGTTGAGATTTTAGTCTATCAAAACAGAAAATCTGGAAATAAAGTGAATAATAGCAATATTTGAACATTGGTTCAATACTAGAAAATGCATCGCATTAATGGCATCATCAATCGTACATTTGAAGTTGTCAGTGCTACTACTCATACCTCCCAAGTCTTCAAATATTGGAGATGGATCTTTCAACGAATTTTAAAACCGTAGTCTTCATCAATGGATAGTTGTATCGCCTCTGTATTCTTTTCTCCATAATTGCTACCTACCTAGGTATATTCATATGTATATGTAATAAATGATAGGGTTGCAGAATATCCTGAATGGACTAATGCCAACATGATCAAATAGTTAGTTAGTTAGGTTCCAGATGGATGCCTTAAAGAGTGCCTTGATGCCTGAGGTGGCAAATGTTCTGACAGACTACAATGTCTAATGCAGTAGGCGGTCGCCAATGGGATGTATCAACAGGTCTGGTTTTCTCATTCTGATAATTACGCACATAAATTCTGCCTGGAGATCACCTGATCGGTCATGTGATCCATTCTTGTTCGACCAATCAGAGCTCTCCATTCAATAGTGGTTTGAACTAACCCAATTGGGCTAGTTCTGCACCCGTGTTCTGTCATGTTCTGGAATTTCCTTAATCATCCAAATTCCTGCCTCAGGCTTCCACATAGTACTTTTGAAGTGACGTTGCCCGTCCTTGCTCAGGGTGTGGGGATTGGCCCCTTTCACCGTAAGCCTGTTTTAGCGTAGGCCAAGCGAATTGCGACTTAAATCTCGCTTAGCTGTCCGACTCCGGAATGTCAACGAAAATGCACTCAAAACCCACCCAATCCACCCACTCCCGGTTCATTCTCTAGCACCCACGCTAGTCATTATTAAATGCCACCCAAATCGCTCACACCCAGTCTATCCCGCCTTGATGCGCATCATGTAGACGTGGAGGCCCGTTCCCATGGCCCGATATATAAGCTCCTAGCTCATCTAAAATCAACCTAGACCATTTATTCTCCCTACTTTCCTTTCTTTTTCCCATATTTCCCCCTCTTTTGTTACTACTCTGACCCGAATAATCTCCGCTGAGCCCCCCCTCTAAACTGTCACCACTTACATCCTATATCGGACCCCCAATGCGGCCCAGAACCGGGTCTTTGGCTGATCTTTGACCCCGGTGCCCCCAATCTCTGCTGATGAATAACCAAAGGTCTCAGTTCAAGCTTAGAAATGCATTTCGGTCAACGATTACGTGCTCGGACGGTTATTCCACCGGACCAATGGTCCTGGATGGTTAATTAAAAATTTCTTGAACTGAAATTGGCATTTAGGAATAACTCAGTCACACGCTTGAATTCATATCTTTTTCTTTCCTTCTCTACTACTCAGACCATTTGAATCATCTGCAAGATCTTTTATTTTAACCTTTTTACCTTTCCACGGACAGAATACCGATCAACTGAAAGGTATAGACTTCTCCGTACGTCTCCGTTGACATCCGGGGGATTAACCTTTCGGAGGAAAAAGGGTCTGTTGGATCAACGCCACCCACTTTTTCACTGGACCTTGTGCCTGGTTCTGAAAACAGTCTTCTCTTACTCTTCTGCTTCCTCTTCATAACATCAACAAACAGAAGAGGAATCATCCAGACATCACTCCCTGTTGTATGACCTGGACCTCTCATCTCCAACCGGGGATCTACGGGCTGAAATCCGAATGGAGTGACGCTTCTTGGATTCTGCTCTAACAGACACGTGCTTCCATTCCCAACGCGTCACCTGGGCAGCTCGTCCTCTCTTGTAACCTCAACATGCTTCCTCCCGTACCATCTCCCGAGGACTACGGCATCTCCCTGAAAAACGGATTCCTTTCCCCAGAGCCACCTCTTGAAGCCTTACCAAACCCTTACTACGCAAGATGGGAGGCGATTGCCGCTAGGCTTCAACCACTGTTACTGAGTAAACGCGTTCGTCCCATTTTAAACCAGTTGCCGGTACTGTCAACTTCGTACCTGCAGACAGATGCCGAGTGGCGCCGGGCATATGTGGTTCTCGTATTCATGCTGCATGGCTACGTATGGGGTGGTGACCGTCCCGCTGAGGTATGAGACCACTATCCTTTACTCTGAACACATGAGATGGTTATTAACAGACCACTTTATAGAAAATTCCCCCTCAGTTGACTATCCCATTGTTTGAAGTCTGCGAACACCTTGAAGTCCCCCCAGTCGCTACATACGCTGGCGTATGTCTCTGGAACTACAAGCCCATCTTCCCAGATGAGCCCACAGACGACCTTGATAACCTTGCCTGTCTGCAAACCTTCACCGGATCTCTCGATGAGCAATGGTTCTACCTTGTGTCAGTAGCCATTGAAGCCCGGGGAGCCCCCCTCAATCCCTCTCATGCTGGAAGCCATAGCCGCTGCACGCACCGGCGATGCCCGTACCGTAACTAGCCGTCTGCAACAGCTAGCCGAAACTCTTGACGAGATCAACGCCCTACTTCACCGCATGTACGAAAACTGTGACCCTTACATCTTTTACCACCGCATCCGGCCCTACCTCGCCGGCAGTAAGAACATGGCTGATGCCGGACTACCTCGAGGCCTGCTGTACGATGATGGCCACAACGTCTCAGAGTACAGACAATATGGCGGCGGCAGTAACGCGCAGAGTTCATTGATTCAATTCTTCGATGTTGTCCTTGGTATCGAGCACCGTCCAACGGGTGTATCTCGAAAGGACCAAGAAAGCACACCTTACTCCAGTCCCAAGGCTCGAAACAGCTTTATTCACGAAATGCGCGCCTACATGCCTGGCCCACATCGGCGTTTCCTCGAGCACGTCGATTCAATCGCTAATATCCGCTCATTCGTCGAAGCCCGTCGCTCTGATGGAGCCTTGTGTCTCGCATACGATGCATGTCTCGCCATGCTACGTGCCATGCGTGATACCCATATCCAAATCGTTTCCCGATACATTATTGTGCAGGCACGTGGAGCTCGTCAGTCACCATCCGTTATCCCTGCCAGTGTTCAGCAGCCCGCTGCTCAGAACTTGGCAACTGCTGTTCCACCGGACAGTAAGAAGCTCCGTGGAACGGGTGGCACGGCACTTATTCCGTTCTTGAAGCAGGCTCGAGATGAGACGGGTGAACCCGCTATCGACGTTTGGGCTCGTCGGATTCTTAGCAACGGTCCCGCAGCTGCGGGATCTGCACCGCTGAGCAAAGTGGGCGAGCACCCGGATGGCCATTTGGAGGTGGTTGGGCTCTGTGGAACCTGGACGGCGGATGATAGTGAAGGTGGAATCTGCCACTGGTGATGATTTTATGATCTCCTGGAATATTTGTATTATTTCAAGTTTTGAGCGTTTCTGCATCGGGATTTATATGTCTACCCTTGCAAGTCAGGGATCTGTGGACCTTTGCGGCGTTTTGGCGAACTGTCTAGACTATTTTCTGTCTATCACTCATTGTCATCAGCAATACCATGAATGTAAAGTTGATTCATTGATTCACGCCTTAATTATTCGGTGATAGCATCTTGATGCATTCTAGGTATATTTATTGGAGATAACCTTGGAATCTTGAAATAGTTCTTCCTAATTACCTACCGGGGTAGGTACACGGGTAGTGATTAGGGCTTAATCATAGTAGTCGACCTTCCAACCTTCCAAGGGTGTTTCGGATCCTCATACCCAGCTTCCCATCATACGTTGTTCTCGTCGCTTCTGCGATCCTTCTCCCGGTTCGGGCGAAGATGGAAGCCCATCCATTTCTCGAACCCAAACGTTGTCCGGATACCCCAGTCGGATAAAGTTGAAGAAGCTGGACGACACTATATTGTCCCGCAGTTCTACCCAACCCGGATCGGAGAAGTCATCAAGGAGTGACATCAAGTTGTCGGTAAAATGGGATTTGGGTCTATATCAACTCTGCGGCTTGCTCGGAACATGCTGCCATGAGATTCCAGAGGGAATTTCAAAAGTACCTCATCAAATATACTCATACAGGAATATCACAGTGAAAGGCGTTGTGTTATGCTCAGAATTTTCATTCAAACTTCAAACGTTCGTGTCCTATGGGCCAAGAAGGGCAAAACGAGCTCAACATGGCCAAATACATGGAGCAGTCCCCAGCGACGCATCCTGGCCACGATTTTATTAGAATGGTACTTGATACTACATTGATGGACCAAAGAACAACTTGGAGCATCGATGTCTTGTGCAAATTCCGTTATGGGAAAGTGTAGTGGGCACCTTATATCGAAACCCAATACATAGGGAGACTCCCTTCACCGGTCATCGCAGGCCTCCTTTAATCCTATCTCTAGCATTGGACTTTCTTCGTACCAAGTGCCATATTATACACACTGGTTTGTGACCCTTATCCCATTCATCTCGACCAAAATATAATTTCCTTGCTCATTCAAGTTCTCCATCAGATATCAAAGCCTAGAATATAATGTTTGGATTCAAACTTGAAGATGATTCAATCTTTACATCCTTTGAAGAATACGAACTTCAACACCCTGTTCCGAGGAAGGAAGTTGACACAGATGGAAGAATGATCTATACTAGTATGTCACAGGAACTCAAGGCACCCAGGAAAATCAGCGAAGTAATCCTGGGCAGCTTGATCAGTGGCACACGACGTTCATTCAACCTCAGGCTCAAATATACCGAGCACCAGACGGTAGTGATTTTGGATGTTCCATGGACGTTTAGCGTCGATATTTGGAATGTGGGCTGTATGGTAAGCATAAAAACGAGAATATTATCCAATCCTCACCGACAACGATCTTATAGATTTGGGCCATCTACGAGAGCGAATCATTGTTTTCTGGTAAAGACGCCGAATTTGAACAATACCGGAGCCAAGCTCATCTTGCGGAGATGATAAACCTTCTCGGCCCACCACCTAGCCTTCTTGCCCAAGGGGAGCTAAGAGACAAGTTCTTTCCGAGCGAAGGCAAGTTCTTTATGATACATGCAGAATTTTAGCATTCAACGCCGCTAACTAGATTACTCCAGACGATTTTCCGAACCCGGATTTATTAACTGGCCTAGGGCCGCTTGAACAAAGAGAGGCCACCCTCGAGGGGAAAGCAGAAAGAGAAGCTTTTCTACGTTTGATGCGCAAAATGCTACAATGGAAGCCGGAAAACGTAGCTCAGCCAAGGAGTTATCTGAAGATGAATGGATACTCAGCTACTACTAGCCCTGGAGGTATAGTATGTAACGTGCCATAGTGGGTCCAATAAACATTCAAGTTGCTCAACTTGAAGAAGCCGAATTGAAGTCGAAAATCTAACATCGTGATCAGTGATAATAATTGACTTCCAAAACACTCAAGTGCCGACTTCTAGTCCATCATCAATGGTTCCTGGCATGATCATCTGTACGATTTCATCATTAGCATCCAGATGTCCAGTCACAGACTTCGTTCTTTGCACAATTGAAATGACTGGCTCCACTGTAGATAGTAGGATATTCCCTGGCCCGTTCCTTCATCTCAATGACGCATTATGTTCTATTAAAATAGAATACATTGTCGTCGTGGCTGTTACTAAGCCACAAACTTGAAATCTTATCACGTGAATGACATCAGTGGGTGACGTCATACATCTTGAGATTTGTTTGAGTTACGTAGTGGCTTTTGTTTGCCTTGAGATAGTAGTTTGTTGGTGGTTTGCAATTGTTTATAAAGAGTCCTCAAGAGTAGCGTCTTTCACTTTTGGAAAATCAAGCCTTATCAATTCTACAAGAATACCAAACCTGACACAACTTCACATCCTCCACAACTTCCACTATCAAAACTCCATACATTCCATCAACAATCAACATGTCTGACGGCAACTCTTCCACTCTTGGTTCCTACATCAACCAGGCTACTGGTGCCGCCCAGCACGCCATGGGTTCTCTCACCGGTGACTCCTCCACCCAGGTAAGTCTATTCCAAGGTTACTTTCCAAGCATACAAAAAGAGGACACTACTGACAGACCCCAGAACAAGGGCGAAGCCGCTCAAGAGCAAGCCAAGGTTCAAGACGAGAACTCCCACGAAACCGCCAAGCTGGGTCCCATCTCGGCTGACCCCAACACCGGCGCCACTGCCACCGACAACACCCAACGCTCCACTGGATCCTGGGACCAGACCGTCGGCTCTGCTAAGGAGTCTCTGGGCAACGTGATCGGCAACGAGAGTATCCGACAGGCTGGCATTCAGCAGAACGCTGCCGGTAAGGAGCAGGAGGCTCGTGGACAGCTCCAGGACTTCGGCGAGGGTCTTCAAAACCGTGCTCAGGGCACTATTGGTGGTATCGCCGCTGCTGTTACTGGAGACCGTGAGAAGGAGCAGAAGTTCCAGGATATGCATGATGAGGGAAAGGTGCGCCAGCGTGGTGCTGAGGCTGATATTGCTAAGCGACAGGGTGCTTAAGCGTTTTCATGCTTTATGAATCGCTCCCTTGGTGCTTTCTCTTTGAGATCGTTAGGACCATGTGTTGAACTTTGCGTTTACGATTGAATGATTTTGAGATATCCAATTTGAGACTTGAATTACTCTTTTGATCTATTGGAACTTGGACTTCCCACCCATAATAGTAAGCCTCAGCAATGTGTTGCTTGAGTAGTGATCGTGTAGATTGTAGCAGAGACTAGTGGAACGTGTTTTCTAAGTGAAGCATATACTTCCTTCAATGCAAGGTGATCTGATCGACGGTCGATCAGACAAAATTGGTGTAAATGCATCGTATTGACAGCTCAATTATCGATCCTTATTTCGAGGAGCAGCCGATATGGCCATTCCATCGGCGAAAAACCACTAGTTCAAGTTCTGAATCTGGTACATTCACTTCCGTTAAGTATCGTGATGGCACTTGACATCTAGAATCCGCTAGTGCTCAGGTTAGCATCATGAGGATAACCATTTGCTAGGTCAAAGATTTCAAAATGCACTCCTGAAAAACCAAATATAACTATAACAGAAACCTAAGATATTGCTGCTTCAATGTTATTGTTGATTTTCCCCTCTAGTACATAAGCGGTGATGTTACGTGGGATATTGCCTCTCGGCCATCGCCGACTCTGGACATGGTCTCGAGGCATGATAATCCCTTCGCGGGCACGGATTTATGATACTGCTCTCCAAGAAGCAAGATTTTGAGTATCCGGTCCAAGATTGATTTCGTATGCTATCGTTAATTACAAAACAAGGTATATTCCACATGCGTCAATTCAGTTATAGAGAGCCAAGAAGGGATCCAAGAAGTTTCGAAACCTCCTCGATCAACTAGATTGAGTCAGTTGACTGCAGAGAGATATCCGGAGACAGCATATTGTAAATGAAATAGGGGACGTACTGGTGTAGCATCTGAGATCAGAGTTGTTGTGTTATCCACAAAGTCCGTCGTCAACAGATCGCCCGCGTTGGTCAAGACCGTCTGTAGTATGTTGACATTCTCGTTGGAGAGGACCTTAGCGGCATTTGTGATGATGGTTTGCAGGTCATTGATATTGTCATCGGTCAATAAGCTCTCCAGATCCGCAATAGCAGTGAGTAGGCCGGAGGTAGTAGTTGGCGCGGGAGCAGCCACAGGGTTGGGTTCTGGGGCAGCAACGGCTAGAGCCAAAGGAGCTGAAGCGATGAGAGGTAGGAGGAAGTTAGAGAACCGCATTGTGATGGACTGATAGAGATGGAGGATTTGGAGGAAGAGGTATCTGGAGAATGACGATGCTACGAAATAAATGGAGGTGAGAAACTATTAATTCAAAAGATTCAAGACAATAAACAAGATGGAAAAAGCCTACAAGACTAAATCTCTCCACAATGGGCTGGGCATGTACTGTATACTCCGACGTGGATACTTTCCCCCCACTCGTCTAGACCAGTGCAATTGTCTTCGCTAACGAGCACGTCCAAAAAACGAAGGATAATTCCCCGAGGCTTTGAATTAGCCAATGTCCATCTTTTGACTCGTCACAGCCAGACAAAGTGGCAGGCCTGAGCCAGATTGGCGGCGGATCTCGCCGAGGTCGATCGCTCAAGAAGGCCGGGAATAAATGAACAACTGTTCTCATGTGAGAGCGTCTTGGTCGAAATCCATTGAGATGCTTCCAAGGTTCGGAATCTGAATACCAGGACTATGACCGCTTGAGAAGGTACACTCAGACTTCTCCAGCTCATTTCCACTAGCTCAGCAAGTTACATCCCCGCATCCAAAGTCTCACCCCGGACGACCTGATTTAGGTAGTGATCATCATTTGACGATCAGACCCCCTTTTATGGTTGGTTATGAGAAGGTCAAAATGGGTCATGTCGTGTGGAAACTAGAGAGTTTTAGCGGTCTCTAGTGTTCGTTAGTCTTATTCGGTATGCCCCATGTGATCTCCACCTACGGAGCACGAGTTGGCTTGAGAAGGGATCGGCACGAGCTGGTAAGTTACACGAGAATTCAAAGGACTTTGAGCTGATATGCAAATCTTGATAGATTAATCTATGCATGTCCAATACTCTTCAGTATGTCTTACATGCCCGGACTACATACGACTATGTGGTTAATGTGGGTTTTCCATGCCGAGGAACCGATAAACTTGCAGGTGGACTTGCACCCGAAGTGGATTGCGCCACCTGTGGTTCACTGTGCCTTGTCCCTGGAACCAGGAACAGCCAAAATTATAGAGAAATACACATCAAACATACAAAGCGAAAAAAAAGTTGTTCTAATAAGCCTCGTCACCCCGTTGATCTTTTTTTCCGGCAAAGAAGTCATTGGCGACTCTAGTTCCGGATCAACGTGGCAAGGTCTATCTCCTATCAGGTCAAGATTAAAAAGAATTCCAGATTTTCAGACTGATGGAGGGAAAAAATACAAAAAAAACTACGAACCCCACTGTGATCCAGGTGCATCACGCTGCTGCAGGACCGGCGCCCTTTTCCCAAAGCATCATAGCTTCTAATCCCCGCTTTGGTGCAGCTTGCATGGCACCCTTCAGCCCCACACTCTTTAATGTACTGAGTACTCCGTACACAGTCTGGAGTAACTTGAAGTGGGACGTTCAATCTAATAAACTTGAGAGCTGTATACTATCTACACATTCATCAACAAATTTCAAGTTTAGGACTCGATATTTCGATCCGGTATTTAGTAGGCTAGGACGAATAGTACAAGCACCACTGCGCGCTCAGTTCCAATGAACCCAGCTCAATCCCTGCATAACGGATCCAAATACCTTGTGCAGTCGACCGAAGTACTGTGTACATCAATTTCATCCTCATAACACTAAAGCCAATCCCAAAATCCCCAACGCACTAATCATCGACGCCGTAACAACTGTAGGCTGCGCGGCCATCGCGCTAGACGAAGAGATTGACCCAGCCGAAGCCGTACCGGTAGCCGTGGCTGTTGCACCCGCAGTACTGGCGGCCTGAGTAGCCGTCAAGGCGCCATCAGAGATCTGAGCTCGCACAACAGCTACGTATTGCTTCACATCGGCAGGAAGACTGGAGTACCAAGCTGGAGTACTACCGTTGCTGAATTGACTAGCCATAGAACTGCGAGATGAGGCATCGAAGAGATCCATGAAAACCGTTAGTGGAACGACGGACATGACTTCGGGGACAAGTAGTTTCGGCGCGGGGGAGATATTGGCGAAGTTCGCTGTTGTTCCATTTGCAATACTGACTCTGTGATATTGTGAGTTTGAGTATTCCTATATGGATTTCATATGGATGTAGAATTTAAAACTTGAGGGGACGAACAGAGCATTGGAGAAAGCGGCAAAGTTGAAACCACTCGCTGTTGTTGTTGTTGTTGTGACATCTCGTTTCTCGGGCTCGGGTTCAGCGAAGACTGTTGTTAGGAGAAGAAGGAGTGAATTTTGAGGCTTCATTTTTATTATGATTGAGGACGTTCTTTCGAATTCTCGAATACAAAGATTAGGGATTTCAACATGGGGTCAAAAGCTTTTATCTAAAAGAACGCCTCTTATGTACAGGATTTACTTTATGCAAAGCATTCCATCAAGCAATGGTAAGGTACTTCTCTTGATGACCCGGAGTGGCCTTTGCCTGTGGCTTACCGAGCCCGGTTTCTCCCAAGGTGGTTGGTTTGTATTGGGTCCCAGGTCTATGCATGAGGGCTAGACACTGGGAGGTGGGGGAGGGGCCAGGGCGAATCAACAACACATGTTGCCATGTCAGATCAGAGCGAAGGATTTGAAAAGTCAACTTGTACTCGGAATTATGCGTGGCGTCGTGACATGTCAATAATTTTTGGAATTCAAAACAACCAACATTTTCGGAGGGGAGGATGATGCTTTTCTGGTGATTCTGCACGGATCATGCTTCAACTTGCCTACTTCAAAGGGCCCTTATAGCGAGTCACGAAAATGAATCGACGTCGAAGAGTGGTATGTAATGAAAAACGAATTTCATTTTGTAATTCAGTGCGCTTCAAAGACCAAGAGATCACGTTACAAGCATCAATATCGTCGCACCGAGCGTATCTCATAGACCGGGTATATACAGTAAAGGCAGAAAAGAGACCAAAAGACTTATACAAGACAGAACCAACAGAAAACCTTCCTTTGAATTAAACGACGTTCAACTTCTCCTTCAGACGATCTTGGTAGTATCGTAGTGGGTAAGAACGGAACTTAGTTGGCATAGCCGGATACACAGCAACCGAAAAGCCCATCCAAGTGCGATACAGCGCCCGAGTGCCCGTGGTTGAGCGAAGACCATAGGCATCTCGGATCTTAGGCGGCAACATCTCAATAGTGACGACTCGCAAGAAAGGCTTGATACGCTGCACCCACTTCGGCATATTGGTACTCTCACGAAGTTCCTTCGCAAAACTGGCTGCCTCTGGCGAGACATCCAGATGACCGATCTGCTCATCCCAGTAGGACCAGAAAGCAGTTCGGGATGTAGGCCATACACCCTCTGGCATACCAAGACAGCTGACCAGCATGGAGAACTCGACATATCCGCGCTGAGCAGTATCATAGTCGACGCGGCCATAGACACGCTGGTAGAAATCCGTTGCAGTAGCATACAAGGTTGCGGCCATCCAGCAAGCGAGAGGCGGGTTGTGTGTGAATCGACTGTCTTGTGATTTTAACAAGCTCAGAACCACCTTGCGCTCTTCATTTGTGCCAAACACTAGGATAGATATCTGGCTGATGTGTTCTTGGAGGAAGTCGAGGAGCTCGGTGGCGAGGCCCTTGGATGTTTCCTTTTCATTGGCGCGGATTCCTGGCATAGCTGCTTGAAGGAGAAGTGCAGCGCCAGATCCTGCGAAGAGAATACCCTCTTGCAAAATCTGGGGGAGGATCTCTAGTTGCTCAAGAGCATGAAGACGACCGGCGTCTGTGTTGGCGGTATCCTGGATTTCTGGGAGAGCTACGGGCTTCTCGTCTTCAGGAGATAAAGGGGATGGTGGAGATGAGGAGTGAGACATGGTAGTAATTTTGGTCTGTTATAGTCTCGTTTTTTTTGTGTGTGTATAGAAGTTGATATGAAGTGATGTTGTGCTCACAGTGTCCGTCTAGGCAATCTTCTCAAAATTCAAGACTCAACCCAGCTGTTAAATGAGAATCGTCACCATCATATCCCCGCAAAAAGAAATAAAAAAACCCCCAGAAAAAAAACCTTGGAACAAGGGAACTGCAAATCACAAATCACGACTCAAGACTCAGCTTTAGGAAAGTCATTCTCCACTGGGGGTCCGTGTACTATTGGGATCCGCTTCGGCCCATGTGAACTTCCCCCCTATTTTGACGCTACGGAGTAAGCCGCGGTTCATAGCAGATCACCATCTCCCCCGTCGATCCTTGCTGATTCTAGTCCTGATAACTCGTGAATCCTATCCGGGACAGGGAAGCGTGCTCCGAAGCACCATGACTCTCCACTTTAATTTCTCATGAATGGTTCCACCCTTCTTAGCAAGATGGGTCCCAAGTCCGAACATTGGAAAGTCCGGGGCGTCTCCATACCAGAAGAAATGGGAAATGGGCTTATTTCGCTTGTTCGCCATAGGTTATGTGACCCTGAGGCGATCCCCGGGATTCTTTCTTCCCCCGGTGGTGCCGTCACGATACATATAGGCGATCGCCGTCCCTGCTCTGTGTTTAACTCCGTGTTCCCTGAGGAGAGAGAGCGAGCTGCGACAAGGAAAATCTTGGAAACACACTCAATTCCTTTCGGTTGTCACAATGGGAAAGAATACTGACGACCGACCTGCTTACCTGAGCTCCGAAGATGCTAAATTCTCACTCGGTGTTCATCGTGGCCCGTTGGTCCCCGCGGGGATTGAGGATGGTTCCAAGTTAGAGAAGGTCGGGACAGCGGGTGGTTTATCACTGGCGACTACACAGACAAGAAAGCAGAGATTGGCGCGCCATTGGAAGCGATTTTGGTTTTGCTATTGCATTGGCAATGTTATTTTCCTGGCAATCTTCCTACCAGTCTTGTAAGTTTGCGCCAGCAATTGGCTCCGTTATACCTTGACGCGACCAAATTGAACCAATTGACGCTCAAACTAACACATACCTCCTTAAAACAGCTTCTTGGTCGCAATTCCCGCTATTTCGCAGCTTGTTGTTAACAAATCAAGCTTAGTACTTGTCAGCGCGGCTGTGATGCAGCCAAGACCCGACACTATGCAGCTTTCACTACACTCGGCGCTGGATTTAAAAATCGCCTTGCCGGTTCGCATTAGTCCTGTCACTTTGGATCTGTTCATTCGCGACGATGGCGCAGATAATGCTTGGGCCCAGGGAAATCTTACTGGCATGACAATTAGAGGAAACACTACTCTGGGCATCACTGATCAGTATACACCAATCATGAACTCCACCACTTGGACTGAGTATGTCCGTCAAACGGTCAACCAGAAGGACAACACGCTTTCACTGAAGGGAACCACCGACTCGTTCTTGGGGGTGTTGAAGTCAAAGGTTACTATGAACAAAGACGTCACTTCACCGGGTAAGCTGATATTTCTCTTCGCAATGTCCGAATTATGTTTCAAGTTCCTGCAAGCTAACTGTAAATTTAGCCCTGGACGGATTCAATGGCTTCAGTCTCAGTGATGTCTCGCTTGTTCCCACTCGCGATGACGGCACAAACATGGTTGGCAATGTGACACTTCCTAACCCTTCAGTTCTTACGCTTGAGATTGGTACTCTGTTTCTTGACGTGAAGAGTGGCGACTTGGTCATTGGAAATGCGACCGTTCCAAACGTGACCCTCAAACCCGGTAACCACGTCAATTCGCTTACTGGTACTCTCGATATCGGCACTATTCTCAAGAACATTGGCACTGTACTGAGCGATCAATCCGCATCACTCAAAAACGGTACACTTAGCCTCACCTCGGTGACTCGTACTGTGACATGGAACGGTACTCAGGTGCCATACTATACGACCGTGATGTCCGAACTGCCTCTCACAGCTGATGTGGGACTCCTCAACCTCTTGAAAAACACTATTAAGAGTTATCTCGGCACCGGCAACCTGACTGACCTAATCGCCGAGCTGAAGAACGATACCTCCAGCGAAACAGCCAGCGATCTTCTCGCTGATCTCAAACAAGGTCTCAAAGATCTTGAAGATGACGGTGATCTCGCAACCCGGGATACTCACCCTATCTCGGGAGCCTCCAGACTCCTTTCCAGAGCCCTCAAGCGGAACCCGCATGTCCGCGATGTATTCCAGCACGAAGCCCCGGCCAAGCGAGACGCGATGATAGACACGCTAGCTGGGTGGTACATTGATCAACATTAGAGAGTTTAGAATATACACTCTAGAATGGTAAAAAGCTTAGACTAGAGCTTGTCTTTGATTCTGTTCGATCTTACAAGGCGTTTTTGTTTTTAGACAATGCCCGCCCACGTCCAGTGACGTTGATGCTGACATGATCGTGCCCTATGCTTTGATTTGATGTTTTCCTTTATTCTCTTTCTTTGCCCTTTCCCTTTGATTTTGATTCCCCTTGGTGGCTAACTTTTATGGATTATGGAGTTATGACGGCTTATCCTCTGCTGCCAATGTACATCGGCCTATGTGGCCAATGCAGAACATAATAATGAAATTTGGAATTACGGATAGTTCAAGGATCTTCTCATAAATTGACTCTAACTCATTATCGGTGCACCCAAGTAGTTGAACTAACGGACTCCGATATTTTGCCGATGATTGCTTCAATGTGGGTATCGGACTTTATTCGTTCGTTTATACCGAGCATCAACGAGAAAGGATGGGCACCTTCATTGATGCCCAGGTGAGCAATGCACATGCATGCACAGGTAACTCTGGAACGGATCCACTGCTAGTAACAAATACCCCTGAATTAGAGCCTTAATAGAAGTCTACGGAATGCCTGCAAAACTCAATGTACCCCAGATTCATGTGAAAATCCCCACCTCGTAATGCATCACTGGCAGCCGCGCGATGCAAGGCATAGCTTCTATTCTAAGATAGGTACCGTGTTTGCTTCTATTCACTAACTTGGTTCATTCAAAGAATGACGCTTACTATTCGCAAGTCATATCTTGGAGCATTTTTAGAATGCCTGACTCACTATTACATTTCAAGAAGCATCTACATCTTTCTCAAACTTCATTGTTACTCTAAAAAAGTAAAGCTTACAAGTTACTAGAAGTGAAACAAATGAACGAGCTCAAAAATCCAAACTGCGTTCGAACTAACTATTGACTTTCTGGTGGACTCTGTAATAGAAAGGCCGAATCACCATCCCCACAGCCATTACTGGCCGGGAAATAAGTGACGAGGTCAAGCCAGAAGAAGTAAGACTTCGGCCTCTCACATACCATCTCACCCTTGCGGGCTCGAACTTCACTAGCGTTTACCAGTCGACTTGAATGGTGAACTTAACCGCATGGGGACGCGTCAACCCCGAAGGGGAAGCATCAACCGCATACGGTTAAATTCACCAACATACCCGGAGGTATGGCTCAACCGGTATGCCAAGTGAACGAATCCACCAGAAAAAGAAACAACAATCAATCATCCCCGCACCCCCAATCTCCCTTCCAGGCCCCTTGTATTGGCGGCCTCCACCCTCACACCCCGAACCACGGTCAATAATGGCCGTGATCCGGGTACCCACTGTGAGGGGACTGCATCCCATAAGCTGATGGTCCAGGGGGCACTGGACCCGGGTACCCTTGAGGAACCCACACAGGCCCTTGATAGGCCTGTTGGTAGTATGGTGGGGGCTGCCAGCCATACTGGGTTGCCGGAGGCACCACGGCACCCTCCTCCTCACCCGGGGGTCTTATTCCCAGGCGAGTGTTCTCGGCCATGATAAACTTTTCAATGGTCGAGTTCAGCACACCCTTAGTCGACGTGGTCTCCTCAATGTTGAGGGTGCTGAGCCACGCCGACGTTTCAGGGTGTGCTGATATTGCGGTGATCAGCTGAAAGAAGGGGAACATGTAAGACATGTTGGAGGGCCCCCAGTTTCTCATCAGATCATCAAGTGCATTCCGCCACTTGAGAATGAACTCTTCCGGGCTCACCGTGTCCCCGTACACGATGCTGACGAACTTCCGGTACTTTGCATACCCGGTGTGGTAGTTCGTGTTTTGGAAGGTTTGCCGCAGTTTCTCATAGTTGTTGTATGTGTCTGAAACTGTGGCAAATGAGAGAGGGTTTTTTGCCTGGTTCGTGGGGTTCAAACGACAGGCCTCAGCGGTGTGAAACACGCTGCGCTCATGGTATGGGCAAAACTGAGCTACCGTGACCTTGGTCTTGCCTGGGCTGCTCTCCATGCTGTCATCAATAACTGGAATTTTCTTCAGTTGTGAAGGCCTGTTGGTATCCATGGCCTGGGGAGCATTGCCCGTGTGCATGATTGGGGGAGCATTGGTCGGGTGCATCATTGGAGGAGCATTGCCCGGATGCATCATTGGGGGAGAATTGATTGGGTGCATCATAGGGGGGAAATTGATTGAATGCATCATAGGGGGAGCATTCATTGGGTACATCATAGGGGGGGGCATTCATTGGGTGCATCATCGGAGGAGCATTGCCCGGGTGCATCATCGGGGGAGCATTCATCGGGTGCATCATCGGAGGAGCATTGATAGGGTGCATCATAGGGGGGGGGCATTGCCCATGTGCATGGTCGGAGGAGCATTACCCGGGTGCATCATCTGAGGAGCATTGTCTGAGTGGATGATTGGGGGAGCATTGATGGGCCGCATCATCGGGGGTGCATTGCCCGGGTGCATGTTCTGGGGAGTACTGATCGGATCTATGGTCGGAGGAGCATTGACTGGATCCATGATCGAGGGGGTCTTGCTCATTCCCACAGGCGCTGCAGTGCTTTCATTGGGTTTCTGATGAAGGTAATGGGTATGGCGTTGAGGAATAGCCCCCTCGGCTGATCGGATGACGGGGCCAGCCCGTGGTGATGGTGGTGAGGTCAAAAGGGTGCCTCTGTCCAGAGATGTGCTTCTTGCGACAGTTGCCATGTCAGACTGTTGGAAGTTGCGAGCCGAAGCCTTCTTTCCAGCATTTCGGTTGGGCATGATGAGGAGTATCAGGAGTTTCCTGAGATGCAAGACTGGGATGGTTTGATCGTCTCAGATGTTTCAAATGATGTGCAGAGGACTGCAGGAGATAAAAAGTGACAACACAGTCGCGTTCAGGAAGACAAGAGAAGATGGGTGTTGTGGGAAGAAGGATTGAAGAAAGAAAGTCCCAAAGGATCTCAGGTGGAAAAGAAAAGACTTTGCTTTCAGGCGACAGTGCCAGTGAAGCCTTGCCTAGCAAGAAAGGAGAAGATGGGTGCTGTGGGAAGAATTCACAGTGCAATCTCGCTTAAGTTGGAAAGAATTGTTTGTCTTTCCAGGTGTCAGGGCCAGTGAAGCCTCGTCTAGCAAGAAAACACAAGATGGGGGAAGCAGATAAAGAGTGACGACGCGTCGTGGTCGCAGTCGCGAAGCAGAGACAATATTGCTTCGGGTAGATTCACAGTGTGATCTCGCTCAGATGGAAAGAGAAGATTGTCTTTTCAAGCACGAGTACCAGCGCAGTCTTGTTAGCAAGAAAAGAGAAGATGGTTTTTGGTGGGAATGAGATAAAGAGAGACGTCGCGTTGTGGTTGGGAAAACAAGAGGAGATCGTTGTCGCAGGAAGAAAGTCCCAAGGTGATCTCGCTTAAGTCGAAAAGAGATGTTTGTCTTTTCAGGCGTCAGTGCCAGTGAAGCCTCGCTAAGAAGATGCGAGAGTGTGGATGTTCTGGGACGAAATTGCTATTACGGCTTCGCTTATGGAGGGTAGGGTTTGATTCGTTTGGATATCAGAGCTCAGTGTGGTTCAGATGTTTGTGTTAGGACTCAGAGTGTAGAAGCCCTCGCTAATCTCAACTAAGAATTCCAGGGCAGAAAAGCATTGAAGTGAAGGACAGTCTCGTGACCTTTGGGTCTTTGTCTTTCTATCATAAAGTGTGAACTTAGCAGGTTTGAATAGATTGGGACATAGAGTGTATACAGTGATCATTTGTATGAGCATTGAACAATACCGTGAGTCAAATTGCCCATTAGCATATGAGCATTAGGCGCCAAGGTCATGCTATTTGAATAAAAACGTGAATTGATTTTCTTGAACAAAGATAAAGTGCATATATGTGAATATTCATCTTGGATCATGACGCATCCTTGGATTCGCTGGTAATCTCAACATGCTCAGCCTCGGCAGTCTGATCCATGGCCTTGCTCTTAGCAGTTATGTGAACTTCTTCATCTTCATGATCAATATATCTCTGAGGTCGACATCTGGAGATAGCATCAGGATCTTTGATGACAACCAAGGAGGGATTCGATCGGTAGTAAGCGTCGATATCTTCCAGGGTTCGATTGGCTACAATTAGGGTTAGTCAAATTATTGCCAACTAGTATGTTTCATAAAGCCTTACCTGTTTCAGGGTAGAAGAAATATATAACTGGGAAGAATATAGCATTTGTAATTGTCCAGACAATCCCTTTGTTTAATCAGCTTCAAAATCCTAACAATGGATGCCCATAACCACTCACAGAATTTCCAGCCAATATTTTGAATTCCAATTGGAGTAATTTCAACAATGGCAAAGTTGGTGATCCAATCAGTGGCAGTTGCAAGAGCAGCTCCTTTAGTTCTCATGGGGAGAGAGTTGATCTCAGTCGGGTATAGCCAAGGGATTCCAAGCATACCGATACCAAATGCGCCGTGGAACTACAAATAATAGCAAAGGTTAGCCTTGAACACTGTTCGAAAGTAGAGTTAGTTGAATAGATGAAAGATGACTCACCAGAAATATGAAGGCAACTGATGCAGAGCCAAACCTCTTGCTTTCGGGATCTGAAGTGGTCTCATTGAACTTCAGTAGAATGGTGATGACCAGGAAACAGAAGAACTGGCCTGCAGTTGACAGAAGCATCAGACCGCGGCGGCCCATACGCTCAATCAGCAAGACTGCAAGGCCCGAAAAGATCATGTAAGAGATGGCATTGCATGCAGTCAAAAGACGAGCCATACTCTCTTTCATTCCAACGGCCTTCTCTAACACAGTGGGTAAGTAGTATGACATAATGTTGATACCACCAAATTGCTGCATGAACTGACTGCCTGCACCAAGTAGCAGACGACGAAGTGTCTTGGTGTCATTCTTATTTTTCTTGAGCAGGTCTCTCCATCGGACAGCATTCTCCCGCTCAAATTGAATAGTGTATTCGATTTCGTTACATTGCGCAATGACAAAGGGATCTTCAATCGGTTTGGCCTCAAGGCAGCTGATGACTTCGACAGCCTCCTCTTCTTTCCCATGCATGAGGAGCCATCTAAGAGATTGTTAGAAACGTTTCCGGTCTGAACTGACAAAGATATCTTGCCTTGGAGATTCAGGTAGCCATGGCACTGTAGACCAGAGAACAATGAGGAAGATTGTCTGTAGGGCAATAGGAAGTCGCCAGGCAATAGCACCCCCAACGAATGATAGACCATAGTTGATCCAGTTGACAGCAACATATCCGGCAATGTTCATCATCATTTCAAAAGTCACCAATCTACCACGCCACCTTGATTGAGAAGTTTCAGACTGCCAAATGGGTGCGCAGGCTGTATTGATACCGTTTCCAATTCTGAAGTTCACAAGGATAAATGTCAATTGGAAATCATTTTTGGGTTGTCTCACCACTTACCCAGATACAATACGGCCGATGAAGATCTGCGGAAGGCTGAAAGATAATGCTTGAAGAGCTGTGCCAACTGCCATGATTGTTGTTCCCAGAAGAATAGACCTCTTACGGCCAAGACGCTCGCCAAGTGTAAATGCGACAATGGCACCGAGGAAACAACCAACATCGTAGATAGCTGTGACCGTTGATAGAGTCTGCGTCTTCCCCGATCCCACAAGACTATGGATTTCAAGGAAGTTTTGGGTGATCACGACACCGCCTGTAACCAAGTCAATTGATATTCATTTCTCCTAGAATAGAGGTAGGCTTACTGAAGACACCCTGATCGTAACCAAAAAGAGACATGTCAGTTGCGCAAGCAACCTGGCAATTAGGTTAGTCCAGTGCATATAAATCCAGTTCATAAAGAAATTTACCGTAACCCAGAAGGTGAGCCATCCTCCTGTTAGGCCAAAGTACGGCCTTTTGTTCTCAAGCTGCCCCATTGAAATGTGTAGATTTGAAAAATAATATGCTTCGTAGCCAACTGTTATATCGGCTTCTCGCTATCCGCTGCAAGGACGAGAAAGACAAATACCAGTAGCCCGAGACGTGGAGGGATTCTCCGGCTGCTTTATAGACAGCGAGCCGCGTAGTCCATGGCCTCCGAAAGCGGGCTTTAGCCAGTCATGTAGCCGTCAGCATCTTTCCGGCTAAAAGCTCTTAGATCTCGGCGTTGCCCCGAAGGTTGGGGTATCTGGGGAGGAGATCTGCATGAGGTAGTGCTGGAGATAGCAAGTTATGGTCCATTTGCAAATACTTCATGTTTCCGGGTTGATCTTGTACAGTGATTGGCCGGTAAGCAATCCCTGTAACCAGGATTGCCTGGCTTGAGGAAACCAAGCGATACCCAATGCGGCATATTAGGCGGAGTGAGCTGATCACTCATCTGCGTGGTGCGTCATTGTTTTCGGGGAAAGCGGAGTCTCCAGTGTGGAGAGAAATCCTGGGGAAATCCGGGGTTCTGACCTGGGATTATTGCTCGCATGATCGGGGATTTCCCACAATCCCATTCAAAGATGAGATAAAAGTTGATCTCTTGGAGATCCGCCACCCCGTACGGAGAAGCTGCGGCCCGTAGCCATCAGCCCCTTTCCCCTTGATCTCCCAAAACTCAGCCTCTGAATCACATGACACCTCTCATCCTCATTCCTTCTTCCACTTGTCTCCACTTCGGGCCTTCAACGGAAAAGGCGGATTTCACCTACGTCACCAAGCCCAATAGCGCCAAATGGTTACCTTCCAAGTGCACAAGACAGGCTAAGTGGCTTGATGGTGCCATGATTGGTAGTCCGACCAGTCATCGCTGTACTCCTGACCGCCGGAAATGCCCCTTGATGACAATAAGATCATCCTCAAGCTTGGAATTTCTGGGTAAATATTATCCCCCGCTATTATCTCAGCTTGAGGATAGAACTATGATTCAGAATCTCACCTACCGAAAATATATTTTCATATTCCATTTTCCTGAAAGCTGTGGTCTGACCCTTTGGCCCCAATTCAAGTTCAATCTGTTGGTAACTTTGATATCCAAGTGCGTACTACATCCATGGATCCACTGGTATGCACATGTGGGGAGGGACATCTGTGGATGTTATATATCCACTGGCATCAGCTTGGTAGTAGCACCCTGAGATGGATGTTCAAGTTTGAAGTTCGGGAACTCAGACCCGGATCCCTCCTTCGGAACTCTGAGTTGCACTGACAAGTCCAACATTGTATCCTTGAAATTCAACTTGAGCGTATGGTCCGAAATCCATGGATCAAAAATTTTATCACATGTGCATGAACTTGAGTTTCCAGGGCTCCAGAGCCTTCAAGCTAACGATAGTATCCGTACCCACAGTGGGCTCCAGCTCCAACTTCAACATTTTTTTCAAGTTTTAGTGCGTGGTCATCCATTTCAGATATTCCACTCAATGTCTCAATCATATGGGCATTATCGGGTACAATAATCTCATTTTTGCCAGCTTCAAACATTCAATGTTTACTTTGGAATTTGGGACTTGGTCATTCGGTCGCGGGTTAAAGGGCGCTATAAAGGCACTTGAACACCACGATCTGGACCTCGGGATTGGGTATCAAGAATACCCCTGGGGAGCTTCAGCGACCATTAGTATTACTGTTAAGGTGCATGTGCCGGTTACTGTTAAGCGATTCACTAGCAGTTTATGGCTAGTCAACTGAGAGTACTAGTACTTTCTTTCTAGTAGGTTTCCGACCGCACATTAGCACCTGAGCATCAATCATGATGTCGCACTTGAATGCCAGTGTGCTTGGTTAAATGCTCTGGTACTACCTAGGTACTACTGGTAGTACGGCCCGGGTGCCCAGGTTTATGGGTAGCAGAATATAACTCGAACATTTGAACGATCCGAGTCCTTCTGTACTAAAATTTGAGAGTTTGTGGCTTTCCCAGGTACCCAGGATAAATAATGCTCGATTCAGGCTCAATTGCAGGTGCTTTGAGGGGACCTAGAGGGGAGCAAAACTTGAGGAATTTTGTACTCTTATGTTTAGCATTCTTCACCTGACGCCGTGGCGTTTTGGGGCCCACAAGACTAAGCATCATCGGTGGAATTTGGTGGTGTTAACAGGTGGGGCACACTGATGTGGAGCGTGGCCCTCCCTAATCCATGCAATCTCCGAAGGGTCCCTATGATTGTCTCTCCACCCTGTCATCTATCTGTGGATCATTTGAGACACGTTTGTTTTGGATTGGTGGTCTGGACTCCTTGGTAGCTTGAGGTGTGGTCTTTTTTACGGAAATGCGCTCTAGAGATTCAGAGTTCAAGATACCAGCAGGAACTCAGTACCACAACTAGAGTCTTTAGCCGAAGCAACCTTGGAAGGATAAATGAGAACTTCCCCAGAGCCACAATAGCCTAACAGTCTTGTCACAAATAAGGTTCCCCGCATGGTTCTTCACGGCACTGGCAAGCTGTAGGCTTAAATCAGGCTCATCCTATTTTATCCGCTGGATCCGAGTCGTTCGTGGCTATTATGGAAAGAATTTTCAGGAATAGCTGATCTCCTTGATATTTTCGGCCTCGCTAAGTCTAGTTTAGGCTTAGATATTGGTCTGGCACCGGACCTGAGAGGTGTGTTTCAGGAAGACGATTTGTGGAACTTTTAGGGGGAAGAGGCCCCAACAGGAAAAAAGCTGCACGGGGATCATTCTTGTAACAGAATAGGCTACCGGTTAAATAAACGGATGTAGATTGTGTTAAGGAGACCCTCAGACGAGGAATTCTTGAGAAGATATAAGAGAGCAGGCTTTCCGGGGCCTGATTTCCCAATTTCCGTTCATCAAGACATACCAAATCCTGAAGCTTGAATCTTCAATCCATCAACCATGCACTCCCTTACCGCACTTCTTCTAGCCTCCACTGTGGTGACGGGCGTCATGGCCGTGCCTGGAGAATACCACAAGCGCCACGCTAAGCGCCAAACCATCACTACCAGCCAGACTGGAACCAACAACGGTTATTACTATTCTTTCTGGACCAACGGAGGTGGTACTGTGGACTACACCAACGGGGATGCCGGCGAGTACAGTGTCACCTGGGAGGACTGTGGTGACTTCACTTCCGGCAAAGGATGGGCAACCGGCGCTGCTCGGTAAGTGAACACATGCTAGAACATTAAGAATCCCATACTTACAGAAAATGATACGTAGTGATATCACATTTGACGGATCCTTCGACCCGAGTGGAAATGCGTACCTTTCTGTCTACGGCTGGACTACCAGCCCATTGGTAGAATACTACATCCTTGAGAACTATGGCGATTACAACCCTGGCAGCGCCATGACCTATAAGGGAACCGTCACCAGTGATGGGTCCAGCTACGACATCTACGAACATCAGCAGGTCGATCAGCCTTCCGTTAGTGGCACTGCTACCTTCAATCAGTACTGGTCAATTCGTTCGGACACTCGCTCCAGTGGTACTGTCACCACAGCGAATCATTTCGATGCATGGGCTGCTCTTGGAATGGATCTGGGCACATCATACAACTACCAGATTGTCTCCACTGAAGGTTATGAGAGCAGTGGGTCTTCTACTATCACTGTCTCTTAAGGAATAGAGGCATATTATGAATATCTCTATGGCCAGTGAATATCGGGACTATGTCAATATGTCCGACCTTGGAACGTGCCTTCACTTGAGGAAGTCCTTTACCCTCATGTTTTTTGTTTAGTCATTTCACTTTCAAGCTCTTTATTGTCAGTACTAAATAGCCATACGTAGTATTTGAATTCCAAGGTCTGATGACTCTGCGCTCTTATCCTTTCTGGTAAACCAGTAGCCGTTCTGTGGAGAACCTCCAATTGCGCCAGAGGATTTGGTTGACTTGCAGGATATCGGGGTGGTCTCACAACATTTCTACAATTAGCTTGCATGCACCAGAAGTGATCCGAAGCGGAATAGCCAATTTGGGGAGTTTGACTGTTTATCATGGGTCTATTACTCGAACTTGAATTATTTCACTGTCCTCCGGGTACCCTGGAGCGTGAGGGGTCTGTTCGTGTTCGTCAAGTGGGGACGATCTCGAAAATTGAAATGCGGAGCCCCGCAAAAAAGGTGGAGCCGAACCCTTATCCCTCACCATGTGGTGATTCTGGTGACAATAGTACATTATGCCTGGCTGGTTAAGTTCATCAGCTATCAACTTTGACCTGCCGTACTCATTACTCTCGGTCTGATCTATACCGGTCACCGAAAGAAACTTGAGTACTAGCTGTGGAGAGCAGGGCGGGCACACATGTCACCAGTCAGATGAAAGTGCCACAGGAGATGTTAGCTCAATGTTGCATTGGTTCAAATTTGTACCTCGGTATTAAGCTAAAGTATGTTTATACAGCTGCAGAATTCAGTCTACATTTCGTCGCACGAACTAGGTCAACTTTTTCACACCCTTCCCTCGGTGGCACTCGCACCGGAACAGAATCCAGGAACAATCATTTCGCTGCAAATAATGCTCAGGCACATAACTTCAGGCACAAATCCCGCTCTTGCGCTTGAATTCAAAGGTTAATACCCCGCTCTTTCCCCACATCGACAATATTCAGCCACATCCTGCAGATGACTCGGACAATCCGAGTTATGAATCGTCGGTAAGACTGCAAGGCATAGTATTTGCCATCTCAAATCCTCGGTCAAGCATTATCCCGCAGCTAATTTACCCAATGTTTTCCCACGGGATATCCTATAAAAGGAGGATAGTTGTCTCGAACTGGATATCGTTCAACTCCATTGGCATTTTCGCACGGCTAAAGAATCTTCCTTGCAAAGATTCATAATGCGTTCCTTTTTAGTCATTGCAGCTGCTACCTTTGCTGTAAGGGCGGTCTCTGCAGTCGGCACAGATGACCAGGTCAATCCCAATATTGATTATGGAACTTTCCAAAATCCATCGTCATATGTGAGACCACGTTTCAGGTATTGGGTCAACGATGCGTCGATGACCCTCAGTTCACTTGCAGAGGATGTGAGGTCCATTGGAAATGCCGGTGGAGGCGGTATAGAACTTTTGGGGTACTATCTTTACGGAGACTCTGCCACCTATGGAGGTGGGCTTCTTGCACCTCTGCAGACGGACTGGAGTGAATACTACTTCGGAAGTACTCCATGGGGTGAAATGGTTGAAACTATCTTGGAGGTTGCCAAAGAGAATGACTTGATCATTGACTTTGCCAATGGGCCAAATCAGGGTGCTGGTGTTCCGGCACCATACAACGATGATGGCCTTCTGTGGGATCTTGCTGGATATAACTCAACATTTAGCAGCAGTTCAGGATTCAGTGGCACTATCCCTGGCTGGGGATCTGGACGTCTGACGGCAGTGACGACTGGCACTATCAAATCCAATACTTCATCAGAGGTTGTGCTTTATGAAAGCTCTCTCCGCGATGTTACCAGCATTGTTGGTGATGATGGAAGCTTGACTATCGCTTCCAACAAAACCTCATCTGGGTCTCAGGTAGTTATCTTTGCATACTACCTGACTCACTCTGAGTATCGCGAGGCCCCAGACCCCACGTCCCCTTCAGTTGAAACCGCCGTTCCACAATCACCCGTCACAAACTACAGCCAGAACGGATCTTGGGTGGTCGATCATTTTTCAACTGCCGGTGCTCAGGTTGTCGCGAGTTATTGGAAGCAGTCAATCCTCAGCAGCAAGATTGGCGCTCTTCTTCGTGAAGTCGGAAACTATCTCTGGGAAGACAGTCAGGAATACAGTGTCGCTACCTTCTGGACACCTGACCTTCAAAAGAAGTTCCTGTCCAATCGAGGATATAGCGTCAACAAGTATATCCCTCTTTTGGTTGGCTCTGGTGGAGGAACAACCTCAGACATAACTTATGTAACAGACGAGAATGACTCTGGCGACAGTCATATTGTGGACTATCAGCAGACTGTGAGTTTATTCCCAAGCCCGGATTGATTAATTCGTGTCATCCAGGTAGTCTCTCAAAAATTGAATATATAGGCTGACCAGTTAGCTCACTGAGTTGAACGCTGAGTATCTGGACGCGCTCACGGATTGGAGTAACAGTCTAGGAGTTCAGTTTTCCGCGCAAGTTGTATACAATCTTCCCATGGATATGCTGGCAAATGTCCCCCACGTCAACGCCCCGGAGTGTGAGACACTCGGCTTCACTGAAAACATCGATGGCTATAGGCAGTTCTCCGGGCCAGCGAACCTCGCGGGGAAGAGAATCATTTCCAGTGAGGCTGGTGCGCTCTATGGAGCGGCCTACCAGGAATCCCTGTCTGAGCTTTTGTGGACCTTTAAACGATCATTCGCAGGATCTGTCAACAATTTCATCATTCATGGCTTTCCGAACTCCGGAAACTATGGTAATACGACGTGGCCCGGCTTTACAACATTTGCTTATTTATTTTCGGAAATGCATGGACCTCGTCAGCCATCATTCGCATTCTATTCAGACTTTTTGAACTGGGTTTCCAGAAACCAATTTGTTCTGCAGACTGGAATTCCTAAAGTGGACATTGCATTCTGGTCCAAGTCTACAACCTACAAAAGCATCTCGACCAGCTATGATTCGACCGACTTGGAGGACGCTGGTAAGACTCCACTACTTCAACCACCTTTGCCGTCCCTCACACTAACGCAAGGTTGATATTGTCTGCAGGATACACTTACGAGTACCTTAGTCCTGACAACTTCGCCCTTCCCGAAGCCCTTGTGTCTGATGGAGTATTTGCGCCTAATCGACAGGCGTTCAAAGCTATGGTTGTTCGATCGAATGAGTCTCTTACAGCTTTTGGCGTCGAGAAGCTTGTCGATTATGCACATGCGGGTCTGCCAATCATCTTTCCAGGTGGCCTGCCTTCAAACTTCAGTGGATACAACCCAACCGCTGCCGCGAAGGCAGTCCAAGCGTTAAGTGGGATACAGTGGCTTAAGAATGTCCATTTAGTTTCCTCAGATGGACTTGCAAATACTCTTGAGTCTCTCAATATCCTTCCACGGAGCTTCACCAAAGTGGATGGCACATTGTATACGCTCTGGAGAGAGGATGCAGCCAACGCAATTTCTTACGTTTACGTGTACAACGATGCGACCGGCCTTTTTCTTGATGAAAGCAAAACATCTGGCACCATTTCCTTTGAAACAACTGGTGTACCTTTCTTCTACGATGCTTGGTCCGGAGAGGTTACTCGGATTACTACCTATAACCAGTCAAAAACACATACAACAATCCCGCTTGAACTAGCCGGTAATCAATCTATCATCGTTGGATTTGACCGAAAGGCCAAGTCAGCTATTCACATTCAAGATACCACTACTCCTGTCCTTCCCACGACGGACAGCTCGAATTCCCTCACTGTCCTCAGGACCTACGATAGCAAATCTCGAGAAATCAGCCTATCAAACGGAAAGACAGTATCCTTATCCCCAATGTCAACAGATTCATTCAACCTCAGTAGCTGGAATCTCACTATCGAATCATGGACCCCACTACCAGATCTATACGACGCAGAAGGGCAAAGCCGCAACAATGAAACCTTCCAAATCTCAAGCCTGATCCCATGGAACAAGATCTCATCTTCACTGAGGAATGTATCCGGGATTGGCTACTACGAGACTAGCTTCACCTGGTCTCCATCGTCTTCATCCAAGGTCTCTGGTGCTTTCATTGATCTTGGACCAATCACACATACAGTCCGCGTCACAATTAATGGGCAACAGCTTCCAACCTTGGACATTACTTGGGCTCGGAGAGACATTGGCCAATTTCTCCGACGTGGAGAGAATATTGTACAGGTTACTGTGAGTACCACACTAGGTAATGGTCTGCGCACGTATTGGGATGTCCTCGAGACAAGTGGGAAGCTTGCGGTGGCTGAGGAGGTTGATCCACCGAGTGAAGAGGATTATGGGCTTATTTATCCGGTGAAGATCGTGCCTTATCGGGAAGACAGAGTGGCCTAAGTTTGTGTGAATAATTGCTGTCATTGTTACTAGTGGATGCTATATGGCGGGGTAGCAGACACCTGGGCAGATTTCCACAAGCTGCAAATGAACTTGATGCGACCGAGTCCATCGGTCGGATAAAGCGACGTATGATTGTTTTCCAGATCCAGTAAGGATATTGACAAAGATAATGAGAAAACTTGAGTTGGTATTAAGCGTGCTCAGAGATGCTAGTATGTCGTAGGAATAAAAAGATAGTGAGGGTCATTCCTGGCTCATTAAATAAAATCGTTTAAGAAACATGCCATGTCATCATCAGTAAAGTCATTCCCTTCCATGACTGGGAAATGCTGAATCTCTGTAATCGGAAACGCCGCCACCTCGGTGGTCACACGATTTTGAGTGGCGTTGATAATGGCATTGCGCATAGTAGTCTGGCGTCTTTCTTGTGTGGCATGTTGACGGAATAGTAATACCTCCTTAAAGCTGCAATCAAAAATCGATTAGCCAAATCCTGATCGATGGAAATGGACGCACATACACTGCCGCTTTCCAGGCATCTATGGACACATCCACGTTATCGAATCGCCAATCGAAACCAGAATTTACCACTGGCTCATCTGTGGGGTCATGATAAGGCTCGAAGTATGGATGCGAGAGGCCTGTTGTCGCGCTGATCCTGTCGTCCACATCGAATGATAGCATCTTTTGGATGAGTTCAGAGGCTGCGATTGTTAGCTATATGGATGAGTATATCTCCGGTGGAAGCAACTGCACCTGTCTTGTCTATTTCAGGAAAAGTCTCTCTCAATGATTCTCGCTTGCACTGCGGTAATGTTTGTACAAAAGCTTTCGTCTAGAAAATCCCGAATATCAGTTATGGATCAACAGGTTGCCAATTTTGGCGCTTACATGTTTGTTCTTGATTTTCTCCAAGGTTCGGGGAGGTGGATTACCCAGAAGATTGACAAAAAGCTTGAATTGATCGGCGTGACTGGTGGCGGGAAATAGAGGTTTTCCTCTTAGCATTTCAGCGAGTATGCATCCCACACTCCATATGTCGACTTTTTCGGTATATTCTTGCCAATTCAACATGACTTCAGGGGCACGGTAGTATCTTGTCGTGACATATCCTGTCATATGGTGGTCTTGCAGTCTTGCATGACCAAAATCACATATTCGAAGGTCGCAATTCTCATTTATTAGTATACTCCCTGGCTTCAAGTCGCGATGAATGATTCCAGCCGAATGGACATATTTCAACCCACGCTGTTGTTATTAGCGAGAGATGTCCAAGTCTGCATTGGGAATAATTCAACCTTGGAAGATATGGACATACCAAGATCTGATAAGTGAAATATTTTGAGAAGTCATTGTGGACTGGACCTCGTGCGATGAGATTTTGGAGATTTGTCCACATCAATTCCGTTACAACGTAGCTGAAGGTGTAAGCTGGAGGGCACAATCATAATCTGATCAAATAAAATGCCTTACAGATCCTCCTTTGGTGAGATGAATACATCTGTTAAACCAATTATCTGGACAAGCAAGTATTAGCTTCGCTTTTCATAGACCGCGCGATTCGAGTGGCTGGGAAACCAACATTTTCATGTTTCATATATCGGAGCAGTTTAACCTCGCGAAAGGCCTGCTTCGCAAGAATGGCTGATCCGAACGGTCTAGTGATTTTCTTAATAGCGACCAATCGACCTAAGATGCGGTCTTTGGCAGAGCTGGCACAAGTTTGATTAGCTTAAATGTCCATAGAATGTTTGATTATAAACCTACCATATAAGGCCGAACGCGTCCAGCTCCACTGGCTGTGGCTCTGCATATCTAGTGATCGGTTAGCTTTCATAGGTATCCATATTGAGTCCGTGTCTTTGTGATACCGAGTTGTGAGCTCGAAATTCACGCCCATGATATTGGTGCAGGCGAACTCCGACATTTTGAAGGATGTCATGTGCACAGACCCGAGACGTTGCTCCGGATCAGCGCCAGCACTTAGGAAGAAACGATCAATAGATGACGGATGATCAGAAAGCTAACGGAATGTGAGAGAAAGGCTAGAAGGGAAAATGGTCAGTTGGAGCTAAGGGATAGGGGTGGACCCAGTAGCTTAGATGTCTGCGACACCTCGGCATGAAACGCGAGGTCGACGTATCAGATCCCAAGCTCTCTCCGACGTGTTCTCAAAGGGACTAAATGACGTAGTGTAATTTTCTTATTGTGGCTAAGGTGGCTTGAGAGATTAAATGCAGTTCAAATCCGACACAGTCTTATAGATAAAAGAGTTCAAAGTTCACATGTGCACCTGACACAGAGTACAAACAGCCCACGTATTACCTCCAGGGCTGTCTATCAACATGTGGATGTAGACATCTGGATGGGAGATTCCCTTCTATTATTTTGAACATTGAATTATTTCAAACCAGGCCATAAAAAGAACAATAATAGAATACTACATAATATAACTTGAAATATATTACATTTTCAACGAATCAAAAGACTTGGAAATGATTCCCCAAAGGGTCAATCAGCCACCCGAAAAGGAAAGCACGAGTCTATATGGGATTTGAGTGGATTTGAGTAATATGATTGGTGGACTGCGTGCCGAGATCAAGAATGTCATATCTTGTTTTCTGTCACACTAGACTATATTTAGTTTAGTCTAGAATTCCAAGGTGGTAACTTACATTATAGATCCTTGTCTGTTACTCAAAAGTACTCAAAAGTAATCAAATCTTGGAATACCTGGAAGGTTCCAGTCCCCTGGATCTTCCCCCCCCCTGATTCACTTGATCCACACCAGTTGACATCAGTTGACGTTGTCACTTCTCAGCACTTGAGGTGACTGATCTCAGATGTACACACTTGGTCTCAGATATGACTGCCGCGTCCCTTTCCACCAATAATAGATGTGGATACTAATGTTTTCCGAGGCATCGCTTCCAAGGTTCAATTTCTTGAAATCATTTCAACATGTCTGATTCTAGTTCTTTTTTGTATCCACGTCTATACTAGTAGATCGTGGTCGAGACCCATATTTTCCTGGCCTAATTCATCTATTTCCCGCTATATCAACCTTTCTTATTTTCTAAGCCCGTCTAACCCGATACCAAATATCCGTCCAAGTTCTATGGAAGCGCCTCTAATGTTCAAAACTTGCAGTTGCCCTGGATAGCTGCACACCTCGGGAGGAAATATACACACAATCCTATCCCTTCATACATTACTACCGGTCTTCGATGGATTTTCAATAACCTCACACCAAGATCAGAACAAAAGTTCACTTTCTCGCTACTTTCCTACTTCTTAGATTCCAACTCTAAGGTTGTTGATTAGCAGCGGAATTAGAATAACCTTGAAAACAACCCCGCGTTTCAGATAATGGCGTCTACTACACAGGTCACTACAGCCGAGGAACATAGCTCGGGTCGTCGAGCTCGTGAAGTGTACCGATACTTTCGTCCAGAACGTCTCTCTTCTATCAACGAGAACACAACACCGGAAACTGATAGTTCAAGTTGTGACCAGAATTATTTTGGTCCCGTTGATTTGCCTCAGGCCGATAATAGCCGAGGTCGTTCACCATGCATTTCACCACAGCCACCAGAATGTTTATCAGCTTCACCAGAGCCTGCTGTCGCTTTAATGCGTCCGTTGCCCGACTCATTAATTCTCGGTGATGCGAACGCCACGCTTAACTCCTTCGCTCAGTTAGCTGCCCTACGTCTGGATGTAGATCGTGTGTTCATCAGGTATGAAACCATCTTATGTCTCGTGGATATTCGGTCCGATGTCCTTTTAATTTGACTAGAATCGCTAACCGTTCAGTGTATCCGATCGCGACTCTCAATTCATCATTGCGCAGGCAGGCCAAACTACACATGGCACAAATAAATATGACCTACTCAGTGAAGGCTTGTATGCAGGATGTTCTACTCTCAACGTTGGATCATGGAATATGTGTCAGGTTAGTCCGAAATTGATCATCAGTGAGCACCCACTCATACTTGTACTAGGATACTGTTGCACTACCCCCATCTAATCGAGAACGGGGTGACTATAGCTTCATAATCTCGAATGATATGTCTGAAGATGAACGATATCGCCACCTTCCTCTTGTTACGGAAGATCCGAGCTTTCGATTTTACGCTGGAACGCCTCTCACCACAGACAGCAGCATCAATGTTGGCAGCTTTTTCGTTCTTGACACCAAGCCACATGCTGAGTTTTCATTCAAAGAACGCGAATCCATGGGTCACATGGCAGTTTTAATCATGGACTTCTTGAAGGTGAGCCGTCAAGCCTCCGAAGGTCGACGCGCTGCTCGTTTGTCACGGGGTATAAGCCATTTTGTCGAAGGCCGCTCAAGCTTTTCCAGCAAGCCCCATGAAGCATTGAGTCGACAGACAAGCAATGCGAGCATTCCTTCGGGAGGAAGGAAATCCCACCAAAAAAGACGCAGCATATCTTCAAAGGGTTCGCCCTCTAGCAGTAGCCGTGGAAGTTCAGTGGCGTCAGGGTCCAGTGATTATGACTCGTCCAACACGTCTAGCTTGAATTCGAACCCATCTGAAAACCGCCCTGATATCGGGACTGATGGCATTGATGTGAAAATAGGCACTTCATCCACTTTTCGACGTGCCGCGAATCTCATCCGAGAAAGTCTTGAACTCGGGGCAGATAGTGGCGTGGCTTTCATGGAGACGGGCAATGATCCTTTCCTCGATAAAGCAAGTGATAGTGAATCTGGCTCGCTGGAACCAGGGAAAGCTGCTTCTCTCCTTGCCATTTCCACGGCAGAAGGCACATACGGGCCAGGTGAAGATTTGGCCGTTCCATATCCGGTGAGAGGCATGGATGAAGGATTTCTCCACCGGCTGCTCAATAAATATCAACAAGGAAGAATCTGGTCTCTCCATCGCGACGGTCAGCTCTCCAGCTCTGACAGCGAGGACGGATCGCATACAGACTCGGGGCGTAGAGTCTCAAGAAGAGACTCAATTCAAACCAGAGGTCGAAGGAAATGGAAATCGAAAGAGAATCATTTTCTGAATCTGTACTTTCCGGGTGCGTCTCAGGTCATGTTCGTCCCACTCTGGAATGCAGCAAATTCACAGTGGTTTGGTGGTTGTTTCTGTTGGAATGACAACGAGACCGATGTCTTTGACCCTTCGGTTGAGCTGAGCTCTTTGCTGAGTTTTGGATCCTCGATCATGGTGGAGTGTAGCCGAGTGGAATCTCTGATCTCCGACCGTCAAAAAGCTGATTTTCTTGGAAGTATATCGTGAGTTTCCCCTAAATTTATATGTCCGAGTCTGCACCCTGTCGAACTCATAACCTAATGAATGCCAATCAGCCATGAACTTCGAAGTCCTCTTCATGGAATATTAGCCGCAGCGGAAATACTACAAGCTACCACCCTGGACCACTACCAGGACTCACTCATGGATACAATCAATGCCTGCGGTCGTACCCTACTCGATACAATGAATCAAGTACTGGATTACAGCAAGATCCTATCACTGGAGAAGCGATTTCGACACTTGAATCGACGAAGGGCTTCTGTCCCGGATTTGAAAAAGATGCATCGGTCTGCAGCACACTTGGATACATACTCATCAACGGACCTCTCCATCCTAGCTGAGGAAGTCGTCGATGGGGTTTGTCTAGGTCATAATCACATTCAAAATTCCTTCTCCTCCTCAGATGTTTTGACATCACTTGAAACGAGGCAAGGGAAAACAGACAAGGCTGAGCGTTCCAAAGTTGACGTGACTATTGACATCGCACCAAATAATTGGGTTTACCACTTCCCCCCCGGAGCTTTGCGTCGAATCATTATGAACATCTTCAGCAATTCGATGAAATATACATCCGAAGGTCAAGTATCGCTTCGATTGGATGTTGATGGCTTGTCTTCACGACACACAACCCAAGAAGATCTCATTGTATTGACAGTTTCCGACACGGGCCGCGGCATGTCAGAGGAGTTTCTGCGTTCAAGGCTCTTCGTTCCATTCGTACAAGAGGACTCACTGGCAACGGGCTCAGGTCTCGGTCTATCCATTGTTCGAAGCTTACTTAAAACTCTTGGTGGATCTATCAATGTCCAAAGTCAACTCTGCAAAGGAACGACGGTAAAAGTCATGATTCCCTTGATCCGCCCCGACCATGAACTCGACACTCAGTTTACACCAACATCTCCAACTGTTCGAGAAATTCGTGACCGACCGACGACCCTGGATTATTCTCGTATCCTACGTCAAGCTCACTCTGATCAAACTGTGGCCATCTTGAATACGGAACTTGAAGATGGCTCAACAAGCTCATCGTGGTTGACAGTGTCTCAATATATCACAGACTGGTTTGGTCTAAATGTTTCTTCATATTCATCAAAGACTCAACCGGAAGTCGATCTCATTCTACTTGACGGGTTTCCCACCCAGGATAATATCTCCAAATTAGCCAGCTTGAATACGCCGACACTGGTTCTCAGCAACGAATATGTCGGTCATGATTCAACCCACGCGATTCCCCCTTGCATAGCTCAAAATATTGACATCATCAATCGTCCCTGGGGTCCACACAAACTTGCTCGATTTATTAAGAAATGTCTTGATGAGAGAAAGACCTTTGATAAAATTGAAACAATAACTCTACCTGAACGACCTGCGAAACCACATCAAGCTGAGAATCCTTCCTATGATAGTGACACATCCAACAAACACATTGGAGAATCAGCAACACACCAGACCCCTGAACCCGACATCCAAGAAATTAGTCCAAGCTCCAAAGAAACTACCAATCCACCGCCAAGGCTTCCTGGGAACGAGCTCAAGATAGAAATTCCCCCTGAAATCCCCGGTGCCCGAGTTCTGGTAGTGGAGGATAACAAAATAAATCTCAACCTGATGCTCGCATTCCTGAAGAAACGCGCTCTGACCGCAATAGACTCTGCCGAAAATGGCAAGCTAGCTGTGGAAGCCGTCCAGGGTGACAAACAGGGGTACGACATTATTTTCATGGGTAAGATAACTCATTTCTCCTAATTTCCCTATCTCTTCATAACTCACGACCTGAGACTCACCTGGCATAGACATATCCATGCCAGTAATGAATGGATTTGAGGCTACACGCGCTATTCGAGCATTTGAGAAAGGTCGGGACGATGAAGTTAAGGCTTCGACCATTATTGCATTGACGGGTCTTAGCAGTACAGTCGATGAGGAAGAGGCCCTTGGGTCTGGCATGGATCTCTTTCTCACGAAACCTGTTGCATTTAAGGAAGTGAAGAAGATACTTGATCGTTGGAATGAGGGACAATTCAGTCCAAGTCCACAATCTACTGAAGGCTCTTCTTGAGTCTTCGGAAATTCACATACCGAGCGTTTGCTCTTTTCGGTGTACATATTCTTTTTCTTTCTCGTCCCTGGACGATGTTCATATTTCTTTTACTTAAATACAGGTTTCAACACTGAAGAACCACTTATCTACAATCCATAATCTCCCACCTGTTTCCTCACTTCTCTCAACTCCCTCAACTCTCTCGCCCTCCTAACAGAGATAGTCAGCTCTTTACCCGACGAAGAAGAATTCCCCATCGTCAAATTCTGAAGCAAATCAACGTAATCAAGCGGCGAGAGTCCCTCGTTATCTTTTTCATTAACATCACACTGCACCTTCTCACACGATAGCAGCAGATCCGCAACAGCACGACTATTATGCATGAAAGCAATATGAAGCGGCGTTCTTCCCAAATCATCTTTCGCATTTGCGAGGACCTTATCAGATCCAAGCATACATCGCACAAAAATCACGTTATCAGCTGATGAGCCATAATGTAATGGTGTCTTCCCGTCGTAGTCTCGTGCGTTCGCATCCACTTGATCATAGCTGAGGAGCAGTTTGGTCATTTCTTCATCGCCGTGTTGTGCAACCGCATGCATTACAGTCCATCTATTTGGATTTAGGTGTCTGCCATTTACCCGAAAAGGAGGATTGAGTCTTCCTGATTCGAGAAGGATTTTCATGGCTGATAGATTGCTGCTTTTCACAGCTTGGTGCAAGGGTGTGACCTTTTTCTCATCTTCTGCATCTGGGTCTGTGGACTCGAATTCGAGGAGGGTTTGGACGATCTCGCCTGTAAGGTCGAATTTGACTGCGAGATGGAGGGGAGATCGCCCGTTTTCGTCTTTAGTGTTTGTTTTCACTTTTTTGCTTGCGAGGAGAATCTTTGCAACGGCCACATTGCCTCCTTCAAGGGCGTTTTGGAGAGGTGTTCTACCCTGGCAATCCTGTTCATCGGGAAGGATAGATGGAGATTGGAGGAGTATTTTTGCAACAGGATCGGTATGAAGTGATTGAAGCGCGATGTGCAGTGGCGTCCTATCGGAATGATCTTTGGCGTTGATATTCACTCGTCCCGATTCGATTAAAATTTGAGCTGTGTTGTTATGACCTTTCTCAATCGCAATGTGCAGCGGTGTTTGAATCTTCTTGCTCTTGATATTGGGGTCAATGGACCTGACACTGAGTAAGAGTTTGACTACCGTGTCATGACCGAAAGCAGCTGCAAGAAATAATGGTGTTTGTCCAGAGAGATCGGTTGAATTTGGGTTTAGTTGGCTAGAGTGCAGGAGGATTTTGACAACTGCCTCGCTCCCCTTTCCAGAAGCTGAAAGGAGCAGTCTTTGTCCGTCACTGGTATTTATGTCTACCATTGTGCCATTAAGCAACCGGAGAAATGAAGCATCGACCTCATGAGACTCTCTTGATTCCAGGACACACGTGATATGGAACAGACAGTTGAATTTTGCATATGCAAGAAGTTTTAAAGGGTTAGCGGCGGAAGTTCGAGGTCGAGCGCGGAGTTGTTCCAAGGTTTTCCCCATATTAAAACCTGGCACCCTTCGTAATTTCAAGAGGTTCACAGCGATGTCCCGCACAACCGTAGGAACTTCAAAATTTGAGTCCAAGATCCTCGCAGGTGTCGAGTTGACTTCGACGTTGGACTTGACTGTGGTTGATATTTGACGTTCAAAAATGTCATAATTGAGATAGGTGGTAATGATATCAGCCATCTTCTTTTGAACGCTGTAGAGTGTAAATCGTGCCGCTGCACCGCCAGAGTCGGAGTCGACTAGAAATTGCCGAACGCTGCTATGAACAAGCCGAACGGTCTTTTCTTCTTCATCGATTGTTAATAAGCTTCCACAACATGTCAAAATGCCAAATATGTCATTCACAAGTCGAGATTCATCCCATGTAGTGTCGCCGGGAATCACGCCGAGAGCCTCCCGTAGTTCCTCCGGTGTCAGGGGATAGCGGGCCGCAACTATGATTTCCAATATTGAGTTCTGATATGACCGAGCCAAGGTTGAGTCGAACTTTCGCAGAATGCGATCGAAGGTTTCAGAGAGGGTTTGCGGGAGGTCCGCCAACGCTTGCCGGATAGCCTCATCTGTGCACATTGTGCAGAGGTTATCAATCTGAAGTGCAACCCAAAGGAACATTCCTTGAGAACCTTTCAGCAAAGCATCCTGGATCTCCAGAACAAGAATGGGGTTTCCGATCGTCAGCTTTCCAGAGGTGATACGAGATTCTAGTTCTGTTTCAATGAATATCTCAATATCGCTGGCGTTGTCTGGTATTGCCGTAATATCAACGGATTCGAACTTTTCCCACGCGTCATCAATTCTGTAAGGGTCGCGTGGTTCCTTCCGAACAGAAGCACAGAGAAGCAATGAAAATCTTTGTTGAAGCCATCGAATTTCCTGTATCACTGTTCTTCGGTCTTCCGGTTCACATTCATCCAACCCATCAATAACCAGGTATGCCTTGAAGCCTGGTGGTAGTAAAGCTCCAAGGAGGTTGCGGATAGCTTCAAATTCATCCTGTTGTCCCTTAAGATTATAGCCGTTGACTCGCTCGGCTAGTCCAGGCATTGACCATATTAGCTGACGCGCGATAGAGCCAATGATTATCCGTGGCTTCAAGCTTTCAGGTAGATCGTGGCGACAGAACGAAAAGGCCACTGTCATATTCTGACCACGATGATGTAGGTTGAGGTCATCAACCATATTTGCCAGCAATACAGATTTCCCTGATCCAAGCCTTCCCGTGAGGATCAGGGAACATGAGTAGGCCCTCTCGCGCCATGTCAAATAATTTAGACATTCATGGAATAAAGTCGTCTTGCCAAGTCGGCGCGCCTGCTTCCATGGAGACATGTAATCGTATGTTGAGCAGAATTCCAATGCTCCGAAATAAGCCTTCATTTGGCGCTGGTGGGCCACCTCTTTTGAATACTTCCTCGACCACAGCTGTGTAGTAAAGCTAGCTTGCTCTTCTATTCTCTGAGCCATAAGATAGGCAACCTCATCTTTGATATCCCTCGATCGAGATTCGAGTTGAGTTTGAAAGTTAATCAGGTCGGAATCATTTAAAGTAGCCCCAAACTTGCCTAGCGCAGATTTCTGTGTAAATTTGAGGATCCGATGACAAAGTCGTACAACGACCACGAAGTATTCGATGAGAAAGGACTGTAGCTCCTTGGAGCGGGGGTATAAAAGAGCAAGTTTTTCATATCGCGGTGCAGATCGCCCAATTACCATGAAAAGATTGGATATTTTCTCAAAATACGACGAAAAATTCAGAATCAACTAAATTTGAATTGGTGAGTACTCAATTCCATCTGCGGAGAATATGCATTCTCGGAGCAAATTGCGGGGATACAGACTGTTAATGATGTCCGAACCAGCGCCCACACCCCACTTGCGACCAAATTTTGTGTACCTCCCACGATAATGTCTCCTAAGGATGTGAATTGCTGAACACATTGCAGAAAGTTTGTCGTTCTTGTTCCCAAACAGCGACCTCGTATTTTACTAGAGAGTCGCTCGTCAATATCCGCGGTTATATGCATGACATCTTGGATTGACGGTGGTTTCTCACACGCGTGAGATCGATGGTAATTGAACTCTTCTTTTTGAGCTCTTGTTAGATCAGCTTCGTATTCCGATACTGCTTGCGCAAGCCGAATTGCGGGCTTCAGGCGGGGCCGCGGGGCATGTATCAGGCCTTGGCTCGTAACCATCTTGCATGGTTCCAATCGATATTGGAATTTGTGAGAGATAATGTTCCTGTGGGTTCAATGACAGTGTGACTTGAGCTTTGAGACTTGGATGGTCCGAATGGCATGTAGTATCGTGGGTAGTTGAGGGCCAATTCCAGGGCACCGAAATGCAGATCTCACGGCATGCAGAAGATCAATACTTGCATGCTGCGCTCGTCTGAATCAGACAGGAATTCGTGAAGAATGTCAAGTTGTAAAGATGTGGATGTGAGGGGCAAGAAGAGCTTACCGAAGCCAAGTCAAACAGCTGTCACCTGATGTTGCACCTTTAAACCACTAATCTTTAATAGGAATAGACATCTTGAGGGGACAGGTGGTTGCAGATCCCCTACTAGGTACGGGGCCTACATATATCATATATGGCTGCTAGAAAAAAAAAATAAATAGAAATAACCTGCCTTACCACCATCTACTAAATCTAATTAGCCTTTTAAATTTAGCTATCTCTTATTTTACTACTAGCCATCTCTCACTTTAACCATCTCTTACTTTACATATCCCTCACTTTAGATATATCCTACTTTAGTGATCTCTTACCCTAGACCTAAATATTATCTATGGATCAAAATCTTTGTGAAATAATAAAAATAAAAATAAAAATATGATAAAACAACTGGTTGTTAGCTAGATGGTCTAAATTCATGGTAGGAAAATAGGTTTTGGCCATGTGGTCGCCCCCTGTAAGATCCCCACCCAAGCACAGCCACTATGATGTACTTATTAGCAACATTTGAACTTGAAGTCTAGATCTCGATGTTCAGGTTCTTTTCCTAGAATTCCCAAAGACATTTAGTCACCATCAACTTCAAGTTGAAACTATACTCACCCGATGACAACGGCTACAACGACTGCAGCGTGGACATTTCCAACCAGATCAGCTCAAATCTGCTTTTCTATCATATTATGATATTCATCATCTCCTTAAAAGTTTCAATATGAAATTCAAGCTATATTTATCCCTGCATCTAGCATCATGCAGAGACGTATTGATGCTTTTATGGTAATAAGGTTCCTTGATTCATCTGAAACCAGCAATAGTACTAGGGATCAAAGCAAACTCCTCAATCTATTTCACCATTATATCCATGATTAGTCTTGTTCGGATTGAAGAACATAAGCTCAACGAGTATGTGCTTGCGTACCAATTTGTGTCTTCGCCATTCTCTTCAGCCTTATTTTTTGCCTCTTCTGCTTTCTTCTTCGCCTCTGCCGCCTTTTTCTTGCGGTCTTCTTCCCTCTTCTTCTCTCTTTCAGCTTGTCGCTCATCCTCAATCTTCCGGTGCCACGTTGCCCATTCATTTAGCCGATCGGGTTGGGTAATGCACCATGTTACAACCTCTCGTGTTGCGTATGCATCTTCCATGGCACTGTGACCATTCTTGCTATTTTGGATATCATAGCCTAAAAACTCTTTTGTCAATGTCTTCAACCCCCAAGACCGCGGTTGGGCCTTGTCCGAGGGGAGATCTGGAAACACCGCATCACAAGTTAAAATCGACGAGTCCACAATGTTCAGATGAACGATACCGAGGACATCAAGATCATTATTCAGAGCGTGACCTATCAAAACTGTCTCTGTGTCTCCATATTTGCACAGCAGATCGCGTGCTCCATCCCATGTCAGTGCATAACCAGATGAAACTGCAGCTCTCATAGCGCTAGGCACCACTCCGCTATATCTGGAATTCCAGTTGATAACTCGTGATCGTGGTTGGACATAGTGATTGATCAGAATCTCACCAGTGAGAAAATCAAGTGCAGTCATGAAGGCAACTTCTCGGCGACCATCTGTCACCTCAACCATCTCACAGTCAATAACAATAGCCTCTCGTTTTCTCTGGGGACAATCACCGGATGCATCTGGCAATGTAATAAATTCGAAGCCGGCGACCGAGCCTTTAGAATGTTGTTTCTTCCTGCTCTTGATATTCCATGGCACGGTGAATCCGTGCTTGAATAGGCGGCTCCCTGTGTGGCATTTACAGATCAACATGCGAGTAAGGCTTTCCGGGTGTGAGGGAGAAAAATTGATCAGATCCTTCTCGCTTGGGTGAGCGTCTATGTCATGAATTAGTTTTGTTTGGTCTCAGTGCACTTAATCAACACCATGGGCTGACTTACCTGCTGGCACAAACTCATCGGCCTCGGCAGTCATTCGGAAACTTGAACCCCGGCCTCCTTTAGGATTTGCTTTTTCCATGGTGCCCGGGCGATTTTTCCCTGATGGTTCGGCGTTCTGCGCGGTAGTTCTTGTTGATTCTATCTTAGGACGACTGGGTTTTTTCGGTTGTGAATGTGAGATATGGTGTTTTATTGTATGTGTCGCATTTTCGAAGTCGAGATTACACTCCTCACAGCGGAGCGGATGGCCCACGGAAGTGAAATGATCTCTCAGAGCGTAGAATTTCTTGAAGACCTTCTTACACTGGGGGCAAGACAGACTCTTCTCTCCCATCTGCCTACCTGTCGTTGATTGGGACAGCATGGCAGGCGTGGATTTCGGAAACAAAGAAGTGGAAGAAGAAAGAAAAAGAAAATAGCAATGCTATCCGCTGGAAGCAACTGGGGAGAAAGGTAAGCTCTGGGGCGCTTTGAATAGCCGAATATCGATGAGTGATAGCTGTATTTAAAATTGCATGAGGCGCGTCTGGGCACTGGTAGGTAAGTCGATATATCTCCTGGGCTGGTAAGTGCTGGTAGTTGTGATGACCCTAGACTCTAGAGCGTCGGGATCTTAAAGTAAACTTCCAAGGTTCACAGTGCCGACACTGAAACAAGATCGGGACAAATTTGGAAGGCGCCAGCAAGAGTCAAAGAATTTGGAAAAGATTCGCCTTCTCTTTTTATTCGCGTGTTCTTGCCGTGGGTATAACGAAATGTTGCAGGTTAGTGGTAACTGCAAGAGGGGAAGTTGTTGAAGGTCAAGTTGAGGCGGTTCCGTTGATATGAGACCCCACATATGTGTGGAGGCTCTGAGCCTCTGACACCAATCAGTTCCGGTCCCTATATGCGCAGATTTGAAGGGACTATAATTTCAAGCATCCGAGTCTGTTTCAAATATCATGATCTAGAAGTATACAGCTTCTAGGCTCGGAAACTAAATGGTTCTTCAAAAGCTTTGAGTATAAGGCAAAGTACTAGTAAAAGATCCGACCCAAGTACTCAGTCAGTAGCAGTATCATCTACAGGTTGCTGTTGATCTACTCTCCCATTTATCTAAGTACCTGCAGGACTACCTGGAGTGTTACCTGAAACATTTGAAGGGAAGGGTAGCTGCTATATAGTTGGATATAGTCAACTGGTGGCCATACGGATAAGCCGTATGCCGATTCCGCCCCTGTCCTTGGGTATTATTCAAGGTGAATAAAAGTTCAAGAGCACGAGTATTGAGAGAAGACTATATAGAGGTTCTACTAGTACTCATTTTTCTAGAGCTTGAGGCTCAAATTCGCGACCAAGAACTAGATGAGCGTTGAATCTTTAAGAGAAGCTGGAAATGAAATAACTAGTAAGACGTGATTAAGGACTCCACCTAGTAACACTGAACTAAAGACATTCGAATATGAGACAAACTTGGAAAACTTCAGATGTCTGGAAAGACTTGAAGTGTGCCTCACGGTGATCTCTCTGGATTTTCCATCTTTGCAAAAGAAAGGTTTCCTAGTCCCCTAAAACCCGACGAACTCCTGTCACCAGCAAGAAGCCACGCCATTATCATCCCATCGTTCAGGAACAGATCTAGGCTCTCGCAGCAGCTTGTACTCTCTGTCGGTCTGCATCGGTGGCTCGAGCGTTCCACATAATAACACAGCAGCCAAGACAAGAGATAACGTGAACAAAGAGGTCAGAACAGCTTCGGGCGGTTCGAGCACGAGTAGCGAGGATAAGGGCGACCTGGGACTTATCGGATTGCGGATCTATGCCCATGTACTCAAGCGCATCGGGCAGGGGTGCGAGTCCCTTATCGATACACCACTTGCAGCCCTTGCAATAGAAGCGCTCGGTGGAATCTGTGGCGCGGGGTGCCGGTACATGGGGGAAACCAGGTGCTAGCTGTGCTAGCCAAACCATTCAGGTCAGTAGCTCGAAGACGTCCTTTTAGTAAATCTTGTGAGACATTGGGGTCGAGGGGAGGCTGGTCGGAACGCAGGTAACGGAATAGTGCGGCATCGGTGAGTTCGCGCTCAGTGCAATCGGAGAATCGGTCGGGTGAGATTTGTTCAGCAGCCTCTCGCATTAATTCCACAGAGCCCCAGTGTCGGACTGCGACTTCCATGACGGACTTGACAGGACATAGGTATGAAGTGCCGCGTCGAGCGACAGGGAAATGAGGGCCGTGATATGCGCTTGGCTTGAGGCATGTAATAGGGACCCCGCTTCGCAAATCCTCCATATCGAGGTTAAACGCCGTTTCCGCATCGTAGGTCTCAATGACCCAGTAGTTTTTGTCGAATTCACCGCAGTTTCGGCAAAGTCGCTCGCAGGTCGGGAGATAAAGGTATGAGGTGAGAGTACCGCATGCTCGGCAAGTTGGGAACTGAAGCTCCGCCTTCAAGTTGAGAAGACTGTGCCAATAAATCACTTTGGTGGATGACAGCAGCTCTGGGAGCTTGTTATTGGAATTCTCCATCAGTAGCTTGTACGTAGGTTGGCTTTTGAAAGCCTCGAGAGCATAACGACAGGTGCGACCAAATCTCGACAAGGTGAGCATGTCCATGTGGTTCATCATCTCATGTATGATCTCCAAGGGAAATCGGCTAAGAGTACCCATGTTGGAGGTACCATCAGTCGACTGGTCAAGGTTCGAACTCGCGGCACCACCCAGTAAACTGGGCTGGTCAGGTACCATCTCGGTTGCCACCAACGCCTTCATCTCTTCATAATCCCACTCAAGGACGTCCACGTAGTTGAACCATGTGGTGTCCTTCAGCAGCGCTGAGATAAGCGCATTCATTCGACGGCGAGTAGCAGTCTCCAGGTCTCGACCTAGACCAGGAAGCTGAGCCTGGGGTGGGCCCATCGGGTGAGGAGGGCCCAACGCATTCATGGTGACTAGTCGGTAAAGAAATCTGGAGAGACTGACAAAGAATGTGGAAAGCAAATTGATTGAGACGCTTTGAATAACAAAATCGTGTGTCTGGGAGACGAAGAAAGAAGAGTCCTGTTGTGGGGGGAGGAGGTGGTGGGGAAATGGAGGAAGTGGAAGTGAGGAAGAGTTCGACGCGTAGAGGTAAACAAATTCACTGGGACCAGACGAAATCGTCTAAATCTTTACACTGTCAGTATGTTTGCTTTGAATACTCACCGGTCAGAATTGAATCGGTCTGTCTAGGTACCCATGCGATGTCATCTCGGTCAACACTGGCATTATTACATGGGAATAGCAAACCTCAACTTGAAGGATAATGATGAAAATATAGTATGTTCATGAATGTCTAGAATTTATACAACGCCAAACTGGCAAGAGAAATAATGTAAGCATAATGTGTGAGGTAGTGGTTTCAAGACTCCGTGAGGGATCAAATCTACTCCACTTCCTCCATGGGGTTCAAGTTTGTGAGATGATCAGTTCGCACGATGTAGTCCTCTTCATCATCATCATTCACCACTCCGTCCGGGATATCCTCCTCGTCTTCAAGGGAAGCATCAGACTCTGTACCGGTTCGAGGTCCCTTGCCCTTTTTCCCAGACACGGCCCTCCCTTTGCCTTTGCTACTTGTAGTAGACTGACCACTGGCACTTCGAACCATACCACCTGGCCATTGCTTTAATCCTTTGATACGGCCATGGATACTTCCTGGGAAAGAGCCATCTCCGTTGCTGATGGAAATCTCACCGGGAAGCTCGGCTTCTCCTAGGTTGAATGCTTCCATAGCGTCTGCAATAGTCTGGGGAGCTTTGGCCGATGAGTCCTTTTTATCGACTGATTCAAAGGTTTGCCGAATCCGTTCAAAGTGTTCGAGTTCCTTGGCACTGCAAACTGTATTAGTATCTTCATTACTGGATGCTGGTCATTTGAATCCGTGCTAACTTACCTAACACTAGGAACAAGCTCCTGTTGGGCTGCAACAAAGTCCTCTTCAGTCACGGTCACACTAACATCTTCGGCGGTAGCAAGGTGATCAAAGAAATATGCGGTAGTGACTGGTTCGCCAGGAAGCTGTTTGATCTTCTCGTCTACAGCCGTAGACTTTCGAGTGATGGCTTTCAACATAGCATCCGAGCAAAGGGCGTACAAATCAGCACCAGTATAGGTTAGAGGAAGTCGCTCGGAAACTCGATCCAGTGACACCTCTGGGTTAAGAGCAAACTTCCGGGTAAGTGCCTCTAAGATGGTAGCTTGCTTGCGGTGTGTATCTGACACACCAAGGTAAAGCATCTTATCGAATCGACCAGGTCTAAGAAGAGCAGAATCGAGCAGATCAGGTCGATTGGTAGCACCAATGACGAACACACCACCGCTGTTCTCCTCGCCACCATTCATTCCATCTAGCTCAGCGAGCAGCTGACTGACAATGCGGTCCATGACACCACCACTGTCACCCTGGTTACCACGCTTCGGCGCAACCGAGTCCAGCTCGTCAAAGAACACCACACAAGGTCGGGCATCGCGGGCTCGCTGGAAGACACGACGCACGTTGGCTTCAGATTCACCAATGTACATGTTAAGCAATTCAGGACCCTTCACAGAAAAGAAGTTCAAGGAGAATTCAGTGGCAATGGCCTTCGCCAGCAGGGTCTTTCCGGTACCAGGAGGACCGTAGAACAGAATACCACTGCGCTTCTTCATGCCCTTCGCGAATAGCTCAGGTCGCTCAAGGGGCAGTTGGATAGTCTCGACCAAGGCATCCTTGACGTTGGTCAATCCACCGACGTCATCCCAGCTCACGTTGGGGATCTTTGGGGCACCAATGGAGTCTGCGAAGTTCTTCCGCGCGGCCTCGACTGCAGCATCGAAATCCGCCTTTGTAACACCTCGTGCTCCATCACCTCCCGCGAGCAGAACGTCCCGAACGTGAACCTGAGATCCAGGGAGCTGCTTATTGGCAGTCTCTGCAAGAGCTTCTAGACGGGAAGTCCTGGCTGCTGCAGCTCGCTCCACCACATCTACCAGGTCTCCTGCTACCAGCGCTGCAGTTTTCAAAGCAACAGTGCCCAGCTCGACATCAGCGGCCAGTTTGATGCCACGTTCTGCCACTACATTCCGGAGAATGCCTTCACGTTCTTTCTCCTCCGGTGCACCCATCTCGAACTCGTGAGTGAACATGCTGCGAATTCCCTCCGGAATTTGCTCAACATCGGTGGTGGTGGCAATGATAACTCTAGCTTCATTTGCAATATCGGTCATAGCAGTGACAATGCGATCGGCTGTCAGAACCTCAATATGCCTGATAAGCAATGCTGTGCAGTTCGCTCCACAGTGGAAAGCCCGTTCGGCGCGCGCTTTGAGATATGCCTCCGTCTTAACATCACCGCCGTTGGCGCCACCTTCTGTCAGGATATCATAGGCATCAACAGGGAAGGTGTGAAGACCGATGTCAGCGCACGCACGAGTGGCAACAGTCGCTTTTCCAATGTGTCTTTGCTGAGACTTTAATAGAATGACGACAGGCTTCATCCCTAATTGGATTGCGCGAGGGCTTGTTGCGGCTGCCATCAAGTCTCGGATTCGTTGCTGTAAGGGAGGGGTAAATGCTTGCGGAGGCTCTGTAACAATTCCATGGGGCACCGAGGAATCGCCTACGGCCTTCGGGATCGTCTTGACTCCAAGCCAATACTCCCATCCATTGCCAAGGATTCCCGGTACACGACTCACATCGCTCCCAGCCTGAACCATTCGAGTACTTGAGGGATCAATAACTGCAACACCGCCCCATTGATCCTCTCCAGTTTCCTCGAATTCTTCTATTACGGTTGGAGCCACCTGTCCAACGCGGAACCAGGCAACACCAACCTTGCGAGCCGTAGAACTGTCCGAGTTCTGACCTTGGCCTAGCCTGGCAGTGATATCATCCTCTTGGCTTGCTGCATCCCCACCAGCGGTTCCTGAGAACACAGCTCTGCCGAGACCTTCATCGACGCTTATACCAACGAGATCTCCGCTCTTCAGGATTCGCCTACGGGATTCAAAATAATGCTTAAGTCCTGCAAACAAAGCCGGCTGTAGAACCCGATCCATAGAAAGAGGCGTGGACACCTTGAGCAGAGTAACCTCCTTCGCTAAAGGCGGGTTCTTCGCGGCAGTGTTTCTCATGTGTTGCAAAAGACCAGATTTGCCAGGTCCATTGGCGACAGGGAAAGTCATGGGTGAAATGCGCAAATACTTAGGGTTGTCAACGTTGCCAAGGAGCATTGGTGGTACGAAGATAGAAGGTGTCAAACGAGTTGGTGCGCGCTGAGAGAAACTCGAACGACGATCTCCTGAGTGGTTGATAGCATAGCGAGGCTTTGGTGATGGGAGTCCAGGTAGACCAAATACCTTGACTGGTCGCCAGTCACCAGCGTCTTCGGGCGATTCATTGAAGCTTCCAAACTTAAGTGATGCGAACATGTTCAACTGGGGCTCCTCGGCTGCTTCAATTCGCACCCAATCACCAGAGAAACAGCCAATCTTGGCCAATGTACTAATATCCACGAAGACGAAAGAGTCCACATCCTCATCATCTCGCGGTCGTGGATGAAGAACTTCATTCGGGACTTGCTGTAGGAGCCCTTCCACCTTGAAAACCTTTCCACCGCTACGACCGGGCCTCATAGTCGTAGATGTAAAATTAGAAGCGACAGAACCCGGTGTATGAATTCCATCAAGCCGGCGTCCACCTGCACGAGGAGTCGCGGACGTCAGAGAAGACATTACACCTGATGGTGGCTGTGGCAGCTCGGGCGCCGAGAGAGAGATCATATCCTCCAGGGAATCATCGGAGGAATCACTGGCAGATCCAACGGAGCCTTCTGTTTCAGAATCATCCGCAGCAGAGGTTGTCTCCATTTCTGTTCCACTCTCTCCAGGCTTATCCTCGGCCGCCGAATAGAATTGTTCATTAGAAGTGTCGTCGGCTTCATCCTCGGCGACCTGTCTTAAAAGTGCAGATCTAGGATGAATCGCTGGCTGGATGCGGTTTCCCTGAGGGCGAGCTTGTACAAGAACAATCTTCGTCGCGGGCATCAGGAGGCCCTGCGAGACCGGCTCACAGAACGAGATGCGGGCAGGTGGGGCAGGCGCATAAGTGATAGGATGTGGCGGCAGGGGAAGAGGCAATACATCCCCGACATGAACAATCCGTTGAGCGGCCAGTGCTTCACGCACTGCTGCGGTCAACCGTTGCTCAACATCGGCGGCCTCCCTTTTAGAGTATCGCTTGATATCCGGGCCCTTCCCCGCCCGCGGCCACACCCCGTTCGGTCCGGAATTGGTAAATCCACCACCGAACTTATTCTGTACATCGTCGTGATTTCGCAGCAGATTTCGCTCCACTGTGACAAAGACCGTGTCTAAATGTAATGGGGCGACATCGAGAACACAAATCTCGACACTCCGGTGTGTCTGCAGCGATTGGCGCGCTGAATCCAACTTGCCGAGTGCGAGAAGGAAAGGCTGGAGCGAGTCGGCCGATTCGGGGAACAAGATAGTCGACTGCGATGAGGGGCCCTGGGATCTAGCTGCTGGCTGGATGCGAACGGGGAGAATCGTCCACGCTTGGTCTTCAACGGAGGTGTGTGTGGGCGTTTGCGGAGACACTGCGACATACAGTACACCATCACCCGTTGCAGAATCTACTTCAGACAATTCATTCCGTCAGTGGGACTTGCCTTCGAAGGTCAGTTCGGGGATTAGAGGTCCATCACTCACCCAAGAGGGACTGCTGTGAGAATAGATCATTCGCTATATCCTCGGAGACAACACCAACATTTCCACGCAGCTGAGGATCTAGTGAGAGACGCGCAGAAATTGGAGCCTTGTTACATTGTCTCCTCTTTCCTAATCTCTTGCGCCTCTGCTTGGGCTGCTGGGAGCTTTGTCCGTAGTGATCGAAGTCCATGGTGGTCCGGGCGTCCAATTGCAATCGTGAAAGGTGACAGGGAGTTTAAGAACAAGGGATCTATGTGATGATCTGAGGTTTGAGATTGATTCAGATTCCCATTAGAAAGCAAGGAGCCCACCACAAGGTAAAGACAGACGCGGAGACGCAACTTGGGGATCCAGAATCCGGGGGAAATAACCCGTGGACCACGCGGGCAACTCGGCACCGCCCGCTATTCTGCCACTTCCGAAGCCGAGGTTCAAATAGGACCCAAACAGGATTAGATCAGGGACATAGTACATACACTCGAAGATGCACAGGTCAATTCAACACTAACACATAAGACTGGAGGAAATACCTAGAGGCCCTCCTAACATTTGAAAAGAAGGTGGAAAATTATGTGTATTAGACTATGTCAGAGACTCAGAGCTGGTGTCTTATAGTATAGAGACAGAGCGGTAAGAACAGAACGGCAGAGCAGAACATAACAGGAACATATATCAAAGCTTGATTCTTATTGGGTGCTAGGTAATAGCTATATGCTGCTGAATAATTGTTATTCGACAACCTTGGAACCTTGGAACATCAGCCCTGGAGGGAAGTCAAAGATGATACACTACTAGTATCTACATTTCTTTAACATATTCCAGAACAGGTATTTAATAGACAACCTTAGAATTCAACCCAGACAAGTTAACACAGACAATTCAACATAGACCATTCCACACAAGCAATTCAATAGGCAATTCAACAGGCTTTTTCTAACTGTCAGGTCGTAAGTCACATCGTTGCTTTCTTATAATCACAGAATTGTGATTTGTTGCGCCACTCATTTTTCCCTAGGACCTAGATACTACCTCGTTCGAGGGGATTCGTGGTGAGCCCTTCAACCTTGGAATTTAGTACACCCATGAATAAGCTGCTCCTGCCGATTCCAGATGTCACCTCCACACATCTATCCAATAGCCTAATTTTTCATGTGGCTTTTCACGTCAGGTCATGTCTAGGTATACTTTCTGTACAAACTCATCGAATTCCAATAGGTATGGCTTCGACGGTGTTTTGAACTTTCCGTTCTTCCCGTACCACTCATCAGGCCACGGCCACTCCGACTCGTGTGTTTTTTGCAAGTACTGTTCGAAGGTCTCAAAAAAAGACACAGAGACCTGCGTACGGTCTTTGACGAACAGTACGGTCCCGTAGTCTTACAGCAATATTCGAAATTGGCTTCCATGTTTTACACAGAGAAACTATCTCACGCCCCACTACCAAGACTATAGTGGAACCGCCTAGGCCGGACTCGGCTAGACTACAGATCACCCTTGTTCGTTAGAATGGAAATGTAAATTACCTGACAAGACAGATACGTCGAGGTCGTTGGATCATGTGTCCCGCTAGACCCTTGCTGTCTCCAATCTCCCGACCACACTCCTGTGATTGTAGCCCTCCACATCACCTTAATGGCCACCATAGAACACCTATGCATAGAATGGCTCCGGAAATTCCTTTCTGATTTCTATGCTATTTCTTAGTTCTAGTCACAGCTATATTGGTCGCATAATAGACGGAGCGAGGCTGCTAGCTACTAGATAATTAGATTCTCGTATAGTAACACGTTCCGAATCCTTAAAACGCTTAGCGCCTATGATCATCTGATAGTGATGCTGAGGCTGTCGATGAGGGGTCGTCATCTTTCTTCCACCGAAAACACGATTAAGTCTATATATACCGTGTTAATTATGGAATCTATAAATTTTGGCGATGGAAATTCAGGTTGCCAGGTAGGGATCAACAATGGGGTGATGAGTTTCACACCTAGTTAGTTCCCGACAGCGTGGAGGACAGAACCACGTTGGATCGACTAATAACGACACGCTTTCCTAGAACAACCAGAGCTTCGCCCAGAGCCACTATGGACCGTGCCGTTTCCGCATGACCCGGACTTTGTTAGCCGCGATGGAATTCTTAAAACAATCCACGAGAAATCGTCAGTCCCGGGGTCTAGGATAGTTCTCGTTGGTCTCGGCGGTGTGGGGTTGGCATCACAGGTGTAACGGCGATTTGTCAAAGGCTAACTTTATAATAGGAAAACTCGGCTTGTTATCGAATACTGCCACCGGGTCCGACAGCAATCAACCGACACCTGGGTCTTCTGGGTTCATGCGAGCACTGCGGCTCGCTGCGAAGAAAGTCTCCGCAACCTGGCCGACCGCGCTAAGATTCCCGGGCGCGAGGACCGCAACGTTAATATATTCCAACTCTTCGGGAACTGGTTGCAAGATGGAAATATCGGAAAATGGATCCTTGTCCTGGATAATGTAGATGATGACGGGCTCCTTCGCAACCCACTGGCAACTCGTACGGACGCACGAGCGAACGTACAGGACCATACCTCGATGCAGCCACCGCTAAGGTACCTCCTCGGAGCCTCGAATGGCTCCATAATTATCACAAGCCGGAATAAAGCAGTCGCATCGGAAATCGCTGGCCATAAGAAGAACCTGATCGATGTACAACCAATGAATATGCCCGAGGCACTAGATCTAATGCAGCACAAGCTAGGTTCATATGCAGAGAGAGCGGACTTGGTCCAGCTTGTGACGGAACTTGAATTCATGCCGCTGGCGATTATACAAGCGGCTAGCTACATCGCGCACCGTTCACCCCGTTGCTCGGTATCGCAATACCTCGAAAAGCTTCGGCAGAGTGATCGTCAAGCCACGAAGCTTCTGAATCATGAGGAACTTCTTACAGACCGAGACTGGGAAGCAAAGAACTCCATTCTACTGACATGGCAAATATCGTTCGACCATATCCGACGAATAAGGCAGTCTGCGGCTGATTTACTGTCTTTGATGAGCTTTTTCGACTGGCAGGGAATCCCAGAGGATCTTCTACGAGTTCAGGAGATGGCAAAAAATCATGAAGTTTTAGGTTCTTTGGAGGAATTTGCGAATAGCCCTAGTGGAGAGGACACAGAAAGTTCGTCTGAATATGACCTAGATGACAATTTCGAGAGCGATATTACAACTCTCAGAGACTATTCCTTCGTTACTACGAATGAAAATTGCATGGTGTTCACAATGCATCGGCTAGTGCAGCTCACAGTACGCACGTGGTTGAAAACAGACGGCCAGTACGAAGATTGGAAGGAACGGTTCATTAAAAATCTACATGCTGAATTTCCGACTGGTCAATATGAACACTGGGAGAGATGCCGGACGCTCTTTCCACATGTCAAGTCAGCTATGTCGCATCGACCGAAATCGCAAGACTGTCTCCGAAGCTGGGCTGGGTTACTTTACAAAGGGGCGTGGTATGCGCAAGAATGTGGCAATATCCCTGATTCACGGGAAATGGCATCTCTGTCGAGAGAGCAGAGAATAAAGACGATGGGTTTGGAAGATAAAGAAACACTTAATAGCACTGCGATGCTAGCAGTAGCCTACCGACTAGGGGGGGAGCTGGAGAGAGGCAGAGCAGCTTGAGATGCAGGTGATGGGAACTCGCAAGACGAAGCTCGGTGTGGACCATCCTGACACGCTGTCGAGCATGGCCAACCTAGCATTGACGTATATAGACCAGGGCCGATGGGAGGAGGCAGAGCAGCTCCTTGTGCAGGTGATAAAGACTTATAAGACGAAGCTCGGCGTGGATCATCCTGACATGATGACGAGGATGGCCGACCTAGCATTGACGTATATGAACCAGGGCCGATGGGAGGAGGCGGAGCATCTTGAGATGCAGGTGATGGGAACTCGCAAGACGAAGCTCGGTGTGGACCATCCTAACACGCTGACGAGTATGGCCAACCTGGCGTCGACGTATATGAACCAGGGCCGATGGGAGGAGGCGGACCAACTCTTTGTGCAGGTGATGAAGACTCGCAAGACGAAGCTCGGCGTGGATCATCCCTCTACACTGACAAGCATGGCCAACCTGGCATTGGCATTCGGGAACCAGGGCCGATGGGAGGAGGCAGAGCAGCTCCTTGTGCAAGTGATAGAGACTTGCAAGACAAAGCTTGGCGTGGACCATCCTAACACGCTGACGAGTATGGCCAACCTGGCGTCGACGTATATATACCAGGGCCGATGGGATGAGGCAGAGCAGCTCCTTGTGCAGGTGATAGAGACTTGCAAGACAAAGCTTGGCGTGGACCATCCTAACACGCTAACGAGCATGGCCAACCTTGCATTGGCATTCGGGAACCAGGGCCGATGGGAGGAGGCGGAGCAGCTCGAGGTACATGTGATAGAGACTTGCAAGACAAAGCTCGGCGTGGACCATCCTAACACGCTGACGAGCATGGCCAACCTGGCGCATACCCTTAGGTCATCGGGTCAATGCACAGCCGCTTTGCAGTTGATGACCGAATGCGTTCAACTTTGCGACCGAAAACTAGGCCCTAACCATCCGCATACTGCATCTTCTAAGTCTGCTTTGAACGAATGGCGCGGAACGGTCGATTCCCTGTCTTCCCAGCTCACTAAACCGCCGACGGACACCAAAAAGTCCTCAATCCTAGGCAGTTCCATAGAAACCTCTGAGCAGGTTTAGAGACCTGGCGGACATTGTAGGCGAACAATGTTCTTGCGTATCTTTGGCAGGAAACAAGACTTTCCCCTTTTCAATTTTCTAGAGTGGAGCTTTGCTTGGTGATAGCTTAGAAAAATCACCAAATTAAGGAATTCTGTTATCACTAAGATGAACGGCTTATATCTCATTAAATGTCAGACTGTAACATCAACACCTAGAACCTTGGAAGATTCTAGAAACTGTTTCGATTTTATCGTACGGGGCCGTATCACGTTTCATGTTTTGTATCATACGCCAAGACAGTCCAAAACAAGCATGATCTGTAGACTAGCTTAATTTGTCCTAGGCGGTTTCACTATCGTCTTGGCGGTGGGGCTGGAGATAGTTTCTCTGTGTAAAACCTGGAAGCCAATTTTGAATATTGCTGTAACGTGGATTGGGTTCATCGACACACGTGAATCCTTCCTGCACAAGGTATTCTGTGACCAACGTTAGAGGCTTGTCCGAGTCCTGCCGCTGGAATATGTCAACTCCAAGCTGTGACAATGATGTCCAGGTCGTCGTTACATTTGGCAACAGATTTACTCTCGCCTAAAATTGGGAGAAAAACTTCTAGATCCAAAATCGTTTCCATAGTATCGCTTTTGAGTAGACGAAATCTTCGAGTTGGAGCACTTGAGAGGGGTGAACTTCAAGTTGAAGTTACATACTAGTAGCACTACTGGCCGGTAGGACAGATATATATACTCTATATATTGATGTATTATGGATGCCCAGGTGAGTACCTCTGCGTGTTAGTCTAACCCAGAAGGGCTAGCTTTCAAACGTTCCAAGGTTGGTTTAAAACATTTGAACCTTGGAAGATTGGAACTTGAAGTGGTCGAACTTCAAGTTTCGCCCATACGTCTCGCTAACATTTTCAATGAACATTTCCTTTCATGTTTTTTGTTCCCAAATAGGAGTCTCAAAATAAAGTACCGACGACTCCTATTTCCAAGGTCCTAAGTTTCTAACCTTGGAAACTTGTCGAATAACTTATGGAATTGTCTCCTTGAGAGCTTTTCCCTTTCAAACATTTGAATGTTTCTCTTTCTTTTTCCCCCACTTTTGATATTTTTCGTTACACAAGCAATTCAAACCTTGGAAGTCTTCATTCTTTCAAGTTGTTCTTTCTTCTCTCTCTGGGCGTACTCCTTGAAAGTCTTCATTCAAATGTTCAAGTTCTTTCAAGTTATTCCGAGTCTTTCTTCTCTCTCTCTGGTAGTTTCCAAGGTTAAGTTCCAACGTGACGTATCACGGTATTTTTGTGACAAAGTAGTACATATGTAAATTTAGAATATATGCAGGCCACATGCAATAGATTGGTCAGTCATACATATGTATGAAGTGAGCTATTCCAAGGTTGATGTAGACCTCGGGAAACTTGAAGCTCTAGCCCATATAGGCTTGCCCAAAGGCGGTATATCAGAAAACCATAAAAATATATCGATACATATATCCATGGATACTATATATACAGTGGCAGGAAAAAGGGTTGCACCAGCGCTAGTAATAGACTAAACTATATGCGGTTGACCGCCTATATTTCAACTGACCGCCTAGGCGGTCAGCACCGGTCCATACTACACGCCCGCCCGGGTTATTATTATTATGTACAAATATGCCGCAAACGCCGCGGAAACACGTCGAATTAGACGCCTACACACACACGCAAATATGCACTTTGAAGCATACAGGCTTGACATACAAGCAGCTACAACTTCATTTTCCAAATATACCGTTTGATACGCTCAAATCGACGGTTCAACGTGCGAAAAATCGTGTTAAAAATGAGACCTCGCCGCGATCGGGTCGACCAAAGAACATTACCGATATGGATAAAGCAGTACTATTTGCTGAGATTGATCGCAATCCACGTCTCAAAATAGTCGATTTGCTTGCTAAGCTTGAGGCTGAATGCTGTGCTAAGACCTTAATGAACTGTCTTCGTGAGTGTAGCATGCGTAAATGGCGTGTGCTGAAACGACCCGAATTGACTGGATCGCATGCCACACAGAGACTCGCCTAGGCTCTACGCGTCCGAAACTACACTCCTGAGCAGTGGAGAAGGATCTTCTGGTCTGATCAATCAATAATTGAGCGAGAGAGGGGTGCGTGTCCTGAATGGACCTTTACACGACCAAGATACCAGATTGAAAAGCAAGATATTCAGACCTACCCTTATAAAGGGATTAAAAAGATGTTTTGGGCTGCATTTTCTGGTATGAGGCGTCGTTTTGGGTTAATACCTTTATCGAGGGACCCTGATGCAGCACGTACTGGGATTACTCAATGGGTTATTCTTAAGCTTTATCAACAAATGTTACCAACTTTAATGGATGGAGTTGAGGGTGCGATTTTTATGCAAGATAACGCACCAACATATACCGCTTATGTTGTACGTGACTGGCTTGCTGAGCAGAGCTTTGAGCTTATGATTTGGCATCCTAAATCACCTGATTTAAATCCTATTGAGAACCTATGGGCGATATTAAAAGCAAAGCTTTATGATGAGCATAAAGAGCTTTATCATATGCCAGATAATGAGGCTATACGGGATCAGATGATTATTTGGGCCCAAGAGGCTTGGTCTAGTATCGATCTATCAATTCTTGATAATTTGGCCGTGACCATGCCTCACCGCGTCGAGCAAATTATCAAGTATGAGGGCTGGTACACTAGCTATTGAATTTATTGTATTCATTCGGCAGAAATACCGGCAGAAAAACCGGCAGAATATTCGTATGCCAAGCCGCTATTTTAGCGCTGGTGCAAACTGTTTTCCAGTGACTGTATACAGCCCTATACCTATCTATCGCAGCCCCGGCGATGGTTTAGTATGAAAATTTCAAGTTGAACGTGTCAAGGAAGACAAAGGAAACACTATATTGAGGATCATGCAGATCTATTGCCGTATTGTCTACGGGATTCGGCATCAAGTCCGGCCACACATAGAGGGGGATTCCTGTAGGGTCCGACTTACACTCCTCAAGGGTTAGTCGCTGTATCTAAGTGAACCACCCCCTCGTGCTCTCCCCTTAGTATATCTCGCCTAGCCCACAGGTGTCACCCTAATCTGACAAGTTCATTACAGAACGCACCACTGGCACTTCACAAGATTCTTCAAACATTTGAAACCGACTCGGAAAGCTACTCAAGTGCTATTAGGAGATATGGAACCTTTGAAGAGTAAATCTCTTGCGTCTACCGAACCCATGTCGGCCGCTTATATATGCCAAATACCATATTTAGTGTCAAATACTATATGAATACGGTAGGACTATGGTATTAGTATTTATTTGGGTATTTTATCAACTACGATATTCGGTGAAATACGGTATTCGATGCATTTTTACCTTGGAGTAAACTTTTAACACGTCAAGTGACAATAAACCACATCAGACTCTTATAGATATTAATGGGAGAGAAAAGATTGAATAGATTAAATGTCAGGGTGCGGACGGGCGAGGTTATAATAGGAAGAGATCAACAAGATCAGGTCGTATCCGGAAGGGTTCTATTTGATCAGACAGCAGGCAGCGAGCAGACTAGCATAAGCTATTATACAAGACGTAGCTCAAGGAGCTACAAACAGGATCAGGAACAGATGTGTAGATAAACAAAATGAAGATCACGTGCCCGTGATCTTCTGTCGGATAGAGGCCTTACTGCCTGAGATTACGTAAACCTACACTGTATTTTTACCCCTTAGATTTAGCAGAATTGAACACACATACACACATCTGTACAATTGGACCCCATTGGGTGCCACATGCTGCTGAATAAGCCTTTATTCTGACATCTTCCTTATCAGTCTTGGCAGGTCCTCACGGACCCTATCGGGTCACACCGTGACACTAAATAGCCTAGGGGTAAACACAACAATAAACAAATCTCCAAGTCCACTGGTTCAATTCCTGAGTAAAGCATTTAAATGTAAAGATACAGTCGTTCTCGAAATCGGCTTGACCGATATACACTCAATCACTCTTTCCTGGCCCCACTGCCAAAACCTTAGCGCAGATAATTAATTTGGCCAGCTGTAGGAAGTTAAGGCCTACTGTAAAATGACGTTTGTATAGTATTGTAAAGCGCTAGTAAATTTACGCGATGTGTAAAGGAATTGGTTAGAAGCCCATGGAGGTCGACACAGGGGATCTCCGCAAAACAGTCCGGATGTGACTCCAGTTCCCTTCTCAGCCCGTATATCTGCTCTTTGGCAGCCGCTGCCTCGTAAGGGCTGTATCTTCGGCTGATGAGAAATAATCTCTCTCGAAATCGGCTTAACCAGTACGCAGTGAGGAACTATTTACGAGCCCCGCCGCCAAGACTAGCGCAGATCATATAATGAGCGGGGCCCCTTAACCTCAGTTAATTATAAAGTATAACGTGGTAGATATATATTAGACAACGAAAAGTAAGTCCATCAAATTCCACGGAATTCTATAGTACGGCAATTTAGTAGCGCTGTCACTCATTAGGCTGAGACGAGAAACTATAGCTCTTTTGGCTGTCTACTCATCAACCTTGTGCTTATAATGTACAAAAGCATCGCGGATCCTGGGAAAGGACTATGACTGGTTGGGCTGTAGCGACTCAGGCAGCCACATACCGTGGGGGCCAGCGGCTGTCAAGCAACAATTAAAGGAAGCACATACCCCACTTGTGATTTTTCTGAGTCCCGCAAATGTCATCCTTCGCAATCCTTCATAGCACCGTACGTTTCCTCAACTTCATCCGGCGACATCATCTAGTGATGTAAGTCTAAGAGTCGCATTTAGGCATTTTATCTAAGACTTATGACTTTTCCTAGTGTGTTGACCGCCTAATACACGCGTACTAAATCACCGTAAATCACTCACTATGAGCGGTGCCGAGGCCTCCTTTGTCGTTGGTCTTATTTCGGGCACAATCTCAATCATTGAGGCAATCAAAACGGTATATGATGCTGCCAAAGACGCACAAGGTCAGCCAGAGACATTCCGTCAGGTAGCTGCACGACTGCCACTAGTGATCAAAATCCTCCAAAGCGCTAGATGGACGGCACAGGCGCTCGACGAGATTGCACAGGAGGCATTAGAACCCACCCTAGAGTCATGCAAAGCGAAGGCTGAGGCCCTCCAGAAAATATTCAAGAAGGTTGTTCGGAAGGATGACGACAAGTGGTACGATCGATACAAGAAGGCCACAGTGGCTACCTTAGGAAAACAGGGTAGGGTGGAAGGATTAATAGAGGGAATATTAAAGGACATAAATGTGCTTACATGCGAGTGCTGATGGGAACTGCCACCGATGCCGACGTGAAGGAGATCAAAGAGGCAATGAAACAGATGAAAGATATGCCTTCCTCTCTCCACGACGAGACAGCGGATGTGGCGACAATATTGGGGCCACTGGTGGGTCAATCCTGAACTTCCACAAAGGCAAAGGGGATCAGTATCACAATGAGATTACTGGGGACGCGTATTTTGGTGGTAAGAACTTGAAATAGTATGATATGGGTTCAAGTCTAGATTTGACATATATAAACTAGCAAAATCCCCCAACTCGACCTTCAACTTGATTAGTATGTTTATAACTTGAAAGAGTTCTGAAATCCACTGCTAAATATATGTGCGGTGACTTACTGATTCTCTTTTCGTGGGTAGATTATTCTGATACGCAGCCTGTTGTCGAGATATGTAAAATGATTGAGCAACGCTGGTCTAACACTGAGGATCGACGTTGTCTAGCCACTCTTCAGGCTAACGATCCTAACTTCGATCCTAGACTTGACAAAGACCGAATCGAGGATGAGAAGGGTGGCCTTTTCAGAGACGCATACTGCTGGGTGCTTGAAAATGTCCATTTTAAGAAGTGGGTGGATGCAAGATACGGCCAGCTTCTCTGTATCAAGGGTGATTCCGGCAAGAGAAAGACAATGTTACTCTGCGGGATCATTAATGAACTGCCTAAGATTGCCAGGCACGACACCAATATCTCGTTCTTTTTCTGTCGAGCTACAGACAGCCGCATCAATAGTGCGACAGCGGTCCTGCGGGGGCTCATATATATGCTTGTGCAGCAACAACCCTCACTCATTGACTATATCCGCGACGGTCCGTTCGAGGGCGACAATGCATGGTTTGCATTACGCAAAGCCTTTATCAATATTCTCAAGGACCCGCACTTACGCAGCACCTATCTGATCATCGATGCACTTGACGAGTGTACTACAGACTTGAACCGACTGCTTCAACTTCTTCGCGAGCAGTCGTCTGCTTATCAGCACATCAAATAGGTTGTCACTAGCCGCAACTGGCCCAGCATTGAGAAAGGCCTCAATGGCACAGCGGAAGTCCGTCTTGAGTTGAACGAGGACACTCTGTCAGCTGCTGTTGAATTATTCATCCAGTACAAGGTAAATGATTTAGCAAAGAGGAACAGGTATAGTCCTAAAATACGATAGTGTCCAGGATCACCTGGTTTCAAATGCAGATAGGACCTTCCTCTGGGTAGCTTTGGTTTGTCAAGAACTCACAGACGTCTCTAAGATAAACGTTCGGAAGAAGTTGAAAGACTTCCCACGTGGCCTTGATAAGCTTTATAAGCGGATGTGGAACCGTATCACTGAATCGGATGGTGCCGAACTGTGCAAATCTCTTCTCGGCGTTACTATAATTGTTTTCCGCCCTCTCACAATGGACGAATGGCGTGTGGTATGGACCTACCTGAGAATGTCGAAAATAATGATGACCTGGCAGATATTCTATGGGAATGTGGCTCTATCCTGACGCTCCAAGAGCGCAAGATCTCCTTGGTTCATCAGTCCGCCAAAGACTTTCTCCTTCGAGAAGCAGTCCATGAGATACTTCCTAACGGAGAAGAACAAGTACACTATTCCATCTTCTCGAAATCGTTGCATGCCATTACCAGGACACTATATCGTGACATCTATGGCCTAGTTGCACCCGAATATCCGGCTGATATGGTCAAACAACCAGACTCTGATCCTCTAGTCGCAATACGGTATGCCTGTGTCTGGTGGGTAGATCACTTAAAGCAATACGCCTCTAGCGAAAAAAACAAAAGACGACCTTCAGGATAGTGGCTCAGTGGGTTTATTCTTGCGCCAGGACTACCTTCATTGGCTTGAGGCTCTTAGCCTATCAAGAAGCGTATCCGATGGAGTAGCTTCTATGGTGAAGCTCGAGGGTTTGCTGAAGGTCTGTTTCCCTAAGTGCGATCATGGAAACATGTTGACCTAATTATATTAGACAACGACGGAGGACGCACAGTTGATTAAAAGAGTCAGAGATGCATGTCGGTTTATCCTATACCACAAAACAGCTATTGAGGAGCAGCCACTTCAAGTAAACGCTTCCGGGCTAGTATTTAGCCCGACAGGCATCATGACGAGGATGCAATTTGAATCACAAAAGCCAGATTGGATAAATAGTCAACCAACCATGGAGGAAGATTGGAGTGCATGCTTGCAGACCCTCGAGGGCCATGGCGCCTCAGTCAACTCGGTCGTCTTCTCGCATGACTCAAAGCTCCTCGCCTCTGCCTCAGGCGATAAGACTGTTAAGGTATGGGATGCCAACAGCGGGCAGTGCCTACAGACCCTTAATGGCCATAGCGCCTGGGTCAACTCGGTCATCTTCTCACATGACTCAAAGCTCCTTGCCTCTGCCTCAGGTGATTGCACTATCAAGGTGTGGGATGCCAGTAGCGGGCAGTGCCTGCAGACCCTTGAGGGCCATAGCGCCTGGATCTACTCGGTCGTCTTCTCACATAACTCGAAGCTGCTCGCCTCTACCTCATATGATAAGACTGTCAAGGTGTGGGATGCCAGCAGCGGGCAGTGTCTGCAGACCCTTCAGGTCAACAATACCATCAATCTAAAATCATTTGACATCACCAACTCATACCTTGAAACTCGTATTGGCATGCTTTGTTTATCTTTACTTTCAGAGGAAGGACCAAGCAACACTGACCCCGACATGCCGCGATTTAAAGAATATAGTATGAGTTCAGATGGTACATGCATCACTTGGAACTCGCATAATCTGCTACGGTTGCCTCCAGAGTGCCGGCCACGAACCTTTGGTGCGTCACGATCGTTAATATGTCTCGGTTGTGCTTCAGGACGGGTGCTATCATTTACTTTTGATTCTCCTAAGCTATCAGATTTCCTTAAAGAGCACTGAATTCTATTAACAACAAATACCTTACACAATTTTACTCTTCACATTATTTTATTTCTTTGGACAAAAAAAGGCCCTATTAAATGATTTATGGGGAATTACATTGCCACTTAATGACATCATATCTGTAACCAATCCCCACGCGATTCTATAATATTCTATAACATGCCATTATTGCCTCTACGCATGACCGCACACAATCATATCTGCTTCCATAGTAGTCTTTTACCTATTTTGTAATGTTATATCAGAATATACAATATCATACAGGCAGCATTTTACAGCGGTCCTTAATTTCCCACGACCCGCCAAATTAATGATCTGCGCTCAGGTCTTGGCAGTGGGGCCAGAAAAGAGTGTTCGAGTGTTTATCGGTCAAGCCGATTTCGAAAATAACTGTATAGAGTAAACATATAGATAAACACGTAAAGTAAAAAAAAATAAAAAATTCAAGAGGCGTAGAATAAATAAGTAGAATAGGACAGAAGTAGCACCAGGTAAATAATTCTTTTAATATAGAAATCAAGTTCAAATACCCTTCAAATACCCTTCAAATACCCTTCAAATACCGCATTTCCCCAAATACCGTTAAACTACCGTCGTGGTCAGGGTATTTGGAGGGTATTTGAACCATATAGATTGCCGGCATGGACTCCTTGGCCGACGGGGAAAGTCACTGGTGATACACCAGCGTCAGGACGCGGAGCAGCCCCTGTCGCTGGTAACAAATTTCCTCGTCCAGGATGGATTCAACAGTGTTGGTGAAATTCCGGGGCCAGAGAACCCTGGCAGGATGGTATTCAGAAAAGGAAAACATTTTATCATCGTGCAGCGCGTTAGGCGCGTTGAACAGCATCTACGAGAGACCTGGGGCAATGGGGGACAACACAAATTGTATTTTGGCCAGAATGGCGAATTTTATCCACGGATACAGACAAAGTACTGGGATGAGCCTGATCCCTCTGAGTTTGTGAAGGAAATACTTGACAGGATGTGAAAGGCACGTTAACAGGAGTCAATTGAGATTAGAAATTGGCATATAGTCATGTGGCTAACTATATGATAGTAGGATTATTACTACGTCGTGATACAGACATTATGGGTGAGAAAATGGAAGGGTTTCCCAGAGGCCATTCGGCTTTATTATTAGATGATAAGCAAAGTCATGACCAGATCATAATTCGGCACGATTCGAAGAAATAAGGCACTGGACGGCAAAATCATGACACCTCTGAATTGGTCTAGCAAATCGGTAGGCAAACTTCAAGGTAGATGTGCTGGAAAGGGACGCTTGAAATGTGGACGTTTTACATGTTACTCTTGATTTTTTGGGACTTTATTTAAAACATTTTGTACGGTGCTTTGCAAAAGATGAATTACTACCAGAGTATACAAGATTTAGACCTTTGACATTATAAGTACCTGGATTGTCATATGTGCATAAAAGGATTCATATTTGTATTGGACTACTAGTAGGGGTAGTGGTCTGAACCGGGAAGTGTGCCTGCCTATAGATACTATGTAGCACACACTACTGTGACACACCTCAGTGGACTTCCTTCCTTCCGAGTCCTTCAAGTTCCTCATACCATCGCCGCACATAGCTTGTTCCCCCTCCCACAGTTTTTCCTTTTTTTGCTATGTATTCTAAGCGGCTTCTTGCTGCAGCATTTGCCGTTAAAAGCTGCTTTGCAGCTGTATCGAAGGCTCGCGATGATACTCGGTGCACCGAGACGACAGTAGCCATTCTGTGAGTCACCATTTGTGATTATAGACTCTATATTGGTGCTAACGGCCAACCCTTCAGTGGCGGTGGTATGGCCGGAGTTGCTGCAGCAGTACGTATCTTCCGCTTCTCTTGCCATTATCGGCGCGGTACTCACAAAAGCGTATAGCAAGCACTCTCGAACTCATCGGTGCATGATTTTGTAATCATTGAGTACCAAGACAAGCTTGGAGGGCGCGTTCATCATACAAATTTTGGTCAAGATGAGAATGGCGATCCTTATACCGTGGAGCTGGGCGCTAACTGGGTATGTTTCACTCTCACAACGGAAGAACAAGGGCTGATATGTTGCGTAATAGGTGCAAGGACTGGGATCGCCCGAGGGACCAGGTAAGACAGACCTTTCCGGTAGTTTTCGCTTACAGAACTCGACTAATATCATACCCAGAGAATCCCATTTGGACATTCGTAAAGAAATGGGGCCTGAATAACACCTATTCTAATTACAGCTCAATTCGCACATACAATGAGACCGGCTATACCGACTACTCCTCACTCTTCGACAAGTACAAAACCAAGTATGACACCACCTCAGATCTGGCTGGAACTATCCTCAAGGCGAACTATCAGGATATGACAGTCCGCTCTGGCTTTTCATTAGCCGGATGGAAGCCCAAGCGAGATGATATGACTGCCCAAGCTGTCGAGTGGTGGGAATGGGGTAAGTCATCATGTGTAAAATTCCTTGCTGATCTAGACCAACATTTTATAGACTGGGAAGATGCCTCCTCCCCCGAACAGAGCTCGCTGGTTTTCGGTGTTGCCGGCAACAATTTGACATTCAATCAATTCAGCGATGAAAACAACTACGTCTGGGACCAGCGCGGCTATAGCCGAATCATCACCGGAGAAGCCTCTATATTCCTGAAGAAAGATGACCCTCGAGTACACTTGAACTCCCGCATTACGAAGATCAGTCATGCCGACGACGGCGTCACCGTTTATAAGGATGATGGTAGTTGCATATCAGCAGCATATGCCGTCTGTACATTTTCCCTGGGCGTTCTCCAAAGTGAAACGATCAACTTTACGCCAGATCTGCCAGACTGGAAGAAAACCTCAATTGAGAAATTCCACATGGGTACCTACACCAAAATCTTCCTGCAATTTAACGAAACCTTCTGGCCCAAGGACACCCAGTTCTTCCTCTACGCATCTCCAACAACCCGCGGTTACTATCCCGTTTGGCAATCACTGTCCACGCCCGGCTTCATCCCGGGGTCCAACATCATTTTCGTAACCGTCGTAGGCGAGCAAGCGTACCGCGCAGAGAGGCAAACAGACGAACAGACCAAAGAAGAAGTCATGAAGGTCCTACGGGAGATGTATCCAAACATCGACATTCCTGAGCCCACAGCTTTCATGTACCCGCGATGGAGCACTACACCTTGGGCATACGGCAGTTATTCAAACTGGCCCGCAGCGACAACCCTAGAGATGCATGAGAATTTCCGCGCGAATGTCAACCGCCTCTGGTTCGCGGGTGAAGCTACCAGCGCACAATACTTTGGTTTCCTGCACGGAGCTTGGTTCGAGGGCCGGAACGCCGGAGAGCAGATTGCGGCTCTGTTGAATGACGAGTGTGCCAATATCACTAGCACGAGCGAAGCTTGCGGTAATCTCCGCCATTATGAGAAGTTGTATGGATCCTCGCCATTGGCGGATTATAGTGTCTTTGACGGATGGCCTGTTAGTAGTTTTTACTCCAGCAGTTAGATTGCTATGGAGACTTCCGTGAAGATTGTGGATCTGTATAAGATTAGCCGCTCAAAGCATCCGTGCTAGCTAGGCGCTCGGGTTAGCTCGGTTAAGCGGTTGAATCATCATCCGAGTGAAATGTACGAAGTATCAATAGGATAAATCCATTAAATTTGACAATCTCATTGAGTTGTATGAGATAAGATATGAAAAATGAATAAAGAAGGTAAGGTTGAAGGGTGATAGCACAAAAGAAATGGGTAACCGTCCCACTGTAATGATCCAGCACGCAACTCCAACCCAATGAAAATCCAGACCCAAACTCCGTAGTATGTATCAAAAGACTGTTTCATTCACTTCGACCAGCGCGGCGATTGAAAAAAAAAAATCTCGTATATGAGGAGTATGGCGCTCATGCTCGTTGGTGATATGCATCGAGCGCTTGTTGCATATCCTCTAGGCTCTCCTTGCTCCCATAGGCATCCATAAGCTGACGATTCAACGCTAGTCGCTTTTCTTCATCGCGGAGCATTTGTTCGCGTCGCGCGGTCGCTTTATTGTAATAATTATATCCTGCAAATCCTATCCAGGAGCAGTTAGTACCACACTTCTTACCCACGGGAGAACTCGGATGAGTGATCTTTATGGAGCATGCGTACCGAGACCTATTGCTGCGACGAGAGGAAGATACCTAGGACCATAGAGTTAGTGTTTTCCCTTCATAGACGAATTAAGGGGCTAATTCTTACCAACGACCGTACCTCGGCTTGAAGCTCGGGCCGCTCGGGTGGTTTCTGTATGACTTGTTCGTGCCTGGGAAGGCGTACTGGGACATGATGGAGATAGAAGGAGATATGGATTATATTGATTGTATTTGAAGGTGGAAGTTTAGAAGTTTAAAGGGTTCAGGGGGGGTTGGAATCAGTAATGTGGCGCGTGTGAAAGAGTCGGACTAGCGGAATTGAAAGATCGCCGGGTATGGAATGCGGGAGATGTGAGAATGCGGGGATTGCATGACGTGGAGAACCAATTTACGTAGATTACGACGCTAAAATGAAATCATACCATGACTTTTTTTGATATATGGACCATGGGTCAATCATACAATGTTGCATGATTGGGATCTTCATAAAATCTGATCAAGATTTTCTTCCTTAGTCGGGAATATCAGGGAGTATAATCGCATGTTGCGAGTTAAAACTCATGTTCATCCCCACGGTGCACAGTCCCCCGAGGTCACAGATACGATACGCCAAACCAACATGCGATCCTTGCCTCTTCAATTTAATCGTCAATTCGCCACAGTGGACTTTCTCTGTATAGCTCCAAAAAAAGGAAAGGAATCACATTACTCATCCATAACATCATGCTGCAATTATAATAACGGTATCTTTAATCCATCACACTACTGTCCAAGGTTCTTGGGCGCAGCGGCAGCCGGTCCCTCCGGAGTCACATATGCCTGTAGCCTAGCGTCAGCACTAATTCAAATCTCACTTCTCTGAACATCAACACATACCTTGCTCAGACCACCGTCAACGACAAAGTCGGTACCGTTAACGAAGCTGCTCTCATCACTAGCCAAGAACAGCACAGCTTGAGCCTGCTCAATAGCCTCGCCGAATCGACCACTGGGGAAGTGTACCTCGCGACGGAATCGCTTAGCCTGGTCATCACCCAACCAGTCCTGAAGAAGAGGAGTGCTACAGAGAAAGAACCCAGTCAGCAAAAATGGTCCATCGCAGTCCACGCATAGCAGATATGGAAATACATACTTGAGAGGACCAGGGCAGAGGGAGTTGAATCGGAATCCCTCACGAGCATGAACAACAGCCAGCTCACGAGTAAGAGCCAAGACAGCACCCTTGCTAGCAGTGTAAGCCAACTGAGGTGTAGCAGCACCCATAAGTGCCACAAAGCTAGCTGTGTTGATAATGCTACCCGAGGTCTTCTTATTCCGACGCAAGCTCTGCACAGCATGCTTGCAGCCAAACCAAACACCCTTAACATTAATGCTTTGTGTCAGATCCCAGATCTTCTCGGGTGTATCGACCGCGTCGGCATCGTCTGCGTGCATGATGCCTGCATTGTTGAACATCACATCCACACCGCCCCAGCTATCCTGGGACTCGACCAAAGCCTGGACGTCGGCTTCCTTGGATACATCGCAGCGGATAGTCTCAATACGGAGTGCGTTGGGCACAACCTTCTTGACCTTGGCGAGGGCCTTAGCCAGTGCGGGCTCGGAAATATCAGCCATGAGGACGTTGGCACCCTCGCGGGCAAAGAGGATGGTGGTTTCGAGACCGATGCCACTGCATACATTATTAACAACAAAGTCTTGGATGCAAGTGTAGGTTGTAGTCCCTTACCCTGCGGCACCGGTGATAATAGCGTTCTTTCCTTGGAGACGGCCCATTGTGAATGATATGGAGTAGGAACTGTGTAACAGGTGGGTGTTAACGGGTGGTCAGGGAAGAGGACAGAACTGGACTGTTTTCAAAGGAATTGGCGGTATTGCTGTCCTTATATTCTTGCGGAATTTGCACAGACACACTCACTTTATCAGATAGTTGAATGAATCAAGCTCACTTACAGACCGATCGAGCTGTATACGCGGGGCATGGAATGCTAAAAGGCGGTGTCGGCGGACCGAGACCGCGGTGCGCGCTATCTTATCTCAGAGCGCCGTGATAAACAACTTGAACTTGAAGTTCCAATATCATTGTGCTTTCAAGTTCTTCAAGAATATCACATTCTCTCAGTGTCAATTGGCAATTGTGGGATTGATTGGAGATCCATTTATAAGAATCTTCCAACTATCCCGGATACGCAATCCTCCATATATTGGTGATGATCTGCTACGCATATCTCACTCGAGCAATTACACTGGTTCCGAATGTGACCTGCTCTAGGATTTCATGGGGTTTATTTGGTTCCCTACTTCTCATCCATGTGAGATTTTTCATGAATGTTTTAATATTTGAACTCGAGTGTTCCTGAATGCCAGTGGGTCCTTTGAGTTCCGAGTCTATAACCGATCTCGTCTTCTGTGTGCGTATATACCGGCGATATATGGAATTATTTGAGGGATAACGATAATTTACATTATTATGAACAGTTTCAGCTCTTCAGTGTTCTATATGCCAATATCCATTGGATATCGGTGTTGTATATGCTATTTGAGGATTAAGCATACTACGTAATAATCGAACTGTCCATAACCCCACTAAGTGGAGCCCATTCGTCTACTAAGCTCCACCGATCCTCCGAGTCACTGATATAGGTATAGATTCAATTTTTTGGGAAACTGAAGATCTTCAGGGCTCAGGTTCTATGGGTTCACAGACAGTATAAGCACTTACGAGTACTTCTTTGGCAAAGTAGAAAGACAACTAGCACTTGAGAGATAGAATCTAGAAAAGAACTTGAAATCACCCGTAACATTATTCAGTGTTACAATTAAATTGCTACTCTCTGAGAAACTACTCGAATTGCAAACTCGACTGAATTACTACAGTCTGAAAATGCGACTGGTCGTCTGGCAAATAGCCACTTCTGCTACTAGTAGGAATGATCGCAACCCTTGAGTCCATTGAGTACCAAGACTGCGTGCTCCATACACAAACATCTACTAAACAACCCCGTTAAAAAGCTTAAGATGAAATTCCAATGTCATACTGCACATTTGGAGCGATGAAAAGAATGGTCACCAGCGCTAAGCATTTCCTCGCGATTGGGCCTACTATGGCAGCCCCACGGACTATACTTCATATACGACATGCAGCCGGGGTATGTTCTCCGAGAGCGTCGTCCAATTGTTTAACTCAGTTGTGTCGGTCGTTACGATACTTCAATCACTTTACAAAAATCTAAGTCAGGAAACATGGGATTTTCCTTTTGATAAAAGGAATATTATATAGTAAGTGAGTGTTAACAGCAGTCGGATGGCACCTGACTATCAGGACCCCTGCAAGTACCTAACATTGAGCAGGTAGACGTAGCTCTCACCCCACCCCACGTAGCTTCTTCTTTCTCCCACGTCAACACTGGCAATCTTTCCACAGACTTCCTTTCCCCAATGAGCAAATTATATAATTTCGGTTCCGAAAAAAAGATCACGATTCATCGTCTTATATTGACTGAAATACCCAAACTTCCACTGTTCGGTCGGATACTTTGACATACTCTGGCCTCCTTCATCAACCCTGCGCTCTTACATCCAGGCTTCAATACCAAACGTTTCCATCAAAGAGAGACCTGGCAGTTCCAAACGGGCTCGTTTTATCGTCATGGAGAGAGATACCTCTCTAGAACAAAGGTCAGCAGTTGGGGCGACACCGACAGCATCCGGCCCCCGCACTCGTGAAGGGAACTCGGATCTGTGGTACAAAGTCTACACACCAGAGTTCGACAAAGTGGCCTACGATCCCCTGGATCCTCCAAAGCGATACCACACAGGAATTTTCGTTGAACGAGACACGGGTTCTCTCCAAGGAGAGCAATTTCACGTCACCGGCGACATCATCGCCAGGAACGGGATGCGGTTCGAAGTGAAAGAAAATTACGTTCCTGCAGCATCCAAGTACTTTCACAGGACTACACATATCGGATGGATTCATAAAGATGATTATCCAAAAATAAGGGTATCTTAGAAGCCTTGCCCCGACCGACCAAACAACAGGGACTTGACTTTTGGAGCAAGGATCCAGCTAAGCGGAATAAACTCACTTGGACGAAACAGAATGGGGACCTTTACGGACCAGGCGAAGAACGACGACCTATCATGAAGTGCAATGAATGGACACATGAGCTTGCGATTCCGAAGTTGCGAAGTGAAGGAGTCTTGCATAGCTCAATTTGACATATCGAGTTATCCACAGGGTGCGGATGATGAGGCCCATGCAGCGTGGAGAGGGAAAGAATTAGGAGAGCCCTCTTTACAACCCCCTTCTACCTGCAACCATTGGCAGTGGTATTATTAGTACTAGTATCAGACTTAAACCAGATCATGATTCCAACTTGAACTTGAAGGCTTCCCCAGCTTACATAGTCTGATATACATTCCAGAAACTCATAGAGGACAAAAAGAAATTATAAACAGATTTGTATCAGTTCTGAATCTCATCTTTTGTTTTGTTTCATTACTGTCGTTATAATACATCAATATCCTAATTCCGTATCAATCAGTTGCATCATGGCTACTTCAGCAGGCAATACTTCAAGGAAATCCTGGACTCGCCATGACCAGTCCTCATCCCACTGAAGAACAAACCGGTCGGAGGCACAAAAGAATTCCCAAAATTCAGGAAGCCAGCCTGAATTCTCCCAATCAACCAGTACAATATCAAACGATCGTCCACCTTGATCATTGCGACCATTCTCAGCAACAATAATATTCTTTTGCTGAACATCCCCATGTGTCAACGTAGGCCGGTGACCCTTCAGAACACGCCCGAAGTATTTTTCATAAAAGCGTGCCTTGTAGTCTGGATGGTTATTGCGGTCAACCAAAGCTCTATAATTGCCAACAAGGCCTGCAACAAGAGCAGGTTCACCAGAGAAAGGCCCCAAAAACTTCTTATCACCATGTTGGCTATAGAAGAGATAATGGGGTATGCCACCTCCATCCAACCCTCCAAAAAAGCCAGGCCAAGGACACTCAGCTTTGCGCAGAGTGTCGAATATTCGTTCGAGTTTTGTAATAATGTCGTCTTTCTCAGAGGGTTCCAGTGATGGCCAGACATCATTTAGCTGAACTCCAGGGGCGCGTTGTATGATCAGAAAAAGTTGTTTAGAGTCATCTGGATAGTACATCGCGTATAGACGCGGAGCGGGAACTTCTGGGACGTATCGTTCAAGATAAACCAAAGCTTGGCCTTCTCTGATGTCGACGCAAGTTCCGAATTTCACAACAATTTCATCGTTTAAGGCCACAATCTTTGAGGCCTGTGTTTCCCATAACACATTGGTGCAGGCGCGTATTTCATCTGTTGTTGGTAGAGTAGGTAGCGGTTGTGATGGGTTTTGAAAGGGGACATCTACTGGTTTCCACATTGTGAAAAGTAGGAATTGGGAGAATATATGGAGATGTTGATTATTAGATGAAAAGAAGGAAGATGAGGTGTAGGAGATTGCGAATTATCGATAACGACTGTGGTGAGTCTGGTGACTCAAGTAGATGTAGGCTGTAGCCCACCGCGTATCTTCCCCTCATCCACATTCACACCGCCCGCGCTTCCTTTCCGTAGCAAGAAATTCGATCGCCCTAATACACTTATTTTAACCCTCCAGAACTGAACACTCTATTTCAGAACTGTCATAGTTTTCAGCCTTTTCTTCCACAACTGGTTAGGGTTGTCGCTTACTGGCTACTTACATCTGATGTGGTCCCCAGTTGGCAATTGCCCTTATGCTGGGGTACTTTGCCTGAAACACCCGAAATTTATATCATTTTCGAACACTCTCAGGTTTCAACTCCCCAGTCTGACATGAAGTAAATAAAGTATCAATTGGCTGCATCATAAAAGAGTGAATGTACATGCAACGGTATAAATGACAGTAGCCCATCTCGTTTGCGTCACGAGATCAAAATGTACAATCTATCAAACTATAAAGTCCTTCAATCAATGGTAAAGACCCATCGAGACAGTCCGGTACTCAATAGAGTTCCAGGTGGCTGGTCAGCTGCCAGGTTGACAAAAGCCCGAGAGACCCAGCCGGGGCAACCACTTAGATGTACTCCCAAGCAACATTGCTAGAAGAGACATTCACACCAACAGCCAAAGCATCAAAGCCAAGACAGTCACCAAGGTTACCTGTGGGAACAGTAGCATTCTGCTGAGCAGCGAACACCTGCCAAGTAGGAGCGGCGGCAGCGGCGGCACGGCGGGCCGCAGCAGAGCGAGTAGAGTTAGAAGCAGGGACAGGGCAAGCCATGAATCCCGAGGCGCCTTGACCAGAGTAAGTCCAAGAACCCAGGGGGTTGCTCGAGCTGCCTGGGACGTATGTGAAGGGACCGGAAGAAGAACCGGCAGGAATGTAACCGGAGTGAGGAGTAGTGAAGCTCAGTGCACCGGATGGGTCAACGTAGATGGCCTGACCACCGGGGACAGCCACATCCTAAAGCTATATGTTAGTTTTAAATTTTGAAAGGTGGATGCAGTCGGATTCCAAGCTTACCAAAGCACCCTGGCCGTAGATAATGGTGCTGTTGGTGCGGCTGAAGCAGCCGGGGACAACCTCGCTGGGGCAGTATGTGGAGGTTTGGCCACCGAGATAGAAGTGAGAGCCGGAGGCAGTCAGAGGAAGGAAGTGAATAGGCGAGCCAGAGCGAGCGGCAGTGATGCCAAAGGCACCGTTGACATCCTTAGTCTTGGTGGTGCTAACGTGCGAGCCTGGGAGGGCTGCGACGAGAGGAACGAGGGACAGAAGAGCAGAAACCTTCATTTTGACAGAATGGTAAGTTATAGCGAATGTAGGAGTGATGAATAGTATAGTATTGATAGTGTATGCAAATGGAGGATCATGGGGAGAGCAAGCAGGTCTTATATGCTAGTAGGAAGTGGAACATCTCCACTGATAGAATATTTCCCATGTGCCGTCCAGGGTTTCTTGATCGGCACAGGACGTGCTTGGCTGCGACCTTACCATCAAATATTGGAAGAGAAACAAAATTATATCATAGTCGGTCGGGTTAAGCTTAGCACACAGTATCTCGGAGGCGAGCTCCACTCTGCAGTCAGTGGCACATACATAAACTCCATCGGGATGCCCCTGATAGGAATAATTTCGGGCTAGCAGCGATGAGAGCCAATGATAATTGCTTCGTCGTTGCCTATTCAGAATAATTATGGTTCCAATTCAGGGTCTTCAGGAACCGGAGAAGCCTATTGGGAGGATTAGTGTCTGAAACATGATGCAGAATCTCCACCACGAAATGGAAGTGATCGACAGCCACAACCAAGGGTTTGAAGAGGCTTGAGCAAGATTACACTGATAACGTCTGGTTTTTTGGGCTGATGAGATGCGTTCAATATTGCTCAATTGAGAAACGCTGTTCTCTACCTCATAGTAGCTATGAGGGCTTGCCGAGGCAGCAAAAAGTAACCCCAATTGTGCGGTTATCTTGTCGGCGATCGCCTACTCGCGGTCCAAGTGAATACCCTGACAGGTGGGTCGTTTCAGAGAAATCAAGTTAAGAGAAGACAATATGAGGGATCGACGACAGTCTTGAAAGGTCTGCGGGGCAGCAGCACAGCAGGTACGGAGTAGTAAAAAATCAATCAGTTCTATTCTTGGGTACCATGGCTCAAGGCAACTGTCGGAAGCAATGTTGAATTTAGCCGTGGACGGAGAGTCTCCATGGGATCCACCATGTCTCAGTCAAGTCGGGGTTGACACCAGATTCGGCACCAAGGAGAATGCTTCCAATCGTCCTCGGAAAGAATTAATATCCTATGAATTCGCCATGCATGTTATGGTGACTGTCATAGTGACGGATACGAGTGAAGAGTGGAACATTTGATGATCCTTGGAGCACTTTTGCCGTTCAAGTGGGAATGAATAGTAAACAAGAATCAATCTGTGACATGAAAACGAGGTGATCATCCAGGGACTCCGCTACGGTGGAGTGGAAAGGAGTCAATGCTCGCACCGCCACAATACCTGCCAGACAACGATCCAAGTTGATGAAGACACCCAAATGAGGCGCAGTCGAAAGATGGTGGTCAGTTTTCGACTATTATTATGAGCGCATCGACCCACACCTAAACTGGTCAATGCAGAAATAGCTCTCTGCCAACTACTGGTACAGTAGAAAGAAGCATGCACGTAGTAGGAGAAGACTATCCCTTCCTAGATTGCCTCCAGCGCTAGAAAGACATAGTGTGAAACAACCGAAGCAAAAATTCTATCCTATTACAATTACCAATATTCCGGACTCATAAACACAGCCAGTAGAAATAATACAAGGTAGCGCTAATATTCACAAGCAAGAACGCAAGAACACAAGCACCTAGAATTCAACCATCAAAGGGAGATCCCTCGAGCTACTTCCCGCCCAGATACGGAACGTATTGTCCGTGGGAAGCACCCAGTTCTGAGCCCGAACACTCCAGTAGCTCAGATCCTTTCGAGTCAAAGTCATATTAACTATCCTCGTCTCGCCAGGATCAAGAGATACTTTTTCAAAGTTGCGTAGAACCCGATTGGGAAACTCAATTGACTCGACGCCCCTGCCTAGTCCTCGACTTTCGACGACATCAGTGGGGAAGGAGACGTATATCTGAATAACCTGTTTTCCAGATCTGGTGCCTGTGTTCTTGATCTCCACAGAAAGCTCTAGCATGGGCTCGTAAAGGTATGGGTTTCCTCCGGGTCCGCCGCCTGCAGCAGATGGGGACTGTTTCCTGTCATATCCATCTGGATAGGGGTAAGAACCGGGTTCGGTACCATCTTCAGAGGCGAGATATGGATAGATGTATTTGCGAAGGATCTTGAAATCAGAGGGGAAGAGAGACGATGAAGGGCTCTCAGGTCTGTCCGTATATTTTGGCGGGTCGATCACGTTTTCAGGTCGCTTTTTAGGTAGCCGTGACTTTTCTTGCAGGGGCTGGACGTCTATCGAAACAAACTCAAAGGTCGTATATGACAGTCCAAAGCCGAATTCAAAGTGCGGCGTGATATTGTACTTGTCAAAATATCTGTAGTCGACATAGAGACCCTGGTGAAGATTCACCTGTGGCACGAGGTCGTCGGATTGGTACACTATCTGTGCTCCAGGTCCGTAGTCTTCTAGTGAACGTCCAATAGTGTATGGTAGACGTCCGCTAGCATCGACATCGCCGAAGAGAACGTCCAGAAGGGCGTTGCCACTCTCCTGACCCGGAAGATTGCCATACAAGACAGCGTGTACGCTTGGAAGATCAATCCAAGAGTCAAGAATGACAGGACCAATTGAATGCACGACGACCACAGTTTTGCCGCAGTACTGAGCCACTCCTTCAATCAAGGCAGAGCCATTCCGTTGCAAATAAAGATCATTGCGATCTCCGTCGATGCCGTCATTCTTAATGAAGCCTTCGCCGCCATCAGCATTGGCAAAAACAATGCATAGATCCCGATCCAGTAAGTCCTGCACTGCGACATTATTGGTCAAATGGCCACGTATATCTACTGAGTCGGACGGCCAAGCAGACTGAAGGGCTTCCCACGGGCTGACTAGATATGGAAAATCAACCGCACCACTCCCCCAGCCAGAAGCTAAGGTTCCTTGGTTACAGCCGCGATCAGCACAGATATTGGGTCCTTGACCGGGCCCAGCATCTTCACCGTAAACACCAACACGGTACTTTCCAGTGGACCCTGAGACGGTGCGCGACAGTGGCAGAGTATTCTCGGTGTTCTTTAGAAGTATAGTACCCTCGGCCGCTACTTTGCGAGCGATGTTGCCATGTGATTGAGGATCCTTACCCTGGGCATCGACATAGTAGTTCACAATCTCATTGGTTTCATCGTCCGGGCTCCCAGGGTGAAGACTCCCATTCCTATCGTGGGTCCAAGAGGAGAAGTTGGGGCCAACTTTACCCTGTGTTGGCTCTTCATCCCATGTGTCCTGTCGGAAGTGGTAGTAGGCCGCGATGATACGAGTAACCATATCATTCAGTCGCTCCATAGGAACCGAGCTATTCAGTGCGGCCCGTGTTAAATGAGGACCCCAAAGTGCATCGCCGTCTGTCCAGCGCAACCCATCTCCTGGCATGCTCATGTCGAGACCACTCAACGCACTTTGCACACCAGAGCGCTGGGCAAGCCAGTCAGACTGTACAAATCCTTGGAAGCCAAGTTCATCCTTCAGAATCCCATTGAGTAACTTGCTGTTCTCGCAGGAATAGCTGTTGTTCACCATTTGGTAAGCACACATGACACTCGCTACATCTGCTCGAACGCTCTCGGCGAATGGCCAAACGAAGACCTCGTGTAATGCACGATCATCAATGTTGGATGACGATGCTGTTGGAATACCCCATTCGAAGGATTGGCGAAAATGTTCTTGTTCATTTAAAACAAAGTGCTTGGCAGTTGCCATCACACCATTTCTCTGAATTCCTCGGATTGTCTCTGACGCTGCTACAGCTTGCAGAACGGGGTCCGACCCAAACGACTCCCAATTGCGACCACCAGCAGGCATCATTCCCAATGCACCCATGGAAGGTCCAAGTATCACATTCACCCCCTTAAGACGAGCTTCCCGACCGAGCGCAATTCCCCGTGCCCGCATTAACTCACGATTCCATGTCGCGCCAGTTGTGATGCCAGCTGGAAAAGCGGTGATATTATCGGCATATCGAAGACCTAGCGGACCATCTTGTAGGCAGAGTGATGGGAAGCCTACGGACGAAGCGGGACCTGGTATTCATTGTCAGAGGATTTTCTCAAGCCAAAGAAGAGGAAAATATAATTTACCAGTATTTCCAACGCACAAGCCCATCATCCAACCGGTTCCCGTAGTGACATTCACCTTCTCTGTGATACTCATCCGCTGGACGATATCGGATGCCTTTTCATAGCTCTCTTGCCATGCTGCATCCGTACCTCCCAGGGGAGTCGGGTACCAAGGTACAGAGGACTATTAGTCAAGTTAGCTCCATAATGGCCCCATCATGGAATGAGGAACCACTTACGAATTCTGCTAATGACTCAGAGCTGCCCATCGTCCATCGCAAGCCCTTAGCAGCTAACCACATTAAGCCTACTCCTCCTGCCAGGAAGAGAAATATTTGCCACCACGGTCGTCGGTGTACCACGGCCTGGATTTTGGATCTGAGGTTGCGATTTTGTCCACCATCGGTATAGGGGTCCTTATGCGCCGGGTATCCATAGTCGTCGCTATCGACATCACTGAGGACATGCGTTGATTCTGCATCTTCGAGATCGACATTGAATGACTCGGCCAACAACCTCCTCTCCTTTTGGTCTTTGTGAAGCAGCTGCTCAATGCGCATGCCGACATCGTGGGGATCGTCATTGTCCATGGGAAGTGAACTAACATCGCTCAATGGAAGAGCCTCGGATTCGGTTCTTCGCGGAAATCGACGGGGTCTCGAGCGATCCTTAGGCTGTAAAGGTAGGAGTTTCAAGTTGGCGTCGTCTTCGTCGTCACTCTGCAGGGGCGTGTCTGTATCATCGTTCCGTGGTTCCGGGGGGATCGCATGGTGTAAAGGTTCAAGTTCCTCATCGGATCCAGCTGTAGACTGCTCATCGGAATGGTTGTCCTTCAAGGACTTATATCCTGAACGCGCCATGTTTTTAGGAGCGGAGCTGTGGGGTCACCGGGGTCGTGCTAGCTATCGCGGTGGAATTCTTGGCGGTGGGGAAAGAATTGGCCTATGAGTGATATGCAGAATACATTGGATATAAAACACCCAATGAATAGGATGATTTTAAATGATTGAATTGTAATGCTCTTGCACGAATTGAGAGCTTTATATGCTGGATCTTGAATCGGGGCTCGGGGTCACCTGACTGCCGGTGGGATCAACACGTCGATTTACAAATTACGCCATTATGCGTACACGATCTAAATAACCTACCAGGTGGAGGATAATGTTCTGATTTTGCATTTTATCTTATTCCTTATCAACAGGCCACCCAGAATTTGCAATAATGGGATGGGATAGGTCAGTTGTGGACCCGGATTTCGAGGTTTCTACTACTAGTAGTATCAGATGAACTTGAAAACCGAATATAACTATATAACCAGTATGACAATTTAGTAGTGAACTATATAACCCAAGTAGCGATGGCCTAAACGGATTGTTAAACACAATGCACAGTTTTGTCAATCCAATATGAGGAGTTTGATTATTTAATACTAATGGTTCCAAAGGGGTTCAAGTTTTTACAATCAGATAGTGTCTACTAGTAAATTTGTTCATTTTCCATCATGTCATAACTAACTACCTAAAAGAGTCACGGTGTCCATTTATCATTTTTCGGGTGTCCACTGGCATCTAACATCATAACCTGGGTATGATGCTCGCTCCCATGCCGGCAATCTATATGTTTGAAATACCCTCCCCACGACCCGTGGACAGTAGTTAAATGGTATTTGAAGTTGTTTTTTATGAGTCCTCACGCTGCGCCGGTAAAGCAGCGAGCATTTGAAATTTGGAGAGGTATGTCCTCAGCACGCGAATGCTTGGCTAGATGTGTCCATATCCTCTCAGACAGGGACCTCGGGATGTTCTACATAATGACTGACACCTCTTTGTATATAACTAGGTACCTACAGGGTTACCTATACATGTGCATGGTTACCTACTGGGTTACATACTGGGTTACCTATACCTAGTGTAGTGGGGTACCCTGTCCCCTACTACACGTACCGTGCTAAGAATTACCGTTTGGTTACATCTCTGTTTTGTCATGTTTTCAGTCCCGTCTTTGTACGTACAAGAATGCCCGTCGTTATAGTCTAGAATACACACTCCTACACATCTCTCATCCCACCCCTACGGGGTAGTCCGGCCACAACGTACATGTTGGTTCGTGTTATCCATTCATGCTAGCTGGATCGACCCGTGTATCTAGAATACACTGCCTAACGGTTCCCCTCTTCACTAGGTAGGTATGAATACCTGGAGGGGAAGGATAGCTACTACTATAGTTAGATATAGGCAACTGGTAACCCCATAGATATCCAGATGTCTAAAGTAGAAGTAAGAGATTGTAATGAACTTGTCAGATTAGGGTGACACCTGTGGGCTAGGCGAGATATACTAAGGGGAGAGCACGAGGGGGTGGTTCACTTAGATACAGCGACTAACCCTTGAGGAGTGTAAGTCGGACCCTACAGGAATCCCCCTCTATGTGTGGCCGGACTTGATGCCGAATCCCGTAGACAATACGGCAATAGATCTGCATGATCCTCAATATAGTGTTTCCTTTGTCTTCCTTGACAGAGATACTAGTAGCTAAATAAAGCGGGATATATTCACATGTGCATGTTCAAATAGTAGATGTAATAAACAAAAGCAAAATATAGTCTATTGATAAATCTATGGTCTCCGAGTCTAATTATTCTGCCAGACGGTGAAGAAACTCGGAAACTTGAACCACTAACCCAACATTTGAAGTAGAAAAAGAGGTCTACTAGTGGCTTGATAATAGCTTTACTACAAAATTTACCTAGGTACAAATTCAAGTTTTACTACAGCATAGCATGGGCACATAACAACATGCACAATATACCAAGTATGGGACAAATGAATCATCATTAACAAGAGAAACCAGCTTCGTAATATTCAATAAAGACTTTTGTTCAAGGGACAGCTAGCAGATTTATGACTAGAGTCCAAGCAAAGATGCATATCTACCCATTTATGACTTGAATGAAAAAAAAAGATTAACTCCAAAGCGCCGTCTATCTAAGTCCCATGCAAATCCAGAAACAATAATACCTTAAAAGTAGGCACGCATGCAAAGGAAATCAACAACATGAACGTGAGAGAAGCAAAAAAAATAGAAACCCATAACACATCACAATTTGCCAGGTCAATAGCCAGACATGCAATTACTCTTCGTCATCAGTATCGACGGGCTTGGGAGTACCCTTAGGAGAGTTAAGCCACTCAATGTGACGCAGACGACGACGGGCCTCACGATCCTTCATCTGAGCACGAGTCATCTTCTTCTTCTTCTTAGCGCGGAAGTTCAGCTCGCCTTGGTCCTCAGCTCCAGAGTTAACAGCCGAGGCAGCAGCGCTGGTGTTAGCGGAAAGAGCGGCAGGAGTGCCAGGGGCGGAGGGAGTGTTGGCGGCGCTGTCCTCGAAGCGGTCGAGGCTGATGGCAGTGTTGGTTCGGCTGACGACACGGCCGTCGGCGATGTGCAGCTGCTCGGGGCAGAGAGCACCGACGAACTCTTCGTTGTGAGAAATCATAACCACACCACCCTTGAAGTCACGGATAGCAACGGCCAGACCACCAAGAGAGTCACGGTCCAAGAAGTTAGTCGGCTCGTCCAGCACCAGCAAGTGGGGGTTGTTCCACATGGCACCAGCGAGCACGACCTTGACCTTCTGACCACCAGACAAACCGGAAATCTCGTTGTGGTTGGCGATTTCGGGGTCAAGACCGATATCCTCGAAGTGCTTGGAGATAGTCTTGGGCTCAAGGACACGGAAACCCAGACCTTCACGAGAAGCCTCGTGATCATCGAACTCCTGGACCATCTTGAAGAAACCAAGCTCAGTGAGGGTCTCGCGGGAAATCATGGTGTTGTGCTTAGGGAGGAGACCAATCCATTTACTAGACAAAAATTAGTAACCGATCCATCAATGAACAACACATGAAACATTGACTTACATTTCATACTGGAAGGTCTTCTTCCACTTCTGTCGACCCATGATAGCCTCAATGCGGCGAGGACCACTGCCATTCTTCAGGTCGATGGGGGTCTCCAGCTGAGCCTTGTCGGCGTCTGTCAGGATACGGGTCTGCTTCAGGAAGACCTCACGGTCATCACCGTTGGCGTAACGCCACTGCAGGTACTGGCTAGGAGTCTTCTCAAGATGCATCTCAACGTGCTCCAAAGCATGCTGCTTGATGTAACCAATACGCAGGTTGGGGTGCTTCTCGACCTTACCAGACGAAGGGATGGTCTCACCAGTCAAGATCTTAATGAAAGTGGACTTTCCGGCACCGTTTCCACCAATGATGGCAACACGCGAGGAGAGAGACAGCGAGAGCGAAGCCTCGTGCAGAGAGGGCTTGGGAGCACCAGGGTATTGGTAAGAGACATTGCTCATACGCATGATAGAACGGGTCTGAGACTTGATACCAGACAGGATACCGGGAGGAGGGAATTTGAACTGGACGTTGGAAGCAGACAGAGTGTAGTAGCTCTTGCCTTCAGGCTTGACCTTGACGAATGCAGCAAGGTTACCAGGGTAGCAGACGAGCTTCTTGCTCTCGTAGTGGTAGATGTCTGTGCAGACCTCATCGAGGAAACCAGAGTCGTGACTGACGATCAAGCTAGTAATGTCGGTGTGCTGCTTGAGGTACTCTTGTAGCCACTTCACATTGGCAACGTCAAGATGGTTAGTAGGTTCGTCCAGGAGTAGGACATCGGCCTTCTGCAACATAGCACGAGCAAGAGCCAGCTTCATCTTCCAACCACCAGACAGAGAGCCGACGGGCTGGGACTGGCGACCTTCGGGACCATCGGTGAAACCGAACTCCAGAAGAACGCTGCTGATTGCCTCCATTCCTTCGGCGGCAATCTGAGGGTCCTTAGCAACGTACTCCAAGATGCTCAGGTCGGCATCCTCGCCCTGATTGTGCTCGACAAAGCAAGTGCGGACAACATCCTGAGGGGGGAAGCCCTCCAGCTTTTCGTTGGCGATACTACGCATCAGAGTGGACTTTCCAGCACCGTTGCGACCACACAGACCATAGCGGTGACCCTTGAGAAGGCGAAGGTTGGTGTGTGACAACAGAAGCATACCACCGTAAGCGAGAGAGAAATCGGCGTTCACAATCTCGACCTCGTTGGGGTCATCGGGAATAGGCTTGCCGAATTTCCGCTCGTCCTCCTCGATGTAGTGGGCCTGAACAGCAGTGGCAATGGCCTCAATGTGCTCGTCTGCCAGCAGACCGCGCAGGTACGGGGAAATGGATGAGGGAATACGGTCATGCATGCGGACATTGACATCCTCGCGGACCAGGGAAGCAATGAACATCTTAGCGAGTTCGTGGAAAGTGGCGTCGCCATAACCAACCAAGCCGCCGTGCTCCTGAATCTTGGGAGTCAAAATGGATAAGACATCCTCGGGAGTGATCTTGGTGATGGAGCCTGAAGCAGTGTTCTCGTCGCTCATGGCCTTGTCCATGACGCTCAAAGCTCGGGTAGCCAACTCACGGACCTCGGGAAGAGAGGCGCGGTCCTTAACACCCTTGACACCGGGCTGCAGCTTGGGCAAGAAAGTACGAGCCTCAGCAGGGTCGTGAACTAGCTTGGTCAGGTTCTCCACGACCACAACAGTCTGACGAAGTGTCTCTTGAGGGGTGGTGGGGGTGTTGAGAGATCGCTCAAGAAGAGGAGTCAGGAGGGCCAAAACGGGGGAAGTAACGATGGCGACGAAGGTGGTCTGAGAAAGAGCGTGGATAGCCTTCTGCAGAATTTGAGCCGAGGGCTTCTCCATGGTCTCGATGAGGAGGGGAATGCGAGGAGCGACGTCGTCGTTAGAGAGGAGAGTAGTGAGAGCGGTCATGGTCTTGATGGCCTGCTTAGCAACTTCAGCCTTCAGGTCGTGCATGCCCGACTCCACAACAGGGATCATCTCCTTGAGGGTCTTTCCCATCGCCTCACGGAGCAGATCCTTGTCCTTCTCCTCTTCCTTGGATCCATTGCCCATCTGAGCGCTGGTTGCCATCTTCTCCAGCATCCTGAAGCCACCGACAAAGCCTTGCCATTTTCCAGATCCCTTGCTCAGGTATGACTCCAAGGCTGGGATGAATGCATTGACCTTGGCCTCGGGGCTCAGACATCCGAAAAGGGCGTCCAGGGCATACTGCGCGGCATCGCGAACCACAGCACCCTTGTCAGCCAGGGAATCCAAAACGACATTAAGAATGCCACCATTTTGCAACAAGAACACGAGTTCACTGAGAGGGAACTCGCGAGGGAAGCGCTCGAAAAGGGCACCAATGATCAACATGGCGCTCTCACGGCGGGCTCCGTTCTTCTTATCGGTGGCGGCCTTCTTGGCCTCAGCCAGAACATTGTAGTTGAGCAGACCGGCAACTCCCACACTCTGGATCAGAAGGTTCGCCAGAGCATATGAGCCATCGAGGGACTGCTGCGAGGTCTCCGAATTAAAGACGGTGTTAAGGAGAGAGGAAATCTCTTCGGACGTGGGGGCAACGCCGGAGGGGGTTTTCGAAACGATGGTCGGCATGGCAGGCGACTCTGATGAAGAGACTGTGTGTGGCATGGTATCCCGTTGCAAAGGTAGGCAATGGGGGGTTGAGAATCTGGCGTTGGAATATACCAGATTGCGCGCAAGTTGTTTTTGGCGGGGCTATTCCTCGAACAAAGACGTGGGGTGGAAGGACTCAATAGCCTGAGGCCAGCAGGACAAAGATCAGAGTGAAAGACAAGGGAATCGTACCAGGCACGATCTGGAAGAAAATGTACAAAGTCCAGACACGGCGGTCGATATTCCAATCCACTTGAATCTAAAGAGTGAGGGAAAAGGAGGAGGGGAAATTGTAGAAGATGAGGCGCATCGGGGCAATGGGCTTATGGCTTATCCACACAATTTTTTTTTGTTTGGGCGGCGACTGCGGGTCTTAACCAATGAGAGTCTTTGCTATTGCCATGGGCTCGGACTAATCCAAATGGGGTTAGCCTTATCAGTATTTCTGCCTGAGGCATTATATGAAAAATTCAACTGCGGGATGATTATGTCATCTATCACTCACCAATCAAAACTCTGGGATTAAGGATGCAACATCCAGGTGCAAACTACACAAACTTGGAGTCTTGGAGTATGCAAATGAACAGTCCTGACTCCGAGTCCTACACAGTCCTATATTCGAATATATTCAATACAACTTGCTGGCAGTGGAACGACACGCAGTCTCTTCCAATATTGAAAGTCAGTAGTTACTGAATTTCCCTGACAAGCATAGATACTAGTAATAGATAGTCGCCAATGCAACTGATCTTCAACACTTTTCAGCAATCCTAAAACAGGTGCATTGGCAGTACAAATCTATTTGCCCTTCCAAGTTATCACACTCAAATATTTTTGGCCCGAATTTCCAAAATGCTTCCCAGTGCTCAGATCTTCCTCTAGCTCGCGCTAAGAAAGGTCCAATGTTTAGTTGCAGTTTTCGAGCTAAAAATAGCGGGCAGACTTGCAAAAGTACAGGAAAGGACTCCCCCTCTTTCACTGGTGAATTCACGCAACTAACAACATTGAAGTTTTTATCAGGTTTCAAGCTTGTTTTAATAAGAACAAGAGGTAGTCAAAATTGCAGTGACGAAATGACTATAATCGAAACAAAGAATTATTCCGGTTCAGATTGTTGTCCAATACCCTGCCTAAATTACGCGCTGTACTCCAGTGAGGCTGAGCCTTCATGGAATTCCCTCACATTGGGGCGATCTGTGAATGGCTAACCATACACCTTCATATTGATCTGACTGAAACCCCTATGCAAAAGTCCAGAATCTGTTCCTTTGTTAGGCACTAATAATGCAAGCCACGCAAGACCAGCCCCAATTTACACCTGAGGTATGGTTGCTGCCTGTGGCGATGCTCTAGTTGTGGCTGAGTTGCCTAGTTTGAGGTATGTCGGCTTCCTAGTGCTAGCTACTAGTGCAAGACGAAATGCTCGCTCCCATATTCAGAGTGACCATGCTATTTAATCTAGTCAATACCCTCCAGATGTCTCGCAATGATCCAATTGATATAGCAACTGCAATTTTTCATACATTGATTCCGACACAGCCTCGCTTCTTAGCCTCAAAAAGCACACAATCGGCAACCGTCTTGCTGAGATTAGTCTCCATCTTTATTCTATGCAAACTATCTCCACAAATTCCACAGGCCACCATGAAGCTATCCGATGTCCTAAACTTTGACATCGCTAGAGATCAGCGCGTGACATGTTTTGCAAAGACTATGAAGGATACGCAATGTGCCAACCCCGTGGCTCGGAAAGACAGTAACAAAGCACACGATATTTTGCAGCATGTCATGACTTTCCAAGACTGGGAGCATGATTTGATCGAGAACTATATTCAAGAGCTTTCTGACCTCCTTATACATGGGGAAATGAAACATGCCAACAGCGAATTTCAAAAGCAAGGGCGAAGAACAGAATGGCTCCGGATGTGGCATACACAATTGGATGAGAATCAGCAGTTGCGCGAGGAGATACAGGAGAATACTCCAAATGATTTAGACTCTCTGGGGAATGGACTCCACGAGGCCGCATTCGTTCCTCCTATCACTCAACACGCTGGCATTCCACCCGAGCCTTCACCACTGGCTATACAGGCGCGTACTGAGCCTGCTCAATTTCAATTTACATCGATTCTTGAGACTGTGGAAGATTCCAGCCATGCGCTTGGCACGACACCTCCGGCCCCATCTCACCACATTCAAGAAGATATACAGATCGTACCAGATCAACCACAATTATTCTCAGAGAGCCTCGTTCCCAGTGCGTTCATGACTGCCAATCAAAGAGTGATGATTGAAACAGTGATCAAATGCATTTTGCAGTTTTGTCTTGCATTTCAAATCCAACTCGGACCCTCCATTGAGTTCAAATTGCTTACTGGAATGAGGATACCTCTTTCAAGTTTTCCCAGCTCGCCCTACCTTATCTTTCCTATTATCTATCTGTGCGGTCAAGTCATGAACATCTTATTTGGGCCAATTTCGGGTTTATTTTTGGTTCTTCTTGTGACTCTCGGCGCATGGTGCTCGGTGAGACCGAAAAAGACGACGACGACTCGGACATTGATGTGAACCTTGGATGTATGAATTTATTGATATCCATGTGAATATGACGTGTTATGACTTCAATTTCAAATTTCATGCAATGTTTCATCCCTTTGAGTAGGCGTCTGGCCCAAACTATATAGCCGACTTGAGATCCCAACAAAATCCCTTTGGTTTGAAGAATGATCGACGAGGGGTGCCCTGCACAGATGCGGGGTGGTGGAATAAACTCTTTGGCATCTGGGCCATTCGGCTCCGGATGCATGCACATTATGTGCACTGTAAATCTATGGATGTAATCTCTATGTGCCTGTGACGTTTGAAAAGCACTTGAGCACTGAGAGTAGGTAGCTAAATTCAAGGAGTGGTTCCCTAAGCTGTTTTTGATTTCTCTAGCTATCAAGAACAGACAATAGTAGTACGGAACAGGCCTTCTTCAGACCTTGAATTTGTAGCCAGGCAGGTTGATATCCAAAAATAAAGGTTATGCTGCACTAAATTCATACACTCACCTCGGTGCTGTTTTAATCGAATCATAAATCAGATAACCTAGGAATAATCATAATCATCGCAAAGGTTACTCTATCAATCGATGGTTATCCGAAAAGTAGCTCATATAGGAAGTATCAATGTCGATCACTTAAAGCACCGGCGAATTCAAGTTCTTTTGGGCAAGATCGACTCCGGACATAAGATCGCGATCGTTGAAGCCGAGGCTAATCTTGCGTGCATGAATATCGTAGAAACCTCCGCAGTTACACAACAGAAGAAAAACGACGAGAATTACATGCATGTATAATTTCTCCGTCGTGTAGGTCAAAGGAAAATCTACCGTTTTCAACATTTTCAGCTCAAATTGAAGATTATGTGTCAGGGTGCAAATCCTCGGCATTCTATTGCGGGGACAATTCACATGCACATGTGGGAATGCCTGAGCGGATCCCTACCACGCTATTGATCTACTCTTCAATCTCTTCAACCGGCATGAATTATTTTTTGTTGGGGAAACCGGGTCCACAAGGCGATGATGAGCCGTCATGAACTACTTCACATGTTTTACTGAACCCCGAATTATAGATCCGAGCCAGAAGAGATATAAGCAATCTTCCCCAGCTTGCCATCAAGATGTGCCAATACAGAAAACAAAGACATCATGGACTCGGATACCAAGCCATTAGCGAAAGATTCTATGAAATCTACATGGCGCACTGCCGATCGTTCCAAATGGACGCATCACCACTGGGCACTGGAGTATCTAAACGCCCATCCACAAGAATTAGATAAAGAAGTACCTATACACGCAAAAGACGAGCCAATACCACATATGCCTCAGTGGTCTCTCCAGCGATGGGTTCTATTCTACTCTGCTTTACCACTACTCCTTCATCAATCTTATATGACCTTCACCGGCCGCACATTAGGTCCGATCGCGACCTTCAACTTTTACTTCGTCGCTTTCAACGCCATCATCATCTACCAAGTACATGTCCTCCGACGTATGGGTCACATCTACGGTTTCCTCGACGGCGATAAACATGAACGAGATGGTGTACCCGATGTCGGTGTCGCAAAAGTCGTTCACTCCCTTTATAAAACAACCGGATCTCGACTCGTTCTCTCTATCTACCTGACCTACAACCGAGACTTACTACCAAGCCAGCTGAACTGGTTCTGGCTTCCACTTGAGATCGGTCTCTATGGGATAATTCTCGATTTCTGGTTCTACTGGTACCATCGTCTCATGCACGATGTGAGCTTCCTATGGAAATATCACCGTACTCATCACTTGACCAAGCACCCGAATCCCCTTCTTGCCGCGTATGCCGACCATGAACAAGAATTCTTCGATATGGTTGGCGTTCCCGTGATGACATATTTCAGTCTCCGATTAATGGGACTACCTATGGGATTTTATGAGTGGTGGATTTGTCACCAGTATGTGGCATTTGCTGAGGTCTTTGGGCACAGTGGTCTTAGAATGCATTTGACTGTGCCTTCTACTTTGAGTTGGCTGTTGCAGATGCTAAACTGTGAGATTGTTATTGAGGACCATGATCTTCATCATCGCAAGGGATGGAGGAAGAGTCATAACTATGGAAAGCAGACGCGTCTTTGGGATCAAATATTTGGTACTTGCACTGATCGGATTGAATCGGTGGAGGAAAATGTGGATTATGTCAATGTGGCCATGATGCCGCTGTTCTAGGATAGACAGTTTATGGAAATGATTTTACATGATGCGACACTGCTCAGGTTTTATGCGCTCTTTACACCCTGGTCTTTGGCATCTTCCCCATATCTGAAAAGCGCATTTCTTTCAGGCATTAGTGATCAGATGTTCGATGGACTCGAAGCGCACACTTTTCGTAATATTACACTGATCCAAAAAAAATTACAAATCCTCTTTGAATATTTTCAATGTGAGTAAATGCTAATCCAGAATTCTACTATTGTAGATGGGCTCCATGGATAAGTATACTTAATGGATGATATAGTACAGCAATAACAAGCAATAATAGCTAAATACAGTCCAAATGCTCCGCTATGTGTTACTAGCGCAAGAGAAGCTATTGCTAGATGCATCATCATGAATCGCCTTACCAGAGACGTAAAGACCAAGACCGCACATGCAAGCTCCAATAAGAACAATCAAGACATTGATAATGGTAAGAGCGATCTTTCGTGAAGAAGAGAACCACTTGCCCCGGTTAATGTGAAGCCAGTAAACACCAGCGAGACCGTAGCTGAACCAACTGGCAAAGAGCGAGCTGATAAGACTGAGGAGGTCGCTGAATACAGGGATCGCGTCGGCGATAATCCAGGCGATAATCCAGCATGTCAGGCCGATGGCGACCCATGATCCGTATGAAGTGAAATCGCGGCGATGCATGCGATCGGTTCCGCGAAAAATACGGACGTAAATGTATTTAAGTCCGATATGACCGTTGACAACACCAGCACCGACAATCTGGATAACATGTTAGATTCTGGAAAGGAGATGCAAGTTCAAAGGGTAACCTTGGAAGACGTACAGTAGGGATAGCAATGCCGTAGGCAACCTTTTTCATAACAGGACCAGCAGATCCCAAAGCAGGCGAGGTGACATCCTGACCGGCATAGTAGTAAATAACAACAGCTGCAACAGTGTAAAAGATAATCTCAAAGGTCTGCAGCATGTAAAGAGCCTTGGGGAAGTCCCGAGGGTCTCTCATCTCAGCTAGAAGACCGAAGAAAGCGACATGAGCACAGTAGGCGAACACAATATTCGTCACAGCGGTAAAGGCTTTGTAGAGGTTTGTATCAACAGTAGCCTGAAGAGTAGTATATCCATGATCCTGCACTCCAACCGCAATCATAGTGATAATGACAGCAGTGAGGATACTGACGAATGACAAACAAGAGATATAAGTCATGTTCTTCATAGTACGTGGCAGCGAGCAGATCATGCAGATTAAGAATCCAACGAATGTGAATGCCATAGTGCAAGTGCCATGCTCGGTAATAGTGTTCATCATCACACTAAAAGTCAGGATGTGGCTTCCCATGATGAAGATGGAGAACAGCAGTTGGCCAATACCAAAAACTTCACGTCCGATAGGACCCATCAAAACCTCACCGGCATCTGCCAGGTTTTGAATATGGGGATAGCGCTTGTGAAACTGTCCAATGACATATCCAGTATAGGTGGCGAGGAGACCCAGGCCAATAATCAAGACCAGAGCCGGGGCAAGGCCCAGTTGAGCAAGAGTTGCTGGCAAAGATAAAACACCCAAAGAGACAGACTCGGCAATCATGACTATATTCCGTTAGAATCTCTAATTCTCCCCACGCGTATCAGTATCTCGTTCAGGGACTTACACATTCCGGTTTGCCTGGATTCGTCGAAGAAGTTAGAAATACATTCTTCAAATGGGTCCGCACACAAAACTTACCACCACTCCATGGTCTTGTACTTAACCTCCGCATTAGTTTCGTCACCAAAGGCATCGACATATTGCGGTGTAGAATCCTCTTCGACCTTCTTCTCATCATATCCGGACTCCGAATCAGCCGGATAGTGCTGCGGAGTAACGCCATCGAAGGTCATGTTGTCGGTATGATAGGAGAGCTGGACAAAAGGGAAATGCAAGACAAACAGACAAAAAGAAGAGAAGTCGAAGGCCCCGGACTAAGATATGTAGTATGTGGAGAAAAAAAACCGAGTCCTTGGCTAACCGTGGGTGGATCAATCTCAAGGTAGTATGAGCCAACCCCACAACCCTCGCGGTGATTACTTTGGGAATTTATGGTTTACCTACATAGGTATCCCCAAGGTGGTATACCGATACCTACAGAACATCCCATGATAAGACACAGTTCAGGGTGAGCGTGTTGCACCTACTCCTTGGAAGATATCTTACAAGGCAAAAGGTGCAAACTATTCTAAATTATCAGTACATCAGCGCCTAGTAGAGAAGAGCCACCAAATCGCATAACCTGATGGATATTAAGATCATCGTCCACCAGGAATTGACGGGCGCTGAGATCAGAATGAATGATTTCCTTCCGGGGAATCAATGCCACAGCTTCCAAGGTTCAATAGCCTGCTGAGGGAGGCACACTTCATATCATTTTAATTTAGTACTTGAAGGTTGACGTTCAACACATATAATAAACTGAGTTTTCTCCTTGGCGTTGGAGTTGTTGAGATGATCTTAACAAATTCCGGCTACCATCGGTCAGTCCAATTCAGGGTCCTTTGAGATTTCCGTTAGATAATACCCGAGATGTTGATTGGTGATGAGATCTATTAAAGTGGACATTGAGGAGTAAGCCGATCCACAATCATGCCCGGATGTGTAGATGTGGATCGGAACACGCTTAAACGTCGAAGATCTTAACCAAGCTTACATTTACATTATGTACAACGAAGTCCTTCTCCAAGAGTTTTCAATCCATAATAGAATGTGTCAAAATAATTCGATTCGTCCCAAATCCCTCTGATAAGCACTGATAACTACGTTTTTCCAGAAATTCCACGCCCCAGAATTGTTACATCGATTACAGTGGCAAATCTGTTCCTCCTGGGTTGGAAAGATTCAAAAATGGGGGCTCTACCCAGGAAGCCTAATCTGAACATTTGAATGTATAAAATATTTTTGACCTACAAGTTCTTGATATCTTAAGTGGATAAGGAAGCTCTCATTGAGTGTCTATCTAATAAAGAATAATCAAGAGAAAAACATCTAAGAAATAAACATTTCAAGAGATAAATTCAAGAAAGAAAAAAAAAGAACTTAACCGAGCGACGTAGGGATCGAACCTACAATCTTTGGTACCGAAAACCAACGCCTTAGCCATTAGGCCAGCCGCCCACTGTTGAATTGTAACTACTTATATTTGGGAGAGTGACAACAAGGTAAATCCAAGAAAGAAAAAAAAGAATTTGATCGAGCGACGTAGCGATCAAACCTATATATTTTTTTGGAATGTCTGAAATATTTTTTTCTTTTTTGCATAACAAAATACAAAACAAATTCTCTGCTGTATTTTTTTTTGGAGAGTGTGAAATAAAAAGATAAATCCAAGAAAAAGGATTTGAACGAGCGACGTAGGGATCGAACCTACAATCTTTGGTATACAGTCTCTTTGGTACCGAAAACCAACGCCTTAGCCATTAGGCCAGCCGCCCATTATTGAATTGTAAATCCTCAAATTGTGGAGAGTCTGAAATAGAAGGATAAATCCAAGAAAAAAGATTTAATCAAGTGATGTAAGGATCGAATCTAACTATAATCTTTAGTATACAGTCTCTTTGGCACCAAAAACCAATACCTTGGCCATTATGCTACTAGCTGCCCATTGTTGAATTATAAATCTCTATATTTTAGAGAGTCTGAAATAAACAGATAAGTCTAAAAATATTTTTTTTTTCTTAATCAAGTGAAATAGCAATCAAATATATACATAACTATATATTTTTGGAGAGTGAAATTGTGAAGGGCAGAAGCGGATTTGATTCAATCTACTCGGACCACGAACTGTGTACAAAAAGAAGGTTAAGGAGAAGAAGTAGACTTCGGGCACGATTCGTCAAGGAAGAGGAGGAATGTTATGGGTCACGTGGATGGTTGAGCTTTGTACAGGCAAGGCCTGTACTCTTTCAGGGATTCAGCCTGTGACAGAAATAAAAAGATAAACTTGAATCTAAGAAAAAAATTTAATCGAGCGACGTAGGGATCGAACCTACAATCTTTGGTACCGAAAACCAACGCCTTAGCCATTAGGCCAGCCGCCCACTGTTGAACGGTAAGTCTATTCTTGAAATCCATAGAGGAGAAAAAAGGATAAGTAAATTAAGATCTATCAATCTATCTAATATTATATTAGTAGTCTTGGAGGTTTTTTAGTATATAAAGGGAACGGGGGAGAAGGAATGATAAGATGATAAATGAGAAAAGGAACGCCTCATTGAAGTATTGAATATTATAGCTTTTGCTTGATAGCATGAAAATGCACGATTCAAATGTTCTGAAAGGTACTCAATACTTAATAACCTTGGAAGAAGTCCTACCTAGGGCTCAATTTAGTATTGCGGCTCGAAGCGCATGCGGCATCGCCGCCTACGCGGCTTATAGCCGCCACCCAAGGGATCCAGAATACCAACAACTTGATCATTCAAATATTCCAAGGTTCGGCCCAATATTGACAAAAAAATTTGTCTCGGATACCAATCATGCCGTATACTGTAGCATATCAGAAGTCATCAAACGGCCACGGGAAGTTGTACATATGATCTTTGACCCCGAGTCGGACAGTCTCCGCACACGTCACTCTTGACAGGTGTGCCTGGGTCTTGGACATATCCCGTGTGGAGGAATGTCTCGAAATGCTGAGCCGAGTAGAATTAGACATCAGCCTCGTATCTCTCGGCTTCTAGATTTTTCTCCTGCAAGATTGTTGGATCTGAACGAGGCTGAGAAAAGTTAACTTAATTCTCCAAAGTTGAAATCTTAACTTGAGGGAATCCTCTCATAGATTCATCAATTGGAGTATTTTCTTTGAGAAAATTTCGCTGATCCCATATTTGCAGCGTGGTTCTGGTCGTAAGTTATCACGAAACTCTGGAGTGGACTCTTCGACCTGGGTTGTCATGTTGGGCGACGTCTGGATAGAGGGCCACTTCAAGATTCGGAAAACTCGGCGGGAAACTTAAGTGCTTGGTGATCCAGCAAATTCTTCAAAGCCCCTTAAGACCTGGCAGTACGTAATTGGAACTTCATTCGGCGGAGTCTGCAATTTCTATGACCACTAAGGCCTCCCTTAACCCCGTGGAGAAATCAGCGTATCAAATTCGGTCAGTAATATTCATGGATGGATTTTGTTATTTCTCCACAAATGGTTCTTAGTTCTTACCCCCTGAAATCGGAGAATGAAGGAGGATTGCGGGGTTCTATGGTAACAGAGACCATGCCCCGTGATATTTTCGTTTATACATAGAAGAAAATATACAGTGTAGGCAAACCATAGGAGCTTTCGAATGGCCCAAATCAGAAAGATGGTTGAAGAATGGGCTACTTCAACTATCAGGTAAGACTCTATGCCCATTGGAAAGGCATTAATACTTACTTTTGGCCAAGGGCGCAAAAGACAAACCCTTAAGCGATAGAGATTCCCCTCTTTCGATCGCGAGCTTGATACATCAGCAGCAACTGTCCAGATACCACGAAAACCAGCTTGAACACACGATTTCTATGGATTCTGCGGAGTACCGAAAGCTACGCGCTCATTGTTACCAGCTGGAGACTTTTTTTGTGACAAGCAATATCAAAGCGCACATCTCTAGTATCTCTTGGCTTATACACAAGACGCGTACCATTCTATTACTCGAGATCTTACATATGAAAGGCTTAAAGTACACAGACTTGAAACACGCCTCAATGAGCTTAGTTCATCACTCGACTCTTGGGCTCAGAGCTCAAACACGGGAGCTCACACAATAGATGGTCTCAGCGTCAACGATATAACCAAGGGGCTTCCTATGGAAAACCAGCACCAGCGCACCCTCATAACTACACTGCAGTCTATCCTTCAAACGCGTGAAGAAATGGTGCGAGAACTAAGAGTGGCTTTGGATGAACTTTCGCTGAAAGTACCAAGATAGACATTTGAATCAATCAACTACACGGACAAAGACCCTGTCCATTTAAAACCAAATGATATCGCAGTTTATTCTGTAATAATTTTATTATTTTGTTTTATCTTACTGTAATATATCATATAGAATATTGAGGTGGTTTTTCGGCGGAAAAGTTGATTATATAAGCCATTTGTGGTGTCTCCAGTAAAAAACTGTGGTGTCCCTAGCAATTACCCTAGTTAACTAGTTAGTTAACTATCAAATTTGATAAGATTCAAAGACTTTACTAGGCCGACTTAATATATATCTCTAGTGGGGACTTTACAGTGGCAGACTAAAGCCAATCCATAAGTACATTGTTGGAGAGACCCGATTTAGATTGGAGGAAGATATATAGTAATGGTCACGTTGTCAAAATAATGCACCTTGGAACAGATCACAGTGCCACACTAGCCAGGCAACCGGCTGGCACCTCTGGCACTAGATTTTTCTCAATTATAAAGATGTCTTATCTGACGGATCTTGATATTTTACCATCCATAGCATTAACTGAGCTCTGATTGGAAATGCCTACGTTTGTACCTCAGTATATATCAGTATAATGAGTTGAGATCCTTCCAGATGTCCTAGCATTTGAATGCTTATGTCTGTCAATACCTGCCCTCAAGAGAGTGTCTCCCCACAGTATCGTTTTGATATCCCAACCACAGTTCGAACTCTCTTACGTCCGTCATATCTACATCTGATAGTTCCCCTGGGATTGTTCTGTTATCCTAACCTCAGTTTTAAATTCCTCTTACATCTATCAGAGGTATATCCGATTAATTTTCTAAAAGTAATATAAAAGATTTTCTTATTACTTGTATATAGGCTTCTATATTTAAATAGTGTAAATCCACCCCCAATGGGATTGTTCTGTCATCCTAACCTCAGTTTAAATTCCTCTTATATCTATCAGAGGTATATCCGATCAATTTTCTGAAAGTAATGTAAGAGATCATCTCATTTTAGGCTACTATATACTATATTCGAATCAACGGTGCAACTTGAACCCCATTTCTCTACCATCTTTCCATCCCCTCTTTCTTCTTCATTTCATCACCTCAACCTCAGTTTCCAAACTCTTTTGGGTACGTCAAACTTGTATCTGAGAGATCTTTCTATTGGCCTATGAGAGCCCACTCAGACATATCCCCTCCCCCTTCATCCTTCTATTACCTCAACCTCAGTTTCCGGGCCCTTTCCGGAACTTCAAACCTGCATCTGAACGATCCACTAACTTCCTTTTGAAGCAAACATCAGAAAATCTGTGAGCGGAACAGTTTTCGGCCTACTGGCTATGCAGCGCCTGAAAGGCTCGAAAGCATACCACACACACCAACCACCTTCATCTCAGACAGGACGTTCGTCGGCCTGCTAGCTGTCTGCAACGCTTGAACGCGCCAAAACAATACCACACACATCAACCACCTTTATCTCAGACAGAAAGATTCCGGGCGTCATGCCAAAAGCAGACGGAAGTTTTCGGCCGCTGTCGGCTGAAAACAATCAGCCATTCAACTCCGGTGATTCCGAACAGCGCACCGCAGCGTATTGCGATATAAAAAACTCTCCGACCTACGGCATTTGACATTTGCATGGCCTTTCTTGAAAGCCACGGCAGAGATCCACCCTTTGGAAGAATCTTCCGAGGACGAAAATCCTACAAGCTTTGAAAGTGTACACAGGGGCATTTGAGAGTACCAGTGCCGAGGATTTGCAGAAGGATTGGGAGTCATAAGAGCTAGACAGCAGTGACCAGAAGACCGCAAAGCGATATACCCACATCGCTTGGATACTGTTCCAGCTCGACAAAGATTTTGAAACATACCGTGACATGACTGATGACGAAAACGCCCAGGGGGCAAATACACACTTGCCTTCCTGTCTTAGTGTTCTGTCGAAACAAACTCTGCTTCACCCTCCAATGGATTCATTGTCCCACCCAAAGCCAAATTTTGGGCCACACGATGAAGAGTACAACCTTGAGAAATTCAATCGATACATCGAAATCATAAAAGGCCTCGAGAGTGCCGCCACGAGTGTTGCAAGAAAGTGGAACAAGAGATTGGCGTCCAAAGAGGCAATGATGACTTCGCAGGTTGTGGGAGAGGAATCAGCTCCAAAGTGGATGAGGAAGAAAGTCGAAGAGATTCTTTCGCATGACCCAGACATTGGAGAGCCTGAGGAAACTCAGTGTCATCTAATGGATCTACCTTTCAAAGTCACCAAACCAAACCCAGCCAAAGAGGAGATACTTTGTGAGCATATTGACGCAGCAGAGAACGAGGGGAAAATTCTTTACTTCAAAGGCACCGTCGCCGTTGATCCTATTGCTTGTTCAGCTGGGGCAATGTTCCTCGGAAGATGTGATTCGTCGAGCAGTTGGAACGCCTGAGATAGGTCTCAACTTTTCAATGCTTTCTCTTGAGTGTACCTACGTGGAGGATAATGAAGACTACGTTCACAAATTCAATGTCCTCTCTGGGAACTGGGAGATAGCGAAAGACCTGTTCAAGGACCCCGCCAACAAGGACTTCTCCTTGAAAGCCTCTTTAAAGTCTCGCAACGAAGATACCGAGCCTTTTGAGGTTTGGGATATTCTCTCACCCTGGGTTAAGAGCTATCGCCCTCTAAAAGCTGGAAGTTCTACCGAGGACTGTATCTAAGTCAACCCTTAAGATACATCAGTTGAACCAGAGAAGCTGCCAGAGCCAGAGAAGCTGCCACTCGAAGACCTAGTGTCTAAGCATGGATCCAAATCGGAGAAGAAGGTGCTGGGTATACAGCCTCTCTTTGCCAACAATGAGGCAAAACCGAAAGCATACTATGGTCGTGTGAGAAAGGAAAGTGGGCTCCAGGAATGGTACCAGGAGCTCACAGAAAAGATTCCGCTGTCTGGGAGTCAATTCCAATCGTAGGTATCGAATGAAGTAACGGTCCCTGGATCATTCAGAGAACAATTTGATGACGCGGAGCAAAGAGGCCTACATGATGCTGAATCAGAAAATCTGACGGAACACTCAGTAAGTAATATGAGACAATATAATCCGTGATATCATGATCTAATCAAATATTAGATGGATGAGGACTATCTAACTCTTCAACACGCATTCACAGGCTCCAACTCTTAGGCTGGTCCTCCTGTTGATATGTGCCTACAGCTATTGGGCTATACTTTCGATGCTGAAACTAAGCACTACACATGTTCCTTACTCCCAAACGCTGTGAATTCCCAGTTTTATCATTATCAACTTAGTGGTGCAGTGGGAGCTGTGATGAAACTTACTGGATTGATTGATCTGGAGCCACTTATCAAGTATGGAATGGTCGACCTGAAAAGCCAGAAAGCGGAAGGAATTCGAGAAGCGGCCAGACATCTCGAAAGCTTGAAATACCATGGAGCGATATTAGCCGATGAGACCGGTTTCGGCAAGACTAAGCTATCTTTGCTGGCTCTTCTGCTTTATTGCATCTTGGCCAAACCTAATAAGCCACATGTACTACTCATTCCGGGTACACTAATTGGCTTATGGTTGGATGAACTTTCGCTATGGCCATACTTTACCGTATTCCTCTCATATGGCGATCCTTCTTTCAAAACCCCGGGCTGTAAGGTCCTGAGCAGCGCTCAGCTGAGTATGAATCGGGACGGAAAGTTTGGGCGCCTGCCACAAAGCCTACAGTACCTTTTCAATGGCGATCGAAACGCAGGAAGAGTGATTATCCTGTCAATCTTTGATACCCACTGGACTCGGACAGCGGACCTCACAGCAGAGCAGATACCAGGCGAGTCATTTGAGCCCCCGAAATACAAAGATGGGAAGGAAATCTGGAAGAAAGAGCCATCAGTACGATACGCAGTCCGAACAGATTTTACCAAAAAGTTTGAGGTGCTTATTGTGGATGAGGCTCACAGAGTCAAAAACAAAGACACCCGGATTTGGAAAGCGTTATACCTACAGAAGTTCGAGAAGACCATACTGATCACTGCAACACCAGTATTTAATACCATCCACGTAAGTTCCCCAAAGGTGTATATAAATGAAACGATCACTACTGACTAATTTCCTAAAGGATCTGATAGGGCTCTTGACTCTTTTGGGAAGGCAGGCCTTAGAAGACCTCAAGAGAGAATGGGAAGTTGATGTAGCGCTATTTGAATGACGAGACTCACTGCGGAAAGCAAGTGATCACGGATTTGCTGAGACCATGGAAAACCTGCTCACACTGGACGAATTAGATATAGCCAGATTGATCCTGCTGCGACCCAGCTTCCTACGAGGCCTTATCACCAGCAAACAGAACTATCTAGCAGTTTCCCATTTCCTCAGAATTGTTCTAGATATGATCATGGTCCAGCGCTCACAAGCGACAAAGTTGCCAAATTTGCGTGGCGAAGGCATCCTACTAAAAAGTATATGCCAACGAGCAGTGATGATGACCGGAACACGCAGGTTTCTGCCAGATGAGAGGATGACATTTCAAATGCTCCATTCTGCGGCGGCATCGTAAGTAAGACCGAACAGACCTGTTTGGAAGATACTAAAATTTGGCTGATAGTTCATATGTGAATGAATACTTCAGAGACAAGTTCGAGCAAACTGATAGACAGGAAGCATTGATTAAGAGACAGTTTGTGTCATAAAAACGGCCACTACGGGAGTTGGCAATCGCAAGTCTTTCCGTAAGACTTGCCCAGCTAAATTACCGTGTCTCGCAATCAGGGTCCGACACACTGGGACTAAGGCTAAGAGCTTGGAGAGACCTCGGCCAGTCTGAATAGTTCATCTGGGAACTTACTAAGTCTACGCAGGACCAGCCTCCAGCATCCACCTTAGAAATGGTCAAATTTCTAACTTACGGCTCTCCGGCAATCAGATTGGTTTTCCAGATGCTCAAAGAATGGCGGATCTTAGAGCCACTGGACAAAACATACAACAACCACCAAAAAGTAATTCTGGCGGTTTGTATACCGATTAGCGCCTGGTTCCTGGAGATTGTACTCCGGGCCTGTCTAATCGACGCTTCCGCTTGCGGATGTCCCGTTGAGGCCATCATTCGTAGTGGATGTGATGAATTGAACTTGTGGGTATAAAGTCGAATCACTCCAAGTCGTGCAAATTGGAGTTTTTGTTCCATTCTTCCAGCGGATTTTCTAGTAGTGCGTGTAGACCTGTAATCCACCACTCTACAGTAACGCCTTGTAATATTTATTTGAACAGAGATACCAAATACGAAACCAAATAAGTAATTCTTCTGCTGTTTTCAGGCAATTTCCAACATGTGGATTTGAAGTGACGGTGCTCGAACTTGCAAGTACCTGGTGGGCATTTCATCACGCAGGGCATTTCATGTCACCGTTACTGGTTCTCCTTTGGGAAGCCCGACCAGTTGGTGGTGTGTGCTGTCCCCATTGTTGCTTTCACGATCCGAGCCGCCCCGATCTGCTCTGCTAGATCTGCCTGAGAGGTCCTCAATGCATTAGATACATTCAAGTGGAGTGATCGTTCAGAGGCTAAGCTTGCTAAATTTGCAGTTAACCATTATTTGTACATAATTTGAAGTATATTCCCTTCTTCGCTATCAAGTGCGAATGTTAGCCAGACTCGGCAATTCGCCCTTTTTCTAGCACATATATAACATCAGCATACCTGACCGTGATTACGTGGTGAGCAATTATGATGGTCGTGCGGCCACTGGTAGCCATTTCCAGCGCGTCTCGGATAAGAGATTCGGACTGCGGTACCCTGAGATATTAAGTGACTTGATGGATTCTCCGTCAAGGACGATGGTTCCGTCACACAAGGATCGTAGAATCGTTGGAGCAGAGATACGATCGTGCTTTTCCCGCTCCCGGTGCGGCCCACGAAAGCCACACTGGAACCGGCCACGATATTAAAAGAGACTTGATCAAGGGCTTGATGTTGCGGTCGTGTGGAATATGCAAAACTTACATCCCTGAATTCGATGTGCCCACGAGGATGCTGGGGTTTCTTGCCGCCAGAGGACTCTGGGTCAATTCGCGACTTCCGCCCCAAGAGTTTCTGAAGGCCGGCCGCGGACCGTTTTGCCTTTCCAATATTGGGCGTGAAGGAGAACACTAGGCCCGCCGAGTATGCACTAGTTATGATGGAAGAGTATACGATGACGAATTGAAGTAGCGAGTATTCGCCACCGCGAATGAGGGTTCCTCCGTACCAGAAGCCCAGAGCCATGCAAGCGTAGACACCGGCACGGGCCAAAGCAAGCACTGAACACGCCTTTAAGTTGGCTTTGAGACCTTCTCTAAAGGATATGATGAGGCTTCTTTCGTAGGCTTCGAGAATTTGAGTCTCCATGGTAAGCGAAGCTACCGTTTGAATTGCCGAGATGGCCTCTCCAGCATAGCTAGCAGACACTCTCGTGTGCTTTTCGTTAAGCTCCTCAAATTGGCCCAATGCCCATACCCCAATGAAGCCACTCCCAATAAGAACGGGGATCACGGATGAACATACAAGCGCCAACTTCCAGCCAAATGCCATGCCAACGAGAAAGCCAGATACTAGCGAAGAGACAGCAATCAGAATAAGTCCGAAAGTACCGCCACTAATTCCTGCAAGATCGGCTGCCTCTGTGGATAGAAAGTTGACAAGAGCCCCGGGGGAATGCCTCTTATCGTCGAAAAAGGCAATCTCTTGACGAAGCAACTGGCTCAGGGCCAGCCTCCGAGCAGGTATACCCAAATACACGTGACTTGAGGCTAATGCGGAGCTCCTGGGAGCTTATTGGCCTTTAATGTCTCAAGAAGTTGAGGCTATATTTTCTGTAAACCCAGGACCTGTAAATGACCCTATGTGGCTAGTTTTACCATTTTTGGTTTAGCGCCCCGATACGCCGTTCTGGGAGCGGCGGTGATTGCTGCAGCCTTTAGGCATCCATGGCTTGGAGCAGGTGATCTTGGGCCGAATCCTTCTGGCTATGAACCAAGTACTCAGCTAAAGGTCTACTGGAGTTGGCCAACTGGCGTCCAAGAAAGGCCCCTGCGTATGTTGTATTCCATCTTGTCGCACTCCTATATCGACCGCCGTTACTCTTTATCTCTACTCAGTCTCCTCGAACACGCCCCCAACAAGCACAACAAGGGTCTCGCCGATTGCTTCCCCGGTATCTCTGCTTGATCTAACCAGGTATATCTATTCTCATACCTTCATGTGGCTTTCTTTTACTTTTTGATTTTTGATACAATTACGGTTGGCATGGACAAAGGAGTTCTGATGAAAAGCGAATACCCTCTTATGAAGACTGGTGAGAGAGCAGACTCTATCAAGACAACTAGGCAGACGTAGTGATGTACACTGGTGATGTTACGATGTGCCAGGAGTGGCCAGGGATGAATCCCTCTACTTACTCAACTGATACTTAAGATCCTACCTGGTTCTCTACTTACCATTCCTCTAGTCTTTTATCATATCCCAAAGTCAACTTACTAAATCGCTCCCAGGAGCAAATGCAACAGTACACAGATTGATCTTCTACTAAACTTGCAGGGAATGTGAAGGCTGTATTGGGATTGTCTGACCTTCTGGTTTACTATTAAAACTGGCATAATTTATTTTGGTCGCACCTATAGACCCAAAATCCCTCATTTTCGAACAAAATAGGAATATCTTCAAGATAAACTTAGAAGAGAAGAAAGTAATTAAAGTGGAATCTTTTTTTCTTCGCTTTAAGTCACTAATTCATACTCCGTATCAGTTGACATTTAGATATCTCATTTTCAAAAATAATGCCAAAATTTACACCGCCCTATGACAGAATATCCCTATGTAGAACTTCCAGGCTTTTAATGTCCTACTAGCGTATGTAAGACGTCGATACGTGACATAAAACCATCTCTTACAAAACCGTTTTGATGCCAATACGGTATAGGTTTACCCCGTTATGACCGAAGTTCTGTGAGTGTGGGGAGATGATCTACTATCGCTATTCGCCGCCATAGTACACGTGGATAAATGGTATTCCACTAGTTATACGGAGTAATACCGGCTAATCTGGATCAATCTTCTAAGCTTGGATTTCCTAAATTTGGATTTAATTTTTGGTCCTGTTTCCCTTTCTTGAAGACCTCTTCTACCCTGGATCACTGTCAACCTTTCTTGGAATTTGACAAGAATTATGGATCAACTTCCATTGGAGATCAAGCATATCATCGCGCAGTGGGTGAGTCTTCTAGTTTGACGCTTTGATCATTTGCAGCTTTAATTGAGATTCCAGACAGGCGAACATGAATCCAAGAAAACCCTCCAAGTTTTGTCCCAAGTAAATCGGGAATGGAACAAAATTGCCTCGTCAGTTTTATACCGACATCTCATCATCCGCCTTCCTGCATCAGGGGAAACTCCCCACAAATTGCTCCTTCCACCGGATACCCGAAGTGTTCTCACACAAGTGAAAACATTAAGTCTTGTTGCGGGGCGGAATCCGCATCAGCCTGGAGTCCACAACCTTTCGGATATTCTGGAAGGAGTAAGGCTAGGACTAGCAAGCAACGCTGTCAGCCGAGTTGGGGATTACAACAAGGGAGATTGGACTCTCATCACGGATTTGATCAGACAACTACCTTCTTTGCACAACGCCAATCTCTTTATTCTCAATGGGGGCCCGGTGGAGCTCTTTGAGACCTTTTCACACTATCATCCCACTTGTCGAGTGTCCATCTTCAGCACTGAGCCGTGGGTGTCTGTCGGACCACATTGGGCCCTTTCACCAATGCTGCATGGTCTACATCTCACCGCAATTGAAAATGAAAGGTCTAGGCTATATTTTGAGCATCCTGATCAGCTCCTAAAGAAATTTATATTACATTCGCCGAAAATAAAGGAGGTTTCATTACAAATCGTTGGTGCTCATAATGTGGCTGGTCCTCCCCAAACTACAACCAAGGCATTGTAGTGGAAGAGGGAAGTGCGCCTAGTCTCAAGCTCCAAAAGCTGATATGGCCCCTTAGCAGCGAAATGACTACCGGGCAGTTCCAGGAGTGGCAACGGATTACAGATTTCAGCCTTCTGAAAGTATGGTCCATTGGATGCGTTGAAGACTCGGCACTGCTCCGGAGTATTGTGGATATTCACCCTTTCCAGCATCTCGCACAACTCACTCTTGCTCTAATTGAATCGAAAGGGGACGAAAATCTTGAATTTCGGCGTGCTGCCGAGGAAATGTTCAAGTCTCTACCTCCGTTAACCTATCTTTGGCTACTGGGATCTTATACACCTGCCTTTCTCAATCACGGAGTCCTGGTTAAACATGGACCAACTTTACTTGAACTGAAATTATATAAGCGCCCAGAGAGAATGCCCGTGCGTCATGATATGCGCAGGCTTTGGCGAAAACTTGGACGTAAACGAACTGCGCCTGTATTTTCGTCCGATGACATTTCAGAGCTCGCAGGCCGGTGTCCGTCTTTACAGAAGCTACGACTATGCGCACAAAGACCTCAAGGTCTCGGGACGGATGTCTGGAATGCATTTGGCCGCTTTCGACACCTTGAGGAGCTCGACCTGACATTAAAATGCTCACCTGAGATGGATACCAACATGATGCCGGTCCCGCTCCGTGAGCTCTCGGAATTTGAAAAGGGCGTGGTGGAATGTAGTTTCACTTGCCGGAGATGGTTTATTCGGGACTGCATTATAAACTCTTCTATCAACGAGAGTCTGGCTAAGGCATTCTTCACGCATATACGCACATGTCAGGAGGTAAAACGCTTCGCCAACCTGGTGATTCGTCCTCTTTGTACCCCAGCTCCTGGCGATCACTTCTGGAACCACCTGGCTCTTACGTGGATAATTAAAGTAGATCCTCTCACAGGCCTACATGCAAAATCCAGTAAACCCTCCAAAACTAGCGTTCCAACACCGGAGACGAGCTTTGAAGCTGAGATGCTATCGATTGTTCAATCCATCTGACACAAATATCTATGCATATATGGATACCTAGGTAGAAATTAAGAAGTAAATGTGTGCTCAGTCCCAAATTTTTGATTTGAAGACCTGAGGTTCGGCGGCTTCTACATAAGCTTCAGAAATCTGGATAGTTTTAACATGCACATAGAGATAATTTTAAATGTCGTAAGTGCTGATCCCGAGTCAAGTTGGTAGATACAACCATTCATGTCGAAAACCATATGTACTTTGGAAGAAGGACCTATGTAGCTCGTCCTCTTACAAGTTTACACAGAGAGGGACTCGGAAGTATACGTATTCTCAATGAAGTAAAGAGGATTGGAGCTTGGATTATATAAACTACTCAAAACAACTATAACCCAAAGGAGTCAACTTGAAAAGGGAAAAGACAAAGACATGGTTTAATGAATGGGGGTTTACTTTTCAAAAAGAAACATTTCAAGTTTGGGGAGAAGATAAGAAGTTTCAAGGCAGCCAAATGAACCGACTGGCCTGGTGTAGCAGGGGATTGACAAAAAGATTGGGCAGAATAGTTTGACTGATTGTCGAGATTGTAAGATCAAATTGCAAATGAACTTGTTCAAGTTGACAAAGGATATGGTGCTGAGATCACAGATGCATAGTTGTTGTAAATCCAAGTCATCTCTGGTTCTGCTGAGTCCTTAGCCGTAAAATCATCAGCTTCTGATGTCTTAAGAATCCACGTGCAGGAAGGTGTGCTGCCACCCAAAGCCACGATACTGTCTTTGACACATGTGGTGACAACGTCATTCTCGCCGTTATTCCACATTGCCACTGTACCCCATTGGGTAGTATCAACCGCAACATGAATATCCGCTGTGATACCACAATTAGCCAGGAAGCCGTCAATATCGGGTTCGACATGATCTGCTCCCGGCCACTGGATACCATACATAACGAACACAAATTCATCGTACTTGGAACCGTACTTGTCCAACGATGTGTCTTCGTTTTCAATGACATACTTCACACAAAACTCAGTAGCAGTTGGGACAGATCCTGTTGTGGTGGTAGTAGTAGTCTTCTTGGTTGTTGTGGACTTAGTGGACGTAGCGGTAGTAGATTTGGATGTGGTTGAAGAACTGGCCCCGTCTTTGGCGATAACAACCACAATGATGGTAATTTCGGCAGGCTCGACTGTAGCAACAACTGTTCCAAGGGTAACGGTGGTTGTACCTGTGACGCTGGTAGGAACGGTAATGAAATCGCCATTGCCGAGTGTGATGGCCCCGTTGGAGCCAGCCACGTAGGTGGTCCCGGGTGCAACAACCTCCTCTGGAATGGTTTGCGTGCTGGAGGTAAAGGATTGGGCGCCGTTCTGGCCTTGATCATCGGTGGACCAAATGGTGAAGGAGGTGGACATCGCACAGTAGAGACCCGTGGTTGTTGTAGTGGCTGTCACTTCACATCCCGTGGCCGTGGCCGTGCTTGTGGTTGAGCATGAGGTACAATCGCAGGAGACCCAGTAGTCCGTTGTTTCGGAAGTGCAGGTGGTGGAAGAGGTCGCCGATGAAGTAGACGTGGAGGAAGGATCACAGTCAGAAGTACAGAGGACACCGCAGGATTTGGAGGTACTGGGAGAGCAAGTAGGTGATTCCTTTCCGCTGGTGTACTTGACGGTCTTGGTTGAATGGTTGTCATCATCACCATTCGGTGGACAATCAATGGTAAATATATCGAATAAGGTGAAGCAATGGAGAGTGGGAATCGGCGCCAAATCAGGAAAAGGCACTGTAGGCAACGGAATATCAAGGATCGGCACCGGTGACCAATAGAAGCCACCCGTATTGACAGGCACAATCATGGCAGTTGTCGTTTGGTCCTCGACCTCCGTTGTCGTGATGGTAGTGGTGGTGGGGATGGTGGCCAAGCTATCAATCTGCTGCTCTGACCAGGTATATGTGATCGTTCCTGACGTAGATGTCGTCTGTGGCAATGCATTTGTGTCGGAGCCGGTCGCAGTGGGTAAGGCCACAACCACTACTGTGTTGTCGGTCGTTTTGTTGGCGGTGCTGAATGGGTTCTCGACGTAAATAACCTTTGTGACTGTCTGGGGCGTAGTAGCCGGAGAAGGAATGCCCGTTAAAACGGAAAGTCCGTTTGTGTCATTCAATGTGACAGTGCCGCTCATCACCATATGACTCATGCCATCAACGACGGCAAATGGGGTCGTAAAGGGTGTCTCGATAGGTGGTGTGTAAAACACCATGGGGAGATTGCCTTCATCGCCGAGAATCGTTATCGGTGAGGCCCTGAAGCTGCTGGTAAGAGTGTAAGTTGAGGTTGGGATGCCCGATGGTGGTCCCGACCACTGGAAGAAGCTCATTTTGTCAACTGTTCTTGAAGGCATGGAGTGCCAGGAAGTGTAAATGTAACCTCCCTCACTATAAACATATGGATATGGAGGAAGATCAACAACCATCGGCTCAATCGAGTAGGTAGGCCATACCATCGTGAAGGGCGGGTAACCAGCCACTGTCGGGTCAGACTCATTGAAGATGACCGGGCTGATATAGATGACACCAGAGCCGGTACTGTCTTCGTTGCCGTCCTCCGATTGCAAATCAACGGCCCAGTCTGATATTCCCAAGAAGTTCAGACTTTCGTACAAGGTGGTTCGCACCGCCTTGTTAGTGTCGTTCATGTATCCAGCCCATTGAGTCTCGTTATAAACCAAAACATTGGTGTACGAACTGTTGTCCCAGTACTGTGCTGCAGATGGGTTCTCTACCATAACCAACTCGAGCTCATAATTAGAGATGTATCCCGCGGTCTCCGTGCAAGGGCCTGGCCAAACGCCTGAATCAGGTCCGGTGCAGGTGCACATGTCGGTCCAGCAGCCAGCCTCGGTCATCTCAAAAGAACGAGCGTAACTAGCTACTCCAACAGCCACCTTGCTTGAGGAAACACCTGCCTTGGTGATCTAGACAGGGCACTGAGGGTTTCGGTCAGATTGACATGGGATCGCAAACAGTTGACACCCGAGCATCCGTCGTCCGAGTAAGCATTGCCATAGTCCCATTGGCCATGCAAGTCATATGTCATGTAAACGATGTAATCAACGGCAGTACTGATTGCCTCAATAGGGAATCTCTCGAGATACCAGAAGGAAGCTGGTGCAGTGAGAGACAACGTCTTGCCTGACGGCATGGAGGCCTTCAGCAGGTCCAATGTGATATAGTAGTTGGTGCTGTCTGCAGTAGTTCCTGCTGGGATTCCAGCAATATCTGGCTCATCGGGATACTCCCAATCAAATTCCACACCATCGAGGTCCCACTCCTCCAAGAAATCGACAACATTGGTGATCAAGGTGTCTCGATTCGCTTCAGTGACTGCATCTCAGAAGATCATATAAGTGTCTGCATCAGTGGAGAAAGACCATCCGCCAATCGACAGAACGCGTTTGGCCCCAGTCATGTTTGAAAACAGATAAAGCTGGTCTTCAAGACCGGTAATATTGATAGCATAGTCGAAAGTGATGGTGGCAAAGGCAAAGTGGATGTGGGAGTAAAATGTGGTGTTGATTTGATCAACTGACATGGTCAGGCACGGTCGGGTTTGGTCATACGCTTCAAAGTAGGCGATCGAATAGGTTTCAGCTGGAGCGTCAACGCTGACAATAATATCCGTGCTACAGTTAGAGATACATCCATTCTCATTCGCCGCTGCTCTTCCTGGATTACCCGTCGTTGAGTTGGAAACGGTACAAAATTCTGCGGTGATACCACATTGGCCCCAGATATCGCAGCATGCGTTGAGGGGACAAGCGTTGAGGGTTCTTAAATCGGTACCATGCGTTGCATTGGCAGTTCCGTTGACTTGAGGACCACAAACAGCGTTTGAGATTGTCGATGGCATTGGCGGTCACCCACTACTCAAGCATATATGGCTTCCCACCAGCAGGTCGCTGCAGCCCATCCAGCCCCACGTTCCATTGGCTCCCTCGTTCCAGCTCTCGATCTCGGCGACAGTAATATCGTATGCCGCCGCCAGAGCACTACAGGTGTCATCAGTCTGCACTGTGTAGGAATAACAATTGTCATCGGAGTCAGGCGAAGGTGTATAGTCAGGCAAAGTTCCATTTGTACAACACAGATGCTGCCCAGCTTGAATATCTGTTAGGAGGTGTGCCTATGGAACAGCTACAGGAAAGAACACGTATGGGGGGGAAGCGCGCGGAGGGGAAGTCTGCCCCGACACGTCGAGAGCTATCTACCTAGCCACCTTGGTCTGAACTATACAGACCACGTGATCTAACAGAAATAGTGGATTATTTCCCTTTTTACCCTCATGTAAAAGGGGCCAGGACCTGATCCACCAAACACCCCACTCAGTTAGACCACCTGGGCAAGATTCCATGATCTATAATAAATGCTAGCTAATATCCGAAACCCATAATTCATGGTACCTCACTCCGTGCATTCCACTCGCTAAGCTTTGATCAGTGCCATGTGGAGACGCAAAAATTACAGCTCCTCCTTCACAAGTCGTATCTTGACAGCCTTGTGCGATCCCGAAATGGTCAATCTAACTGCGTCTTCCTTGCAAGTCCGCTTTTACTCGCCACCTCCTGTTGAAGCTAGAATAGCGCTAGGCTGAACTAGTGCAAGGGCCAAGCAGCCGCGAGCTCCGACGAGTTTGTGAAAAATTAAAATACCAAGGGCTAGTATAGACTGACCGAGGAAGACTCGGACATGAGTGAAAGGAATCCGGAGCCCACCTCTGGCAAAGCAAGTCAAAAGACTAGTATATGCACAACTAGCTAGAGGTAGGCCTCGAGAAGAATCCACTCTTTATCATCCCGTATTCTCCCTCTAAGAGGCGTGACCTTTCCAACAACCTCTCTTTTGTTTTTGGAGAGTCAATTTCCCGCCTTTTCATTCTGAATACTCTTTTATGCTTATTATTTTCACTCTTGACTGAGTTCGGTCACCTGTACCATGAATCTCCTCAATAGGCACTTCGGTGTTGCCATTTTCGCGTTCCTTCTGAGTCTACTCTTTACAAACGGTTCATGGGCAAGAATCCATCCATCGAATAAAGAGAAGCAATTATCTCATGTGTCCGGGCTTGACTCAACTCAGCCCCATGCCTTAGCCAAGCGTGCAATTACCGAGGCGGCATATGATGAATACCAAAACAGAGGCATACAGTTGAGCTGTGTCTGTTCAGTCTCAGACACGACCGCGTACGATCTGTTTTTTAAACCTATAGACTCGGACGCTACTGGCAGTTTGGCAGCAGAATATACGACCGTCATTGAACTGATCGTTGCCGGATGGGAAATCAACACAACCCCTATAGACACTCTCGCGGGCAACCTTCCCAATTATCTGGGTAGCGAGGTGTTGACGATGACTGGTCTGAATCTTGCCAATAATGTGGTCATAGACTGGCAGTGGGTGGTGGAGGGAGAAAATGTATGTGATGTTCTATTCTACCCATGTCTTTTCCATTTCATACAACCCCGAAGCAATTATCCGTGAATGTCGTTTTACTGAGAAGGATTATGAAGAGCTAATTAACAATCCATTCTCACTTGACAGGGAATTGATACTACGTCCAATTATCAATGCTGGTTCAATGTTGCGGCTGGCGCGATCTTCGTTGACCTAGCTTGGGGTCCTGCTTTCAAAAAAGCTGAAGCGGGTGATAATTGGCCTGACGACGTCGCTCTTCCCGCTATTTCACAGCTGTCGGATGTGATGTGGATCGAATGGGCGGACCAAGCGGGTGATTCAGCCGCGAATCTCAAGTATGTCTTTCAAATGGATATTGTGAACTTTGACACGAGAGGTGTCATCAACACAGCCATGGGATCAACTACCTGGACTGAGTTTCGAGAATTTACTCAGGATGACACAAGGTTTTATGCGCTGCTTGAGGCTCCCAATGGAGTTGCCCAGTCGTGGATCCTCGCCAACCACCAAGCGACGTTAGGCATCAAGACCGTTTCCAAAATCAGGGTCCGGTTAAGCTCGACATTCCAGGAAAACCAGTCAGTTCCAAACGATGAAGTAGGAGTTCTCGTCGTCACAACAAATGCCCAAGGCGAAGAGGAAGTAGCAAATGGAGGGAACAATTCGTTGTGCTGGGTTGAGGGTGAATTTATCGTGACGGATGACGATTCGGATGACGGTGAGACTGACGGAGAACCCTGCTAGGCGAGGTGCATGGTGACAGTGCTACCATATGCTTTTTAACTTTGAAGCCGTGGATGCTATGGACACATCCGATTAGTTCCAAACCTTGAGAATTTCTCTTTGGATTTGGAGATTGACGGCCTGTGGGTACCATCTTCAATCTATGGGATAACAAGGATGTGGTACGCAAGTGGTAATGAGAATCATTTGATCTTCAAACATTTGAATGTTGGGATGATCGACCCCTGTCTCTAGGGCCATGGCGCATGGAATACTGCTTTACCAACCCCAAGGCCGTTGACCTCGAGGTATCAGTGATCTATAATCCAGATTTCTGCTACAAATTATTTCTGACTGTGCTGTGGCATCAAAACCTGCGCTTCGTAGAGATAATGTATAGTAGTGGCGACTATACCATCTATAGTTTGATATCTCAATGTTTTCAACCCCGGTTTGTGCCGTCTCATAAAGATGACGAGGCTTTTTGGCTGATTACAATGCCTTATTGTTAAATGATGAAAGTACGAGAATATTCAAACTCTCCCATGAAGAGAAATATCATAAAGAGCTGTTTCGCTTCATCATCGACAAAGCATAACAAGATAGTGGCGTTAACTCAGCTCAAGGCAGGCACAACTTGAGCCCAATCACCAAACCCATATGCCCCTGGTACGCTTTCACCATCGAAGAGACTCGCCAAAACGACCCGATCGGATTGATGACCTTCCCATGGTTGTCTCCCATGCTGTGCGATAACATTATCATAGACCAAGACATCGCCCTCTTCCCAACGATGCAGAACACGAATTTCATCAGTAATCTTAGCAAGATGGGCAAGATACTTCTCAGGAATCGGCGTCCCATCACCGAAAAGCTGCTGAGTAACATTTTTCTGTGCTGAATTCATCTGTAATCTCTTCCAGTACGCAGCTAGGCCTGTGAACAAAGTTGGTAGATTTGTCCCTGGCTGGGTTCGGACGGCGGGTAATCGATGTGTGAGGATGAGTCCATCATCTACCCATTCCCAAGTTGTATGCTTGCCTCGACCATAGCGAGCAATCTGTCCCTCAATCTTCTGCCGTTTTGTCTCTTCATTATCCCCATCTACAATTTCCTTTCCAAATGCTTCCCGAAGTGTGGATCCACCCTTGTATTGCCTCTCTGCCTTATAAAGCACCCGACTCAGTATTCCCTTCTCCGCAAGCTCGGCGATGAATTCTGGAATCTCCTGTTGTGCTCGATTGAAGAGTTCAAGGGATGATGAGATCGGGGACTCGCCTCCTTTGGAAGGAACACGATGTCCATAGAAGAAGATATATTCCGGGGCATGGGGAACTTGCGGGGACTCGTTGTGGCTATAGATCAGTACCTCTTTTGGAGACTCGTTTGCTGGGGCAACATTCGGAGCAAGAAGGGATCTCTCAACGACGATACCGATAATCTCATGAGGGCTGTATCCGAATGCATGTGCGAATTTGCTGAAATCATCGGCTGTCTTGATAGGAAGATTGCGGAATAGGAGTGTTCCATGCCGTGCGAGCTTTTTGGTCAAAATTTTGTCCTTACGCTGTAGTTCCTCGATCGATTCGATCACTTCTTCAAGTCTGCATGTCTTATCCCCTTGGACTGGTCTCAAAGCAAGTGGGATAACTGTACCCGTAGGATGGGGTGGTCCTAGTGCTCTCTGGTTGGACAAGGGTAGATCGAACTCTTCAAAGGTCAAATGAGTCGACGCCAAGTCAAACTTTGGGATATCGACTTTGTTTGTGTTTCCTGTTTCCATTTCTTTGTTTTCGTTGATTTTCTTTCTCAGAATAAAAAAAGTATAAGCCCTGGAGGGCAGGTGATATTTATGTTATGGTGTTACTTACCCCTCATCTACAAGAACTGGCGCTAGATGGTGTGCGACAGTTCGACTGCGGTTAATGTGCCTATTGGTGGGAAGCTATAATTCTCATTATCACGAAAAAGAAATTATATCTTATTCCAATCCAAACAAGGTTTTTTTTTTCTGAAACCACGTATAGATTTTTTTGTGTTTTCAAACAAAAAAAAATAAAAGCCCCGACTACGGCAAGGAATACAGGCAGCTCGCATGCCTGTTTGGGACTATATTTTAGACCGCTTTTAGCACCGCCTTTAAAAATTCTTATATTATTTTTGTGAGCTTTAATAATGCACGCCAAATTGAACGTGGATAGATGTATCTTTTAGTCTGATTTTCTGAAGAATGTATCTGCTTTTGGGGCTTGGAGTATCAGAAGTCTGTAGAGAAAATTCTAAAAGAGAAGGGGGAAATCTGGGTGTACTAATATGTAAGCTAAATAGGTTAGGTTTAGCTTTATCTAGCAGTAGTAATTTACACAATTTTCAATAGATTTGAACATATCACATCTATGAAGTCGACGGTAATCCTTTCTTTATTTTTTTTCAATATCAAAATTATAAAGCCTTTATTAATAGATAATATTAAAATCTAGATTAATAGAGGGTCCTGGCTTCCAAGGTTCTGCTTTCCCATATTCATCTTGGGCATTAGATACAAACTTAGAAGGCATACAACGGTATTTCCAGTAATTTTCATTTCTGCCGGGCCAAAACAAGGCCCAAATAGGCATGCGAGCTGTGGCCTGTATTCCTTGCCGTACGGCCCGTACCCCGACCCTGGGGACCTTGTGCAGTTTCAAGATTTGATTCCTGCTTCAAGAAATTCTTATGGCATGTGAGAATTCAGATATCTCAATTCTTAACCATTCAATACCTCTGAGCCTCCAAAAGATGATTGTAAGTCGACGCACAAGCCTTTTACTCTGAATCCCAGTGTTTGAGGAAAGTCTTGTTATTCATTTGATTGACCATCGAAGACTAGTCTGAGTATTATTGTGAGTTTGACATATGGTAGACGGTAGGTTGTCGAAATTCTTCCAACGTGCAGTAGTAGACACGCTTGAGGAGTTGTTTTTGCGCTTTCTTGCCTCGATTGGTACATCTGGAGGGAATTATTTCCACTGCATGTTGAAATGCTAATAGAATACCAGTTATGTAGATGGTAGATGCAATCCCCTCTCAGAGTTTTCATTCCCTCTCGGTTTTTTCAACGTTCTCTCTAATCGAAGAGCAATCACCAAATATTCTCTCTCATGACATCCCCGTGGATGCGCTCGATGAATTCTTTCTGGGCGTGAGTGCTCTGGATTGGTCGGTAAAAAATTAACCGGTGTAGGTTCCGGATCGCCCAACCGGAACTTGTTTCTCTTGCACCTTCAGGCCGATAAAAGCTTTGATACAGGAAGATCCAGCCCACTAGCCGGTCGTAATCGCGGCTTGGGCTGCGGCCCAAGTGAATGATTTGCCTTGGCTCTAGGATACCCCCTGGGGTCTAATCTCGGGCTTCCAAAAGCTGGTATACGGACCTCCGTCGGTATAAAAGGCACCGATCACGATTCATGTGTCGTCAGGAGTCGCTTCTGCATATTGGACCTCCTAATGAGCCGGTAATTCTGTAGTCTGTAAGCGTTTTTGACTGCCCAGGTGAGGCTGGTCTCGCACCGGCTATGGCTTGCATGATCTTGGAACATCGTGACCCAGTCAACTAGACGGTTGCAGTGGGTGATTGAGATTTGGCCAATACAAAGACGGGTTCGTCGCTGTAATATCGCCAGACTAGGCCTTGTCGCTGGGTCCCAGAAAATTACCTCAGTGGACTCATCAGAGCGGCGAGAAACTGTAACCAAATTGTAAGGAAGGATAAAACAATATTAATCCGAACTGGCAGGTGGTAGTGGAATTCCCTAAGGGCTCATGGGGAGGTACTAGGAACCCCTTATCGGTTCAAATGGTGAAGTGAAAACATGCAATTTGTTCACATCTCCCAAACATTCAGCGGAGACTGTCCCTGTTCGGAGCCAAGCTCCTCGTGAAGCTCCTCCAATCGGTCTCGTTCTTGTGCCGTGCTTCGGAGCTAGGTACGGCCTGTCTGTAGTCGATAAGAACTCCCTACCGCCTAGCTAAAGCTATTGTCGTGTGGGTCAGGCATTTGCCAGCTTGAGTACATTGCGATCCAGTCCATCAAATGAGGGAAGTATTCAGTTTCGATTTCGCCGATGTGCATGAGTGCATATGGATCCAGAATTCCCCTCCAGGTCCCACTCGCAGATCCCAAATTGTTGCATCTAGGGACTCGTCGGCTCGGAGACAAAATGTTACCAGTCCATTTGGACAGACCAACCAGATGGCTGCGGGAGGCAAGCCATCGGAAGCATCAGATCTATGCTCGTAGATTGCAAGGTGAATTTCAATCAAGTTCATAGGTCGAACGATCCCAAGTCGTCCTGTTGAATAGAAAAATCAATCATTAACCAAGTCAAAATCATCGGGATGAAGGATGCTTACTGAGTTCGCGAAAAAGACCAGACATAATTGGTTTTGGGTTTGTTTGAGGAGAGACAACAGTGGGCTGAAGGTATGAGCCAAAGACTGTGTGCGCAGATGGTTAGCGTTTTCAGAATAAGGCAATATGGATTTGTAGCTACCTAGGTACATACCTAGCATTATCAAGTATGTTAAAGTCACAGAAACCTGATTAGGTGGAGGGAGAAGAAGAAGGGAGAAGAGGAAAGGAAAGGGTGGATTTTAGACATTTTCATCTCAAGAAAAGGTACAGAGTAGCACCAGTGAATATGTTTGACTCATGAGGATCATTGAATGACGCCTTTTCATCGGGACTTTTAGACATGAGGATTTTACCATATTTAAATCACAGTATGGCATGTATCTGAGTCGCCTGAGCCTTATGCTCCCGATTGGAACTGTTGAAGATGAACATGGAGTACATTCAGTTATGCCTCGCTCCGAGTAAGGAGGTATCAGAAGGTATTATTTGAGCCAGTATATGAAACGTTACTTTGCATGTTGATTTTGGCATGGGCTTCCTCGGCTGTGAATTTTTCTTCAAGTTTTCTTTGAAGACTGAATGAAGAACCATTCAGCATTTGTATGTCTTTGACGAAATCCTTTCGTTAGCACTCAAGTTGAGTCTTCATAAACGCATCAGCATTCTTCAAACTTCAATTTCATGGATATATTAGAAATATCATCCTCATATCTTGCAACCTACAGACTTCAACCCCCGACCTCCTCAAATATATCCCTCGGTTGATCTCAAGCTTCCTTCCACTACCGCAATGACTAACAAGACTCGATCAGATCGACTGGCCGAATACTTTGGGGCTTTTATGCATGGAGGGCAATATTTTCAGGATCTCCACAACTTCAAAAGGTTCATCGAAGCCATTCCTCCTGGACAAGAGACCAAAAAAGACCGTTGAATAGCTTATCGAAAGCCAGGATGCTCCCAATGTGTTTTGAAATGGCCCGAGGTTCAACCTCACACCCAAATTCATCGATGGGTATACATCTAAGCTCATCAATCCTCTCAATCACCCAGAGGTCAAGCTGGTGAGTAACTATCTGCTTCCCAAACACCTTTTGCTTCCCATCCTGGAGCCCGGACTTTGTGGAACTATCTTGTCGATGCTTTTTGTCCCCGGAAATCGGAAGACGACGCTGCCTATGGCTGCTGTTGGATGACAACAGAAATCCTCACCTGGTAATTCTCATCTTAGCTGAATACTCAAGCTGACCTTTTTTCACTGTTGTTAGGTTTGAATTCATTTCTGCCTCACCATCAGTCTCATGGCGGAATCTGGAACACAAGATCAAGTATCTCTTGGGAGTCAAATCACCCGGATACTTTATCAATTGGAGAGCACATCAGGTGTTTGATTCGATAGAAAATTATCGGCTTCTGTTTGAAAATTATTCTGCTTACTGTGGGTAAGATGAGCTGTACCAAAAAGCTTTTCTATCATCGTGCGGATGAGATCACCAGGCAATCTGGGAACAAGCGAACTACTGCGCATTTGGACAATGAAATCCGTCTTTTAAAAGAGTCTGATTTCTGGGGTGTGAGATGGTGGCCAAGTGGCAAATTGTATCAAGGAAGGTCGACAATCTGCTTTTCACTTGAAAGGGCTCTCCTTGGCTCGGCTATCTTGTTCTTCTGCGGATATCAAGTTGCTTGGCAAATGCCCTGGTGTAACTAGAGTCAGCTCTGAAAAGAGTTAAACGTTTTTTTAAAAAGAAGCCAGAGGATTTGTCTTGGAATCTGAGTTGAAATTTGTCAGGCATTGTGCCTTCAGGTGCTGAATTCAGAAAGGGAAAATTTGGCTTTTGCTATGATCAAAAGAGATATTGATGCTCTGATAGCTTAGGGGCCTGCTGTCATATTCCATATCGAAGGGCAAAAAGCAGTGAAGAAGAATCTTCTATTGCTCAAGCTTGATGATGACGTTCAGTTTCTCGTAGTTCCCACGGCTACATTCATCCATGAAACCATCTTGGAAGCTCTTTAAGAGAGATTTCAACTTCCCCTCACGGCAAAGTTGTTCCTTACGGGACGGGCGAGACAATTGGGGAGTCACGCCTGGCGCGTGTGGTCAATGAGCTGAAGGAGATTTATCGAGGCAATGTCCAGCATATTTTGGGAACCTACCTGGCTATGAAATTGGACCTTCGCAGGTTGATACTATTCTGCCGGCTTTGACTCAGAGGGTGAGTTGAATCCGGGAATCCCAGGGAGGTGAATTTGCATAGGCAATTTCATTGATTTTTCGAATGAACAAGGTCATCTGCAGGTGCCGGAACATCCTTCATAGGGGCTGGTCTTGCCAAACCCCTCTTTGACCAGGGGAGTGACAGAATAATGGCAATTCGATACACTTCGATACACAAAGCATGCTTTGGGTGGATTTTCGGAAGGTCTGCTAGATTTTGGAAACTGACCCATGCGGAGTCATTCAATTCACAGTACAGACAGAGCAGCTCATCCCCAAGAGACGACGACTCATCATGCGAGATCATGTACGACGCAAGATATCACCAAAACGACTGAAAACGATACGTTTGAGCATTAGCATGCTGACTGAGTCGTTTGCAGAGTATCAGAGATTAGCGGGTGGCTTAGCAACAACGCTGGAGTATCTGGAATTTACCAATCAAAAGTATTGCAAATCCTTTATCATTCATGAGGACATCCATGGATGAATGAATGAATATCCTCGGGAAGAATGGATAGACTGTTGACAAAAATGGCTCCCTAGGTGATGGCTCAAAGAGAAATCTCCAAAGGCCTTCACAGATCTCCCGCCATCTGAGTCCCAGGATATATGGGCAATGGAGAAAAGTGTCCAGGATATAAGTTTTATTCCTGGAAGATGGCGTGGTCTGACAAACAAGCCAGATCTCGGCCCCTCAAAATGAAATTCCTAGACACATGTCAAGCTAAACTCCCAGGTTCAAGTTGCGAAGAAAAACTGTGAAATCCCGAAACAAGAAAGAAGCCTCCCTTGCATGACCCGCGCCGCCGCGAAGCTCTTTGATAATATCCAACGTGCAGATCCCGAGATTGTGGCCAGGAAGAGACAGATAAAACCCTCGACTCTCGCATTATTGTAATGATATTGCGACCTGGGCAGTGACCAAAGATTTGATATTGATTGAGGGTCATATTCTTTGACAGGCTCATCCAAACCAGCGGTCTGTAAGCAACATTGATAAATCAGCATCAAATGTGTCCCGAGATCTCATGCCTCGTGCGTCTCTCAACCCTCCGCGATTAGAAGATGATGAGGAAATCAAAATTCGTCCTGAGCCTCTTGGATTGTGCGACCGGGTGATTTTCTTCAATCATTCAATCTGAAAACAAGCTTTTTGATATCCTCAATCGGCGGGATAAAGGTGCCAAAACTTCCAAAACTTCCAAACAGAACATGTTTGAGGTGGGGACTGGTGGGACTTGTAAGATAGTCATTCTCACGCTGTATCTCGGCCAACCTGCCTTTTTTGAGACGTCCTAGGATCTTTTTGCAAGCTCAAGTGCTGGTTACGAACGTAGAGCACTCAACAAAACTGAACAAGTTCCCGGCCATTGATAAGTTCAAATTGGAAAGTTGAGGAAGAGGAGAAGGCACGAGGCAAGAAGATTAAAAAAAGGATATAACTAGCAAGGAGAAGAAAGAAAGATAGTGATGACGTTGTTAGGCGAAGCAAAATGAATCCGATAGAGGTTTCATTGTTTAATGGCGGCCTTTGAGTCGCTGTTGAAAGGCCAGGTGTGCTCCTTTCTAGCTCACGAAAGATGCTCGGCATGGTCGGCAATTAGGAGACATATTTGCTCGCCGAAAAAGTCAGAGGTCTCGCAGGCCGTTGATTGATCAAATAGAAGAAAATGGCGGGATGTAGGATCATGTCTGGCCACTGGCAGTCAGGTATGAACAGCACGCTGGATGAGCTGCTATACCTCGAACTACCGACAGATTGATTAAAGGGATATAGATGCTCGATACCCTGATACGTGCAATGAATTTCATTTACACTTCAGAGTCCTCTCAATTACGCTTATTTCCAGTGTCAAATTGATAAATAGTTTGCTGTTTAACCTTTCTGACTTTCCACTGACTTTATCATTATGGGAAGTACTGTCAAGCTACGATTTGAAGTCTACGAGTGCCCATCGAAATGCGATTAGCTTGTTGACCACTCAAAAGTGACATGTCCAGTTACAGTGGAATAAAAATTCCAAGGTGGCTATATTCTATCATTCCAGTACTCTAGTGTGAAAGAAGCACATCAATCATGTGTTCAATAGGACTAAGTAAAGGATAAAGTAGGCGAACGGGATTTCCAGCTTGATCAAGAGCGTCAGTAAAAGCAGGCCGCATATGCCCGGAGGATTTCTGATCTTAAAATCAAAGCTTCTTATTTGATACATTTGAGGTGGAATGAGCTTGCCGGTACCGAGGGAGCTAGAATTTTTCAGCAGCAGCAACGAGAGATTCCCGAATTGCAGAGTCCCCCAAAGCTGATAAATGAGGGTATTTCAAGCTGTCAGAAACCCATCAAAGGCTGCTAAAGGCTGGCAAAGGTCTCTGCACACCAGGCAAAGAGGACTTTTACCCGAAAAAGGCAATAGAGCACCATTTCAGTGGGAAATATTGATATTGATGCAGAGAATCTGATCAGTCCAGATCCTTCAATCGTTTTTAAATCATAAAAAGCATGGAAAGAGCCGAAATCCATGACTGGCTTGACCCAGGTGAAGAGAGCAATGGAGGCTCTTGTTGATACGATTCATGACTAGCACCACAAGCATGATGGGCAGCCATTGATTGATCACAGTCTCAATAAAATATTCCATGGAAATCCAGGAACAGGAAAGGCCTCGGCTGCAAAAATGTACGGTCAAAATTCAGGTCAGCTTAGATGGGCATATCAGGGATCACTGGCAGTGGACTTCCATAGGGGGTGGTAACGCACATATGCTGTAGTGCGCTGAGTGTCTGCACATATGATTTGCTGTTTTACACGATTATCAGCGGATCACAGGTGCGTGCCGTATTGTACAGTGATTCACAACTTGAAGTTTCAAATGTTGAAATAGAAGGGTCATATGATTTACTCAAGTCCCGCGGTATAGCTGGGCCTGACTTGATATACATATACACTCCACTTAATATTGAGGATCAAAGATGCTAAAACTATACTTGAGTTGCTTGTGGATTTTCACCGAAAGCAGATAACGCTCAGCATCATGTGAGGGAAGATCGCAGAAGTCTCTCCATTTCTTTCAGGGACTCCGGCTTGGAGGTCACACTAGACATCAAGTAGAGTACATTGCCCAGGACTCGGGAATGAACATTAAACTGGTCTCCGCCAGCCCTAAAGTTCTGCTGCAAGCCCTTGGCAGCATTGGAAGTGTATCCTATCATTGTATTAGCCTCGGCAAAATCACTTCTAGAAAAACGTAACTTACCCCCACCCTGCTCATCTCGCAGAGAGATACTTAATACCGTTCCAATAGCAAAGACACTTTCTACTGATTCCGCGCAGGAAAGGTCCTTCAAAAGCGCATTTGACCAGACACTCCATACCTCGGGAGTGGAAGTCTCTTCCAATGTAGAGCTCTCATTCCAATCTGTGCGATATTCATCCCAAGACCCATCCTTATCCATCTCAGACATTGTACGCAGTGAGTCAACCGCGACTGTACAACCCATAGCATGAGCTGTGTAGCTGTGACCGTGAAGGAGAGCATCACTCTTCTCGGGACTAGAAAAGGCATCGAAAATCTCCTTGCTGGCTGTCGTGGTGCAGAGAGGAATGAGTCCACCAGTCAAAAGCTTGGCGTTTACAGCGATATCCGGGTGTACACCTAAGAAAGACGCAGATGTAGGGCGTCCGAGTCGGTAGAGTCCTGTAAACACTTCATCAAAAACGACAGGCAATCCAGACCATGATGGGGATGTCTTAGCTGCCGGCGCGTTAGATGAGAAGAGCTCTGGGTGTTCACGAACAACATCAGTGAGGCAGCGCTGGAATAATGGGTCACTGGGAAGATAGGTTAGCAAAGTACGGTGAAACCAAGGAGACAATATGTACCAGAAGAGCATTCCACCGGCACCCAGAATGACGGGCTCTAGGATCAAAGCGCCGAACTTCATGCCGTGCGTGTCTACCAAATCCTTGATAGTGCGATGGATGTATTTCTTATAACGCTGACTGGTTTCCGAGCCCAGGCGTTGATCCAGATCAAACACGGAGCCCAAGGAATTAAAATCCATGTCAGAACCCAAGTCTTCTTGAAGCTCTGCAGGCACTTCCACCTTCCACTTTCCATCAACCATCTTGACCAGAGGGAAATCAAACCAGTGTCCTCGGCCGCGGTACCACTCGACCTTCTTGTTGTAAATTGATGGTTCAGAACAGTCCATCACACCAATGGTATCACCGTGGTAGCTGCCCTTAAGGCCCAAGATATTAATCTTCTCTTGACTGGCATCCCAGCCGTAGCGATCGCATGCAGCTCGGAGACCCATTTTGATAGCGACCTCCATTCCTGTGCTTCCATTATCAGTATAGAAAACCTTCGCAAACCGGGGGTTATCAAGAGTCTTCAGCAGATTATCAGCAAGAGATAACGCAGGCTCATGAACGGCGCCAGCAAACATAACATGGCCGTAGCGGCCGGCTGCATATGCCGCTGAGAGGGCCAGGTCGGGGTTTCCGTGGCCTAGACCCTGAGTCCACCAAGATGCGGATCCATCGAATGTCGGTCGGAGTTCACTCTCCGAGTTCTGAGTCTGACGAGATCCAAACGTTTGGAAATAGTCATCGTGGGCAGAATCAATGACAGTAATATCCTTGGCCTGCATCCCTTGATGTTGAGTGAAGGGATACCAAATCAAGTCATGGGCTCGATCAGCCATTTCTTCTAATTTCTCAATCCGCTGCTCATTTCTGAGATTCAGCTCCTCTAAGAGACGGAGAATATCCGACTCCTCTGACGCTTGGCGATAATATTTGAACATAGCTTCTTCATCTCTCTTCTGAGCATCGGCATCCGTTTGCAATGGCTTGCTAGGCGGAGCTGGGAGATGAACTAGAGGAATACTCTTGTTACGGAAGTACTTGCCAAGATAATCATGGTTCTGATAATAGTCGTCGCGGAATAATAATACGGATTGTACATCATATCCACGCAGCAACAGAGACTCATATGCCGAGATGGATGAGGAGATTCCTCCCAGTCGAGAGTCTGCAACTAGAACAATTGGCAGTCGGAGAGGCCGGTAGAGGTCGGCTTGGGAGTTGCCATTGGGGCCAGGAGAGTGCACACCTCCTGCTGTTTCAACCAATGCGAAGTCAATGTCTGTTCGTGCCCAACCAGACAGTGTCTTATGAATTGATGCAAGCAGGTCATTATCCCGTGGGATCTGTCTTGTATAAGCGATATTCTCAAACTATTCATCTGATGACTCACAGTCTTTGATTTGGCCGCGATATGCGGGCTTACTGGTTCATCGAATTGATATAAACATTTGGTCAATGTTCCAGCGCCATATCGGTCGATGTGTCTATCAAAAATTGATGAGCGTCCACATATTCCCATATATCTTCCATAAAACATACCGATCATCTGCATCATCTAGTGCACCTGTTGACACTGGCTTCAAGAACGCAGCTCGTTGTTTCTGTCTCTGGACCGCGTTACATAACACCGTCGACACAATTGTTTTCCCAACATCAGTATTTGCTCCATACACCTGATGAGCACGCAAAGTTCGCCAAAGTCCAGCACCAACTGGAGCCATTTTTAACAATGAGAGAGATGAAGATGTGAGATACGGGGAAATGATAAAGTCAACTCCGCGCTGTTTGCGTTTACCGGGAAGTTTGACGTCAATTGGCGAATCATCATCCCGTTGTACCCGTCGCGTCTCCACATTTTGGCATTTCCCTTTTCACCGAGGTTGAGTTCTCGGTTGAGAGTTGAGATTCCCCCAACGAACTTATTGAGTCTGATATTCAAGCAATTCAAGCAATTCAAGCAATTCAATGATCAATTGATTTTTCGGTGCTTTCCAAATCTCTGATATTCCATCAAGATCCAAGTTCCTCGTCTCCGGCTCCTCGGGTCAGCGCTCAGACACTATTATAACACATTTAAAGTGCGGGATGATCATTTGACGGGAACCAGGCATCCAAGGACCAAGACCGACCCGTTCCTAACCGAATCTGTGACGAGGAACCAGAAATCAGTTTCATCTGTCTCTGCATGAATACATGTCTGTGCGAAATACAGCAAACATAACAATGGGTTCAACACCACGTGCGGCTGGCTCCACAGCACCAGGAACACCAGGAACACCAAAGGGACTCATCAATACCTTGACTCAAGCATTGGAGCGTCGAGAAACCAAGTCTGCACGTCGCAGACTGACAATTCTCCCTCAAACTGCTATTGATTTCTCCTCGAATGACTTCCTCTCACTATCCACATCGCCTGCTTATCGGAATCGGTACCTGGCGCATGTGAATAACACACCGGAGTTTTTCCCATTCGCCAGTGGCGGGTCACGATTGCTAGATGGCAATTCCGCGTATGCAGAGGAATTGGAGCGTTTCGTAGCAGATTTCCATGACGCCCCGACGGCGCTCTTATTCAATTCTGGGTTTGACGCGAATGTAGGCGTGCTATCAAGCATTCCTCAGCCAGGAGATCTGATATTATATGACGAACTCATCCATGCCAGTGTCCATGAAGGAATGCGGCTGTCTCGGGCCGGCAAGCGAGTTATGTTCGACCATAGCTGTCCCACGAGTCTGCGGGACGCTCTCGGGGAACAGATCAATAATGATCCGAAAATCCAAAGTGGCGCACGGAATGTATTCATTGTGATTGAGTCAATTTATAGTATGGATGGGGATATCGCTCCAATCAAAGATTTTATCAAAGTTGTGGATGAGCTTCTCCCTCTTGAGAACGGTCATTTCATTGTCGATGAGGCCCATGCAACTGGTGTGTTTGGGCCACGCGGCGCCGGGGTGGTTCAAGACCTCGGGGTTCAGGATCGCATGTTTATTCGCTTGGCTACGTTTGGAAAAGCGTTGGCCAGTCATGGTGGTATTTTCTTCACGAAATTCTCATAACGATATGGTGCTAATTTCTCATTAGCAATGGTACTTTGTGGACCAGAGACCAGAGACTACCTTATCAACTATGCGCGCAGTTTGATATATACCACAGCACTTGGGTTTCCATTTTTAGCGTCCATTAAGACCGCTTATGAGCTTTTATCTTCTGGCGAAACCGAATCAGTATGCTCATCTTGTCAATCGGTGGACTGAATAGTAGCTAATGATTTCTGACAGTTACAACGACGGGTTCAATCGTTGATCGGCCATCTCCACACTCAACTCGCCTCTCTTCAGATGCGCCAACACGTCATGTTCGAAGTGGATCACTTTCCCAACTCGCCTATATTCTCCCTCCGTACTTCTCAGCCTCGTGAGCTGGCAAGCTTCTGCCAGAAAGCGGGCCTTATTGTCCGGGCCATTATGCCTCCCACTATACCCGACGGTAAAGAACGGGTAAGAGTCTGCCTACATGCTGGCAATACTGAAGAAGATATTGATACTCTGGTACGGACAATTCAATCTTGGCTAGATCTCGTCCCAGCTAAAAGGGACGCCAACTTGTGATGGCCTTGGAAGGCGTTTCACTTCATCAAGAAATTACGAATTCAGGCAAAACCTTGGAGCTCTTTATGGGCATTTTGATCGCCCATTTTTGTATGGTACCATGTAATAGTACTAGTATTCTTATCGATTCTGACCATCTTTGTGGAATTTCGACTTTCTAAGACCCACAAGAAATCCAATTCCTCGAGGGTCCCCGAAATCGGCAAGTCTCCATCGGTATTCTCTTAAGGGTCCGTGCCCACTATTGATGAGTTCTAACTAAACTTCTTAATTTGACGATGATTCCTCTTGCTTCCGTGAGCACTTGAGAGATTTAGTCTTTGGGGGCGTCCGAGTGAAGCCGGTGGTCCACTTGTGAACCATTCAACTGGATCAACACTGCCCCAAGAAATTTTGGTCAAGTTCTACCCAGACCTCGAAAATTCTACTATATCATTGCCCCTCGGTTTTTTCGAAGGAGGAGTTGATAATATAGTCCATCTAACCATCTAAAGCAGACTCAAATTCGGGGGTGATTTGAAACTGGGGTAATCAGCCGCGTTCCCTTATGCTACTGTCTTTGGTTAGCGTATAGTGGAGTTCAAGAATCACCGAACTCCTCCGAGGAGCCCACGCTGAAAGATCATCATCATGAATCCTTTCAATCGGGATACATCCTGCGGCACATAATCCAATCTCAGGGGTCGATTGGTGTGTAAATATGGATTATACCAAAAAAAACTCTTCCCGACGACCCCTCTCTCATCGTACTAAGTGGGGATTAGAACGAGACTAGAAACGCCTCTTTCCAGAACATCCATCTGGTCCGTGGATGTACGGACCCAATTTCAGCTCACCACTCTCAACTATCCCACTCTGGATTCGAACCCAGTCGATCCTTTCTGCAAGAGGGATCTATATGGACACCATGCGGAGCGCTTCATATTTGTCAACTCTCCGGAGAAGCCGCTTGCTGTCAATGCCACGATAAACACAGAGGCTATTACATTATGAATTGCTTTCATGCACCCCATACTTCGTACCGGATTGGTGCTCTGTACGGCGTTCATGTCTAGCTAATCTCAGGCTGGTGCATTCTCCACTGCGTTCGCCCCACGCATGCTATACAAACATTCTCCGTTCTCGGTTTCGGCACATAGCTTCATGGAGCAAATGAATGGCGTGAAGATCTCTAGAGTCTAGTAAAATGGAGAACTACATAAGGCCCTTTGGCCCGTCCAAAGGGTCCATGTTTGGATTCCCTTCTATCTCAATTCTTCCTTCAAATCATCCAAAATGAAGTTCGCTACCATCATTCCTTTCATCTCCGCCGTCTCGGCCTCTTGCCTTCATGGTACCTCCCTGATGCCCCGTGCTGCTGATGGCACTATGGATATCAACTCTTTCAACTACACTGGCCTTGGTGGTCCTCTGAACTGGTACGGCCTGGACAAGAGCTCCAACAGCGCCTGTGCCAGCGGCAAGCACCAGTCCCCCATCAACATCGAAACCGATGATATTTCATACGCCAGTGCCAGCTCTGTCCACTTCCATGTCCCTAAGGTCGACAGTGCCAAGTTCGAGAACCTTGGCTCTGGTCTCGAGGTCGTCCTGACCAACGGTACCCTGATTGCCAACAATGCCACATACACCCTGGCCCAGTTCCACTTCCACACTCCCAGCGAGCACCGCATCAACGAGGAGCACTTCCCTATGGAGGTCCACTTTGTCTTCGAGACTGCCGGTACGTACAAGAAATTCAATCCCCCACATAACGCACCCTTACCAAGTATATGCTGATTTCTTCTAGCGAGCCAAATTGCTGTTGTTGGCTTCGTCTTCGAGCTGTCCCAGTTCGGTTACTCTACTCCCCTTTTCGACTCCGTCTTCGCTCACATCGATGACATCGCCATCCCTGGCACTTACACCATGACCGATGCCCTGGACTTCTCCGGTCTGACCCAGCACCTTAACAGCCACGGTATCTACCAGTACACCGGCTCCCTGACCACTCCTCCCTGCTCCGAGAATGTTGCCTGGTTCCTCAGCACCGAGCCCATTGTTCTCAATGTCCAGAGCTACAACGCTGTCAAGCACGTTCTGAAGTACAACGCCCGCTACACCCAGAACACCCTGGGCCAGAACAACCTGCTCGAGGTTGCTGCCTCTAACTTCAACTAAATGTTGGGACTCGGAGTGATATGACTTTTATGTCAAAAACTGAACTTCAAGTTAGACTTGGGATGTTTATTACTACATATTACATGATGGGAGTTTGGAGAGATTCACAGCTAATGTGAAACTTGAGTATATACCGTAATTCATAATACAGAGCACTTGAATGATGTTGCAAACAAACTACCAGATCTGATCGAGTAATTTGCACGTAGTGGGTATGAATTATCTGATGGGACCAATAATAATCTTACATCCAAATCTAGGTTCTTGGCTGGTGGGTTGATGCCAGACGTCAATCGTCTTAATTATGACAAGCGTCCCGAAGCCTCGCTAGTGTGATCATTTTCGATCAAAGTGGAGTTCAGGGACCGGACTTCTCCGGAAAAATTTCCCCCTATTCAATATGTGGAATATGTGGAATTGTACTGGATGTAAATGTTTGATGCGAATGGCGATTCCATAGTTGTTGGTAGCGATTCTCTCCATAATGTAAGTAAAAATTGTGAATGTATTAGAACTCGAAGAATGATTTACTGAGGATGCACAAGCGTATCATTGACAATCAATTGCTTAAATCGATTACATTTACTATTATCTCGAGCCTGGGGAATTGAGTAAGCTGAACATTTGAATGTGACTCCAGGGCTCCAGATACATCGTGGTTAAATCCCAAACTTCAGAGCTGCTCAAACTTGAACTTCAAGTTCCAGCCCTGGAGTTGTTCCTTCGTCAGAGTATTCAAATGTTGTATCTCGGGAATATATTTTAGACGGAAGGCATTAGTCTGCTTGAATAGGGCGACCTGGTGCAGATACTAGTATAGAACGAGTTCCTTTATACGGAGTATAAGGACTGCAATAACAAATGTGCATATTGTGACCAAATTTTCAAAATCAGTCACTGAAATTTTCTCTGCTCGAACCTCATAATGGACTCACAATGCAAGATCCCGCTTGCAGTTCCGCCAAGAAACCGTGGGGCTCGACGCCGATCATTTCTCACTCAATCACCCCTTGCGACAACTTTGCGACGCGTCACACAGTACGGAGTGTAATAGGGATAAGCTCCAATCTTCAGTATGACGAGGCTATCTGGTATTGACATAAATGAGCTTCAATCCAATCCCCGTTATCTCCTGCGCCAGCCACGCGCCTTACAGTGGTTTGAGAAAGGGCGATTGGTTAAGCGCCATGATGAGGAGCGACAAGCAGGTGAGGAGCTCATTCTGGTGTGTATGTACAGGTCTATTTGATGCTGATTTATGGCCTGCAGGACGATTCGAGCTTTTTCTAGACTTGCTCTATGTAGCAATTCTCTCTAACTTCGCTGATACTCTTGTTGAGGATATTTCCGGTGCAAAGCTTGCGAAGTATATTGTAAGTTGAAATCTGGAAGATCGGTAGCTCAAATTTAGCTCACTTTAATCTCTAGCTCATATTAGCGCCATCATGGCATGTTTGGAGCGATCTGCGAGAATTGATGAACTCATTCTATAATGACGACTTACTGCAGCGTGTGCTCATTCTGTGGGTGATGGCCTTGATGGTTGTATATGGAAATAACGCGCCCTTAGTCGATGAGGATATCGCGGCCATGCGTGCTGCTGTTGGATCATATATGACAGCTCGACTCTCGTTGATCTGTGCACATATGTTTAACTCTTTCGCGAGTTACCAACATCGACGCCAACAGCGCCTTTGGTTTGGCCTGTCGATTGTGAACCTCGCTGTATACATTCCTCTCTATTTCGAGTCTGTGTCTATTCGAGGAAAGATTGCGGCCGCGGCTGTTGCCGTGGTACTTGAGGAAATGTCCTGGGTCTTCTCCTATTCCCCCGTCGCAAAGAAAATGCTGAGTGTGAAGTACTCCACCGCGGTGGATATTCCGCATGAAGTTGATCGATTCGCTGCGTTCTATATTATTGCCCTGGGCGAGTTTCTATACTTGATTATTGTCGGCAATTATGCCGCAATTGGCTTCAATGAGCGGCTACTCCGAGCGATCTGGACGCTGATCATCGCATTTTGTCTAAATTGGCTGTATGTGCATGCTGATGGCTCCGTTGACACGGCACACCCACTGAGACACAATATCTATACGGCGTTTGCTTTTGCGATCGTCCATCTTCCTCTGATAGCTAGTTTGCTGGCCGGTGGACATGTTGCTGCTGCATCGGTTCAGGAGAAGGAGTTTGAGGACGCGCAGCGATGGCTTCTGTGTGGTGGACTGGGAGTTGGAATGATATGCCTATACGTCTTTGCATTGCTTCACGGGTCAAATGACGAGCGCGGAGCTCTATGTGTCGAAAAGGTGTGTGATCTATCATTTTCCTGGGCCGACGATATTATTAACTAATGCTTGACAGCGTTATCGTTTAATCATGCGACCCGTCACTGGAATTGTTACCATATTGCTGCCTCACGCTCACCATTTGGATGCTACTGCGATACTATCCATCATCATGGTACTTTTCGTGTTCTGTGTGATATGGGAAAGTGTCACGTCACTCAAAAGCGGTGCTCATTTCTGGGAACCATGGACTGAGACCGACTATCCTGAGTCTTGTACTCCAGATGATCATCGAACAAAGGAACTTGAAAATGTCGAGACTACGGCTGCATGAGAACAGCTTTATGCTTATGATTGAATGATTCAACAAAGTGGCTACTAGCCATTCTGCTTAATGCTAATATTTGTCAATAATATCATTGGTTTATATCTAGGAATTTAATCTCAAAAATTACTCTAGCATCTCCTATTTCCCGTCAGACTTAACCCAGAGCCCATTCTCATCTAACCCTTCAAACCATTGACTTCTCAACCATCATATCACCGGTCGCCTGTGTCTCCGATCGGCTCATGGTGGGATGACGACTTAGATCCTTCAAGCGACGACGGTCATCAACAGGCATCTCCCCCTTCTTCTCCGCCTTGTACGCCTGTCGACGGAAGTACACTCTCTTGCACCACTTCCACGTCTCAATACCAAGGAAAAAGAGAACCGTCTCCACAAACACGATACCCCACTCCCAAGAGATTGAGGTGTGCTTGAAGACACTATGATTGATAACAGGAATATAGAGAATCGGAAACGCAAGCACAAACCCAGTCATAATACCATAAAAAAGAAATTGATTGCGCCAGATATCGTGCATCCATTGGGTGAAGTAGCGCTTGGAGTCCGGTTGCATACAGAAGAAGCTTCGACGTAGGTCGATCATCTCCCATGCGAGGAAGAGAGCGAACCAGGTCATGCATGTGAATGTTGTTGCGCGGGCACGGAACACAGTATCGCAACTGTATGGCTTGCTCGGGTCGTTATACTGCGTGTTGCAGCCTTCTCCGAGATTGCCGTCACCCCAGCGGAACATAACCAGTGCGAAGGCCGAAAGACATAGTGCCGCCATCCAAACGCCATAGACGAGAGTATCGATGATTACCTCCCAGGTGAAGATGCCTTGTTTCTAAGAGCTGGTTGTTAGTATTTGTTCAGAATGTTGCTGAGATTCCGCGAAGCCAGAAGACACTTACACTTTGAGGTGGTCGATCCATCACATCTGGCGCTGCTCGCTCCATACCCAACCCCATATCTGGAAGTCCAGACGTGATCATGATAATCCAAATGATCTCAACTGGAGCGATAGGGAAAACAGACTGGTTTGTGTCATCCTTGAAGGCGAGACCAATAAGCAGAGTCAATGCAAGAGCCACATTCTCAGCCAAGAGGTGAAGAACGAATTTCTGGATATTGTCAAAAATGCGACGCCCTTCTTCAATTCCATTAATAATGGAGGCGAAATTATCATCAGTGAGAACAAGCTCCGAAGCATCCTTAGCCACATCCGAGCCATTTTGGCCCATCGCGATACCCACATCTGCACGTTTTAGAGATGGAGAATCATTTACACCATCACCCGTCATGGCAACATAACGACCGCGGCGGTGCAAGGCCTCAATCATGCGAACTTTCGTATTTGGTGCACAGCGGGCAATGACAAGTGGCAGAGTTGGTAGATTGTCGATTTCATCTTCTGTCAACTTGTCGAATTCCCCGGCAGTCATGACCATCGCATCTGCGACATCCTTTGCGATGGTGTCCATGTTTGATGGAATGATCCCCACTTGAGCGGCAATTGCGCGTGCGGTTCCAGGATGATCGCCTGTTACCATGTGAACGGAGATTCCTGCTTTGTAGCACTGGCTAATTGCACCGGCCGTTTCTGGTCGAGGGGGGTCATAGAGGCCGATCAGTCCGTAGAAGACGAGATCTTTTTCGACTTCGTCTCGGGGGATGTTTTCTTCACTTGAATTGTCTCTCGACTCAACGGTGGTGTGCTCTCGACCAGCCAGAGCAAGAACTCGGAGACCTTCTTTTGCAAGTCCCTCCATGTTCTCTAAGACCTCATCTCGGATATCATCACTCAATGGTACTGGAGATGGATTTGACCTCCATGTAATAGTCGTACATGCGTCAAGTACTCTTTCCACCGCTCCCTTGGTGAAAATCATTTCCGTAGCTTGGTTCGATTCTGCATCTTGCTTCGAGAAGATGACTGACATCTTCTTCACACTAGAATCAAACGGATATTCGGCTCTTTGCTGCCAAATTGGCTTCTCACCCTTGATCCAGCGATCCGATCCCCAATCAAAGCGAGATGCAAATACTTGAATTGCAATATCGGTTGGCTCACCGCGAGCTTGCCACTCGCCATGAGCTGTCTTGTGGATATGCGCCAAGTTGGCCATGGAGGCGACACTGAGGAATGATTTCAGATGGACACTGCCATTTTTCAAAAGGTCCTGAGGCTTTTCAGATGGCTGATTCTTGGAATCACTTCCAAGCTTCAATGGAGATTCTGGCAGAAGACTTAGATCACCTTCATGTGGATTCAAAGGATCCTGCGATGATCCAACAGAATAAGTTCCAAGGCAAGGGATCCAGGCACGCTTAGCAACCATGCGCCCCTGAGTCAGGGTACCAGTCTTGTCCGAGCAAATATTGGTGACAGCGCCCAGTGCCTCCAGAGAATCAAGCTTGCGCACAATAACGTGTCTCTGCACCATCTGTCTCGTACCAACTGCCATGGTGATAGTCAAGACAACAACCAAACAAGCCGGAATCATGGCCAATCCGGTCGCAACAGCATAAATAATAACCTCGTTATCTCCGCGCCAGTTATTAGCTGCTGCAACCACGATCGCAAAGACCACGGCAATGCCGAACAGAAGTAACGCTAGCTTCGAAAGCTTTCGTTGCAATGGTGTGCCCACATTGATTCCCAGGAACCGACCAATCGCATCGGTAGTTGTCAATGTCCATGCTTCAATGTACCATCGCTTTTTCGTTTCTCCTTGCGGCCCACGCTTCACAGGGCGACGCTTTGAATCTCCTCCCCGGAGTGCAGCGGCAATGGCTCCGATTTCTGTTTGCATTCCAGTGCCAATTACAACACATCTTGCCCTCCCGCGAGTAATAGTTGAAGAGCTGTATGTGATATTAAGACGGTCGCCAGGTCCAGTATCCAGGTCGAATGTCGACTTTGCTTCCTTTTGCACTGGCAAGGATTCACCCGTGAGGAGAGCCTCGTCAGTCTCAAAGTTGAATGCTTCGATTAATCTGAGGACGGTTAGTATGGAACATAAATCATGATATATGGGGTGGGCTCTCACCTGAGATCAGCAGGAACAGTATCACCAACTTTCAGCTCCACAATGTCACCCGGAACGATTTCGTTAGCGGGGACAGTGGCGGTTTTGCCATCCCGAGTCACTACTCCAGTAGGCGAACTCAAGGAGCGCAGGGAGTCCATCGTTTTCTCAGCTGCGAAGTCTTGATAGACACCAACAACGATATTGAGGGCGATGACCGCTGCGATGAATCCACCCTCAATCCAGGATTGAATTCCAAAACTGACAGCCATTGCAATGATGAGAATCTGTGAAATATTTATGTGAGTGAAGAGTTCAGGAATTTTGCTAGCACTGTAGTACGTACAAGCATCATTGCGTTAGCAACTTGTCGAATGATGATCTTCGCGAAGGAGACGCCTTCGCCTCCCTCGAGCATGTTCTCGCCATATTTCTCTAGGCGTTGTTTCGCCTCATTCGATGTGAGGCCATCATCGGAATTTGTGCCTAGCTGATCGATAACATCTTCAAATGTTAGATAATGTGGCGGGTTTGATAGATAAGGATGAACGCTTGTGTTGCTCGATCCTTGCGCTTTCTCCGTAGACATCGAGAAGTTCTGTCTAAACAGTGGGTGTTCTTGTATAGTTTTTTCGTTGATCTGAATATACTTTCTATCCGAACAATTTTTCAAGGTGGTGTCATATAGAAAGTATCCTCAACAGAGTGCGAGTCCATAAAAAAGTCAACAGTAGATCCAATTATCTAGACTCTGACTTTCTTTCTTGTAAGTACACTTAGTTTGGACTTATTTCCTCCTTCAAACAACCTGGGGCATAACCATGAGTTAAATAGTCAACGACCCCAAAATCGATGGCAAGTTCAACTCCACATGAACAAAAACTCCGCCCAGGTTGGCTATCTATCCCAAAGTCTAGATATCGCCTCAATCCAGAATCTGGGGAACGCCAACACCATCGACAAATCACACCATTCAACCAAACACAACGATCTAGCGGACCATCTTGGCTTTCTTTTCGCGGAGAACGCCGAGGCAAGAATGACGCACACGACTAGTCTCGGCGATGGCTCGGCCGCAAGTCACGCCTGGATGGTGATTGGTAGAGCGGAATGCCAAGAGCGGGATTCTGAGCATCGGGCTGGGCAAGACTCTCCGCGCCTTCTACGTGATAGCTCCAACCGGCGATATGTAATGTGTCATCCTTGGCTCATCTTGGGTGCATCTTGGCGTTATACACTTTGCGAGGTCTGTGAACTTAATGCGAGGTTCAAATCTGGACTCCTTTCCTGCGGTTATTTTGGCTATTTCATGGCAGTTGCGCCCGTTGTACTGGGTAAATTGTGGCGAATTTCTTGTCTCTGTTATATACTCTCTTCTGACTCGGCGTCACTGACTGATAATCTACTTTCTATATAAATACTCGCAAATTTACGTTCGCGTTTGAATGACCTGATCTGCTAGTGGCTATAAACTGCCCCTTAGCTCAGAAACTGCAGTGGATTCGACTGGGTTATCCAGGCTTTCCCCTACACTGCTAGTGCTCAGTTCCTTGTCGTTGATCTGAGCCACTCGGTCGATGAATCTCCACTATGGCCGATGATTCCCTACTCCCAGGAGAAGTTATCGGTATCATTATTGGTGCCGTGGCACTATTCTCCATTATCAGTGTCGTCCCCATGTGAGTACTTGCTTATGACCCAGTCTTGGCTATGAAATCTTGAGATATTGTGAGCTGCTGGAAAATCCGTGGAAACTGATAGCTTATTGCGAGATGTTAGGCTCATAATGTGGATTCATCGACGACATGCTCCTACGCGCCGGGCTCCTGCGCGCCGGACCAGTGAAACACTCAACCTGACTTCATCCATGCAGCAAGTCTCCGTCGACAGGTGGCTTGCTGAACAAAATACACCTAGCGATGCTTCTCACTATGCTCAGGATACTTGGTAAGTCCCGCTTGGTCCCATTCCTCCCTCATACCATTGCCCCAGTTCAATTATGCCTATGTCTTGGCCCGAGGGGTCGTGATACCCTGCCATGAATGCCCAGGTCTGGGCTCTACTTGCTCCTGCCCTATAGGGTTTACATCTATTCCTGTTTTAGAAGCCATCTTGGCGCAACACGAAAATGAGAGTTAGAGGCGCGGGAATTAGGCTTGGCAGGTGCCCTTGGATACGATCGGAGACTTCTGCCCTGGCAGAAATTTCTTTGAATGTCTTGAGGACGGGTCTATTTATGGAATTGTGTTAATTTGCTCATAGTGCTATCTGTCTCTCCCCTCTTTCATCTTCCCCTTATCTCTCCACGCTTGAACTTGCACATTTACCCGACACTCCACCCAGCAAACCCAACGACGAAAAGCATCGACACGACCCACTGGGCGAAAACTGCATAATAGTCCTCAATCGATGTCATCATGCCTTTCATTTGAGCTGTCTCACGTCTTGGTTCGAATATCGACGATATAAGTGCCCTATTTGTCAGGCTTCATACTCACCCGACGAAACGATGTGTTAAGATCATGATGAACAACCACGAAAACTCATGATATACTTTATATTATCACAACATACTTCTACTTTCTCAGTGCTTTGCAAGTTGACCGTTCTATCATGATATTCAAGGATGTGGTTAGATGATGATGTGCTGTTTTTATTTGCTGATGAGCATCTGGGCAGTCAGTCTCTTGTGCATTAATACTCCTCTCGTGAGGATTTTTACGAGCTAATTATGAGCAAAGAAATCATGAATAAATGTTCACAAAAACTACCAGTCATATGAGCTCGATGTACTCTCAACCCCTCTACTAATTCTCTCCCGGCCTGGCACATTCCCACATGGCTTGGACTGTGCGGCCACCGTCGTCAAGGGCCTCCTCCACTTAAAACAAGTGCCATCAAAGAGCGGCTTGAAGGTGATGATACAAGCACAGACCAAATAAGTCGCCGGTTCCGCCTGCCCCCAAATCCCATGATTCGAACCAATCCAGGTAAAATCTTCACTCGGGTTCATGAAGAACGATCGAAAACGCATAACGGATACGAATAAGCCCCTAAAATCATAAAATCAGTCACATGCGCTCACTCTCGAGAGACTTATGACTGGTGGAATCATATGAGAAAGAGTGCCTTACAAACCGCCAAGCGCAAACGTAATAGTCAACTGAATCTTCGTTCGCAGCCCAATATGCAAAGACCAGATCACTGGCATCGGAAGTAAAAGCATGACTACATCAGTAATGATATTTGGCAGGCTTCCCCAGGTATATATGGCGACGACATCAAGACACGTAGCGCCGGGGATACTTGGATCCCAGTTCGCAGCGAAAGGGCGACACATGAAGAAGAGGAGGATAGTGCAGATAAGGATATCTGTGGTAAGCACTATTATGAGGATGTCGCTGAGGATACGGAGGATACTTGTTGAGAAAATCCGGCGGTATAATATCAGGATCGATATCTTTGGAAGTTTCGCGTCGAGGACGTAGAGGAATGATTCTGTGGTACGGTATTTGTTTGCGGATATTATGAGCGAAGGATTTGTTACCTCTAGATATGAGGTGTGATACCCCATACCGGAGTGCTTGACTGCGCCTGAGAAAGGGTATATGGATCAGTCACTGTGCTATGGTATAGTGATTTGGCTCTTTGGGGTGGGTATACTTATGACCACTCCAGCCCATATGATTTGGCCTAGCATTGTAATAACCACAACGAAGTCATCTAGTCCAAATGATATCTTGGTATGGTATCGGACAAATAGACGGAGACAAACACATACAAATTGGATTGGAAGAAGGATAGAAATTACAATCAGTAGTTTGTTTCCTGAATAATCAGCAAAGCCGTTCACCTGGGATTCTGTGTCGGTGAAGTTAGAAGGCATCGAGAGACAGGCGTATCCTTGGGAGAAGTTGACCGCTCGCTGCTAGGCACCTAGAGACAATTTTTATCAAACAAAAAATTGCGTTTACAATATAAGCCGAACCAGGGTCATCATTTATTACATTTGCTTCCAAATACTCATCTCCTTAAAGCTTAACATTCCATTTTTTTCATGCCGAGGGTGGATGTTGGTGGTAGGCCATAGACCTAATCAGCCGCATCCTTAGTCCAATATTTGAAAATAAGCTTTCAAAATTGAACTCCAAGTTGACATTTTTGTCGCAATTGGGACCTTTCTAGTCCTGGAAATCTCTTCTGGCCGTTACATTGCTCCAATTAGAGTTGTAGTCAACACCCGTGGACATCTGTGCAACCAATGACAAATGCGTCATTCGACTTCCAAGGTTGAGACTGCAGTCGAATTTCTTCATATGCACCGAAACCTTCTTAAGTTAGCTGCCATGGTACTTAATTCAGATCACCACCAGTATCACGACTATGTCAAGTTAAGGGCATATGGTGCCTATGAAGAAATTTCCTGAAATAAAAAGGTTTCACGATCTATTGAATAGTTTTGCAATATATAGGGAAAGATATGTTCATCATACAACATAGGAACTTATTGGCTGCTTAGGCCGAGGCAACCATCTTATCCTTAACGTAGAGGTCAACATACTTGTCAACCTCAAAGTTCTCCAGCTGCTGGCGGTCCCAGCCCACCTTCAGCAGCTCATCAATGCGAGCCTGGTCGAAGTGTGCCTGGAGATGGCGCTTGTACTTAGCAAGAATCTCAGGCTTAGCCTCTTCACGACGCAGGCGGTGGCCGAGAGGAGCCTCAACAACCACCTCATTCAGAACGGTACCGTCATTCAGGGTCACAGTCAAGGCATTGGGGATAGTACGCTTAGATGGGTCATGGTAGTCCTTGGTGAACTGCTCATCCTCGACACAGCGGATACGCTTGCGGAGATCCTCCAGCACAGGAGAGGTGGCAGCTTCAGAACCGTCCGCATAGTCGTTAGCGGTCAGGCGGTTGAAAACCAGCATTGTGGCAACCATGTACTGTGAAGAAATAGAATTAGATTGGGCACTCAATGGAGATTTCAAGTGGCAAGTCTTACCTGGACACAGTGGTCTCGGTCAGCAAAGTTGTCCATGGCCTTGAACTGCTTGTCGATGATACGAATGCAGGCCTCGTGGGTACGGTTAGTAATCTCCTTGATGTCCTTAACACTCTTGCCCATCTCAGCCAGCTTCTTGTTAATAATTTGAGCGGCCTCGATAGCGGTCTGGGAGTGGAACTCGGCTGGTCATAGTTAGTATCGAAGACATCGTCGTAGCAGAGTTGAAACTTACCAGGGTAGGAGACCTTGAAGAGAACATTCTCCATGACGTAGCTGCCATAGGGCCGCTGGTACTCAAACTTCTTGCCCTTGAACAAGACATCGTAGAAACCCCAGGTGGGCGCAGAGAGAACAGTGTGCAGACCACCTTCACCCTTCTGCACCTTGAGAACCAGGTTCACGGCACGCTGGCAAGCATCACCGGCAGCCCAAGACTTACGAGACATGGTGTTGGGTGAGTGGCGGTAGGTACGGAGGGACTGACCATCAACCCACGCCTGGGTGATGGCGTCAGCAGTCTGCTTCTCCGTGAGACCCATCATCTTCGAGACAACTGCGGTAGTGGCAACTTTGACCAGGACAACGTGATCAAGGCCGACCTTGTTGTAGGAATTCTCCAAAGCCAGAACACCCTGGATCTCATGAGCCTTGATCATCGCCTCCAGAACATCGCGGATAGTCAAGATCTTGCCGTTTCCAAGGTTGCCACCCGCACGGTTAGTGCGTGAAATCCAATCGGCCACAGCCAGAATACCACCCAGGTTGTCAGAGGGATGACCCCACTCCGCGGCCAACCAACAATCGTTGTAATCCAGCCAGCGGATCATGGCACCGATGTTGAAGGCGCCATTGATAGGGTCCAGTTGGTATGGGGTGCCCGGAACGCGGGTACCGTGGGGAACCACGGTGCCTTCCACAGTGGGGCCGAGTAGCTTCGCGCACTCCTTGAATTTCAGGGCCTCAAGGCCACAACCAAGGGTATCCAAGAAAACAAGACGAGCAGTATCGAACTAAATCATGACAGAAATAAATAGATTAGTTTTGCGGTACATCAAGCTCATGTTGGTCTTCTATCATCTGGGAGTATGAAGGGCGCTAAAACATACCGCCAGGTCCGAATCCACATTGTACTCGTGGATATACTTGGCCATATCCTGAATTTCAGGATCATAGGACTTATCCGCTGAGGCGGGAGGTGCCGCAGATTGACGAGCAGCCATAGTAGAAAATCTAGGAGCAGTTTTGTTCACACGAGGAATGGAGGTAATGGGAGAAGGAGAAGCGAAATGAAGTCTGGAGATGGGGATGCGGGCCAAAGTGCGGGGAGACGTGTGGGTCAACCGTCTCACGGCGGGCAAGGACATGATCGTGTCAATAAATAAACGAAAAAGGAGATCAAAAGGTATTCAATTGATTGAGGAGCGAGAATATTGAAAAGGAGGAGAGATACGGAGTAGGAAACCGGGCAGAAGAATGTGAAGAAACTTGGAGTTGGAGGTTGGGAGGAAGGGTGAGTTCAAGCTGACTTCATCTTACCGAGGCCGATCGGTTAGTGTCGGTTCGGACCCCGTGCTTCCACGGCTAATGATCTACAATTTATCTATTGAATTGGTTTATCGTTGAGGATGTTGAGAGATCACATTGAACACATACTGCAGTACTATTACGTAGAAATGGGTAGAGCTGGCATTTGGATTGAGTTGTACTCTGAGTTCTACTAATGCACATACTTCAAGTCAATTACTCGCATTCCTGCCCCAGGTGTATACCTATGTATTAGTCCCATTCATATGAGTAACTTGCAATTGGAGATAGTTACACGATAGAAACTGTGGGATTTATAGAATTATTCATTTCTCAAGTAGTTCCAAGGTTGGAAGCTACCACTTATACTGCAGCCCTGGAGAGGTTTAGTGTTACCCAACAGTTAGAATTGTTATTCAATCGCGCACCAAATGAATTTGGTGTTTACATTTCAATTTCGTCAGTATGGGGAGTGGTTTAAGGCGTTAGACTGTAAGACTATCTGAACTTCGCCATACAAAAACAATCATTCTAACAATTTCATTTAGTGAATCGAAAAAATTCTGGTATCTAATTCGTGAAGCTAGGTTCGAAACCTAGTGCTGACGACTTTTTTTTCATTTTCTCTTTTTTGGTTTCACTTAGCTACAATGAAAAAAAAAATCAATCTCAAATTTCAGGAGAAATATTATAAATGCCAATGAGAAAACAAAAGATGCCGCCGAACATCGGACCCGAACCCCTTTATAAATACTATCATGAAGGTCCATGAAGAGGAGTAGTAGATCCCAAATTGCGAAGATCGGAATGACAAAACGCCTTGGGGTGTGAATTATATTCTTTAATATACATTATAACTGAGATAAATAACGAAGAAACATTTGAACTTGAACCGAAATCAGGGGACTCTCCGAACGCCGAAACTCAATCTACCGCCATCACATGCCCTTCTGTTGTTAACTCCTTCTCATCAGTCTCCCTCAGTGAGCGACGCACTTCCCGAAAGATCGCTTCTGCGAACAGCGGGGGAACTGCGTTCCCCACTTGCTTCCGCCGGGATCGGCCGCAGAGCTGGAAGTCCATCGGGAAGGTCTGGAGGCAGGCAGCTTCACGTACTGTAAAGCTTCTCTTGCCGCTCGGGTGGTAGTTCGCTTGTCCTCCACTGCATGTGAGCGTGTGGGCTGGCTGGTTACCATCATACGGACTCCTGAATGCATATCGGCTACGCTCTGAGAGGCCCTCGACATCGTGGTCAAGAGCATCTTCTGGAATGTCGCTAATGGTGCTGTTGATCGTCGCGAATGGGTGCAAAAATGATCCCCACGGTCCATGCGTTGCGACTGGGAGTTTCGGGAGTTGTTCACCCGGGCTATAAACGGCTGCATCAGTTTGGTAATTCTCAAATGACGAATAAAATGTTTTAATCTCACCCTGCTGCAATGATAATCAATCGCCGACGCATTTGAGGAACCCCATAATTCACGCAGTCCAAAACGCCCCAGCGAATTGAATAACCGACTTCGATGAAGTCCATGATAATCCGGTGGAGGGTCCCGCGGTGTCGACCCTGCAGACCGAATGTCTCCTCCATGGTCAGAACCCGAGGACGGGCACTCATGATTAGATCACGCGAAGTAAAAATGCAAGACGAGTTCATCTCATCGCGTACTTCGTTGGAGATGGTATGAGCAGGTGAAAAAGGCTGACATGGAGGCGATGTGTGACAAACATCGACACGAAGGTCTTCATGGGTATTTGTCATGAAATCGTTAAACTCGGAATGTTCGACCAGTGACTCTGGGAAGTTAGTACGGTATGTCTCAACTGCGTGCTTGTCTTTGTCAACTGCCCAAGTTAACGCAAATCCAGCCAGACGCGCACCACAAGAAGCACCACCAGCACCACAGTAGGAATCGCCAAAGGTATAAGTCCGGTTGCGAACATCGTCGAGATCTATGCCCGGTGGGAGCGGACTGTCGACATCTATCACCAAAGGTGAAGGCCTCCTGGCCCGCTCGTCGGCTCCAAAAGGGATAGTCTGGTTTCGGCCTCGCCAGCTCTCCCGCAATTCCTTGGCCTTGCGAGCAGGGTGAGAAGTAGCCGTCACCTCCTCCCATGTCAAATACTCAACTGCGAATTCTTGATCGCATTGCGGGACCGTCTGATTTGACCTCGGGTTCCGAATTTGATTTCTATCCCTGATAGTGAATTTCAGTCTGCATATCAGATCCCCATGATCCAGCCATTGTCCAGGTCGACTGTTGCTGAAACGAATATGACGAAATTGTCTTATCTCGCTGAATGGAACCGGATCAGACATATGAACTAACCAGACGAGCTCACCACGAATTTGAGGAATTCCCGATGGGTCAGTGAGCATCGTTGTGCGTTTCAAATATCTGCCCATATAAGAAGTGAAACCACCACGACACATGATTTCTTCTATATATAGAAAACTTCCATCATTCAGCTCCACTGATTGCCCGATATTTACGTTATTCTCGTCAATAACGGTTGGAACATCAGGTGTCTCCTGGCCATGCCGGGGTGTCGCAGTCCCAGAGGAGTTGTCTTCAAGCTGAACAATTGGGCAAACATCATCCAAGCGCACTGCCAATTGGTCAATTGTCAGGTCAATGAGACTCTGATGATTGTTGTTATCACCATTCAAGCTGCTTTGATTGTCATCATCTGTCAAGTCCATAGGAAACCTGGGGCATATTCCTAGAACAGGACTGGACAAGCAGGAAGATGTGTTGACTTTCGAATCCTCCACCGGAGACCACGTACGGCTCATGTCAAATTCGAATGAATCGGACGACATGGAGCTTGATGTTCCGTGAGATGGCTCATCTATCATGGTGTCCATGATTTCAACATCGATATCTGCGATCGACTCCAGGTCTGGCTGGGCGGTCGTTGACCTCTCAGTTCCCCAACACGGCAGCTCATCATCCAATGTGAGGTCAATAATATGTCGTGGCATCGTGAATGAACTGGACCATATAGATTGAGGTAATTCCAAGTGGGAAGTCGGGTGAAGAAGTGATATAGCCAGCGATCTGTCTTCGCCAGAGAGCGAGGATGCGAAGTGGAAGATGAGAGGTTGAACCTTTTCCAAGGTTGAGAAAAAAGAGAAGAAAGCTGGAGATATCCATCAAATTTCACTTCCATAATCTCCTGGATGATGGTTCTTTGAAGGTCAGCTCTTCTGTCCCATCAAAGACCAGCTCCCTTTCCGGTATAAGAGCGCCCTGAGGACAAAGCATCTCGCCTGAAATAGATTTAGCGTTAAATCTATAATCAGTAAGCTGCATATTGCCACCTGGATCTTTGTGATTTAATGCACTCATTTTTACATGCTTGTCAATTTAAATGATATGCATCACTATCAATATCAATTTGATGAAGCTCTTCTCATCTGCATTAGTTCTATACTCTCATTCTGCCCAATCACCGCCTTGGTGATGACTCAGCACCGGCGTCGGCGGAAAAAAACGCGAAAAAAAAATTTATGTGGAGACTCGGCCACAATTTTGGCGGGACAAGAGTCCCAGGAGAATTTCTCTTCTTTTCCCCTCTTGTCTTCGTGTTCCTGGGGGTCATCGTTGACCATTGTGTCCTATTATCCTACACTCTTCGGTTTAGGTAAGTTTGAGTCCATTCATTAAGATATACTTGCACTTCCCCCGCCTCCCCGCCCTATCTCAAGGATGATTTTGGATATTTTTATTAGATGTTAGACTTCTGAGCTCATTTTGCGGAGAAACATCCTCGTCTGATTTGAGATTTAAACCCACCATAAAATCATTCATTCACTCTCAACAAAGACTTATCACTAACCTGTGTCAAACGGCCTGGTCTAGGAAACCTAGCCTCCGAGTCCTATCACAATGTGTGGAATCATCGCTCTTATTTTGGCGAACCCCTCCGCCGCAGCGGCCGTGGATCTCCACGAAGCCCTGTACCTCCTCCAACGTGAGTCCCACGAGACTGAGATCCGATCCGGGGTTGAAATCCGGGGATGGAAAGGCTAAAGTCTGTTGTGCAACGTAGACCGTGGACAAGATGCTGCAGGTATCGCAACCTGTGCTTCCGGTGGCCGAATCTACCAGCTCAAGGCCAATGGCATGGCTGCTAAGGTCTTCCAAGATGGTGCCAAGGTGGCCAACCTCCCTGGTTCAATGGGTATTGGACACCTCCGTTACCCGACGGCTGGTAGCAGCGCCAATGCTGAGGCACAGCCCTTTTATGTGAACTCGCCTTACGGTATTTGCCTGGCCCACAATGGAAACCTCATCAATGCTCCTGAATTGAAGAAGTACCTGGATCTGGAAGCACACCGTCATATCAACACCGATAGTGACAGTGAATTGATGCTGAACATTTTCGCCGATGAACTGAGTGAGACAAAGAAAGCCCGTGTTAACAAAGAGGACCTCTTTGCTTCTCTGACCCGCATGTATGAACGCTGTGAGGGTGGTTGGGCTTGTACAGCCCTGCTAGCTGGTAAGTTTGTCTGTGCCCGTTTGCTCTCTAGTTCTTTGCTATGAATGTTTTATTCCCTTTTTTATAGTCATTTGAACTAACAGTTTGTGCTAGGTTTCGGTATCCTGGGTTTCCGTGACTCATATGGTATCCGCCCTCTGGTCCTCGGATCCCGTCCTTCTCTTGATGGCGAGGGTACCGATTACATGATGGCTTCTGAGTCAGTTGCCCTGGACCAATTAGGTTTCAGCAACCACCGTGACATCCAGCCCGGCGAGGCTGTTATTATTGAAAAGGGTGGGGAGCCGGTCTTCCGCCAAGTGGCCCCTAAGCGGGACTACGCACCTGATATTTTCGAATATGTTTACTTCGCTCGCCCGGATTCTGTCATCGATGGCATCAGTGTCTACCGTAGCCGTCAGCGCATGGGTGACCGCCTCGGTGCTCGTGTCCTTGAGGTCCTTGGCGCCGATGTTGTCAAAGACATCGATGTGGTTATCCCCATCCCTGAGACTTCCACCACTTCTGCCAGTCAAGTTGCTCAGTACCTCAACAAGCCTTACTGCCATGGTTTTGTGAAGAACCGTTATGTCTTCCGTACTTTCATCATGCCTGAGCAGAAGACCCGCCAGAAGGGTGTCCGCCGCAAGCTGAATGCTATGAAGGCCGAGTTTAAGGACCGCAACGTTCTGCTTGTGGATGACAGTATTGTCCGTGGTACCACTAGTCGTGAGATCGTCACCATGGCCCGCGAAGCTGGTGCCAAGAAGGTTTACCTGGCTAGCTGTGCTCCTGAAATCACTCACCCTCATATCTACGGTATTGATCTGGCTTCTCCCCAGGAGCTGGTTGCTCACAACCGTGACTCTGAAAGCATTGCCCGTCACATCGGCGCCGAGAGCGTTGTCTTCCAGACCCTGGAGGATCTGAAGGGTGCTTGCGCCGAGGTTGCCATCGAGAACGGCCAAAAGGAGCCTGTTAACTTTGAGGTCGGTGTTTTCTGTGGTAGCTACGTGACTCCCGTCAGTGAAGGTTACTTCGACCATCTCGAGGAGGTCCGTGGCGAAGGCCGCAAGATCAAGGCTCTCGACAAGGCCAAGGAGGCTGTGGCCCATGGCTTTGCCAGCACCACTGACTACCAGATTGCCGCCAACGGAGTCGCCATGGACACCAACGGCAAGATAATTCCTGCTGATGAGGTTGAATCTCGCCAGCAAAAGCAAACCTCAGAACACTCCAAAGTGGATGACCGTATGGACATCAGCATCCACAACATTGGCGACCACCCATGATTATGATGACATTTTCCTTTTCCTCTGATCGGTCTATCTTCCGATCTCTTTTCAATCTTACTTTCTTCTAGAAGCCACTCAGGGTTTGGGCTGCATTCGGAGTCTTGGGTGTTATTTTTTATTATCTTATTCTGCGGGTGGCATACCTTAGACGGGGAGGTTATCCTTTTATGTGACGAGAAAAGTGACGTGATACATGCTTATCCACTTATGATCTCTCGACTATGATTTCGAGTGCAGATACCATTTCTAACCAAAAAATATCATTTCATCAATATTATATTCAATCTTGTACATTTCATGTTTCAATTCACGGAGTTCAGACGAATTTGAGAGCAATTGCACGTGTCCTCGTCTGCCTTGAATTTCTTCGTTCTCACTTTCTCTTCTTCCCTTTTTCTTTCCCCAACCTGTTTCCATTCTCCATTTTCTTCAACCTTCAACGAAAATCACAAAAAGTACGTTATTTCACAAGCTTCAACCTTGAAGATATTTGGCAGTGAATTAAATTGACGTCATTCCGAGCAGCTCTATCCTTCTTTTCAGCCCCGTAAAAACAATACCATCAACCCAGACTTCAGGATGTCTGAGGGACGATTGACGCGTGCAGCGGCAAAATCTGCAGCTGCATCGATCTCAACTCCATCGGTCGCAGCATCAGATCCAGCCGTGCACGCGACCGCAGAAGCCACAGAAGTCACAACCAACGCGTCGGCTACCAAGAAGACGTCCTCCAAGGGTAAAGGAAAGGCTTCCGCTAAAAAGCCCCCGGTCGCCAAAAAGAAGGTCGCCAAAAAAAAGCCCGTGAAAAAGGAGACCACCAACAAGGTCACCAAAAAGACCACCAAGGTCAAAGCCACTCTCCAGGTCGTTTCTGGTCAACTGCCCCACAACCTAGGACCAATTCCATCAAAGGCTGAGAGCTCGCCTGTTGGCTCCGACAAGGAGAACCAACCTTTGGGACATGCAGTTGTTCCCACTCTGACCGCTTCTGTCTCTGAGGCCCAAGCATCTTTGGATGATGCAGACACCACTATCGTTGATCAGGACCTGGACACTGAGGAATCCAAGGAGAAGAAGAAGAAGAGCAATCAATACAATTTAACTCCGGGTCAGACGCCCTTCCCCAAATGGACCCAGCCCACAGTTGAAGCGTGTGAACTTGTCAACGAACTATTGTCCAGCGTGCATGGAGAAATTGCTCCTCCCGATACCATGCCTCCACCCTCTCTGACAGTGAGTGGCTGCGGTGAAGTCCCATCCGTGCTCGATGCCCTTATCCGTACTCTTTTGAGTGGAGCGACCTCAGGCAATAATTCTGGTATGGCATTCCAAGGACTTGTGGACCGTTTTGGTGTTTTGGACGAGGGAATTGGCAAAGGCAGCGTGAACTGGGATGCCGTGCGTCAAGCTTCGCAGAGAGAGGTCTTTGAGGCAATCCAATCCGGCGGTCTTGGCGATCGCAAAAGCAAGCACTTGAAGCGCATTTTAGACGAAGTGTATGCTGAGAACCAAGCGCGCCGAGAACAGCTCCTTTCGACCCCATCTACCACATCACCTGCCAAAGTGGAGACCGATGATGCTAGCTCCAGTGTGCCTGCCGAGAACACTGATGAGATTCAGAATGAAATTGCCTGTGCCGACCAAAATTTCCTTTCTCTGAATCATCTTCACAGTCTTACAAGTGAAGAGGTCATGGTTGAGCTCACAAAGTACGATGGCATCGGTCCCAAGACAGCGGGTTGTGTTATTCTGTTCTGTCTCAAGCGCCCCTGCTTCGCGGTCGACACGCACATCTTCCGGATCTGCAAGTGGCTCGGCTGGCTTCCACCAAAGGTCACTGAGATCACTGCGTTCAGCCATCTGGAAGTCCGGATCCCAGACCACTTAAAGTACTCCCTGCACCAGCTTTTCATTGCGCATGGCAAGTCATGCCCTCGATGCCGTGCCCAAAACAGTGAAAAAGCCGAAGGGTGGGAGGACGGCTGTGTCATTGATCATTTGGTTACACGAACCGGAAAGCGAAAGGGAGATCCCCCCCAAGAAGCAGAAAGGTGCGAAGGGATCGAAGAAGGCGACAAAGAAGGCGACAAAGAAGTTGGCCAAGGTGATCAAGAAAAAGCTCACTGTTAAGAAGGCCAAGAAGGCCAAGGCCGCGACTGCAAAGACCACTAAGAAAAATGTCACTGCGGTGAAGAGAAAGGCTGAGCCTGACAGTGAGTCCGGCACGGCGGCGAAGAAGCCCAAGATTGACGACGACACTGAGGAGAATCGGGCGGAAGAGCAAGAGAACCCCAATATTGACAACACCAAGGAGAATACGGCGGAGGAGCAAGAGAACAGTGATGAGACCTTTTCGGGCTTCGGTGATACTGAGGACGATGAATGGCAAGAAGAATGAACGAGAGAGGTCTATGGTGAGACTTCTTCAGAGCTTGAAATGTGACCGTGCGGTGTCTTATGCATGCAGCTGCCCTTTTTTCCCTTTTTTTCTTTTCTTTGCTTATCGTTTTTTTCTCTTTTCCAAGGCAACTCGGCCTTGCTTTGTTCCCTTTGATTTTCCACGATTTTACGCTTTTACGATTCATATTATGACTATCACTACCTGGGCACAACATTAGCGTTGCTTATGCCCCAATCTTATTATCGCATAGCTCTTTCAAATTTACTTACAAATTTGACTTATCACCCAATCTCAGTCGCTCCGAGCTGTAAATTTATTGAAAGGGGTTCGATGATAGTAGTGTATAGTCACGTAGATGATGACAAGTCCTCACGCCGCGCTTCCCATGGCACTGTAGCAGCGAAATTGCGAAAGGTATGCCCTCAATGGATACTCTAGTAGTAAAGGAGGCCTACCAGTGCTACCTACCTTTGTTGCAGACATATGTAAACAATGTCTGTGCACGTGATCGATTGATTCAAGCTTATATGAGAGCCTAGGACTTAGATGTCCTATATCGATTAGTACGAACATAATCTAGACCATTTCCTCTTTCCCTCCTTTTGTGCCACGGTTCGAATGTCGATACTTCAAATGTCGTAGTGGCATGTCTCGTACCGAGTTATGTAGGACGGGAGTGCCATATCCAGCCTCCCGACCTCAGTAAGCAACAATAATGGATTCTCAATCCCTTCTCCATAATAACTCAAATACTGAGGGTCTAAAGATCTATTGTGGAGTCCCCACGATTTTGAACCGAGTGCGAGTTGATTTAGACTATGGAGTGCCTCGATACGAGGTCTCTTCACCCATCGCTTCAAGTGGGGCGCTGACATGAACGGGTCAGTAGACTCAGTACCAGAGGTAAGGCGATATGCTGAAAACGGGTCGGGTGACGATAGGACTCCGTATGCTAATTGATCTTAGTGGTGAAATTCATCTATTCTGGGGTGACTATCCACAAATTTCCATGAACTGGCGGAATTACCCAGCTTGGGCAAACCATCATAGGATCAATTGCCACGATCCGAGATCATGTCGTCGAGCGTACTTATTTAGACAGCTTGAACCGTCTTCAACGAAGATGAATTAAATTTCGTCTTATTCACAACAAAAATGTCTAGCAAACACTATTTCCCTTCTACGAGTGCCAATTCATTGGTTCCAAGAGCACTACGTGCACTGGTATCTGCCAATAGCCACTTAACCCTGAACTACACGGAAAGGGTTGTTGCAAACGCCTTCCATGATGATTCGAAAGTGAGCATCATCAGTGGAGGAGGATCGGGACATGAACCTGCATGGAGTGGTTATGTTGGTGATGGCATTCTATCGGCCGTGGCATGTGGTGACATCTTTGCCTCACCGAGCGCGAAGCAAATCTTGACTGCCATTCGCATGGCACCCTCCAAAAAGGGTATCATCCTGTTAATCACAAACTATACTGGAGACCGACTTCACTTTGGTCTTGCTGCGGAAAGAGCTAAGGCTGAAGGACTAGTTGAGAATATCACCATTCTCCGTGCGACTGACGATGTTTCGATTGGGCGGAGTAAGAACAGTCGAATGGGGAGAAGAGGTCTTCCGGGACATGTTTTCAGTAAGATTCTTCTTTTTTTATGTTGGGTTAGGATGATATTAACATATTATAGCAATGAAAATCATTGGTGCAGCCGCCGCAGATGGATACTCCTTTGATCAATGCCTCGCGCTTGGGCAAGCAGTCAATGGAAACACTGTCACCATTGCCTCGGCTCTTGATCATTGTCATGTCCTGGGCAGACAACAGCAATCCTCAGTTCCAGATAACGTGGTTGTTATTGGTGCTGGTATCCACAATGAGCCCGGTCAACTTCATGTTTCCCCAGCTCCATCAGTTGAAGAGATTATTGAGCGGTGTCTCAAGCTTCTTCTTAACGAGGGCGACTCAGAGCGATATTTCACCAAGTTCAAAACAGGGGATGAGGTTGGCTTGCTGGTCAATAACTATGGCGGTCTCTCGGTCCTTGAACTATCTGCCTTGGCCGATGAGATCCAGATCCAGCTCGGCTCACGATGGAATATCACACCCTGCAGAGCGACTTTCGGTGCATTCGAGACATCTCTCAATGCACCCGGATTTTCTATTTCACTATGCAACTTGACTGCCGCAGCAAAGCAGGTCAAGGAGCCTGTTGCTACTTTGATCCGCCAATTTGATAGTTCCACAACAGCTGTCTCATGGCCAAACACCACTCGGCCTTCGCCTTCCCAGAGCAGAGTCACGTACGATCATGTTGACTCTATCACAACTCCACAAGAAACTGCACACGCAAAGATAAGCTTTGACCCCCTGCGACTCAAGAATGGAATCACAGTTGCATGTGACCGGCTCATTATTGCTGAGCCAAAATTGACTGAGTGGGACATGGTCATGGGCGATGGAGATTGCGGTGAAGCTGTGAAAGGCCTAGCCGAATCTATCATGAAAAGAATAGCTCAAGGCTGCACCGAATCTGGGAATGTTCTTGAAGTAATTCATTCCATTCTACAAGCAGTTGACGATATGGGTGGTACCCTTGGTGCAATTTTTGGGGTTCTACTATCAGCCTTATCCACTGCTCTGAAGCGAAACTTGGCCGAAGGAAAGATCAGTCCCCAAACACCAGAGTTCTATGCGACTGCTCTCGATTCTGCGGTCACCTCGTTGAAATCGCACACTGGAGCCCGAGAAGGTGACCGAACCGTCATGGATGTTTTACTCCCTTTCAACGATGGATTTTTGAAATCTAAGAGCCTCTTTTCAGCGATTGGGGTTGCTGCTAAGAAGGCAGAGGGTACAAGATATCTTAAAGCGAAGTTTGGTCGTGCAACATATGTCGGAGATGATTCTAGTCAGGAATTACCTGATCCGGGTGCTTGGGCCTTTTATGAAATTGTTACAGGGTTGGCTGATGGACTTGGGTTGATCCCAAACTAACTTGAAGTTATTAAATTATGAATTCAATGACGAGGAAATGCCCAGTTCTTCATCAGATATATGAGAAAAACTTCGAGATAGAAAATATCAATGTAGACCGGAATGCAAAGACTTGATGACTTACAATCTCAAATCACACTTGATGCTACTTTCATTTTGACTTTGGTTGTTTGGAGTAGAGTAACCATATTAAATTTCTTTCCAAGATCTATTCTCAAACTTGCGAAATTTGAAGACATTCAGATATTTTCCTGCAACTATTCTCACTGGGGATATTGAGCCTAACTAGTATTACCCTTTGTACTAGTACTTCAGTGAGTTTGCATACTCTGAGTGCGCTCGGGGAACCTACATTCCTCGGTTCACTCTGATCCCTGCACCACACCTCGACGGTAAACGGACAAGTTTGAAGGCTTGTTCAATATCCACTGGTATCATTTTTTGATTGGTAATTCACGAAATTCTAACAGAAAAAGTGATCTTACAGGTACAAATGCCACATATACTCGAACAGGAGGGGCTGGCTACTCACCGCCCGTAAGGCGCCCATGGCATCAGGATGTCATCCTCAGATACGAGCAACGGTCGCGTCGATAAGGACTCTAAAAGGGGATTTCAAGAACGGCAGATCAAATGGAATTTTCGGTGACCGCGTCGCAAGGGGAGAATCAAACTTCAGAGCAAAATGCGCCCACCAAAGCCATATCATGCGATATGTGTCGACAACGCAAGATCAAATGTGACAAGCATGAACCGTGCAGCCGTTGCACAGCATCATTTTTGGGTAACACTATTTTGCCTAGTCAAAAGAAATAAGTAAATGCTAACTGGTCAGATTGTACATATTCCCTGCCAGCTCGCAAAAAAAGAAAAACCGCCATCTCGGAACGGATTAAATTTCTTGAGGGCAAGATAAAGGCTATGGAAGCGCCTAATCAAGCTGCAACACCACCCTCTTCCAGACCAAGCCCATCAGTTCTCAAGCAAAATATCTCTAATCAGAGCTCTCCCAATCCAGAAACCTCCCAAAATGGACCAGGTTCCAGCATATTACCAGTGGCAGGTAGCCCATATGCCAGTGTCTATCACTCAGTCAACAAAGGGGACATAGAGTTTCAAGGATTTTCTGCCGATCGGACTTTTGTTCAAGGAATTAAGCAACAATTAGGATATTGGGGAGATGATCTGATGCACATGCAGACTAGACTCCCTATCATCTCAGTTCCTGGTCTATTTGACACATCCAGCCGAGCGCCAGTGGAGGTCAAGCTCCCTCCCAAACCCATTGCAATAAAATTAGTCGAAGCGGCTCTTGACGGACAGATACTATTCTCGATTATTCACCGTCCATCATTCGATTCTTTGTTCAACTTGGTTTATTCGCTTACCGAATCCGATTACAGTATCCACGAGCGCCGATTTCTGCCTCTCCTTTACGCTGTTCTTGCCTATGGATGTCTCTTCGCTGACGTAGATGTGGTGGATCGGCTAGATGCTACAAATTCATCTGGGTATTACTCATATACTATCTCTTCCCCTTTGATACATGGTCATCTAACGCGATAACAGGACTCAATACTATGAAAAAAGCCGACAGCTACAAAACATCGCCGAATGCAAAGACTTGATTTCATTGCAAGCTGTGGTTTTCAAGATTCTCTTTCTTCTGGTCTCATCTCGAGTGTTCACATGCTACACCTACATAAACACCGCTCTGTCTCTCCTGATACGGATGGGATTGCATCGCAGCTTTACAAACTCGCAGGATTTCATATCGCGAGAAACTGCCAAACGAGTATTCTGGGCACTTTGGGTAATAGCAAATGATACCTCCATTATCTGCGGCTTGCCGATGCTTCTTAACTCCGACCTGATTGATCAGGAAAGCCCAGTGGAAGTGAATGACGTTTACATTGAGCAAGATAGAATCAGTCAACCTCTGGGCAGCGAATTCTGCTATGTTGCCGCGGCAAATACGTATCGAAGACTTCAAATAGTTCTCCAAGATGTAACGCATCATATCTACTCTGAAAACTGCGTCGTTGAAGGCCAGGAAGTTGGCACCATGAGTCATGCAGTTAGCGTGGAAACGTTAAAGGGACTTGAGAACGACTTGAAATGCTGGGTTCTCGGACTCACGGACTACTTGAAATTTGGAAATCATTTTGATAATCGCCAAATTCTCACGTAAGAGTTAGGATTCAAAGATGGAAAATGGAGAACTAATTAGATTCAGGACACAATTCACGCTCAGCATCATGTATGCACACGCCCAGCTCTATCTTTATCGGCCATTCTTGCACCACTTCATGAAATTCAATGAGGGCACAAACTCACCAGTCCATATGAATCTCCCCTGGCTCGCCACGCTATGCGTTCAAGCGTGCGAGAATATCGTCATGCTATGTGAAGACATGTATAGACGTGGATTGCTTCACAGTGGCAACTGGCCTGCATCTCGAGCACTGTTGAGTTCCACTCACACACTTTTCTATGTGATATTGACATCAAGTGGAACCCGACCATGGAGATCAATCTCCAGATGCTTGGCTCTAGGTAGAAAAGTATCTGATCGACTCTCTGAACGGAACGTGCCAGCTCATCGATGGAAGGTGATTATGACTGTATGGTTTACATTTCGTTCCCTTTCGATCTTCTGTCTCTAACGTCATCAGGTTATGATCGCAACGCTTCCAAGTAGTGCCCGGCATATTCAAGAAAGAATGAATGATCTGGAAACCAAAATTCCAGATATAGAGCTCTTCGAAAAAGAAGGAAAAGAGTCGAATGATTCTTACACTGAGACATTGGGGAGGCAAGCCTTGAATCTTTTGAATAGTAACAGTTCAACTGCTGAAAAACTTCGGTGGCTTCCACCCCATCTTCTGGAAGCTCATGGCTTGAATTCTCTACAAACAGCCGGCTCTCTATCTCCGTCTTGGAGGATGATGTCCCATTCCAAGCTGGCCATGCATAGTCATATGCAGGAACCGTATGATATTGCAGCCCTCGATCCCGCTGAGGAGTATTTATTCGATGAGAATAATGAGCTTGATATGGGGTTGGACCCGCTGGGTATGCCCTTCGGTGGTGGAGATGGGGGTTTTGGAAACATCGACGACTTTTTAGGTCTTCAGAGCTTCCTATGAAAATAGCGATGAAATAACATTCTCAACAAGAAACTTGAATTTTCTTTCTGAATATCGAAACATCAATTAAGGCCTCCCAAGGGTGCGTTCGAAATGTTGAAGTTTATACTAGAACCCGTCGGACTTCGGTAGACCCACGCTAACCTCAACTACGGAGTTCTGTATCCCGAACACCGTTAACGAGGCAATTATCGGACCCGCAAGATGGACCTCCGTCAATCACATCTCGGTAATTCGGCGACTTTGAATATCATGGCACTAACCCAAATCACGGCTTTGGTCTCTCTATATCCAAAATGTATACTAGAGTCTCGAAATAAAAGCATTCCAACCACCCTTGTTCTAGACATGAATCAACCAGAACTCAGTCTGCTCTATAGTTGAAGACTTCGGGATATAAGTCTGAACATCGAATCAATTATACATCACGTCAACTGGTGGAAAAGCCTTCGAAAGCGAGCAACTAGCGAGCAACTTCCAAGGTTGAACTTGAACCTCAAAAATAAAATCACATGGCCTCTCCAAAAATGACTTCCGATGAGGTAAGTATCAGCTATGTAGAGTCTCAGTCCAAATCTTAACCATCTTTCTCTGCTTAGGATGCCCTGTTGATGGACTTAACAAATGGCATCGTCGGATGGGAAGATCATCAAGACCCGGCAAACCCAAGGTAAACAGTCCATGAATCCGGTTAGAATGAGTTCAACTAATATTCGACAAGAAACTATGCTCAGTCTCGAAAATGGTTTCTCCTGGCGCTTGTCAGTATTGTCACGTTGATCAGGTACGATCTCGGTTTTTTTAGATCAGATTGAATGTCTTCTAACTGTTGACCAGCCCATTTGCATCCTCTGTCTTCGCTCCGGCAGCCCCCTACGCTGCCACAGAATTTCACGAGACTTCAGCAATTCTAACTACTTTAATGTGCACAAGTTACTTATTTGGTTACACTGTGGGTCCACTATTCCTATCACCATTGAGTGAGCTTTACGGCCGTCAAATTGTGCTCAGCTCCGCGACAACCTTTTTTGTCATGTTCCAAATCGGCTGTGCTCTCGCACCTAATACCACGTCTTTGATTGTCTTCAGAGCCTTGACTGGCACCGGTGGCTCTGCCTGCCTGACAACTGGAGCTGGAGTGGTCGCCGACTTATTTGCGCCGCATGAACGTGGACTGGCGATGTCGATTTTTGGCTTCGGGCCACTTTTGGGACCTGTTCTGGGGCCTATCTGCGGTGGATTTATTGCACAAGGAGCTGGATGGAGATGGGTGAGTATCTTCCACCATAATTAATGCACATTAAGCTAACTTGAACAGGTCTTTTGGGTTCTTGCCATCTCAAGTGGCGCATTAACCACATTCGTCATAATATTTAATCGGGAAACGAACCCTGTGATCCTCATTGAGCGCAAGACAGCAAAGTTCCGTGTTGAGCTTGGCAAACCCGACCTCCAAAGCTGCTACGAGAGGAATCAAACAAATAATCAAGCCAGCAAGACTAGTGTCTTTGTACACCGACTGACAACTCCACTACGTCTTCTCTTCCACTCTTCAATCGTCTCGATTATCGCAATATACATCGCATTGGCGTACGGATGTCTATATCTCCTTTTCACAACCGTCACCGACGTCTTTCAGAATACCTATCACTGGGGCGTCGGAATCAGTGGACTAGCATACATAGGTCTAGGCCTGGGCTTCCTAGTCGGACAGGTTGTCTTCGGTCTAATCAGCGACAAGATCACCATTCGAATGACCAAGCAAAACAACGGAGTTTTCGAACCAGAAATGCGTCTCCCACTTGCTATTTTCTACGCACTCTTTATCCCGATTTCATTCTTCTGGTACGGCTGGTCAGCAGAGGCTGCGACACACTGGATCGTCCCTATAGTTGGTCTCTTTCCGTTTGGTTTTGGCACGATCGGCATCTTCGCAACCCTACAGACTTACGTTGTTGATTCTTATACCCTATATGCGGCATCGGGAATTGCAGCTATCACAGTTACACGATCCCTTTTTGGAGCACTGCTACCATTGGCGGGTCCATATATGTATGATGCTCTTGGTTATGGCTGGGGTAATTCGCTTTTGGGATTCCTCACGCTGGCTATGCTGCCGATGCCGTTCGTCTTCCGTCGGTATGGTCGGACTCTCCGGGAACGGAGCTTGCAGCATTTCAAGTGAGAGGTGAGACAGCTTCATGTTAATGATGATCAGGGAAACAAAATGCAACTTGGAATTTTGCGGTGGACTTAGTGTGATTAGAGAATATAGAACTTGCAAATTCATTCGAATCTTTAAGTTCGAGTTCAGATTTATGCCAATGGTCAGCCCTTTAGTACTTTCCTGAGTCAGTAAGAGCTGCGTATTTCTCTCTTGTCCGTTGTTCGTTGAAGCTAGGGTTTTGGCCCTTTTGCATGACTCGGAACAGCCCAAGACAGAGAAGTTTCACCCACTGATAATTTTCCAGAATCTCTACCAGTTGCCTTATATAGCAACTAGCCTACCAGTTGCCTTATATAGCAACTAGCCTTCCCTTCCAGGTAATCATGAATGTAACCCGTAGGTAACCGTGTAGGTACTTATATGCAAAGAGGGGTATGTCACCAGCTACCAATACATACTACTGACTGAGTACTTATGTATGTGAACATGGCTGTAGTGTCACGGTGTTCACTTCAAGTTGACCGAGATTCCTGGCCAAGCCCTTTAAATGTTGAGTACTGAGTAGATACCTTGCCCTATCTCATTGCTACATACAGTGCCGCGCTCCGCGCGGCATGAGGACTTGTACCGTATTTAAAGTGTGAAGCTGAGCTCTGAAAGAAGTTAAACATACAATTTTGAGAACCTACTGTACTTGAATAAACAAAAGATACTTTGAGTCCATCGTTATCCTGAAAATACAAACAAAGGCTACTCAAGAAAAAGGGGTATATTCACAGGTTAAAAGTCTTCTACGGTCTAGAATGAGAAGTAAAATGAAAAGAACCAAGCCTGGGCCACTGGTTCGGTGAATTGAAAAAAAAGAAAAAAAATCAGAATACTCATGAACAGGTGAAACCCATACATTGGAAAAATCCCTCACTAAAAATCACCAACGCTCGCTATTGATAATCCTGACCAAGCTTGGAAATCAATTTACAGCTGGAAAGCAGCAACACAGACAGCTCCAAGCGCGACAGCGAGACCGGAGAATGTGGCACGACCAGCAGCGTTGTACACAGGGGTGGAGGATGGAGAGGCCGAGCTCATGGAGCTGGAGCCGGAGCCGGAGCCGGAGCCGGAGCCGGAGCCGGAGCCGGAGCCAGAGCCAGAGCCAGAGCCAGAGCCAGTGAAGCCGCTGGCGGGACTAGCTGAAGGAGCAGGAGCGACACGGCGAATAGAGGTAGGGCCAACGGGGCTGATGTTGCCATTTGGACCGCGAGTAACAGTGACAGTCACAGCAGGGGGGCAAGAATCACCGGCGGGAGAAACATCGACAGGGGAAACACCAGAAGGAGGAGCAGGGCCGGAGCTGGGAGCAGGAGAGCCAGCTGGAGCAGCAGGAGCAGAAGGAGAAGAGCCTGCAGGAGCTGGAGCAGGGGCGGGGGTAGCAGTGACCGGGGCGGGAGATCCGCCAGCAGTCCAAACAGGTGCGACACCGGCGGGGCCGGAGGGAGTAGCAGATGCGGCAGAGGCACCGGCATCCTGGCAATCAGCCTCACCCAGAACAGCGAGACACAAGTTGATGGGGATGTTGATCAGGCCGTCGGATGATTGAGAGTTCTGGTTGCACTGGACTTCACCGAGAACAGCCAGGCAAACGTTGATGGGAACATTGATCAGGGAGCCGCTGTCGCTGCTGGAGGAAGAGGCCTGGTCGCACTTGGCCTGGCCGAGGGCAGCCAAACAGGCATTAACGGGGACGTTGATCAAGCCACTGGAGGAGGTCTTCTGGTTGCACTCGGCATCGCCCAGAATAGCGGCACACAGTCCAATTGGGACATTGATCAAGCTTTCGCTGGCACGGACACCCTATGGAAGGAAGAGGTTAGATATAAATAGTTTCAACAGAACGGGACAGATTCAGTACAGCAGAGGAAGCGGCAAGAGCGACAAAGGTGGTGAAAAGAGATTGCTTCATCTTGTCAGAGTCGACGTAAATTTGCGTGAATTAAAATTAAGAGAGTGTAGAGATTGTAGATAGGAGGGTTGAAAGAATGGACGCTGATATCAGCTGTAAAAGAGTGACTGCGAACTTGGATGTTGTTGAGAGAGAAAGAAAAAAAGAATCGTAAATGTAGGCTCGAGGAGGGACATATCTATCAATTCTTCCATGGTCCAGAATCCAGATTTCCACTGGCAGAGTCCCTAGGGGCAAAAAGGAGAGATTGATCGACAAACAAAGCGATGCAGGAACCTGTGTGAGAGTACTCCGTAGCGCATGTGCAGAGACTCGAGACCAGTCTATTTCCCAATCTATGGAATCTAAGGGCTGATCCGATTGCTGCTAACTTCCATAGCTGCGGGTTCTCTCAATTTTGGCCACACTAGTACTCTTTAGCAGGGACTAAATCTTTTTAAAATCAAAGTTTATATGCACGTTCTCTCCACATGTCAGGTACTAGTTCCTTTTATTATAAATTGTGATTGGATCCGATGCTCGGAATATGGGGCTAAATGGAGATAAATGGGGCTAAATAGGGGGTCAACACACACTACTGAAAATCAAGCAGGACATTCAATGTTACAGGGTCCAGGTTTTTGTCATGAGTCTCCATCGTACATATCTTATCAATGATTTTTGATTTTAATTTCAAATTTTACGTGGCAAGTTTCCAAGTTCCAATTGAAAACCCAACTGCGTTTTAACGTGCCCAAATGTGCATATCCGAGTGATCATCAGTTGATTGTATAATTCAGATCGATACATCAATCACTGTGGGTCTCTAATATTTCATTTTTATTTTTATTTTTATTTTTCCAATATTGTTCTTTATTTCAAATTCTTTCATACAGATCAGAATTGCCATGTGCGGTCTATGCGGGTGCTATGGTCCATGTACTCCATTCACTCCATTTACTCCATAACGGGGTACGGAGGTATAATGATCACTTGGCATTAAATGGAGGAACCTTACTTTCTATTTAATGTCTCCATCAACCTCAATTTAACATTCTCGACTCTCAAACTCATGGTAGAAGACACATCTTATACTTCGATAGGGTTGAACGGCGTCATGAGGCTTATTACATACTCTGTGGTGTCGGAGCTATCGAATCCGATACCGAAAAAAGCAAAGATGATGAGCATTTGGGCTTCAAATCCCCCCTTTTCTTCACCCAGTTCATGTTTGCTCGTTCTGTTTGATGTACTTATTTATAGAAAATTGCAATACCGAAAAAACAAAAACTCATAGAATAAAATTAAAAGATGCGCAGGGTGCATTAGTTCACATAGTGCTCCACCCATGAGGCCCCTGATTCAGCACGGGCATATGGGACAGGAAGTGCCCAGGCACCCAGGTGGGCCCTCTACCCTCTATGCCAACACGGAGATAGCGGAGTATCATCAATGTCCTGGAGGTTCTTGCCAGTTGTCAGCTGGTTAGGTCGGCTCTGGGTCAATAAGCCATATCCGAATCCATGTTTCCAGATATTATTATTGGCGCCCCCAAACTTAACATTGTAGGAATTCAAGCTCAAATAATTCAAATTATTTTCTCTCGTTTCAAAAGTGCTCTCAAGTGCTTTTGTTCTCTCTTATATCTACCCGAGGGACAGGATCGTCCTACAGCTCATCTCAATTTTCAAGTACCTCTACTAAGTACAGTGTCTGGCATACATAATTGGGGCAATGCATACCCGGCACTAGTAATTAAAACTAACTTATACATGTAACTAATTGAGATTTATTGAGATTTATTGAAGTTTATGATATACAAAAAGTGTCATGTATTTTCTTGTGTTTTTTATAACTTTCGAGTACACAGCGCTAGGGCCTAAATAGGTTTAGTAAAATTATGCATTGCCCCAATTATGCATGCCAGACACTGTAGGTAGATGTAATGAGAGGTCATTTGCACATTTTATGTTATCACGGATTGAATAACTTAAAGTGCTTCAAGTGGCTATAAGAATAATTTCCATATCCGTTGTACCAGACTACTAATAGAAAACTGGCCGAGTGGTCGAAGGCGTTACGTGACCAGGGTTTTCAGGTCCGACATCGAACGATGAAAAGCGACAACGAGGGACGTTGCGACGCATAAGATTTTGCATACATTCCGACGCAAAAGGTTTTACGTGGAAAAAGAAACAAGTAGAGTCGTTCTGGCTCAACAGATGAGCAGGTCTGATGATCGAATTGTTCCGAAGTCAACGCACTAGACGCAGAAAGATGAAGAATCCTGCCTATTTTAGGCGTTGCAGCAACGTAGTGCGAGGGACTTTTGCAACTCTTATTCATAAAATGGATTAGTCCAGTGCCCATCTATATCAGAAGGTATATTTTGCATCCATTTTCGCGGTCGCTTTGAGAAGTATTTGAACTCACTCAGAAAATTCATATCTTCGACATCAAGTTCTTTGGCGGCCGCCGCAACACGCTACGGTGTCCTGTAATCCATAGGCACTGTCTCACTCCGATCCTAAGTTAATCTGTGATGTGGTGGCACTCCCAAAGCTCCCGGTCTGAATTGTGGCGCATTTTCACGAATTGTCCAGATAACCTCAATGCATGGCCAGACAGGTGCAGTCGGTTCAATTTCAGCTCCTTTTGAGATCACTCAGCGCGTTGATGGTCTTCATACCGGAATTCGAAATGGGGTTGATTCCTGCTGCTCTTCATCCGAAGAGTGCGGTAAAATAGCAACTTGAATTGATATCACCCGGTGCCGCATCTTAGCGCCAGTTTGAGCCGGGTGATCCGGGCCGGGGGCCGATTCCCAGTATGAGGGGCTTTCCGGTTTGTCAGCCAGCAATCAACGCCTGGAGTAACACCAACAAGGGCGTAATGACGTTCCACCACCGGGACTCAAAACTGGCCATAGAGAGCAACGAACACTGTAGGCCTCTTATGGCGGCGGTGATGATTCACAGAGTCGTGGGAATTGAAGTCTTTGGGCCAATATTTGTGGCGAAGGGGTGCACCGGTCAGTATGGCCTGAAAGATCGCATTGTCGGGGAGCTCAACCCCTGACGGGGGATCGTCTTTGTTGGGGAACGGTACTTGACATCGTTCCTTCTGGTGCCGGTATGGAGTGACGGTGGGTTTGGTGGAGTCTGGGGGTTTCCTTCGCGGTTGGCTTGGAAGAACTGGCATCCTTTGAAGAGCTGGGGGCGTCCGCGGTGTCTGTCGAATTGGCAAAAAGGGAGGGGAGTCCTGGTTGGTTTTCTTGGGGATGCCGATGCATGGTGGCGCGTTGCTCTTGGAGATTAGCACTTGGTCCTGTATGGAGATTTGCAAATCTTCGCGACCTTAGAGAACCATGAAAATTTTCAGAACTCTTGCGGTCACACAATCCAAGTCAGAAAGTGTTTTATCGCCACTGTAGCCACTTTGAGTCTTCAACCTCCAGACATATTCTAGGTGGTTTACTATCAATTTGCCACTCAATTGCTGATTAAATTCCTTTGCGAGTGTGCTGCCCACAAGCACATGCAAGGATTCCTGTGTCAGTGCTTACTAGTACAATCAAATAGCCAAATGAAAATATAATATTCATGAACCCTGAAATGATACATTCGCCCCAAGTAAAAATTGAGACTTAGATCATGCTGATTTTTGCTCGAGATGTTTTATCTGAAACTCTACAAGCTTCTCCATAAAACCTTCTGCTTTCTCTGGAATACACAGAATCTCCCTGGCATTTTGCAAGAGTCCCCCCTTCTGATTATTGATTTCTTTGTACCTCCCTCCCACGCTGTATATGATGTCCCCAGTACGCTCTTGGTCCGCGAATAGCAAAGCAACGCTCCGAGCAACCACCTCAGGAGGTTGGAGAGGACTACCAACCTTTCTAAGCAAATCGACAAAACCAGCAAGGAATTCCGTATCCGTCCATGAAGGAGCAACACAGTTGACACGGACTCTGCCCTTCATTTTACCGGAAAGACCGCGAGTTAGACCCACCACACCGTGTTTTGATAATGCATAGTCTGTGGCTGGGAAGTTATAGAACCCAGCGCTAGAAGCAATAAGCACAATACTCCCAGTGCCGGTTGTCTTGTTTCTAGCAAGCTGGGTCATATAGGCGATCGCGAGATGAGCGGTATAGAGGGAACCGGTCAGGTTGACGTCAACTGTTTCGGTGTTTGGTGGTGACAGGAGGCCATTTTCATCGAGTTTAATTTCCATGAAATCAGGAGTCATGCTAAGTCCTGCACCGGCGAATACATGGTCTATACGACCGAACCACTTTTCTGTCTCGATGAATAGGTTCCGGAGACTCTCCCAATCTGCGACATCGGTTTGCACAAACTTCAGGTTGTTGGAATTTTCAAATGGAATCCTTGGAGAATTCAAATCGCCAATTACAACGTATGCGCCCAGGTAAAGACAGAGTTGAGCAGTCGCTCTTCCAATCCCAGAAGCCCCGCCTGTTCATGTTAGTTAAGGTTATAGGTGAGCTTCAATTTCTCAATACAACATACCGGTGATCAAGACGACTTTCTCTTTGATACTAGTCAAGTTTTCGTCTGAAATAGTCAGATCTTCCATATTGAACTGCTTGTACAGAGAATATTTCAAGGAGGGACTGCCAGTGGATTGATTTAACTTATGAAGACAGAAAAATGGGTGGGAATCGTGGGATTGATCGGAAATTATAATATCATGATTTATGCAGTGTGCCATTAACGGACGCCATCTTAATTTATGAAATTGCAAGAGTTACCCTGGGGCCCAGGGAGATTGCGGTAATTCATATGGCAACTCAACCTGTATCCTGCTAGTACTACTAGTAGTACCATGGATGGGGTTTCCCTAAGAGAAAGTCCTCCTAGGTTAGAATACTACACAATATAGATTGTGTGTACCAGTTCATCCAGATGTCCGTGCACTCCACATAATTTTGCATAAAAGCTCCCCACTGAGGCCCAGAGGGGGGTAGGAAGAAGACACTTGGAGCTGTTAGCGTGGTAGGATATTAGCAAATCCAGCCTTGCTGAGATGCTTGATGGCGAATACATAATACTTGCTCATTTCTAGCATCTATCAGTAGCTCCCAATTCTACCCGACGGCTGTGGACCCCTGTCAGTATCTTGTAGCTGGTTGGTTAGTACTTGAACCACCCCACTTCTATATGTACTGTTCAGGGGAGAACAGGCGCAATGCCACGTATGCCTGGTATTTAGATGACATTTAAATTAAAATGAAATGAGAAAACATTCGAAATGAGATTTAGTGCATAAATAGCTTCAATGATGTGTCTTACTAGGTTAAGTTCTTAAGCCCCCGCCCAGACGTATTTCACCGCTACAACATTCAAGTTGAAAGTGACATATCAATCAATACCGCAACCACTATGTGATTTTCATACCTAAGGTTAAAAATGTCATTTTAAATCTAAAGTACAGAATACATCAATAGCATAGTAATATGGAGTTATTAACATCAAACATTTAAATGTCCATAGATGGTACCTAGATACCATGACCTAGGTACAAACAGATAATAACTAGTCAAGTTAGTTACTTAACGTATTCGGTAAGCGAGCTGGACATGTAAGCGAGCTGGCCACCCCACCCAAAACGCGTCCATGTATTAGCACTTAGTTAATTCAACCCCCTACTATGCCACCAATTCGCTCCTAAACCTCACGAAATTCAGCTGAGCAGGAGGGTAGGATTTTGTTAGCTATACAAGCTATAAAAAATCAAGAAATTATCTCGATTCGTGAAGCAGCACGTCGGTTTAATGTGCCGAAATCAACCCTCTCTACCCGTCTCCGTGGTATTCAAAACCGCGACTTCTCGGGCCAACTCACACAAATTAACTGAAACCGAAGAGGAAACACTTCAAAAATGGACCCTCTCGCTTGATGATCGTGGAGCAGCGCCCCGGCCGGCTACTGTACGAGAAACTGCGAATCTTCTTCTCGAGGCCCGTGGAATTACCCCAGCTCAAACAGTTGGCGAAAAATGGGTTTATAACTTCGTGAAAAGACATCCTGAACTATCGAACCGATTTTCGAGACGCTATAATTATGAGCGTGCAAAATGTGAAGATCCAAAAAATCATTGGTGAATGGTTTAATCTTGTTCAAAAAACCGTATCTCAATACGGCATCGACCCTAACGACATTTACAACTCTGATAAGACTGGTTTTGCGATGGGATTAATAGCGACCGTAAAGGTTGTTATAAGGGCTAAATACTTTGGTCGGAGATCACTATTATAACCTGAAAATGGTGAGTGGGTGACTGCAATTGAATGTATAAATGCTTTGGCATAGGCGCTGCCACCATGTGTGATTTTCAAAGGCAAAGTTTTTATCGAGTCTTGGTTTGATAACCTCCCAGATGATTGGCGATTTGAAGTAAGTCCAAATGGCTGCACATCTGATGAAATTGGTATTCGTTGGCTTCAAATTCTCTTTATTCCATCAACTTTTTCACGGTTAAAAGGCCAATATCGACTTTTAATTCTTGATGGCCATGGAAGTCATTTAATACCAAAGTTTGATAAAATTTGTGAAAAAAACAACATCATACCAATTTGCATGCCTGGATATTCATCACACCTTTTACAGCCACTTGATATTGGTTGTTTTGCGGTATCAAAACGCTCATATGGTCGGATGGTTGAAATGAAAATGCGGCTTGGGATCAACCATATCGATAAACTTGATTTCCTTGAAGCATATCCCCTTGCCCGAATTGAGACATTTAAATCGGGGACTATTAAAAATAGCTTCGCAGCTGCTGGTTTAATACCTTTTTGTCCCAATCGGGTTCTATCAAAGCTCAATATTTGTCTTCATACACCAACACCTCCACCAAGCCAGGATAGTGATTCAAGCCAGAACTTCACACCAAAAACCCCTTTTACCGAAAAACAACTACGTCGGCAAGCTTCATCAATCAAAGCTTTACTTCATAAAGGATCTCAAAGTCCCCCAAGCCCATCAGATCGCGCAATAAATCAACATGTCAAAGGCTGCCATCTCGCGTTACAAGGCGCTGCAATCTTAAAAAAGGAAAACAGCAAATTACGCGCCGCCAACGAAAAACAAAAGCAAAAACGGACTCGATAAACTAGGCAGATAGCCCACGAAGGGGATCTCTCAGTTCAAGAGGTTCGTGAGCTACGTTCAGAGCCATTTGAGGCCCAAGTAGCCCGTATCAATACCTATCGTGAGCAGGTTTCGGAGGGTTTACAGCCACATACACAGGGCCAGCGAGGATGTGGAATATGTAAACATCCAGGGCATAGAAGGGAGACATGTCCAGATAGACCTAATTAGTTTATTGAATTAATCTTATCACGTTTTGGTTAAGAAAAATACATTTAAAATTTATAACTTTGGTTGGGTGCGCCACTCGCTTACATGCGCCGCTCGCTTACCGAATACGTTAACAGACTAGTTAGTTAGTTAGTTATATACTCCGTATTATTAAGGCATCCGTCCGTGGCTTTGCCAGTCTGACCACTCAGTGCTGGAGACTAGTACAAGTGAAAACATTTCACATGTCATATTGATGGATGTTTGATTGCCTGCATGTGGGAATTTACAAGTTAAACCTATTTAGGACACCAATTTCCATCTATAATAATTCAAGTCGGGTCGTGGTGTTCATTTACAGGGCTTGCAAAGATTCCAAGAGTTTGATTTGCAAATTGATATACGTGATACATATTTTACGGCCTGTGTAACTTCAACAGCTAGAACTTGGATGTTCTTTGGCCCTGCCAGTGATAGCTGAAGGAACAAACCTTCGCACACATACATATGCATATGTATAATTGACAGGACCAAAATGAGGGCTGAACAGGACATCTGGATGATTGGATAACTCTGCCCAGGTGAGACCTTATCCGGCCACTTTGAGAACTTGAACCACTGTAATCTTACCGGGAATATTAGCCGGGTAAGTTTGATTGAGGGAATTGAAAAACACGAGATAAGATGCTGACCCCGGGAAGCGTTCTGATTGTACATACTAAGACCGAGCCGTGGAGGCGAGCTATTATGCGGCTAGTGGGGCTTGATCTTCAAATATTTATGGCCCCAACCAGAAAGTTCGGACGCATCCCTCTAAAGTTGGGTGGAGACTATACCCTTACGGACCTTACTCTCTGAATTGAGCAAGTCTGAAAGGAAGCTCCAAGTACAGATTACAGTGACTGGACATAATCATTTTCACCCCATGACTCACCTCACTTATGCAGCCCTCCAGGCCCTTGGGGCGGGCTCCTTTCCCCACATTTCCTCTCTCTCACACGTTGCCGCCGTGTGAACATGATCCAGCATTACTACTCTCTACAGTCAGGACCCTCAATTTTGTTCGAGACAAGCTCCCAGCAACAAGAGAGCTCACCAATTACTCTCGTCACTTTCCGGTATCGTCGTACCGACCTGAGCAGACCATAGCCCTCGATTTGAATATGAACACGACAAAGGACTACCCAAAAACGATATTACATACTTTGGGTGGACGGAAAGTGGTGCGTATCAGAAAAACCCTTGTTGTGAAGTCAGGTGACGATCTCCGTGTGCACAAGGGGCCGACACTTCGTTTTATCAAAGAAAACACGACGATCCCCGTCCCTGATGTTCATGATATCCGTTGGAAAGATGGGAAGGTTGTGGAGCTTGTCATGGACTACATACCGGGCAAACAGCTCAATAAGGCCTAGGACAGCTTAACACACGACCAAAAACTCTTTATATGCAACCAACTTCATTCGTACATCGCTCAACTTCGCAGTTTTCGAGGCAAATACATCGGGGCCATTGATCGAGGTCAAGCTGTAGTTGGAAAACGAAAACAAAAAGACGGTGGTCCATTTGATTCTGAAAAACAATTCAATGGATTCATACTAGATGATTATATGATCGAAAACCGCGAGCTTTTGCAACATTATGCCAGTTTCTCGCTTACAGATGACCATGATATTGTTTTCACTCATGGTGATCTTGCCCCTCGGAATATCCTTGTGGAAGGAGATAGGATTACAGGGATTTTGGACTGGGAACATGCGGGCTGGTACCCAGAGTATTGGGAGTACATTAAAGCATTTATGATACTCAGGCCAGTGCCCGATTGGCCTGAATATCTGCCCATTATTCTTCCTCTGCGATACGAGAGAGAATATATCGGCATGTCTTTCCTGGCCATAGTTTTCTACGACTAATCCACATGCTTTCCATATCACAAAGAAAATTCTACCTGGATGGTGAATAAAGAGGAAGCAATCACATTAGAAATAATATCTCAGCAGCATCGAATACAACTGCGTCAACCTTGGAAAAGTAAGGTGTATCAGACCGAATGCTGTATGGTCTCCGCCTAGTTCAAGCTCTCTTCCCCAGGGAGGTCTCTGCCTTTCCCATGCTTCATGAAATTCCCCATCCCTGCCGTATGTGTTTATCAATTGAGTGACTATCCACCGATAGAAATATCATAATGTGACCCAAGAAGAATCCTGGATGAAGCTTACCAATGGTATCACTTTTGCCAAATCAAAATTGAGCCGTACCACATAACCGTTCAACATGATTGATGCCAACATCATTATTCATGAGCTTGAGCCGTCACGCGCCTGCATAACCACCCGAATCATGTGGTGATAAGCTGACTGCCGTTGAGCAGCAGTTAAGTATCTGTATTTGATCAGCTGCTCAAGGGCGTCGCCCACCCAGCTCTGACAGTTCCATGATCGATCAATATTTTGGATGGGCGTGCTAGAAATGACGGCTCTCAAAGACCACTGGTTCACTTAATCAGGAAAATCTGCTACAGGAATGGTAGCAGCAAGCTTCCTGCTATCTTCAGGTTTGTAACCATCCCGTGGTTTGAAATCAAAGACCCCAGGAGCCCCTTCTACGTTCAACAGGGTTGAGGAACCAGCGGGGAATTTGAGAAATAGCCCCGCGTGTCGGTATTCGATTAGATCTATTGGCTCGCTAACATAAACAAGGATATGAATGGTTGTAGGCATGTTGATAAAAGAAGTAATGTTCGCAGATTCTTTAAATTTAACAGTTGATGAGTGTCTGGCAGAATCAGCATTTTCTTCATTGATGGGGATGCAGAGATCATTTATTCTTTGGGGTGTCTTCTTTGTTCAGGAGCAGCGCTAGAGGCGAAAAGAATAATATCCATGATATAACGTTGGGATGAGAGTAAGAGAGCCAATACTATCATTTCCGAGCTTTAGACGTTTACGCCACAGCGTCTACGTATCCTCCAGATTATAGCCTGGAATTACTCCATTGCAACCTACTAGCACCTGGGCATCTAGCATTCGAACTAGCGCAACTAATCTCTAGCGTTTCTGGCACACATGAGTTATTATTGGCAACCGCCGGCGGGAATCAGGCAACTCCACCGCTTGGGCATCAGCAAACCTCCTGTCATAGATTACTTTTGTGATTACTCTATAGTTGAAGAGAATATTATAGCTCACATTTGTCACATCACACGCATTGATTCCAGCGATATCCCAGCTCCTATTGAAACTTCAATGTTGCATGTGCATATGTCATTTCTTCAGATGTCCCCTTGAATTGCCGCATAAAATGAAACACACTGGTATTTCAACTGTCAGCTTCAAGTTATACCTAGATATTTTTTAATACTAGTCTCAGTGGACTGTATGTGGGAAGTACATATGTACTGTGATAGAAGTTTATAAATGGTCGGATATTGAGCATTTGAACCTTGGAAATACTTTCGTGTGATTTGTCTTGCATTCTATATAGGTTTTTCCTTTACATTGGGAGTTAATAGGGCGTACATATGAGCTATATGAATTACTAGTTTCAATATAAGACCGCACTGCAGATGCACTCTGACATCTGGAGGTCTGACTTGGACTCGGAGATCCGGAGCTCACCATTTACCTATCATCGAGATACACGTTTTCAAGGCCCCGCGGGTGAGCCAACGATCCCTGTTACATACATACTAGTACTGATTGTGATTCATATCTACTAGTAGCGGGGATGAACATTCAAGTTGGCATCAAGGGAAGGTCTGAGATCGATTGATCTATGTTACCGGCCCAAGAACTGGTCGCGAGAGCATCCACATGTCCGAATACCTAGGTACTTGGAATGAACGAAGGGCTTTCCGCCAATCCGGTATATCACATACCCTTATCCGACCATACGCCGGCTTTGTTGTTTTGAAATATCAGTTGCCCAGGTGAGATTAGGGTCTTCTCAGTCTGTAGATGTCCACGGTCGGTGATCTGCAAATTAAAACTGCGGCCTCGGGCTCAAAGATTCAGGTTAGTTGCACAGCTTAATTAAGTCCAATGACTCATAGCAGGTGCCGAGGCAAATAAAATTAGATGGGAGGAGGGAGATTGGAGGGGTACTTGCTGCGGCGAGCTAGAAAGGAAATAGTGGGCCTGGCTAGTGTCGACGGTGCTGACCACTCTGGACCAGCCTTTCATGCTCCTTAGCTATGAACTTTTCAACCAAGAGATAATGCTAGGCATTCTTTTCGACCGACCCTGGGAACAGAAGGTGAATATGAGAAACTTGGGTTGTAGTACGTACTCAGGACTTGGCGCCAAGCAGTTCTGGGGTAATATTGCACAGCAGAATTTGACACTTAATTATTTTCCGGAGCTTTATACCCTGCTTCCACATCTACTATCTGATTATAATGGATGGCAAGAGATGGGAAAAGCAGCAAGGTTAGCCCTGGAGGATGTTCTAGTAGATAGATCTCACATTATATTCCTAAAGTTGCCCAAGTTGAAGCGAGTAAGATAGCTGGAACGACAGTTGTGATTGAAAACACGGTGAACGTGAGACGAAGACAATAGATCAATTATCGCTAGTCTCTTTCGAGTTGTTTTTGCTGACAGGAACCGAGAGTGCCGGGCAGGCGGGTACTACGGCAAGATTTAGGGCCGTACAGTATGCCTAATTAGAACTAGTTTTTTTAGACCGCTTTTAGCACCGCCTTTACAGAGCTTGTAATCCACGTGTTGTTTTTTGGGCTTTATTAATTTACGTCAAATTGAACATGAATGGTGGATTTATTTTTGGCTTGGAGTATTCAAAGTGTGTTGAGAAAGAGAAGGGATATGAGATCCTTGATAACCTAAATTAAGTTTAGCTTCAAACTTGAATGTTTGTTCAGAGCCTGAGGGATTTTGCCAATTTTTAATCACACGCCAAGGCGGCCATCCCTTCATCTTAAGTTTATCTTTAATGTTAAATTTATGTAAGCCTTGATAATCTTAAGGGCTTTATCAATGTATTCAAATGTAATGGCTCAATGCGGGCAGTTGCATACTTTTCTCGGCTTCTGATTTCCCACGTCTATAGTCCCGTATGCCTTACTACTACCTGGGTGATTGGATGCTTAGGCCTTAGATACAAGGCATATAGTCTATTTATAGTAACTTTTATTTCTGCCGGGACAAAACTAGTCTCAAATAGGCATGCGAGCTGAATCTTGCCGTAAAGTGGGTCCGAGGTCGCAACTGGAACGCTATGTATAACTTCAAATATTGAGGAATCTGAAGATTCAATCTTCACTGGGATGATCCAATAGTAAATTCAAGTTGCCAGATATACGATTATCGGTCATGTAAAACTTGAACTGAGTTTTCAGGTCCAAGGTTGTTTATTTTATTGATTAAATTAACACGCACTGAGAATGTTCGTTCTTGATGCACTTACTGACGGGAATTATCAGGGTCAGCCCGTCTTTATTCGATCTAGCCCCAGCTACTCTAGTATGATTTTAGCGGCTTGCCAAGACACTTCGCTTCCATTCAAAAATTAGGCAGTCTACTGGAAATGGTCAAATTGAATCCACTCCTACTTAGTAGGAGTGTCTATAATCATTACGTAGCTCTTATAGGGCCCATGTGCAGTACTTTTAACCGATATCGATCACCTATGAGAGTATCGTGCTGATTTATGGGCCCGGGTCGGCCCTACTCCGGCTACTGTCTGATCGATCAAGCATATCAATGGGGAATATTGTTGGCACCCTATGATACAGGATTGCATATATGAACGACAAGTCATGTTACTGTAGGGTACCAAAACTGTTGGATCCAATCCGATACTGGCAAGTTGAACTACTCTGTAGAGGATTTAATTGAGAAATGTGGAGAAAATTTAGAGAATCTCGGCGATTCCGATCAGACAGAGGGTCCAGAGTCTATTGTTCCCACTGTAAGCTGACTGAACTTTTATAAATACTAGACTACAACGGCTAGTAGACTGTACTAGGTCCGCAACGCTAACCTATCTGATGCTTACTGCATAAACGCCAAGGCCAGGGCAACCTAAATGCAGTTAGAGTTCTGCAGAAGCCATACTACCCGTTCATGAGCTGGAAGGACTCAGAAGCTCTGTGATGTCTAAGCGAGTCCGTTGAGAAAACTATAAAGGGACACATCTGGCTCTCTAGTATAGTTCCTTCAGAAACAAACTTGCATTACAATCATACTCCTCAGGAATTCCTCACCTTTGCTTTTACCACCTTTAAAATGATGATTAAGGTATATTACCTCTTGGGTTATGTCTCATAATCTATACACAACGATGCTAATATGATATTCAAGACCACCTCTATCATTGCCGCCTTTGCGGCCATTGCTGTTGCCAACCCCACCGTCGGCTACGCTGGCTACTTCTATGCTGGTTGTAACACAACCACTGTTGATCTCACGAATGCCTATGCTGGAACTGCCAGCTGCGTTAACATCGAGGACTTCCCCATCAAGTCTTTCTCTGCCTATATTGAGTCTGGCGAATGCGCCGACGGTACCACCGCTGTTCTCAGCACTTACACTGCCTCCGGCTGTGATGATACAACTTTGTATCAGACTGTTGACGTTACCAGCGCTGAGCAATGCTTCGAGATTGATACTACCTTTGTTAGCGTCAAGGCCGAGTGTGTCTGAAGGGTTATTCATTTGATGCACCAATAAATGACTCGGAGCAGACATTGGAAAATTTTTAACTAGCATATTGTTAAGATGAAAAATGAATTGTTCATTAAAACAGTCAGTCTATTACACATTTGAAGCCTTTAGCAGCTTTATAGCCTGGAGTTGGAGTCCCTTGAAGCTTCCAAGGTTTCTTTGGTAGTAATATAATCTTTCAAATACACGTTGAAATTCAAATTTGAAATATTGCGACCTTCGGTGTATATAGGTTATAATTCGAGCATGAATGTACAGCAATTTACTACTATAACCTAAGGTTGGAACGTGAATATATTCAGATGTTCTTAGTAAATATTTAAAGATTCGAATAGAATATTGAAATTTTTCAGTGAATCAGGTAAATTTCCTGTACGTACAAAGAGAATGTTCACAAATAAAATTTGAGAATCCACCTCACATCCGCAAACAAAAGTATCCTGCTCTTCAACTGGTCTTTTTTGCAATTTTAAGACGATACTCAGATAAAGTCACAGTAGCAATACAACTTGAAGTGGACGGCTCATTAAGAGCCTGAAAATCAATAACATCTATCCATCAAGTATAAGCTCGAGCTAACACCATCATCGTCAATCTGGTAAGTGAAGAATTCCTTCGGATCACCAGAGAAGCTGGTCGCAGTCAAAGTAGCGACAAAGGGTGTTTCCTCTGGAAATGAAAAAAGAAATGTGAACAAAAATATACAACAGCATTTGTAAGGTGACCATCACCAAGCCCCCAAGATTCTGGTGTGGGCGGCGTGCGGCCGCCCTATTCCGCACGCTGCCCTATTCAGTCCTCTTCAGGGGCCATCGGGCCGGATATTCTCCACCTGAACATTCAGCCCGATCAAACTTGAAAATGTAACTTCTCGCTTTTTCTTTCAAAACTCTGTAAGCCGCTGCTATGCTCTCATCCCTCACTCACCTATGCCCCATCATCCATCTAACTACCGAGGCAAAATGTGTGCCGAATATAATCTACTGTCGAACTGCACAGGATAGGCCGTGGACTTTGCCGATCACAACTACACTTAGATCCCGCGATGATCGGCACGCCGACCTTACATGATCATTGTCATCACATGATAGTGATCTTACAGATCTGCTGACCACTGCCCCCCTAGGAATTCTTCTCAGGTGGTACTTAAAGACTACGGATATTCTGTCGCTAAAAGCTGAAAGATCTGCACGGAAATTCCTGATTCATTTGTCCGCTATCCTGATGCGATGTTACCACGGCGTGTTTAATCCGAGTTGGGCTTATTGAGACAGAGACAATCTAGAATTATTGCAATACCAAATCAGAAGTAATCAAGCTAATTTAAGCAAGAGCACTTGAGCTATTCTCGTTCTGCTCTTGAGTCCGATTAAGTCCGGGGTAAATTAGGAAGGTTCCAGATATCTGACTATTATCCCTGGCGATACGCTTTACCCCGCACTAAGATCGCCTGATCAGCCAAGCACGCTTGGATATCCAGGAGTTTTTCCCATTTCTCCATACCGCATTTTGCACCTGTGGATCCTCCAAATCCAATATCCCTAGATCTCTATAATGTTCCTAGCTACTACATTGAAGTTTGTGGGGTGACCAAGGGCATCAAAGGCCCAATCATACTTTCATAAACGATGTCACTTCGGCTAGAACTAGCTTGAACAATGAACGCATTATGTATAGAACTAGGCACCTAGGGGTTCAAATCAGCCCATGCGGATGTATAGCGAGTTTTACATATCCCTAGGTAAGGAGCATTTCTTAGGTAGAAAAAGGCCACAGATTTTAAGGATTGATACCTATACCAACTCTTACAGTCAACCGACTATCTACTTGTAATCGTGTTTTAAATTGACCATTAAGATTCAATAGTTTATACAGAGAAGTTCCTACCCGGGTAGGATATCTTACTTTAGCGCACTGGACCGCTTGTAGAGTTAGTGGCTGAATTTTCGATCCATGATCTAGCCCAATAAAGTCTAGTCATACACTTTGCTATAGCCTTGACGTTAAGATTGAAGATACCTAGTTTCTTTCAAATTTTGTGTGAAAATTGGAAGCTGATTCCGAATATACCTGTACTTCCTTCTTTTGCTCCGTTTCTTTCCTGCTATTTTGGTTTTGGCTTTCTGATTTGCAAATGAACGGATATCTTTTTATTTGTCCAACTATATCACCAGCTACGAGTTGAAGCATCCACTTGGGCAACACTTTAACTTTAATAGTAATAAGGATCTATTGATGCAGGCCCACTCCAGAATCCAAGTCTGCCATAAGTCATGCCGGCATGCACATGTGCAGGGTCTCCGCACTACCCGCGAATGGGCCACTCTAAACTCTTGAGAATGCTACCTCGCCTGTAAAAATCAAGTATTTGATTTCAAAAAATATTTTCAAGGGTATGCTAATTCATTGATGAAAGCTCACTACCCCGCAGAATCAGGTCTATTAAGCCATCGCCTCGCCACGAAAGCAGATGACATTCAGACACTTTCGATCCATTCTTGTCCACCTCTTCAAAGCGAGTCCTTTTTTGAAATCATGATGCCTCCTATTATGCCCTCTTTCAGGCTTGGTATATGTCTTGGTGCCATGGGATCCCTAGTCATAGCTGGTCCATGTGACATCTATGCCTCTGGCGATACACCTTGCGTCGCAGGCCATAGCACCACTCGCGCCCTATATGATTCTTATAGTGGCCCACTATACCAAGTCTCGCGAGCTTCTGACAGCACTACGGCTGATATTTCACCTGTGTCTGCCGGCTCAGTGGCCGACGCCGCTGCTCAAGACAGTTTCTGTGAAGGCACAAGCTGCAGCATTACTATAATTTACGACCAGACTGGCAATAGCAATCACCTCACTCAAGCTCCTGCAGGAGGTGCAGCATCTGGTCCAGACGGCCTAGCTAGTGCGACTGGAGCCCCTGTCACGCTCAACGGACAAAATGCATACGGTGTCCAGATCCAACCTGGTATGGGATACCGCTGTGATACCGCTGTGGGCACAGCCACCGGTGACGCAGCAGAAGGGATTTATGCTGTTCTTGATGGAACCGATTATAATGGCGCGTGCTGCTTTGACTACGGCAATGCTGAAACAAACAACGACGACAATGGTGACGCCCATATGGAGGCTATCTACTTTGGACTTGGTACTGGATTTGGAACTGGCACTGGAAGCGGTCCCTGGATCTTAGCTGACCTTGAGAATGGTCTATCTGCCGGAGACGATTTTGATGTGACATCAACCAACCCGTCAATTTCCTGGCGCTTTGTTACGGCTATCGTCAAAGGGCAGCCAAGCCAATTTTCAATCCGTGGTGGTGATGCTACGTCTGGCTCACTTGGAACCTACTGGAGTGGATCCTACCCAACTGGTTACAGTCCAATGAAGAAAGAAGGGGCCATTATTTTGGGTATTGGTGGTGATAACAGCAACGGTGCTCAGGGCACATTCTATGAAGGTGTTATGACTTCAGGTTATCCATCAGATGATACCGAAAATTCGGTCCAGGCCAATATCGTAGCCGCCAAATACGCTACCAGCTCTTAAACCGTCGTCAGTGGTCGCCAAATTAGTGAGATGCAGTGCTTTCACTATACCAGAAGAGTCTTGTGCTTGAAGGTGCTGATTTATCTCAGTACCTTCAAACGTTCTGTGTCTTATCTGTGTCGACTGATGTTTAAGTAGAGCCGGGTGAGAACTTGAATGTATACATATCCCAGGCTATATTTTATTGCAATCAACGACCCCATCTGGAAAGTATTTGTTGTTTGTTGATTAATTAAAATGAATATCATCTATTTGGTTGACTTTATATCTGGCCCCTTCCCACACTGCAACACTCGCCACTAGATACAATGAAAGTACGAACTTGCCCCTCCTGGACAACTACAACAGCTGAAATTTATCTTTTCATCAGCCTGTTGAGACCAGGTCTCCGCCCTTAGTCCATGAGGTATTATCTTCCCTCACCCCACCACACATTTCCGTCCACAAATCAGGTCCTCCCGCACAGCCTAGTATTCTTGAATGTCTGCAACAGTTTCATAGGTCCTTACTTCCACTATTGGAGACAAGCCCTTGCCCAGGACATACCCAAGGACCTTCCTTGAGTGGAAGACGCGTCCATCCGATATCCTTGAGCGCGCTCTTTTCCTACCGGTCCGGTCGAGAATTCTCTATATATGCTCCACTGAAACTCTCCTCACGATGTGCAACGTAAACGCAATATCGAAGAGCTTCCGCTTTGCGGATGAACAGAGACACTTCGCCTTGGGTCCCGACCGTGTAGTTCTGCATCAAATGAAATGTGAGCAAGAAGGCAGACGGCCGTCAACTGGTTTTCCACCTCTTCCGCTATCACAATGCCACGCATGCCTCGATGCCAAGCACTGGAGCGGCAAGACTGAACCATCAAAAATGCGTAAAATGCAAAAAAAATAACATACAACAGTGAGGGTTCGCGTGTGGTCACCCACCATGCTACTAACTCACCGCTGTGAGACCATAATTCATATCCACCCCCGATGTAGCACTTAAGTGCAGTCTACAGATACCAGACCCTTTCCTTATTCTCTATAAGGAGTTCGTAGGAGGCAATTGGCACTATATGTATTATTAAAATTTGTACAGCTTGATTACTCAGCCACCAGTAGTGCGTGCGGAGATAGGCGGTCAATATTTAGTATGAGGGAAATATGTTATGGCTTGATGGCCGTTATAGTCCCTCGTGTACCTCTTGTCCCTGACAGATTCCCGTATGACCTGATTAATGCGGACGGATGCTCATATATTTATTCGCAACCGCCCATGCCTGGTGTTGCATTCTCATTGACAGAATGACTTCAACCTCAACGCTACCAAGACACTCGGGGGTAAGATATATACCACCAGGTAATACAACCTACTCACAGCTTTAGATCCTGTATGTCGATGATCAACCCCTCTTTGCGAGACGGATCGATTTACTCGATGTCCGTCGTACAATATACCGCCTTGAACTCGAACCTGACTTATGTCCATCACAAATTCCACCTCATGTGAATACGGTTATCATCAAGCGACAGAAGGATGGATGGGAAAAATGCTTTCGAAATGAGCAAGCAGCTTATGAAAAACTCTCCGAGCTTCAAGGATCCGTTATACCAAAGCTCTATGGCCAGGTAATTTATGACGGACAACCAGCCCTAGTTCTTTCGGATGAAGATGGCTTGAATCTACATGAACTTGCATCCAACCTTGATAACCATATCGATTACGATAATTTGGAGATCCTGTAGACGGGATTATTTGAATTATTGACTAACTGTGGCGCTGTTTACTGGGACCAAAAAATTGAATTTTCTGTTCAACGCCAGTGGCAATGTGATTGTTCTTGACCTTGAAGATGTCCGCTTTCCTGAAATATTTGATGAGTGTGACTATCTTGTGAATGAGGGTGGTGCGAGTACTCTACTGAATGAGACCAAAGCCCTCAGAAATACACACTCAAAACGAATCACCGACGGAATTTGGTGGGCACAACGCGAGAGGGAAATCGTATATCCCAAGTTGGATATAACTCCTGGAATCTAGTACTTATCTCAATACACCTTAGCCCCTTCCAAGTCACGTGCAAAATCATTCAGGAGTATATGATAGTATAGATATAGGGTAGCAATATGTCATCAGTAAATTAATATTAAAATCATTATACAAAATATCTGTGAAAAGTTTTATTCAAGTTAGTATCAACTTCCAAAGCATATAGTTAAAGTTAACATAAGCTTAAAGAGTGCCCGTTTCTGACTTGAAAAAAAAAGAATAAAAACCAAAACTCCACCTCCTACTGAATGCTACGTAACTATTTAAATGAGGAATGTACCGGTGTCTTGATGCTTGAGTGTTTCTTTTCAGTCTGTCGTGTAGAGTGCCCATTCCTGGTAGCTTGGCGTAGATGTCATCAAGTAAACTATCCAAGTCTTTGTGATCCATCAAGAATCATAATGCACATGCAGCACATGATTCGGCGACGATAAGCCGCCTATAGTTGCCTGTCAAGGAAATCTTTCGATGACTATCCAAGGTCATTACACAAAGTGGTTTTCCCCACACGGGGACGTCCGCAGATTAACATATGAAGGTTCCGAGGGCATCCGCAACCCTTTTCTTCCCCGTGATCTAAACGCAATTCCAGAAAAGAAAAACGATGAGAATAGCTTCGTAAGTAGCAATTCCATGTGAGAATCATTTTTACGTTTGCTTCTCTGCAACGTTCTACACTTCTAGTCGCTCTACCACTATCATTCTGAATTTTCTCTAAGTGTTCCCGGGATGCAGCTCATACGAGCTAGTTCCAAACATACTGTCTCTTTGGTTCGGCCGCATTTGACGTGGGCGAATCGCTTCTGTTATTTGACATCAACACCCGCGGATGCGTAGTCGTCTGGGTACATCTAGATACCATCGAGACTACAAAGTCGATTTCGTATTGTTACATCATCGATTGATGCTTGTTGTCATCAGTAAGTATAAGTACGTGTATAGGGAATTCCACTAAGTGATGAGACACTTGAACCCGTCGTACGATATTCTTTGAAGCCTTGAAACTTGAACGCAATCTACCTTGATCTACACAATGAGATCTTCTTTTCTCGATGGTGTCGACTGGGGTTTTACCCTTTTGTTTGTACTAGCTACAGGCACTCTGGCGCGGAATTCGTCTTCGACGAATTCTTCCTCGGAGTCTCCAACGCTGGTTCGCCTCTGTACATCCAGCGACATCGCCAACATGAACGTCATTAACTGCGAATGTCCCTCAGATTTTCCTCCTGCATCAAATGCCTGTAATGCGAACGGTAAAACCTGTACGCAAAAATGTAACGGAGGATCTGTGACGTCTTTTGCCGAACTAGACGTATGTGGTGCTGGCTGCGTAGATGCCAACAACGAATGCAATGGTTGCTACATCTGGTTCTCTGGGCTTTGCCATTGCCTTCAGAAAATGCAAGAACAAGAGCAAATTACCTGTATTGCATCCTCAAAGCTTACTCCCGGCCAAAAAACACCGCCAATATGGATGATTAACGCTCCGAACGACTTAATGACCACCACCTATCTGGTGCCGGGAATCCTGCAATTGCACCAAATTCCCGACTATTGGGTTGGGTTTAATCTCGCACAGAACACAATTCGGAAGAATTACGGAAATTCTGGAACTCTGGCTTTGAACTCAGTGACCAGCCGCACGGAAGAACAAATCCACATCCATCTCTGCAGTAATGGAAATCAAAATGCTCGCGACGTGGTCAATGGTCTAGATCCCGCTAATTACAAAACACTGGCGACGGTGGATTTATCAAAGGCTATGCCAGGCTATGCTATGCAGTGTCGGGTTTCATCACAGAAGGATGCTAATATTGACCAAGGGGGGGATATTCTGAGCTATCTTCAGACACTTACTAAAGACCACGGGCCCGAAAATTGTGCCCAATATCACGTTGGATCTGGGTTTATGATTGATAAGAACGGACTTGCTTGGTCTTGTGTTACGACCTCTGGATCGCCAGAGAAGATTTTCTGTTAATTGGGGAGCATGATCATTTGCACTTTCATCTTGGCTCTTTATGTTTGAAAATCTATTTGGTTAAGAAATCGTCCTTCAATTGGCATCAGTCGCTGGTCAAATGAGACCGCGGATCTTTTAACTCGGGCGGTCCCGCATTGTTATATAATTCTTGCCTACAATGGATCTTGAAAATCGATGTTCTCAAAGCAGATACTCGTTCTGCGCATTAATATATGTCAAAATGTCAGTGTAAAGGGTTTCTAGGTGAACATGAACTTGTGGGTTGTCATCTATTCAGACTATTGAGGGGAAAGGGCGAAAATGCTCTATAGAGTAGGACAACCTTGGAACCTAGGACGACACAATACCAAAAGAATAAAAAATAACAAAATACAACAGTAAGGATTGACATGCGGTTATCCACCATACTCTTAGTAGCTCCATGTAGCCCCGCGCCTTATGATTGTCAATCTGCATGAACTGTATATCACGCTTTGACCCGTCACAGGATGACCCGGGATGAGAACACTTTGGATGGAAAGCTTCCAAACGGCGAAACTGACTTTGAAATTTTCATCCAAGTCACACTCCAGTCTGTTGCAATACTGATTCGGAGCGTTTGATATAATACTGTCTATTATTGCGCTATTTCAACTGTAACCCATCGATTGTTGGGAAGTAGTATACGATTAGGCGTCTGTGTACTTGTCATGCTGTCCTCGGAGTCTCAGGTTTGAATCAGAAGCAAGTATCTTGAGTTCGAAAAGCAGTTTGAATTGTATAGGCGTATAGAGGGAGGTCTATATGTCCGACATCAATGAAATGATAACTTCTATGATCCTCTAGTATCAGGCTCAGCTGGAGGGGTCACAGTCCCACGGACCCGTGCAATTTCCAATCATGTAAAGGACATTATCACCTCCCGTAACATAACAAGTTTCGGAAGGTGTGGTATCTGCATCATAGGTCACATAAGTGCATTCACCCGTGTTATCTCCATTCGCGTCTGCGCAGTTCCATTTGTTCGAATCACTGGAGCTAACATTGCACCAGTATTCTACACCACTTCCGCAAATTCCGTTCTTGAAAAGCATGTAATCGGACATGCCAGTCGGATAATCTTCATTCACAGGGTCATAAACCACCTCCATGTACTCATCAGATGCGTCACAAATGTCGTCCTTTTCGTAGAGTCCACCATAAGCCTCCACACCATTCAATGATGCGATGCATTCGGCGCTGACGCATTCTTCTTGATATTGGGACTCTCGCCAGATGGCCCAGGGGTAGGAGTCAGTTGGGGCTGCGGTTGCGCTCACAAGCACAGTACTAGAGCCTTCGCAGTATGGGACTTCGGTGTAGCCGTCATTCACAAAACCCTCGCTGGCACAAGCGACGACCTCCCCATAGAGATCGGTGAAGGTGTATGGGTAAGGGAATTCTGTAGTGTTGAGCCATATAGTAGTGCGAGAGCCACTGCAGTATGGGATCTCACTGTAGCCATCATTCACAAGACCCGTGGAAGCACAGGCGACAATGTCACCGTAGAGATCAGTGAACGTGTATGGGTAAGGATTGGAAGTTGTCATGGTTGGTAAAACCGTGTAGCCGCAAATGTCCGATCCAGACATTGTAGTGACATAGTCAGTGGTACCACTGCAAGAGCAATAGGTGTCATCGCTTCCACTGTCAGGGTCTTGTGCAGCCACACAAAGGGGTCCTGAAGTCGTTGTTGGCGTTGGTGTTGGAGTTACGATGACTGAGCCGTAAATTCGATTGATCTGCGATGCCTCTTGAGATTCGATGGCCTCGAGGAAGGTAAGAGCATCAGTCGTCGTAGGGCGCATTTCGATGATTTCATTCGATACAAAACCAGCAGCACCCAGAGTAAAGGTCGCAATGATTGTGGTTGTGGTTTCGGTTTCGGTAGCGGTAGTCTCACTGTCTGAATCGTCACCCCCCGCGCCTGCACCGCTACCAGAGCCACTGCCCGAACCAAAACCTGGGGGACATAAGGGGCAGCCTCCGACGCAAAACAAATCACCTAAAGGGTTTCATTAGCAAAAACCCAGCACATGAGGCAGTAGAGTTAAGTAGTAACAAAATGAACTTACAGGAGCTACCACAAACCTCGAGCAATGAGGGTGTGCATTTAGGTCCAGATTCGCCGGTGGAAGTGGCCTTGACAGTAGTTTTCTTTGTGTTGATTTCAGGATCGGGGGTGTTGGTAGTTGTAGGGTATGGATGAGGTGTCACAGTCGTAACAGTCGGAGAGAGGGTAGTACCATCGTAGACGGAGGTAGTTCCACCAAAAACACCAGTCCACGAGGCACTGAAGTATGTCAAGTTTCCGCTCGAGTAGCTGACTGCGGGTATGGTGCTTGTTGTTCCTCCAATGACGGTCGTGTTTCCACCAACAGTTCTGTGAATGATTAGCATATTCTCATCACACTCAAAGGTCCACGGCACTCACGGTGTATAGGTAATAGCGAAGGGCGAAGGCTCCACGGAGCTTGTCTGATACACGACTGTTTGACCGGGTGTGATCTGCTGGTTCCACATATTGATGTATGATGTTGTGACCGGGGCAATTGTAATCTGAGTAGGGACAGTGTAGGTACTGTATAGAGAGAATGTATCAACGTATCCATCAACAAGCGTTGTGGTAGAGGTCTCTGTGGCTCTCCAGGTAACATGAGTGTTCCAGGGAGGGAAAGAAATGACTGTCTCCGATGTCAAGGGCTGAGGTGGCATGATCATATAACATGGCGGCGAGCAGCTGACAATGGGTGTTGGCTCTGACCAAATAGTTGGATCAACGCTAATGGTCTGTCCCCCAGTCTCACCGGACCCATCGCTGGATGAATTGGAGAATGGCCAGAACTGCTCAAGATCGATGGCCCATTCGGCGGTTCCAGCAAAGTTGTATGACTGATACATTGCCTGTCGGCTGGCCTTCGTAGAATTTGTCATATAACCAACCCATTGAGTAGAGTTATAGACCAGGTAGTCAGAGACATCGTCAGAGGTTGCCACTGCTGTGGAGTCGCTTGCCAAGATCTCATTCATTTCTGCGTTAGAGATATAGCCGACCGTGTCAGTGCAAGGGCCTGCAGCACCACCGGCACTCCATGTACAATCGGAAGCAGTACAGCCAGCTTCTGTCATCTGGAAAGATCTTCCGTAGCTGCTAACGCCAACCATAATCTGGTTTGTAGATACTCCAGCTTTCGTGATCATTGACAACGCCCACATTGTCTCAGTCATATTAACATGAGAGAAAAGACAATCTCCAGCTGTGCATCCCCATTGAGCATAGGCGTTGCCCAAATCCCAGGTTCCATGGAGGTCATAAGTCATATAATTGATGAAATCAACGGTTTCCGATATTTCCTTAATAGGGAACTGTTTCAGATACCAATAGGAAGAGGGTGCTGTTACTGAAAGTACTGCATCGCTAGGCAAAGCAGACCGCATATCTTGTAAGAAAGCAAGATAATTATCTCCCTCGTCCGAGCTTCCAGCAGGGATTCCAGCGATGTCAGGTTCTCCTGGATATTCCCAATCAAAATCAACTCCATCAAGACCTGTGTCGGCAATGAAATTAACAATATTCTGCACAAGCGTTGCTCGGTTTCCAGCAGCGGTTCCATCACGGAAAATCATGTAAGTGTCGGTGTCTGTGGAGAAGTCCCAGCCACCAAATGACATCATGCGCTTAACACTAGAAAGAGCGACAAATTGCTCAAACATATCTTCCATCCCATCCACATTGACAGAATAATCAGAAGCAATGTTTCCAAAGGCGAAATTAACATGTGTCCAAGCAGAGGTGTCGATGGATGATGCATCCATCTGTAAACAGGTTCGATTGACACTACTTGCTTCATAGTATCCCACCACACTATAAGTCGAAGGTGCAGTATCAGAATTGACAATATCCGTACCGCAATTTGAGATACATCCATCCGAGCCTGAAGCGGCCGTTCCAGGAGCTCCTGTGGCTGCACGGGTATCGTTGCAGTAAAGAGGGGTAGTACCGCACTCACCCCAAATATCGCAACAGGCATTCAGGGGGCAAGGGTTGAGATCTCCCCAAGTATCAGAGTCGGTAGAATTGAATACAGTTCCATTCACTTGGGGTCCGCAGACAGCATTGGCAATTGTCGCGGGGTAGGGCGGGTTACCAGTTGACAAGCAGATAGCTTCACCAGCCTGTAGATCATCACATCCATACCAGGCCCAGGTATTGTTATTGTAAGAATCGATATCATCCACTGTGATACTGTAGGCCGATGCAATGGCAGAACAGCTATCACCAGATTCCACGTTGTACGTGTAACAAGTACCATTGGAGTATTCCGAGGGGGCAAAATCAGGAAGAGAACCAGAGGAGCAGCAAACATATTGACCAACAGCGAGCGTTGAGCAAAGATCGGAGGCAGTGTTGTACTCATAGAATTCCGCGTCGGTGATGCCACATTCGGTGACCAAGGATGCACAGCTGTCTCCAGAGACAACCTCAACATAGGAACAAGTAGATCTGCGCTCAATGGTATGAGATGAATGCACAGAGGAAACATGGTTTGACCCCGATCTTCGAGTAGACCGCGACAGGATCGTGCTGTTTGTCTTTCCAGTGACAGATGAGGATGAATTCTTGGCGACCCAAGCAGAGAATAACGCAGATTCCTCCTCGTCAAAGCCAGAAATGCATGATCCTTGGTGCCATGCTTGAACGTGTTGTTGAACTGCAGATAGATCACCTGTGAGGTCAATGGCAATGCCCATCGTTGTACTGGCGGTAGATCCACAATACTGAAGGGCCGCCGCGCTGTAACTTGAGCCTCCACTAGTGTTCATCATTTTCTGCATGGCGAATTCCACGTTCTCAGCTCGGGCCAGATCGTCGCCAAGGTAAACACCTGCAGCAATACCGTTGAAATAGCCAAAGAGAATAGACTTCTGGAGGTTGCCGGTCATGTAGGACTCCAAATCCTGCAGTAGAGCGGACGCATCCTCAAGGTTGGACGAGGAGCCCGACGACCCCCAAGAACCAATTTCGTAAGTGGCAGATGTTTTATATGTTTGTGAATCCAGAAGACCCTGAGAGCCGCCTTCAAGCAAGCTGAGATCTTCAGAGATACATGTGCGAATTGTTGAGTGAGTTTGGCTGTTGTTCAATTCATTGAAGATATTGAAATCAAGCAACATAGTTTCATTACACAGTGCGACTCTGGATGCGCTGGAGTAGACATACCACTCATTGGGGTCGTAACTAGAGCATGTGGCAGGACAGGTGGTTGGTCTTTGCACGCGAGCTATTACAGCAGCAGAATCCGTGCTGGCCAGAGCCGGCTCAGCAACGAGGCTCAGAGCCAGGAAGACGGATGCAATTTGCCATAATTGACTCATCCTGTCTGCCAGGGCTCCGTAGAAAATAAGAGATGGAAGAAATGAAGGAGTGGATTCACCTGGGCAGTCCAAACGTGACAGTACCGAGGAAACAAAATGTGAAATGACAAACGATTGAAGAATTGGTGTCGGACACCACTATAAGAGCCACCCTCTCGGATAAAGAGCGTCGTTACCTATTTGAAAGTTGACACTTGGGGACTCGTCGGGTTTTATATTTCCCTCTGGGAGGCTACACCCGAGGTCGATTATGCATTGATCATGCTACTCAACCGATCTGTGCTGTTGCGAATTACTCTTTGTCAAAGGCTTGCAATCCTATCGGTAATGTTATCAACCGATGATGCCACTTTTGGGAAAACTAATTCTCCTCGGCAAGGCTCTTCCATACTACTACTCCACTCCCCCTTAATAAGAAGAGAGTGAGGCTTTTGACGGAATGAAATGTTTGTTTCATCGGCACCGCCGACGAGTGGGACTTGGCACTTGAGCGAGCGAGAATTTTCGGATCATATCATACTTGGTATGTTGACTGGGTCAATCCCTTATGGATGATTTCTCCCGGACCACCCACGTGCGGGATATCCCGAAGTCACAATGTGGATCTGATAGTAGCGCCTAAATAAGTGGCTGAAGGAGGGACGTCTAGTGACCAAGCGCATCCTTTGACTTATCAATTCAAGTCCCGCGTGGTACATTAGGGCCAAGCTAAAAAATCCTTTGATAGTATGTTAGTCGCCACCGTTTTACTCACGGATCCTTCATAGAAATACTCCGAGTCTATCAATCCAAGGGATCATCTAGATAAACATGAAGCTACAAGAAACTCTGAATATTGGAAATCCTCACGATTGCCGTTATGCTATAGTTCAGTTAACAAAAACATTGAATAGGTATGCCATTATTTTACATCTTGTGCTGCACTATTGGTAAGGATGGGGTATCGATGGCAGACCCACCCATTTTGACTCCCCCTGTTCGACCGTCGGTATTTCCCCTAATCTCCGAGGGTGGATTCCCTATCACGCTATACAGAAAAAAAAACAGTTTTCATCTACTCTGTAGTAATCCTATTCACTAAAATTGAATTTGCCATTAGCTCTCTCAGGAGGAAGAAATGTAAGATTTTAGCTCTGCATAAAGTAGATATCCACTGCTCTACTTGTTTATATGCAAGTCCATCCCGGCACGAAAAATCCTACAGCAATTAACTTCGCATTTCCTATCTTTCTCAATTTCTCTCTTTGATTGCCCTGAAACTCTTATTGCCTTCGAGTCAGCTCTAGCCGGACTGGCACCCTCTGCCAATAAAGTGATGCTCACAATGGGTACCACGTCTCTTTGGCTCATCATTGGTTTGATGATGAGCCGGTCCGTTAGCGCTTTAAGCAATATTGGATATTTTGATTTCCCTACTGGTGCTGGAGAATGCACAGGCAACGAGGATGTTCTGGCAGATTTTATGGCGGATGCCAAAGATTTGTATGATGGTATGGTGGCGGCAATGGACCTTGTCTCGGATGCCGCTTTCAGTACCGAGGAGGAATATGCTGATTACTATGTGGCTCGCCAACTCCTTTTGGGTTGGTTCGGAATTACCTTTGATGATCATAGCAATGTCGTCGACAATGCTGAATCCTGGGAAATTCTCCAAGGTAGGAATGAAAAGTCTTATCTAGCAATGATTGAGTATCGCTAAGGGCCTCGCAGAAACAGCTGATCGGCTCTTCGACTTCTTCAGAGATGGAGACGGAGATTTGACCGCTCCGACTTACCCCGCCAACTTATTTTGTGAGGGCTCAATGGGGAACTTTTTCGATTGGAGTGCAGTCGCATTAGACGTCGACGAAAATAACATCATGGTTGAAGACCAAGGAGTATCAATTGAGACTCTGTACCCCACGATCTACGCTCAGCGCAATTCAGCGTCAAGCTCTTTTGGAACAATCAAGCCTTATTATCTATCAAGCATGAACAGATACATCTTCATGGGCAATCAGATCGATCAGGACATTTGCGCTACCACATTGAATGGGGGTGAAATGTATGGGCTTACCATGCCTGGATATGTTGCTTCGGAAACTACGACAACAGTGACAGACGCAGCCGAGGGTCCCGTGGAGGTTGAACTGACGTATGACGTTATGGCAGACACTGTCTTGATCTGTCCCAACATTTTGACTGGAACCGTGTTCCAATATCTCACTCTAGCAGACATGACCGCCGGAACTGCCATTGAACCTGGTTCAGGAACAGGATTGAATACAATCGTGACCAGCTCCTCCACCATGTTTCATGAATTGATTCATCTTACTACTACCTGGACGTCCGACGACTCGATCAATCCTCATGTCGTGGTTGATTATACATGTAAGTTTCTCTCTTCAAGCCTTTCTATATTTACCTGACAGATGAAACTAATCATCCGATAAGACGACGTTGGCGAGGCCGTGCAACTAGCGGAGGGAATCCTTGAAATCCCCAATGATCCAGATGAGGTGTATGATGCCGTGTACGCTGCTCTGAATGCCCAAAACTATGTATTTTTCGCTACCGCATGGTACAACTGGAAGAATAACCCAGTCTCATCGGATGACGAATTGTCAGCTGCTGTGTTTTTCGCCGGTCTTCCGGAGGTCTGGTACTGGCCTATAGCCAGCGAAAAGAAAGCTTTTAAGGATGCTGGGTTTTGAGCTTCTTAAAGTTTTGATGCTGCCAGTGCCTCGGGTTCGAAGTTCGAGGACAAACATTGAATTTACCTGATCTACTGTATACTGGGAAGTCGTCTGAAAATTAAACCTTGGAACCAGCGACCTCTGAACCCGAGCGAAATGTTCAAGTTATATTTTTTAGGATACAAATTTCATTATAATTCAAGGTTTATTGAATTGCACCCTTATTTCTCATGTTTATTGAATCAGTCATAAAGATTTGCCTGTGAAACCAAATCTCCACTACTGAAAGACATCATGATCCAAATTTTATTGATTTCCAGATTGTAAAGAAATCGCATATTGATCAATGCAATTGTGCACCTGGGCAATTGAAAGTCATTTACTTCCACTGGAGTATTACTTTGTTTGCGCAAACTAAGAGCCGAGGTAAAGCTTCCTCCGGCCGGAGCGAGAGATTAGCTCCATTTTCCCATGTGTCTATCTCCAGATCTCCATTCGCACGTGGAATTTCCAGCTTAATTTTGAGGGCTAACGGGAAATAATCCCTATTCTTAGCAGGCATTAGTGAGGCTTATGGCTGAACGAACTAATGCAGCCAAAGCCTGAGGTAGGGGTATATGCCCCACTCCACGTGCCCTTCTACCCTTCTGGATCCCTTCATTTACATTAAACTTGAAGATTGCAGAAGGTAGTGGTCGTATAGGCTAGTGTACAATCAAGCCTGCTGTACCTCTCTGGATCGATCACCATGCAGTATCTCTCGCTTTTGCCCGACGGCTAATGGTGATTCTTCTTGATACTGTGCCTAGCTTGATCAACCCCATGGTGCTGTCTAATTCTGAATACAAATAACGTCCTCGGTCCCAGGGGCGGTGTCTAGCGGTGCTTAGCGGTGCTTAGTGATGCTTAGCGGTGTTCACTAGTGCCTCCTGGTGCTTAGCGCTTCTTAGCGCCTCTTAGCCGGCGAATTTCCAAACTCCGGGAGTCAGGGTAAACAGCGGGGCTAGGAATGGAAGCGATCATTGGCGTTGCCCCTAGTGGATGGGGAATTTGCAAACACGGGATTTTCCGACGAAGCCGTGCAGAACGACTGTCTACTCCCTATTTGGTATCGAGTGCGCGCCCTGCATATGAACGGACCAAGATGGTAGTTATCGCCGTAGTTTGTCCGAGTTCTATCCCGTGGGGTCTTTACGACCCCACGCTAGTGAGCTTCGTCCCTTGAACATGCCACTTACCACCGGCACGCATAGTTCTTGCCCCCTTCCACGAATATGGACCGGCGTATTCCACATATTGAACTTCCTATTCGAGAGACTTAACAGCTTCTATTTTCGCCCATCGGCTAAAAATGCTCTCAGCCTCCCTGTTAATGATTTTTAGGGAGGTACGGACTACGCGGGATCCGAATGGCTTGTGTAGTTAAGTTCGTTTCATAACTAGTGACACCCCCTACTTCTCACCGTTTACGCATATCCGGAGAACTGACTCGCACAACTATTTCCTGCATTGGAAATTTCGTGGGGCTACGTTCCCTTGGCGTTGAGCCTGAATACCTATCAGAAAATCCCTTCGCAGGACTCGTGACCAACTTTCCTGTATTGTGGAAAGAGGAGCCATGTGAGTACCAGGGCATCCTTGCGAGCCGGTTAATTAGGCTCAAGTGTTCCTTGACGGGGTGCACGCCTCTTCAGGAAATAAGGTATCCACGCGGAAGCCACCGATGAGTGATGATATTGTCGAAGGATGCGCGATCTATCTATTAAAGAGGGGAACCGTGAGGCAGTGTATTCGAGATACACGGGTCGATCCAGCTAGACTGAAAGAACAACACCAACCAACAAAGACAATGTGTCCGGACTACCCGTAGGGTGTGTATTGTCTTCTAGTATCGAACGCCAATCTTGTACGTACAATAACACAACATAACGTAAGGAATGAACAGTACCGAAATATCATACCCGTACGGTACGCGTAGTAGGGGACAGGGTACCCCACTACAATATGTATAGATGTCGGATCATGACAACACTATCTATCACTCGAATCCGGATCCTGTGGATTGGGAATTTTGGCTTGTACCGGAAGCGCTTAGCGAGGACCTATCCGTTTTTCCAAAGGGAATTGATGCATAGAAAAAACACTATACATTCATATTGGATAGATACTTGTTCAATCAATATATAAATACCAATCCAATCATCCAGTAGGATGTGGAAGAATAAAGGAGAGCAAATATATCGAAGCTGTTGCCCAAGGGGGTGATGCAGAAGTTGCGGAATCGGGCCTACTTTGTTTCACAGGAGTTGTGAAATATGTACCAGCTACCTGGAGGCTATTTATTTGTTTCATTGTGGAATTAAGTTGCAGCATTGTTAAAAAATGTGACGTGTTCTGACCGTAGATATCACCGTACACTCCACCTTCTTCTCCGGGTCTCTTCCCCAAGCACCTACCGCTGATAAGCATTTCCCCATTTTCCATATTGTAGGAAAGGCTATGTATGAATTATGATGATACGGGTTGCATGAAGACTACTCACCTAGGCATGTGATTTGGTAGATTAGTAAAGCTTGTTGTTGACCACCTGGGCACCTGGGCAGGGCTCCAGGTTTCGCGGAACCTCCGTGGATCACGATAAACACCGCCCTGTGGGCTCTTCAAGTCTTCATCTATGCCACGCATGCTACGGACTAAGTAGATTTCCAATTCTCAATTGATGTTGTAGTTACAGAACGGCATAAGTAAAAAGCGGCACTCCCAGAATATCATGAGACTTTCCTCAGGCTTCCTATGTCTGGAATGCTGATTGTTGTACCATCAACATAAAGACTTAGCACATAGTTCGATATTATTTGGAGAAAGTCACTTCTTGAGCAATGATGGCAATTAAAAACATAGCGAGGAACCTTGGAAGTCAGCAATGAAGCTGTATCACTAAGAATATACTAGTCAGTATCTGATGCTTCGACTCAAGTGCTCCGATTCCATCGATGTAAATTTGAGAACTTGATTTAGTTGGAGTGATTATAAGCAAGATAGAAGATCCGAGGTGCATGAAATGTGCATGTGCGGAAAATAGCTATCTGAGTTAAAGAGTAGTATTGGGACTCTGGCCAAACTGCGATCGCCGTGTAATTTGCTGAGGTATTTTGTATTTGTAGAGCCGCCTGATAAGGTTTTTCTTCTTCTTTTTTTTGGCAAACATTTTGACTCTAATCATTATATCATAAACATGAATTTGTGTGTTTGTAAGGACTAGTAACAACTTGATTAGGGGTGAGTCAACTTCAAATATTCAAAATGTTTGAAATACGGATGCCTACTTGCTTCTAATATTTGCTATTATGTAGTATTACCTACATTTCTTAGCGGTCAACTGGTAGTTATAAATTATAACGAGCACTCTACCACTAGCACTAGTGTTGGAAGTTTCTATCTAAGAACTCGAGGATAGACCACAGATTGAGAATGCCCATATTGATCTCAAGGACGCCATCTGATTTACTGATGTGGTTTCTCAAATCCGAACGGCTCAAGCAGACCGCGGCTACAATTTGTCGCGTACAGGGGCCCTTTGAGGGAAGGGTGGCGAGGGCAGCGACGACGGTCCTGTCCTCCATGATCCGGTTCTCAATCTCGCCCAACTCGATCCTGAATCCCCGCAACTTGACTTGCGTATCACTTCTCCTGATGATGCAAAACGTACCATCTGGGTTTTATCGTGCGAGATCGCCAGTCTTGTATAATCTCTTATACGGACTGGCGGGATTGAAGTCTTCTAGCCACTTCGGCGCTGATACGAACGCCTTGTTGGTTGTGGCAGGATTATTGAAATATCCACTCCCAAGAAGTGCACCCGATAGCAACGAGTCTATGATGGTTGTTGGCATTGACAATCCACATTGTCCCTTCAATTAATCTACCGATGTCTGCGGGATGAGCGTCCACCGAGGCGTTTAGATTTCCAGAGCAGTATACAGCCGTCTCAGACGGTCCATAACCAGCAGTGAGATTTAAGGGGTTGGCCCATCTTGAGATTGTCTCCTTAGTGACTGGTTCTCTTCCCAGTACAAGGGTCTTCAGTGTCGGGGCTTGCTCTGGGGGAATGAGATTGGCAACCGTGGGCACCACCAGCGCAACGTTCACATTCAGTGCCGTGATTGCTGCTGCGAGTTTATTCGTTCTGTGAGCTTCGAATGGAACACAGATACGGCCTCCAAATGCGAGAGTTGTACAAAATTCCGTCATGGAAATGTCGAACGTGTGCGCGGCAACCTGAAGGGTCCTCCATTCAGGACTCGCACCGAAAGCCGGACCATGGTGTACGATCGAGGTGGAGAAGGCGGAGTGTGATATCAACACTCCTTTTAGTTTCCCGGTACTTCCAGATGTGAATAGCAGATAAGCGATGTTTGCTGGTTGCACTCTCTTCCTGATGCGCTCGGGCAATCCTGTCTTATCAGATGATGGTTGAGGGTTCTCGACTTCGATGATGGAATTGAAAAGCCGCCTGAGCACCCCAGCGCTCTGTTTGGATGCTACTGCTACCTTAATCTGCACTGTATCAACGATTTCGAGGATCCGGCCACGAGGGTGTGCAGGATCAATGGGAGCACATATGCCCCCAGCCTTGAAAACAGACAGGATGGTAACGGCCATCCAACCGGATTTCTCAAAGCACACGGCGACTGGCGTTTCTAGTTCCACCCAAGCTCTACAAGACGAAGGGCTAGTGAAGATGAGAGGTCATCAACCTCCGCATAGGTCAAGCTGCATCGGTTAAAGATTGTAAAAGGTATTTGTATATAGATCTACTCCGCAGTGTGACACTCCATGACTGATTTTTGTTTCATTGTAAATCCATCACTGACATAGACCTAGAAGTCTAGCTGTAGCCATTCCTGGTATTTCCGACAGCATTGATCGCCATGAGGAGTTTGGGTGCTTGCCTAAACAGGGTATGAATATCCCGACGCGACGCGACACACACGCACACGCACGTAATAGCTCCAGCATTTTACAGGGAATGATCAACTAACAGGTATTAGTATCATGCTGATTTCGATAATCCTTTGCCTCAAGATGACTGGGTCTGGGGTGAAAAGATCTCCACTTGTGGTGCTCTAAGTTGATATTGCGACCTGCTTGGGCATCATGGCAAGCTTGAATAGCCCGACACAAACAGCCGTTGCTTCCCAAATGACAGCAATGGATATTAAAAAGGATGAAGAGTTTGTCATTCATGGTCCGACCGAGCCATCTCTGCAGAATTTGACGATAGGGAAGTTGCTTCAACAGCAGATTGATCAACACCCGGATAAGCTTGCAGTGGTATCGAGATGGCAGAATGCAACTCTGACCTACCAATCCCTCTTTGACTCGAGTCTTGATATATCGCAAGCTCTTCTGGCTCATGGAGTGCGTCCATCAGATTGAGTAGTCATCTTGGCAGAAAACTCCCTGGAATATGTACAGTTATTCTTAGGGGTTGGCGGACTTGGATCCGTCTTTACCATTATTAATTCCACTTTTACTGCCGAAGAGGTTCTTTCTACGATTGATTTTATAGGTTGGGCCTGTTTCTTTTGATGTCAGAGTGCACAAAAATGCGAAATATTTGGCTAAATGGGATGTCACAGCCCCAAAGGCGATTTTTTTGGCCGACAGAATTGGGTAGCGCAATAAAAACCCCCCTTCTAAAAGAGATTGCGGACAAATACCAGGGTACCGCGCTCATTTTACAACTGGGCACAACCGAAAAGGTGTCGAGTGATTTCCTTTCTTGGGACCAGTTTCGCCGTGTGGATCCGAGTAAGATCTATCCTGATTTGCATTCTCTGGACAAATATTGGACACAGGGGGATTCTCATATCCCGTTATTTATCCAATTTACCAGTGGAACAACCGGTCCTCGCAAGGCTGCAATGCTTAAACATCAGTTCGTATCCAACCTGAAGTTCGTTATGTGAGACATCGGATTATATTTTGACTAACGGCAATGCTTACCTGATTGGGTGTCGACTTAGTTTGACACCAGAGGATATTTTATGCTGCTTTCCTCCCTTGTTTCATTGCTTTGGCTTAGTGTGCAGGCCCTTGGCAATGATGATGCATGGATGTACAACCATTATTCCATCAGAAATTTTCAACGCTGAGGCAAGCCTTCGTGCCTCATCGGAGGAAGGGTGTATAGTCATAAATGTAGTACCTACCATGTTCCAAGCTATGCTTACTCATTCGAAGACTCTGGCCTCTCCATTAAAACTTCAGCTTCGAAACGGCATCATCGCTGGATCAAGTCTTGCCGAAACTCTGATACGTAAACTTGATAATGAGTTCGAATTGAAAGGGCTCGCCTATGCATTTGATACGTCTTTTGATGTTTATTATCTTTGAAACAGAGCCAAAAATACTGTCATTTCTAGGTATGACGGAGCTTTCCTTTATCAGCTTTTTGACCGACCCCTCTAAGGTTTCCTTGTTATATGATCGGTCATCTGTCGGCACTCCTCTATTCCACACCTCCGCCAAAGTCGTGGACAGTGACTTGAAAATAGTTCCAGCAGGGACCCGGGGAGAGCTTCTCGTATCTGGATATCTCTTGTTCAGCGGATATTACAAAAATCAACCGGAAACAGATAAAGCGATTTTCAGGGATGCCAAGGGGCAGCCATGGCTCAGGACTGGTGATATTGTAACCTTAAGCAAATCCGGCGCTTGTATGGTTGTGGGAAGAGTGAAAGATTTGATCAAGAAGGGTGAGAGGAATATCTTTGAGTAGGTCCTTTCGTTCATTCTGCTAATGGTTTTCCCCTTCTAGGAGGCGAAAGTATTGCCCCAACAGACATTGAAAAGATTCTCGAGCAGCATCCAGGCATTGCTGCAACCGCTATCACTGGAGTTCCAGATGCTCGCTGGGGCGAGACCATCGCCGCGTATATTCAGCGAGGGGAGGAAATCGAGATGAACTTAAAAACCAAGGACATCAAAATTTGGCTGAGGAACCGAGTGACCAGCCATAAAATTCCTGATCATGTTTTCTGAATTGGGAGCAAGCAGGAGTCCCACATGAGTTACCCATAAACGCCAGTGGGAAGATTCTGAAGACTGAGCTAAGTATCATTGCAATTGGGTTGCTGAAAGGCAAGGCGATGTGGGAATAAGTACTTCCTTCCAATAGCTAGATCAACCTAGGGATTTGCACAAATGACATACTTGGAGAAAAAAAAATAAGGAAGTACTCAATTTAAAATATTCACATGTGCAGATGCAAGATCGTCCTGTTCAGACATGCCTGCCTACGACCCTGGTGCGCTTGTTATATTTTGCTGTCGTTGTATTTCTCTCTCTCTCTCTCTCTCTCTCTCTCTCTTAGATAACATCCATCCCCGTCTTTTTTGATCTCCTTTTCTACTTAGACTGTTAAGATACGATTTGATTGATTGCTGGCCATTTCGGAAAATCTATTACCCTTTTAGGTAATACTTGGCTCAAATTTCCCAGACATGGTTAACGAACCTCCTGGTAATAAAGTAAGAATTAAATAAAATGAGATCTTAGGAGGTAAAAGTCTATGTTTGATTAAGTATAGAATAACAGGAGTTTATATACAATCAAACATAAAGACATCAGGTGATGTGCGATCATAACAGTAACATGATGTAAGCAAGGAAAGATACATGGTAATCTTGGGGCGAATATCACAATAGGCTATCTTCTATAGTCGTAAATCTTTTCTTATAGTAATAAAGTATTCTATAAAGGACTTTAGGAGTTATAGGATAGGATTAGGCTTCTTTTTTATAAAGTTAGTATTAGCTATTTTATTATAGGATAGTCTCTATCTATGTCACAGGCTGAATCCCTGAAAGAGTACAGGCCTTGCCTGTACAAAGCTCAACCATCCACGTGACCCATATCGTTCCTCCTCTTCCTTGACGATCGTGCCCGAAGTCTACTTCTTCTCCTTAAGCTTCTTTTTGTACACAGTTCGTGGTCCGAGTAGATTGAATCAAGTCCGCTTCTGCCCTTCACAGTATTAGATTAGAGTAGTACCTAGTGGTTAGATAAATTAGGAAGATATTGATGATAAGTTAGGGAGTATTAAATACTTTCTAATATAATAAGAACTAATACTTAAAGAACTTGGAGCCCTGGCTTACTAGGGCCTAACGATATATTGGATGCCCTATAGTTTGTTGTCTGACAGTCTGAGGTGTCCCATGCTTACAGGATTACCTGATAAGTACTATAATAGCTAATATTACTAGTATTTACCCGAAATACTATATTTAGCTTAGAAGCCTTCTATCTATTGATAGTCTATATAAGCCTATAAATATTATATCTATATGAGGTAAGAAAGCACTAGTACCAACACCTATTCTCTTAGCCTATAATAATTAAATAACCACGGCCTCTAGATTTTTAAAGACTTTTCTCCTCGATAAGACTACCAATTTACTATATGCTAGAGTCATCTCTAAATTTCTTAAAGACATCATATTGTATATACTGTTAGGGTCTGATGTGAACTTTGGGGTCGGGCTCAACGCGATTAAAGAGCGTTTGCTAACGGATAATCCTATCTACCCTTAGTATCAGTGTGAGAGAAAGTGCCAGATTAGGGTGGCACCTGGTGGTTAGGTGAATCAGAAAGATATCGGTGACAAGTCAGGTAGTATTTAGTACTTTCCAATACAATAAGAACTAATACTTGAAGAACTTGGAACCCCGGCTTACTGGGGTCCGATTAAGTACTGGATACCCCGCAGTTCGTTGCCTAAGGTGCTCCTGTGATTACAGGATCAACCTGACAAGCACCGTGACAATCAGCCTCTTACTACTAGGGTATGGGTTATAATAAACACTTTATAGTTCATGTCACAGCCATGCCTCACGTTCACGATTCTACAAAATACTTTATGGTTGATATTGAGATACAAAACATCCAAAGGTCTATGAATCCACTCCAGATTCTTTCGGATACATGAAGCTATATGCGCAGCGAAAAGGTCAGGTTGATTCCTCACAACGGTTACTAAGTGTTCAGCCCTCATTGCATTGCATTCTTTCCCTCTTTCCTTCATTGATATATACCGTCTTTTTATAGTGTTCAGATATCTTGCTTGTTGAAGCTTCGTTCTGTTCATGTGCTACCGTGCTAACCACGCCTATCAACAAGTCCGACAACTAGATTTCCTCCCTCCTCATATCCCACAATACGCGAAATGCATCAACCACGCTCCCCGCTCAATGATTCCACTTATCCACAAACTTGATAATCTTTCTCGCGGTGACGCTCCGCTCAAACCTGTCGAGGACATCAACAAACAAAATGCGTACAAGATGCCGATTCTCGGGCAAAACAACAAAGAAAGCCTCAACTCGATGTTTTACATCGTTGTTAGATAAATCACCAGCCTGTGGGCATCTGAGCAAGCGAACTTCCAAAGTTGATTGCGGCGAGCTCTCCAGGCGGCCTAAAATTATCTGCCACTGGAGAATACCGTATTCCTCTATTTGCATGAATGTTTCGATATTATCGAACTCAAAATAGCAGCCATACCACTTGAAGCTGAAGCGATGGTCGCGCCCGTGCATACGTAATATACGGAGGTATTCCCGATCAGCCTCGGGGACGATAGCAGAGGCCGAATCCGGGAGGGGATGAACGGAGCCGATATCACCAGTGTTATAACGTATCAGCGGATTGCGCAGTCTTTGTAGAGATGTCTGTACAATGACTCCCGTTTCGCCTGGTGGGACCGGAGTCAAATCGCACTGAGCTGTATCATCTATGTCGGAGGGTGAAATGATCTCGATCAGCATGTTGCGAGTGTCGAAGATAAAATCGGTGCTGCATTGGGTAGGGCTCTGCTTGCCCGTTAGGTCAGGGCTGCTGATTGCCCAGGGGCCCGCTTCCGAACTACCCATAATGGAAAAGATCTTAACATCGCCCAGGACCGTCTGAATGAACGCCCGCTGGGGGCTGTTGAGTGGCTCTGAAGTGTAGATTATCTTTTCCAGATGAATACGATCACGATGGTCCTGAGGCAACATCGAGATTTGATGAACGACTTGAATGACCTGACACCCGTCGCCTGTCAACACATTGACATGATAATCAGCGAGAGATTTTACAACTTCGGTAGGTGGCATGTAGCTGCCTGCGCTCAAAACAGTTGCTCCAGCATTTTCTATAATCTCAGTCGTGAGATCGAGGGACCTGATAACTTCCAGATTAGCAAGCTGAGTCTTTTTCACTTCGTGGCCTGGATTCACGTACCTGTAGAAACCCCCGGACAAATGGGTGGAGAGCACCCAATCACTTGGCTCGATGATACCACAAAGTTTGATGAAATTCCCCATTTGAGCTCTCTGTTGACGGTTCTCGTGTACGTCCACGGCAAACATCATGGGGAGTCCTCCGGACCCACCACCAGTGATGGACATATAGGAGCTCCGCCGATATGTATTCAGAGGGTCCATATCATGGACCAGCCGCTCAATCACCTTGTACCTGAAGCAAGTTAGACTACCCGCAGGATATTGTTCAGAGATGCTGATATTTTCTTACAGTTTTTTCTTGGTAAGCAATGCCTGCTCTTGGAGAACGGGCTTCGATTGTCGGTCAATTAACTCCCGAATTTCTTCGATCCTTTCAGTATCAGCAGGATAAACAGAATCTGGATTGTAAAAAGGGTGGATTTTGGCCACCGCAACTATGTCTGCCAATTGGTAACGTTCTGTAGCCATTTTGCAAAGTGCTCTGCCAAGGAATAAATTCGGATTTTAGATGTCAGGCTAGTTCCAAGCTTGTTTTTAATAGTGTTTTGCGGGAAGTATCGCAATTGAGACGGGGAAAGAAAGAAGACTTTTTGGACAAACAAGTCTATAAATATTGAATCAAGTGGAAATGGGAGAGAAAGAGGGGATGAATACTCCGTAGGTAAAAATCAGATGTATCGAATCCATGTTAATTTTGATTATTTCATGGTTGTGCTGCAGTTACCAACTAATACGGTACGTGGAGAAGAGCGATACGCGTTCTATGTAAACAATAAATAGCTCCGCTCTAATGTATTGTCACCTGCAGGCTGCAAGTCTCGAAATTTGAAAATACTACTATGGCGTCCCCCACATATGCACTCTCAGTGCTAGCACCACTTCGGCTTCAACGCTGCTCACCATGGAAAAAGCAATTATCTGATCATACTAGACCTCTGGTAACAATATGTGACATTTGTACAATTGTTGTTTATACATATAATGAAATGGCTATTAGGAAATACCGAAAGGTTTTGATACGAGGGACCATTGATTCATAGTGGCGATGAATGGTCCAGATGTGACGTCGGTTCAACTTGAACTGGCATCTATATAGTTGAAAAATGAATATCGTTTGCCGAGAGAATGTCTCAGCTTCGAGTCGTCAAAATACATTGCTCGCCTCACTCTCTGCTTGGAATATGTTCGCTTCCTTGTCCAGCTTCGACTTCTAGACTAGGTAAATGACTGTGTAGCTATTGGAAAATCCATTAAAATGGGAGGCGGCAGAGGTTGTATAAGCTGTATTTTTCTGATTATTAGCCGATATTGGGCTCAAATTTGTTTGTATCATGCTGCGCCACATTGGATTTTCTCACTGAAAGTGAGTGGCGCATATGTGGTGAGACTTACCTCCCATATCTTCAAATCTCAGCCAATCTCCGACTATGATCTCCTGATTCATGACCAAATCCTTGGAAATGCAATCCATACTATCGCATGTTGGGCCCCAAATAGATTATCGACGAGGTTTCCAATCGCGCGGAGCAGCGGCTGAATCCCCCGCGACTCAATCAGCGCGGGCGTGAATTCTCTTCCTCGGTCCATTTCGAGCTGAAGCATCCGTAAAGACCATAATTTAAATACAGCATATCTGGTAGCTTCGACGTGCAATGACTTGGCAAGCCATTTTATAGACACTACTGGCATAAAACCGTCCTGGTTCAGCAATCAACGTTATTGGACTCGAGAATTCACCAGCAATCGCCTCTCTGAAGGAGTATGCCATAGTCTCGCAAATGTGATCCCCGAAGCCGCCACCAACGTCCAATATTTGCATGTCAAAGCCCAGTGATTCTCCGTCGTCGAAGGCATATTTAGCGTGCTGGACTGCTGTAACGAACGCATTGGGATCTGTCGCCCCAGATCCTGCTTCGTATCAGATTTTCTGAAAAGTTCATTCACAAGGGCAACGCCAAGACAGCAGAGTTGGATGAAGGGAGAAAGAGCCAATAAATACCTATGTGAAAGCATATGCTGACGACTGTCAGTTCTAAACGACGAGCCTTTGGAGCAATGTTCTTGCAATCTTTATTGGTGCTCCGAACTTATCCCCCAAAGAGACCTTGGCAGTGTGATCTTGTACATAGATCCGCAGTAGCAGCTTCAGCTCCGGACCAATTCTCTTGATCTTGTCCAGCTCGTCGAAATTGTCAAACGTAGTCCACCGGATCCCTCACCGCGCAGCTATGTCTAACGCGGATGGTGCTTTGCAGGGATGAGCGAAGACAATTCGACTCTGGTCAATTCCCATATCCAAAACTTGTTCGATCTCTCCACTGGAGGCGCAACCAAAGTTCACTCCCATATCGGCTAGCAGCTGCAGGAGTTTGCGGTCCGGATTGCATTTGACAGCTGAGATTTTGACAGTCTTGCTGTCAGTGCTCGGGCGATGTAGATGACAGATGACTGACCGTAGAATGGGTTAAATATTCGGCAATGCATTTCTCTATCTTCGATGTTGCTGAACGACTTTCTCTGTATCTGCCACAAAGATGGGGAGGTCATTTTCGCGCCCGCATGGGGTTTTACGGAAGGATTGGAAGTGAGCGTGGATCGCATCGCCAATAGCTTGCTCCCTGATGGATGGTTCGTAGCTTCCTATTGCACATCTGTCTTGAAATCTTCAAGTTTATTTCGTTTCCCTGTACCTAGTATCAAGGGCAAACTTGAATGTGCCCGTGTCACTTTAAGTTCCCGTTACTAGTATATTTCCGTATTCTCCTTGGTCGTCCGAAACATGGGAAGTTTTATATATGTACTCCATACATCTGGATGTGGGATGTTGTTCAAACATTTTTTTATTTTTGTACATATTATTTATTTCTCGGTATGTATTTCATGCAACCGAATGTAAAGATGCGAAAAAAACATTGATTACTGTACTCGCGCAAAGGGCCTTGACTGTTAATTTGGTCAGCAGGATTGCAAGGTGCAGCCTTCGAAGTTGGAGGTACACTAATTTTCAGCCACATGTGCAGCTGGCCTTGAAATTAGAATGCTCGTATGGATTCGCTGGCTAATCTACAATACAATTCAAAGTCTCTGTGCAACACCGTCGCTGTTTTCCAACCTTGGAAAGTTACCATTGGCAATACGAAGTCCACGGGTACGGCCCGACCCTTGTAACTTGAATTGAACCTTAACCTAGGGACGTGCACGATCCCGTATTGTATTGTATGTAAGGTTTCTTTTCACCAATGCTCACCCCAGCTGAACACATGCATATCCCGACCCTGCAGAATGGAATAGATTGAATTCTTCCTCTAGGCTGAGTCCGTGTTCAATTTTCACTCTGTTGATGGTATGTACTCCAGCCGATGATCTTCTTAGCTGCTTCAGTGGCTGGGAACTAGCGAAATGCTGCATGTGGTGAGATCGACTGAAAATTTGGATTCAATGTTCCAATCTTCGGTTTAATCTGTGTTAGTTTAAGCGAAGTAAGCTCAAGCAATGCATGTCAAGCCTCCCATGTAACATGAGAATCCTTGGCACCTGCAGGGATGGCGACATGCAGGAGGTATTAACGAAGGAGATTTATCTGATTAATATAGCTGCATACATAGATGATCTCAAGGGTCATTCTGCCTCGTTTATTGTCAACTAGTACAGCGGCATGTACGGTACTTTCGTCTTTCCTGCTCCATGGCCAATGGGAAGCCTCATATGTGCTAGGGGAACGTGCGCAGGGTGAGACATCGAAGTCCGACAGCGGCTAGCGACCAACCTCAGCCCAGCAAAAGCAAACATAGGAGATCGGATTCACCATAAATGTGAGTTCCAGCTACCTGGGTGTATTGGCGGTGGAGTAGTCGCCGTGGCAAACTTGGGTGCAACGCATTCAAGTTGGAAATAGCTCACCGTCCCTCACTCGATCTCTCACTGACTCATTCTAATACCAACTTGGTCGGCTGGCATACCCCTATCAAAATGATTGTTTTCATTTTTGGATCGCAGGATTCAATGTCTGGGCGTATTTTGTTGGACTGCGAGCGAATTTGACATTATCCACGGAGTACTCCGTACACAGCTGCGCCTGCATGCAGCTGAATCTGTTCCTTCATTCAATCGTTCCTGAAGGGGGCAAAGATCTCCAGCTAAACAGGTGGAACGCCAAATAACTGATTGGCTACTTGCTGGATTTACACTATGGACTTTGCGATTTACGATTGATAATGTGAATTTGCCATTGCTCTGATGGCTCTACGGTCTCGTCAGGATCATTTGTCACATCCTCTTTGCACATTAATGAGACATGCCGAAGAAATATGTGCATTGCTTAAGTTCAATTTGGTATGCCACTATTCTCCTTCACTGAGCAAATCCATGTTGCGCCATCAGATACAGCGCACAGCCTCCCGGGACTACATCGCCAAGTGCCCAGTCCCAAGTACTCTCCGTTGGCTGCATGGTAGGTTCCAACCATATGGCATCGCTGTGACTTGCCTTCGGTCAACAGTACGTCATATTTTGGTTGATCGATTTGGCGCTGTACAACGTAAAGAGTCTTATCTCTTTCCAATTTTGGACATCGCATCTGCTCCAGCAGTGCTAGCCAGTCGGAGGATGCGAGTTCATCACCAAACAGAATACCAGCTCCCTTGCCCCCTCTAATTGGCTTCAAGATGTATCCGTTATGCAAATTCTCTTGCGCCTTGCAAGCGGCGATAAACTGATCAAGGGCACGGGAGCCTGGCAGGATGGTCGGTGTTATGCCTCTGTAAAGACGCTCGGCTTGTTTCGGAGTGATGGTCTTTCTGTAGACCAGAACCTCCAGCTCTTCCCGTACAAGACCAAGCATTCTCTTATCATGAGCAAGAAACATTGTTCGCATGTCATTAAAGCATCGAACACTGATCTGGCGTCTTATTTCTGGGTCAAGAGCGTTGATTTCATGTTGGTGAAGTTCGAGGCCAACTTGACGGACCTCTTCCACAATTTCACCAGAATCGGTGGTAATAGTATCAGTGGCGCCAACTTGGGCAAGACAGTACAATTTGAATCCAGAACTACTAGAGGAATCCGGGATAATTCGTAGTATTTCTGGAGTTATGAGTCGGGGTTTAATACCAAGTCGCTTCTTGGCGAATTCGATAAACATGAAAATGTCGATTCCGTGTTCCTTGGCCTTGATCAAATGCAAGGGTAGCTTGTTGTCGAATAGCTTGAATAACCCTCGGGGAATCTAGAAAAGTCAACATCAACTTCGTCCAAATAATAGGTCACCCTCGTTCTATTTCCTTACCGATTCACCATCGACGCAGTGTACTAGACCCCGAGACTCAAGATCAAATTCCGAAAGGGAGTCTTGACCAAAACCACCATGCATAAAGCCATTGAAGGAAAACCTAGCGTTTATTTCGCAGATACGAAAGGCTTCCAGACCAGTTTCGTCAATCTCCACTAAGAAGTCTGGTCTCCAGGATCCTTGCCTCTCATTCCACGGTCTGAAAAGAGAGGGTTTGGAGTAGATCCACTTTCGCAAGGACGAATCATCAGTATCCATATTACAATGGCCAGGTACCCTAGGTGGAGGAAGGTGATGACTTACACGCAAGAGATCTTCTTCTCCGGGTTCCAACGGCATCCGCTGGGGAAACTGAGCTTGTTCATCGCTCCACCATCGCTCGATAATATCTTCAATTGCCAGATTCAAGGCCCGATGCAATTCTGACAACTCCTCATGATGCCGTTCAGTGATTAATACGGGGTGAGGACACGATGCAGCCAGCGATCCAGCGGGCCAAGAGGACGAGCATTCTTTTAGTCTGGAGATATAAGTGCCACGGACCTTGATCACAGTGTCGGCGCCAGGCTCTTCTGACGAAACAAAGGAAAATGCCACATCATCTGGAAAGTAGACTTGCTGAAGCTGGTCGAAGAATTTGTTTCTCATATTTAGATACCGTGCAATGCCAAAGATGGGAAGATAGATTGGTAAAAAAGCCAAAGGCTGCATCGGACAAAATTATCACTTAAATAGTGCTAGATCCAACTGATCAGACTCAATTCTGGAACTAATAATAACACGCCATCTCTGGCTACCGACAACGTTGTGCAGGCTGGCATAGGACAATCTTGGTATTTACAGATCAAACATGTGAGCTATACAGAGTAGTTTAGAAAACAAATGCAATGTAACCTGGTTCCGGTATTTACGATAACTCATCAGCAAACTGAAAATTGGTCTTCAGATTTGGGAAAGGCCCGTAAGCTAGGTGGCGCGTGGCGCATTCAGTATTAATTATATGCTCCGGTGGAAGCCCCGCACATCCAACCAAGCCCAGGAAAAAAAAGTACCAGAAATATCACGCACTGTAGGATCCAAATGGTCTTGCATCCCATCTTACACGTCGAAGATGACGATTTGGATCCTTCACTTCGTTGCGAGCATGCAACCATCGTCGATTATCCATCAAGATGATCGACCCTCTAGGAAGAGTTTTGGGTTCTAGATGGATAGTCCATTCCTCGGCTCCATTTCCGTATAGGATATTCCTCAGTTCTTCCAGTGCCTTGGCAGCGTTAGGAGTCAACGGGATAGTGATATCATCTCGGAACCGCAATTGACTCCCACCTTCTAGCTCTGTTCTTATTGCGACTAGGCTGCCGGTAATATACTGCTTCCCCGTATTTTTAATAAACTCTGGGGGTACAGTGATCCTGTAGTTGTTGCTGGAGAGCCATTTTTGTGCGAAAGGGGAGAGTAAGGCGAGAAGTCGATCAACATTTAGTACCGACAAGGTTCCGCCTCCGCAGCGGTCCGGCTGAATGACTTGAAGAGCAAAGAATCGCGGGGGACACTCCTCATAGCTGCAGTCGGTGTGCCAATCAAACCGGAACATGGTCTCTGAGCGGGCTTGGTGTCCATGGCTTTGGAAATTCGACGGGGAAGGCCGAACATCCCAGAACCAGCCTCGTTCAGCGCTATGAGTTATCGGAAGGCCATGATCATGGCATTTGTGAAGATTTGTTATAAGTTTCTGGAGATAGTTGCTTGTTTCATCGCTGAATCCCAAGGTCAATTGAACCACCCCTTTAGCTTCCAGAGTCTCGTGTACAGCTTTCAAGTGAGTGGCCTCTAAGGCAAACTTGGGTTTTGTGACCTCAATCAAGGGAACAAGATTTGAAATTCGTGGATCTCCTGGGAGCACTTAGCAATGATCAATGAATACTGCAGCAAAATGGTCACAAACTGATAGGCAGCGTGGAATATCTAGCAGTCCTTGCCGCAATTGCGGCAGGGAAGCGGAAATAGCGATACATTCTGTGTAGATTGATGTCACTGGCTAGACAAATTACTGTTTCAATGAAGTCCAGATTTCTTCATAAAAATGCGTGTGTGGGAATTTGCTTTTTAACAATGCTGGGTCTGGCGCTCTAAAGATTGTGTCTTGAAATTTCAGATCCATCAATCCGTCTCGTTGAACACGCCATCTTTCACTAGGTATGGAGTACTATGTACGGAGTACATAGTACCCACCCGTACAGATCGTCCATATTGATTTCGTAATGTACTTGCAGCAAGAATTTCCTTTTTTCTTCTTTATTTTGACTATGAGGTGGTTACCACATGCGCAGGGCTGTCCCCTGTCGTATGGGGCACTCACTAGCAAGGATATCTCGACAAAAGAACCCAGATCTCACATAATTAGCTTTGCAGTAGCGTGGTTTCATGGCGTGAAGGTGATTAGATGTCTTGGAAGATCCTATTCGTATAAAATTATTTGTAATTTGTTGACTTTGTTGACCGCAGTCGTGACGAGACCCGCATGCATAAGCGAACTAGGACGGGGATCTCCGATCTCAGTAATCTGGGCCTGCATGCGTGTATTACAGGATGATTGACGGAAAAGGAAAGGGCAATCTTTACGATTTCTTCAACCCCGCGTCTCGGTTCACAAGAGTGGCGATGCTGCAGGGTCTTTCACTCATCCATGGATTTAGGCGTGTAAGTGGTCGATTTCATGCAAGGCTCAGTCTCCCTGGACTTGTCTTCTTTAGCACTGACACAGAAAGGATTTTTCCCAGTTCAATTTTCTATGTAGCGTCCACCTCTTCCTCGGGGCTGAAATTCTCACTACCTCAGTATGAGCACCAATCATGAGAGTAATGGTCCGCCCATGGGCTATACATGGCGTTCATCCAAAGCATTTGTACTTGCGACCATTGCAGTCGCGCTGTATGCCGGTCTGTCTCTCAGCCATTGGCATTGTTAATCCTGCCCTAATACGAACCAGAGACATTTCTTTACGGCTTTCTGGTGCCTCTCCTCGGTGACATGCTTGAACATCGGCTGAATGTCCCTCCTTCGAAAACCCAGGGAGTGACATCGACCGTTCTTGCTATTCATGGCGCACTCGGTGTGCTATCCGGCCCTATTATCGGACACTTTAGCGATCGATTTCCCAAGCGCAAGGTGCCATTGCTATTATCCCTTGGCGTCTGCATTGCTGGCACTTATACGGTCGCGGCTGCCCGTTCAGTCCCTATACTATTACTAGGCCGTGTGCTGCAAAGCGTCGCGGGCTCTGCAGTTTGGATAATTGGCTTCGCAACGATCGCAGATACTGTCAGTCCAGATAATATGGGCTCGGCGATGGGCCTGGTCATGTCATTTGCCAACTCAGGGACAATTTGCGGACCTGCCATCGCAGGCCTGTTGTACGAGGCGGTCAACTACTGGGTTTTGTGGTCAGTTCCATTACTGGTTCTGATTTTAGATCTTGTCGCACGTCTCCTTATGATTGGGCGTCCTTCCGGAATCCCAAGTGCATCTTCTAAATCCAACAGTCATGCTTCAGAAGCAACCAGACTGTTACCATCGCTGGGGGATCAAGAAGCTTCATCTGGTACCAGGAGCTTCTGGTGCTCACTGCTATGCAACGGGCGTATTCTAATGTGTTTACTCATCACATTCTCGAGCGTGACTGTCAGTACCAGTCTTTATGCGACACTTCCGCTATACATCCAAGACCGGTTTGAGTGGGGTCCAAGTTATGCCGGCCTCCTCTTTGCTGGTCTTGCCGTTCCGGGTATTCTAATGGGCCCTTTCGCTGGCTGGGTCCGTGATAGAGTTGGAGCACGATATCCAGCAACAATCGGCGCTATTCTTCAAGCCTTCTTCCTAGGCCTTTCTGGCATCGCAGGGACGGATATATTCTCTTGGTCTGGAGTCAAGACTGGCGGCAAAGAGATGTACTCGGCTTCTCTCATCGCCATCGGCATATTTCGACCATTTGTCTCTGGTATCGCGCCCGCTGAATTGACCGGTAAGTGGTCCTTGCCCCAAGATCTTGTATGAACAGGACGGTAATAAAAGTATCTTGGTAGCCGCCGCCAAGAGAATTCAGAAGCACGCAGTCTCTTCGGGGGGCGAGGATGGCGTGTCGCGCGTAATCGCTATGATGGACGTCGCTGCCTCCCTCGGCATGATGATTGGTCCAATCGCAGGTGGCTTGCTTAATGCACAACTCGGTTATGAGTATATGAGCTTGACGTGGAGTGGGTAACTCATCGAGGATTTACGATGTCCGCCGCTAATATTTATATCAAGGTCTGTGGTATCTGATACTCGCAGCGTTTTCGTTGTTCGTTTTAGGATCCAAGGGAACGAATGAAGCGTCCGACGACGAAGAGATTTTTTAGTGTCGTATTCCGTCCGACACCCAGTGCGAGGGAGCTGCCAAAAGCTATGACAAAATAATCGCGGAGAGTGAGAAAGAAACTACGGATAAAACTGATGATCAATAATGCGAGAACCTATACCTGTCTGCGATACAAAAACGACACAGCAATTAATTTTTGCCCTGTAAAAGCCAGTTAAGCAGAAATTTAAACAATTTGGAATTTTTCTGCAAGTACAAGAACATATCAAGATTCGGACAAGTGAACACAAGTGAACGCGCAAGTCCCAGGTCCGATAGAAGTCAACTGGTTAGATAAATCTCGCGGAATACTTCTGGGATCCGGTCTCCGACTTGGTTCACATAAATCACATGATATCTGTCGGGAACGTTCCCTTACCTAGCCCCCCCACTTTGCTCTATATTTATCCTTCTCACTTCCTCTGAAACCCCTCCATTGATTGATTGATTATCAAAATCTAAAAGAAACCCCTCACAGAATAATGCAAAAATGGTTCTCAAGCTGTACCGATTCCCTCTTTCTACCTATACTAACCGGGTGCGCCTCGCATTGGAGGAGAAGGGAGTATAAGTCGAGTTCATCCCGGTTGATCTATTAAATGGAGAGCAGAAATCCGAATCATACCTTAATGAGCTATATCCTTTTGGCAAGGTTCCCGTCTTCAAGGACACGGATGCCAGCGTGCAGATCTTTGGTGAGTTTCACTATGTTATCTTTGATCGAGCTAGTTGTTAACTATGTTTAAACTTAGAAAGTAGAGACATGTAACGGACCCACTACGGAGGGATCTCCCAGGAGTAGAGTAGACTGCGGCACTAACCGCGAATACCATGGTTAACCAAGACCAAGACCGTAAATTTGCGGGTTTTGGTCTTCATTTGCTAGCCGCAACCGCAGTGCGGTTGGTGTTGGTCTTCAACCCAAGACCGCACTGCGGTTTTGGTTAACCAGCGGTTAGGTAAACATTATAAACATGCCAAGCCTCATGACCTTCGGCGAAAGATCGATTTTATGTAGTTTTTTGGTATTTTTGTTGTATTTGTCTTTATGTATTTTATTATAGTAAGAAAAATGGTTATAGATTAAATGCTTAGTATAAAATTATTTGTGAATTATTCTAGTAAATAGTAATGATAAATAGATGTTATTCTTTGGATGCTATATTATCTAAAGATTAATTAAGAATCTATCTAGTATTGTTAGTTTCTTATGAATCTGACTAGGCTGACTATTCTTAGATACTAGAATATCCTTTTTGTTTAATTGTCACGGTACTTGTCAGGTAATCCCGTGAGCATGGGGACGCCTCAGGCGACGAACTGCAGGGCATCCAGTATATAGTTGGGCCCCAGTGAGCCGGGGTTCCAAGTTCCTCAAGTATTAGTTCTCATTGTATTGGAAAGTGCTCAATACTACCTGACTTGTCACCGATATCTTCCTGGTTCACCTAACCACTAGGTGCCACCCTAATCTGGCACTTTCTCTTACAAAGACTCTATAAATTAGACTAATACTCTGCTTTATCATAACCAACCCTTGAAGACAAACCTAACTAGTTAGGGGAGCTCACCTACAATTGAACTTACTCGTGACTAACCTACTAGCGAACCTCTGACTCAAGCATTACCGTGTAAGGATCCCTAAAGACTCTAGCCCGTGTAAGGCCCGGATGGCTACGGTATAGTTACAGGATAACGGCTTGCGGTAAGTATCAACACAACGCTTGTGTGTACTCACGTTGCTTGACAGCCAGTTCGTAACACCTATCCTGCTGTCAGGTCAGGTCCGTTCCGGTCGAACGGACAGGATCTATTATTGGAATAGATATGTGGTCACGTGCCCTCACGTGTCCACCTCTGGCTGTCATATCGTAATAACCAGTATACTTTCAGACTGCAACAGGCCATATCTGGCTCCCGTTGGTGCCCGAGGCGCCAACTGGCCTTGCGCCCATCTGGGCCGTGCGTCCCTCATGGCCTGGTCGTCCACACTTGGCCCGACCCCCAACTGATTGGGTCATAGCTGCTCCTGGGAGATCCCTCCGTAGTGGGTCCGTAACAAGTAAATAGTATTTTCTTCCTATTCCTGTTTATTCTAGTAATTGAGGGTGAACCTATGTGATATAGTATGAGTGTTCCCCTTGGCGAGCTTTTTCTATATATTCTCCAGGAATATTATCTTTCAGCTGAGAGATAAAGATAAATAAAAAATGGCAGACCTTAATGAGCGCCCCTGGCCCGTTATTTATCTAAAATGCGAGTACCACGGTGGGTCCTCTTACCCCGTTCTCACCCCGTTCTCAACTCTCTCCCCCCAGTCTCCAGAATTCTCACCCATATCACCCTCACTTACCCTAACACAGGACACGGTGCTGTTTTAAAGCCAAGGGCTTTTTGAGAATTGACGAATTGACCGCGTTTAGTATGTGGCTTAAGTACGGCTGAGCGGACGGGAAGCCCTGTTCTCCACACCCTGTGATCGTATGTACGAGATTATGGGTAATATGAGATAAATCGTATTGATTAGAGTTCTTTCGCCCGAGGTAGGTATAAGGTGAGCAATGTACTGCGTATTGCTAGAAGGGAGGAGGATATAATGAAGGAGCATGGGAAGAGGAAGAGAAGTACAGAAGGAGAGAGAGAGCTAGGTGAGAGATCTACATTCCTATGCGTGGGGAATCAGGTGACTACAGGGGTCAGATCTCCAATCAGCCCCTTATATTCTCAACCCATTAAACATCAGCTTGGAAATTTTCACAGCATTGGAGATTCATACCATCATCTGACCTTTCCAGAAAATTTTGTGTTATGGCAAGATCAAAAGCCAATGCCCATCTTAGTCCCAAACTTGAAGCTCATGGGGTCACTGTATCCTCAGGCTATATTAAAATATACTGTATAAGGTGTCCACGCGTCTCCTACCCAAGTTTTGAGCCTCAAGTGCAACTTACCCCGCACTGGCGCGTCGGTGGCCTTAAATCTCTATGTGCTGCTCTGTGGGCCTATACGTCACTCGTAAAGCATCAGAGACTCATTTGATAAACTACTATTACCTAAACTACATATGCCTTTACTCTACCTGATACTGACGAAGATAACTAACTTGAATCTCACAAGATGAATCTCCAACAATTCAGCCCTGATTCCCTCACTCTGGTCCTTAGCTCTATCTTCTCTACCTGCAAAAGACCAGCGAATGTTTACTCTTCCGGCCTCTTTAGACGCAAGCCAAATCCTCAACCAAATCCTCTCGGCTCTCGAAAAAACAGCGCGACCGATGCAAGCGTGATATTTGGACGACAGTCAGTGTTGGTGGAAAGGAACTTGTCATCCGCGACGTTTGTGCAAAAATCGCTGCACATGTCAAAAATTTCACAGACGTGGTTGATATTGCAGTCCAATATGATCCGGTTCATGCCGCATTACCATGGGCGGGCGTGCGATTTTTGCTGCAGTTGACCTTTTCAAGCTTCGAGGCATTCGGGGCCATTGTTGAGGGTCTTGAAAAAGCGACGCGATTGATAGCCCGATGTGGGATTCTTGAAGCCCTGATGGCCAGGTACGACAAGGGAATCACTGATGCAAAGAAGAATCTGGAGCAGGAATTAGTCAATCTTTATTCCTCCGTGTTGGGATTTCTTTGCAAGGCTAGGAAGCATCATGATGCTTTACGATTGAGTAAGTTGACTCATGCCATTTGTGATGCGCAGGGATTACCTGTTAACAGTGAACATTTAGAGCGTGCGTTCAACTTGGTTTCGCAACAGTCGTTTCAAGAGTCGATCCAAGAGATGGAAGCTGCCGAACGAAAGGTTTGGGCTATGAAGGGTCTTATGGATAGCGAGAGTAAGTCAGCCTGAGGCAGATGTCGCTTGGTTTGCTCACTGTTCGCTAGGGGTGGAAAGTCTTCATGATGATATTTCGACAATGTTTGTAACATTGACCTCTGCTGCTAATGGCGTTGACAATCTAAAAGCACGGCTTGATGACGCATTTGACGATCTCGATAAACCCCTGGTCAGAATTGGAGACCAGGTAACCGACCTGCATGGTGCCTTTAAAGGTTGGGAGACGACTTGAGTCTAGAGGAATGACAGGCACTAATTTTATCAGAGAATCAAAGAAGTGATCTTCCCCAATGGATTTCGACTATTCCTGTACATCAGCACTACAGAGAGGCACTGACGACTATACTGCCCGGATCGAGTGAATGGCTTCTGAAGAATCCGGGATTTGGGAGCTGGAGAGATTTGAGTAGCTCTGAGACCTTCTGGTCATATGGGATATGTAAGTCCAGTGCGATAAAGTCACTCTGTCACTACACTTTTAAGCTGACAAGGTATCCAGCGGGATGCGGGAAGACGAAACTGGCGTAAGTTTACTGCGCTGGAATATGATATTTCCAGGTCATTGACTAGAATGAGTGCGATTGTTATCCAAGACCTACACCAACGCAATAAAGGTGTAGCTCAGACAGCACCGATAGCTCATTTCTTCTGTTCGCGAAATCCTGCAGAACCAGAACGCAGTGACTCTCGGGGTATACTACGGTCTTTAGCCAAGCAGCTCTCTATAGTCAGAGATGGGAGCTATTTAAGGCGCCCCTTGGTAGAAGCGTACGAAAAGAGGGAAAAGGAACCTGGCCAGATTGGAGAAAAACCAGCACCGCTAACGGTTGAGGAATGCGTCGACGTCATTTGTGAAGTTGGCCGGACAACTCCATTCACAATTGTAATTGATGGGTTGGATGAATGCAACTCTCAACAGCGAAAAGCTCTTCTCGGATCTTTGAAAGGAATCCGACAGCGGTGTCGAGATGTTGTCAAAACTTTTGTGTCGAGTCGACAGGAGAGGGACATTACGGTCTACTTTGAGAAAGGAGAGACCCTAGAAGTGACCCCACAGTTGAACGATGGGGACCTAGAGCAGTTTGTGAAGTCTCGGGTTGAAGACTTCATTAAAAAGTGTTATTTCATACATAATGACTCGGCGCAAGATCTACAAAAACTTGAGAAAGACATAACGGAGAAGCTTTTGAAGGATTCTTAAGGGATGCGAGTCATATTGGAAGTATTTAGGCTGGCTCTAGATAGTATTTCTAACTATATTAGGTTCCTTTAGGTGAGTCTTCAGCTGGAAGCTATCGGCAATACGGAGCGTATTAAGGACATTAAAAGTATTCGTCAAGCGTTAATTCACTTCCTCTAACTCTTAGTGAATCATACAAAATTATCTATAACAAAATTCATAATATAGGCGAAAATCCACGGAGAGTCGCAGTATAAACCTTACAGTGGCTGCAGTGCGCAAAACAACAGCTTTCAATTTCTGAATTCCTAGCTGCAGTCTGCGGGTCTGCAAATGATATATTGACCACGGAAATTCTTGACTATTGCTGTAATCTGGTGGTGGTTGATAATATTTCAGACACGTTACGTTTGGCACATGTGTCGGTCCGAGAGTGAGAACTCCCAGCAATTGAAATATCGGTATACAAAACTGACAGCTTTTTACAGATTCCTTGAGACTGCAGATACCTACCCCACTCACGATGCAAATCTCAACCTTGCGCAGAGGTGTTTGAACACGTATTTATGGGGCAAATTCGATCAAGACAGTCTCTTCAACTACGCTACCAAATACTAGCCTGCTCATGTGGAAGACTTGAGCTTATCCCAAAGATTATCGATCAAGGCGTCAATAAATTTTCACCGACGAGGAGCACCTCGAGGATTGGCTGGAATGTGTTGATAGCAGGGAGATTGTGGATGGTCCAGGTTAGAGCAACTCACTAGAGAGGAAACTAGAAGAATGTTTATCCTCACCACCATCAGCACTATCGCAGCATCTTCCTTTGGTCTCATTGAAGTACTTGAACTACCTGAGCTTATCAAGGGAATAGACCTGGAACAGTTGAACAAACACAACACCTCGGGTCTATATCTTGCTGCACGCTGGGGCCATACTGAGGTAGCTCGGAAGCTTCTCCACCTAGGTGCTTCTGTAGATGCACCAGGAAACCAGTACGGGAATGCACTCCAAGCTGCATGCTTCGGGGGACAAGAAGAAATCGTCAAGGTATTGCTTCAACAAGGAGCATCTTTCCCTCCGACCGGTAAGGGTGAATATTCGAGCCCATTCCAAGCAGCTCTAGCAAGTGGTCATGGCCATGTTACTCAGGCTTTGATCAACGGCGGACTTCAGTTTTCAACGCAAAATCAGTTTGACGACGCGATGGAAGCTGTTTGTTTCAAAGGAAATGTTGAAATTGTCCAACAATTTCTAGATGGCAAATCTGGTATATTTACGCCACAGATCCAACCTGATTCGCTACAAGTAGCTCTTTTTGGTGGCAAAAAAAGGAGAGTCAAAGGACTTCTGCAAGGAAATGTTGACATCAACGAGGAAAAGGGTTACTTTGGCAACGCTTTAGCCGCAGCAATTGCGAGTTGAAACTTGGAACTTGTACAACTTGTCGTCGATGCTGGAGCGAAGACTGATGTACGTGGACGCTTTGGTTTTCCTTTGCGCGCTGCCGCCATTGCCAATGCTTTTGAAATTGCGAGATACCTCCTCAAAATCGGCACTGACCCAAATATTGAGGATATGGAGCTAAGTGATGCACTCCAGGCAGCTGCCACTTCAGGAAATGTGGACATGATTGTTTTACTTTTGAACCATGGTGCATCCGTGAATGGTAACGGCGGACACTTTCGTAACACATTACAGGCAGCTTGTTTTCATGGACATGAGCAGGCTGCCAGGCTCTTAATTGAGCGTGGTGCTTTTTTGGAGCCCAAATACGATCGACACTGTGAGCGCTATCGTGATGCCTTGCAAGCTGCAGTTTTTTCTGGACACGAAAAAATTGTTGAATTGCTTCCAGCGAGAGGAGCAATGCTGAACACGGGACGCATCGTCATGAGGAGTCACCCATGCAGCATACCTCATAACCCGAACAGAATCCGACTTCCAGACTCAAGGGTAGGGGCAAAAAAGCTAGACATACCGCCAGGACGGCGACCTCTAGAATTTGCTGCTCGACTTGGCAATATTATGTTGGTCAAGTTTCTACTTAGCCAGGGAGCTACTCTAGATGCTGAGGATGTTTTTGGCGATGATGATGAGTACCATGATGGCAGTGCGTATACTGCGCTACAGATTGCGAGTTTCCGGGGGCATCAAGCCATAGTGAAATATCTTCTGGACCATAATGCAGACATTAACGCCGTGCGACAGGCACTAGGCACTCCTTTACAGGCAGCCCTAGAGTCTAGTAACTTTGAGATTGCAGAGATTCTATTGTCTCGAGGGGCGAGAATCGATAAGCATTGGCGGTTTTTGGATCCTGTCTTCAGGTATCGTCAGAAAGAGGACACCTTGAGGCTGTCAAATTCCTGTTAGATCGAGGAGCAAATATCGAGGATGAAGGTGGCGATAACGGCAACGCGCTTCAGGCTGCATGTCATGCGGGACACATCGAGGTTGTTCAACTCTTGCTCGCTCGAGGTGCAAATGTTAACGCGCTGGAGAAGAATATTGAGAATGCGCTACAATCTACATCAGAAGGTGGTCACCTTGATATCATCAAGTTGCTTCTTGATCATGGTAGGATGTGGATGATTTCGAAGGGAATACAGAAACAGCGCTCTGTCTCGCTGCAGCAAATGGTCAAGAAGAGATTTTGACCTTCCTGCTCAGAGAAGGAGCCCAAGTCGACGGCAACGCTGCTGCTCTGGCTGGTGATGCCGGGGACACATTATTAAATACCCCAGGAAAAAGATATCCCGCTCCATCTTGCTGCTGTTCATGGACATGAATCCATAATATCTATACTCCTTGAAAATGGAGCCGATGTCCACCGAAGAGGAAAGTTACGCCAACAAGGAACAGGGCCAAGTGATGAGTGTGATTTCAGCATGAAATATTGTACTTCCTTGTTTGCAGCATGCTTTTGGGGCCATTTATTGTGTGCAGAACTCTTATTTGAACACGATCCATTGGGATGTGCATCAAATGGCACGTTTTCTTCCATGCTGGAGACTAGCTTGGCTCGAGAGAACAGAAATGTCACTGCAATTCTACTCCAAGGAGCAATTTCCCAGAATTTTGATGCCAAAGACCTTGAAGGCGCATTCAAATACGCCTGTAGGATGGGTCATAGTGAGTTTGTGCAAAGTGTCCTCGAACATTTTGAGCTCAGTAACTGGCCCGGTGCATTCATTTTGGCAGCAGATCAAGGAAGAGGTTCCGTTGTCTCTGCTCTATTGCGGAATGGAGCCGAACTTAACAGCCGTGACAAAAATGGCAATCTGGCATTAGACATCGCGATTCAAAATGTCAGGAAATATAGAAATCACGTCAATTGTACAAAGAATCCGCCGAGCTGGATGGGGGTACTCAATATTCTTCTTCGTGAAGGAGCAGATACGGATGATCTGACAAGCAAGATCAAGGAAAAATCTCTCATGAAATTCCTGAATTCGCCAATTTTGAGCTCTGGAAAACACTAAATTCCCGTCATTACGAGTTATTTGATGACTCCGGTCTCGCTTCAAGGGCTTTGACCTGGGCTGCGCGTGGTGCTAACTTTGATAAGATCCATTATCTGGGTAAGAAACAGGTCTTTTCAGACGGTGATATTGAATCCGCTGTTCTGGCTGCAATGGAATATCAAAGGGATGCGATACCCATAATCAAGGCGAAGCCTCAAGCCATCATCTCCCTCCGATGAAATAGTGACTCAAAATTGTGAGAAGGCTGATTGTAATCCCTTGGTAATTGCTTCTGGCGAGGGGCGGGCCGAGATTGTCACCATTCTACTCCAGCATGTAAAATACAGGGCTGCTATCATTAAAGCAGCTTTGAGAGCAGCCGTCCACGCTAGACACATCACATGTGCATATCTCATTCTTGAGTCACAAGCCTGGAGCCTACTCAAAGGCATGACCTACTCTCGCATTTAATTCCAGGTTGCTTCCCTTACTGGTCGAACAACACGCCGGGTATCTGTTTGAGCAGGGCGTGTCCCCGGAAACGAAGGGCCTTGAAACTGGTTGCACGCTGGTGAATAGCGGCTATGAAGGATGCTAAAGATCAAGCAAAAGTGGAGGGAGGTATGCTTTAATGCTAAGTTCAATTCTTCTTGTGTGAGTGGATGTCATAGATGCTGTGCAAGAATACTACTAAATTAGGATGCGGATATTGAGATCGACGGTGGAGTATGGGAAATTGTAACAGCAACAAGAGCTTTTCCAGGTGATTACCTACTGAGTAGAGTATGGAAATGTGCGCAGTCTGCTTCGGACGAATATTTTTTTTCCTATTCTTGAATCTTATATCATGGTAGACTATAGCGTAATTAGTTACCAAGATTAATTTTAAGCGCAAAGCCCCAAGTGGGCGAAAGAGAACTTGTTACTCTGATAAGTTCAAGCTTCTTTACTCCATTGATCTTGATTTAAGTCAGAAGAGAGCATAAAGTTTTCAACATTTGAAAGGAGGCAATGAATAACTGACTCAAGTTCCGCCGCTGACATGATTGACTTGTGGACCGTGGTCTAGTGACAAGTGTCACGCTGAAATTCTGAAGTCCAACAGCCGGTGCAGGCTCCGGGGCGGGAATGACAAGTCAGCGTCCCGTGCGATACTTATACATATACCGTTCCGGGTAGATTGAATCCAATGGATTCAATGATAGTCTTTTGGCCATGTTGGTTAGCGTACCCGGAAACGTTGACATAATATCTAGGTAGGTGCTAAGGGTCTAGACCAGTCTGGGCAGAGACCTCGTATTCCAAAGTTATTGGTTACGGACTGATCTCACGGGCGGTGTAACTTGGCAGAATGCGACATATACTTGGTTTTACCTACAGGCTCTCACCACAAATTCAAGTTCAGCAACTATAAAAGTTATAAAAGATGGTTCGTTAGCATTTCAAATGGGTGTGATCTACTTCCTTAAGATGATACTGAATTTCAATTCAATTGATCGACAGAGTAGGGCGACAAGGGAAGTTTCCCGATGAGAAAAAAGAAATGATTCATATCAAACACCTGACGACATTCGACCAAATTGAAATAGGAGCAAAAGGATAAAGCATGCAAAAACATACAACAGTCAGGATTCGCATGTGGTCACCCACCATACTACTAACTGACCGGCGTGTGGCTTAAGTACGGCTGAGCGGACGGGAAGCCCTGTTCTCCACACCCTGTGGTCGTATGTGCTTGACAGAACAAGAGATCGGAATATATTGAGCCATGTCAATCGTGAACACATATGGTTGACATGACTCAAGCTTGTTTCTCTCAGTGCAGTGCACTGGAGGACTTGTGACGAAGATGGCCAACTGGTGAATAGCAAGAGTCTATGATGACCCTCATATTTACGCCACTACTGCGCGGAGGATCCACCTACAGTAGCTAAAGCCAGTGGAAGGTCTGCAAGCCGCTCAGCCAAGAGCTTTGCATAATGATCTACTCATCGCGATTACCTGATAATAGTCATACCCGTCTGTAGTGGTCGATGTCGTACCAGATTTAACATTTTCGCGCTTGGATTGGGTTTATATAATTGTATAGCTCTCCTCAATATTCCGAAGAGGCCAGGACACTCCTTCCAGCCACGAGATCTGGCTGTTGCGTGGTGACAATAATAGCCCCATGAGAAGCAGGGGCGTAGTAATGTAATTCAAGTCGAAATCGATCTGGACCATCATAGTTGCCAGGTGTCGAGGATCAAAACTTGAAGCCATGGATTAGGTGTTTTTCTTGTCAGATAAACACCGTGACGGATGTATCTCAATCGTAATGTGTAAACATTCAATAATTTTTTTTTTGCCAACTTAATATAATTTCGATAAATGGCCAATCACGCCTTTTCAAATAGCTACTCGTGCAACATATATAACATTTTGAAAATACTAGTAGTCATACAATTGTATCAGTAACAAACACTGGCACCAATGACCAAGCAACAATTCCAAATTTGTACAGAACGCTCCGAGTCTGTGTGTATAACCGAATGTTGAATCCCTACAAATGAGGTACATAAACGGACCACGAGATAGTCTGAAATGCAGAAACCGGTAAACTCCTCAACCCGATGAAATCCTCTATTAGAATATACGCGCGACAAACACAATATAGCGCACACAAAGCCGAATAGGGGATGAGTGCCCGTAGCGGGATGTCCAACCGTGGATCCTTGGATGGGTGGATATTGCGCAATGTCGCGCCCATCTGAGACACCCAGGATTCCTGGATCTTTTTCATCCAAGAAGGCAAAATCTGCCGTTCTGTTGATACTTTCGGCATCACGAATATCTGCAGGTACTTTATTGCTAACTGTCCGAATATGGAAAAGCATAGGGTGCAGATGGATGAGGTGCGCCAGCGGGTTTGCTCCAAAACGGATGGAAAATGGAAATTCCATGCGAACATGAACATGGAGCCGAACAGAATTATGACTGGTGGAGTAATTAATTCGGCTGTGATGTCTAGGGGAAGGAAATTATCACTTGGGATACGATTGTAGGGTTTTGTATGGACAGCGCGGGAGAAGAGTGGAAGATGGACCTTCAGCAGAATCTGGTTGAAATAGCGCCAGAAAATTCCGCAGAGGTATACTTCTGAATAGATGAAGTCGAGCGGGTTTGTATAATAGTCCTGGTGGTCGTATGGGGAATTCTATTTAAATTATCAGCGGTATACCATTTCCCTTGAGTGTTGTCAAGTCGAACCTCTGCTTGAATCTGATCGATATTGGTATTGACCGTGAGGGTAGTTGTGGTCGATAGATCTAGTGGTTTATAGTACCAGCAAAATGAAGTAAAAAAGAAAACAATCACGAAGGCGACCGTGGTAAGCTCGATTGTAGTTATCGTAAGATGCTGCACTCCCCGTACAATGCAATTAACGAGAAACCAAACAGCCTGGCATATAGTAATGAATCTGATAAGTCACATTAAAGAACAGTCATATTGGCCTGTGGGTTAAGATTACTGACCTTGCCAGCCCATCTGATTTATTCCTGTCCTCAATATCCTCTCTACTCAGACTCGGGTATTCTACATATCCTTTCTCAACCAAAAACAGCAGCTGCTCTGCATCAATGGGAAACGGTATGTCGATCCCAGGACCATCAAGTAAGAAGCCGCCCATATCTGCGAAAAAGGCATGCGTCATTGTCCACGGCTTCGCATCTGTGTTACGTCTCTTGTTCAACTCTCTAAATTTCTGTCATATGTTATAAAACCTCCATGCCAGTGTTGTACCGATAAAAAAAAGTGCAGACATACCTGAACTGACATCCTGGCTGATGTCCACTGCCCCATTGCCAACACCAGGAGAAACTCGGGCCCTAAAATCCCCATACAGGCAAGATTCAATTTGTCTCGTACACGGCTGAAATACCCATCGGACTGGGAGGGTATGTTTGGACATACTGAGGTCCAACAGCACAGTATGATGGTTAATAAACATGTGGAAAGAATGTCCCACGTCCCCCGCCCATCAGACCCTCCCACCCAACCAGTTGAAATAGTTGAGGTGGTATTGGACATTACTTCACGCTCCGTTGATAATATACTGACGATTCCGACTCGGTGGTTTGGTGATATTAGATCATTAAAGTCCGGAAGTGCCTTGTTTAAAGATGTATTTACTTGGGAGATCTCACATTTTTGAGGGTTTCTGCTGGTCTGTGAGGTGGCGCCCAGTCAGCCTTGTGTTCACCTGGGCAGTGTCGTGTCTGAATTAGCCAATCACAGATCATCAAGTGCCGAAACAAACCGGATAAATCGCATATTCAGCCTGTGAATTATCACCCATTGTCTCTAACATTTGAATAATATCCTTAGGGTGTGGCCGAAGCAAGCTTTAATTTCTTGGTTGTTGCCCAGGTGACCCATCTTCGATTTAGGGTCCTCTGTTAATCTCCATCTCCACGGTCTCGCCACAGTAACCAATTTCATTACAGAATACTGTTACCGTAGCCTCAGTCTATATTAAAATATAAAGTACTAGCCTTTTAACAAGTCCCCAAGCTGGCCCATGTTCCTCGACCATATGATTATTGAGACGTCGATTTGACTCACGAGAAGGACTAGTCGTTCAAATTTTTAGTTACACCCTCTGGTTCCAGAGAAACCCCACGGCTTTCTAGCTGATCAAAAAATATCTGGGCTGCAAAATCAGTACTCATTGCAATCTCTAAAGCCTTAAAGCAATGGATATCCATTACGCCATAAAATATGCCTGGGTAAGAAACTATCCGGGAAACTCATTAAACTGTGTGACCCCCTCTAGAGAAGGCAACCAATCCACCCGATATTTCATCCAAAGCTCACTATTCGGTTTTGCCTTCTCTACTCCCTGTCCTCCATCCACGGTTCCGGCCAGCAGAACTACCACACCGGCAAACATATCCAGACTGGCTGTCTTGTAAATTGTCGTTCCACAATTTTGACAAAAATTGATTGTAAGATCCATTCCGTTCTCATGTTTTGCAGTGCACTGCTTGAGTGTGCCAGAGATAAGCGAGAAATTGGACTCGGGAATAACAAAATTGGTGGTGTAAGTTGAGCCGCTGATTTTCCGGCAGCTAAGGCAGTGACAGATACCCTAATTCCACGTCAATGAGTCCAACGGGTTACTGGGGAGGATGGCTATATTACCTTGTCTGCTAGTTCCCCAGAGACATTGTACTTGACGTTTCCACAGAAGCATGATCCGGTCAACATTGTGCATTAGATTAGATGATAGATATGGATTGAAAAATGTGAAGAACTAAAGAAAGGCTTTAGATGGGTCACGACCGGATTAAATATGCATGAAAATTAGACTTCCGTAGTCGAGTCTGGACCTATACGAGGTAGCCGCGTGAACATTTGAACGAGTCTAGGTTAGGCTTTAGGAAGCTTGAACCCCCAATCGGAAGAACGCGGATCAATCTACAAGCCATTGACGAGTATTTTCCATTCTGTTGAAGTTTGAGTTATTAATGCTTCAAATGTTCAAATGTTCAAATGTTCAAATGTTCAAATGTTCAAATGTTCAAATGTTGAGTCGCAATGACGACAACCTTGGAACTGAATCTCTATTTCTGATTTATGCTAGGAAGATTTATACTAGGAAAAATTCAATTTTCTGCCCGCGATCCTCGAATACAGGAAATGAAGAAGATCTGAGGGATGATATCAAGTGATCTGCAGGGTATTCTTTGATGGTCTATATTCAATGTTTCAGTGAGTGATGTTAAATGGACACCCGAAAACTTGAAATACTGAATGCCAGTGAACACCGTTCGTCTGATTGGGTTTACCATAGGTACATTCATGTATAAAGTTCCCCCAGATGTACCAGCTAGACCGGCAAAGTTATACCTCACTGGCAGTTCCAAGGTTAGCTTCCTTGGCTGCCAGTGTCTATCCCTTGGCTTTATAAATACATATATAGGTACCTACCTCAGTACCTACTACTCCAGATGTCCACTGAAGTGCTTGTCTTCTGGGCACATAGGTATGTACTACCTAGGTGGCCTTGGAAATATCTTCTATATTTCCTTCTTTATTTCCAGTGCCCTTGTTACATGTATGGATGCACATGTGTGCACAGGCTAAGCCTAATTTGTCAAGGGGAGTTCATTTAACATCGCTCACTTACCTCAGTTTGATTTTTATTTTTCATTATATCATCAACATTTTTCGATCTTTTACGCGCCCCAGTCGATGCATACTTGGCATACTTGGCAAACTATTTCTTTTTGCACAGACAAGATCCACTTGGGCATTTGGCACCTGGGCATGCATCGCTACAATCAATCATTACCAGCGAGCACAGTTGAGTGAAAACTCCGAGACGCGCTTATCGGGACTATTGTTCATTATGAGAAGACTTTTGAATAACAGCCCCTTCGAAATACGTTCCGCATGAAATAAGATGTCATTTTCTTCATTCGCGCTACCTTCATTCTCAAAAGCTCCTCATTGTATGGCAAGATTCAAGTTTCTTAATTATTCGTGTCTCTACTAAGCTATCGCTTGCCATGAAACTAAGCTAGTGCCTCGGCCTCAGAAATTCGTTCATAAATGTTGACTATACAGGCTCATTCGGTCACGCCAATTCTGCCTCGATCAAGCTTTCCGCAACACCTGGGCAAGTATGAATCTTGATTACCTTCAGCCCAGCCTTGGCAAGCAAGGTTGTCCACTCTGCCTCTGTTCTTTCGCGGACATTCAAATGAGCCAGCATCATCATATCCATATTTGTCGCCGCCAATGTGGGCTTCTCTTCACTCAGAACAATCTCGTTGAATAGAACCCGCGAGTATTCTGGCTTGAGTGCAGGAACGAGGTTCTGAATAATCTTCACGCTCTCATCATCACCCCAGTCATGCAGAATGGAGTGAAGGGAGTATGCACGAGCTCCTTGGATGGGTTGAGGAGTGAAGAAGTCATGGGCCCGCGCTTCGAAGGCATCACTAGCATCAACTGTTGCAATAACTGGCTCACGGTCCTGTAGAATGATCTTTCCAGGGTGGGCATTGTACCGTGTTGCAAAGGTAGCAACATCGTGGCCTCGACCACCTCCCACATCAACCAACAGAGTCTCATTGACAGAGGAATCAAAGCCTTCGATCATCCGTTCCTGAACGGGGTAGAAGTCAAACCAATCGGGCTTTCCAGCACGATAAGAAGCCATGAATGAGCTAAAGTCGTCCAAATTAGGAGGTGTGGCAACTAGCCAATCGAAAAAGGGCAGGTCTGTGTGATGCGCTGACTGGAAGGGACCATCCGTTCCACTCAGAGTTGGAGGTGTATATCCATTCTTCTTGAAATGTTCAGGGAATCCATTAAACGCCGGGCGGGATGTATCATAGCAAAAGCGAACGCTGTGCTGATAGTTCTCTGCTGCAAGGCCGTTGCTCAGGGTTGTTCCGCGGAAGGCTCCGTCGCGGAAGGTGATAAGGTTCATAGCGACCAGATGTCTGATCAAGCGTTGTAGGAGAGTCACATCGATTCCTGTCTTCTCGGACAAAACTGAAGCACTCAGTCCCTCGGCTCCAGCTTCCTCCAGGTGCTGGAATAACCGGACATCGAAGGCGATACGGATAATGGCGGACTGGGCGGGCTATGAACACATCTGAGTTAGAAATGCGACAACAATCAGGAGAAAATAAATAAAAATTCGAGAGATGTCTTACCTCTGCCCAGAAGGTGCGCTGGATAAACTCGCTGGGAATTTCCAGAGAGGCGATGAGTGCACGACCATAGTCAATCAAAGCCTCTCTTGAGCCAGGCTCATTGTTATCAAACGCGACACGCGCAGTCGCGATGCCATCCAATATATCTGATGGGGTCTGAGTCGCCATTTTCAAAATTGGTCAGTCTTGATTAAGTGGAAGCTGTTGAAACATCTCATTTAGAGAAGGGGGGAAGGTGTCATCTTTATGAGCCGGTTTCGTACGACGAGTCTCAGCACATGCCCCTCCTTCTACCATGGGTTTAGCTCTGAGCAAGTAAATCATCAACTTTGATTTGCTTCGCAGTCGGCATTTGTATCATCGTTCATCAAAGCAGCCAATGAAGACATGACTTAGTTGGTGCTAAGTGCCGCTCCTAATATGGTTCTCCTTTATCTGCGGGGCGAATGGAGCTTAGTTAACGTCTGGTGCGAACTAGCATGAACGAATCGACTTGTTATTGGCGGGGGAAACGGGTTTTAAGTACAGACATAGTATGGAGAATCCATGAATGTCAGACTCGGCTTTTCGTTTACCGACTCCTTCGCAATATCAGGTGTGCACTACTAAATATACAGGCTAATAAACGGATGTAAAGTAACCCGTGGGCCGAGGCCGCGACTGAAACTAGCCCCAGGATGGACCGGGGCAAATACTAATTGGAACTAGGTATCATCTAGCCTCTAACTCGCTTGGCACTTCAAATTTTGCTTGTCTTCCAGGTGGAGATCTACGGGTAAACCTCTGACCTCATACATAGAGAAAATCTGCAAGTGACTGGATTCGTAGTATGCAAGCGGATCAAAACATCAAATAAAGTACATAAATTCCATGGATTAGTTTTCGCCTTATTTTTTTTACTTTTTTTATCTTTCTCTTATTTTTGCAGCCTTGGCCCACAGCGGGTCGTAGTCGTATTTCCCTTAATTAGTAAAAAGGACCGGTTCTTTTAGATCGAGTACGCTAATGCAGAGTAGAACAGGTCAATGCGTCAAAAGAAAACCGTTCACCCCTTTTACCCCATATAACGGGGATATCGATCAAATGTACTCCGTACCTCCTTAGTCGATCGATCAATCTGAGATGGAATAACTAATAATATTTTCTTAGGTGGGAATTTACGAGTTGGTGTATCTTAAAATGGAGACAAATATTTTTGATATCTCATAAAAATGCCATTTATACTTTGACAAAAGTACCATTTGACCCACTTTTGGCACAAGGATCACGCATCCTTAGGATCCTTGGGGTCACTTTTCAATTTTTTTTATTCATTCTTTTGCTTTGTTGGCGTATGAGATTAAATGCCATTGTTGCATCGCTTGAATCCAGCCCCTGGCTAAGCGGGAGGAATAAACCTTGAAAATGAGCTCACATAAACGTGAGCCTGTGCGCAATCCCCATATTAGTCTCTTCTTAGCCTGTTCTTCTGTCATGGGTGATCTATTCTGGTAGTGCCTCCTGTGGTTAATTCCTTTGGCCATGGCATTCGATACGAATGTGAATTATAGCGAAAGTCGCGCCACAGAGGTCAATACCATTGGATGGGTTTTCACAGGCATCGCCATCATCACTGTTTCCTTGAAGATATTCTCCCGTGTGGATACCAAGCGGGCAGGATGGGACGATTTCTTTATTTTCTTCTCCATGGTATGACAAAATCGACTGGGGACAAAATTCTAGAGCTAACAAGTGTGATTTCTAGGCCCTTAGTATCGTTGCCACAGCATTGGTATCCTACTCGGTCACCTTGGGCTTTGGGCGACATACTGCAGCAGTTGTAGCAGAGCATGGGATGGAACGCTATGAAAAGACAGCTTACTGGCAAATTATTGCGTTTCCATTCAATATCGGTGCGGTATACCTCAACAGTTCATATACCTCCAAAACTAACATAGACAAAATGAAGGCGCATTTAGTTTTCCCAACATCTCTATCTCCATCTTGATTGTCGATCTTCTTGACCCCAACCCCTTGCGCAAATGGGCTCTCTATGGCATGAGTATATTCCAGGTTATCATTGCAATCATATCGGTCTTCATTGTGTTTTTCCAATGTGACCCTGTTGCAATGTTATGGAAACCCACGTTAGAAGGTACATGCTGGAGCTCAGACGTCTTCGATGACTTCTCGTACTTTGTCAGTGGCTTTACAGCAATGACGGATATTATCCTGGCAATTGTTCCCATTCTTGCATTTTGGAAATTGCAGATGCCTTTCTCAACGAAGCTTAGTATCTGCATTATGATGGGGTTGACACTTCTATCTGCGATTGTGACCATCGTCAAAGCAACATATTTGCACCTGTTTACGAACCACACTGATCCACGTGAGTAGCATCCATCCTTTATTCAAATGATATTCTGATTCTCTCGCCCTCCGGAATTTGGCCTTGTCACCACTTGAAGATATTTCTACTAACATATACCAGTTTGGATTCCTGTTCCACTAGTCCTTTGGGGGCTGTAAGTACCATTTCCATCTCAATGTCTCAGTCCACAAACGAATTCAATCTAACCCGGAGTTCAGGATTGAACAAAATGTTGTCATTGTCGCCGCTTGCATCCCTACTCTCCGTCCCTTCTTCCGCAAAACATTCCAATCTACAAAGAACTCGTCGAGCGGGGACTCCTCCCCGAATAGCTCGGGCGCAAGATTCAGGCGCTCAGTCAAGTCAATCTACAGTATCTCCAGGCAGTGTCCCGAGTCTGTCTCGGAATTTCCGCTGAATGATACGCAACCAAAGAGTGGTGACAATGATGAATTTCATGACAGCGAAAGTGCATCTGGACACGCGATAGAATCGGGATCCCACAAAAGGTCAAGCCAGGAGCTTTAGAAACCCGGGGGTTTCATGACCAACATTCGAGATCGCATCACATGAGCGCTGCTATTATTCCCTTCAAATGTACATTCTTCCATTCAATCACACATCATTCATTGAGAATATGGCAGGAGTTGGCTTTCATCCAATTGTGCACATTTTCTCTGGTCACCTGGGCACCCCTCCAGGCGATTAGTCACTCGCTCTCTGGCGGGATTTTAGTAGCCAGAGGCAGCTTTATTGTGATACCTGAAGACTTTTTCCATGCAGTCTATAAAATGAACTTGACGGATTCTGGTTATTAAAACTGTGTTTGATTTCTCATAGAGATGATATGTAAATGCAGAATATGATTGATTAGCCATCACAAAACCCAGGCACCCATCATGTCTATTCTCGTTCTCGTTCTTCCCGTCCTTTCTTTATCCAAAACTTAGCAGGTTCGGATTCTGGACCAGGGAACTTTATGTGCGAGCTCCCGTCAGAAATATCCGTGTTTAGTCCTTCATACGATGTACCGAAACATGCCTGTCTTTTAATCGTTGTGCTCAGGCATTTGTAGGTTTTATACCTCACAGCGCTATTCGTGGCCCTTCTTTCCATTTCTATCTCTTTCAACCATGGCCTCACCCTTTCTTTCAGCACTCGATGCACTCGGGTATAGAAATGCACTTTGAATACCTCCAGGTTCTGATTGCCTTCGACCAAGGCCTCTATGCCCTCCAACCATGCTTGCTGTGTAATTTTCTCATTCGTGTCGCCATATCTTGACATTGCTTTCGGAATTCTTCCCAATTCGGCGAGATATGAGGAATCGATAAAGATCCGTATGTGAGTCAGTCGTGGGAGCTTGGAGCTTAGAGTTCCCCATAAAGAATCGTAGTTTCTTTTGTTCTTCCGGGAGATATGAGGCTGTAAATCTGGCCCTAGTTTCCAATATAGGGTCAATCGGCGGATCATGGGAAGGCCCAACGAGGGGATTTGTTTAGGGAATTGAGTGCATAGGTCTGTCTGTTTCGAGAAGCGAAATTCGTTGGTGCCGTAGAAGATTGGAAGAGTCTCAAGGTATCTTTTGATAATGTTATCACATCAAGAAAATCGGACATATCGGATGAATTGCATAGCATGTATGGTACTCACCCTTTCCAACACAATGTCAGAGCCCCAGTATCCTTCCACATACCCCAGAACTTTGCAGAATCGCATGCACCTGTCCCAGCGCACCAATCCCAATCAATCCTTTCGAATGGGCTAAAGCACACAAATGAAGTTACCACCCATTTCTTCTCTTTTTTATCCCAATCGGGCTCATAGTGTATGGAACGATCTCCGAAGAGGAGTTCGTAGATGATAATCCTTATTTCTAAAGGAAGCCTGAAGAATGGGCTTTGAGACTGAGGATTGATAGAGGATGGACTCGGGGGTACTAAGTCTTTCTTGCCAGAGGATGCGAATGTGAGTTTTTTTCCGAGTTCTGGTTTAATTTCATATTTAGTTCAATTTTCTCTATTGAGTTCGCGCACTAGTATGTATTGAATACTCACTGCTTTCCTGGTACCATTCGAGAAAATTAGAGAGGGGCATGTTCAAATTTCGCTAGCGACAAAAATTAGGGGAAAGAAAGTTGCGTTGAGATTCAAGCCACAGGCCCCGGGGGTTGGGGTTGTTGATGATTATATAGTAGCCAACCGACGCGACCCTGGACTTTGCCTGATTCATACTAGTTCTGCAGGGTGCTGGTTCTGCAGGGTACTGGTTCTAGTGCAATATACCACTATCTTTGAGACAAACACGAATTATAAATATTACCACACATGCACACAACTTGAAGACTCGGAGGGTCATGAGACTAGTATTAGAATATATACATATGTAAATCCTTAATAATACTATTCAAAAAATCCGCGACTTTTACTACTCCATGTTCATAATCGAAATGACCCTTGGAACAACGATAGAATCGGACTAAGATATTTCCGATGGCACTAAATTTCCTCTTCACAGCACTTGAGAGCAGTACTAACCCACATGTGCGATTGTCTCATCATACAAAGGCTTGATATCACTTCTATTCCGAGTCCCTACTATTCCGTTCTTTGTCTTCAATGTTATAACTTGAACAGAGAACAACTTCAAAAAAAATTCAAGTTTCAGATCACAATGAGAGTCCACGGGTGTATGAAAGTTATAGAGATAAGATCAAGGGATCCTTGCTCAGGTGGCTATGTTGTCATTCAAGTATCAATTAATAACTAGTCTTATGACATCTGGATGTAGGAAACTTAAAAAAAAACAGCTTTAAAAAATATTATGGAATAAATCTTCCAAGGCTGGAACAAAGCTTGGCCAAGCTAAACAAGAAGACTTGAAACTTGAATCGACCATATCAATTGATCATAGTGAATAGCACATTGTGGCTTACTTTTCCGCACTCGTGAAACTTCAATTTGAACCTTTCAAGGTTCTTCCAGAAATAGTAGTGCTTGCTATCTCAGAATAACATATTCCATCATGATGACCCATGGTGAAGTTCATTATCAGGGATTGGGTCGCCTGATAGCTCGCCACCCTCCAAGTTGGCACCATTATCCACAAGTAACTGCTGCACAGTCAGTGGAGCCCCCATGCAAGCCCAATCCAATGGAGTCCGACCTTCCCCATCGACAGCATTAATATCTGCTCCCGCATCGATCAGAGTCATCATCAGACAGCGCAGAAGATTTAGCTCGTTATTCTTATCTTTTTTCGGTATAGAACAAGGGGGCGAAATATTCAGCTGTGGAGTGGTCTCTATTCGACGCACTAATACCTCATCTTCGTCGAAAGGATCGTCGCCGCAATGTCCGCATCCTGTGCGCTTCCTTGGCCTTGGGCCTCTATTCTGTAGCCGTCGGATGATTTCGACTGCAAAATGTAGAGCCGTTGAACCTTTCGAGTCTAATATTGCATTCACGTCAAGACCATTGTCAATCAATAGCTGTATGACATCAGTTCGCCGCGCCTTTATTGCTGTCTTGAAGAGGACTGTGTCAAGACGAGCCCCATACTTGACCAGTAAATCAATAGTGTCGAGCGTGGACGATGCTATAACTGATTTCAGAATATCTGGAGGGCACGTTGCTCCATGCTCTAGCAACAGCCGGGCAGTGCCGATATTTCCACGTTTGATCACTCCCTTCAAAAAATTTCCAGCATTATCATCAACAAGGGTAATATCTGCCCCATGATCAAACAGAAACTGTATGGTATCCGATGAGGTTTCACGCGAGTCAGCCACTTGTGACAGGGGAATTGCCTGGCAAGGGGGTGAGTTGAAATCCGCCCCAAACTCAGCCAGTAGCTTCATCATAGCTATATTGCCTGTTTTGACTGCAAGGTTGACCAGTCCTGCCTGATACATTCGTAGACCTTGTATTCTTGACCCCATCTTCAGTAGAAGTCTGACAGTACTCTCATGTCCTGATAAAAGCGCATCTAAGACAGGTGGCTGAGTAAAACCACTTGGTCCACCATAAACCCAGAATGAGCCTGAACGAGAGACATGGTGCTGCACTCCGTCGATTTCGGCCCCGTGATCACGTAACATCTGGACTATTGTGTCATTTCCAACACCGGCCGCTATGTTTATTGGTGTAGAAAAAGCACACCAGGGCTTTATCTCCTTCAGGGAATAGGCGCGGATTAAGGTATTCACGTTGGCGCCATAGCGAAGGAAATTCAAGGTACCTTGCTCGTTTCCAGATGCGACTGCTCTGAAAAGGCCCACTTGGTTTTTCTCAGGGTTGTTTATATGTCGCCGGTAGAGATTGGGTAAAAGAACATCGTATGTGGTTCACCTGTATGAGATGACAGAGATCCTGCTCTGAGATTGTTGCTATGATGAATAGTAATAGTTCAGGAGATAGTGTGGATAACGACATCATGCACATGCGCTCATATGGAATGTTGGTTGGAAAAGTCACCCAATAGTGCCAGGTGGATGCTCGAACGTTTTTCGGGGATGGCCACCTAGGCTAGGCCGAAGTTGGCTAGCCTTGGACATCAATTGAAGTATTGTCTCAAGACCGCGACCTGAACCTTGGAAAAGTACATAGTACCTGGGAGTTCCAGATAGTAGGTCAAAGACCACTGTACGGTTCGTAAGACTTGCAAATCCTGGTGCCGCCCGCACGCCGCTGTGTCATAACCTACACGCTCAAAATTCAGTTAGTAGACCAAAAGTGTATGCAACAAGCTTCTTACCTACCCTATAGCAGCTACAGGGTTACTTACAGGTGTACCTTCAGGCGTAAGCTAGCCGCTTGAAAGTTGGACAAAGAAGAAGAAATGAAACCTTGAAGTACATATGGGCTAAAATTTGAACTCCATGGTAGCTCTACCTCCGTAGGTTCATGGCAACAATCACCTATTCTCTTGGTCCATTATTTTGATTCATGGATGAGTTCAATAAATCGGAATTTCGTTATTCCAGCCCTTATGGTCTAGGTGGTTATGACGGCGGTCTCATATCTTATATATGAAGTTCCTGGTAACAGGATCGATATCCGCAGGCCTCCAGTTCGAGTCTGGATGAGGGCATTCTTTTTTTTTGAACTTTTTCTTTTTATTGTCCCTTTCAACACTTCTTCTACAGGTAAATCGCGAGTCTTTTTCTTTTTTTCCCCTTCCTTCTTCTCCATATCCGCAAACAATTTGAATTTCCAAGTCCACACCGTGACCCGTGGACAGCATTCAAATTAAGGGGCCTTTATATTTTCCAATGTTGCACCCGCTGGTTTAGCCTTGGCCACTTTTGAAATATATTTCAACCTCATGGATGGATTCAAATTCCTTTGAGGGTCTCTTTGATTCTTTCCAACCAGGAAGGTTCTCCAGGGCTGTATATCGAATTTATCCTATCCTCAGAGCTCTCCAGTCCCGAGCTTTAAGTTGGTAGTTCCGATCCCACTACATATGCGGACATTTGTTCCAAGGTTGGGACTAGAGCATTAAAATCCTTGATCCATTGAGAGTCTTCAGCACTTGAGACCGCTACATACCTAGTAAGGTAGTACACTTCATTGGAGCACAAGAACCGCAGAGCTAACACCATGGATGGACTATGTATGTACTAGTACCTAGTTCTACCTAGTAGGTACGCATCATGATAAAATCAATCGATGTACTACATAGTAACCTTGGAAATATATCACCACTGATATGATCCTATCGGGCAGATTCATAAATACGAATAAATCAGTGCACTCAAGCGCTGTTTATAGGAATATGGACTTTTGTCTTTATTCAGCCTGAAGCCCATGGGGGCCTTCAGCAAAGTTACTTAAACGCAGTGGGGCTAGGATTCTTCGTACTTCGGATGAACGACATTCCTTCGATTGCCCCACGTTTCTTCTTTCAACGTGGTGCGGTGGATCTTTTCACCCGCCTACTTCGTATACTGAAACAAAAAAAGTAAGCTTGCCACTGAGCCCCATGTTGCAGATTTCTATCAACCCCTGAGTTTAACCCTATTCAGATGAGGCTTCTCTATTATCCACACGAGAGCGATCACTGTAAGCAGTAGATGATCGTCTCCTATATCCGATCCGTGAAATAGCGGACAGACATTTTTCACTGATCCCCACAACTTTGATCCTTTTCACGCTGAATTCTGAAACCGTGGCGAGCTGTCGGTGCCTAGTTACCGTGGCTGCCATGTGGTGGGCCATTCCAAGAAAGTCATGCATATGCCGCTTTCAAGTTGGTAAATAGTGCGATGATCTACGATGGTGGATCCTAGCTTGACAGAAGATGGATGTGAATAAGCTGGAAGGGCTGTGTACTGTCCGATCTCAGTATTCCATCCCAATAAAATTCACTGCTAGTTTATAGTCTGGGATGGTTCGAGCGCGTGTATAGATCAAAGCAGCTTTAATCTGATATCCGAGTAAATATACCTATCTAGAGATTATAAATTTTGTCAATACTCGTTGAAGTAAATTTCCAGCTGGGGTGCTGCAGTTCCACGTCGACTACTGCACGGCATCTACACTAGTGCGAAGTATGTCAGTTACGCGATGAAAAGGATTCCATGGGCCATCGGATCTAAAGAATCTCCTGATCAGCGATTGCCCTGTACAAAAATGGGTCACGTCCCCCTGAGAGTATGGAGCCAACTTACAACGCCACATGGCGCTTGGTATTGATTATTGCGGGACATGGGCGATGATTTGACTCGTGTACCTTGACACTGGCATGTATACCGAATCCATCGTTCAAGGTTGAATGTCTTCGCAGCCTTGGCCCGATGTAGGTGGCAATTCTCAGGTTCTCACGACAACCATTGGATCAAGCACCGACATAGTATGCACACGTGCACATGTGTAGTCCACGCGGGTTTTTATGGGGGTGGCGAGTGTTAGAGATATCTGGCATTTGAACATTTTATGGCACCAAATATCGAATTGTTCAAGCTTTGTGCAGAGTGTTTGAAGGAAGGAAAATTCCAGAAGTAGTCAATAACGACTAGTTCAAATATTGTTATGGGATCCAGCGAGCTATAGGATCATTTTGGATGCTCTTGAAAATAGGTGTAGATCCCGGCTCGGGAGATTCTCACAGCATGACTTTGAAGGATTACAGATGGGTAGGACTCAAAATCCCATCTGCACGTGGTTCCAAGAAGGAGCATGCAGATATTATGCCCGAATTTTCGAATTTTGTTCCTAGACAGCCAGTGAGCGATTGACGACTCCGTAGAGATCCACTATTCAAATACGCACGCACAGTAGGTACAATTGATTTTCAAAAGTTTTGTAATTGAGATTTCTATAGAATGCATCTCGAATCCCCCTTTTCTGCAACTTGTAGGGAGCGTCTCCTCAGTGCTCAATTTTTGGTTTACAGCCCCTGAGCTGAGGCCCATAAACTCTTCGTATATACTTTGATATAAGCCAATTGTGGAAATTAAACTATACTTCTTCACGAGAGCATTATCCAAATAAGACAATGAACAAAGTAAGCACGGCTGTTTTCTTCCTTAATTTGGCAAATCCACACACTACCACAGCCTTACAGTTCTGACCCGTGGACTGTTATTATCCTTCCATATCAGGAAACACAGAGGTAAAAGGGTTCAAAAGGGTCTGTATTTTTATGGTACTGTACCTTATACCCGATCACATTTGTAGCTATTAAAAGGTCATCAGCTCATATACTAAAAGACTAAAAGAAATTGCTGAATACTAATCTATGGAGTGGATCTCATCTTTCAGCTTGCCCCATGTACAGGAACCTAAATAAATCTCTAAATATCTTGAAATCCAAGAATAGATCCTTCCTCACTCTATTGACTCTAATTGGTGGAAATGTAACCGTGCACAAAGGGCCATTACTTAATCCAGGGCTGTCTATGTCACGTGGATCGGAGCTTTACCCCACTTTTGCTGAGTCATTTAATTCCTAAACGGGTAAGGTATTCCAAAAGGGGGAATATCTAAAATAGTGACGTCAATACTTAAGGCAAGCGCCACTGGGGCACCGGGCAAGAGTCGCAAGAGTCCCAAGAGTCGAACTATGTAACAGAAAAAATCGAACTCCAAATCCTCATCACACAATAAAATCATTGTCTCGGATTGTCCGTAATTCACTAGAGATCCATCTGGATTCGATCCCCCAGGATAATTGTAGTTTACCATGTTTCATGAACTAGCACACGCCACCAAGAGGCCACAGCGGGCCACACATGGTGCATGGATGAAGAGAAGATCGACTTCAAAACAAGAAATCCGCCCCTCCAGCCAAGTTCAGTATGACGGAATAGGCTAACCCATTCCTGGTAGTCTGTCAGAGAAGGTCACCAGAAGTAGATCGGCAATCTTAGTGTCTTCTCTTCCTGATCCTTCAACAGGGTATATTCTTGGAAGTTTAAGAACTTTTTTCAAGAGATCGATTTCCTTGAAATTCTCCGCTTTCCCCCTTCATCTCCTACCTCATAATTACCACTCTTCAGAGAAGTTTCAAAAAGCAAGGAACCAAGCTTTCGCTTTTCCAACGACGTCAGCTCTCCTTAGTCCTATCACAACCTCCCACAGGAACATTCCTTTCCTTGAAGTTTGTCACGCTTGTTGTGGCTGCAGCTTTGTCTATCAATCTCCTCTTTCAGATACCCTGTTACGTATCTCTGCCATAATTCTACGCTTGTCAACCGGTTGCATTATCAATACCTTCCCTGCTGTGCTGGTCATTGTCAGGATCTGCAAGGAACCTGTTTGCGCCATCGCATCATCTTTTGAATTGTCATTTCTGGTCCGGCACCAAAAAACTTTCAAATAAATATCCCTTCTACCCCACACAATCATCCACAATGCGTCCATTCAGCGATACATCAGTCCACGCTATTGCTTCCAGCTCGGTACCTATCTCATTCGTGCCAAAACCACAAGCATCAGCATCTACAACTTCGTTACCTCTACTCGACGACGAGTAATATCTTCTACTTTTCAAAATGGGCGCAGTCGTCTCTTGTGTACGTTTACACCTCTCACTCTTGCTCTTTCTTGGCAAATTCTAACGCGCTTCGCAACAGATTAAGGCTGTTTTCCAAGCCATCGGCTCGTGCCTAATGGCCATTGTTAATGGCATTGGTGCTGTCCTCCGCGCAATCATCGACGGCATCGTCACGGTCTTCGATGTGATTATCTCCTGCCTAACTTGCCAAACCTGTGGTGGAGGAAGACGGAGACGGAGAAGGGCGGTAGTTTGACAAAGTGAAAAACGATAGAACGTGACGAAACATAATTTGGATGGCCCTGGTGGCTTGGAGTTATGATTCTCGGTTGGGAGAATTGGTTTTGGATTTTGGCTGGTACCAGATGCCAGTGATTTTTTTTTCAGTTGTCTTTTTTCATACCCAGGCGTAAGGTTATAGAATGGGATTGTTTTGGTTAGTTAATCTGCTTGTTTCTATATGGCATGATGCGCTATGTACGAAATGGATTTCATTTGGTTAATGTACTTTATGCAATATTGATGATAAATCAAGTCGAAGTTGAAGATGTGAATATGTGCACACTGGCAGCTCTCAAGTGCTCATACTATTTAGTATTTACAGCCTGAAGACAACTTGAACCTTGGAAGTCGTACTCAAGTTCTAATATAAATCATTCTCAGCAAAAGCCTCAACCTAAACTGAGATTTGTAACTAGTAATCTCATACTCCTCAATAACACTGCTCATCATAATATATTCACATCGGGTCACCCCGACCAAGGCGTAAGAGATCCCCTTGTAACTCAACCGGGATCTCAACCCACCTCTGATGAATAATAGCAGCCGCAAATGGATCCGTCTCCACCTGTTCCTGTTCCAGACTCTGATCTCTATGAAAACCCGCATACCGCTTAATCAACTGAAAATGAGAACTGTGCAACGGCCACGGTCCCAGAACCCGATAATCAGCCGACCGAAACCACATGCTTAGCAGCCGCAAGAAAGGCTCGATCTGCCGTTTGCGTATCAAACGGCTCGTAATCTCCGCAGACCGGTCCATCAAAACATTGCTCTCGTCGAGGTAGAAATCTGTAGCGAGAAGTTGGAGAAACTCGAATTGAGACTCTGACCATGGAGATCTGAAAATTTTATCTGGAATTCGACCGGGAGAGTTTGCAGCTGGGCATGGGAGACGGAATAGGTCGGTTTCGTAGTAGATTTCATTTTGTTTACGGATTTGAACAGCGCCGAAATGGAACCAAATGGCCAGTTTGTGATCAACAGAGGATTTGGATTTGGACTTGCGCTTCTTTTCCTGATTCGACTGGAGGCTTTGATGTTCAAGTTTATCAGGGTCTGAGTTCCCCGATTGGGTGTGATTTTCTGATAATCGAGCATGAAGAACTAGATCACCTTTCCCTCGATGACCATATATAGCATGATCACAATGCTCTAAATGGTTAAATAATGGGCCCAAATTGCGTAACGCCTCCTGGTCTTCTGCCGAGAAGACCAAATTGGCGCATTTGCGCCGAATGGCATGCTCAACATACTCCCGCTGACATCGCCGCAGAAGCGGAAGAGTACACCATCTGCACGCTAAAAGAGTTGTCTGCAAATGCTGTCGCTGCTCATATCCCAGACTCCAGAAGTCCAGTGGTGGGGGTAGGAAATCCGGAGTGAAGAAACCATGCCGCGAGCTGGCGTTTGTGGAGCTGAAGACTAGGCGGATGAGCCAGGTGTATAGGAGTGGGTTTGACAGGGCGCGGCCGAGGTGGGGCGAGGCGCGCGGAAGGTTTATTTCTAGACTGTAGAGAAAAATGTATTCGAGAATCTCTATGGGAAGAGACTCTAGACGGGAGAGTGATGCGGGGGAGAGTGGGGGGTGAAGCATTTGTGAGAGTAGAGATGATTGGGCAATTTGATTGACACCAGGCCGCCTTTTTCAGATTTCCCCAGTTGAAGTTGCTTAAATTTCAAATATGAATTCTAGAGCTTAATTGTGTTTGGCGTGGTGATATTTCAAGCACTCAAGTTGGGTCGAATAGTAAGTGTAGTCCGTAGTTGGAGGGGACCTCGGGAGGGGTGTTGTAGATTAGATTTCTTGTTCATCTCAAGCCAAAGATCACAGTCGTGTCCAAAGATGATAGCAGTGTCAGTATCTCGACTGTGACATTATGTGGTCTGACAGATTAAGGTCTGTTAAAGTCACTGGAGGGCATGTCACATCTGAAGCTGATGGGATTACCAGGTCTTGTCATCATGTTGCTCTTCATGGTGGTAGAAACAGATCTAACTGGCTGGAGGTTTCTTCCAATGGTCTGAGGATATTAATCTGACAAATCTAACATTATATTCAACTTGGGCTTGAAAAGCCTGGTTCTGACGGGCAAGGAACCCCCGGCCGAAGGGATGATATGAAATGTGTATGATACCTACTATCTAGTAACGTGAACGTGTAGCCAAGGTCAACCTTTAAATATTGTACCAGAGTTTCGTGGCAGCACACCAAATCAAGCAGTGAAGAGTGGATCATTAGAGAGCTAAATTTGCTTTTCAATGTGCATAGAACTTGAAATGGGTTCAAGTTGGCAGTCCACCGTGACATATGCAGCAACTGATGTGGACCTGATTACAGGATCTATCCATGGATAGACATCCTTCAATATCAACTTGAGATTATACTATCGGCATCAATTCTACGGAGGTTCAAGCATCCGGAATTTGCTAGACCGAGCTTTACAGGTTCTAATTCGAGAACCAAGGACCCAAGAAATATTTGAGAACAACAAAAGGAAAAAAGCCTCTGTTCACGAGAACGCAGAAACCATCTGAATTGAATTGTTTCTATACACATTCCAGCCGCCTCATCGCACCATACCATGAATGGGAATCTAGTTGTACCTTGGTGAAAAGCCTCAAATGCTTGACACCTAACAAATACATTGTGCAGTATGATGAAGCGGGGAATAAAGGGTAACTTTGAACGTAAAGTCCAAAGTTTAAACGGCAGACAGATCGCCGAAACGCTCCTAAAAAGTAATGGACATGAGTATTTCCTTTTAGGAGACACTAAAGAATCAAATTTACGTACCTTGTAACCGGGGGGCATCCACTTGCCCTTGGAGACAAGGGAGGCGGTCTTCTCGTCGATCTCGGGCTGAGCGGAGGCAACCTCGTCCTAAACACAAGTGGTAAGCGACCACATCCAACAAATACATAGACACCATAAATACGTACGACAGTGAGCTCGTCGAAGGGACGGGCAGTCTCGATGTTCTCCAGGGTCTTCTGGAGGTTGATCAGCTCGGCCTCAACCTTGCCCTTGGTCTGCTCGGCGTTCTGGACGGCCTGGGCCTCGAAGGCGTCGATGGCCTTCAGCTGGCGAGAGACATCGTAGGAAGCGGGCTTGAAGTTCTTGAAGTGGTTCTCGATCTCGTCGACAATAGCCTGGTTCTTGAGGATCTTGCGGTATTGAGAGAAGTCGACAGTCTGGGGCTGCTCGGACAGAACCTGGACCTTGCGGCGGGCGTCATCGTTGCGCTTCTTGAAGGACTGCAGAGAGGCGGCGGTTTGGCCGCGCAGACCGAGGGAGGTGGTGACCTTGGTCCAGTCGACCTTGAGAGCGGCGCTGCGCTGTTGTTCGGGTAAGGGGAGTTAGCGGGGGCTATTTACTGGCGGGAAAGCGGGAAATTCTTGCTGTACTAATCAGCAGGAAGGTTAACATACAGCTGCCATTGTGACGGGAAGGAAGATGAGGTGGTGAGGTGGAGAGAGGGGGAGAGTTCGATTTGCAGGGAGGTAGCCGGACAGGCGAGTTTGACTCGGAAAGGTTTGGATGCGGGAAACACGTGACCTCCCGGCATCCGAGCATCGGCTGCTTTTTATACATACATGACACCACTATTATCTCAATTGAAATGAGTTTATTGGGGCGTTCTAAATTATAGAATGTCTATTGAAATAAAGGGAAGGGATTATTTTTTGAGATTACATTGGATTGGTTCAATTCTTTTTTTTGTAGGTTGAATTGTGTACACTAAAACAGACTTGACGGGAATCCTATCAAGCTGCAAAACCCAAGCCACTCAAGAGAATCGCGAGTCATTCACGCTTCACGCAAAAATGGAAAGTTCATCATATGCTGAGAGCCATGATGGAGTTGACAATATCGTTGTCGTTCTCCCGCAGAGCCTTGACAGCCTTCTTGCGGGAAACGCTGGCCTGGGCCATAACCAGGTCGATATCCTTAGCCTCGAGGCCGGACTCATCGACGGGCTCACCGTCATCCTCCTCCTCCTCCTTCTTGGCCTCAACCTCAGGGGCCTTGCCCTTGCCGTGGTCGTGGTCGTGGTCGTGGTCGTGCTCATGGTCGTGGTCGTGAGCGTGCTCACCAGCAGCCTCAGCGGCGGCGAGCTGCTGAGCAGCGGAAGCCTGAGCCTGGGCGTTCAGGTCCTCAATCTTAGCCTCACCGAAGATGCTGAAAGAAAAAGTTAGTTCGGATTTGCGTTCCAGATGAGATTTGGGGTGTTAAACACGTACATCCAGGTGTTGGTGTTGGGGGAACGGTAGACATCGGGCTGGTTGACGACGAAGAGGATCTGTAAAATCACCAATTAATCTTCGGTCATAAAGTGCAGAGAAGGCTTCATCTATTCATTGGTAGATATGCGCCATGAAAAAAGCCTGCCTCCTCTTCACTGAATCATTCACACCAGATATACATACGTTCTTGGGGCGGCGGAGGGTGACACGGGTGATGCCAGGAACGTGCTTCAGGCCGAGCTTGGCAATAGCCTTGCGAGCCTTCTTCTCACCACGAGAGTGGATGGTGACGGAGGCACCGGCGGGGATGGAGGTGTCGTTCTCAGCCTCAGACTCAGAGTCGCTGACGTCCTCGACGTTGGTCTTGGGGACCTCGTCATCGGCAAGCTCTTCAATACGGGGGTCGGCCATTGTGAATATGTGTGGAGGAATCTAGATAGCAAAAATCGACGGAATATGTTAATTGGAGCTCAATTCAAGTGGCGAGGGAGTTGGAGGTGGTTGGAAGTGGGAGGGTGGGCGTATAGTGGGAGGAACCGAGCAATCCCCCACGAATCGCACAACAGGACGGAAAATGACGATTTCGGGTTGTGGGAATTCGAAGAAACGGCCTATTGACCTTTTTAACGCACCTGAAAAACAGATATCGAGGAGTTGAAGGATAGGGTGGATTTTGACGAGTCGTGAGATCGAAGAAGCCGTGAGCTGTGCGGCAAGACTGACCGAAAATCGTTAGCGAGGCGGTTGCGCCCACCCCGGACTTCCACACATTGCCCTATACTATGTGGCCCGTCAGTTAGTGTATGTTACGCCGCAACGTCACTAAGATCAAGATACTACATATATATCTATATAGAAATATACAGATTTTTTGAGATTACGATTGATTTTTGCAATATAACGGAATTTTGTTCTACACAAATTTGCTTTCCTTGATTCTTTTTTCAGTCCAGGAAAGAATCCCGATTCTATAGAAAAAAAAAAAGGGCCAGCGGCCTAGAACGCAGAACAATGATACAAGGGCCTTGCCGGGATATCAAGGATATTGAATCGTTTTAGCTGTAGATGATTAATGCATACAGCGATTTTGCTGGGAGTTATGCCAGCTATGGAAACCCGTCCCAGGACACCTCCTTCATCCTATGCACCAAACCGTCGTAAAAACATTTAAGCCTTGGTAGCAGCGCGGACCTTGGCGAAGGACTTCTGGACCTCGTAGCGGGCCTAAATTTAATAGCGTTAGAATATATGCATGTATAAAATGTGGAGTAGACTGCGCCGGGAATCCTGGGGTGAATCTGCAAAAGTTGCATAGTTGCATAATTGCGTCCTGATCCAGAATATGGGGTATATGGGGTGGATGTGTTGGTATGGATTTGGGTGGGTGTTTTAACACGTACCTGCTTGCGGAGACGCAGGACCTTGAAGCGCTCGAAGTCGGTCAGGTTCTTCCGTCGCTCAACCTTGTCGGTCTTCTGGGCGAAGCTGGACTTGGCCCACTTGCCGTCGATCTCGTTCTTAGCCCACAGCTTCTTAACGGGACCAGTACCGGCAGCACGGGGAAGCTGGGGAATGGTGAAGGGGGTGAGAGTGGCGTGGGCAAGAGCGAGAACGTGACGGGGCACGATCTTCTGCTCCTCACCGGAGGGACCGTCAACCAGGACCTAAATAACGCAGAACAGTCAATAACGAGTTCCTGCTGGCGGATTGTCGCTCCTTTTTGATCCCCCGATTCTCCTGCTTCTTCCATATTCTTCTTTTTCTTGATTCCATCCAGGCGATCTTTGCGCGGATTCTTCGGGGATATTGGAGCGACTGAAACATGCGGATTGCTGGAAATTTTCACATACACGGCGGTGGTCGACAATCTCAACGATGGCAGCGAGCTTGCCGGCGAAGGGGCCGCGGCGGATCAGCACGAGGCGGCCAACCTCGACCAACTTCCACGCAGCGAGCTTGACATCGATATCGGCCATGGCGAAGGCTGTCTGGGGAACACGAGTTCAGCGGTTGTTTCTTTCTTTATCTTGTAGCGATCACACTCACGGTCGACGGGTTTGGATGAGTCGGAGGGTTGTTGTCGAAGAAAGTCGGATAGTCCAAGTTGGCTCTGCGAATTTCGGATGTGCCCACACAATTCTCGCTTAGCGGGCCACTCGTGGACGGTCTAGGGTTGGCTTATGTCATCATCTAAGTTGGTTCGGTGTTTCTGTTTTTCCGGACCGTAGGTTATCTTCGTTTTTTTCTTCACTTAACAACTTTGTTATTCTACTTGTGTTTTAATCCCTGGAGCTTTCTGGGAGCAAAATGATGCTCTTGATTGTCTCTATGGCTACAACGACGACACTTCATCATATTTACACAATTATTCGACATACAACTCACTAATGGTACGTTTGACATGTCTCATTATCTTCGCCTTCCAAGGTTTCTACCTACTTCATATGATGAGGTAATTTGCGATTGACCCGGTGTCTGTGAGGCTCTCGCCGGAGTCTCGATACAGCACTGCTGGATGATATTCAATTTTCTTACATATTCTGATATTTTGTTCTTTTGAACCATTTGTTGCTCTTGTTATATGTCTTGGGCATTCTTGCTAATTGCATGAAGATTTTTTTTTTCTAGCTCTTACTCTCACCTCACCTCAAGTAATCTCATATTGGGTATGTATATCTACTTTCTTATTCTGCTTTTTACGTCTCCCCCGGTTCAATGATTATAAAATTTATCACGCCTAGATAGTAATTGATGTCTTCGGGCACATGATATTACCTTTATCACCAAGATCTCTGAGAACCTTAACACAAGCTGCAATTTTTTATTTCATGCTTTAGTTGGACCCGCTTCTGACTTTTTATAGGACCACTGGCAGTTCCGATCATCTCAATTAGCTTAAACTATGCATATAAATACTATATTTATTTTGATGAACTTCTTTCCCATCTCTTCCATCCATGCCTATGTAGATACCTTAGCTTCCTGTAACATATCTCTACTACACTTAATATAATCTCGTCTACACTTGGAAAAATTTCGTCAGTTCGGAACATGTAGCTAATTTTGATTACAATAAGTCGTGCTATATCGTGACTATCGAGGCGGATCGTGCGGTATGAAATCCAAGGCGCCGTTGATGACCTGCCTGCACGTCCACACAACCATACCTCCCCTCCATTCCCGTCTATACCCAAAATGCATGCAGCTCCTCCACCAATGCCATTGGTCATTAAGAGCTGGCATTCGAAGCCAGCGCCGAAGGACCCTCACGGCTCAAAACCCACATGAAGATAAACTGGATGACGTACGAGTAGACAAACAAGAACTGCGTGCGGCGATTGCGCTGCGATCGAGCAACAGTATGCATCGCACCGGTCTGCATGGCGGAATCTGTCGAGTCGGGAAGTAGAACGTACTTCAATGAACGGAGCTGTAACATCACGAGTTAGCAACGATTCGCCGTAGTCTCCGTCGTGGTCTTCAAGACTTACCAGGAAGAAGGCATTCGCCAAAAATGTGTACACAAAGACCGTCCAGCCAACCCAGCCACCAGTTCCTCGGCCTGGGGTGAGAATCTCCGATGCAACCAAAGTAGCAATGATACCCACAAACTTGTATCCTGAGTACGCCACTAGATCCAGGAGCTGCGAGTCGTTGTTGATGGTCAAGATATACATGGCCATCTTCAAGCACAAAATCTCGAAGATAATCACCGCAATAGCGGTCGTAGTGATCGAGCCCAGCAGCTCTGGGTGGAAATTACCACGGAATCCAGCCAACAGAACCGACAAAAGGATATATGTGACCAGTGCCATAACAGGAATGTACATATCGGGCGAGTTCAAGTCGTCTCGTGGGGGCAAGAACATTGACGAGTATTGCTGCTGGGTAATCTGGCCATTTGGACCTGCAGATGCGGCCATTCGAGCCTGCTGGCGAGACCAGGGCTTGTGTCGCCAGGGGAAAAAGGACGAGTGCAAGCTTGTTAAGCACGTAGGAGTTGGAAACGTTGAAGTAGTGCTTCAAGGCTGGTATGGAAACATAGCGATTGAACTATGCAGTAGGTGTTAGAGGATGTTTTGTGTGTGGCCTCCATATTCTGAATGGGCTCTTACGTTCTGTTCCATATATTCCTGGCCTGCCATCATCGCACTCTTGCCAACCTGGAATCCCATCTGCGCGGTAGGATCGGCCATGAACCCACCAAAGCCAGGGTTACCATAGGTGCCGCTACCACCTTGTGCGGGTGAAGGTTGGTATGGATTGCCCCCATATCCGGTATTCGGGGTTTGCTGAGAAGTAGGTGGAGGTGGTGAGCGCATCATGGGGACGGTCGACACATGCTGCGGGACGGGGTGATGAAGAGGCGGCGACTGCGCGGGCGGCGGGGCGAATGAGCCACGATACATTATGTTCCTGATGCGACAGGGAAGAGTAAAAGAAGGGAAAGCACCAGATATCGTTAAAGGACTGGGTGCTGCGTCGTGGGAGTGGTGGATTCGGGGGGTGGTGAGAGACGAGAGGTGATAAGTAAAGAGAAGTGTTTATACGTGGCTGAAGATCCCGCTGTGTCTCCGAGCTCTAACCATCTCTTTCCGATCCGCCACCACTAACTTCCTCTACGTCGTCGACTCTCTCATTTTCCCCCCCCCCTCACTGAACATACCACTATTTTCGCTCTTGTGCTAATTTCTACAAATAATCCTTGAAATGCTTGAAGCTTTTGAGATCTTGACCACCTCCGGTGTGGTGCTGTGGTCCAAGTCCTACGCTCCTGTGGGGTCTCATGTCATTAATAGCCTGATCAACGACGTCTTTATCGAGGAGAAAGTGGTACCTCAGAGCATCACCGTTACAGGAGCTTCACCTGTTTTCAAGAAGGAGAAATATACGCTCAAGTGGAAGCAAGTCAAGGAGTTCAATTTGATCTTTGTGGTACGTCCCCATCGATCGTCGCATGCCGATCGCATGTTGTCGCGAAGCTAATCACTCTCTCTACAGGCAGTCTACCAATCGTTACTTCACCTCGGATGGATCGATAAACTTCTAGAAAATATTTCGACGATCTTCCTCGACGTTTACAAAGACCAGTTGAAGGGCAACCGTACCAGAATCACCACCTACCGGTTTGAGCCGTACTTTGAGCAGCAGGTGCGAGAGCTCGAAGATAACACTGGTGGCGTGTCAGAGACACATGTCTCTTTGACAGAGGAAAAGAAGGACCCGCTTGTTTCCTCGGACAATGGCGGTCCTCCGCCGCCGATTCCCGGCCTCATGAAGGGTATGCTTGTCATGACTCAACCAAACTGTCAAGGCTATCATAAGCTAACAAATCCTCAGCGCAGCTTGGTGCTGTGCCAGTCGGGGCAGCCTCTGATAAGGGCACGCCACCGGCAACTCCTGAAATTTCTAGGTCTTCCACCCCCGTCGCTAGCCAGATCCTAACTGGTAAGGCTGGGCCTGGTGGCCGGGTCTCTCGCCGTGCTCGGAAGGCTGCGAACGCGACTCCCAATGCCTCATCTGGTGATGAGGTCTCGCGCAAGGTTAAGACTCCCAAGGGATCTGCCAAGAAAATGCGTAAATGGGATGCTAGCGGATTTGCTGATGAAGATGACGGCGAGATTTTGGATTACTCTGCTCCAGCGGATGATACAGATGCTGTTGCACCCGTTGTAGAGGCTGTTGCCCCAGAGGACTGGGGCCACAAAACTGGCAAGGGTCAATTTGTTCTTAAGGACTTGGGTGATGAAGTCCACAATATCTTGGACAATGCTGATGCTGAAAAGAGCAAGACCACTGCAACTTCTGGATTCCTCGGCTCCGGCTTCAATGCCGTTGGTGGCCTTTTCCGTAACATTGTCGGTGGCAAGGTCCTTTCAGAAGCTGACCTCCAGAAGCCACTCAAGGCGATGGAAGATCATCTGCTGAAGAAGAACGTTGCTCGTGAAGCTGCTGTCCGTCTCTGTGAGGGAGTGGAACGCGAGTTAGTTGGAAAGAAGACGGCCAATTTCCAGAGCGTCGATGCCGCACTACGTATCGCCATGGAGGCGTCTTTACGCAAGATTTTGACTCCCACATCCTCGTTGGATTTGCTGCGCGAGATAAATGCTGTGGCAGCCCCAACTACCAAGCAGCACGCTCCCCGGCCCTACGTTATTTCGATTGTTGGCGTGAACGGTGTTGGCAAGTCCACAAACTTGAGCAAGATTTGCTTTTTTCTCTTGCAAAACAACTACCGAGTTCTCATTGCCGCCTGTGACACATTCCGTTCTGGTGCAGTCGAGCAACTGCGCGTCCATGCCCGCAACCTCAAGGAGTTGAGTTCCCGTGAGAACGTGGGTGAGGTCGAGCTCTACGAGAAGGGCTACGGCAAGGACGCCGCCAATGTTGCTAAGGATGCAGTAGAGTATGGAGCCAGCCAGAAGTTCGATGTCGTCTTGATTGACACTGCTGGCCGTCGCCATAACGATCAGCGACTTATGTCTTCGCTGGAGAAGTTTGCTAAGTTTGCTAACCCAGATAAGATCTTCATGGTTGGTGAGGCGTTAGTTGGTACAGACAGTGTGATGCAAGCACGTAACTTCAACCAGGCATTTGGCACTGGGCGGAACTTGGATGGATTTATCATCAGCAAGTGTGACACTGTGGGTGATATGGTCGGAACACTGGTCAGCATGGTCCACGCCACCGGTATTCCCATTGTCTTTTTGGGTGTAGGACAGCATTACGGGGATTTACGTGGACTCAGTGTTCCTTGGGCGGTTGACCTGCTGATGAAGTAAATCCAAAGATTTGGCTAGAAATTTTCGTGTACTTTTTTTTTTTATTTTTTATTTTTTGCTTTTGGAACAGAGAATTAGCAATGCTCTTGATGAGCCTCTAGCAACAAATCCATTTCCTAATACCTACATATGATATAATCTACAGCACTTGAATGAAGAGAAACTTGATTTAATCGTCACACTACATGATAAGCTTGCATGCCAGTAGATGCACGTGCCCATGTAGGACATCGAAGAATGGGAAATATCTCCGGATGTCTGGGAGATGACACAAAAATAAGCACAAAAAGGTAGCAGAACAAAAATGAAATGATTGACCGACGCAGGGGTCGAACCTGCAATCTCTTGATTCGTAGTCAAGCGCCTTGCCATTGGGCCAGCCGGCCTTGTTGAAGAGATTGCAAAAGTTGGATACAAAAGGCCCACAAACTTGATGGCAAACATGGCCCACATTTTGCCGGAATAGGTAATTCTCCACGTGATATACCCCACTAGGCGGATGCATAAACTAATATAAAGAGGTCCAAATACTTCAGTTCCTACATTCAACTCATACAGTAAGCAAAAAAACCACTCTCATGAAGAACGGAGGTCAAACTCAAAAAAAGATTAAACTAAAATTAACAGTAATATTAGGCAAAAATAAAAGATGCAAAAAGAAACTCTCCCTCGGGGAATCGAACCCCGGTCTCCCGCGCTTATCGGTGTTAATGACAAGCGGAAATCATGACCACTAGACCAAGGAAGATGAGATAGTCGAGTTCCACTCGACCACTTGGGGTGGTTGATGTCTGTGTGGCAACTTTTGGGTTTATGAAGGGCTAATTTAGAAAGCATCGCTCAATCCGACCGACTGTAGTACTCACTTCACTCCGACTGTTAGCCATATCCTATTAATTGATGTCTTCAAGGTCTTTAATTCAGGTCCATGTAGGTGTATGAATTTGTGATATTTGTCCAGGTGTTTGATTCAAGGTTTGGCCTCACAAACATTGAAGATTTCAACTTGAAGTACATCGCGATCCATGTGCATTCCAACTTGAAGGTTTGATGGCAATTTATATATTCAAGTTCAAGTTCCCAGCCGTGACAGCTAGTAGATTGATTCAAGTTTCAACTTGAATTGATCACCAGTCACTTCAAATGTTCCAAGGTTGCAGATACCAGTAGTATGTACATACTACTGACTGAATACTTAAATATGCGAATATCCAAATGTGCATGGATGGCTGTCGGAGAAGATGTGAACACACCTGGACATATGCACTTGCACATGTACAGACTTGTGTGCATCCATGTGAACTCTGATTTCCATATTTTAGGGAGTCACCCATGTGTCACTGAATGAGCGAAGAGTCGGGTAGAAAATGAAAAGAAATATTGTAGAATTAGGGCTATTAGTGAAAGCCCAAGGCAATATTTCCAAGTATACATATGTAGAAATAGCTACATATTGATCATAATGCTCATTGGTAGGTGAATATATCAATAAGATCAGAGAGACCCAACACTGGTTTTGTTTACATATGTAAAAACAAGCCAGAGTAGGGAAATGGAGATAATAAATGCAAAATTTGAACCACCTTCATAGAGCCTGTTGGCAATGCATGTTAGTTGCTGTAATAGTCTAATAGCGAGCCAAACCTAGGAGTATCAGCCTTGTTCAGATCTGAACGAGAGTTGGATACCATTTCTGTAGGCCTGTAAGTCAACCGCAAAAGACATAAACACGATGCGGTGACCATGGCCAGTCGCCAAGTCACCGTCGCCGGGGTCGCCGGGGTCGCGGTTGTCGTTGTTGTCATGAGTCAACGGTGAGTTGACCGCAGTCAATTCATAATGTCGATGAGGGGTAGGCACCGATTTCTCTGACATGAAACTGCACCCAGCAACCAACTTCACTTGGATGTCTTCTCAACCACAACAAGGCTCTCCTATCCCACCGACCCCCCTTCATATCTGAGATATACCAAGAGGGTCTCCAATCGCTCGCAAACCGGAAATATGGAAAAGAAAAAGAAATTTGAGCCCGAATTTGAGCCCACGCTGGAGAGTATCCCTGAGGATGAAGAGCTGGAGTTAGAACCGAAGCCAAGTCCGCAGAGGTCGACATTGGGGCACCAGTCGCTCTCTCAAAATCCCAGGGACACGGACACAGGGCACCTTCAGCCGGATCCAGATTCATCGCCACATAACGAACCACCTCTAGAGGTGCCGGTCCCGGCGAAAACACAGCAGACACAATCGGCAAACCCGCAGAGGCCGGTTTCAAGGCGCCAGTCGCTCTCTCAAAATCCCAGGGACACGGACACATGGCGCCTTCAGCCGGATTCACTCCCACCGCCACATAATGAACGTCCTGTACAGGTACTGGCCCCGATTCTACCGCAGCAGACACAATCGGCAAACCCGCAGAGGCAGGCCTCAAGGCGACGGTTGCTCTCCCGAAACCCCAGGAGCACGCACTCAGGGGACCTGTACATGGACTCACTTCCGCCGCCATATAGTAGGCCATGATAATGTCCAATTTAGCATTTGTCAAAGGTGAGTCGACAATTTCGAAGCATAGACGATATTGGACGCCCAATGATAAAGATATCGGGTGATCAATCCAAACTATATCGAAGCTATCGTTGCTCGATATATGATGACAAATAAGAAATAATAGTTCAAGTACTAACAATGCGAATAGACAGCTATGTCCAGTGTATAATACTTCGCCGAAGAAGAAGCGCCGATGCCAGAGTCTTGTACCATGGAAGTAATATGGCCAACAACGATGAGCGATTGTGGCTGTCCAAACCAAGAAGCTTCAAGTGTGGTAATGATATCAAAAGTCGAGAAGAGGACAAAACCTGATCGGGATGTGGGAGCAGAGCCAAGGGGTTGGAGATTTGATGAAGATGAGAATTCGATCTGAGCCCACCTGTGTCCAAGAAGCCGTCAAGAAATACCTGAAAGACAAGGCCATGGAAGCTCACCATTGAAACCGGTCAACCAGCGCCACGGTGCAGTCTGGTTAGGTCCATCAGAAGAATGCCAACATTGCCAGGATTTTTGAGAAATTGTTGGTAGTCTCATGTCATTTCTAGATGTGCCAGAGGTGAAGTGTGGTTGGGGCCAGACGAGGAAAGAGATTCGAAAGTCATGCGGCAGCTCCATATTGATTTCCCGGATGGATGTCTCGTGAATTGACGAATGGGGGCTATAGAAGCCCTTATTGAGGGAAAGGGGACCAGCCAAAAGAATAAGTCCACCGGCAAGGTGTTGAGGATCAAAGGGGAAGAAGTGTTTCTGCCTGAGAATGGAAGAATCCGGACTATGGGATATCAATAGGGTAGAGGGAAACACTACCACTCGCCTCACTGTCGACCACGCACCCTCCTTCACCCCGCCCTTAACGTCCCTCACCACATCCAAAGTCTGGAAAAAAGTCTTTTCATTCGAAGCGAAGGCCATATAAAGCCTGTTAATCCTCCCTTTTAAAGCCTGCGGAAAGATCCCCCCCCGATCACTAACGGCGATATGACGGAACTCCCTGAGGCTATTCGTCAGGCACGGTACCGGTTTCGACCAGGCAATAATTGTCAGCACAATCAGGTTCTTCGTTACTACTCCAACCCAGAAAGACCTCTCATTTGCGATGAATGTCATCAACAAAAACGTCTTCTTTATGCTTGCACCGCCGACACCCCAGACTTCTCACCTGTTCAGTATGAAGATGAGATGCCCCCCCCGAGGTGTGGAAATCCTCCCAGTTGCAATGCAGAAGGCTATTGCAGAGGGTCACTACACCAGCGAACAAGTGAACAAACTCATAACTGCGAAGATGGATGTTCTGGCCTCAATTATGTTCGACAATGACCAAGTTATCCCTGAACAATACCTCATACCCCAGGTCGCAACCATGCGACAATCTACGATGGACTGGCTTAAGTTCATGATAGAGCAGCACGATGATGATGAGGATCTCGATCCTTTAACTCCCATGCCCTGTCAATTCCGAGCTTGTGCATCTTGCCGACCTGCCTTGGCGCAGCGGGCATTCGACAGCTTAAACGCAATCGTGAATGAGCCTTACCAAGCTCTTCCTGCGATTCCCGAGTACCTCAATCGGCCTATCGTGCTGGCAAGTGTTGCGGCTAACCTGCCCGAGCCAGAACTGCAAGAATGGGCAAATGCTCCGGGGTTTCGCCCGTGGTGGAAGACTGTTAAAGACTCTGTTTGTTACGATGTGAAGATTGTCGTGAAGCAAGCCAAATCGATGGGACTCGCAGCCGGCCAATTCAAAAAGCTGATCGAGTGGATCATCCGGCGCTGCAAACGCCAGGCGGATGCTGAGGCGACCTTGAAATGGCTTGCAGAGATTCAGAAGACTCCATCGCAGATTGCGCATTTTCTCCGAACGCTCACTGAGTCTCGAACTTCGCCTCGTTTACGCCGGTCACTGCACCGCTCATCATCTGGACGTTTCGACCCCGAATCATCTCTATCATCCAGTCCCGTTTGGGAAGAGATGGAGCACGGAGGAGAATTTTTGGAGACTCCACAATGGGAGTATTCCGATGACCTGGCCTATTCTGCAACTCACAGGGAGGTTCATCAGAGAAATACCGGTCTTTTTAGTGCTCATCGAGTCGCTTGGAGTTGGAAGTATGCCCAAGAGGCCACCGAGGCTGAGGAAGAGACTGAGGATATTGAACTCGAGGAGGAGGAGACTGAGATTGAGACTGAGACTGAAACTGAAACTGAGCAGGAGACTGAGACTGAGACTGAACCATCACCCGATCAAGGAGCATCAATGGATCCCAGTACCTGAGCTAAGATCATTCCCAAGAATCCTGGAGAGGATACCCACAGATACCATTCTTGATGATGCTTGAAGGATGTTCAGTTTATTACGGTAGTATGGATATGGTTGAGGGTATCTTATGGTGAAACATTCCACATGCAAGGTGATATGTGTGAGGTTACTTGTGAGCCCAACAATATTCTCAAAGGCAAAGAAAAATGTAATACAATGAAATTTGCGTAATTTGCGCAATACGAGAAAGAGAAATATTACTTAACCAAAAATCCTTTGATACGAGAAGAAGAAGAAGGATGAAAGTGCCCCTACCTAAAAAGAAGTACAGATTAGTAAGAGACGGCATTCACGAGCGGAACTTGACCCAGGAAGGAAAGAGCAACCTTGTTCCGAGCCTCGGTTCCGATTAGTGACCGCGATTTCCGTGATAGGCGCTTTTATCTTTTGATATAACTCCCCCTGGGGAAAGCTGGTCTTTCTCATCCTTTCTACTTTCTCCTTTTAAATGCATATTTCACATATCTCACAAAATGTCAGACTCAGAGAACCCTCCAGACAGCTCAACACCAGATGACACTCAACATGTGGGGAAAAGCAGCAGCCCGGTAACCGCGGGGAAATCGGCCACACGACGGGAATTATTAGCAGCGCTGACCGCAACTGATGTGACTATCCGACGTTTAGACCTGTGAGTGTTAAACCAGAGTCCATTATGAGATTCCCACACAATGTCAACTATATTCTATTTATTCCTAGTTGAAACTAACATGATCTTCGCAGACTTCTATCTTCTGCCGACGGACAAGAGCGAGTTCTCGCAACCGTAAACTACGTCGCCTCTATCCTCCACCACCTCTGCGCTTCAGCACCCTGGATCGCCTTCCAAATGCGACTAGGAATCCTCGCCCGATTACGCGGTAAAACCATATCACCATCAACCCCTTCCAAACTCTCACCCTCTAAATGGGCAGCCCTCTCCTCTCTCGCCTCGGAAACCCGCTACAATCTCCGACTCTTCGGATTACTCCCATTATGGACTTGGGGCTCAGACACACTTAAGAATCCCCCCAGCGGACCCAATAATTCACGCCTTGACTATCCTTCAAGTGATCTCCAACGTGATCTACCAATTCCTCGAAAATGTCCCCTACCTCGCTTCAAAGGGTATTATTTCTAAGACATGGATCAATAAATACGGGGGCATTGATCTATGGTATATTTGGAGTACTCGGGGCTGGTTCGGTCACATCTTCTTTCAGTTCTTCGTTCTTTGGCGTGAAAATGTGCTACGAAAGCGACGCATGGCTGCTAAATGTGCTGCAGCTGGGATCATCGAGACGAAGGAACTGAAAGCTGAGGAGAAAGAGGAACTTCGCAAGGAGATTCGCTCGTGGAAGAAGAGTCTAGTTAATAATACTATCTGGGCGCCCTTGTGTGTTCACTGGTGTTTCGAGAAGGGTATTGGTATCCCCGAGAACTTGATCGGCTTGTTTAGTCTCATGGCTGGTGCTTGGGGGTTACGGGACTCGTGGGCTGCAACAGCTAAAGCATGAGCTATATCTTATAAGATCTTTTGCTTTTCTTTGCCATCTAGACTTGATTTTTTATTATCTGAACATATTACTAGCCATTTGCGTCTTTGACGCCAGATCATACCCCTGTTTTCAATTGGATTTTTTTCTGCTATATTTTCTCCTGGCATTTTACCGTATTATCACTAATTGCTATGAATTGAGCCGTCACCTTTAGCCAGAAAGCCACAGCTCCCTAATGTGGAGAATACCCGAGCATGAAGACCTCGGGAACCTTGGAACGAGTCCATAAACAATTCCAAAAAGGAAATTCCAGGCAAAGAACGGGACATGAACTTGGAAAATAAGTGCGTGAGTATCTGCCACAGACTCCATTCTTCATTTTCGTTAGTCATGGCTCGCTTTACGCGATGCTGGGTATCACTCGGGTTTAATCCGGACCCATCAACACTGCCTCCATGTGGATGTGTTAATGTGAAGTGGATCTATTAATGAACTAGTGGATACAAATTGGGTAAGGCCACGCGGTTATCAGATCCGAGTCTCATCCAGCTTCCCAGGTTAGACAGGGCGCGTTATGCTTGATCTAAACTAGGTTAAAATATGAGACGCTAGAAAGTCATGATTTCATTCCGTATGATACACAGGTCAATATTAGGTACAGGTGCATAGCATCTGACATGACTGTGATGAAACTTGGAAGTTCGTTGAAAAAAAGATCAATTCAGCAGGCCATGGAGATACAAAACAGATTGGGTATACATCTCAAATGGTCATCAACTGTAAGAACGCAAGGCATAGAGGTATGGGTAAGAAATAAAATGACAATAGACATATGGCATACCATGCATGGAGTAGGAAAAAAGAATAATCAGGTCATGCCATAACATGGGGAATGGTAGAGAGGGATTGAAGATGAACATTCTTAACCACGACGGGAAGATCGACGAGTTGGGAGAGTGGTTGTGACGGGCTTGTCTGCTTTCTTTCCACGAGGAGTCTTGCTCTTAGGCTCGGGTGCTTTCTTGCCACGCTTTGGCGGAGGAGGGGAGTTCTCTTTCTCACTGGCCTGTGCAGGTTCATCAGTCTCCTCATCCTCATTCTCATCATCGTTCTCTGCTTCTTGCTCCTCATCATTCTCACTCTCATCTTGCATTTCCTCATCCTCATTTTTATCCTTCACTTTGACATCGCCGTCATCTTCCTTTGCGTGGTCCCACCCTTGCATCTCCTCGTCATCCTCGTCACTGTCCTTGTCTGCGTAGCTCACTTGGACCTTAGCGACGCCTCGGCTGCTACGTCGACGAGCAGAGGCGGATACACTTTCCGCACCAACATCAGAAGACCAGTCATCATCGCCCTTGCGCTTACGTTGAGGAGTCTTGACAGAAGCACCGACCGATGAAATTGATTTGCGACCGGGTCGAGAAGATTTCTCTTTGCGAGATTTCTTCGCCGATGCATTTCCGTTTGAATCAGAAGCCTCGGGTTTTCTCTTCTTAGCTGAGCCGTGCAGACTTTGCGATACGCTCTTAGTCTTCATTGCCGTTCGGACAATACGGTCAAGCATATCATCCACTTCATCAGGAAGGAAGTTCTTGTCCGCAACTTCTTGGGCTTCTTGGTGACTGCCCATTGTGCTGAAGAGGGAGCTAGGGACACCCATCTTACCCGGGTACGTCTGCAAGATATTTGTGCTTCCACTACCACCTCCAAACTTGTGTTGCTGGGAGTAGATATCAGCGAATCGTCGGATTGTAGCTTGGGCCAGATCGGAGAGAGTGTGAAGACGTGTAGACACCCCGTCTGAGTTGGTGATCCCATCACGGAACTGCTTGACACGTTGAGCAACATGGAAAATCAGGGACAGGTTGTGCTCGTTGGCAACAGCGGACAAATAGAAGACAATGTATCGGGAAAAGTCACTTAAATCAGCGAATTTCGTCGCTTCGTCGAGATCGTCGGACGGATAATCAGGGTGATAGGCAAGCAGAGACAAAAGACGGGAAAATATCAATTCCATGACCATGGTCTGTTCGGTTCGCTTGCCACTGGCCTGGACCTGCTGTGCAAAATACGTGGCGCGGGATCGGAGCCACACCTGGGTGTTGTCCTTCAATGCCGGGACGGGCTCATAGGCAACCAAGCAAGGTACGATGTACCAACGGTATCCAAGTTGGGTCCGCTTCACCAGTTGTTTCTGAAGGTAGGTGATAAAGGCGGTCCGCACTCGTAGAAGGGGGTCTTGGGCCATCAAGCTAATCGCATTGAAATCCACAGGAGTCAAGAGGTGATCGCATAGAGTACTGGATGCACAGAGCTTGACAAGCGACTTTGCAGCCAACAAGCGCAATCGGGACTTTTGCGTGGCAGGAGTATCCTTTTTTTTAGAAAGCTCGCCTTCTCCAGCTACCAGTTTGTTCAAAGTCTCGTAGACGGGTTCAGCATGTGCACGGAAGTCATCATCGTCGTCGGAGCCATCTTTAGCCCGGAGACGGTTGACGATTATTTTAAGGGCCCATTCCTTGGCTTGAGTTTCCTCATCAACTGTATCAGACCACTGGTATTGCGGCGCCTCCTCGGGGTTGCGGTTCTTCAAGAGAATCTCATTGACTGCGATTGCGATAATGGCATCACTTTCATCATCAGCTTGGCGCGGTGCGAGCAGGTTCAACTGGGACAAGGCAGCGAGTTGGGTAAGGAAATGCTCAGATCCATAGGTCCATTTCTTGACACATTTTTGAATCAAGTCCTTCGCATACATTTCCTTCCGCTCGGAAGTAGCCATGAGAATTGAAACAGCATGCTTGGCAGACAGTGGCGAAGGGCTGTACAGAGCATAATTTGTCAATGCTTGGTAGAATTTGCGCTCCTTGGGTAATTTCTCGGGAAGCTTCTTAGCAAATCCAGCGCAAGCTTTGAGAATCTCCTCACTATTAGCCTCTCCAGGTGATGACGCCTTGGGAGCTTGCGACTCAATGTCTTTGCACATTTCTTGAACCTGAGCCTCCAGAACCTCCGGATTCTGAGTCGAAATCTGTTTCAGCATTTCTTGGGCAGCATTAGCCAAGCCATTCTCATCAGTTCGAGATAAACTCATGATTGCCGGGATATGACTACGGTTGAAGATCAAAGAGCCACTGCGGTACAGAAGAGGCATGATGGTGTCGAGCAATGGGACGTTGTTGGCAGCCTGCGCACGTCGCTGGAGCTCCTTGATAGCCTTGGTCACTGTGCGGTAATCACTGACAGCAGTCATAGCGAAACGGATGAGTTGGTAGCTGCGTCGATCATGTGTCTTGGCGAATTTCCATAAATCGGCAGATGCGCGTGCCACATCAGGGACTGTCTTGGACAGCGAATCAATAACTCGAGAAAGTCCATTCTTAACCAGCTCTTCATCTTTGTCAACCACACCTCCCTGCAATTCAGATAGTTAGCCTTATATAATCATCAATAAAAACGGTCTCATACTCACATTGTATTTCTCGCATGCTTCTAGATAGAGTGTCATAGCAGATCTCATAGAAAGCTGACGGGCTAGCATGACGAAGAAAACCCGTCTAGCCTTGTCATCGAGACCCCGAAGTAGAGTCAAGATACGACGGACGCGAATTTTATCGAGATCAATCTCTTCATCCGCATCAGGTGGCTGACTGTCTTTCTGTTTCTGAGATTGACTGGATCCACTCTTGGATTTGGACTTGACAGGTGGATAGTTGAGTGGAAGAAGAACCTCGAACATGACCCGATCAATCAAGACATGGATATCCTGGTCGTTTGTGTAAAACGCATCAAATATCTTGGTCGGCACATCTTTGAGCAAAGACGCAACAGGTTCGATGTTCTGCTCAATATCTCCAGCCGCAACAGCCCACATCCGAGCCAAAACTTTCATTGCATGTTCTCGCACCTGGGGCTTGCGATCCTTGGCACGCTCAGCGAGAATTGAGAATATGGAGTCCGGCGATGAACAGCCACCCTTCAAGCCAAGCTTATGGATGACATGTGTATACCCGAATTGTCCGACGGTATCCACAGCAGCAACACGGACTTTCTCATCAGCATCGCGAAGCATCGAAGCAAGGTTTTGAACAAGTCCTTGCTCCTCAGTTTCGCTCAAGCCAGAACCACCAGCAGAAGTCAACAGAATCCGACCTACCACCGTGATCCATGCAGCACGCACTGAAGGAGTCTTATCAATTCGTCGGCTCAAAAAGGCTTCGTAAGCTGAAGCATGTACTTGAGAAAATGGCTTTGGTGATACCGGTGTGAGAAGAACATTAGGCTGCGGAATCGTCTGTGGGTATTCCTCCAGAGTTACAGGAGGGTAGGCGGCGGGGTCCATAGGTGGTGGTGAAGGTGGTCCAGCAACACCAATTCCAGCAGCGAGGTCACCAATTGTTTGAGTAGCCAGCAGGCGGAGAGCGACTGACTCTGCAGAAAGTTCAGCCTCGATCTGCGGGATCACGTTCTGCAAGACTTCCGGGCATGCTCGCCAGAGCTCTCGAATCAGACGGTGTGCCTTGCTCAGTTCTTTGATGTCCTCGCCCTCTTCATCAGAATCATCGAGGTTTGGCCTGCGGGATCCAATCTTCGATCCATTGGCTTGTCCGGTCGGGGCAGATGCATCGATAATAACATTGTTGAAGTACTGGCTGATGTGACTCGTCATTCGCTCCGGGCAGGCCTGACAGACTGCCTTGGCCATATTGTAGGCTCGTGGGTACTCCTTCATCAAAAGGTTGCCCTGCTTAGCATCGACAGGTGCATCGCCGCGCTTAGCCTTTCGAGGGTTATCCAAGACTCGGGGATCTACCCGGAGGAACTGAGCGACAATTGTATCCACCACCTCTGCAGCAAGGACAGGTGTTTCGTCAATCACTGTCACAAGAACTCGAGTCATGTCGAATTCCACATTCTTAGCTACTTCCTCACCAGTGGAGGACTTTGAGGATCCAGAAACGATGTCGAAACATGCGGTAAACAGGGGAACAATCAGAGAATCCGGGTGATCAAGATCAGTCATGAGAACAATACTCTTGACCTCTGCAAGAGAACTCAGGACATATGTGTGCTGTCCATTATAGGCATTGGAAGGGTCGGCAAGTGCGGGGATAATGGAAGTCACGATACAGGTGAAGATATCCTATAATTCTCAGTATCAGTAAAATGCCCCAAAATATCCAAAAAGTCAAATTTATCCATAATGTTTTATCGGGCGCACCTTCAGCTGGTTCATAGTAAAAGGCGCATCCGGAGCGCATAGTCGCAAGATATCCACCAGACAGGCTGTGGCCCAGGCTCGGACACCTTTATCCTTGTGTGCAAGAAGATGAGCGCTGGCGAGTTCTTGGGACACCTTTCGCATTGATTCTTTATCAATTTCCTCCTGTTCGCCCTGTCGAAGCTCTGCGGAGAGAGTCTGGAGACGTTCAAGTAGATCAGCGATCGGGATAGCCGAGCGCCCCACGCGCCATGATAATGGCTGATTGAAGGACAAGCTACGAAGGCCAGATTCCTCCTCGGCCTCCTCAGCAGGAGCTTGGCGAGTGCGCGACGGCATAATTGCGACAACCAAGCTCTCACATGGAAAGAGAGGGGGAGTGGGAAGGTTGACGCGGTGAAAAAGGGCGGAGATGGAAGTTGACCGCCCAGACGCGTCGCACGGGACCGCGTCTTATCAGCTCCAGAGTTAGCTTAACTATGACTTCATTACTTAGAATTCTATGTGCTATTTCCTATAATTTTTGTGAAGATTCTCACAAATGCGAAGATTATAATAATTAGGATTTACAGTATTATTTTGCCAATTTACAAGGAAAAATAACAAAATGTTGTGCATAGTCTAGCTGGAACATTGCATGAAACACATCAAGATCGGGTAAACATTAGAGCGGCTCTATATTTGGATGATTATGATATACCAACTTGGAGCACTTGGGGTTCTCGACCAGATCAGTATGTAATTGGCGAGCTTCAAACTGGTCTTTGAATTAAATTTTTTACAGTACTATATACATGGAGTACCTCATGCCAGTGGATGTTGATCTACAAGAGACTAGATAAGGGTCTTTGTAGTAAACATTGGAACAAGTTTGCAGCAGTTCTCAGTCAATTGGCATCTTTGACACCAAAAGCTACAAGAGCTACGGCCAAGAAACTCTCTTTGATAGAAATTTCGCCACCAGCGGTTCTTGAATTTGTCTTATTTGTCCGATTGTCTCGCTTAGCGAAGATCCAGCTCAATCTGAAGTTCTTGTACCAAAGCCTGAATCGCAGCATCTGCAGAAAGACGCTCTTGAATAAACATCAATAGTTTTCTGGAGAGACAATTTATAAACCAACCCCCACAGCTTTCCGCTCGCTCAACCAGACTGGCGCCCCAGTAGGCTAAGACAACAAGTGCGGCTGGGTTTTGGTCTGAGACCATACGATTGAAATAGTCCGTTATCTCAATCAACCATGCGACCATGAGCTGCCATACACTTGACAAATAATCCGATTCAAGACTACGAATATAGCATTTTGACAATGTTCCGATGGCATGTATAATGGCTGGGGCATCTTGCTCATGATGTGGTTTTACGAATATCTCTGCCATACGATACGGAAGCATATCAATATGGCTGAGTAGCATAACAGTCCGAGAGTCGTTTTCTGGGGAGCTATTATTACACAAGGCTCTCTGAGACTCGGGGTCCTCCTCCATCCCAGAAGACACACTATTTCGAATATCTCCGAGTAAAGACTGCAGCTGAGATAAGTTTTCAGTACAATGGGTAATCTCGTGACTCATATTGAATCCCTTCAAAGTCAATTGTATGCAGTTTAGGATGCTTCTGATTTTAATTCCTGCGTTGCTCACGTCATGGAAAGCATCGATGGTTGTATTCGTATCATCGTTGGTTATTGTGCTGAACCCGACAAAGAACTCGGAAGCGAGCTTTGTCGCTTGCGCACGGTGAATTTGATTTTTTCCTCCTCCTTCTTGTGTCATCTCATCCTGTGATGTGACTAAATGATATGCAGAGATGGCTAGTAGTCTAAACATCATCCATTTTCGTTGTAGTGCGAGTGGAATCACTTCTTTCTCCCAGCACTGCGATGCCGATAAAGAACCCTCGATCCTAGGAAGGGACTGACATGTGGAAATAGTGAAATGGTGAAAATATGTTAATATTTCGAGGTCCATCTCGAGAAAAGTCCCGGAGTTTTGCGTAGACTGTACTGTGTTCAACCTAGAGCTCTTATTATCATGTCCACTCTCATCATTGGAAAGCTGTGCCGATGACTCGGGATTACAGCTTGTCGTTGAGACCTCAAAATATTTGATTTTCGTACCACGGAAGAATGTCTGAAGCTTGACTGAGCGTGCAAGAGAGGAAAAATCATTTGATCGATCATGATCGGCGCCATGGGCCTCGCTCTAGTGGCGTCTCATGCGTTTAGAGCTGGCACAGAGATGTCCACATCCAGTGAGAGAACAGCAATACCCGGGCACCACAGGTAGAGCATCGATCGGTACTGCATTTATGGTGGGCAGTATAAGATCATCTGGTTCGACGATTTGAAGGTCGTTAATAGTGGACAGTAAGCGTTGCCTTTCTTCACGGTAAATTTTGTGGCGGAGCAAATGGCTCCCCAATGCATTTTTCTGAATGGCGTACTGGCAATCCCGGCAGATCAGTACTTTGTATCTTGCATTGTACTCGAGTAGATCTAATGGACCAAGTCGCATGATAGCTGGTAATTTGTTACCGCTCAAGCTCAAAGATGGCTGCTAATAGATGTTGAAACCTGAAGATTGCGAACAGTTGATGAGGTGATGACGTGACGTGTAGATAGTGCCGAGGTCAAACTGGTCACGGTATTCAAAGTCTATTATTGACATTCAATTTTTTCTTTGTAGTATCAAGCTATCCAGAAAATATCATAAGGATCTTATCCCGAGGTTCATTGAAGACGGGGAACGGCATATGTGGTTCAACTTCCACATAGGAACGGGATATGCGGTTCTCAGAGTAGTCTCGGCTAGGATAATGCCGACACTCTCCAATATGTTGTTAATAATAGAGATCTACTTCCCAGATGCTTTGAAATAATAATGTTAATTTGAAATCAAATGCTTATTTTGAGCAGAATTCGACATGCAGTTCCATTCCTCCATGGTTACCATCGGATATGTGAAAGTACTTAAATCGGCAGGTTCTGTGCAAATGACATACTTCTGACTTCAAGTTAACATCAATTGATCCCTTCTATTGAACCTTGGAAATATCTTGTCACTCTCGCTTCTAGTTCGGACAAATATCTCGCCGCTTGTTCTTTCCATCGAAATGTCTGAGCCTAAAAATCAAGCTGCATGGCTCATCAAAGCCGGCTCTCCTCTAGAGGTGGGAGATGCCCCTCTGCCCAAGGCTGGCCCAGGCGAACTAGTCATTAAGAATGTCGCCATCGCCATCAACCCTCTCGATTGCCATATGCAAGACTCCGGTGTCTTTATTCAGCAATGGCCTGCCATTTTCGGCTGTGATATCGCCGGTGAGGTATATGAAATAGGAAAAGATGTGGAGAGGTTCAAGAAAGGAGACCGCGTCATTGGGTATGCTACTTTACATCATTCACAATCGAAATGATCCTAGCCTAATGATAACTTACCTCTGTTCCAGACATGCCATCAATCTGATTAGCGGCCGCCCCCAGGATGGCGCGTTCGCTCTGTATACAGTCATACCCGCAGATAAAGCAGCAATACTACCCGATGAAATCCCCTTCACGGATGGTGTTGTAGTGCCCTTTGCATTGGAGGCAGCTGTTTGCGCACTTTGCCTCAAGGAGCCTGGTATCGCAATGCCCGGTGTTTCCACCCCAGCCCTGGGCCTTCCATACCCCTCGCTGCGTGATGTACCACTCTTAGGCAAGATACTTGTCGTGTACGGTGGTTCATCATCTGTTGGATCGATGACAATTCAGATTGCGAAGGCTGCCGGAATCTATGTACTCGCTATTTCTGGTGCGCATAATTTTGACTTCAGTATGCGATGCGGAGCAGATCGGGTCTTTGACCGTAAAGATTCTTCGCTTGCAGCGAAAATAATTGATACAGTTAGAAATAATGGGGGTGACTTCATTGGTATCTTTGATGCCATAGCTACCCCTGAGACTTACGCCAACGATGCCGCTATTCTTGCGCAGCTGACCAAAGGACACCTAGCTTGTGTGAATCCTCCTCCCCCTGCTGATAGCGTCCCTGCAACTGTCAAATCTGGTATGATCTTCGCTGTCGACGATGTTGTGACTCCTGTCTGGAAGGATTATGTCACACCTGCGTTGCAGTCAGGGAAGCTCCAGTGCCTGCCGACCCCACTCATTGTTGGTAAAGGTTTGGAGCATATTCAATCTGCGTTGGAAAAGGCCAAGGAGGGTGTCAGTGCGACAAAGCTTGTCATCGAGCTGTAGAGACGAGATGGGGATGCTGGCTTCATATACATGGGTGGAATTCTTTGGGATGATAGCAGTATGGGAGATGGATGGATGTATCTCTGAAGAGACTGAGTTTCGGTTGCTTTGAACCATTCAAACAAGTCAAGTTGTTATAACATTACTAGTTCCCCAGAAACTAGCTATGTGAGATGTTAGCTAATGGAGATTGCAGCTGGATTGGAGCAAGTTAGCCGTGTATAGGTGCTTCTTAATCCACATGATCCAAAATTGTGTGAGGAGGAAACTGGAAGCAAATACGGTATAGGGTCACAGTACTGCACATAAAATGGTAAAAATAACTTTTGTATTAACTATGAAGTGCTTTGAGGCTTGTCCCCGCTTTTTTTTTCTTTTTTTTTTTCGGACATAAAATTCGTACAAATACAGGGCTAGAAATCTAGCCATTTTGATCCGGATTACGACGATGATGAAGTGTACTCGACAGCCAGTGAACAAATCATCATCGTCGTAATCCGAATCACAGTCCCAGTCTAGAACTTAGGGCTGAAACGGCTCATGCCACGAATCTTGGCTCCATAAATGAAGAACAAGATAGGAATGGGAATCATAGCCACAGAGATGAAACCCAGAACACTAGAAGCCCAGCCCACACCAAGGCGATCATACATAACACCAGCGAAAAGCGGGAATCCACCACCAACCATTGAACGGACGAAAGTATTAGCAGCGATAGCTGAGTTGGCGAACATCAGGTAAACATCGATAATGTAGTTCAGACCCTGCATGAAGAGTACCAGGATACCCATTCCCATTGGAATACCGGCGAGGACCTGTGGAACCCAAGACGAAACGTGTGCAGTCCAGCCAAACCAGAAAATGCCGATAGGGAGGAGGAAAGATGCAATCATCATGGGAACGAGGCGCTCCTCAGGGACAACATGTCCCTCTTCAGCTAACTTGCGGGCGAAGCGGGTCTTAGTTGTGTAGATGATCAAAAGGGAACCCAGAACGACACCGATCATAATTCCGATGAAAGGGAGGGAGGCTAGTCCTTGGTTTGTCCAGCCGCGAACTTTGATGAAGGAGATGGGGTAGGCCTCGAAGAATAGATAGAGGATGCCGTAGACCAGGGTGAGATAGATGGTAACGAAGAAGAGAATGGGTTCCAGGAGAAGCATCTGAATGGGGCGAAGCAAGTACTTTGTCACAAGATCTTTCCAGGTAGGTTTGTGTCCATCGAGGAATGAGTGAAGAGCCCAGTTCTCGGTCTCCTTACGCAGACGAGCAGCTCGATTTTGGAGGATCTTCGGACCGTAGGTCTCGGGAACGACAAAGAAAGCAACAACTCCGAAGAAACCAGCTGCGATGAGTGTAATCCAGGCAGTCCAGCGCCAGCCGAGGTATGACTGTGTGATAAAACCACCCATGATGGGACCAATGATTGGTCCGAGAAAAGTAGCAGCACTGAACAAGGCGATGGCGACGCCACGGTCAACAGGATTCCAGAGATCGGCCATTGCACCACCGACCACTGCGAGAGGAGAGCATCCGAATATGCCGATAAGGAAACGGAATATCATGATCTGCTGGATGTTGTGGGCGACGGCAACTGGAATTTGGAAAATGGTGAAAATGGTGTATCCGATGAAGAGAGGTAGACGACGTCCATACAGTTCACTCATTGGAGCCCAGACGAGAGGACCTACAGCAAAACCGAAAAGGGCGAGACTTGTACCCAGGGTCATGACCTCGGTGGAAACATTGAACTCCTTGGCAGTAGCAGTGGTAGCAGTTGAGAAGATACTGGAAGAAAAGGTAATCCAAACAGTCAACATAGACATGGTCACTGTGATGATCCATTTCTTCAGCACAGAGAAGTTTTGAGGATTCTCTGGGTCGTTAGGGCCATCCCATTCAACGAGATCCGGATCAGTGTCGGTAGGATTTCCAGTTTCAAGCTGGGAAGGCTCGGCGCGTTCGAGTTCATGCTCGAGATCATGCTCGATCGTAGTATCTCCCTGGGACCCCTGAGAAGGCTCAATTTCCTTGGGGAACCCATTTGGGGCAGGAGAAGGAGTATTGGCTTGGTGTTTATCCATACTGGCACGAGGTATCTTGGTAGTTGAGTTGGATTTTTCGTTTCCAATGTTGGGTGAGGAAGAGAAGAAGAAGAAAGGAAAGTAGAGCTGACTTTCAGGTTGATATTATTTGATTTGAAGGTATCGATATCGTAGCCTTCATCAAGTTTACTTGAATCGTAGCCTTCATCCAGTTGACTAGGTTTAGGTTCCGATGTTGCGTTGCACACGCAGTAATCAATCAAACTTCAATGATAGGTAAAATTCCCTTCACATTGAGAAGAAAAATAAGAATAATTTCATATCTCACATAATTCTCAGTTTGAAGACTAAAAAAATTGTGAGATAAGATGAATCAAGGATTGCTTTTCGGTCACTTCTTCAATAAAGGAAATCTGATACAAAAAAACAAGCAAGTGTGGCGTGTTTAAAATAAATGCATCATGAGAAGCTACGACAGCTCATCAAGTTCCACTAATTTCAACAAAGACTGATGATCATCCGTGTGAATATGCATGAGAAGGCTTTTTATTGGCAGATAACGCCTTTGGTTGGTTGAATTTTGTATTCCTACATGATGATCACTCAAAATTAGGTGGTGTTGCTTTTTATCCCAGGGACTTTGCATAACAAGGATCATTCAAAGATGATCATGATTCGCTGCATACGAGTCGGTTTCGCTCTTAAAATGCCCCCGAAAGACCGAGAAATCGGAAAGACGGCACACAGACTCCCAGGGATATGATATTTTATGACCTTCCAAGGTTCAGTGCCTCGTGTAAGCATAATCAAGCATTGTTGAGCTGCACCTCGTACAGGATGATCCCTACGCTCCCGTCGAGGCTCAACTATTGTGTACATAGGGTACTATAGAAGACTCAAGATTTGATGATGGACATCATGATACTACAAATTGGACTGAACACTGTATGAAAAAAGTTTCAGCTGAATCAACTGGGCCCTAAAACTTCAAAAATGGTCAACTTGGATGGTATTATTAGCATATGCTAGGGGGTCAGCTTTGCAGGGGGAGTCCAACCGCCCCAACGTATAAGAGAAAATTGAAGACTAACCTCAGGCTTGAGCATTTGAGATGCATGTACTTCTTACAAGTCTACCTGTTACACCGTGACCTAAAAAGAAATGGGAATGAGGCAAAGACGCTTTCCAAGTTCTAAAAAAGCATTACTTAACTAAGAATTCTCTCTTGTATTGCAATTATGACACATTGTATGAGGTAGAACAAAGTAAGAGAGGAATTGAGAAAAAAGACCAGCAAATCACCAGGTAAGTTTCCTACTCCAAAAACTGGATCTAGCCATGTTAAATCTTCGCAGAAGAACCAACCCATAGCAGACTGCATGGTCGATGAGCAGAGAAATCGTCACCCGGAGCGAGAAAAGAAACAATCAGAAAGAGAATAAAACGAATCCCATTTAGTCGTAGAGGCTGTCATCATTGCCGGCTTCGCCGAAAGTGTCGTTGTTCTGGACCTCCCCAGCAGAGGGGAAGCGGAAGAAGCTGCTACCCCCAGAGTTCTTAAGGCTCTGGGCGAATGCCTCGTAACGGCGGATCTCAACATCAGATACTGATCGTCGCGCGCTCTTCATGGCCTCCTCGAAGTGTGCCTTGGTGAGCTCGGGGACGGGGTCTTCTACTTCCATCTCGCCATCATCCATAGAAACATCCTCACCAGCGGCCTCGCGGGCCTTGGTGCGCTCAATGTCAGCAGTGATGGCCTCCTTGATAGCGAGCTTGACGGCACGCTGGGTAACGAAACCCAGATCGGCACCAGAGAAGCCGTGGGTCTTGCTAGCAATAAAGGCAATATCGACATCGGAAGCGACAGGGGTCTTGCGGAGCTGAGCCTTCAGAATACCCTCACGCGAGGCCTGGTCGGGCAGGGGAACGTAGACCAGAGTATCAAGACGACCAGGACGAACCAGAGCGGCATCGAGCTGCTCGGGACGGTTGGTAGCACCGATAACGAAAACGTTCTTCTTAGAAGTCATACCATCCATCTCTATTAAGGATGTTAGTCACAAATAATTAACTTAAGAGGGAATAATAGTGTTGATCTTACCGGTCAGAAGCTGGTTGACAACACGGTCAGAAGCACCGCCAGCATCGCCAACGGAGCCACCACGGGACTTGGCAATAGAGTCCAACTCGTCAAGGAAGACAACGCAAGGCGCGGCAGCGCGAGCCTTGTCGAAGATGTCACGAATGTTGCTCTCCGACTCACCGAACCACATGCTCAGCAACTCAGGACCCTTGATGGAAATGAAGTTGGCGGCACACTCGTTGGCAACAGCCTTGGCCAACATGGTCTTACCAGTACCAGGAGGACCATAGAACAGAACACCACGAGAAGGTGAGAGACCGAACTTCTGGAACATTTCGGGGTGGTCCACAGGGTACTGGACGCTCTCGATGAGCTCGCGCTTGACCTCCTCCAGACCACCAATATCCTCCCAGCGGACGTTGGGAACCTCGACCACAGCAACCTCGCGGAGGGCGGAGGGGTTGGAAACGCCAAGGGAGTAGCGGAAGTTGTCCATGGTGACACCGAGGGAGTCGAGGACCTCAGCATCAATGGTGTCTTCGTCAAGATCAATGAGATCCATCTTCTCACGAATCTGCTGCATAGCAGCCTCAGAGCACAGGGAAGCCAGATCGGAACCAACGTAACCGTGGGTCTCAGCAGCGATGGTCTCGAGATCGACATCGTCACCAAGCTTCATGTTCTTGGTGTGGATCTGCATAATCTCCAAACGGCCAGTTGGGTCGGGAATACCGATATCGACCTCACGATCGAAACGACCGAAACGACGAAGAGCAGGATCGATGGAGTTGGGGCGGTTGGTAGCAGCCATGACGACGACATTAGAGCGAGCCTTCATACCGTCCATGAGGGTCAACAGCTGGGAGACAACACGGCGCTCAACTTCACCGTTGGTCTTATCACGCTTGGGAGCGATAGAGTCGATCTCATCAATGAAGATAATGGCGGGAGAGTTCTTCTCGGCCTCCTCGAAGGCCTTACGCAGGTTTGACTCGGACTCACCGGCCATCTTAGACCTGTTCATATAATTAGAAAACTCACTTCTTGCATCCAACCCACGCACACAGTATCAAAAACTTACATAACCTCGGGACCGTTAATAAGGAAGAAGAAGCTGCCTGGAGAGGGGGTCAATAAGGGCAAAAAAAAAAGAACCAAGGAAGTAGGACATACCAGTCTCGTTGGCAACAGCGCGAGCCATCAGAGTCTTTCCGGTACCAGGAGGACCGTACATAAGGATACCACGGGGTGGCTTCACACCAAGACTGCGGAAGAGTTGAGGGTGACGGAGGGGCAGCTCGACCAATTCACGAATCTGAGCCATCTGTTTACGGCAACCACCAATATCGTCATATCCAACCTCGTTAAGGTTGCCCTCCTCATCCTCACGCTGGATAGGCTCACCCTCACAGTGGATGATTGTGTCCTGGGCAACGATGCCGTACTCTGGGGGGTCCACCTCGACGACCTTAAACTCGACTTGACGCATACCACCACGTACAGTGAATAGGTCGCCTTGGCGGACGGGTCGGTAGGCTTCGCGGAAGTAGGGAGCGAGGAAGACATCGAAAATGGATCCGGTCAGACCCTCAATGGTATCGGCAATGGGAAGGACAGCAATGCGCTTGGCCTGTTTCGGAGTCTCATGTTAATACCGGCTAAACTCCCCATTGAAGGAGGGAAAACCTTGATCGTCAAGTCTACACGTACATATTTGATATCGGGGCAAGGGTGAACGGTGATGATGTCGCCGTGCTTGACGCGGAGGTTGTGTCGCACAACACGGTTGATACGAGCACTTCCGTCATCGAGGTCATCATCGGCCAAAACGATCAGCACAGTATCCTTGCGCTTCTTACCCTTCACCAACACAGTGTCACCACGGAAGAGCTGGAGAGTCTCCATGGTGTTGTTGGAAAGGGCAATAACGGAGTTGTCATCGTTGGTGGCATCGGTGACACTATTGATGAGCTGTCAGCTTCCTTCCCCCGCAAATGCAAGTAAGGGAATCTAGGGATCCATTCAAGCCACATACATCAAGGAGTTAGGCTTCTTCTTCTTCTTCAGAATGGCAGTCGCGGTATCAAGCTCCTGTGATGGATTGTCAGTCTTTGGGTTGTTGCAGCGATCCGTCGGTATGGCTGACCTCTTTCTTCTCGGCGCCGGAGGCATCCCTGGGGTGTGATGTTAGTTCGAATTCGATAGAGACTCGACAGGTTTAATACATACTGGAGGTTGACCCTCTTCTTCTCGTGGGTGTGATCAGGCTCTGCGGACATTGTGAAAGATTCAAGATATGACGGGTTGATGAAAGCAAGCTTAAGAGGTGTAAGAGTGGTCGTCCACAACCGATTCAAGAGAGAACAGCTCAAGAAACCGGGCGGGGAGAGATGGGTATGGTAGAAAGGATGAGGAGATGGGGAAACAACAAAGGATGATCAACAAGTCGACCAGGGTGGAAGTGAGAGATGAAGGCGGTTGTAGAGAGCTCCCAGGTACTCAAGTGACGATATGTGATGAGCTAAGCAGCGGTTCCTTAAGTAAGCGTTTTGATGTTCCGCCACCAGCGAAAGCGATGGAACTTGGTCGATCCTAGGTGCCTAGATGCCTTAATGCCTGAGTGCCTGAGTTAACCCCGGGTTTCCCCTAACTAGTTAACACCAAGTGGACCTTAGACCTGTAATCAGTGTAATGGGGGCTAAGCTAAGGCGTTTTTCTATGGAGATTGATGAGAATTCAGTATTGACTACTAGGAATAAAGATTTCTTAACCTATCAACATGCATCCCAAGTTATCTCAGCATCTATAGCCTTCCAAGCGCTGGGAAGTTTTCAGCCTGTTAAATGGTCATGCCCCGGGCTCCTCATTAGGCTTAGTTGATAAGCCTTTATACCAACTTCCAAGGTTCCAAGGTTGATGTATCACTAGTGCATGGGAACGTTAAGAAAAGAGATTTCCAAAACCACTATCAGGAGGTAGATACTATAGATATTACCGATGCACTACAGTTTACTAGTACCCTCATATTGACCTACTCATGGATATCATGATGTATAGCAGATAAGAACTAGGAGATTGAATCAAAAGATTGGCTTTACTAATCTACAATATTACATTTTTGAGTATCTGTTTGTACGAGCATGTACTAGTCAAAATTTCAGAACCTTGGTAGGTTGCCTTCCAGGCATCCATGTCTATAGCGGCTGAACTATACTTGTCCCTGAACGTTAATCCTCAAAAAAAAAAAACCATGGTCCAACAGTCGAAGAATAACCCAAACTAGGGTCGGTGGTATGTTAACTATTATTTTATTGAAATATAGTGCTCCACGGTTCAAAAGGAACGCAAACTGTTGGCAAGGTGTTGGTCTGGACCATCTCTGTACATCAGAATGAGGCTGTTCGCTTGTTACTCCACCCAGATGCATCTCCCGGGTTCGCCTACCCTGATATTCTACACAACTTGAACTGCGCCATTTCTTACCAGGCAACTTTGCGATAAGAATCATTGAGAACCCCTCCCGCCATAGAACTGGGATAATCTGACACAAACCTCGGGCTTTCCTAATGACCCACTGACAGCCTCAGTATACTCCCCCCTTATCGATTAACCAGTGTCTTGAAAATCCACTCACTTTATATACATTTAACCTCTTCAGACTTCTCACTTTTACCTCATTACTTCTGATTTCTACTCCCCACTCACTACCAGTGTCCCACCTCTCTCATACACCTACTTAATATTGACACCTCCGACCTCCTATTCCCCCATCCGGGGGGGATCCTCCTCCATGACCATGGAGGTCAAATCTTGGTACCCATGTGATTTCCAGCAAGCCCTACGAAACAGCATTGACGAAGCGGATGTGGACTGGTTCCTCAATAGACCAGGCCGCGCCCCGTGCTTTCTCTATGGGGCCTCGATGCTTCCGACGGTCTTGAAGCATCACATCGGCCTTGGTCAGAGCCACAACATCCACTCCACCATGACCCAAGCCACATTATTTGGATACCGACTCTACAAATTCGCCGAATCGAACATACCTGCGATCATAAAGTCATCCAACCCAACATCTACCGTGGAGGGGCTGTTGGTATTCAATCTAGATCAGACCCAGCGCCGAGACCTTTACGAGTTCGAATCCGGTTTAATGAATCTGACCGCTGTTCAGGTACAGATTCTACAAAAAACGCCGAGCAATACACACAATTTTAGAATGGTAGATGCGGGAACTGTCACCTGGACTAGTAGGGACAACCAAGGCCTATCTCCGCTCAATGCCTCGGTCTGGGCCGTTGATGGGTTCTTACAGAGCCAACTCTATCAACACATCTCTAATTCACAGTATCGGTGCGATCTTGCAGAGCCTGAGCTAGCAGCCAAAGATTTCTCATATTACCCGGGTGATACTAAGCAGCAGGGTGACCTTGATTTGATGGTACGTCAATATGGATCTGTGCATAGTATCGAGGCCGACGAGCCGGAATGGTTTTAGATACGCTTTTGTTGTCCTGTATGATATTTAGATACGCCAGTCATTTTTAATTGAGCATTTTAATAAGAAAAAAGTTTTCATTTGAAAAACACTTCTGAAGTAACAGACTGCCTAAGTAGTCCAAAGGAGCGCAACAAGGTGGTCATGCCCTTCATCAATCGTAGCTGAGAATTGGTGAATTCCAAATCCATATTTCCAAATGAAAAAGAACTTTCGAAGTAACGAACTACCAAAGTAGTCCAAAGGAGCGTAACAAGGTAAGATGGTCATGCCATTCATCCATCGTAGCTGAGAGTCGGTGAATTCCAAATCTACATTGCCAAATGAAAAAGAACTTTCGAAGTAACGACTTGCCTAAGCAGTCCAAAGGAGCGGAATAAGGTGGTCATGCCCCTCGTCCATAGCAAGATGCTTGGCTGTTCGTAGCTGAGAATCCACGATTTCCAAATCCACTTTGCCGGACTCCAAAAGTATTCTGACCATATCTTCATCTCCAGTCTGGGCTGCATAAAAGATTGCAGTTCGACCTTCAATATCCTGAGCATTGAGATTGACATATTCTTGTGAGATGAGCAATTTCACGATTTCCTGACTCGATACCATAATCGCAAACATGAGAGCCGTGCGCCAACACCTGTCCTGGAAGTTGATATTGATGAGAGGGGCAGTGAGGAGTAGCTCGACCAGTTTGATATCCTTAGTTGCCACAGCCCAAGTGAGAGGAGTGTGTCGGTCACGGACTAGACGTCTTTCGTTTCGTCTTTCCAACAGTAAGACCTGCCAGCCGCGTACAAGTAGCGGGAGCTGTTCAAAGTCAGTGTCTTCGGGCACTCGGAACGGACGCTCATTGACCTCTTCTATTTCGATCTCGTCTTCAGTGAAAAAGTCATGAGGAATATCTGGAAACGACGGTCTTCCCTCATATCCAGCATGTGGGTCCATCTTGTTTGGATCAATGAAGGGATGTTGTAAGATGTCCTTTAATCGTGAAAAAAGCCAATCATAATCATTATGGTACGCGTTCCAAAAGGCACTTGCATCATATTCCTGAGTGACCCAGGGTCGCAATACAGTCATTCTCTCAGCTGCTTCCTTGAAGTTCAGAATGGCTGCCTTTGACACTTCCAACGGGGGAATCTCTGAACAGACGGAACGATCATGAAATGGTCCATAAAAGAATTGCTCGGCGAATGCGAAGTCTCCCATTCGACATAGGGCCAATAAGGCGTAATCGTAAATTTTCAGGTGAACCCAGAACTCAACTGCATCCTCAAGTGCATATTTGGTCTGGACTACCATGTCTTCCCCATCCTTGGCAAGATCGCGGCAAATTGGCAGCCATAGTAGAGGTGAAGGCTTTGGCGTGTCTTTCGGCACGACATCCTCCTCCAACATCCACCTCACAAAGCTGGTCTGGTTGGTGTGTATCAGTAATGGTATGATACGAGCCTTTGCAATATCCCAAACAAAATCCATGACTCTCTTCACCATAGCGAGGTGATCAATCCGCATGGCGGTCGCGCAGAGGGAGTCCGTCTCCTTCCCCCATCTATCGAGGCAGAGATCCTCGGGAGTCCTCTCAGCCAGGCGTTCAATGACAGCCCACTTCTCTGGGCTATCGGCGCAGCTCTCATTGCACAGCAAGTGAATGAAGGCTGGCCAGCCGTACTTGCCGCAGGCTCCGTAGTCAATTTGCGGGAATCCGATGAGGCCTTGGATGAGGGTGAGGTTGCCGCTCTCCGCGGCGGCGGTCAAGGGCGTTTCGAATTCATCCTCAACCCAGACTCTGCAGTTGAGAGTCGCCTCGAGGTCCTGGCCGCTGAGCAGAAGGCGGACCAATCCGTGTCCGTTCTTACTGGTGACCCCATAAAGGAGTGCGTACCCCCGGTAAAGGGGATCCAGCAACTCCTCCAGGGCCGCCTTTCGGGACATGAGAAAAGCCTGCCATCTGTTGAAGACCTCTTCACCCTTCCGAGCAGGGAACCGCATATGATGTGCGTACTCCGAGTCTGTCGCCCATCCTTGGGGGTATCTGAATCGGCCCGATTGGAGGAGCAAATCTGCTACCTCGAAGAGGCCGTTGGAAATGGCAGTCTCGAGACCGCCGAAAGCCCGCTCAGGATTGCAATGGGGCAGCAGGAAGCCCACAAGCTCTTGGTTGTTGGTCTTTATGGCCTCTCTGAGGTGCTCATATTCGTTGTCGTTCACCTCAGCTCCGTTGTCCATGGCCGCTTGGACAAGGCTGATGTCCCCCTGTTTCACAGCTGCATAGAGGTCTGCCATCTTGATGAAATGGCTTTGGATGCAAGAAAAAAGACTTTCCACAGTCAAGAGTGATGAAAATGATGATAGGGATGGAGATTTGATGATGGAAAGGATGTGTGTTGGCTGTGGTGCGATTGAGAGAAAGAAGAGAAGAGAAGAAATCTTCAGGAGGGACCATCGCAAAAGAAACACGTCCTAGTCTCGGCGTTCACCTGAGCGTGTTTTGGCGACCTGAACTGCGAGGTGTCCGACGATGCGATTAGGCGACCTGAACTACGAGGTGTCTGACGATGCGATTTTGCGACCTGATCTGCGAGGTGTCCGTCTGCGGTCATGAAGACTCTATTTGGAATGATTGAGTCAGTCTTGTAACAGCTGCGAGCGCCGGTAGAATTGTTTTCTTGTTATGCGTCGTGACTAGTATGCACTACTGAATCGGATGAGCTCTTTGTATACATACCTGCTCCTGGGATATGTAGCATAAAGATACCACATGTGCAGTATGTGGAGTATATCTAGGAATAGTATCAATAGCAGTAATCCACATTCAAGTCGGACAAAGACATAGTGATCAATACAAAGACATAGTCTAGTAGCTGTGTATTCACATATCTTCCAGGGTTCAAACAGGAAAACGCTTCTAGTATTCACTAGATGGATCCTACATCAAAGGCACAAGGTTACCACGTTCAAGAAATGTTAAAAAGGAAATAGAAAAGAAGTCCTAAGAACCTTTAAGTTGGGAAGGGAATCGAGGAACTTCTGATAATCGGAATGAGAAAGGAATAGATTCGCTCTGACTCGAGAAAAAAAATAGAGATAAGATCCTGTACAACAAATACCCATACTAGAAATAGCGAGGGCCGGTCTTCGAACTAGTTTGAGGGGGATGAACATCATGACGATGCCACACAAAACAAAAGAATACAGGCGTTTGAAGGGAAGGGTTAAGTCAGAAGATCTCACACAGACGCCAGAGTCATGACTTCGTCAGAAAATTTTATGACCAAGACTAGGGCCCCATGGCAGATGATGCACCGAGAGCTGGACTGGCGCTAGTGGAAGCTGGACCCCCAGGGGCTGGACTGGCACTAGCACTACCGAGATTAGGGTTGATTGGAGCACTGCCAGACTTTGAAATTCGGTCTTCAACACGTTCCTTGTGCTGTCGGTTGCGAAGATGAACCTCAAAGTTGTCCACTGTCATACCAGGGCCAGGCGTATACAGCTTGCCGGGACAGTCGTGGCAACGGATTCGGGGGAGATACTGGTATTTGATTTTCTGGCCTGGCTGTAGGTTGTTGGTATTGGTGACAGGAACCAGAGTTTCCATGTCTACTGCGGAATAACGCATCACGCCTTCGAAAGAGTCATTGGGATGAGTTTGTTTTAATCCTTGAAGGCCGGCTACAAGCCAGCTGGGTGGTGGGGGCTGGAAACGCACACTATCAGCCATTGACCATAGGGAAACGAATAATATGTTATTAAAGTCTACTCACTCCAGGGACTCCCGGCTGAGGGGGGTTCGGTGCATCGACGGCTCCGGTTTGTTGGGGTCGGGGCGGGTTCTGCCCGGGAGGTCGTCCTTGTTTATCGGAAGGGGGCGCCATGACGGTCGAAGGCATAGAAGTAGGTCTCGCGAAATATTGGGCTGGCTCTGCAATTCTGTGTCCGTTTCTCAAAGCTACCAGTTTCACTTGTGATACCTTAAACCTCACAATCAACGTGTCGGGTTCTTCGACACTCTCTTCTCGGTATTGCTGTCGTCGAGCCGACGCTCGAGGCTCATGCAGCATTGGCTCTGGCGTTTCAGACTGGCCTAAACCAGCCCGCAGCGCTGCATGGGCTTCCCTGGCAGCTCCTCTCATACCTCTTGTGCGGGCAGTGCCTTGTGCCAAATGAGGTCCAATTGCTGGTGAGCCGTCATCGGAATCATCGCTCTCAAAATCATCTGAGTCATCGTCACGCTGTCCGGTCATTCCACGACGGCGTCCGGACCCTGTACGTTTTATCACATTGCTTTCTTCCATAGATGCTGCTGAATTTGGAATGGTGCTTGAAACAATCAATGTCCGGATCGTGCGTTGACGATCTTTCAGGTCTGGTAGAGCAGGGCCACCACGACGGTTGATAGATCGTTTCTGGCGACGCTGTTCTCGAGAGATCGAAATTTCGGTTCGCTCAAGATCAGCCTCGTTCAATTCATACAAGTAAGGAGTGTGTTCCTTGGCCGATTGGTAAGGTCGGAATGCAGAGGCTACAGGTGTCGGAAGGAAGGAGGTGCTGAGATCGGGGTCCTCAATGGGACGGCCATCAAATGGATGTGCCACAATGTATAGGGACTTGGTGAATAATTGGGACTGTTCACGAATGGAATGGGCAATGGCGGTGGTAAATTCGCCGGAGAGAGAAAGGTCACTGGTCATACGCATGGCGAACTCCTCAGGGGAGTTTTGAGCATCGTTGATATCCCACTCAAATTGATCAATGAGGGTATGCTGACCAATTGTGATATTCAACTTGATCAAAATACGCATCTCGTCGTTGCGGTACGCCGTGTAAGGGAGATGTGGGTCGAGAGCCTCCTCGTGCATGTAAATGTGGGGATAGTAGTCCATCAACTGCTCCTGGATGCTCTGGGAAATTTGGCGGATCAGGGGACCAGATGACTCTAGAGCAAGACCAAGATCCTCCACAAGCTTCTCAGCGAACAGGTCTGGAGAAACGACACGATCATGAAGATTCCATGTAAAAGTATCACGAATCTTAACCTTTTCCCAATCGATGTCCAGTCGTATGGGTACCAAATCCTCTATCTGCTCGCTCTGCACCTTCATGTCACGACGGGAGACCCGCAATTCACGGGTCTTGCGGCTTCCAGGCCGACGTCGATTAGATGGATACAAAAGCTGAGGCGGGTGGTTGCGCATATCTGTACGAGGATTTCCAAATCCCTCATAACCTGGACCGAACAAGGCAGCTGGGTTTCCCTGGTTCTCACGACGAAGTTGGTAGTACATATCACGCTCCGCTAACTTCTCACGTTGTAATTCTTGGCTTGGATTCTGCCAAGCAGTTGCTGCGGCATATTCGAATTGTCGGTTGACGTAGTTTTCTAGGATGATTTTTTCAACGGGTGTTTCGCGAGTCCTCACGGCCATTGCCCCTGAAACATCACTGAGTTGAATAGCAGATCTATCTCGGGATCGTTTTCGACTGTGCGCAGAGCTGTTCGTGCCATTAGACTGTGGTGTGCCATTGGCATCGTTGCTTGGTTCCGTAGAGCCAGATGTTGTCACAGCAGCTTTAGGATTTTGCTTCCCATCTCCAACCGTATCATTCGTCTGGCCATTGGTCGATGGTTGTGCTCCCAAGTCGATGATATCTGCTCCACCTGGCCCCGTATCAGACGCGCCGGAGCCGTTAATTAGCATGCCTGATTGAGAGCCAGTGGGAGAGTGATCTGACGGCAGGGAGCCAGCTGCTGATTCCGGAGATGGCATGATGGATAATTAAGTTGGGTATGGAATCAGGCGTTGGGTGTCACCGGTCGGTGATGTATGGGGAAGCGGCACTCAACGCGACAGGGATGTTCCAGACCAATTATGGCAGCATAATTGATTGAATATGAAACCTAGAAATGCGATCACTAAATGTCAGCGACCTATTGACAATGGTTTTCCTGGATTCTCTTATGCTCGTCGCGACTGCGCGGTCAGCTCGATCTGATGCATTGCCGATCGGTGAACGTGTCGCGACGGCGCATATCCAGAATAAATCCCCAAGCAAGCGCCGCAGAGAGAATCCAAGATCGAGTGCAATAGAATTGATAGAGGTGGACAGGTTTGAAGCTCATGACTAAGTGATAACGTACTGGAGCCGAAGGGGGTGGGATGCCGATTGTGCTGTGGTTCCGACACGGAGAGGAGACGAGCTCACAGCGCGTCGGTAGGGACTGATCAATCTTAAGGGCTGGAAAGTGTGATGATCCAAAACCTTTTTGGAAATAGTTAGATTGATCTACCCTGCTGGTCTGCTCTGATGCGTCGGGGATTGCAGTGGCGATTCCTTTAAGGCGCGGGTGTGAGAGAAGTTCAGTTCAAAGTGGCGGATTACGAGATGTCCGCTCCCGGGCAAACAGCAAGGATTGGCCTCGGCGCGCCCTTCGATGCCCACAACCGCCAGTATTTTAAGCTAGAGATGACTTATAGGAAGGAATAGCTAAACTCTACGTCTAGTGATGGGCATATCCTACAAGCTTATGGCTGGAGATGGCGTTGCGCCTGGACTCATTCAACGGTATGCGGGAGTCATGTGATCCCCAAGCTCAGATATTTGACTGCCTAAATAATAAGGCCTAAGTTCATCATGGTTCTCATGAACTGGAGATTCTCCCAAGTTATGACAGTACAACTTCAAGTTGAAGATTTAAAGCGAAATGACACATGAGTCAGTTCTGAATCAAATTTTCTATTCAATATTATACGTACTTTACCTACTTGTCGTTGAATTTTTGACGTCCAAGAATTCGCTAAATCTGAGTCCAAGTTCAGTCCTGCGGTTTTAGAGGAGAGAGACTAGCCCACCAACATCAGGTCAGCGATCACTGCACAGTGATCTGAATTATACACCTCATCATCAAATCTATTGGGCACAACCGAATACCCATCGACTCGCCAACTTTGATTTCCTTCGGGAGCCAATAGGATAAAATCAATGCGCTTAGGCGGTGCTCTACCGTAGCCAAATCCAGTGAAGGTATTGTGGTGGCCATACCGTCGCAGAGCAGGAACCGACTTGTAAGTATCCAATAGTCTCCCCGTTGTTGTCAGCTCAGAATATGCCTCCTGCTCCTCTTGGCTATTCAAGTCACCAGATAAGAATGTGCCCGAAATCAAGCCCCCAAATTCTCCTTGCTGGTATTCGCTAATCTTGGACAGAATAATTCGTGCTGCCTCGAGTCGTGACTCCGAGCCTTGATCATCCAAGTGTGTGTTCAGAGCAAGCACCGTATTGCCAGACTCACGATGGGTAAAGACGCCAATAGTAACGATACGAATCGAGGCCGCGTCCCAGCTCTTTGACGGTACATCTGGAGTTTCGGAGAGCCAGACCGTTTCCCAGTGTTGTAAATTCCAAATTGACGGCTGATAGAATATTGGCGAATATTCACCGGCTTTATGTCCATTATCGCGACCAACACCGATGTAAGCCCATTTTGGACTCAATGTTCCATGGGATGGGTTTAAACCGGCACGGATATCCTCGAGTTGGTTGTGAAGAACCTCTTGAAGACAAACAAATGTCTCATTCACATATCGAGTATGATATTCCAGTTCATTCAAAAGAAGCTGTCTGCGTTCGGTCCACGGAACTTCTCCCTTGAATGGGGAGCTGGTTGCATACCGAATGTTATGGGTCAGTATGCGGACAGGAAGCTTTGGTGTGGACTTCATCTCGATAGATGTTCAGCAACCCGAAGAAACTCGTATTGAACTTGAGACTCTCAAGAGGAGCTCCAATGTATCATCAGGCATGAGCTAAATTGAAAAATAAAACAGAGATCACTGCTCAGCCAGCTCATTCATGAGGAGAAGCGAGGGGTGATGCGGGGGTCTCAGATACAAGAATAGGAAATTGGTCAGCCCGAGCTAAACCATGTGGCTTCGGATGGTCATCCAGAGAATGTATGTACCTAATAGAAACTGTCAATATGCTATTTATATGATTTCTGTGACGAAGATGAAAAAGCGGGGTTATGTGCCATCCATCACTGTACGTCCCGTCTTCCTTATAGCCATGACGTCTTTGCGCCAGTAACCCTACTGTGTGCCTTAGAAATCGGGCATAAACATAGAATCCCCCCCACCACCGCTAAACGCTAAACGCTTCATTCGCTGCACACGACTTGTTCTTGATCCATTCCTCTCCAGCTTCCCGTGGATTCCGGATCTACTGTCAATACCCACCTGTTTTTGATTCATTTTATCATCGGCGAGGTCCAAATTTTACACAATGGCCGAGACTACTCCCACTCAAGTCCCCGAGGTTGGTATGTAACTCGACTATTGGCTCCCGCGAAAGCTCTGACGTTTGTGGGCATCTTTGCCCAACGGGACAAAGAGCTTTGTTGGACTCTAGACCACCACCATTTCCTCTTCAACGAACTTCTAGAGCTAATTGAACTTTTTTTTCTCTAATAGATTACACCCTCAACAACCCTGATACCTTGACTAAGTACAAGACTGCTGCGGGCATCTCTCACAAGGTTCTCGAGGCTGTCACTGGTATGTTGCTCCCAAGTGTTTTTCTCTCTCTATATATATTCAGTACATTCTGACATATTGTAATAGCTCTGTGTGTTGAGGGTGCCAAGATCGTTGAGATCTGTGAGAAGGGTGATCAGCTCCTCGATGAGGAAATCGCCAAGGTCTACAAGGGCAAGAAGATCCTCAAGGGTGGGTTCTAATTTTTCTCCCGGGTGTAGGAGCCCTATGGCGATGAAAGCTAATAACTTATGAACAAAAAGGTGTCTCCCACCCCACCACTGTCTCTCCTAGCTCCTATGTCACTCCCTACACTCCCCTCAAGACCGATGCCGCCGAGGCCGAGACCGTTCTGAAGGCTGGCGAGGTCGTCAAGATCCAGCTGGGTGCCCAGATCGATGGATTCGGAACTATTGTCTGTGATATGGCTGTTGTTCCCAAGAAGGACGCCGCCAAGGAGGTCATCACTGGCCGTGAGGCTGACCTGATTGTCGCTACTCACTACGCTAACGAGCTTTTGCTTCGCCTGATGGTTCCCCAGGGTCTTCTGGCCCAGGGTACTGACGAGGAGAAGGCCAAGGCTACTGCCAAGAAGGCCCCTACTCAGTCCCAGATCTCCGACCTCCTGGAGAAGGTCGCCAAGGCCTACGACTGCAAGGTCATTGAGAACACCACCAGTTGGATGTTTGACCGCAACGAAATTGAGGGTACCAAGAAGATCATTCTGACCCCCGGCAACGGTGTCCGTGGCGAGGGTGTCCCTGAGGTTGGTGAGGTCTGGGGTGTTGAGGTCGGTCTCAGCTTGGGATCTGGCAAGGTCAAGAACCTCGACCACCGTGCTACTCTGCACCGCCGTACCACCACCACCTACATCCTGAAGCGTCCCAGCTCTCGCCAGACCCTCTCTGAGGTTGTCAAGAAGTTCGGTACTTTCCCCTTCAGCTTGCGCCAGCTTGAGGACGAGAAGGCCGCCAAGGTCGGTGTCGTCGAGTGTGTCCGTGGTGGCGTCCTGCGCCAGTACGAGCCCGCTGGTGAGGCTGATGGCTCTGCCGTCTCCCGTCTCCTGTCCACCATTGGTAAGTTCTATATCACAATACATTACATCCTACTGAAACTAATAATTGCATCATAGCCATCACCAAGAACGGCATCACCAAGCTTGCTGCTCCCAACGCTATCGATCTCGAGCAGGTCAAGTCTGACAAGAAGATCGAGGATGAGGAGATCCTCAAGATCCTCGAGCAGCCCCTGGCTCGCTCCACTGGTAACAAGAAGAACAAGAGCAAGAAGAAGAAGACCACTGGTGGTGAGGAGTAAATTCGTTGATAAGAGTTCTTAATCTTATCTAAACGTGCATGATATACTCTGATCCATATATGGAACAATTCTGAATCTTGGACTCTAGTCCTCAAATCAACCCAAAAAAAGATATCCAATGACGAGATTTCCATAGGACCGTATGCGTCCTTGCAATAAAAAAAATGTTCCGAATCAACTTGAAATAGGTGATGATATTTGTGTATTTTCCAAGAGGCCTACAAGGTCACTTGTCAAGCGATTTGACATAGACCGACTCTACGTTCAAGCCACGAAGTTGAAGAATTTCCGGTGGACCTTGGAATGCGTGCACATGCCATGTAATTACCGATGAGGGCAGCAAGTAGCCCGGTCAATAGAGACTTGACATCCCAATTTTGACCTGTAGACCTTTTAAACCAGTCTAGCCTTGGATGATTAGATAAAATTTTGTGTACAAGATGGACTAAGCCTGGAGTGCTATTCCTCGCATCATAACTTACTAGCAGACTGAGCCTGTAAACATGGGACTTGATATTTCTGATATATAGGACAAAAAAGAAATGATAAATGATGATGCTTCTAATGTTACGCTTAAACGACACGGAAAACACCTGAGAGTTCTCTCTGCAGGCTTAACCAACTCAATTCGATATCAGGTGTGGACGGCGAATCCTCCATCCACTGCAAGAGATGCTCCTGTCACCCATGAAGACTCATCACTGGCCAGGTAGACAGCAGACTTTCCAACCTCGGCAGTACCGTTCTGAGCAAAACCCAATGGGGTAGCTCGCTCCATGAAGCCGGCTCCTTGAGGCATGGCAAACATCATTTCGGTCATGGCAGTGTTGATAACTAGACCGCGGTTGTTAGTGGTGTTTTGTTATGTTATGGGAATCCTTAACTTACATCCAGGGCAGATCGCATTACAGCGAATCTTATGCTCGGCATATTGAACGGCAGTTGTCTTGGTCAATGAGACCACAGCCGCCTTGGAAATATTGTAGGAAACTATAGGGTATTAGCATGTGCAGTTGGAAGTTGGAACAATCGACTGTTGTGACTTACAGGCCATGGGAACCTCTCGGAAGGCGACAGCACTGGCCATGTTGATAATCTTTCCTCTCTGGCCTTCCTCATCAGGCTCTTGTCCCAAAAAGGCCTTGACGGCGTACTTGGTTCCCAGGAAAGGACCAGTCACGTTCACAGCCCTTTTTCAAATCAGCTTCGGAGGGTTTTTTAACTTGGATTCGACAAAGGACACTCACATTGTTTTCTGGAAATCCTCTATCGCCAGCTCATGAGCTGAGCCAATTGGGCCAAATACACCAGCATTATTCACCATACTGTTTCGATACATTAGTATCTGCTCTTGATTTGATCTCTGTTCACCGGGGAAACTCACACATCAAGTCGGCCACCTTCCTTGACAGCAGTAGCTACCAATTGCTCAACTTGCTCCTCAACAGTTGTGTTTGTGGGAACAAAGAGAGCCTTGCCTTCTCCATATAGTTGACAGATCAATTTATCAGTGGGTACGAATCGGTTGGGGTCATTGGCAGCAGGTTCATCCTCATCGTCAGAGTCTGAGTCAGAGTCAGAGTCATCTTCAATCTCCTCCTCCTCAGCACCTTCAGCATCAGGTTCAGGAGCTCCAGCGGGAGTCTGACGAAGATCACCACAGACAACAAGCCTGGCACCTTCCTGGGCAAAAGCCAGAGCGATAGCTCGACCAAGACCGGATGAGGCACCGGTGACAACGCACACCTTTGACTGAAGACGATTTCCGCTCATTGTGATATAATTAATATTGTACAAGACCTGTGGAATTGATGTATGAAATTAGAGGAAAACACAATTGACGATGGGATTCTGCTCTGCTTTAAAGACTTCAATTGCCCTTCGCCCCCACTCATCCGAGTTCAGCCCCCAGTGGAAATACTTCACCAAGAGTGAAATGGCCCCTTTGTTACGTATCTAATTATAAGAATACCCAATTTAAACTAGCTGGATGCGGCCAAATTAGTGTCTATGGGGATTTAACCTTGATTTTTCAAGGTTGATTTGGGACTTGAATGTGCATAGATCTACATCGGGTAGTTCCAAGATTATGGCCCCTTTCCAACCTCACTGAACCTTTAAATGCATGGAAAGTCTGAAATGTGCTTGATTGAAGCTCACATAATCTTTATGTCTCATTTCTTGAAATGACTAATCTTATATTCGCGTGTTCTGCTATCATTCTGTTATAGTAGTTTCTATGATGACCTACGGGAGGAAGGTTGCTCTAAGACTGAAAGAATTGAAGATGCTGCCCAGGTGCACATGTAGTTGTTCACTCAAAGGGTACTTAAGACGTAAAAGGCCGTAATGAATAGGTGTTATCATTCAAGACAGTCACATATAGGATCTTCAAGTTGTATATAGTGAATTTGATGCGAATTCGTGGGCCGTTCATTCCAACTGCTTCAAGTTCCTCTGGCCGACAGAATCATGGCCACTCAAAATGTTTAATCTTTTCACAAAAACTGGTAAGATACTATGTGCTCCATATTATTTTATTCTTTTCTATCACATTAAATGTCTTACTAGTAGCCATGTCTAGATAATACCATAGTTATCCTTTTTAGAAAGCCCGTGTATAGCTATTTGGGGATAGTGAACCTATATCCAAACTAGAGTGATATAGATGGACTTTAAAGACACTCCTAGCTATATTGAATGTAGAATAGGCTTTCAAATATCAATTTGACTAGCAATTTGTAGTGCTTGGGACAAACCTGTTGTGTTTGCTATCACAGTCTCTCTCAACTGTTGTCTTCTCTCACTTCTTGTTTATCAACATCCTCCAGGATTTGTTGATTTTCGATTTTGTTGAACCTGAAACTCTGAATCTCCTCATTCTCCTCAAGATTTTACTGCTTTTTACAGCAGCTTCAACCTTTGTAAGTTCCTAAATATGGAAATATTCCCAATATCCCATTCCGACGCAGGGAGTTAGGGCACGGACGGGCGGCACTAACCCTACCCAGGTGCTTTCCGCCTACCGCGATGAGCTACTTTCTTCGACCAAAGAAGCGGGCTGATCCCGAACCCGCGAAACACGCCTTGAACACAGGCGCTGTCCAGAAGAAATTGCAGAAAAAACGCGTCCATTTTGCGCAGTCGGACGATGCGCCCGTGAAAGAGCGCCCAGAACAGTCCGACGAGACTGTCTGTGAGGATCCTCCGGTCGCACGCGCGTGCCCGATCGAGGCAAACCCGAGCGAGGCAAATGCCGATTTCACCAGAACTTTGCCGACCAACCCACACCTCAATACCATGAAGCCGATCGGCGAGTACCCGTCTTTGGCGGAGTACAAGAGCGCTGGATTGAGGCCGCCACCAAAGGGCATGCTCAAGCGATCTAAGCTGGGCATACGGACTGAGGAGGATGACGAAGAACTCATGACCATCGACACCCCTATCACGCCGATCGCCGAGGATATGATGGACCTGGATATACCCTGTGTGGATGCAAGCAGTGATAAATTCACTGATGGAGGGAATCGGGCTTCACTACAAACCTCGGTGGAAGACGGCGTGGCAGTGAATGAACTAGGTGTCAAACTGAGCGAGAAAGCCAGTGAAGTCGAAGCAGTGAATGGAGACGAGGCTTTTAAAAACAACCTCGTAACCCCCATCTCTGAATCTTTTGATTCTCTTTTCATCCCTCCTTCTTTCAACCAACCTTCACTTTCTCCTCTCGAAACTCCTGTCGGCACCCCAGCTGATGAACTCATGAGCGACCCCATCTTGGCTGCGTCTGACACTCATATCACCGCATCCACTGACACACCTCTCAACCAAGCTCCTCAGTCGCCTCCCTCCACATCAGTAGCTGCCGCAGCAATGGCCCGAAAGACTAAGGCTACTCCTGCCACTGCGCGTGACTACATCTCTCTACTGAACTACCTTCCCATGCCGGTCTCAGAGACCTTCGATGTTCCCCAGCTAAAAAAAATCTTGGAAAGAGCCTTCACTGCGTGCATGAAAAACAAGGATGATGAAGTCGCCTTGAGTCTAGTTTATTTCTGGTCTCAGCTCAATAACGATGAGTTCAAGCTGTCCCTGCTTCGCAACCTGGGCCAGCCAGACAGCGACCACAACCTTCAACTTGCACTCCGCACGATGATTCGCACTTCGTCGGAAGAAGCCGCTGCGTGGTATGACAAATTCATACTCAATCACGCCAAAGCGCCACTTCTTGATGACTACGATGATTCCGATAGTGAGACGACCCTGTCTTCAGCGCGATCCATGGCTACTGCATCTGGCAAGCCTTTCAAGATGTCCGAAGTTTATCGAGATGTCTCCGGTCCAAAGCTCATTGAAGCCTTCGCAACTGGTAAAACCAACACAGCTCCCATCAAACGTGCCAAGAAGCCATGTCCGGCCAACGAAAGTCCGTTCAAGCGTCGCCGTGAATGGGAAGCTGATCCAACCATGGAAGAGAAAGTGCGATCCAAACGCGCTCGTTTCGCCAAAGACGTCCATCATGAGAAAGATACTACGGTCGCCACCAGCTCCGTCCGCCCTCAACTTGAGGAAGTCGAAATCCCGCAACCTGACATCGTTGAAGGCGGAGAAGCTCCAAAGTCGCCTGAGCCACCGGCTCTTTCCACCCGCGCGGCGCGTGCTAATCAACGCCAGAATGGAAAAGGCCAAGCAGAAAAGAAACCTGCGCCCCCAAAACCCAAACGCGTTTCCAAAGAAGCCAGCATGGAGAACCGAGCCAGAGGCAGTGTTTACCACCGTGCCTACGAGTCTACGGCCCGCGCTGCAGCTCCTGCAGGCGTTCAACTTACTATTGAAGAGGATGAGGAGTTATCAAACTCAATTTATTCCAACCGTACCAACGAATGGGAGTTCGATTGGAATTTTCGACACCGACCACGATCGATGTACGTGTTCTCCTGAAATTCCCTTCCCCATATACCATGTTCATTGACTAACCTTAATCTACAACAGGGAAAGAGTTGATGACAATGTTGATAACTGCGTTGTCTGCGACGGTGAGGGCGAGCTACTGTGCTGCGACGGTTGTGACAATGCCTTCCACTTTAACTGCTTGTCCGAGATCGACGTTGTGCACAAGGATGAAGAGGAATGGTTCTGTCCATCATGCGATTCTTCGCACTCCTTCACCTTCTCCATCATCGATGGTAACTACTTGCATAAAACCGAGTTCTCTCCGCCCAAGGAAATCCGAGAATTTTTCATCGGTGTCGAGGAGCACGTATTCTTTGATCCTGCTCAACCACTTCGCGCGACAAACAATCGCCGCTACTCCGACGTTCCCCACATTCCGCGTCTGACTAAGCAACCCAAGAACGCCGTAACGCCATTGTACAATGATGAAAATCTAACCAAGCTGACTGAGAACAAGCATGTGGTACTTTGTACCAAGTGTAGTCGGTGTTCGGATGGTGTACGCCCTATCATCAAGTGTGACTACTGCCCTTGCCGCTTTCACTTGGACTGCTTGGATCCTCCCCTTGCCCATCCTCCCAACCCCGTGAAAGGCTGGATGTGCCCAAACCACGTTACTCCGGAAGACATGATTGCCACCAAAGTCGTCGACGGCCAAGTGCGAGAGCGCCGCATTCGCCGTCCTAAGAATGTTGCTCTTATGGACCTGGATGTTATCCCTGTCCCTGATGACGAATCCGTCTTTGACGATGAGTGGCGCGAGCGTCGCTTCCGTGCCCCAGCCGGTGACGTGGTTATGGACTTCGTGAGCGCCGTCAAAGACGACTCGAAGCATGTTAATGAAGCAGTCCTCCAGCGTATGAAGAAGGCCATGCTGAATATCACCACGCTTGCAGTTGAAGACCTCGTAAACCGACGGGGTGCTGTTATCTCTGATGCCTGGATGGATGAATTCCGATCTCTTTGTGACTCTGAGCTTCGTCGTGTTCGAACTGGCTGGCTTCGTGATGAAGAAGCCGATGCTGCCGACTCTCTCCTTGCTCTGTCTGGTCGCGGCCGTCGCTTCCCGGGCCTTCCTCAACCCTCCTCTTCAAAGCCTGATGAGGTCCCCTCCTCGCAGACTACTGCTGCCACTAGCCCTGACGCTGATGAGGCTATGCCTGACAACTAAATCTGCCCGAAAAACTCTTTCTTCTAATAATTTCTCTTTTTTCCTGCACTCTCGGTGTGTGGTCTCAGGTCAACTCCTCGCAGACTACGGAGTACTGCTGCCACTAGTCCTGATGCTGATGAGGCTATGACTGGCAACCAAATCTGCCACAAAACTCTTCCTCATAATCATTCTTCTCCTTTTCTGCACGACAAATGTGCGGTCCGTCTTTTCACGTTTCACATCCTCTCAATCCCTCGCCCTATTCCTTCATCTCTCCACGGTCGTCGCATTTTCATTTCAAGCTTTTTATTTTTTTTCTCCTGATTTGCGAAATTGTCATGTGAGCATGGGTCGGCGCATTCTCGAGAAGTCATCTGTACGATAGCATAGGCGCAAATGGATATTTCCATCCATTTCAGAATTTATCTGGTTGCTTTTTTTCACTTTTTATTCTTATTCTCATCTTCGTTTTCGACTTCTGCTTGATTTTGCGATTTTCCATCTTTATCCATGTTTTCTGTCTTTCCACAGAACGAATCCAAAACCATGAGTTTTTCCCAAATCAAAAAGATAAATTCCAAATTTTCATATATTTCAACCGGTAAATTCGTACTCTACATGACAGAGCGCCAAGCCAAAAAGATGTAATGTAGACACCAGAGCTAATAAACGACACGCAAGAACAGAAAATAAAACCAGATCAGGTTCATCGAGAAGCATCAGTTCCGTGAGATCTCGGTTGAAGCCGAGTCATGCTTTTTTCAAGATACGATACACTTACAGGAACTTCTTGGGCATGTTCGCGCGACGACGCTTGTAAAGGACGTAAGAGACAGCCAGGAAGATCTGGAAGGCGATGATGAGGAAGATGAAGAATCCCATGCGCGGGGTTGAGGCGGTGATAGCTATTAAAAAAAATCAGCATTGTTATCAAATCCAACCAATCCAACAGGTGATCTTTGGTTTCTTTTTTCCCCGTGATAACTTACCATTCAATAGATGTCCGTGAAGATTCTCGGTCAGGCTTAGGTGCGAAGTTCGCAATGTATCCTGGAGCTGGTTAAAGCGACTGCTGTAATCCTTGCCCTCGAGGTCACGCTGGATATTCTGGAGCATGCTCTCGATGCGCTGGAGCCGAGCCTCTAACGAAGACACCTGGTCCCTTGATGCGAGGATGCGAGAAGCCTCGGCGTGGCGCTCTTCACTTTTAACAGCCTGAGCTTTGATTTCTTGTAGGATAGCGTTGGTGGCTTTGCTCTGAGACTGGAAACGGTTGTTCAGGTCGAAGAACTGGGCTGAGTAGTCCTTGTCGGAGACAACTTGGGGAGCCGGTGGAGCATCTCGGTTCACAACTTGCTGCTGCTGCTGCTGGTTGGGGGTTCCTTGAGGGATCGTCTGGCCAGACGCAGATTCCAGGACGAACTTGAAGATTTCGAAGGAATCGGGGTTCTCGGGGGTGGCAGCGGTGAGACCGAAGGTGTTTCCAGATGGAAGGAGAACCTAATTGGAGTTAGTTTATATTTAAACCCAGAGTTCTCAGGGGTTGTACCTTGTCAGTCGAGAAGCAGACCTTGTCGTCCACAGTCACCTCGAAGAATGAGTTGGTGTGCTTGAGCTTCACCACAGAAGGACGACCCAGATTGCGGTATGGGTAATCACAATGACCGAATGCCAGGCTATCGACGCTGCGGTGAGTTCTGTAGTCTGTCGTTCCATCGTTCAAGAATCCGCGGATACTTCCACCCTATACAACAGTCAGTCGATGGTCTATGGTGTCATTGCAATTCATATAATACCCTTCCACCATGTGTATCAATCACTAGAGCAAATCCATCGAACGGCCCCACGGTGTATATGCTTGACGTTCCCACTCGTGCCTCTCCATCCTTTGTGTACCATAATTGGAGGTTGCCGCTGGCGCGTTCGGGGCCACTAGCTCGGAATTGAAACTCGGCGGACCATTCAGACAGAGCGACTCTGTAGAGTACTTAGTATATTGTTGTAGTTTGGGGTGAAGGGGTCACATACGGGCTCTGGGCCCAGGCCGATCCTCGAACATCTCCGGGGTAGGGTGGTGTTATTATGAGTTTATCGGATAACTAGCTCATTGTTAGATTTGAATTCATTCAGGAGAGTATTTTCTCATTACCAAGGAGGGATCAAAGTTCTCCCCATTAATGTTCCATCCTGGAATCGAGTCACGGCTAGGGGAAATACTAGTCACAAGTATTAGACACAAGACATCGAAAGGCGACAAGTAGAGACCATACGTTTTACCATAACCAAAGCTAGCACTTTCGATAATTTGAGCTGTAGCTCCTGCTGCGAGCAGAGCTAAAGAGGCAAAACCCTTCATAGTGGTAGTGGTAGTGTTAAGAACAGGGTCGTGTGAGGTTCGTAAAAGAAGCAAGCGCTTCCACTTTTCTCCTTGACAATATAGACAGCTTCAATGTGTCTGGTATTGTACAGAGTAATATCAATTATTCCGACTTGGAGCGTTTCAAATGATTAGTACCGCAATGATCGCAGGTAGTAGGTATTTGACAGATGCTAGACACGACACGAGTAGTGATCCACCCAACCACAACAGCAATTACGCAGAGGCGGATTTCCTTGGCAATGACAGCTGTTGAAGGAGAAAAATCAATAAAGTGGCGAAGGTCAACACTGTTCAAAAGGGTGTGTCGGATTCCGACGTCTGTGAAGTCCATTCGGGGAATCGAGATAGATCTAACCGCACTAGTTGTTTTAGTCTTGGGAGGATTGCAATGTTGATACCTGGCCTTCTCCTGATTTGCTCCCCGGGATAACACGTGACTTCAATGCGGAGGAGCTGCATGAGTTCCGCTTCAATTCTCCAAACTTGCCTTTAAAGAAATTATGCCCAATTCTTTCAATGGCTGAGGTATATCCGTCATTGGCACAATGTGCCATCGTTGCGGGAGCCCTCAAGGTACTACTCTTCCCAGCATAGTGAGTATCCCTGTTCTGTATGATATGGTGGTTATTTAATGTTCCTGACCGTCCCGCACCCGCGTTTAGCAAGTCTACCGACTTTGAGGTCCACCGGAATTGGCTTGCTATCACTCATTCGCTTCCGATTCAAGAATGGTACTATGAGGTTGGTATATGACATTAAACTAAAGTACAACTGGTTCTAATTATTTGCAGAAAACTTCAGAATGGACTCTCGACTATCCCCCATTCTTTGCGGCCTTCGAATGGGTAATGTCGCAAGCTGCAGCATATGTGGATCCCGCAATGCTGGTCGTTAAGAACCTAGGATATGACTCGTGGGAGACTATTTATTTCCAGAGAGCGACGGTTATATTTACTGAGCTGGTTCTGGTCTATGCGCTCAGCCGGTAGGTGATGATGGTCCCTCTTGGTGAACTTTTGCAGTCGCTAATTCCATGCTTTCTCTAGATTCGTCAAGTCCGCTCCATTTGCAAGCAAACAGGCTGCTCATGTTGCCAGTCTCTCGATTCTCCTCTCACCGGGCCTATTCATCATCGACCACATTCATTTCCAATACAATGGGTTCATGTATGGGATCTTGATTTTATCCATTGTTCTCGCGCGAGAGCAATCAAAGCTTCTCAGCGGCATCGTTTTCGCGATCTTACTTTGCTTCAAGCATATCTACCTCTACCTCTCCCTCGCCTATTTCGTCTACCTGCTACGAGCATACTGCCTAGACCCGAAGAATGTCTTGCGACCACGTTTTGGCAATATTATCAAATTAGGGACTTGTGTGGTGGGCATCTTTGCGATAGCGTTTGGTCCATTTGTTCAATGGGGGCAGATTCTTCAGTTGAAGGACCGGCTGTTCCCCTTCTCACGAGGACTGTGCCATGCATACTGGGCGCCCAACATTTGGGCCATGTATTCGTTCGCTGATCGAGCTCTCATTCCATGTAAGCTTCATTTTTCTGCGAAAGCGATACTAAATACTGACTAAATTTCAGTGGCTCCACGCTTGGGATTGTCTGTGAACTCAGAAGCGCTCAATAGCGTGACCCGAGGACTCGTGGGAGATACATCCTTTGCCATTCTTCCCGAGATCAGCAGCCAGCAAACCTTCGTATTGACCTTCCTCTTCCAGTTGGTATGTAGCAGAATTCTGAGATTAAGAAACTTCCACTAATAAACGAACAGGTCCCTCTAGTCAAGTTATGGTTTCAACCAGACTGGGATACTTTTGTCGGCGCACTTACTCTTTGCGGCTACGCTTCTTTCCTCTTTGGCTGGCACGTCCACGAGAAAGCCGTTCTCCTTATTATCATTCCATTCAGTCTGATTGCCCTCAAGGATCGACGCCATTTCAGCGCGTTCCGACCTCTCGCGGTCGCAGGACATGTGTCTTTGTTCCCCTTGCTATTCACAGCCGCCGAGTTCCCACTCAAGACCGTTTACACTGTCTTCTGGCTGATTCTGTTCCTCTTCATCTTTGACCGTGTGGCACCTGTCCCGGAGCGCCCACGTATCTTCGTTTTCGACCGCCTGTCCTTGCTATACCTCACATTCGCCATCCCGCTGATTGTTTATTGCTCTCTACTGCATCAACTCATCTTTGGGTTCGAGCGGTTGCAGTTCTTGCCTCTGATGTTTATGAGTAGTTACTCTGCGCTTGGAGTTGTTGGGAGCTGGATTGGGTTCATGGTTGTCTACTTCACTGCGTAGCAGTATAGATGAGTGGAACAAAAATGATAATAGATAGAACAATAATTGCTATCTTTTTTCTTTGATTAGTATTTCTTTTTCCCATCATGAATTAGTATTCCAAGGTTCATTGATGCAGTTGAGATGGATGTTTGTTTGCTATGATTGATAGTTACGCGATCAAGTATGATGTAACCTGTAATCAATGTTTGCACTGTTTGTCTATCCACGTGGGCCAGACCCACCCATGGGAACCGCACGGAACCTAACACCCACTATTCCTAATCAGGTTAGCTCCCTGTGCGATCCATGCTGCATCCCGCCTGCAGGACACGGTCAGGATACCAATCTAGTCAATGGAAAATTGCAATATTTTGTAATAGGGAATTTGTGGGTGAGACTGTTTGAGATTTTGAATTACAGTGTCTGAGGTGTTTATGTTTTAAAATAGGAGAATTACCCACATGGGGGCAGTTCAATGTTTATATATCCTACTAGTAGCTGGGAACATTTGAATCTGATCAAATCCGCTTAGCACCAGATCATCTACCACGGCATCTTTCGGACGAATGACTGGCTTTGGGGATATATCATCAGATACATATTTGGGAATACTAAAGCTCCGGTGGTTTCATAAATTGAATTTTATAATGGCAAATGAACATTTGAAGATAATTAGTTTATGTAAAACTGAGATCAATATGCTGATATGGATATTGTTTCATCCGATTTTGTGGCTCAACTGGATGATAGGCTATCACTGGCACTATGTTAAGAATCCTAGATTGATAAGAGTGAGATAATATTGTATAATTCAAGTTTCTGGAATAATAGACTCTCAATTCTTAATAGAACATATCATCGGATTCTATGCCAGTGAAGTTGTGTTAAGCATTAGACTAACATTGGATGTCGATGAATCGAACATGGAATAATCTTTTCCCAAGCTTGTCCTTGTCCCTGAATATTCATTTTATGTAAAAGATAGATGTTTTCGATCAAATCTCCAGCGAGAAGAGAACTGTGGATAGTATCAGTGTATTGTGGGGATATTTTCAGACTGAATCCACATTCTCGATAATATCACTCTTTGCCATCAACAAGGACTTCGAAACATCCAAGGAGCATTACACAGGTACTCAGTCTGATGAATAGGAAAGCAAAGAGTCTGATGGGCATCTGTAGCTGGTCCTAGTATAGCATTGTGAGCCAAGTATAAAACCAGGTCATGAGATGCTGCTCCTTGGAGCCTTGTTGAGACCAAAGCAAGTAAGATAGGACCAGTAGTTGCCGAGAGAATGATACAAGAGAAAATGAGAAATCTAGTTATTTTCCTGGGTGTAGTCATTGAGCTATTCATCAAGATTTACCAAATAAGAGCTTGGGTTAACATCTCCCCAATGTACGACGTCACACATGAAGTATGTCCTAATAGAATATCAATATAGTTGAATTGAATAATTGAAAATTACCCAAATTGAATACTCTAAGTCCTGGTAAATCATTATTGTTGATCGTGGTGGAGAAAATATATGTTTGAGTGTCATCTATGCATACTTGTTGTGGCTTGAGTCGACTAGTGGGAAAGATGGTCCTGGTGGATAGATTGATAATCACTAAAAGAAGTATAATTTTGATGGAATAATGTAAATATTATTTCTTAAATAGAATCTCCTAATTCTGAGGATTCTAAAGAGGGTAAATAATAGGGGTGATGGTGGACCCATAGTAGGGGGGTCCAGAAGAAAAAAGTAAGTCGGGGCAAAGAGAGAGAGAAGAAGGGAGAGTTAGGGATCAGACTTACATACTAAGTAATAGACAAAAGTGGTTTTTCTGCTGGTTGTTTGACTTCCCGCTGCTCCTCCTCTCCACCAATCAACGTCCACCGCTGATTCGCGGTCGATCTACCGCTTCCTCCTCTTTTGGTCTTTCAACCTTTCCTGCTTTCTCCTTCCCTATTCCTTTTTCTTCAACGCGAACTTGCGCGTCTTATTTCTCTTCCACCACCCCATCCCCGTCTCGATCTTAGGTCGTGACAACCTTCCAAGACGCGTGTTTGGTACGTTCTCTAATCTATCTTAATGTCCTCATTGGAGCTAAGGTCGCCTTATGACCTGCATGAGTTTTTACCCCAAAGACATAGCAATGTCTCCAAGTTGAGACCACCCATCTATTCTTTCCCTCCTTCTCATTACATTATACAATATGCTGCATTTATTATTTATTATTTTATTTTCTTAAACTACATCTACGCGGAGAAGTCGCTAACCAAAAGTCGCGTGCTATTATAGTCAGTTCATGATCCAATTTGTTCGCAATCTTTCCCGGTAGTCCGGCGCGTGTCCGCACGTCATCTAGAGGATAATGGTATGCGATAGAATCTACTTCGACCCATTGGCGGTGCACGTCATTGGCGACGGAGGCAGAAATGTTGGTGGAATATTGGGCTGATAATGGGAATTTAGGTCCTGTTTAAACGGAAGCCGGTTCAATACCTCCCCCGACCGGTCATTGAAGATGACAACTCCGAGGTATTACTCCTGTCGTCCACGCAATTCCTACGAGACAAACGAGACAAACAGGACATATGTTGACAACCCTAGGTCTGGGTCATCCCGGAGACCAGTGAAATCTTCATGAGCTATGAGCCGTATCTCCAGCGCATGGACTTTTACAAGCAACGTCGTTTTATTTGTGAAATTACGGGTCATTCGGGTTTGAACTTTTTTGAGGCCCTGCGGAGCGAGGTAGGTGGAATTGAACGTTTGGATGTGTGGTATTGGCAAATATACTCATGTGAGACTAGATGGAGGAATCGCGTGAAGTGAATAATAGCTTCCCCGAAGCTTTGAAAGAGCCTATTCTGCGACGGATTCAGTTTTCAACGACCTCACGCGTTGATAACTTGGGTATGTGGACCACACCCTACATCTATATCAAGTTTGGACTAACCACTGACTGGATACACAGTGGATGAGATCTTTGAAGTAAGCTGAACTCTTTGTCTGCGAGAGTCAGACTTTAACTAACCCCATTCACAGGAATTTAAGCAGGACTTTTACCCTGGAGAGCCTGTCCTGATCTTGTTGGAAGATACTACGAGACTTCATGGTATAATTAGGGATAAGGCCAACTTTGCTGAGCAGCTTTATGCTGATGGAACTATCAAGACTCCAGCGTATGCCCGGTATTTGGTAAAACTTGCAGACCGACACAATGAGGAGGCTCTTCTGGATCAAGACCACATCACTCGTGATCGGAAGGCATTTACCAAGTTGATGCTTCGGGGTTTCATCAAGAATAACGTGACTCGAGAGTCTTGGACCGGTGCGCCTTGGCTGGTCAAGCCATCAGTTGCTGAAGAATACAAGATCTCTACCGAGGTGCCTAAGCATTTACAATACGGCGCGAAGGTGGCCGAGAAGAAGGCAATGAAAAAGGCAGATCAAGACGGCTTCTTTGGATTTTTCTCATCCCAGCAACTGCCTGAATTGAAACCGGCTGTCAAGGGACAGAAATCTAAAATGTCTGCACAAGAAATGGCCAAGTCACGCGAAGCTCAGTATCAGGAGTACCAGCGATCCCTGAACGGGAACCCATCATTTCTGTCACCATCAAACCCCTTGCGTCCAACTAAACCGCCGCTGGTCGGTGACAAGAAAATGCCTCCCCCTGCGGTCGTGATCAAGAATGAGTCCAGGCCGCCATCTCCACCACCAATCAAATACCCGATTGAAGACTTGGAACTTGCGCCGCGCCATGATAAAAACCCGCGCCCTACATTGAAGTTTTTGATGCTCGGTGATTCGGATGACGATGGAGCGGAGGACCTTCTGCCCGATGACCTCGAGCCTGAATCTGTTGGGTTGCTACTTGAAACCTGGGATACTCTCAATGTTTATTGTGAAGTATTCCAGCTGGACTCATTCACATTCGATGATTACATTCAAGCTATGCGCTTCTCGTCAGAGGACATCGATTGTGAGTTGCTCGTTGAGCTGCACTGTGCCATTCTGAAAAAGCTGGTCAACTCAGAAGATGAGGACGGTGCCATCCAGATCTCGCTTCCGGACTTCCCCTCTGAAGACTCCGACGAGTCCGGCGACGAAGAGGGGGAGGAGGAGGAAGAAGAAGAGGAAGAAGAGGACGAGGAGGAGCCAGCCAGAGCGACTCGCATGACAACTCGCGGCAGTCTGGCCAAGAAAGAGGCAGAGGACTTGAAGGCGCTCATTGATGAAGACGAGCCTGTTGAGGTCCGTATCCACCGTGCTGCCGAGATGTTCGAGAAGTATGGATGGATGGATCGTCTTCGGAAACGCGACTTCCGTAATGGTGGATGGGAGCTTGTGATGATTGGCCTCCTGCACCAGCTCTCTCTTCGACCTCGCTCTGAGAAGACCTGCAACGACATCTTACAGCATCTTGCCCCCCCTCGATGAACCGCCAACCCAGAAGACTGCTCTGGCACAGTACCGCACTCTTGATATCAATTTGCGTGTCAAGGCGCTTCAGATGATTACCATGCTGAGTCTGGAGACTAAGGCCATTCGCAATTTCCTCGAAGAATGCAGCAACCAGATGACGGAGTTCCGCAAGGAAAAGATCGAACACCAGAAAGCCCGCAAAGCGGCGTAAGTGCACATTTTTCCCTCTATAATTTTACTTTCAAGACTAACCGTTCAATAGAATGAGTGAACTTCGTCAGCTGCACCAAGAGCGCAAGGCGCTTCAACCCGAGCCTGAAAAGTCACCCTCACCCATTCCGGAGCTTGAGATGGATGGCATGGACGACTCTAAAATGACGGGCATTGAGGGTGATTCTGAACTTCCCCCCGATACGGAGGATGAAGACACTCCCCGACCTCGTGCTTTGCGAGGTGGAGTCGATCGCGTTCTGGAGCGGAAGCGCAAGCAAGATGAGGAGCGCGAACGCAAAGAACAACTAGCTAAACAGCCCAAGGGCACCAAGCAGTACCAGCGAATTTTGAAGAAGATTGAGGAACAAAAAGCCAAGATCGCAAAGATTGAAGATCAGATTGAAACCGTTGATAATGATCTGCGCGAGGCTGACTGTCCTCGAACTCGCTGCCTTGGATTGGATCGGTTCTGTAACCGTTACTGGTGGTTTGAACGTAATGCCATGCCGCACCAAGGGATGCCAAATAGTTCAACTGCTGAAGCGCAGTATGCAAATGGCCGCCTTTGGGTGCAAGGACCGGACGAATTGGAACGCTCCGGGTTTATTGATTTAACCGATGAACAGCGCAAACAATATCAGAAGCACTTCTCGACCACGCCGGCCGAGCGCAAGAAGCACGAGGAAGGGTCTACCCATGTCTCCAATGCTCGTGAATGGGGCTACTATGATGACCCTGAAACCATTGACCAGCTGATCTCTTGGCTGGACTCTCGTGGCAACCGAGAGTGCAAACTTCTGAAGGAGCTCCAGCTCCAGCAGGCATTTATCGTTAAGTATATGAAGAACCGTCAGGCATACCTGACTGAGCGGGCTGAGCGGGCTGAGTCCGAAGAGATGCCTACCAAGCGAGTTACTACTCGCACCAAGACCTATGTGGATGTTAACGAGCATCGTCTTCGCTGTCTCCGTTGGCGAAACACTACTGCTCAGACTGAACTTGGACATCTTCATGTTGACCCTGACCGACCTGCCAAACGTACTAAACGGGCTTCTGATGATACACGCGAGTCCAAGGCTACTCGTGGCAAGCCCTTGCCGCGCCGGGGATCTCGTCGAGGATAAATGGGGTTTTCTTTTTCTTAACTTGTCTGGACCAGTTCACGCGATCACGACTTTTGTCCCTTTCTTGGTGTATTATTTTATTTTTCTCTCTCTTTGTTTTTCATTCTCTCTACAGGGACCGGTGATCTGTATACATTCGTGCATTTGGGAGATAGGAGGAGTCGAGCGGAGGTTGTTTTTATTTGCACTCTTTGGCTTGTGTTCTATGAAATGTTGTATTGGTGTTCATTTCTTTCTTTTTTGTTTGTCTTCTCTTTTTAATGATATCAAAAAGGGGGAGAAATCGATAGAATGAAGCACATATAGATCCAAATCCACACACTTTTGGCTGACAATTTCACGGCTCGGGACTCGTCGGGTTCTTTTTATTCTTTTGCCGCCACTTTCGGTCCGTCTCTTTCCCTCGGCTACTCGCGGTGCGTCATTGTTCATTTGCCTCATGATCAACCCCCATTTTGACCCCATACTTTTTTTATCCCTAAAATCTAAATCTAAGACTTCTTTGTTTCTTACATTCATTGGATTATATTACACTTACTGCACAGAGTTACTGCATGGGACTAGTATAAATCCGATGATCAGCCGTTAACCCGAATTTCAAAGGTTTTTCTGCCGGGTTATCGCCGAGGATCACGAGGATCACGAGGGGGAAGACCGTTTTCCCCAGATCTTCTTTTTTGCCTCCAGCTCTTAACACTCTTTGTCGACGACCCCGGGGGGATCATGCGGAATTAGATTCCTATCATTTTTTTATTAGCGCTCTTCTCTTTTGGAACCACAACATATTCCGCAGATGAGTGAGATCGCACATCCACGATCGTCAGGCCCCATTGCAGGTGGTTCGGCGGGGAAGATTCTCCCCAATACAGGCGCGGAGGGACAGAAGAACGATGGAAAGGTTAAGAAGCGAAGTTTGGATTATGCCTTGCGGAGTGGTTTAGCTGGTGGATTTGCAGGCTGTGCGGTAAGTGCGCGAAGACTTGAAGCGAGAGCGAGAGAGAAAAAAAAAACAGAAAAATCATTTGAATTAAACAGTGTAACTAATGACGATATGAATTTCATAGGCCAAAACCGTTGTGGCACCTCTCGATCGAGTTAAGATCCTTTTCCAATCCTCAAATCCACAGTTCGCCAGGTACGCGGGTAGCTGGGCAGGTCTTGCAGCGGCCATTAAAGACATCAAGCGCTATGAAGGCGCGCGCGGTCTTTTCAAAGGCCACTCAGCAACACTTCTCCGTATCTTTCCCTATGCCGCCATAAAGTTCCTCGCCTACGAACAAATCCGCTCCTTCATCATCCCATCCAGCGAACACGAGACTTCTGTGCGCCGTCTAGTATCCGGCAGTTTAGCCGGCATGACCTCGGTCTTCTTCACATACCCTCTAGAATTAATCCGAGTACGACTCGCATTTGAAACCAAAGCGTCATCGCGATCATCACTCCTCGATATCTGTCGACAAATCTACCACGAACGCGCAAAACCTCCTTCTACAGGTCCTACCACATCTGTTCCTCCTTCATCCACCGCCGCTGCAGCCGAAACTGTCACAGCAACCGTAAACTCCGCAGTACCTCGCTCGGGTCTCGCAAACTTTTACCGTGGCTTCGGTCCAACACTTCTGGGAATGCTCCCATACGCAGGCGTGTCATTCCTCACACACGACACGGTAGGCGACTGGCTTCGCACTCCTTCCATAGTTCAATACACGACAATCCCAGACTCAGACGCGATACCTCATCAGAAGGGTTCGCGAAGACCACAACTTACCGCTGCGGCGGAACTTTTCTCAGGCGCAATCGCTGGTGTTGTTTCTCAGACTTTTTCATACCCTCTTGAAGTTATTCGACGCCGAATGCAAGTCGGTGGTGCAGTTGGTGATGGCCATCGTCTTGGAATTGTTGAAACTGGTCGAAAGATCTTACTGGAGCGTGGATTCCGGGGGTTCTTTGTTGGGTTGACGATTGGGTATATTAAGATCGTTCCGATGAGCGCTACTAGTTTCTTCGTTTATGAGCGCTTGAAGTGGTCATTGGGTATTTGATCTCTTTGCTCTCTTACCCTGACTCTAGGGTTTGCTTTTTTTCATTTCTCATTTTGCGTCGCTGCATATACATCATTCGTGTTGGCGATAGATCGCCTGCCGATGCGCCTCGGCATCTGTACCTGATTCCCATTGGCGTTTGTTGGATATCTCTTGGCTTTCACTTCTTTCCCTTACTTTCAGCATAGAGGAGCCCAGGATGGCTCATGTGGAAATACAATTTAAGCACATACACTTGATTTCTTCCAACTTATAAACAATAAACAATAGTCCATTTATCTTATTCACCACAAGACATAATGATATAGGTCACGTGCTCTATATTGATCGGAGTTCGGAGCGCACGGACCACATTTTCGCCGCAAAGAAAAAAAGTTCCATGCGGAGAGTGGATTCTTCAAGATACATGTACCGGGCACACCACACAACATGACAATCCGCAAACACGATCTGCTCGCAGCAGCGAGCGATGACGAGTCCGATGCACATGGCTACTCCTCCGAAGACAACGGCGTCGAAACCAAAGGCCGAACCATCAAGCGCAGAAAGCGAGCCCAAGCAAGCGATTTCTTCGGATTAGATTCTGACGAAGAAGACTCCGCATCGAATGACGAGGAAGAGCGTTCTGAGGTCAAGGGAAAGAAAGCGCGCAAGGTTATTGAGAAGGAACCTACATCTGAAGATGAAGATGAAGAGGAGCAAGTCTCAGAGCAAGTCAACGAGGAACTTGAAGACGACATTGAAGATGAAGGAAGCGACACATACCTCGATCCAACGACGAAGTCAAAACCATTATCGAAACCACTGAAAGTACCCAAGAAACCAAAGAAACTAGGCGTCATCTACCTCAGTTCCTTACCACCATACATGAAACCCATGACTTTGAAAAAGAAGATCGAGGACTACGGATTTGGGCCTGTATCGAAGGTTTTCCTTGCGCCGCTTGTCACCAATAAGGCTGTCCAGAAGGCGAAGTCTAATAAGCGAAAGCTTTTTGGGGGGGGGTGGATTGAGCTTCCGAAGAAGCAGGCTAAGATTTGTGCCGAGACAATGAATGCTAATATTGTTGGTGGAAAGAAGGTATACATCGTTCCTTAACACCCCCGTGATATAGGATATATGCTAATTGTGTTGACAGGGTGGATACTATCATGATGATGTGTGGGTCATGAGGTACTTGAAGGGCTTTAGCTGGGCCAATTTGACGGAGCAGGTATGTTTTACTCTTCTACTATTTTTTATCATATACTAACTCCAATATTTACAGATTAATAACGAGAGAGCTACAAAAGGAGCCCGTCAACGAGCTGAAGATGCTCGAGCTCGTCGTGAAGAAAAGGTCTTCATGGAAGGCGTTGAAGCCGGCAGAGTCGCTGATGGTATGGCGAAGAAGAATGAGGAGAAACGGAAGAGGAAGCTGGAGGCGTTGGGAGAGGATGTTGAGACAAAGCCGCAGAAACCTGTTACTATTCGCAGACGTTTCGTCCAGAATGATGTTGTCAAGCCGAAGAAGTCAACTTCTGTTGGCGATGATGCGAAGAGGGTATTGGGCAAGATCTTTTGATTCAAGTTGGTATTCTATGTTTACCGAGCGTGCATATGTATTTGAGGGTTTGGTTACTTACTAGGGAAAATATTTAAGCCAGAGGCTATTATCTTTACAATCGTCTGTTCAATAGGTGTGCAGAATCCCTCATGTATACACCATAACGGATTAGCTCACAACAGAAAATGCTCGATTGGGATAGTCGACTGGTCACATTCACTACTGCACGGATGAACTAACATCCGACCCGACCATCTGTCGACATGAGGCAGTCTCGAAGCTGGAGAGAGACCGACCAGCTTCTTTTTCATAAATTCATCTTCAACTTGTGAACTTGGAACAAGATGGCCGTGGAGCAGGATATGGGCGTCCCCGCAAAGCCCCAGACATTCCAGCAGTCCACACATTGCGTGCTCTGTGGGGAACGCTTTCCTCGCGAGCTGCCGTTCATCTCTTGTCAGGACCCTCAAGTTACCTAACATGTCCTCTGACTGATGATTTCAATCGCAGTAATTTGGGACCAGAATAAATCAAAGACAGTTCTGATAAAGCCAGCCCACTTGGTAACACACTGCGAGAACCCAAATCCACGGTGGTACGAACTATGTGAGCAAGATTATGGCATGGATCCAGTGGCTCCCTCACTTCATAGCTGGTGCTGGACCGCTTTGGGGGATCGACTGAGTATGGAGTCCCTTTTCGGGTTTGGAATGTCCATGTTACCTTGCTTCGACATCGATATCAGAGGTAACATCTACGCAGCATCAAATAAACATCTTTTCATCGGCATTACAATGCCTTGCAGAAACTACTCACGAAGCAAGAAAACTAGATGATGATAATTCAAAAGAAAGACACAGTCTTTTGAGAACACTCTATCGACTGCGAGATCTACCAGAGGAGATCATTTTTCTGATTTGGAAATCGCTGCATCTGACCGTAACTCGATGCTTGTTATCCTTCCAAGCGTCCAGGCACTTGATGGGGCAATTGAGTCCAACCCGCCAATGGAGTGGCGTGTTTCTTTTGCATGGATTGATGACCGTATACTTCCGATGCGTTCATGGAGAGAAGTACATATGTGGACTTCGCAATTCCTATCAGCAGTACGGCTATACTAGTCGTGACTGCCAGCAGATTCAAATCAAGGTATATGTAGTTGCAGTGTCTTCTATTCTCGGCATATTTGGTTTAAGAGGAATTCGATATCTCATGAAGGATGGAACTGAAGGATACGTTGGGCCTTCGATTCACAACATCGACCACATGAGATACACGACCATTGCCTCATCTAACGATACAGAGCCCCTCTTCCTGAAGCTTGAGGGAGATATAAGTGCATTGATTGCTCTGAAGATTATTTTGATTATTGACCAGTTTTGTAGGGTCTCAAAATTCGTAGCATCCTTCGAGCGCAGGCTGAAAGGTCTGTTTTTGGAGATCTGTTCACCTGGGAAATTTGCTGGCCGATAAGTTTGCTTTGTGCAAGAAAAAGGTCCAATCTGTTTCTTCATCGACGACAAGTGGATTATTCAAGGAACAAAGAGAGAATGTCCATGCGATGTATTCCTTTCACAGAGGATGGAGCTACATTATATGGCCTGTCAGTCTGTTGTTGTCCAGCCGGTGGAACAATCGGCCTTGCCGCCCATTTCCATTGAAATTTGGGATCTAAACGACAAAAAGCTACTCAGTCTGGCGGGGTTCCTCTAAGGGTACTATTCTTCACATGCGACTTAAGCCCACTGAAAGAATCACTGCTATCTGGGTGATATATTACAAAGAAATTTTTGATTACCCTTATTTGGGAGTAAGTATCTTCAAGGGTTACAGATGACTTGCTAAAAAGCAGGGTTAAAATGAACTTACATACTGATCTCAATACGTAGGTACAATCGAGCGAAGGCCGTTTTTACACATTAGCCCCGGAAATGCTTGAGATCAAACTTGTAGCAGATGCGAGTGAAGGAGCCCTGCTTGGATTATACTTCGACGACTCACCATGCAAACCAATTCGTATGCACAGCTTTGGGATTTTTTCCGCCGATACCAAGCCCAAAGAAAAGCAGTCACAGCCTGAGACTTCTGACTTGAAGTTTCGAGTCACTCCGGATTCGCACTATTCCTCTATTTTTTATAAACTCATGGGATGCATGTGGAGTCAGTTCAGTTCTCAGGCTATATTTGAGAATGTTTCTTATCTAGAGACATGCTCTGTTGGCGTTCGATGCATGGGCATGATTCTGACATACTTCGATGGCCACCAAAAGGTGCTGGGTCAGTGGTATGAGCATCACCCTTCAATTAGTGCTGTCATCCATAACCTAGAGCCCATACCTGGCCAAGGATTGCGCTTTTTCATATCCTATGCGGAAGAATACGGACTCAGTTATCTTGAACGCGTTGAACTACGGCCACTGAAACGCGGCAATGTTGTCAATGATGCAACCGATCAAACGATGGTCGAGGTGAACTATGCGGTTTGTCCCCAAGCATCCGATTATGCGTTATTAAGCTGAGTGATTAAATATAGGATTCCATTATTTGGCTTTTCTCAATGGCAGCAGACATAATAATCCCCGACCCAACTCCAAAATGAAGCAGGGACTCGTTGCTATCATGATTCGTGGTGTTGCTGGAGTTTGTAGAATAGTAAACAATCTTAATCAACTTGAAGATGATTATTTCGCCTTCTGAAGAGTACACATATTCAAGTTCTTCATAATGTTGTATCATCCTCATCCGAGTCGTCATCCTCAGACTCCTAGGTGCCGATTCTGAACCACCCAATACCGTCGAGTCCTTCCGCCTTTGTTCAAACTTCTTTGAATAAAACACAATTCCTGCTTCTCAAAAGTACATACACTCTTATTTTCAAGCTATACCTCGACATCCTCGATGCCTTTGCAAGTTCGTTGAAGTTCTATCATCGCCTTCTTCAATTTCAGTCTGAAATCATCTTTCGCTTTTTCGTTCTTGCGCCTCTGTTCAAATTCCTTGATCAAAGCTAAAGAGAACAATCCAAGGGGGAATCGATTGATAAATGCTTCATCATCCTCATCCTCAAAATAATCCTCATCATCCAACCCTTCTGAATCACTTGAATCCGAAACATCTAATGCTTTATATCCTGCCACCTTTGCTCAAACGTCTTGATGAGTGATAAAGAGAATAATCCCGGCGGATAACGACTTAATAATGTTTCATCATCCTCCAAGGTCTCTGAATCACTCGAATCCTCCGAATCCGAAACATCTAATGCATTCAAGTTTTCCCACCTTTGTTCAAATGTATTGATTAGTGATGAAGAGAATAATCCCGGCGGATAACGAGTGATCACTAAGTCATCATCCCCATATTCATCTTCTGATGCAGAATTTTGCGCTGAAAGAATGTCTTCTCCGCGAACTCGTGCCATCTCACATTCAAGCCGAGTTAGCAAATTGATGACGCCTAGTACTTCTGAACTTTCGCTTAAACTGGGACTTGGAGAAGGCGATAGACGCTCAGAGGTTGACAACGTAAGCCGGCGACCATCTGATAGACAACGAGTCGCATAATTAGGATGACGTCGAAGCCAGTGACCAAACCACCTGCTATCCAAGGGTGGGGAAGATGGATTTGATAGCCGTAACATAGCCGTTGCAGCTTTTAGAGCTTCTTGTCGTGTCAGGGGTGACCCTTCTCGATAATTAGAGTCAATCCATTTGCAAAGAGCCGTATTTTGTGTTGAACTGAGCTCAAATAGCGATTTACGCCCGTTGAAGCGCGCGCGTAGTTTGGCGTAAGGGACCGCGAAGTCACGCGCATATTTCGAGATATTAGGCTTTGAGTCTTTGCGCATCGCCCGCAAGGCCAGGTCGATTTTATCTTCGAGTTCTTTATTATTGTTTCGAGACATCTTGAGAAGAATGATAAGTGAAACCGTGAGAGGATAAGATTGTAAGAGTTATTGTTTTGGCGAGTCGCGTTGATCCAACTATGGAGTACGGATACGCTACGTACAATTGCGCGGGATGGTCAACTGGTCAGTCAATGGTTGAGCTAGTCTAAAAAGGTCATTTTATGCGGGCCACATCACATGATATTATCCAAATATGTTTGACCTGTTTGCACCAGTTATCGCCGTAATCTCTCTTTTTCTAGAAGGGAATTTCCAAGGTTGTTATTTGACCCATCACCTCATCAGCCATGAGTAGAGCTTTGATACGAGGGGCCGTGTGCCAATCTTGTCGCCATGAAGTGCTTCGATCATTTCTTGCCGTCTCCGGCGTACCGATGCCACGATTCTCTTATTCTACGCGCTTAACCTTGAACTCCAGGGCTTTCTCTGCGGTAGCACCGTTGCGATCTGACCGTCCTCCTGTCTCGAATCCTCCTGATATCATCCTGTCACCAGTGGTTGAAACAGCACCGGAAAATGAAGATAACGAACCCACTACATCCAATGTCCCCTGGTATCTACGGGAAGGGGCTCCAATCAGGGAAACCCGCCCAATAATTGGTGATCATATCCCAGAGCTCCCCGAGAATTCTCCTGAAATACTTCAGGTTCTCCTCGAGTACTCCTACAAAGATCTTGGTCTGGATGATTTGAAATTATTTGATCTTCGCCACCTTGATATCCCTGCTGCACTAGGCGCCAATGTTATCATGATCGTTGGCACCGCTCGCAGTGTGAAGCATCTAAATGTTTCTGCGGATCGGTTATGCCGGTGGCTGCGGAAGACATACAAACTTTCACCACATGCCGATGGATTGCTGGGTCGAAACGAGTTGAAAATCAAGCTGCGTCGCAAGGCCAAACGCGCCCGTGCTGCTAGCCATGCGGGCACAATGATCGACGAGAAGGATGATGGTATTACAACAGGCTGGATCTGTGTGAACGCGGGAATAGTCGACAAGGGCTCTTCTCAAACCCAGCTTAGTGATGTCGGATTTGAAGGCTTTGGTCAACTGGATCTCGGGACGAGCGTGGTGGTTCAGATGTTCACCGAGGAAAAGAGAGCCGATGTTGACCTAGATGGTCTATGGCAGGGGACTCTGGATCGAGCTGAGCGCAGTCGACTTAGACATGAGTCTGAGACTGCTTCCGCTACCGATTCTCCCAGCTTTACTTTCTCTGCCGGTGGAATGAGTACCCCTGGAGGTCAGCGCCGAGGTCTTCATACCGGACGGCAAATCAAGGTGGGCTCAAATCAAGAGGATAACGGACTTGAAATGAGCACGGACTACTTGATGGAAAAGCTAGCTGCACTTCCGCACGAGAAAGCTCGCATTCAGCTTGGAGCTGGTCCTGAGGATCAAGACTCAACACTCTTTTTAAAGCAATTGTACGTCAGTTTGCCAGCCGACGCAACATCCAAGACAACGAGCCTCACAAAACTGAGACTTTCTATAATTGCAGTATCCCGACAACACCCCGGTTATAGCAAGGAATTCCTGGTCAATGCACTCAACGATATTCTCTCCGCTGACGACAAAGTACCCGATGAGCTCGGCTTTGATACCGTTGCTGCTTTGTTGACACCTCGGCTTGGAGAGACCCCAGCGCAAGAACCCACACAGTTCCTGCCCGATTCAGACGTAGAGCTTGCATTACAGGTTCTCGAACGACTGAGCGTTCGTGGTGTACCAATTCTCAATATGAGAGTGTTCAACGTGCTTTATGATGTGGCAGCCTTGGCCCCTGAGCCATATATCTCCACTGAAAAAGCTCAACGAACGGTGGAACACAGACAGCAGTTGTTGACTCGTCTCTCTAAGATTGTTTCCGCAGCACAGGTCTCATTTGACGAGGTCGAGGCTCGTAAACTTATGTTCAACCAACTTCGGTACCAAGATCTTGACGGATTCTGGCGCCTGTGGCGCATGTTCCCCCTGCAGAAAGCCTCTCGTACCCAAGCAGATTACATGAAAATGTTCCAAGTTCATGCAGAGCTGGGAGATGAGCGACGAGCTCGTGACTGTCTTTCCACATGGGTCCCCATGATGAGCCGAGAAACCACTCCAATCATTCTGCAAGGGCCCATTGTGTCAGCTATTATGGAATGTATCCTGGTTGCTGATCCGGAGATTCGATACCGAGAGGAGGATGGTTCTCGTAATTATTTCACAGCTTTATGGGCTCAGTGCCAGCGGGCCCTTGAGCAGGCCGAAGAGATGATGGAGGAAACTGTCAACCATGTATAATAGTCAATTGTATATTTTTATGTATTATTAAAAGAAGATATCCTACTCTGTTTAATATTTATCTACTGGGTTTCATTCTTATTATTATCAGATGTACTCTGTAGTCCATGTAGTTTGGAGCAACCTTGGAAGTTCAAGTTGAGCCTCGGCTGCTGATCACTGGATCCGGTGAATGGGGGTCTCCGCTCTCCGAGTCCATCTCAACTCCACGAGAAACACTCACAAGTTCACAACCCCCAACTCCTCCCATCTAATACTGAGGTTAAGGATGACTGGTGCTCCCGACAATGGAGTACCTTCCTAGCCTTCAACAAGAGTTCGATGAGCATAAGCCATCGCTCTTCGGTAAGTTCAGACAGCGCGACTTCGCGGGGAAGCCACTTTCCCGGGGAACTATCACGGCCCAAGCGTCGTGGCTAACAGATTCATTCTGCTTATAGAACTCCTTGCCGAACAACAACTCTCGGATCTACTTCCGCCATCAATTCGTTACCTTCTTGCAGTCGCTACACACCGCCACCCGCGATACCTACTACGGATCCTCAATTCATACGATGAAGTCTACGCTCTCCTCTCCCTAGTCGTCGAGCGCTATTATCTTCGCACATTCGGTGGCTCCTTCACAGAGAACTTTTATTCCTTAAAACGTGAACGTGTTCTTCGCACAAAGAATGGCGAGATTCCGCGCGCCCAGGTTGGCGCTGGCGGTCCCGTGCGCGATGCCTTGAAACTACACTCAACCGACGTGTGGAAGAACCTCCTTGTGATGGTCGGCATTCCATACCTAAAGCGCAAGCTTGACGAAAGATACGATATTCATGCGGCGCCACACGCATCTCTTGTTATGGGAGGTGGGCCTCGATATAACCCCAATGATGATCTACCAGCGCGTCCAACAGTGCGCCAACGCCTTTTCCACTACTACAAGTGGTTCCTCCGCAACGTATACCCTTCCGTGAACGCGGCATATTACTTTTCAGTCCTAGCGTTTAATCTCGCTTATCTTTTCGATAATACGAAGTATTCCTCCCCATTCCTGTGGCTCATTGGAAGCCGCATTCGCCGCCTCGGAGCAGCAGATCAGCGCGCTATCGCAGAGGTGCTAGACCCGAAGCTCTCGGGCGGCAGATCTCAGAGACCTAGATCAGGGCTACTGGGTCTTCTCAGCCCTCAGAACCTCTACCCACAACTCTTAACCTCTCTGCGCTACTTCCTTCCCGCATCCATCTTTGCTCTAAAATTCCTGGAGTGGTGGCATGCAAGTGATTTCTCACGGCAATTAGCCCGCAAAGCAACCGAGGTTCTCGATTTACCCGCACCTGTCGTTTCAGGTCTAACGAGCCCTGTTGAGCGACGCAAGGCTGGTCAAGAAGAGAAGGAGAAGAAGCAGGCTGAACAAGAAAAGAAATCCACTGGGGATCTTAAATCCGCACTTAAATCACCTCGGCGGCATCAACCACCCATCTCTGCGAATTCCTACCTTCCCATCTTCACTGTTCCCTTACCACCTGCGGATCCCTCTAGCGCTAATACTTGCCCTGTCTGTCTGAACACACTGGTCAATCCGACCGCGTGTCAAACAGGATATGTATTCTGCTATGTGTGTATCTTCCACTGGCTCAATGGCGAACATCAGCGCCAGTTGGATTTCATGAATGGAGAGGGAGCTGGCGCAGCATGGGAAGAGGAAATCACAGGGGATGATGATAAAATGAAGGACTCTGATGGTGATGCTGGTGAGAAGGGCTCTCGCAAGCGCGGAGGGAAATGGGAGAGCGGCAAAGGAAGATGCCCTGTTACAGGCAGGAGAGTGTTGGGAGGAACAGAAGGCCTCCGTCGTGTGCTTATTTGATTCCAAGTTCTTTTCTCATGTATATATACTGGGTTTAATCTACCAATTACTGATTACTGATCAACTTGAATGTCGTGGATATCATATCCATGTTAGACTAAGATTGGATTCTACTCGCGATGAATCCTACGAAAAGCCCGAGTCACATTATTCAAGTTACTAGTATGAGAACGTTCGAATTCAAGGCTCTCTAAATTCAGATCACTCAATTACTGCCAGTCTCTTCCCCGTGCATACTTGGTAGTTGGTCCTTCCAAGACGCCCTATTGGTACTATGCAAGTGGGCCATACCGTATATTGTCTTCGGTGGCTTGGGATCACCCAGATCGCTCCTAATTCATCTAATCTTCAAGTTTTAGGGAAGTCTCTACAGTCTAGTTTAGAAGAACGCAGAGCCTCAAGTTGGAATACAGAGTCTTCCCAGTCGTTACTCTCTAGTAACGGATATCCGGACAACGGGGGTTGAATCCCGGAGTCCGAAGATCATCATCCTTTTGCCGTCAAGGTTCCACAGACGACTTGAATTAGTCAAGTGGCAGAGTTCTTGCAGGCTTAGCTGCATGAGCTGCATGAGCTGCATGAGCTACTGCATCATGCTACATGATAGCCCAGACCCCCCCCCCGAAATGTCCGGCCCCTCATTTGGACTTGAATCTTGCACTCTTTTCCCCACACATTCAACCTGAAGATATCATTTTGACTCCATTACGCCGTACACGCTGCAAGATTGATATTTAGACGAAGCAAATCAAACAATGACTAACCGTGAGCTATACTTGACCTCCTGGGGAAAAATGACAGGGAATGCTGAATGAATGAACACAGTAGATGGAACGAAAACTACATCTCGCGATGAATTCCCCCCCAAAGGCCGATTTGCGCAAAATGATGGCCCAGAGGCCTCTGCCTAAGCTTGCTCCTGGGCTAGTTGATCCAGCGTCTATGGCTGGCGACCAAGCCACTATTCAGGCTTGCGCTGTGCTGGATCAATTGAATGCTGCCATTACCAACGGTGACTTCAAGGCGCTCGAGCAATGCTTTTATGCAGAACAAGCGTACTGGAGAGATCAGGTAGCGCTTACTTACCACATTCGGACATTCCGGACACCTGGAGTGATTGCCTCTAGTCTTCTAGAGACAACAAAGTTAAGAAAGATCACTGCCGAGGGGATTCAAGTTGATGGCAGTGCTGCTTTCTTACCAGTTACTCCTGTTCTCGTAAGGATTGGCCTTATCTTTTGATGTTCTAGTTGGAGGTATTGTGCTGACATTTATAATTATCAGCAATTCATTGATTGCCCTATTGTATTCAACACTGGCTCCCCGGAAGGTACTTGCCGAGGCAAGGTGCTATTCTTGCCTGTTGTTCAAGAGGGCACTGACTCAATTATTTGGAGAATCTGGATTTTGAGCACTCGTCTTGAAACCCTTGGTTCGCATGTTGAGGATCAAGAGTCACTCAAGGCCCCTCGGAGAGAATTGGATAATGCAGTTGACTTCGAAACCGAGGTCTTGATCATTGGAGGAGGAAACTCGTGAGTTGAAAATAAGTCATCCTGGCATGAACCAAGATATGCTGAACAACTACAACCAGTGCAATTACTCTTGCTGCGCGATTAAAGGCCCTCGGTGTTGAGAATGTTATGGTTGATCGCAACGAGAATCCAGGAGATAACTGGGCTCTTCGTTACGATTGCATGCGCTTCCATCTCCTTACTTCGGCATGTGAACTTCCATTCATGCGTAAGGACTTCCTATTATATATCATCAGCACTTTGAGTTAAGCCAATGAAGATGGAGAGCGCTTACAAGATATAGGCTACGACGAAAGTCTTCAGAGCCCTCATCTGTTGACTCGCGATGATCTAGCGTTGCATGTTCAACGATATGTGGAAACCTTGAATTTGAACCTCATAAATTCAGCCACAATCCAGTCGACAATCTATAATGAGAAGACCAGCCAATGGAGCATCACATTCCAAACACCTTCTGGCCAGCGCAAGGCAACCTCGAAACAATTGGTTCTAGCTACCGGAATTGGATCGAACAGGCCTAGGATTCCGGAGATTGCGGACTCGCATCTATACAAAGGCACAGCTCTTCACTCGGCTCATTACAAAAATGCCAATTTGCTGCGAGAACAAGGCGTTAAGGTAAATAGAACTTTCTATGGAAGTAGAATCTGGAAGATATTAAAAGCTGACTTGATAAGTCTGCAATGATCATTGGATCTGCCAACACAGCATTCGATATTATTGAAGACTGTCACGCGGCAGGTCTTGAAACAACAATGAATGCCAGATCCCCAACATACCTACTGCCACTTGAATACATTTGTCAGAGCTTAGCCGCTTATGAAGTTGATGTCGATGCTGCAGATAAACGACTCTGCTCATTGCCTTCATTCGTGGACGCCCAAATAGGTCGCGGCGTATATGCCAACTTTGCATCAAAACAGCCAGCTCGATATACTGCACTCGAAGCCGCCGGATTCCAGGTTATGGATAGTTGCCACCCCAACGTTGCCTTACTGCATAACCTCCTTGAACGTGCCGGTGGTCACTATATCGATATCGGTGGTACAAAGCTAATCGAGGAAGGTAAGGTACGTATCAAGGCTGGTGTTGAGCCAGTCGCGTATACTGAGACAGGCCTACTCTTCTCGGATGGAAGCCGGGTTGAAACGGATGCAGTGGTCTGGTGCACTGGATTCTCTGACACAAATGCATTGAACACTGCTGCTGAGATTCTTGGCGGGTCTGTGGAATATGGATCTATGTGCAAGAATGACTCGGAAGGTGGGTCACACATCTTGGGTCCTCATGATATTGCCTCTCGTCTGGATGCGACTTGGGGAGTTGATGACGAGGGTGAGATTCGTGGCATGTGGAAACGACACTTGAATGTTGATAACTTTTGGATTATGGGTGGCTTTGCTCAACCTCAGCGGTGGCATTCTCGTAACTTGGCGCTTCAGATTAAGGCTGCAGTGGAAGGTGTACTGCCACCAGCTTATCGTGATACACCATTACCGGTGAATTCCTGAAAGCTGCAAGCAGAAATCAGACACTGAATGGTACCTAGGTATGTGTATGTGAATACTTAGTGCATCACTAAGTTGGCAACTTGTAGTATCATCTACTTTGTTCCGAATGGCTTTATACTAGGTGTGAGATAGCCAGGTACAGACACCATGATGAGCAACTATATTTCTCTTTTCAATGATGATCTTCATCTTAAAGGATCAGGTCACATTCTAGGATCACTTCAAATCACTTTCAATCAATAAAGTTAGTGAATAATGGATGTTATAACTTAGTATTTGGGATTGATAGTTCCGGGCCTTTACCCTGTACCTAATACCCGCTATTGTATACTATACAATCCTCCAGGGCTGTAGATACCGAGCTTTGCTCTTCCTTCGGCGACATATTCAGACATCAATGGAACTGACTCTCTCTAAATAAAAACTCATTTTTCCTTTTGATCTATTCTCTCGTTCCTGGCTCCCCCCACTATCTCCACTATTTGTGCACACACTTTTTCCTTTCTCTGCCTCTCTCCTCCCTGACATTTCTCCAGCCCAAAGTCCACATCCCAACTCTTTCCAAACTCTCTCTTAAATCTCTTGACTTTCAACCAAGGTATGTTTTATCTCCCACGGAATCCTAAGATCGATCTCTCAATCAACTATCGATATTGCTTTTTTCCAAATGTGAGAGCTAGCATCATCTACACGCCCAACAAGGATTTGAACTGACTTGAATCTCTTCAACATAGCAGATCAGAAATCTCAATTTTCAATTTTCGTTCAACAAGACCCTTCACAATGAGATACTTCGCTAATATGTTCCCGGAGCTCTTTGGGGATGCCGAGGATGGAATGGAACGCTTCCAGGCGTATCAAGCGCGCGTGAGTAACATTTACAACATCTCAAGCTTTGACAGAATGCTAAAAAGTTATAGAGAAATGCCAACCCGGACAATGAACGTATGTCAAAGCTGAGATGTGGACCAGGAGAGGATGGCGTCCAGAGACTACGAGGCCACGACAGATTCGGAGGTTACTTCGTCGTTGGCTGTAACGTTGACGAGCAGGTGAGATTTGAAGTCCCACATATGAAATGCATTCTCTGAGTTTTGTGGTATACTATGGAAACTGGCAATGCAAGCACGAGTAAGATTACAATCCACTGCTCAAAGCGTGGCATACTGTCTTCACGTACGTTTGTTTAGCGCTGCTATTAACGGAATTTTTCTGACAGCTAGAAAAAAAAGCAATGAAAGTCACTACTTCCAGAATCCGAATGATTCGCAGCCTTGGTTTCGACCTGGTAGAAACGGATGGGACAGACCCCACAAAAATGGCTCACAGACCGACTGGGTTAACCCCGAGTGTCCTTGCTTCACCAGTGTTAATCCTCCTCCTCGTTGGTGGGTCACTGAGAACATTATTGAGGTTTCTGAAGCTCAGCGTATGTTCGTTCTATATTTCTTATTAGCTTTTTTACACTAACATTCCTCGCTAGATGCCCTGGCTGACAGCCTTGACCGGCGGTTTAAAAGCCCGGGCTTTTAGAATGTGCTATTCGATACTTGACGGCGAAAGACTAAGTTGGCCGATGACTGCGGTGAAAATGACAGCGAGTGGGAATGATCTTGGCGACTTTGATAATTTTGATCATTCTGTCAACACTCCTGGAGGTTAGCCTCGAGGCTGATATTCTGGTGAAAGAGAGGCTCTGTGGCGGTGTTTTGATGGGCTCAAGATCTACTTTTTGACATTTTTTTGATATTTTTTGCAAATTAACAGCAGTAGGAGATGGATTTTTCACGAAGCTTATAAGTATCTTCATAACTAGAAGTACTAGTATATTCCATTTTGCAATTACCTGGTCAAGCCCTGGAGAACTCGGAGGAGTAAACTTGTTTGGATCCGATATTATACTATGTTTGGATTCACCAGTGAGGAATATACTTGGACCAGCTCACTACCTGGAATGCACTCCCTGGCAAAGTTCTTAGTCCAATGAAATCCTCCACCAAGATAAAGGCCCGAGATAAACAATACAAAACCGAAAGAAGGATATTTGGAATAAGTATCCTTAAAGGGATCGTTAAGTCTGGGTCTCGATCGGGATGAATATTTCTCAATTTCCATGCAAGCCGAGGAAAAATATTCTCTGGTGGACACTGAAAGTGCTCAATCTTTTCCAGATATTTGGGAAGGATGGATTCTTGAGTATACCAGATGCTAAGTCCACCAGCAAAGCCAAAGAAGGCCTGATAGACTGCTGCAATACGCCAAACTAGCCTTTCCGTAGGTGTAGGGAATGTAAAATTCCAAGCGAACAAGGACATGCAAGCAAATATTAGCTCGCACGGAACAAAGAGTATCTTTGCTGCTCTAGCAGGACGCAAGAAGGTATCGGAAGGCAAGTAATCATAAGGCTTAGTACTTGGCCGGGCGAGAATTGGGATATGGAGATAGTGGAGAATCTGAACATAGTAGCGCCACAAGCGAGCAACGATCCATTCCTCGCGGGAGAGGAAATCGAGTGGTGTTTGGTACCATGGCTCTTCAGGGCATGGATATATTTTGAACGGATAAGAGCAATGGGGGTTGTTGTACTTAGTATTATGGCTCGTGAGATGTCCTTAGGTTTGTTGTGCCAGCAGAATGAAGTGACGAAGAAAATAAGGATAGAAGATAAGGTTGTAAGTTCAAGAGTAGTGAGAAAAAGATGTTGGGCAGTACGGATAATGCAGTTGACAAAAAACCAAGCTGCTTGTCCTATAGCAATCATTCTATACCAAAGTTAGCTTTCTATCTTATGACAAGTAAAATATTCTCGGGATTTTTCTCCAGTAAATCACAGTTTAAGGAAGGATAAACTCACCTTGCCAAACTATCAGATTTGCTCTTATCCTGGATGTCTGCAACATCCAAATCTGGGTAAGCGATATACCCACCTTTCACTAACCGAAATAGTTGCTCGGCGTCAATTGGAAATGATTCGCTTCCAGGACTTTCAAGGAAAAATCCCCCCCATATCGGCGAAAAATGCATGAGTCATGATCCAGTTCTCATATCTGGCGTGACGGAATTTCTATCCAATTTCTTAGGATAGCAAGTTATACCTAGGAGGATATTATACATACCTTGAATGAAGCCCGGGCGGATGACCACTGCCCAAGGGCAATGACTAGCAAGAATTCCGGTCCAAGAAGACCAATCAAGAAGAGATTCATCTTTCCAACTCTTTGTCTAAATGCATTATCCGACCTTCGAGGAATATTAGGATAAACAGATGACCAGCAGCAGAGAGCGATAGTCAAAATGCAGGTCGAGAGGATATCCCATGTTCCTCGTGCGTTGGGCTCATCGACCCAGCCAACATGGTCTTCTGGACCTGTTGACATCATTCACCGGAGTGCACCTGGGCAAAATCTTGTCTTCCAGCTACCAGAAACAGAAAGAGAGTGCGTACTTAAACCACTTCGAGCCAGGCAACCGCCGCATACAAATGCCCAGGTGCCGAGGCTGCTCCGCCGCAACCCCCCACGGAGTGCATATCACATATCGCCTCAGCCAATCGCGTCCTATCACGTAGCGCCAATCTATCGTGGCTGGGAAGATCGCGGTATTCTATTTTTAGAAGCCTGCACTTGCACTGCAGCACATGTGCAGTCGCTAGGTCCCAAGGTTTCAAGTTGTCATTGCTAAACATTAAATATTGAAATTGAGAGATTTCTTGGATGGCGGCTCGCGGAAACGGCCCGCAGCTCAAATTTAGATTCATAATATCCCGTGTATGTAGTAGGATTTAGCCGAGTCGCGATCATGATGTTAGCAGATTACTGAAACGACCATCATGATAGATTATTATAGATTATTATAGATTATTATAGATTATTATAGATTATTATAGATTATTATAGATTATTATAGATTATTATAGATTATTATAGATTATTATAGATGCAAACACATCCACCCCTACTCACCTACGTCGCGCGATGCTAAAGCACTGGCTCTTAAAGACTTTAAAGACTTTTTGAGTTGAAAAGGAGGGGCAATAGTATTGATGAATCCAGCACTATTGATGCTAACCAACTATAGAAAGGAAGGTAGATACAGGCTTCATGGTATTGACGACTACCTTAAGAAACAGTGTAAGGCTCTGCACCCTCTCCAAAGATCAAGTACGGCTTCTCAGCAGCAACCTTCAGAATGGTCTGGCCAAAGACCGAGTTAGCCCACGAGAACCACGGTCGAGTATAGTCCTTGACATTAGTAACGTTGATAGACTCGTGAATAAGACCAAGCAAGCTCGAGTTGCGGACGAGATGGATGCACTCCATGATTTCAGTGTCGTTATCAGAGGTCTGAGCTTGAATGAGCAGTGACATGGGCCAAGCGTTCTGGAGACCAACTAAAGGAATGTAAGTCACTTAAAACTAGTACGCACGTTATGGGGGAAAACTTACTGTGAGGACCACCGATGCCGTGGAAAGCAGGACCTTCCAAGTAATAAGGATTGCCCAACTTGTCAGTAATCATCTTGCGGGTATTTTGATAGATCTCGTCGGTCTGGTTGAGGAAGCCCAGGTATGGCAATGAAAGCAGCGATGGGACATTGGCATCATCCATGATAGTCCGCGACCCATATCCATCAACCTCAAACGCATAGACCTCGCCGTACTTGCCATTGGTGACAATGCCATGCTCCCGAACAGCAGCAGCGAGCTTCTCACCACGGCCCTGCAGTTGCGAGGCAAGGTCATCATGACCACCGAACGCCTCCAAAACCTTAGCAATACGCTGCAACTCCACGGACATCATCGCATTAGGAGGAATGAAGTATCCGAAAATTGTAGCGTCATCGCTAGGCCGGAAAGCACTGCGAATGAGACCAGTTCTGCTATTTAGTGGGTTGCCCTCACCCGAAAGGGTCAGGGTCTCAGTGCCAAGTGTAGTCAATCGCTGGAAGGTATACTCGTTCTCAACAAAGAGGTTCTTCGAGTTAAACGTAGGCTGTGACTCTGCATCGATAACCTTCAGAACAGTCTGCAGCGCCGTGAACCAACGATCTGTCAAGAACTCTGTTGAGCCAGTATTCTCCCAGAAAGTTCTTCCCAATTTCAGGAAATGAGCAAGCGAGTCAAGCTCATACTTGCACTCATATACGAACGATTTATCGTATCCTGGATGCACAGTATCGACCTCGGTGTTATTCTCAGGTGCAATACCGCTGACAGATGGAGCCTGGAATGCCTCGCAGAAAGGGGATCGAATAACAAACTCAGCTTGGGTGCGTATCGCGCCCAGAATCAAGTTATAAAGACCAGTATCATTAGTCGCGAGGAGCTGATAATTCATAAGCTGATTAGTTGAGTCCCGGAGCCATTCTGCGTTGATATCACCGGTCACGATGAAGGTCTGTAAGCCGCTCCAGTCTGATGTATCACGCTTGTTGTTTCGACGGGCTGAGGCACTGGTACTTGTCCCATTGACGTGCCATCGAATTGTCGTATCGAGGGTATTGGGATAAGTATTGCGGAACAGCTGCGCGAGGTCGGGATCGACAAGACGCGATGTTACATCTTCAATGACCTTCTCCACGGAGGCTGATGAGAAAGTACGGCATGCCTCCGTAGGTCGTTGATATGGTAGATGTAGGGGACCACTACTATAAGGAGCACTGGTGAAGTCAGCTACATGTTATCTCTTACAGCGCAAAAGTGTACCTACTGCGGTGTAGATGCGTAAGTGGTGTAGTCAGGACAGGCGCGACGCAGGAGCGCGGGGGTATCGCGTCCAGGCAAAGCATGGACCTGGAGTGCAAGAAGACCAGCCGCAAGAAATGTCGAGATAGGCATGACAGGCAAGTTTTTGAAAGTCACAAACACTGATCAACCCGGAATGTGAAGCTCCGGGGAAAAGAAGAGGGGAGAGTCCATGACCCTTTTGTAGCATGAATGCCGATCCCAACCAGACCGGGATACGTGCATTCCTTTTCGCATCGCCTGACATTGACATTTGAAGTTGCAGGAATTAATCTCGTCTCGGGGAAATTCTGGACGAGGTGACATCGGCCAAGGTTATGGTTGCACTGTCTCCACCATAGATGCGGAGAAACAGTGGAGTGATCGGCGTTTGTTTACATTGTCCTACTACACTACTACTACATCTCTATCTATGGAGTACTTATACTTCTGGATGATTTCAATATTAGTAGAAATATACTATTCAAACTGTTTGAGAGCTTCATTTCTTTCCAAAGAAAGACATAATGTTCCCTTGTCCTGCTTTAGGTCCCTTGCCCTTGGGTACGTTGACTGCAGGCTTCTTTTTAGGTGGTGCCGGTTCATCTTCGGAGAATGACTCCCATGTCGGCTCTTCCCGAGTTACTGTGCCCTTGCATTAGTATGGTCATAGGGATCAGACCTCATGATAATGAGACTTACCAAGGAAACCTTCCTCATCTTTCATCGTACGCTTCTTCATGACCTGTCGCTTACCCCGCCGACGTCCCCCTTGTACAGTCACTTCTTCCTTTAGCTCGGTGGGCTTGGGTGGTGGCGGTTGCTCCACAGGGGTTGGCTCTCGTGCCGACTCTTCCTCATCGACATCGGGCATTTCTTCATCTGGAAAGGGATTAGTGGATTGCAAAGCCGTTTTGTTCCAAGATAGCGTACCATCAGCATCGTCATCCTCCATCATCTGTTTGAGCTTTTCTTCGCGTTCTTTTTTGCGTTCACGAATTTCGCTAGCAGACCTTTCTCCAGAATTGGGGAATAGCTCCTCCTGTTCTTCCTCAGAGGCATCGTCCATAACCACTGTTTTTGTGAGTCATTGTCTTTCGATTCTCGAAATATTTGAACGAGACGGAACTTACTATCTCCTCCGGGAGGAGGTGCGACCTAGAAGGATAGTTCAGTACATATAAATGTATAATTGGAAGGTGTAACTAACCGGTTCTGGAGCTTTTGCAGTCTTTGCCTTGGGCTTAGCCTTAGCGAATGAGCTAAACAAACTGCCCTTCTCATGCTTGGATATCGGCCTGCCTGACTTAGATGAAGCATCAGAATCATTCGCGGAAGAAGGCTGGGCCTTAGATTCCTCTTTAATGGAGGATTCTTTCTGTAGGGGCCTCTTGGCAGGAATCGTTGGCTCGGGCTTGACTTTGGGGGCAGCTTTGGGTTCGGTCTTGGACGGGGCTGGTGGTGGCGGACGAGCTCCAGTTCTCCGCTAAAGGGGCAATCAGTTTCCAGTCTCAAAATTGGAGAGGAGTGTAGATTTTTTTTTTCTCTTACTTTAACATTGCAATTCTGGATCATGCCCCACTGCTTTCCACACTCCAAAGGGTCATCTTGGGCATGGGTTATTGCAACTTCCCTAGCCACATCCACCAGCACATTAAGGTCCTGAAGAATCGTTGACTGGATACTGTAGACGTGAATTGTGGAAATGGAGTGAAACGTAGATTTCGCCTCTACCGTCCAAAGCCCGACATTAGCAACCTATTTCAAAAGAATGCTAATAGGTTCACTCACCATCTAGATCCTCCTCTCGAGCTAGTATGACTGCCGTAAAGCGCGCGGGCTGAGAAGTGGAATGCTGATTCAGCATCGAGCTGGGGAGGCAAGGGCTGCTTTGCATCACTTCATCTTCGTCTTTCACATTGCCGTTGGTGGCCGTGGCAGATGTGCTCGGGGAGCTTTGGATACCGGTGATCACATAGGTGGCATGCACGCTTCCGGGTTTCTTCCTATTTTCGTTGCGGTGGAATTCATAGAGAAGTCTTTAGCCACAGGTTAGCCTGAGGTCATCACCAAGAAAGAAATAAAGATCATACTGTTTGGCACGGTTCGCATGGACCTTTAGAGCCCGGCTCAATGAGCGATACGTGATCTGAATATCATTAGGTCTCCGAATATATATTCCAACTTGAGTTCAGACTCACAAGACGCCTCTCATTGAGCACATTTTCTGCCAAGAACAATTTGGGATCCATGGTGAGAGCTTACAGACGTCAAGTTCAAGTTCCCGACGACGCGTGCCAAAGCACCAAAGCACTTAACGCGTATCAGTCAGCGGGTCTTGGCGTGGAGCAACCCACCTCTTTCGAAGTCTTCTTTCCTCCACCTTTCTATGACAGAGCAACTTACTCTTTTGGGTTGAACTCAGGCTCTGAAAGGATACAGGACTGTTTTCTCATCCTCATGGAGTCTTCATTCGATATCAGCGACTCCACAGACTGGCTAGGAACACCGCTGCAATTACTTGCTCCACTCGAATCCGCGCTACGATGTCAAGTCTGCAAGGACTTCTTCGATACGCCTATGATAACATCATGTTCCCACACGTTCTGCTCACTTTGCATCCGTCGCTCCCTCTCCGCCGATAACAGATGTCCCGTATGCCGCGAAGGGGACCAAGTACTCAAGCTGCGTCGCAATTGGGCGGTCTCAGAACTATTGGATGCGTTTAAGACTGCGCGGCCTGCTGTGTTGGAACTGGCCAAGAAAGAACAGGCACGGATGGCTCGTGAAGAGGATGGTGTGTCAGAGCAACCTCAGAAAAAGCGCAAGGTCGATCATTTGGAACAGCAACCGGAAGTCCCCTCGGTGGAGTCCAGTCCACAACAACGACATCGGACAAGATCGCGAAGAAGTGCAAAAGCTGTGCCTCAAGAGCGACAGGAAGTAATTGAGGTCATCGAAGATAGTCAGGGCGAGGATGAAGAATATATTCCGGGTAGGTGGTCTCTGTGCCTCTTAATGCCTATGCTAGATTCTAATCTACGTCGGAATCAACTAGACGGCCTGGTAGAATGCCCCATCTGCCAAAGAAAAGTTAAAGCGGAAGCAGCAAACAGCCACGTGAATAGGTGTCTTACGCAACAGGAAGCTTCGCCACAGAAAACACCACAGCGAACACCGCAGAGACCTCCAGCTTTTGGGTAAGGACAACCAACTGCTACGCTAGCTCAGGGAAATGTATGAAGGCTAACCAAAATCATATTCTTCTAGAATCCTGCAACGCCCACAAAGTTCGCCAACCCACGACATGGAAAGACTCCCCACATTAAACTACGATCTTATGAAAGACGTGCAATTGCGAAAGAAGTTTAGAGAACTTGGTATTCCGGGAGATGGCCCTAGGGACCTCATGAAGAGGCGACACACTGAGTGGATCAACCTGTGGAACGCAAACTGCGACTCCAGAACCCCGAAATCGAAGAGACAACTGCTTCATGAACTCAAAATCTGGGAGACGACGCAGGGTGGAGGTTCCACAATGACCACATTGACGGAGAGGAATGCCGTCAATAGTAAAGACTTTAACGCAGCCAAATGGTCTGCGGACCACAACGATGACTTCTCACGATTAATTGCTAGTGCTCGTCGAAAGGCGGATGCCCAGGTCAGATCAACAATCCCTGGCCCGTTGGTGCAGGGTGGGTCGCGGGCCGGGCCTCCGCCTGATAGTGCGCCACAGCTGGAGGGGAGTTCTGGGCAAAACCCGGGTGACACATAAGGAAACGCCGGTATTTCAGAGGAATTGATAGTTCAAAAAGATACCCAGCGAAAGAATTTCTTTTCACAAATAGTCCTTTTACTTAGCTGGCAAAGGTCGGTCTTCAACCGACATATTGGAAAGCTTCCCAATGCTTTCCGCCAGCCGAATGTCCACATCTTTCATAGTTTCTGCTTGGCGTCCGAAGTCGTCCAACTCTGCAAGTCGTTTCTGGGTTTCTTCGGCCTCCTTCTCTCCCTTTGCTTCCTGGTCGCTCTTCTCCAATGCCTCCAACTCCTCGTCGATCTCACCCTCATCAATGACAGGGCCTGCTTCGTTCATGATGGAGCCAACTTCGTCCACCTTTGCCATCTCTTCTCTTAATTCTTCGACGACATCCTCGACGCGTTCAGCACCACCAACCTGAGCATGCAGACCACGAAGAACGCCAGTACTCGCCTCCATCACTTGCACGATCTCAACATGGCCTGCAGCGGCTTCAATCTTGGCGTATACCTCTTCCAGCTGAGCAAGAGTATTGAGCCGCTGAGAAAGATTGTGCTCCATTTGTTTCTTGGACCGCACTGCTGAGAGAGCTGATATTCTATTCTTGTTGTTCAGTGCGGTTTTGGCAGACTCTGTCAGCTGCGCAATCTTTAACTCCAAGCTTGTGACCTGCTTTGATATCGTCGATACAAGTGCTTTGATGGACGCAATGGTTGTGTCCTGTTGCGTGATCTGACTTGATTCATCTGATGACTTGAATTTGATCGTCTGGTAAACCAAATCAGTATTCATAGCCGATATCATTCAATATATATAGTTTCACATACCCTGCCATCATATGCAATGGCCCCACAGTCGCGGGAAAGATATAGCAATAAAACATCAAAATCCGAATCAGAAAGTTCAGTAGCATCGTGTAAAATCGTCGCATAGTCTTCTATAAAGCTTTCTTTCGAGTATATGAGATCTAGCTTGGACGAATTGCCTCCAGTGGCTTTCTTGATAGCGAGCTCTGCGGCTTCCTGTAGATATACTCTAATTAGTCCAAGAATTTCATCCTCTTACCGACATTCTCACCTGTAAGTTGTCCACTAATACCAATTCCTGCACTTGCAACTTGGGTGCAGACTCTCCCTCTCCAATCACAAATCCTTTCAACTGCCGAACACCCCAGCTCATAACATTCCAAGGACTCAGGACCCCTGGATCTATCAAGCGCCACTGACTCTTCTGCAAACTTCCCGGGGTAGTCTTGTATACCTCCAAGGGAACCATAGTATGTTTGCGCAGGGCTTCAGCCTGTCGGAGATACCATGTATTAGCAAGCAAAGAAGAGACTCAAAACAAAGGCAAGCTAGAGCTTGAGTAAAACATACAAAGACAGCACCAAGAGCAACAGGTCGACCCCACTCCGGAAGTTCCAGATCGCGTAGCAACGACTCATCCGTGCGCAGAAGAAGATGATCGGTCTTTTTGCGTTGTGATGGTCCATTTTTCTGCGACGTTGTTGATCCAGATCGTACATGCACACCACGCGACGAACTATAGCCCCGCTTTGCGGCGTGGTTTAGTGCTGTTTCCCAAGCTGCGACGTTGATGGCGTATCCATCTGGGTTTGTTTTCTTTTGGGTGGAGAAATCGGAGTAGAGAGAGGGAAGACGGTTTCTAGGTTCGCAGAAGGGTTCTAGTTAGCTAAATGTACTATGTAACCAGTCTACCCTGTTTCTTCAGGGCTTCTCGTTGGTGCTTGAGACTTTGTACCTTCGGAATGCATCCTCATTGTTGAGGATGTAGTTCAGGAGATCGCTCATTTTCTGTAAGTAGACACAATTTCCAGGGACTTCAAAGACTGCTTCGAATTGAAGTGTATTAAACGTGCAGACTGAACACAAGGCAAAAACAAGATGTCTGGTTTCGATCTTGGAGTGAGTTCGGCTTCCGAGAGTCGATGTCAACAGCGTTGCCCCGTCGGTAGCTTTATCGATAAGAGATACACGTGACTAAGTTTATACTTCCAATGGCAGAAGAAGAACCTTGGAAACAATCCTTGAATTGGGTTTAGAATTAGGGAAAAAATAAGCTTAAGAGAATTATAAGCGTGAATGGAGCTTTAAAATAACATGTGGTAGAAGATAAGAATGTCCTTGAATTAGTATGTTGAGAGTACAGATAGTCAAGCCATCAAGTAAACTTGTGGGTGCCTGGAAATCCTGGCGTTAATATCGTTTCTCAGTTATAGGGGTAAATTTGGGAGTTCAGATAACCATCCGCATCGTAGTAGCTCAGCTGGCTATCGTGTCTGTCCCGAGTTGATTTGACACTATGATACCATAAGACTAGAATGCTGGGACTGAGGGTTGTCAAGTAGCATCAGCGAGCGTGAGACTTGCCTAAGTGGAACACCACCGTGAGAAAGCATGCAGCGGACTATGTGAAAGACTTCTGCGGAGCCTTTTTCTTTTTGCTCTTTCTTTTGATACTATTTTTATACTTATATCTATTTTATTGGATTTGTTATGATTTTTTGAAAGTTGAGGCTGGCATCATCTTGCTCATTTGATGCCTCACTTGGTACAAGCATCGTGAAATCTAGAAGTCCTTGGTTCGATCCCTGCTCCCCTTATTTCTTATTTCTTTTTCTTTTCCTATACTAGCCAAGATCCCCTCTTATAGTACATAGTAAATGAATCAATCCTATCCTTTGAGTGCTATTCTTAGATGCCGCTATAAGGGAGAGCTAGTATATTTTCTACATGACTAGATGGGGCATAACAATCAAAGCTTAGGATAAAGATTTATAGAAAGGTAATCTATTCTTATATGCCAATGAGATATTAAGTTCATGCTTCAAGCTCGTTCAAAGTCATCATTTGGTGGGTTCTCAGGGTCTCTTGTGCCCGAGGTCATGTTAAGAGTGCCGGCATCGAGTTGTACAGGAAGACCGATCAACGAACGGCGATGATTTCGCTTGTCAATCTTCTCGAGTCTCTCGCTGGTTTCCTCAGTATCTGGATCCTCTGAAGCAGGCTCATCGAAAGTATCAAACCCTCTCGCCCCAAGATACTTAACTTTCACAGCACGTCTCAAGTTCTCTACAAAGCCTTGCATTTCAGGCATTGGGAAAACGCCATCAGCCTCCAGCACATCAGCATAGAGACGCTCCGCCTCCTCAAGGCATGCCGAAGCTAATGTGGCTTTGCCGGCCTTGAGCCATTGATCTGCGGCAAAGATGCTCCACATACCAGCCTTCCGGCGGCGCCCACCCCATTTAGCTCCGCCCACGGGGATCTTGGATGCATAGCAGGCTGACACCCTCTCTGTGAATAGGATTTGACCTATTGGACCGACCAAGCCATAATCCATGACACGCATTGCCCACCTGGCTGCGCTTTCAGTAGCTGATCCACCGCGAGATTTGAGAAGCTCAACGGCCAGAGTAAGACTGCGCAGTGCGTGGGGAACATCTGAGCATCGCGTAAGATATGAGTAGCAAGCATTCTCAAACATTTGGTCAATGTTTTCAAGCTTGATTTTGGTGGACATGCCAAGCGGATTAAGCAGCATGCTTACAGCACACATTTCATGCGCTCCTGCATGATACTCCCACGCCTTGTCATTTTTGAAATCGGACTGGATCATTTCGTATGTTGAAGCTGAAAGCTTCCAGTCACGAAGCATGAAGGAAAAGTCGGCCATTTTCCGTAAGATGGCCTCCGGCATGTCTGGGCTGTAATTGTGATTTGTTGGATCATAGTTTCCACTTCCACCAGCGGCACCGGTGCCACTGGCTCGTGAGCCAGCGCCAAAAGTCATGAATCTCCGACCAACCGACATAAATCTTCCACTGATACCACGCCTTCGAGATGCAATCTGGTCGTTCCAGACAGCGACTCGGTTTTCCATGAAAGGAATAACAGATTGTACAACAAGTTCTCGGATAAAGGCTCGGATAGCAGTAGCGTCGGACTCAAACAAGTAGGGTACACCATCTGTACCAAGATCCACTAGTGTCTCTGCTATAGTGTTAGAAGAGGGGTCTTATTGAAGAAGCATGTATATTTTAGGGCATCCATACCAGCTTCTCCCGCGCCGGAGAGATGTTCTTGTGGAGACAACCATTCACAAGTAGGTACTTGAACGCTGTCATCATCTGTAACAACACACTGACTACTGCGCAGCCGCAACAAGTGACAGTGAAGACCGAAATGGCGCTTCATCTGATCATACAATTTTGTTGACTCTGTAATGTCATCGCGTTCCTCGTCATGAACCAAGACATAGTATCGAAGATACTCTTGATGGACCCAATCCGGTAATCGCTTGGCTCCTGTACTGCTTTCTGCGTATAATTGACGAAGAGCCTCCAAAGGCGCCGTATTCCGCGAGCTTATAGCAATAACACTGGCAACAGGATGGCAGAATGTTTCATGAGGAGCAGCAGGGTTCGCTGAAAGTATTTGACGCAATAACAACTTCCACAATGGGCTTGCTACCGGAACTCCAAGCGCATCTTTTGATGGAATTGATGCGCCGAGCATTCTTTCCCTGGAGTCCAATTCCTGATCCAATAATTCCTCCATCTGCGTCAGAGTCGATTCCCGTCCGGACTCACGACCTGCGGGTGCCCGGCCAAACCCTTTCAAATCCACAAATCGGACTCCATAGTCTTCCCAGGCACGACTAGATCCGACGCTATCACGGATAACCACTTTTCCAGACACCGTCTCCCCATATGGGCGCACCAATTCCCAGAAACCCCCTTTGAACCCCTTATTCCTCACTAGGTGGTCGGTGTCCTCTGATGCATGAATGGCAATGGTTGGAGAGAAAGCCCGAATGACTAGTGACCTGATATCTTCTGATCCGTCAAACCGTCCATCAAATGGCGACCCAAGCGACGAGCGGGCTAATTGCGGGGTGGAGGACCTGACGGAGCGGGCATGAGGCGAGGATGTCCGGATGGGAAGCTCTGCGGTGGTGGCCGATAAAGGAGGGGTTGGCGAGGAGCCCGAACGAGCATCAGCCAGCCCGGGATCTATAGAGTGTACAGACTCTGACTCATCTGGATATCGCGATTTGGAGGGGACTCGCGCAACGCCGGGGGAGAAGGATGGCGGTGGTTTAACCGGAGCAGCATCTCCGGGCGATGTCATGGACACCAACTGCTCTGTGTGAGGTTGAAACTAAAAGAATGAACACACAGACCCCATGGACTGTGTCTTAAGTGCTGAAATGAATGTAGGCACAGTTAAGACGTTGGCGACAAATGTCGGTGGCTCTTGAATTGTTGTTGATGGGGGAAAGCCAAGTCTCCCTCGGAGCCCGATAGGCTATGTTAAGGCACCGTCAGATGTGGGCAGTGCCGCTCCGGTGTATAGTGGCAAGAGTAACACAGTATGAATTTCGATTACTAGTAGCAGGTCAACCATACAGTGTATATAAAATATGTAGATTTGGTTTGCTTGTTTTGGGGGAATTCGCGGCGCATTACGGAGTACGAAGAGAAATACAATTGCGGGTGATGATGCAAACACGTGAGAACACAGCTTTATCGCCGATTAAGCAACTTTCTGAGTCACTTTTTTTTTGTCATCCTCGAGCTGCATAACTGACATCTGACTGGTTCATGGCTACTGTCAATGTCCAGGGTGCGCTCTCTTGAGTCATTGCTCGATTCTCTCGTTATTAAAAGCCGCACTCCACTCGCCCGTCCTCTAGCGAGCTCAATACGCCAGACATCTTCGCCGAAGCTCTTGCTCTTTAGAAACCATACCCTCGCAAGTCACCGGAGTCCTCCCATGCGTGGACGCGATATTCATTCGCATTCTCCGGAGCCAAAACCCAAACGGCGTCGCATTTCCTCCCCCGCGCGGAGTGGTTCTTTAGAAGTCATGGCTCCCCCTCACCCCACCATTCAGCTCACACCGATCGAAAGCACCCTACGAACTCTTCTCCTCGATGTCGCGCAATACATTAGCCAAAGAGATACCGCCGATGGAAGCTCTGACTTGGTTAGTCCTCGTGAAACGGTTCTCCGGTTCACTGGCGGCTGGGTTAGAGACAAGCTCCTAGGCTGGGACAGCCATGACATTGATGTTGGAATTAGCAGTATGACCGGATACCAGTTCGGCATGGCTTTGAAGGAGTACTTAGATGACCCGCGGAATCTTGAAAAATACAAGAAGGGGCTTCCAAGCGAAGAAATGAGCGACGCGATTGTGAGCTTGCATAAGATCGAGGCAAACCCAGAAAAATCAAAACACCTGGAGACAGTTACAACCAAAATCTTTGGCATGGATATCGATCTAGTCAACTTGCGCAAAGAAACATACTCGGAGGACAGTCGAAACCCACAGATGGAGTTTGGCACAGCGGAAGAGGATGCAATGCGACGAGACGCTACAATCAATGCTCTATTCTACAACCTGAATGAATCAAAGCTGGAGGACTTCACACAACGAGGGTTGGATGATATGGAGAAGCGTATTATTCGTACTCCTCTGGAACCATACCAGACTTTCAAAGACGATCCGCTTCGCGTGCTTCGTTTAATTCGTTTCGCTAGCAGACTAGGATATCAGATCGATACAGAGACGGAGGCCGCAATGCAGAATGAAGACATCAGTGCTGCCCTCAAGCTCAAAATCAGCAAGGAGCGAGTCGGGACGGAGCTAGAAAAGATGTTACGAGGTAAGCTACAGCTAACAGAAGTTTCACGTTTTTCCTTATCGGTCCTGACTCCATTTAGGACCCGATCCTCACGGCGCCTTGAAACTTATCGACCGACTTAACCTCCACCCCACAATCTTTGCCAACCACCAAGATGAAGTGACTGCCAACATATCGACATGGCCTCTCGCTTACGATGCACTCGCGAATCTACTACACTCGGATGTAGATACAGTGCAGCGTGTCCGCGCCCTTCTCCTGCCCGGCGAACACTGTGCTTACTACGCTTGGATGGTCGTCGCTTTCGCTCCATGGACCTCTATTCCTGCTCGAGGCTCAAGCGATCCTCCCAGACCCAGACCGCCGCCGGTTCGTGCGGTTGAAGTTGGCAGAGACAGCCTTCGTACCGATAACAAAACTCTCACAATCCTCCGCGATGCAAGCTACAACTATAGAGATATCATTTCTCGCAAGTCGTCCTTACTTAGTGGAACTATCAATGGTAGCCCGGCTGAGATTCGACAAACAATTGGACTTCGTATCCGATCTTGGGGCAAGGATTGGAAGCTTTGTGTCATTTTAGCAATCTTGCAAGAAATCATGCAGGGACGCGATTTCGACACAGGTAAGTTTATTGCAATTAACCTCTTGGTGACTCAACTAACAACTCATAGTGACCAAAGAGTATGACCAATTCCTCTCATACATTGTCAAAAATGACCTCAAGGATGTAGGCGATTTGAAGCCCATAGTAAATGGTGGAGAAATCATGACTGCGCTGGGCGCAAAGAAGGGGCCGTGGATGAGCAGGGCGACCACATTTGTGGTAGAATGGCAACTTCTAAATCCTAACACTGACAAAGAGGCCACATTGGAGGAGATTCAACGACGGCGCTCAGAGTTAGGTTTATAGGAGATATTGAAATAGTTAAAATAGTTGAAACAGTTAAAATGATGGAATGTCATGAACATCTCCAGGACTGTGTACTGTATGAATATTGGGGCTATCGATAAGATCGGATCAAGTGACGCGGAACCAACCAAAATTAAACCCACTCTAAACTTCCAATGTTGAACTTCTTTCTGTAAACAACATCAACTATTCTGATTTGACTGGAATTAATCATGGATCAATTAAGGAAGGAAGCCCGCCAGGCCTTACAAAAAGACCCGAAAAACCTCCCTGATCTCCTTCCATCAGCGATGAGCATACGCGGCGACCTGCATCAGTTGTGGGAGAATGTGTCACAATATGACAACAGTACCTATTTCAATGTCAGTTCTCAACCCAATGTTTCTTCGATGAATATGCTAAAGCCTGCTCTGGATCAGGCCTGCGAGAGCTTGCTTGTTGCTCTCAACTTTGTTGAAGCCGGCTTTCACATGTTGTTACCCGAAGATGAAGAGATCCGACAACTGGAAGGAAATGAGGCCCAGGCGGCTGTCAACCTATCTAAATGGGCAAGCACCCTCGCTCTACCGTCATCTGAATTTGCTTCTTCCTTTGACGATACCATTGAAGTGACCGAAGGTGTGTACAAGGCTCATTCATGGTCTAGAATTGACTGACCAGAGTTGTAGACATCAAAAAAGCGCAAGACGAGTGTCGCGTCAAGGGATACTTGGCAATTGAAGTTCTTCACCTTCTCTCAGTAAAGATTAAACCGTGCCTAAATGATCGTGAGATATCCCAGTCTTCAGATGTCATTATGGCTATGGTTACCTTCGCTACAAAACAAGATCCATGGACCACAGATGACACTATGGGTACAGCATCTAGCCATCTCCGCGTGGCAGGTCAAAAAGGTGGTCTATGGGCCACCATCGAGGCAATTCTCAAGGAAAAGATAAGGCCTCTTTTTACAAAACAAAGAAACCCGAAGATCACAAGCGAAGGCCGCAAGAATTTCCACCCTGTGCCGTTAGCCCGTTTTGATGGCAGTGTACTCGATGATTCAACCAGACCCTGGAAGAACACAGCCATCTACACCACGAGTGTTTTATCATGGATCATTTCTCAGTACACGGTATGTGGGATTTCGTGAGGAGGTATTAAACAAAGATACTGATAACAATCACAGGCTACAGATAAGATGCATCTGGAATCGCACTTCCCACTATTAGTCCCCGCCATTCTCTCCTTAATCGATGACAGTAATATTTCATTCAAAGCACAAGGCTGTCAACTACTCACCCAACTATTAAAGTCCATTCGCGAAAGTGGATCCGACATTCTCATCCGTACAAACCTCATCTCCGTCTTCGAGGAAGCCATTACACCCTGCCTGCTCTCTTTGCCAACCATCACCCCAGAGGCAGATTCCCTTAAAATTCTCAGAGTTGCGTACCCTGTGCTTATCGATCTTTTGGAAGCCGCATACAAAACCCCTTCTCTACGAACACCTCAATCACAGATCAAAAAGGATAAAGAAAGCTTCAATACTAGTCTCGCCAAAATACTCCGGTCAAACCTCATTTCATCATTCAACCACATCAGCTCTTCATCCTCAATCTCCGGTTCCAACGCTTCTTTCCCTCATCCACTTCTCTCTACATTTCTCATGACTAGGATCTGTGCCGTGCTCAATAAGCTTGGAATAGAGACCACGAAATACCTCCAAGATATCATCCCAGTACTCCAGATGACTCTATCAAATCCATTTGGAACATCAGACCCCGCACTTCTTTCCGTGGCGGTATCTACAACCCGAGCGGTGATCTTGAACGCTCATCCCCGTATTTGGAAATGGCGTGGTGAACTTCTTGCCGCTCTATGTGCTTGCTGGCTTCATGTCTCGGAGGAGAGCAAAGACAAGGAGAAGGGAAAGGCGCTGGTTGGTGTATCGAAGCAGCTCCGGATCACCGTTTCATTGTTGAAGTGTACTTTGCAGAATCCTGCCGCTGTTAGCAATGGGGCACTTGATGCGGATCAGGTCTATGCTAAAGAGCACATGGATGCGGAATTGAAGGAGCTAGTTGATGCTGATCCTCAGTTGGAGCAGCTTTTAGGTCCTGCTGTGACACTGTAAGTTGATTTCACAGACCCCGTCAGACAGATATGGGCCATTTTCGGGTCATCATGTAATTGTATTATGAAAATCAAATATTGAAAATCCGGGGTATCAATTTGTCTCGCTAAACGACTAAATGAATCCGCTTAAAAGACAGGCAATCACATATCGACACGTTGCTTGAAAAGACTCTTCCCTCGTAACCACTGTCTGTACCGCTTGTATCTCTTCTTCTCATAATCCTCGCTCATAACAGTGAGACCCTCATCCGAGACTCTAAGAAATTCCGCATAATCCGCCATGTTTTCCTCCGCGTTGCTTTTAAGCACCCCGTCCTCAACATTACACTTGTTCGCGTACTCCAGCAGATCAAGATTTGGCTTATCTTCACCAAGTGAAGCAGCAGTCACTTCATCTTCAGAGGTCACGACAAGCGGCACCTTGAGCGGATGGTTGATGTATCTTTCGTATTCCTCAGCTTCTGTTGCCGTGACAGATGGGTTCAGGGAATCGGTGACCAATTGACCGAGAGTCCATTGAGCGATCTGCGCTTTGCTTGGAGTCGTTGAAGTCGCGTTAATAGGTGGGATACGCGTATTTCCCTGAAACAGTTCAAAAGCAGGCTCTTTGATGATTCCGGCTGGAGGTGGCTGCTTCAATGAGGATGGCGGTTGTCTGGTCCAGCTTGAGCTCGACTCTGGTGGAGGTGTGGAGGTTATAGAGCGATTGAGTGGTTCTTGAATCTTCACGCTTCGTGGAGGTGGACGATCGCGTTGGACTTGATCGGGTGGTATGCGAGGTACGAATGGACTGAGGTCTGGAGGAGTTTGTCCCCCACGGAAAGGAGGTAGGTAACGAAGGGTAGAATTCATCTTGTATGAGTAAACCTTGGAAAGCGTTGAGAGAGCGAGTGGACGGTAATATTCTAGCCAGTAGTCATCGAAGCGAGAAAGCGGCTCTTTCGGGCAGGCTGGTGGAGGGGGGATCTCTCGCTCTTTCAAATTCTCTGGTGTGTACCAGGAGATGTAGTTGGGACGTTTCTTCTCCAAATATGCTCTTGGGTCTGCATGATGGAGGTAATAGTCGGTGGAGAGGTCCCAAAGCATCGGAGCTCCTTGCGCGAAGATGTAATTGCCAAGGAAAAGGTTATATGCTTCTTGACGCTGAGCATCGAGGAAAGAATTATTGTAGTAACGCTTGAAGCTCTCAACCATATCGCGAGAATGACTACTCCACTGGTTTATTTTGCGGTATGTGGCCATTGTGTTGACAAGATGAGATCCTCCATACTGTATGGCGATTGTATCTCCGTGATCATGCCACATATTCGTAAATAGATTGACAGCATCTGTGTCATACTCCACGCTTGTCTCATCAATGACACCAAGAGCGTGGAGCTGGTAGCCGAGAGCCCGCTTGCCAATTACAAACTGCGCCGCATTCGTTCGATCCAAGCAATCAATGCAATTGGTTCGCGCCACGCCATTTTGAAGTTGTAAGCCTGACTCCAGGTCTGCTCCATTGATGAAAAAGCTCGTTTTGGGTAGTATATCGCCGGCGATTCCTTCCAAAGTTTGTATGACATCTTGATCTCGGCTCTTCGCAGCGCGACTCATATCCCATGCCTTGTATATCAGTTTCTTATCGGCGGGGAGAAACTGGTTAAGGTATTCCACCGCGTTCGTGAACTCTTTCAGAAGCTTAGACTCTCTTGGAGTTCTTTCCCGTGCTTTGACCAGGTTCAATATGTAGATCGGTGCCCCGTATCTTTCAAAAAGATTATCAAAATGCAACGCCGCCGCGGAGTAGAAGGGGTCCACTAAATTGAGCTCAATATCAGGCTTGGGTGAAACACCCGTGTTTTCTTGAGTCCAGTAGAGAGGAATGCTGCCCCTATGTTGAACATATGATGTATAATTGGGGTTTCCATAAAGAGTCGGTCCAGCAGAATGAAATGAGGTCGTGGTTTGTTCTGAAACAATCTGTTCGGTTTCGACGTCATTCGCTACATATCCGAGATCATTGGCGCCGCGCTTCAAAAATCGTGCACCCGCAAAGAATCTTGACCGTCGTGCAATGATTGATATGTAGACCAAGCGCCCAAAGACACTCATTTTCGACTGGTCGACATACCCATGGATGATCGGAAGGCACCATTGATAAGGATTCTTAAGAGTTTCAATCGCTGGCGTGAGCAGGTGGTGATTCCATACAAACATAGTATTGAAATCCCCTGGCAAAAAGCGAGGCAGGCCATCCTGGTGAGCCTTGCGCTCCCGACAGATGTTGTGCTGCAAAGACCTTGTGATGTCATAAGAGTAGCTGAAGTAAAACGAGCGAGTAAGATCAAGATTGTTCAGAATCGCTTTGTATCTTTCTTCCTCCGATTGCTTCTCTGGCTTCACGCGGGACAACTCCGATGTGGTCAAGGAGATGAGTTCTGTTTCATCGATCTGGTAAACATTGTGGCCACCCAAAATGGCCGCTTGACTCCTCTTCGTGACGAGGAGCATGTAGTATTCCCCCGTAAAACAAATAAAACCTATCAAAGCCCACGCACTGCATTTTTGAACCAGGCCACCGGTACTCTTATTTCCATCATCTATGGCATCAAGAAGCTGAACCATTTCTCTCTTTGTGTAGACCATATCATCCTCGATGATGTTCAACTCGCCCGATTCGGAGGTTCGGTCAATCTTCAAAATGCGAAAACGTGTCTCGGACAAGTTAATACCAACCACATAAAACCTGATTGCAGTTTCGTACACTGTAAACTTGTGCATGCGGTTGATACCCTCATCTTCGCCATCCATACCGGACCGGTGCTTCTGTGCCGACGAAGGAGATGACTCGCGCTCAAATGATGTGGCAACACGAGGTTCGTCATCCTCTTCCTCTAGTGGAAACTCGGCAGTAACTGTCGAATCCTCAGTGATCTCAGGGACATTTCCCTCGACCGGGGCGCGACCTGCATTTATGGATTGACTGGATGTGGGGGTGCCCGAGCCACCCGATTCCACATCGGGCTTCCTTGTTTTGGTGTCATGGTTAGAGTGAAGGGGTTCTTCATGTACCCCCGTGTCTGCAACACCGATAAGAGCTACGTCGTCGAAGCTCTCCATAGCGTGGGTGTGTTCAAGGAGCGGGAAGCTTTCCCCACAGAAGGTGACGTCGCCTGATTGTTGCCTGAGGAATGAACTTTCTTTGTCACGATCAAGTGAAAGTTCCAAAGTTACGAAAAATAATATCTAAGAATTTTAATTTTTGGATTCTTTTCAGGAGCTTTGGAATGTATTAGTAATTCTCATCTAGGAAAAGTTTTGAACATTTACAGCTGAGGCTAGATCCTTGGGTGAAACCTTGAAAACAAGCTATTAAGCATAGTATGGTACTAGGAAATTAGGAATACTAGTAGATACTAAAAGATAAACGCTTCCAGGTTTATATAGATTTGGAATTGGTACCTTGATAATCACCAGTTGACTAGATACACCTCGAACAAGACTGAGTTCTTCTACATCCCCACCTCAGGCATTAGCACCTTACAACTTCGCAGACTCGGACGGGACTCGGAGTTGCATATTCTTCTTCAGTTCCCTTTTCTTCACTCGAGCTGCTTGTTCCTCCAAGTAGACTTTGTACGCTGCCTTTGGTACAGTTTTCTACTCGTCTTCCCAAACACAGTACTCTACCTGCTCCCACACTTGCAGTTGGCGACGAAATTCCGGATTTGGCTTCACTTTCTGCTTGCTTTTGACGAAGGTGATGACATCGGCAAAGGGAATTCGCAGCTTCCGCATAAGATATGCGATCACTATCGTGGGTGAGCGTAATTTCCCAGCCGCATAATGAATCAATACCGCTGCAGTGGGGTTGGGTGCTGGGGCTGCTGGGATTCCTGGTACCTCAAACACAGTAGATTGACTAGGCTCGTTCACTTGCCAAGTCTTCACAGGTATCGATATCGACGATAAAAGGGAAAGCTCTGGAGATGCCATCTTGTCGATGAAGTCGCAAATATCACTCATGTGAATCAGAAGATCTTGTGTCGATGAGTCAAAGCATTCAATCCACTGGCGGCGATCTTCCGGGATGATATCTCGTATTTCCGACTTGCGGTGTTCGAATCGCTGAGCAGGTTTAGAGTTCTTTGGTGGAAGAGAAATGATGGCGTCTATATGACGTTCCTGCAGCATCTTCGGGTCGGCCATGGCTGTGGCATTTCCTAGAACAAATCCCGGGACAATTTGTGTTATACGAGCACCGTTGCGATACGTGCTCGACGTATTGCATAACTCCGAGTCGACTCCTAGCTCATAGACTCTTGTAATCATCACTAAAGAGTCATCGTACTCAGAATCTGTATCCATGGTTGGATAAAGGTTTTTGAGTTGACAAGTATGGGAACTGGCGTGAGTTGGTCAGTAGGGTATTTTCAAGTTGATGATGGATAGTGTAGATGTACTTAGGTCGGCGCGAATTCAAGAATCGAAGTAGATGTAGATCTGAATGTGGTGAGAAAATTGAAGAGAGCTGATTTTAAAATCTTATATATAGAGTTCTATGGAGGAGGCCTAATTTGGATCGGACTGGCAAACATAGTTCACCCGCTACTATTTGGGATCGGATCACTGTACCATTCCTTTCTAGGCTCCTATAGTATATGCCCAGTGATGAAAAGACTCAACCTTAGAAGATACAAGTTTGCTATACTAGGTAAGTGTTAGCTATCCAGGTGCTAGGATACTACCTACCATAGATCATCCACTTACTTATTCACTTTATCACTTTCATCTTCCTTCTACCTTACCTCTCCTTCACTTCCCACTCACTTTCAACTCATTTCCAATTCACTTCATATCTCCCCACATGTCGACTTCGACAATGAATTCTATTAGTGCCAGTGGTGATGCTGAACCTTACATCATGCGCAAGCAGAGGAGTATTCATATCGCTCAACTTAATCTGTTCCGCCATAAGCTACAACTCCAAATTTCGGATCTGCTTCCACCAACTGACCTCGTTTGTTTTGCATTGTGTACTCATGGGCTTTATGAACTCCTCCAGCGACAAATCAGTATGATAAAAGCTGACACAAAATACGATAAACCTGCTATCCTCACCCGATTAGAGCGAGATATGCCAGAGTTCTTTGCTTGTGGCATATGCAAGGTACTCCATAAATATCAAAAACTTGAATCTGACAGTAATGAACTTGAGGCATTAATGTCTCAGCCATTTAGTCAGCTTGAGGGCCCTCAAAAAGGGTGCAAGGCGGGGTGGTTTGGACGTAAATCGACTTTCGCGACTCATTCTTGTCCGAAATACTCAGAAAAAAAGGATTTCTTACCTTCACTTCAAGCTAGTTATGCGACGGTTCTTCCATGGACCAAAGTGTGGAATTAGCCCTGGGGGTCTGTCTTACACTCAAATACGCCACTACCCGAAGCATTCACCACATCCAGACATGGTGTCGCTATTTTCTATTGATGCTGAAATCTGTCCTAAAGTCGAACACCCTGGCCTCTGTATACGAATGCAAGATATAATCTTCTTCGATGATTGCTATTCTCCAAGTTATCATCCGATTGATTGGGATAAACCTTACATCAGATGGTCTACGGATCCTCTACTACCATTTCAGATCTGTCGCCATATTCACCTTACTGATTTCATTGCTCCCATCCAAAGGTCTATTTGCCATGCAGGAGATATTAAGACGATCAGCAAAAATTGCCGGCAATGTCATATAGATTCCCTGACCGAAGTCGGTTGGCGCAACCCCAATTCCAAAAATTTCGCTACTGTTATAACAAGGTGGGCCAATTTGGGGCCAGGTCTTACTCAGGAAGATCCAGTGTGGAAGGCTCATGTGAATGATTCGGGACCATGAAACTGGCGCATTAATTTCTACAGATGATTCTATTCAACCCATAGACAAAAGTCCCCAATTTTGCTATGAAAAAAGATCAGCTCAAAAATATGAGCGTCTCCGAGATATCAACCTGTCCTGCCTTCAAGGCCAAACATACAAATAATCTCATCTCTTCAATACAATCCCGAAAGAAGACTTTTGGTACATCACGCACGAGAAACATCGGGATTTGCCAGATCCGTATTCAAGTTTGGAGGACAACAAATCCAGTTCAGATTTTTGCCTGGGTTTCTTTTTCCTCACTTTTGTTGGTTTTTCATTGTTCCTGGCTATCCGGTGGTTGTCAAATTGAAGAAATGGTGAGATGCATGTGAAAGACCGTCAGGAATTTGCCGTTCGAAATGAGAAGAATCTTGGTACTTCTCTTAAACTCTGCCAAGTGGATTCAATCGCTACTAGTATTTTATCTTTGCTCAGCTCAGGATTCTAGTTATTGCGAGATCTATTGCCTGAAATGCTAGGGCTGGACTCGGAGCAATAGCTTTATACTAGTAATCACCTGAGTCGACATCCATCAAATTGAAGGGGTTCATTTTTCCATTCTGACTGAACATTGAAATAGTCCCCATAATGAACTTTCACAACCAGAATTGAAATTTCGCCTCGATCATTCTATAAACGTCGAGAGGTTCACAAATCACACTCGCATCTTCCCTTCCGGCGCTGCCGCTTGCTTGCAATTTTGGGCACTTGGTGGAGTATTGCGCCTTGATCAACAACCACAACCGTCTGATCTTTTTCTTCGGCAATTTGTCGACTTTGAGGAACAGAGGTGGCGATAAAATGGCGCAAGAATACAAAAGCTGTCAAGACGTTTGATGTGCTTCATTAATCAAAATATAAGCTTGCATCCAGCAAGATTAATCCTAAATCTTTGCTTCTCGCTTTTCAAGAGCCTTCCTTCGTGTGCGTAAAGCCTTTGTCTCCTCTTGTAGTGCTAGGCCCTGCATTATCTCCTCGCTACCTCCACCAACAACATGAACTCGAGCGTCTCGACTGATCTGCTCTATGCGGGCGCCTTTACCAGCCTTATTGTATCCAGCGCCTCCAAAAATTTGCTGCGCTTCTCGAACACTCTTTTCTAAGGCTCTGGTGGACATTACCTTTAGCAATGCTGTCTGGCCACCGATCTTCACATCATCCACGGGGCGGTCTTTGGTCAGCTCAATAATATTGACAAGCTGCTCCATGTAAGCATAAGCAGGCTCAATCATCAGCCCGAACTTGAAAATTTTCGATTGGATAGCTTGTTTCTTGATCAGAGGCGACCCGAATGTCTCTCGTTGGATTGCATAGTTGAAGGCGTCCTCAGCGCAAACCCGTGCTAGTCGTAAAGAGGCACATGCTAGAGCAAGACGCTCTGGATTAAAATCTTTATGAGGTTAGAACGGCTGTTTATAATTCAGCAATTTACTCACTCGACAGGATCAGAGGGAAGCCCTTGTTCTCTTCCCCGATCAAGTTTTCCGCCGGTACACGAACGTCGTCTAGTTCGATGAATGTCGAGCCTGCGATAGAAGCTTGTCAATCATCTCTTTTAGTCTTGGATTTCTAGCAATTTCCTCTAGCGTACCGCTTGCGTTCACACCCGAGTTGAACATTCTTCGGCGAGTAACACCTTCAGCAGCCAAGGGAATGACCAAAACGCTAATACCAGACCGGCCAGGGCCACCAGTTCGGACGGCAGCTGTACAAAAGTCGGCCCAAAGTCCATTGGTAATCCATTTCTTCGCGCCATTCACAATGTAATGATCGCCCTCGCGCTTCGCGGTGGTACTGATATTAGCTACATCCGAGCCAGCTAGAATTGAGCGACGAGGAGAATCAGCATCGAAAATCAGTTACCTAGATACATGGATTCGTTTCTTACCATCTGGCTCTGTGATACCGAGACAAAAACGGATGTCGCCTTTTGCAACGCCTGGAAGCCATCTGCGCTGTTGTTCGGGTGTGCCGAACCTAGCAATGGGTGGGCAGCCGATTGAATTCCCACCACCAAGTCCCCAGATTGGACCAACGAAGCCCACACGCGTTAATTCATCTGTGACAATGAGGGAGCACCAGGTATCCCACTTGTCGTGAGGGACGTTCCCTGGTAGCGATATGCCACCAGCATTCTCTTCAGTGGTCAAGGGGGATACGATGTTGAATCCCAATTGGCAATGACGCTTGTATGCTTCTTTAGGGACTTGACCTGCATTCTCCCACTCTTGGGCAGATGGCGCAATTTCCCTCTCGACATAGTCACGAATCCAGGCCCGAAGATTGTGATGCAGGTTTGTGTAGTATGGATTGCGAATATCAAGTTGGAGCAGCAGAGGCTCACTGTACGGGGCGGTTGGTGCTCGAACTTTTTCTGCCATGATTACAAGCTCGAGAGTGTCTTAGTATGCAAGAAAAAAAAACCATGCAAAATTGCGGGCGATGATCTGGGAATCTTCAAGTTGGAAGTAGGTAATGTGGAATGCGGGGACCCGGGAGCTTGTGATATGGGGAGCTCTCATCTTCCATGGTTCAGACCGAGGCCCGAGTAGCAGCTATGCGAATATTGAGGTACGGTTCGTTCTTGATGTGAAAAGGTCGAGAACGTGAAATAAAAGGAGCGATGCATGTAGATCCAAAAGTGATTCCAAATTGCATGCCTCGGATGTGTGTCATGGAATAGCAAGGACAACTTGAACTTGAAGCGGAGCAACTGGAATTTCCAAGGTTGTAGACCGTAGACCCTCGTTCCTCCTCCTTTATCTTCCTTGAAGTGTTTACTTTCTTCCCTTCCTTTATCACTTCTCACTTCTTCCCTCTACTACTCGGGAACTGGAGCGTATTGGAGTCTTCAAAATAACCGTTTTAGGTCTACAGTTAGCCGATCGATACTTCTATTTTTCTTCCTCGTCCAACTAGTATACTAGTAGCGGCTACTAGCCTGCTCGTTTAGGTACTTGCATATGCAGAGAAATGGGGCTGGAGCTTGAGAACTTGAAGAGTGGAATATTGCACAATGTGACGTGCTTCAATAATTGAAAGAAAAGAGAATGCGCTACTTAAACAGATATCATGATAGTTTCAACAAAATTCATCGAAATCCCCAGACATGTATGCATCATGCCTCATCTGACTGTAGCTTTTTGACGGCTTGATAAATCAAACGTAAATGTTCCTTGACATCCTGACAGCACCAGCGAAGCTGTGACTGTGGTGTCAACATACCCTCGATACAGGCCCTCAAAGAGTCTGCGACAGAATCTCCTGTACTAAGCTTGGTCTCACCGTGATCGATCTTGCGGGCAAAGTCATCAGGCAAAGAGGTTGACCTCCGGGTCAGATTATTCAAGACCAGCTGGCGCTCCATCTTAGTGTTGAGTTGGTAGATAAGCTCGAACAATATGACACCAAGCGCATAGACGTCCAGTTTCTCATCGATCTTGTATTCATCGAAATATTCAGAATGTGAACTCGATGGATGAGTATTTGCGGGGGGGTCGATAGAATTCAGTCCCAACAACTCGTTGGATTTTGGGACCTTCGTGGAATGGAGTCACGGCACCATCGGTGGTACATTCATCGATATGCGAAATATCAGCAACGAGGCCGAAGTCGCCGATGCGAGGACGGCAATAGTGCAAGGGTGACTGGCAGTCGTCACTAGCGCTGCAGGATGCACAGATTTCCAAGTTGTGATTTTCAGGAGAGCAGAGAAAGATATTGGCTGGTTTCAAATCTCGGTGCACAATTCCCTTTGAATGCAAATACTCCACTCCCGAGACAATATCGAGAATAAGACGTAGTGATGGCATTAAATGGAAACAGTGACGTCGCGATGGGGTTTCATCATCATTGCTTTTGCTCCTTTCTCCCACCTGAGGATTCAAGTATGAACTCAGAGAGATGGGGTGAAGAGACATTTGGATATGAAGGATGACAGCTGGTGGCGGGTGCTTGGATCCGTGATGACGTTGTAGCATTTTCGAGCGATCCTGACTTAATCCATCGGTGAAAATGTCGTCAGTCTCCCCGAAGGTAGATGTTTGACCATGCGAGTGATTTTTAAAATTCCGAGGTATGGACTCGATATCATCATCATCTTCCAACTCAACAGTTGAGCTTTTTCTTGTATGGCGGGAAGATGTTGTCGCGTGGCTGTCTAAGCGCTCAAGCCGATCATGAAAACCATGGTCGTCGGGAAGGGAGCTGACATGAGATTCGAAAATTGAGCTCTCCGAATGTTCAAACACGATCCCCATACTGGGTTCATGGATAGAACCATTATTGGGCAGATGAATATGTGAGTGGTCGTAGCTGGCTTCTGACTTCGAGTGAAGAGTCGCGTGGCTCGAAATATGTGCCTGTTCCACCCAGGCTCCGTAGTACCGAACGATATTCTTGTGCTCCAAACGGGCCAGTGTCCGGATTTCTTTCATGATAGTCTCCAGTTGGTTCTGACCGCCGTACTGTAATTGATCAAGCCGTCGTTGGCTAAGCGGTATCTTTTTGACTGCATAGTCCTGTCCATCTATATGGTTTTTGACCTGATAGACCTCACCAAAGGAACCCCGACCCAGAATCTTGAGTTCGCTGAATTCCACCGAATAACGAGACATATGATTATATGAGGGGCCGGCAGGTCCATTGAACAATGGAACACCGACTGGAGAGCTTCCAAAAAGAGGCATTGAAGAGCCAGCTGGGTTTCGTGGGATTCTGGGAATGCTCCCCAGGATATCGATATTCTCAAGGGGTGGAAGTTGTGAATTATCTTGTTGTTTTTGCCAGAATTGACTTTCGTTTTCGGCCGTTGGCTGTTGGTGTCGTGAGGGCCTGGCAATCAACGCAAGGTTCTCGCCAGTCTCAATAGGGGAGCGCAAAGTTGACTGGTTCAAGTCGATATTCTCAAGGGCCGAGAGTCCAAGAATGTCCAAATTGTCACGATAGCTTTGTCTTACTGCACCCAATTCTTCTTTCTCAATCCCTTCTGGCATGACACCGTGTGATGCCAAAAACTGAGACTTGTACTTGTACAGTTGCTTTCCCAGATACTGAACCTCAGGACTGTGCCGAGAGAAATTTCTGTGGGAGCCCTGTTGGGCATTGAGAATGTCGGCCGCTCGACTTTGGCAATAGAATTCCAGCAAGGCGGCTGTCATCACATTTGCATGTCGCTCCACATTGGTATCCAGAGCATCCTGTGACAAGGCCGATACATCTTCAAGAGAACTCGAATTGTCCCACTGGTCAGAATTGGATGGCTGTTTTTGACCAGTGTATGGTTTCTCTACCTCGGATTCAGTTCCTCTCTCAGAGACGCTTTCATTATCTGATTCGGACTCCGATGAAGATATCTCCCCTGCTGGTCTGAACATAGACATTTTGATAAAGTAGTTGAGACCCAGAAGCCAGGCACAAAACAAGAAGGTTGGTGTCAGAGATACACTCACGCCATCAATTTTCAAGTTGGTGATTGGGTCGACGGGTATGCTGAAATTCAAGTTTGACTCTGTTCAAGGTCCGGGTTCAAGTTTGCTTCCAATAACGTGTGTTCAAGTTTGTGTCTCGATCAGGCGATTCAGATGCCTTGTCGACTTGAACTGGAAAAAAAGGATGAAAGACTAATATTTATATATACCAAGTTTGCCTTGGCGAAGGATGTCGGGTAGTAAGAGTCTCTATAAATTCCACAGGAAAGGAATTGTGTGTTGATTGGAGAGAAAAGATAACACGTTAGGCTTCTTGCGCAAGTTGACTGTAAACATGCTCTGTCAATAATGACGGACTCAAGCTTCCATCGGATTCTAAGTGTCTCTGGAAAGGCGTGTCATGTGGGAATTATGCTGTTACCCGCTTTTTCGAACAGGCAACGAGCCACGAAAAGGAAATGCACCTTGCCGAACAATGTTTAAGACAATGTCGTTCAAGAATCAAAGATTAAGGTTCAAGTTGAAACAAAGTCGCCACTAAAGGCAGCAGCTAGTAGTTAAGTAGTTCGATGGCTGCTAGCCATGATGATGCAGATGAGGTCCAAAAAAGATGAGTCATCTGGCATTATCCTCACCGCCGGAATTACCGCCCACTGTTTATCCCTAGCGTCCTCGGCATCAGGGGCTATTCCACTTCAGTAATCGTCGCGGCTGATCTCCACTTGACCTGGATTCCTGCGTGATGAATCATGCCAGTGGTGCCCAACCTTGGAATCAAGACCCAACCTTGATTCAAGTATTACAGATGACAATCCATATTCATACCTATGTTTCATAGCAGGGACTCATGACATGAATTCTGCAACCCTGTGAAGCCAGAGCCGCATGATTTATCAGTTTCTATTAATTCACATTATATACACGAGCTTTTTCCCAGACATCTTTTTTGATCGAACATCCTCAATACCCTCAAGAATCTTGCCAAGACCACCATCTCGAATCACGGGCGGATGGGGTTTTATTAGCCCCTGGGCTAACAACTGATTCAATGTGTCAGTCCAGGTAGCCCCAAACTCCGCGATAGCAGCATGAGCCGGACTGCGGTGTGGTTCCGGCCAAGCGATCTCGTGGCCCAAGACCAGTAATGACAAAACCCACTGGGGGTTGATCACTTTTCGCGTCTGAGCGATTGACTCGGGGTAAGGTTCAAGTACTACGTACTTGCCGCCAGAGCGACCCATAGCCTGATAGCAAAACTGCATGCTTGCCGTATTGCAAACACAATCCAAGGCATATTTAAGGACATTCCGAGCATGACTTCTTATTTCAGCGGGACAGTCGGTCGCATGGTAGTCGAAAACGGCATCTGCACCGTATCCTCGAACCAGGTCAAAGTTATGAGGTGAACATGTGGCAAGCACTTCATATCCGGCAAGCTTAAGCAGTTGAATGGCAGCAGTCCCCGTAGCTGAAGCGCCACCGTGTACAAGAACTCTGCGGATTTTGGAATCGGGAGAGACAGGATTGAAAGGACTTCCGGGAAGACCAATGTAATGGAATAGGGACAGGCCTGCTGTCACGAAAACAGTTGGAAGGCAAGCGCCTTCCTCAAAGCTCATAGTATCCGGCAAATTAATCATTAGGTGATCTTGAGCGGCGACATACTCGGCGAATGCGCCAACGGTGGGCTTGACAGGATTCATGCCCATGACAGCTGAGCACACCCGGTCACCGACTTTGACTCCTGTGACATCGGGTCCAATCTGATCAACAATACCCGCGAAATCATGCCCTGCGACTGCACCAGGAGTCACATAAGCACCCATCATTTTGGAGTCCACCGGATTGATTGATACTGCTTTAATTTTGATAAGAACCGTATTCCCACACACTTCCGGGATTGGGCTGTTGTCGCAAAGACGAATTTGTCCATCCACGGTTCCTACCAAAGCTGATTGAAGCAGGCCAGGCATTTTGCTTTAAGCGTAGAATGAAGAAGGTATTAGCGATTAGATATTGCAAGTGGTTTGGTCCGCTGAGTGTTGGTGAGTGTGGCCCAGGTGCCTCTTTTTTACTGATATCCTCGATGGGACTTTTGACATGATTTACACTCATTTTTTGTCTACTAGACTGTCAACGCTAATGCATCTAATCAGTTAAAGCCGACTTGTGGTCATGGAACTTGAACCATTGCGGCCGGACTGTCAACAAACTCCGAGAATTTCCGCCTCAACTTCCGCCTCAACCATGGCGGAGAACTCAAACTCGCTACGGAGTACAAGGACCTCGGTCTTATGTTTTATTTCAAGATGAAGCCACCTGTGTGCTATCTGAATTTAATCGCGTACTCGTATTCCGCATTATTCCCCCGCGTGGTGGCGTAGAACGTCGTGCCATGCAGGTGTCGATGAGTTTTGCCCTGTGGAGACCGAGAAGCTCCGTGCATATAGCTCACAAGGAACTGCGGAGCTCAAGTCAAATCGGTCGGACTTTTGGACCTCTTCAATTTTTAAGCTTGTTTAAGCGGAAGATTGACAACAAAGAGCTGCTGAGTTCTCAATATTGTATTTAAAATATAGGGAATTCTTGATGGCAGCACACATCCAATACAATCCAGGGCTTGGACACTATACTAACTTCAAGAGTTACGGGACTTGATCACTGATTTCCTTTTGCATAGACCTTCGCAAGGTGAAGGTCTTTTCCCACATAATTTGAAGATGACGGCTACCAGTGCTGAACCCATTGCCTTAATTGGCAGTGCGTTTCGGTTCCCTGGGGATTCAGATACCCCATCAAAGCTTTGGGAGCTTCTACGTAACCCACGAGACCTTCTTCGCAAAATCCCTGAAGATAGATTTGATGCGGATGCATTCTATCATCCAGATGGCAGGCATCATGGAACATCGAATGTGCGCCACTCATACTTCGTTGATCAGGATCCGGGTGAGTTCGACAATGGATTTTTCAATATCCCGGTGGCCGAGGCCGAGGCAATTGATCCACAGCAAAGGATGCTCATGGAAACGGTATATGACTCTCTATGTGCCGGAGGGCAAACTATCGAGGAACTCCGTGGATCACCCACTTCCGTCTTTGTCGGTCTAATGTGCGATGACTGGAGCGGTATGATGGGGAGAGATATCGAAACTTATCCTCAATATGCGGCAACCGGAACGGCGAGAAGCATCATGTCAAACAGAATATCTTACTTCTTTGACTGGCACGGCCCATGTATGACAATCGACACTGCATGCTCATCCAGTCTGGTTGCTGTCCACCAAGCTATACAGACTCTTCACAGTGGTGAATCCAAAGTTGCGATTGCTGCAGGGGCGAATTTGATTCTGAGTCCAGGTAGAGATCCACTTATAATCATTTCAAACTTGAAGAAAATCCTGCTAACAAGACTGGCAGCTATGTATGTCGCTGAGAGCAAACTTTCGATGCTTTCTCCCAATGGAAGGTCACGGATGTGGGACAAGGATGTTGATGGATATGCTCGTGGCGAGGGTATTGCAGCAGTTGTTCTGAAAACGCTCAGTGCTGCCATTCGCGATAATGATAACATTGAGTGCATTATTCGAGCCACTGGTGTAAACCAGGATGGACGCACGCCCGGAATTACCATGCCCAGTGGAACGGCACAGGCTGCACTAATCAGAGATACATACCGTCGAGCTGGTCTCGACATCGAGAAGCCCGAGGACCGACCACAATTCTTTCACGCCCACGGTACTGGAACGGCTGCTGGTGACCCTGAAGAAGCCCAGGCCATCTCGACTGCATTCTATTCAAAGCACGATTTTCATGACAAACTCTACGTTGGTTCGATCAAAACAGTGATTGGTCACACTGAAGGCACGGCTGGCCTGGCGAGTCTCATCGCAACATCCCTCGCTCTTCAAAATAAAACAATCCCTCCCAATATGCATTTTAATACATTGAATCCGAAACTGGAACCATTCTATCGTCACCTAGAAGTTCCCACACAATGCATTCCCTGGAAAGAATCATACCCTGGACAGCCACGACGAGCTAGCATTAATAGTTTTGGTAAGTATCAATTTACATTCCACTACGACATGAATCTGAAAATTTGAATGATTAGGTTTTGGTGGTACCAACGCCCATGCCATCCTCGAAGAATATAAACGACCCGAAAATGACCCCCGCCAGCTGGAACTGGATTCTTCCCATTCCGCGTCCAAGCTCCTTTTCAGCCCTTTAACCTTCTCAGCAGCTTCAGAGCTCTCCTTGAACTCCATGCTTTCATCGTATCTCGAATATCTACAGTCAAATCCAAATTTAAACTTGCATGACCTTGCCTACAGTCTCCAGTCACGAACATCAACACTACCATACCGAGTGGCGATAAAGGGACCTACCAAAGATGACATATGCGACCAATTCCAGGGTATCATCGGCGGGCAGATCGAAAGCACCGTTGAGACGCGACAGCTTGTAAAACAATCGCAAAGAATTCTGGGTGTCTTTACCGGGCAAGGATCTCAGTGGGCACGTATGGGTGCGAGGCTGCTTGAATCTTCTCCGTTCATGGCCCGCCGGATGTCAGAGCTTGACACAGTATTAGCTGGGGTGCCTATAGATTTGCGTCCTTCGTGGAAATTACAGGAATTGATTCTTGCACACCCGGAGGATTCCAGAATCAACGATGCTGCTATCTCACAGCCTGTCTGTACTGCCGTTCAAATTGTGCTTGTTGATTTGCTGAACGCCGCCCGTGTCAAATTCGACGCCGTTGTTGGACACTCTTCTGGTCAGTATGAACGACAGTTACCAATTTACTAGCAAGAATTTTGCTGACTAGAATACAGGAGAGATTGGGGCTGCATACGCCGCTGGTCTACTGACAGACCGTGACGCAATCAGAGTTGCTTATTTCAGAGGACTTTACGCCAACTTGGCAAAATCACCCAACAGTAGTAGCAAGGGGTCTAGTAAGAAAAGTTCTCCTCCCGCAAATTTCGAACATAAAGCTAACCTCCCTCAGTGATGGCCGTGGGTACCACTCTGGAGGATGCCACTGAATTCTGCGAACTCGAGGACTTCGAGGAAAGGATTCAAATCGCTGCTCAAAACTCACCATCTAGCATCACGCTATCTGGAGACGAAGACGCCGTTGTGGAAGCTGTGGCAATCTATAATGATGAGGGCCGCTTTGCGCGCCAGCTAAAGGTTGACACAGCTTATCATTCTGCACATGTTGCGCCATGTGCTGAATCATATCGGAATGCTCTCGAGCTGTGTGAACTGGATGCCCCCAGTCCCACGGGGATCAGGTGGTATTCGAGTGTGCAAAGTGGTCATGTCATGGAGCCTCACAATTTGGACGCACAATATTGGATCGACAACATGGTTAACCCAGTCTTATTTTCATCAGCAGTTACCAAGGCGTGGACCGGAAGCGGTCCTTTCGATATAATCCTCGAGGTTGGACCACATCCCGTACTCAAAACACCCTGTCTTGACACAATCGAAACGATCTCTGGGCACCGACCCCCTTATTCTGGAGTATTGAGAAGAGGAGCCAATGATGTAGAAGTCTTCTCTGATGCTCTGGGCTTTGTCTGGACTGAGCTGGGTGCTGGATCCGTCGATTTCAGAAATTTTGAATGCACAATATCTGAGAATGACATCAAGTCAAAATTCCTCCCTACCTTACCCAAGTACCCTTTCGATCACTCAAAAAAATTCATGTCCTTGTCTCGTGGATCGGGGCTATACCGCAATGCCCAGGGGAAGCCCCACCCTTTGCTCGGCAGGAGATGTCAAGACAGAGAAACGTTGGACTTCATCCAGTGGCGCAATATTTTGAGCGCAAGAGAAATATCCTGGCTGAAGAACCATCAAATTGAAAACCAAACAATCCTTCCCGCGGCTGGATACGTTTGCATGGCAATTGAGGCCATCAGTGATTACGCCAAAGACTCAAAGATTGGTCTTATTGGTATTCGAGATTTCCATATTGATCGAGCTATTGTATTCAATGACAACAGCCCCGAGATAGAAACTCTCATCAACTTGCGCATTGTGAGCAAGACCGATGAATCTGTCACTGCTGAGTTCTCTTGCTCCTCAGGTGCAGTTCACGAGCGCAAGTCTATGATGGCATTCAACACCAGTGGTACAGTGGAAGTGAAATTTGCAAGTCTCGAGCCGGATGCTCTTCCTCCTGTGGATCTAGACGATCTCAGTCTTAGTGAAGTTGACTCTGATCGATTCTACAATTTCTTATCTGGTGTCGGGTACAACTACACCGAACCGTTTCGAGGCATCACTGAAATTCGACGGAAGGCAGATTACGCTACAGGAAGAATCTGCGATCAATCGGGTAGTGACTGGGAAGACAGTTTAATCGTTCACCCCGGCATGCTCGATACAGCTTTACAAACTGCCTTCGCGGCATTCTGTTGTCCAGGAGATGAAAGACTGTGGTCTCTTCATGTCCCAACAGGCATTCGTTCAATGCTCATCAACCCCTACTTCACCCACACAGGAATTGGCAAACAGACAGAACTTCAATACGTCACAGCTACGAGACAGGATAGAGAAGCAAAGATATACGCTGACATCCATCTTTCCGCTGGTGATTCAAATCATACTTTTTTGCAGATTGAAGGCACTGAGCTCGTGCCATTGACTCCTACAGGACCCAGCAACGATGCGCTCTTATTCTCCCGGCTCGAGTACAAGTTGGCGACCCCAGATGCGGATTCTGCAGCATTGAACTTTTCTTACACTCAAGAGGACATTCAATTGTCTCTGGACGAGGAGCGAATTGCGTTCTACTACTTCCGACAACTTCTTCAGTTAGTTACCATGGACGAGTTGGATAGGTCAGTGCCATATTACCGTCATCTTCTCAATTATGCAAAGCACATGGTACCACTTGTCTCTACGGGGCAGCACGCCTGCGTACCGGCCTGTGCTCAGCATGATACAGAAGGCTACATCAATGATCTCATCGCCAAGTAAGTTAATGTCAAAGAATTTGTGCTTTTCTGAAGGCTAACATGGAGTCGAAGACATCCTGATGAGGTCTCCGTTCGCTTCCTTCAATCAGTCGGCAAAAACTTACCCCAAGCAGTCAAATCTGGCTCCAGCATGCTTGAGCACATGTTCAAAGACTCGATGATGGACAGGATGTATGATCTGGGCTTCGGTGTTGGGCCGATTAACGACATCCTGGCGCATGTGGTTGGCCAGATATCGCATCGTTATCCTCACATGAACTTGCTTGAGATAGGTATGCGAATCTGCGAAGCCAACGGATCATAGATACTGATATAGTAATGCTAGGTGCTGGAACGGGCGCTGCAACAAAGAGAGTTCTTCAGACCTTGGGCTCAGCTTTTTCCACCTATACATTCACCGATGTTTCCAGCAGCTTTTTCAATAAGGCACAGGGGGGGCCTCAAGAAGTTTGAAGATCGCATGATATTCAAGACCTTTGACATGGTCCAGTCCCCAGAATCGCAGGGCTTTGATGAAGGATCATACGACGTTGTTATTGCTTCTAATGTGTTGCATATCAGTTCTAACATCCAAGAGGCGGTCCAGAATCTTCGCCGCCTCCTGAAACCAGGTGGCTACGCTGTCATCTTGGATGTTGCCCACAATGAAAGTCTTCGCATCTCCCTGACAATGGGAAGTTTGCCAGGATGGTGGCTCGGCGCAGAAAGCGGACGAGTTCTCGGCCCTGCGCTCACATTGCCCCAATGGGATACATTTTTAAGCAACTGCGGATTTGGAGGAATTGACACTGCAACACCTTCGTTTCATGCAACGAATCCGCTACACGTCTTTTGCGCCCAGGCTGTAAATGAACGTGTTGAGATTCTGCGTGCGCCTCTCACGCATCCAGCCAGGCTTAAAGGATTTACCCCACTTGTGATCGTTGGAGGAAGGCAATTTGAGACTCATCGTATCTGCGGACAGCTAGTTTCTATGGTCGGACCCATGTTCGCATCTGTCCATCGCTTCGTCTCCATCGAGGAAATGAACTCGAGTGGCTTGGCCGAAGGGAGTACGGTCCTATCATTGACAGAGCTGGATGAGCCACTCCTCGCTATGACCACTCCACAGAAGATAGATGCGTTGAAGACAATCTGGCGGCAAGCAAAGAACATACTGTGGGTCGTGAACAGATCCAGAGGAGAAAATGCCTACTCTCAGATGGTGAATGGTATTGCTCGTTGTATTCGACATGAATATCCTGCCATCACCCTGCAGATCCTTGATTTTGACTGCATTACGAAAGAGACTGCTAGCATGATCGCAGACAGCGTGTCCAACTTGCAGATGCTCAGCAACTTCTCTATAGAAACCCACGACGAAGACATTATGTGGTCTCTAGAGCCTGAGGTATACATTGAAAATGGTGTGAAGCTGATCCCACGGCTGTTGCCATGTGATGCCAGTAACAAGCGATACAATACTACCCGGCGAGTCGTTACGGAGGATGTCGATCCGCAAAAAACAGACCTGACATTTGCTTCAGAGGAGGATCGACCGGGAGTGCAGCAGCATTCCCCTTTGCGTATCCATAGGGCCTTGTCATTCATATGCCAAACAAGAAGAATTCGCGTCACTCATTTCTTGCTATCAAGCCTGAGCATTGTTTCTGGAGCATACTTACGGCTATGTATTGGTGTGGATACGGCGACACAGGAGAGGCTTTTCTTTGCTTCGTCCATGGCAGAGTCATCAACAGAGGTTCCCGCAGACTGGTGCATTGCTCTGGATCAGGGTGATCCCATCGCGATCCTCAACACAATCTCATCCTATCTTCTGGCTCGGAGTATCACTCAGTCATTGACTGGATATGATACACTTCTCCTTCATGACCCTCATTCAACGGTGGTTCAATCTTTGCATAAAATGCTGGAGGATATGTCAATCTCATTGCAGGTTACAACTTCCAAGAGGAACGCTCCAAACGGATGGCTATACGTTGACAAGAACTTCTCACAGCGCCGGGTTAAAGATATTCTTCCCGCCTTCACCACCAAGTTTCTCGACCTGTCTTCATCCTCGATGGTCTCTGAGGTTATTACAAAATGTCTTCCGCGCAATTGTCATATCATTGATTCCGCAACCCTCCTTTACCCCGGAATTGAGCTTCGGGCATTTGTTTCTGCAGCCGAGGTCGCTGCTGTCTTGAAGGAAGCTTGGGATCGAACTATCCCGGTTCCACTCAAAGCCGAGAGTCTTCCTGTGGTACCTTTGGCGACTCTCACAGAATACTCCGCCGCAGGAGAGAGCAGATTTTCTATCATTGACTGTACAGGCCCTTCGGTTAAAGCTCTCGTTCGTCCCATTGATGATGGTATGCTCTTCCGACCGGATAGGACATACTTCATGGTCGGTCTATCTGGCGAGCTGGGTCAATCACTCTGCAAGTGGATGGTGGTTCATGGAGCAAGGCATGTGGTACTTACGAGCCGAAACCCCAAGGTGGACCCCAGATTTATCAGCTTGATGAAGAGAATGGGAGCGGACATGAGAATAATGCCCATGGATGTCACAAGCCATGAGTCTGCACAGCATTGTTACGAAACGGTTGTCAAGACCATGCCTCCAATCGCAGGAGTCGCAAACGGCGCTATGGTACTCAGAGACACGCCTTTTGAAAACCTTGACTATGATGATTTCATGACAGTTCTCAATCCTAAAGTGCAGGGATCGCTTATCTTGGAAGATCTATTTCATGATGCGCCTTTGGATTTCTTCATCTTCTTCAGTTCTACTGCGGCTGTCAAGGGCAACAGAGCGCAGAGTAACTATGCTGCCGCTAATCAATTCATGCATTCACTTGCCGCGAAGAGGAAGAAGCGTGGTGCAGCCGCCTCTGTTATTAATATCGGCGCTGTGATTGGCATTGGCTATGTCGAGCGTGATGATGTTGTCAACGAATTCACCTTCGCCAGAATGGGGTTCAGACCCATTGCGGAACAGGATATTCACCATGCCTTCGCTGAGGCGATGCTGGTTGGAAACCCTGCGTATACCGAAACATGTGAAGTTGTCACAGGAATATCACCACTCAACCCCGATGATAGAGCGGTCGACTTCTTCTTTAGTGATCTCAAGTTCAGCCACTTCGTTTCCCAAGTTCCCGCAGAGCAAGCCACCATGAGCAAGACTGCCAACAACCAACCAGTCAAAGTGCAGCTTGCGAAAGCTAAAACGAAAATTCATGTTCTCTCAATTATCCAAGGTATGTTTTGGTTCAAATATCCTCTGCTAAAACCTTTTTCGTTCCCGAACCCTCGCTGATCATCATCTGTACAAAATAGATTCATTCCTAGCACGCCTCCGTCGCATCTTGCAACTACCACAAGATGACCCTATCAATGAAAAGCTCACTTTTGTCGAGCAAGGCATTGATTCTCTCATGGCAGTTGAGGTCCGTTCGTGGTTTCTCAAGGAGCTTGGCGTGGATTTCGCTATCCTCAGAATCCTCGGAGGCAGCTCCATCACGGAGTTTATCGATGAAGCAGCCAAAATGCTGCCAAGCTCTATTGTCGATATCTCCAAACTGGCGGTTGGCCAAAAAGAGACAGCTAAAATTGAAATGGCACAGCCAGAACCTGAATCTATCCCGAGAGATGAAGCCAGGTCTCTAGGCGTGAGTGGGGAGATACCTACATCAAGCGGTAGCAGCAGTGACACCAGCTCTGATGGAGACGATTCTTCACTTGACACGTCAAAGTCTGGAACGTTTACGCCGGACCTGTCTTTGGCTAGCACTCCAGTGACTCCCATGTTGCTCTCGCCTACGGACTTTATCAGACACCCAGCCAGTCAGTTGCCTGGATCCGCATTGCCGGACGAACTGACTTACCCTCTGTCGTACAACCAAAGTGCATTCTGGTTTTTGAACGAGTATCTGACTGACAAGACAACGCTCAACATGACTGCGATGTTCAAGGTAACTGGCCTTCTCCGGATAATGGATTTGGAGGAAGCTGTCACGTTGACCGTCAAGCGCCACGACATCTTACGCACACGTTTTCTTTGGACTGAAGAGGCCGATCAGAGACGACCTGTGCAGGCTGTCACACCTAAGGCATTCGTCGGAATCTCTCAAGAGAGTATCGAATCGGAGGCCGAAGCAAATGGTGTGCTGGAAAGAGTTGGCGAAGAACCATGGGACTCTAGTAGCTCTGATGCGGCCAAAGTCTTATTGCTGGAGTTGTCGGATGAGATTCATTTTCTGATCATCTCCATGAATCACATCATGGCGGATAGTTACAGCTTTGCGGTCCTTCTACGTGATATTGGCGTCGCCTATAGCTCGGGGATATTGCCTAAACTTCCAGCTGAGTCGCAGTACAGATATTTCGTCAGTCAACAAAGAGGATTGCATGAGGTCGGTGGAACACAAGCATCGATCCAATACTTCCAAGATACCTTAGCACCTTCTTCGGCCTATCTGCAACCAATACAGCTCCTACCGTTTGCCAAGTCAACGACACGACAACGATTAAGTCGCCACTCTCAGGAAGAGGCTGAAATCCAGATTGACTCGGTGCTCAAGAGCAAGTTACGAAGCATCGCCAAGCAACACCAATCGACCTCATTCCATGTCTACCTTAGCGCCTTGCAACTCCTCTTATTCAATTTACTCCCAAGAAGTACCCAGGACATTTTCATCGGCATCGCCGATGCGAACCGAAGGGACGGCAACTTCCAAGATAGCATAGGACTGTTTCTGAACCTCCTGCCTCTACGATTCCACCGAAGCTCGGCAAACGCCACCATTGCGTCAGTCATTCAGACCGCTCGGGATGCGACATATGGGGCACTGTCCAACTCACAAGTTCCCTTCGATGTGCTTTTGCAGGAGCTCAATATCCCGCGTTCCAACAACTACACTCCTCTCTTCCAGGTGTTCCTCGAATACAAGCAGCTCTCTCCAGATCGTCCTAATTGGGGCGAATGTACAGTCAATGGCGATACATGGATCAACATGAACACTGGATACGATCTGTTCTTAGATGTCAATGAGTACACTAACACTGGCTGTACCATCAACCTACGACTGCAAGATACTCTCTATTCCAAAAAGAGCGCCGAATTGCTTCTCCGCTCTTACGTCAAGGTCTTGGAATACATCGCAGATGCGAGCGACGCTACGGTTGGAGGTGTTCCCACATGGTCTGAACACGATATCCAACCTGCTTTGGCAGCCGGATCGCAGGTTCCTCTCCAGCCCCGGTGGGAGCCAACCCTCAGTGCACGTCTGGATAAAATGATCGAGGAAAACGACACAAGGATTGCTTTGAAAGATGGGAATGAAGTGGTCTTGAATTATGAGCAAATGGGAGCTCGCATTGACTACTTGACGAATACTCTCCTTGCATCAGGCGTTGAGAAAGGTACCGTTGTGGGCGTTCTTCAGGAACCTTCAACCGATTGGATCTGCTCTCTGCTATCGGTGCTACGCGCAGGATGTATTTACTTGCCGCTCGACTTGAAAAACTCCGTCCCTCGCCTGGCCAGCATCGTCAAGCTCGCCAAGCCATCAATCATGCTCACAGACCGATCAGTGAGCGACAAGGTTGCAATGATCGATGCCAGCCATGCTACTGAATTTGTAGTGTCAGATATGAAGACGCCTGAGCAGGTTGAAAAATCGAGAAATCTTGCTGAGCGTGATGCTCCGGCTGTTCTTCTATTCACCAGTGGAACAACAGGAGAGCCAAAGGGCGTGATACTCAGAAATGAGAATCTCATTGCAAATGCCGAAGCCAGCAGTCTGATTTATCCTGCGGGACCTGACTTGGTAGTATTGCAGCAAACTGCCTTCAGTTTCGATTTCTCTCTTGATCAAGTGCTGGCCGCGTTGACTAATGGTGGCTGTCTCTACGTTGTTCCGTCGCGTATTAGAGGAGATCCGATCGCGATCAGTCAAATCATGCTGGAAGAAAAGATTACTTACACTTCAAGCACACCATCGGAGTTTGACTTGTGGCTACGATATGCTTCTGAACCTCTCAGCCGCTGCCACTCGTGGAGATTCGCTTTCCTTGCTGGGGAGAGCATGAGCCGCAATCTTGCTCTAGAGTTCCATGCTCTCAAGCTTTCACAGTTGCGTGTTTTCAATGGATTTGGTCCTACTGAGGGAACTTGCATTGCAGCAAAGATTGAGCTCGATTATCAATTCCCTGGAGACCCTGTCCCTGACGGATTTCCGATGCCAGGCTATACATGCGTTATCGTTGACGAATCTTTGCAGCCAGTACCCGCAGCTGTATCCGGAGAGATCCTACTTGGGGGTCCCTGTGTGGCGTCTGGCTATCTCAACAACCCTGACGCGACAAGAGAAAAGTTCATCCCTGATTCATTCTTCGGGACGTCCAAATCCATGTATCGTACCGGCGACCGCGGCCGCCTTCTAGCTGACGGTACACTATACTGCGAAGGCCGCCTGGCAGGCGACACTCAGATCAAGCTTCGTGGATTCCGCATTGAACTCGGTGAGATTGAAAGATCTATCGTCAAGCATTCCGATGGTGCCATCTCTCAAGCTATTGTCACGCTGCGTGGCACTGGAGAAGAGAGCTACCTAGCGGCGCATGTTGTCTTTGCACTTGACCTGCCAGTTGAAGCCCGAGAAAGGACAATCCAGGTCATCAGACGCAGCTTACCCTTACCCTCATACATGAGGCCCTCCGCTATCATAGCCATCGATGATATTCCTCGAACCGCTCATCTGAAGATCGACCGACGCGCGATTCAAGAACTGCCTATTGAACAAATTGATGGCAAAGAAGCTCACGGTGAAGAGGCAGCCGTGGACCTGACAGATGCTGAGCTGAAGCTCAGTGAGCTCTGGCGTCAGATCATGCCGCTCGACCCCGGTCCACTTACCGCTGATTCCGAATTCTTCTTGGTTGGTGGTAGCTCGATTCTCCTGGTGAGATTACAACACCTTCTGACAGAGTCATTTGGTGCTGCGCCCGAACTTGTTTCTATGATGGGAGCGCCTATTTTGGGAGAAATGAGTGCGGTGATAGAAGCCAGTCGTCCAAGCTTCACTATTGACTGGGAAGCCGAGGCTGAGCTTCCTGAATGGGCTGTGCAGCACAACACCGACCGATCGCAAAATAACGGTCCCATCACAATCCTTCTGACAGGATCGACTGGTTACATTGGGCGTCATTTGCAACCAATTCTGGCAAACGATGAGAAGATCTCTCGGGTGTTTTGCCTGAGCCGCGGACCGCCCACAGATAGTACTAACGGCAATCCCAAAGTGAGCATCATTCAGACCGATATTTCGCAGCCTAACTTGGGCATCTCCGATGAACTCTATGCCACCTTAATCGCGGAAGTTGACATTATTGTTCACTGTGCCGCCAACCGTTCCTTCTGGGACCGATATGAGGTGCTTCGACCCGACAACTACGACTCCATCAAAGAGCTGGCACAACTAGCCACAATGACAGCTCGCTCCGCCCCTCTACATGTTTTCTCATCCGGCGCTGTAGCGACGTACGACAACAGTTCCTTGCCACCTCAAGATGGGAGTGAAGGATACCTATCCACCAAATGGGTCGCAGAGAAATTCCTGCGAAAGTTCGCTGAAGTGACCAGAATTTCTGTTTACATACATCGCCCTGAACCACAAGCATGCCTCGATACAACTCAGTCAAGTTCCAGTGTAACTGCGGTACTTGATCAATTGATCAACATCTCTGTTCAATTAGGATTGAGACCGACCTTCCACAACATCACAGGCTCAGTACACCTCCAGCCTGTGGATCCATTTGTCCAGTCCATTCATAAGACTCTGCATGACTCTCTCGGAGCTGATAGCAGTTTTGACTGCAGCCAAGACCACTTCAAAATCCTACACCATGAGGCGACTCTTCGCGTCTCTACGAAAGACATTGAGGAACGCTTCAATCAAGATGATTCCGTGCGCGGTCTACCAGGTTTCCCATGCTTGGAATGGTTTGGAAAGGCTAAGCGAGTCGGTCTCAGCTACGTCTTTACGTCCTGGGAATTGGTTATGGGATCTGATAGTCAGGTTGTTACCCGACGATAGAGATAGAATCATGTAACTAAGATTGAGATTGCTCGTTTTCACATATTCCATTAATGAATGTCATGTCTTTACTCTCTTTCCATCATTATCGTCATCTATAGTCATCTAAACATGAGTATCGCACAATTCCTCTCTGGAACTGGTGCACGACTATTTACAAGTTATTCTAGAGGGACGGGTACCTACATTAACTGCTAGAACCCCATCCTTTCACGTAGAGAAGCCTTAAGATAATGACCTTGTTGGTGTATTCCATTCCACTCCCCACCACCATTCCCGAACATTCGACATGCTTCATGGTTCAATGTTTGCCGTGTCATATGGAGTTGATGAGGAAGTAAAGCAGGGTATGTTTGGAAATCGGCCTCGAAATCATGCTGTCTCTCTACTGGTTGGTTCATCTCATTCTGATCGGAGATATTGACAAATCGGAGTGGAGTGGGGGGGGATCAATAAGATCTTCCACAAGTTGGAACTCATCGAGAAGGATTTGCACGGCAGTGAACATCGTGCTGTAAGTCTCATATAATGACGAGCAGGACTTGTCTAGAAATGACTCCACTTCTCCTGGTCCACGAGATGGTGCGTGAAGAGAAGCGGGGTCGGGAACTCGGTTGAGGCGTTGATGCATCTGGAAGAGCGCAGTCAAGTACAATTTAGCGAGGGATGCGTAGCAGGTCAGCACTAGCAGATTGGTCGCTACGTCGGGTATATCCGGCGTTATTGGGCTCTGATCGAGACAATCCTGCAGGGTAGTGGGGGGCCTGTTTGAATTGGGGCCGTCCGCACTGATTGGGGTCGCCGGGAAGAACGAGGCGGAGGAAGAGGTAGCAGAGGTTGATTGGAATGGAGGTTGCGCGGCATGGCAAACGCGAGGGCTCTGAGATCGACGTAGAACCGCTGTGAATCTCCGTGTTAAATTCAAGATTGGACTAATCGCATAGGTGTCGAGATTATCTTCGCTAGCTTCAAGGCTTGGATTATACGAGTCCCCACTCAACAGAACTACCGCCTCGTGGATCTCCGCTACCAGGCTTGATAGATGTACGAAACTGGAGGCGCTATCCTGGGCACTTGTGGTTGATGGCGTATTCTTGCACGGGCTGTATGGCTCGGAAAATAAATGCAGGAAGGCGGGGCCCTTGTCTCCATTTTCGGGAATGGGGTGAAAAGATGATATATCCAAGAGATTTGTGAAGCCATCATCGGTAAAGAAGGGATCGATGTCACCATGGAGTACCTGATCGCTCGAGCCCAGCATTAGAGCGCACTGGTCCCCCGCTGAGCTCAGCGAAGAAATGTCCATGGCGATCGAGTCCGACGAACTCGGCAATGACGCCTCTGTTGATGTACCTGCATCTGACTTGCATGATTGTTGACGCTGGGAGATACCTCCACCAACTGCTCGAGCATGGGTAGTTTTCCTTGTTTGTGCTCGGCGACTGAAGACACATTCCACCTTGGCTCGGACACATCGCACACACTTTTGGACTTCTGACCGAGATTTCCCCGCACGATAGATGGTGCAGCAAACTTTTTTGGCACGACAACGATCGCAGGACGCCCTGAGAGACTGCTGTGTCAACTGAGAGGTCATGGCTTCAGACATTGCTCGGTATGTCGAAACCGCAAAGGCTTTAGATTGTTTAGCATCGAAACATGGGGGCAAGGTAGTAGTGACAACACTGGAATATTGCCTTATCTTAGGGAATCAGGGGGGAAATAACAGCCAGGCGCATAGGATCTACACCCACAGAGACTTCCTTAGCTCCGAATCAACGAACTGCCCTGCGCCACTGGTGCGCGAGCTTTGACGCAATGATGCAGATTCCCCAGCAAAATCCTTAAAAAAATGACCCCCGCCGATAGCCTTTAGGAATCAGAACCCCGCCATTTCAAAAACTCTCACAAAGAAGCATACTGAATATCGCTGCACACGACCTGTTTGGGAGTTGAGGAGTTGAGGCACTGCTGCAAGGCGATCATGGATAGCATGGATAGCATGTCGGCAATCCCCAAATTCTTGGAATTCCCCCTTGACCACACATTTTTAGGCCTAAAAGACGAACTAATGCAGATGTCATGCAGCTAGAATGCAGCTACATTAGTGGCAGTCAGTAATGCGACGCGGTATAGTAAGTAATATGTATAGTGTAGCGCTTATCCAAAGTGGACTCTCATTTGTCACGGAAGCGCATATGTGGATGCCGCGATACAAGTAACTTTCGACCGGGCTTGGATGGAGCCAGGATGGAGTCGGATTCCTGCCCAAGATAGATAGGTGCAGGAAGGCGGGATCTCGCGAAGTCCCGTTAATCAATGCTCCGATGAACTGAAAAAAAAACCGTCAAGAGGTCCACTTGAAAAATGCCGCTGTCAGGGATTTCAAGTTGAACTCCATAGTAATCCTTAATTTCATTGAGGACTTTTGGAGACCGACCCACGTTTATCATGCAATTTAGAATAAGTGCCTCGCTCTGATGCCCTAATTGAAGCATAGCGGGATGCATTCCCTGCGGTGATACCCCGAGTTCGTACTTCGTATATTAATTGCACCATTGTCGGGCGTATCAGCATGTACGTCCGAGTCTGGGCCTTGCTAAGGTTGGACTCGGAGAGACACGTAGTACGGCCGCTATGGCGTATCTGTGGATCGCCCGATTTGACCCACGAATGTACTCCATATACTCCATACATGGATACTCCGTACTCCGTACTAGATTAACGGAATGTATCTCCGAATCCTTGGAAGTGTTCGAAGGCTTTCGAAGGTGTTCGTAGGATTCAGGATTCGGGACCCCAACCTTGGCAACCTTGAAAGGTTGAAAGGTGCCCGCAGTGTGGAGGATGAACCGAATCAACCGATGACAAAGAACGCGGTCTACTTCCCCATTACCTAGGTAATTTGCACTGAAGGTAATTTGCACTGAAATAAACGGTTTCAAGAGCACAGTCACGGTGTTAGTACCTAATATGCAAGCATGATTTCACTTCATTTAAAAATCAAACACTGTCCAGATATCTTTTTTTTCCAATTTCTTAATGTTTAATGTTTCAAGCTAGCGATCACTTGTAATTTTCATCAATACATGTACTGCCACGTGTACAAACATCCCAACTTGAACCCCACACGACACACAGACAGCTTAGGTTAGGCTGCACAATCTGACATTGATGCATATTTTCTATGCATCTCATATTTACCTGGTCTGTGGTCAAGTACTGACACTCACTGTCAAAATATCCAAATTGGTGGAGTGCAGAAGGATCATGCAGTGAAGTTGTTGGTCCATATTAATTGTCCTCTTAAACCGTGAATACACATCCCAGATGACCCAAGTACCAGAGCAATGGATCGAGATCTATGCATGCTGTTTCAAAATCAAGTTCAAGTTCAAATATTTGGCTTCAAATATGCACAAGGATGTGGATAGGTCTTTCCAACCTTGGAAGGTTTGGCATGTTTACTACTCCGTAGTAGATCACTATATACTAGCAGTAAGCTTGGCATATCCCGATCAGACATAGATAGTAGTACATACTAGTACTACACTGATAATATGGATAAGATATGGAGTCCACTGGCGGAATACTGATAACAAACACAATTCAAGTCGCATGGAAAGAAATGATAGTGCCTGGGGTGAACCAGGGAATTTGTAATCGCGCGTCGGTGTGCCCAGGTAGATGAGAGGCTGCGATTACCTAGCCTCACTTCAAGTTGATACATCCATCACCCACACACCATCCTTGATATTTCCCTCATTCTTGGCTATTTTTGATTTCTGAGAAAGTAGCTAGAAATATCGAGTGTGAAAGTAGTAAAGATAAATTTTTTGAAATTTTTGAAAGATTGTTTGTCCCCAGCCGAAGCTGCCTCCCATGCCCGCTGGTGTCAACTTAGCCATCGATTAGGACCCAGACCATCTTGATCATCATTTCTGTTATCATATGAATTCTGACGCCACTATTCTGCTACTAGGTCAGCTGGGCTGACCTGTTACTCTTGTCCCTCTTTTCTCAACTATGAGGATCCCTCACTTCTATCCATACCACCTTGGCCATCTGGGCATGCAGCAACACTGACCTCCTAGTAAGCATGCAAATTTACCAACACCTTGGGAGAACTATATCAACTTGAACTTGAATCCTGCAGAGCTCATGAATTTTAAGTTCATTATTGAAGTCAGCTCCAGGGCTTCAGTACATTAGAAGAACTGAAAGACTCTGGGCTTGAAAATATTAGTTATCCGCCTCGCTATTCTCTCTTCATGTGCTCCACGGACCACTCCTTCAAGTTTACCAAGCCCGTCCCACTCCACATCACACTCCCATGACCAACCTGGAATCCGTCTCTCAATTCTTGGTCTGTGAATTCTATAAAAGTACCATTGATTAAATGGCGGTGAGCACTGAACAGGGGTGCCCCCGGGGCGGGCATTAGTACAAACTTGAATTGACATTTGAACTCCTACTCCTCTTGCCAGTGCCTCCTCACCTGGGCATACTGCCCTTCAAGTTGCCAAGTGCTAAATGTGAAAATATACCATAATGACGACTTATGTTGTTTACAGCCTTGACGATACAATTGATGAGTTCTTCCAAGGAGGACTACTGCGACAAGGCAGCAGTGCGATGATTTTGTCATTTCTCGTGTTGGTGGTGCTCCAACTCCAGTGAAAATGCAGGGAGTCTGGAGCTATATCGTGATGGCTGGTCCTGATCAGTCCAAAATCGTCCAGTTTCGAGCTGAGGACTCTTTGATCGATACCAACAATATTACCCTTGCAAAGACAGTTCATCCTGAATTTGTGGCTGGCTGCAAGTATCTTGGGACCATAGGCGATCCTCGACCACTCTATGTCTACGAGATGGATAAAGTTCCTGGACTTGCTCACATTATGGCGCGTATTCCATCAGACGATATGAGTCGACAGTATAGAACTATCAAGGACCTTGCAAAGTATGAATGATACAAATTCAAACGTTGTTTCTCCATTAGCATCCGCTTACATTCAAGAACGGGTTCTTCGCACAGTCATGGAACAACAATCAACAGCCCTATCTCAATGACACCGCTACATGGCTTACAGAATTCCAAACTAATTTTGACCTTCTTGCTCAAGAACTACCTTCAAGATTTGCACCAGCCATAGATATGGTTCGCAAGGAACTTCCGTCACTATTCTCCAAAGCACTTCCGTTTGTTCTTAGTCACGGAGATCTTAATCTGATGAATATCCTGGTAAATCCCGAGACTGGGAATATTACAGGAATTGTTGATTGGGCGGAATCAAGAATTCTACCGTTGGGCTTCGCGCTATACGGGCTCGAAACATTTCTAGGCTGGATGGACTCGGAGGGGTGGCACTATTATGATCACTACCGTGAACTTGAGAGTCTCTTTTGGCAAGCCTTTCAAAAAGAAGCTCAAGATTTTTCCAATAGTAACTTGCATTCAATCCGCGCTGCAAGAATGGCGGGATTTTTCTACCAATATGCATTTATTTTTGACGGAAAAGGTGCAGTGAAAAATGTGCGGGCTGCCAAGTCTAACAGTTCTTCCACGTATCTTGATGCTTTCTGTACTGCTATTGACTGGTCTCATATTCTTCAACCCCCACGGCCCGTACAGTATCCTTAACTGGCAGGTTAATAGGCAGGTGTGCTTGTCAGCTGGAGAATTCATTAATACCTGAATTTGTGATAGAAAATAGAAAATTGAAGCGAAAAAGAATTTGTCAAACTTGAATTAAGTGCTCTCTATTGTTGATAAATGCAAATAAACCCAAATTTACCATCATATGCCAAACGCTCAGGCTTCCACCAGGGAATTAAATTACTAGGATGCAGGCATCATCTCAACGACACCCATACTGGTCGCCTCATCCTTAGTGACAGCAGTCACCTTGAAGCCAGATCGGGACGCCAGGTCCTCGAACATGCGGGCGTTACGCCTCTTGCCGCCAAAGTTCATCATCCAAAGATCAATTCCGCTATTTGTGAGCGACGGCTCATCAGGCAGGAGGTTCTCAGAGAGAACCACTCGTGAATCTGGTGCACAGGCACTACGGACCTTACTCAGAATCTGGACACAATCCTCATCAGGCCAGTCATTGAGTACTCGTCGGATGAAGTAGACCAAAGCACCTAGTTAAAAATTAGTTAGTGATACGACTCAGTGAGATAAGGAGTTTGAGTAAGTACCTTGAACAGGTTGTTCATCAAAGAAGTTATGAATCTTCCTCTGCACTCCTGCCAGGACACCGCTCGCTTCTTCTGTGCCCTGCTTAACCACACCTTCCTGGTCTTCGATGATACAGGATGATGCAGGGATTGAGGGGTGATCCTCCAGAATAACCTTCAGGGCCTGCCCCTTGCCGCCACCAATATCCACAACACAAGTCCTGCTCGGTGTGGCAGTATCATTCTTGGCATAATCCCCAACCCACTCGAAATCATAGACTCCAGTTGTGTAGGGCATGTCATCCAACGGCAAAGCCATGGCATTGTTAAATGACTTGACTCGCTCAGGCTCCAGCTTCATCACTTCATAGAAAGATTTATCTGGGTGACCTGTTGCAAAACCAAAGACTGAGGCGCTAGAAGTCTTCGGTTCTTTGTTTTCGTGCGATCTGAAATAATCTGGCCACCTTGCCGCTGGAGTCATGAAAGAGTCGAAAATGTATGGGAAGAAGATTTCCGATCTGGGGTCTTTCAGGTACCGGGACACAGATGTGTGCTCAATGTGGCCTGGTTGGGATGAGTTCAGAACCTCTGCGGCAATGAGGAAATTGGCGTGGCGCTCCAGTAGTCCGGCGTCAACACCTGTCTCTGCTGCCAAGTCGGAAATAGAGATTCCTGTCTTGGGAATTGCTTTGAAGACACCATATTCGAAGAAGAATCTCAATACACCGAGCTCGACCATGGAGCATAGGTATCCATGCAGGATGGATGGGGCTTCTGGGAATCTAGTGCTAATGGAAGGCATTTTGTAGATGTTTCTGTACCCAGTTAGTCTGATAAGATATATCTGATTAGATCGGGAGCTGTTAATCATACCAACAAGTCAAGTTCTATTTCAAGGTTGATGGGTGCTTTTCTCGTAGATAAGGTATTAAAAATCGTCAGAGAGATCGTCGTTGATTTCAGTTTTGCGCAATGGGTGGTTGTGATATGATTTGATGCACCGCTCAGCAGTATCAAGTGATGTTTAAAGATATTTGTCTGATTAAGAATTATTTAACAAGACTTATATAAGTTTATCCATCCATTGTTACACACATTGCTTCAGAACTCTAAATCATGCCAAGACTCTGGAGTATAATTCACTTTACCTATTTGGGAAACGTACTTGAAGCCGAAAAGATGCGACCACGAAGATATCCGATAAACTCCGAATTTCCATTCCAACATGGGAATCTTATGAGGCTTGGAATTCTTGGTCCTATTTATCATACCCTGATTTGGTACCATCCGAAGAACATATTTGAGACCGAAGATGACCGACTTCGAGTTATCACGATCATGTGTCATACATGCCAGTGTTGACATTTTGCTTTGGTTGTGGTACTACTAAGTTAGTACTAACCACCAACCTTGGAACAGACCAAATACAACTCATACTACATACACATGCATATACGGGCACCCTTCAATCACATAGGATATTGAATCAAGCCACGAATTGAAGGGTAGGAATGAGCATAGCGGAGTTTTCGGAAAATAATTACTGGTCTAAAAATAGCGGATCTTTGTCTATATGTGCAACTCTAGCCTTGTTCGCCAACCACTTAATGTAGATCATGAGCAGGAATCTGGAATCTTCACAATTAATATTAAGCCTTGACATCACGACCAAATTTTAGAGACCTTCACAGTATAGAGTAATGGAATTGATGCTCGAGTTGAGGCTAGTAGCATTTTTGAATTACTCTGTGGGGTATTCGTCCAATATGTAGTAGTATTGCCCTGGACCCTGGTTTCCCGATACCTAGCAGAATTTCTAGGTTTTCAAAAATGGTGAAGGGATAGCTGTTTCACGGTATGTGGAAATTAACAGTTCTCTAAAAAAAAAGTTCGAGGGACCCGCGTTGTGATCTTAATTAGTAGGATATTTTAATGGTTATAAGAGATTTAACAGTTGTGAGATGGTTGTCGGATAGTTATTAAATACCCAATACAGGAATCTATACAGGTATTAATTAATTTAGAAATAGACCACCTACAATATTACTAGTAATTTATAGTAGGTTCAGCAGTAAAATTACATACAATATTCTACGCGTCTACAGTACTACAATCAAAATAAACAATCCAAGGTCTACATAGTACACTTCTAACTTCCAAGATTCCAAGATTAGTGTTCAGAAGGCTATTTATTAGAAGGTTAGTATCCAGAAGCTTCCAAGGTTAATATTCAGAAGGTTCAAGTTAGAAATTTCTAAAAAAATTTAAAAATTTCCAAGTTCAACTTCAAAGGGAGTTGGAGAAGAAAAGAAAGATCAAGCCTAGACACAGATATATATTTCAGAAGAAAGACCATAAAAAACACAACATTACATCCTTAGGCATTAATTTTAATTTAGAACTAAGTATCAGGCAAGAATTATCATACCTTAGGCATAAATTTTAACCTAAACTAATTATAAGGCATTATTAGACAGAAAGTCTATCCTTGGGCACTAAAATCAGCTTAATAATAAGTTATATTTTCACAACCATTCAACAACCATTCAACAATCATTCCACAACTATTCCACAACTATTCCACAACTATTCCACAACTATTCTATAACTATTATAGCACTAGATCAACCTTATTATTATGATTTTATTCTAACTAGCTTATATTTTATCTAGTTTACTAACTATAATATATAAAATACTATATAATATCACAGTAAATATCTATCAGATCACCAGAAAAAATAAATTTACTGTGGTTCTACGGAGATTTGAAACCCCATAAATCCTGCTAGGTAAGCATAACCTCGACTTAAAGGCTTCGTTGGCAGTAAGGTCAGAATATATTCAGACCGAGTAATCTTTTCGGCATGAAGACCATTTTTAATCGGGATTTTGCTTCATCTTAGAGAGAAGACACGCCCTTTGGTCTGATTCCGCCGTTGATGGGGTCATTTTTCATGCTTGATAAGGCCTAAAGTTCCAGTTGACTTTACTCCAGGTAAAAGGGTAGAGTGATATTATAGTATCTTTCAACATGTATGTTGAAATGAGTGCATAGGAAATTTTCTATTTTTTCCCGCGATCATACACTTAAGTTGTCAGGGTCGATTTCGGGTTCCCATCCGAGCAAATACTTCCCCGCACCGGGAGACGGCTGATAGACCCGTGTTTGGAGCTGTTTATACTGGACATGCATCAAGATTGCATGCTATCTCCTCACACATTGTGAAATTATTCTCCTCAAGAGGATTTCAAGCCCCACCAGACCAGTTTGGTATACCGGGAATGCGCCCGAGCTCCGTGATATGACCGTTCTATATGAAGCGAAGAACGCGTCGACTGTATACGATCATCCTAACTAGTTCAACCCATCACTGGAAAAATTGAAAAGTAAGATTATCAGATTTGAACTATCCGGGGAAATGTGATGTACAAGACTATGAATGTCATTTTTACTAACACGGACTTGAAATACTAGTGTCTGGCCTCGTCCCGCTTACCATTATCAAAGGCGCAGGCCACGAATTCATCCCTCTTCCTAAGGGGAGAACGCAACCACTGCTGACTTCCACTCCATTCGCACCAAGACTGAGTCTCCAGCTTACTTTACATCCGGATTCTACAAGATCGAAGCTGGCCCCCAAAGACCCGCTCATTATACATTCGAGGAGACCAAATATGTTCTTAATGGGCAAATCGATGTTTTGGTATGTCATACCCAGAGAAAATGATCTAATCTTAGTAGATTTAAGCAAGAGAACATCCTGGTAAAATTCAACTTAACAAGTCGGATTGTTTTTTGCAGGACGAAGCTACCGGCATTACTCACCACCTAGTTCCTGGCGACTTTGCTTTCTTCCATGTTGGATCCAAGGTCAAGGTATGCCTCGTCACGATCAACTTTTAAATATTTTACGAATACTGCTAATACTATGACCCACGCCTTTAGTTTTCGACCAAGTCTCAAGGGTTTGCCTTCTATGCAGTTACTCGACCTGTGCGGGCACCTCACCCTAATCTGCAAGGGCGAGAGGAAGATACCAAGGCTAGATTGTAGAATGGTGCCTGCCAGTAGACATAGAAGAAATTGAATACTTGAATCATGGTTGCGTCAGTCAGCACATGTGCAGGTGGTGCTCTCAGCCTGAGTGTATGATGCGAGAGGAAAAGCATTCCTTAAGAAGAATTTATGTATCAAAGGGGTGTGAGCAATTAGAATGAAGAAGATTTGGTCCCTAAAGCACGCAAATAAATAAATGACCATGAAAGCAATCTCCACAGTCCACAGAGCGAGACCTGGAGGCTAGTTCCGACTCACTGAGGGTTATGTGAGTCCGAATTTTGCGTTCAGTTATTGCTACGTAAATAATGGGATAACCGAAAGAAACAAGTAAAATGATAAAAGAGCCACCTAGTTGTAGTGTTGTAGAAGACAAAAATCGAGAAATTGGATAACGCTTATCATTATCTCCACGTGACCCGTCACGCTCGATAACGCGTTAATTAAGAGGTTACGCGAGGCGCGACCACGACACGACTTTTGAGTCTGGACTGATTGCTTAACGGGTTCATCCCATACACAACCAAAACATTCAGTTGTCTTTCTACTCCTCTCCTCATTTCGTTTCTTTAATTCATGAATTCTTAACCTACTGTCACCATGCCTGAAGCCATCATGCCCCAGAAACGGGTGTTGGTTGACACCACTCACAACGCCCGCAACGATCCCACGTCACCCACCGCGCTGAAAAGAAGAAAGCTAGACAATGAACCCTCATCTCAACTCAAAGCACCTGCCAAGTCATTCCAGCGAAAAGGATTTGGCTCGACCCAGCCACAAAAAAGTCAGTTCGAGTCGGAAGTGCTCGAGAAGTTGACACAGGATATTGGAGATTTGAAGCACAATAACGCGGAGAAGGATCAACAATGGGAACGCCCACCTCTACGACAATGGGACCCCGAGGAGGAAAATATTTGCTTCCAGCAGATTGATGCGGAAGAAGGGAGGCTGTTTCGCGAAGACGTTATGGCTGTACGCCTCTTTGGTGTTACGGAGGTAAGACTGTCCGGTTTCACCACTCATACAAGTACATAGTGTCTAATCTACATTATAGGCTGGTCAATCTGTCTTGCTTCACGTTACCGGATTCCAACACTATCTATACATCGCCGCCCCCGCAGGTTTCACCAAGGAGGACTGCAATCCCTACCGGGCGTTCCTGGAATCGAAATTGGGTCAACATGGTCGTGTCATTGAGTCCGTGGAGGTGACATTGCGAGAGAATATCTACGGCTTCCAGGGAAACCAGAAGAGCTGGTATCTGAAGATCACAGTGGCTGATCCCAAGCACATTGCGAAGGTGCGCAAGGCACTGGAAGATGGGGGTTCTAGCATGAACTACAAAGGTTTATGGGGCTCTATGGACTCAGGCTTGATCACTTTTGACAACATCCAATACCTTTTGAGATTCATGATTGATACCGGGCTTGCCGGCATGGCTTGGGTTGAGGCGAAGGCTGGAAAATACAAGCTTATCACTGATGAGCGCGAGAAGCTGTCAAATTGCCAATTCGAGGCTGTCATTGACTATCGTGACATGATCGCTCACTCACCCAACGGTGAATGGGCAAAGATGGCACCCTTGCGTGTTCTGTCTTTTGATATTGAATGCGCTGGTCGACAAGGCATTTTCCCGGAACCGAACATCGACCCTGTCATTCAGATCGGAAATGTTGTCACCAGATATGGAGAACAGAAACCTTTCATTCGAAATGTATTCTGTCTCAATGAGACAAGTAACATTGTCAACACCCAGGTATTGGAGTTCAACAAGGAGGAGGACATGCTAAATTCGTGGCGCAATTTTGTGGAAAAGGTCGACCCGGATGTGATCATTGGTTACAACATTGCCAACTTCGATTTTCCTTACCTCTTGGACCGCGCGAAGCATCTCAAATGCACCAACTTCCCATACTGGACTCGGCTGAAGACTATCAAATCAGAGGCCAAGGAGGCCAGTTTCTCCAGCAAGCAGATGGGTAACCGAGAAACAAAAGCGACCAACACCAATGGGCGAATCCAACTCGATTTACTGCAACTTGTGCAAAGAGACCACCAGTTACGAAGTTACACTCTCAATTCAGTTTCCTATGAGTTCCTAGGAGAGCAAAAGGAAGATGTACACCACACGATGATCACAGAACTTTTCAACGGTACACCTGACTCTCGACGACGATTGGCAGTGTACTGCTTGAAAGATGCTTATCTACCACAACGACTCATGGATAAACTGATGTGTCTGGTCAACTACACGGAAATGGCGAGAGTAACGGGTGTACCATTCAACTTCCTCCTTTCTCGAGGTCAGCAAGTCAAATTCATCAGCCAGCTGTTCCGAAAGGCACTTGAGCAGCAACTCGTCATCCCCAACTCAAAGCCCCAGGATGAGCAGGACTATGAAGGTGCGACAGTCATTGAACCGAAGCGTGGTTACTATGGCGTTCCCATTGCGACCCTCGATTTTGCCTCTCTTTATCCCTCCATCATTCAAGCACACAACCTCTGCTACACTACCCTCCTCAACAAGAATGTCATCGAAAAGATGGAAATGAAGAAGGATGAAGATTACATTGTCACGCCGAATGGAGACATGTTCTGTACCACGAAGGTTCGCAAGGGTCTTTTGACCCAAATTCTCGAGGAACTCCTGGGTGCGCGAAAGCGTGCAAAGAAGGAGCTGGCCAGCGAAACTGATCCTTTCAAGAAGGCCGTGTTGAACGGTCGACAGCTTGCCTTGAAGATCAGTGCAAACAGTGTCTACGGTTTGACTGGAGCCACAGTTGGAAAGCTTCCATGTCTTCCCATTGCTAGTAGTACAACTAGTTATGGTCGTCAAATGATTGAGAAAACCAAGCAAGAGGTGGAGGCTCGTTACACCATTGCGAATGGATATTCCCATGATGCTCAAGTCATTTACGGTGATACCGATTCTGTCATGGTCAAATTTGGAGTGACCGAGCTGGCCGAAGCTATGAAGCTTGGCGAGGAAGCCGCAGACTTTGTCTCGTCGAAGTTCATCAAACCCATTAAACTGGAGTTCGAGAAAGTTTATTTCCCGTACCTTTTGATCAACAAGAAGCGATACGCCGGTCTCTACTGGACCAACACAACAAAGCATGACAAAATGGACACCAAGGGTATTGAGACTGTGCGACGTGATAACTGTCTGCTCGTTCAAAACGTTATCGAGACTGTGCTCAACAAGATCCTCATCGAACGAGACCTTGACGGTGCACAAGAGTAAGTGAAAATGATGGTCATGCTTGATAGTTAAATATGGATGCTAACAAAGTTGCAGCTACGTCAAAGCAACCATCTCCGATCTCCTTCAAAATAAGGTTGATATGTCGAAGCTTGTGATCACCAAGGCCTATGCCCAAAAGGAGTATGCCGCTAAGCAGGCGCACGTTGAGCTTGCTAAGCGAATGGCTAAGCGTGATGCTGGCTCTGCTCCTGCACTGGGTGATCGTGTGGCCTACGTGATGATTCGTGGTGCCACGAACTCCAAGAACTATGAGCGCGCAGAAGATCCCATCTACGTACTCGAGAATAACGTCCCCATTGATACCAAGTACTACTTGGACAACCAGCTGGCGAACCCTCTTGGACGTATTTTCGAGCCCATTTTAGGTGAGAAAAAGGCCAACCAGCTTTTGACTGGCGAGCACACTCGTTCCATTTCCGTTGCTGCGCCTAGCTTGGGTGGTCTCATGAAGTTTGCTAAAAAGACCCAAACCTGCATGGGTTGCAAGAAGCCGCTTTCTGGAAAAGAAGAGATGGCTGGTGCTGTTTGTGAGAACTGCCGCCCTCGTCTGGGCGAACTTTACACCAAGGCTCTGACCAAGGTCTCAGACTTGGAGGTTCGCTTTGGTCGTCTGTGGACACAATGTCAACGATGCCAAGGCAGTCTGCACTGTGAGGTTATCTGCTCATCACGCGATTGTCCTATCTTCTACATGCGTATGAAGGCTAAGAAGGATGTCGAGGACTCACAGAAGGAGCTGTCTCGGTTCGACTTTGATGCCGGTGCTTGGTGATGATCATTGTGTGTATGAATTAAGGTGGTTTTTTGTATCTGGCTTTCAGGGTTTACAGCGGAGATTGAGGCGTTTAACTTGTATTTGTTTCTTCCCTGGAGTTCAAATCGGTACTCATACTGTAGCCATGAAGCTAGTATGTACTTTTGTTATTAATCTACATGACCTTAACCTCACATGTGCTGTAAGACGTACAGTAGGACCTAATTTATTTTGTTCAACAGTTTAAAAATTGGTTTTAAATTATTCTAGTCCTTCAAGTTTTCATTAATGTTGATCTAAAAGTACTCTGTATAGAGTGGTGTCTGTAGTATGACTTAGGTGTAGCTTAGCGCCGGGCGGGAACCTTGAAACTCTCGAGTCTTGGCACAGAGAAGCTTCGATGTTTGTTCCTTCCGCACCACGCACCACGTCCCTTCCCAATATGATACCCCCAAACTATACCACCATGAGTACAAGTCAAGAGGAAAACCGCCCGCGATCTTCAGATTTCCCCGGATCAACAGATCGTTCATTCGTCCCATGGTCAGAGGTATGTCGTCATCGTTCGTTCCCCACATGAAGCATCAAACGATAGAATGCGCCCTACCGAGAGCTCAATCTAAATGCAGAGCACGACAAATGTAGTCCTCTCAGTCTGACAGGTTATTTGACAGGTTTTCTCCCGACATGACAACGTTCTCTCATGCCATCTGGCGCTACTGAATGAAGTGAAGTCTCAACTTGTGTCGGATAGTGACACTTTCCGAGCTGTCTCGTCCATGGTGAACAAGACTGTCCAATCAATGAACCAATCCAAGATACTGCGCAAAACCATGGTGAGTCAATCTTTTCCCATACAAAGAAAGAGTCAAACAACTGATTCTCTCAATTCTTCTCAGATGAACCGTACGTCATTACTAGATCTTGAATACTAGTTCACGATGGCGTTGCCTACACACACCTCGAATTCAATCGCATAAATGAATTGAGAACAGACAAGACTGATAAATTTTGTGCAGAAAAGCCAACCAACAGCTCCTTCAATCCCTCTCATCCCTCCGCCGCATCCCAGCAGAACTGGACTGAATCCGCTCCCTCACAATCACAGTCGCAGTCGCAATCACAATCGCAATCTGCCGAGCCCATGCGACGAAAGCGACCTCGCGCTGATAAATATACCACCACAGCAGACTCACAGACAACATTTTCTGAAGACCCGATCGCAGACCTCCCATCATCCAAGCGCAGGCGCGATAATCCCGACGAACCTCCTCAAGACTACACCCAGCCCCCGCAGCAAGAATACCCTGGCGTGTGGGAAACTGAAGACATCTCGGAGGAGGTGCAGCGAAGATTGCGCATCAAAGAAGAAATCCGTCGGAAGAAGGAGAGCTCGCGGGTCGAGAAGCGAAAGCGCGACAGTCTACAGTCGAATGAGGGCCGGTCGCCTGGCTCGTCTAAACAGCCGAAGAAGCGAACGAAACTAGGCGACGAGACGCAGGACCGGGATTCGAGCTCCACCAGCGGGACTGGAGGAGAGAAGGTGCGAAAGGGCAAAAAGGCGCGATGATGTGGTTTCGGCTGCTGCTGGCCGCCGCCGCCGCTGCCGCCTTTCCGGTACTTGGACCTGCACTGAGCTGAGGTTCCCTCAGTTCAATAGCCCATGCGGGCGGGTATGGGCAAAGGCTCATCATGGTTATGCGGCGGTATTGACCATACCTAAAGGGCTATTCTTAACTACCCTATTCTTATCACTTGTACAAATACACTGATATCATTACCACCATTCTATTGGTTCTCCTTCATCCTCAGCTCATATTTTCTTGTCGTCGCATTATCTTACGGCGCTTATTCTGCAGCTCGCGGGGTTTGATCAACGTAACACATCGACCTAGATGCATCGACTCAACAGCAGCCTGTTCTGTTATTGACATGGCACGAGGTAATTTGAAACTCGTATGTGAGAATTAGCTGCACTGCAAACACCAACCAGATAAATCCAAGCGAGACAATAGGGTATACTCTTCCCTAATCTAAACCCTTGGCGGCAGACGACTGGTCATAGCACTCTATTTTGAAAGCGTACCATGTATGAATAGCACAGCCTCACTTCGGGAACAAGACTTTTCCCCACATGCTTGTCTCCTTGGTTATGCTGAGCCACAGACTAAAAATAAATGACAGGGCTGATGTGGGGCAGGAGAAATGAAAGATCTAAGGATCAAGGCAACAAGATACTACACTCACCTCCAGGACTGTAATTACTGTACATGGAATGTGGCTTGAATCGAACTTTATTTCACCGTTACTTGATAATATTTCATGACGTTCGTGATCTACGCAGAAGACGTGGCAATGTGATGATCGACAACGCAAAGCACTTGCAACCAGTTAGAATTGCTAAACTAGATTACGTCTAGTCAGCCATTACGACGCCTGGGCCCCGACTTAACCGAGTGTGGCTTTTGAATTGTATCACTCAGGGTCCGATGAGGTAAGTGGATATGTGGAACTTGTACGGAGTAGTGGTAATTAGTGTAGAAATCCCTGCATTAAAGAGTGTTCCAAGGTTCACCAAGTTTCATATAAGACATCCCTCCTTCCACCTACATCTTCTACCTTCTGCCTTCCACATCTATCTCCTTTCCAACTTCCCACTTCTTCGTCTTCCAATACACTTGATCCATTTCAACATCTATAGATATCTACAAAATGTTCGGCCTCACCTGGTTCTCTTCAAAGAAGAAGGCTCCCTCCACTTGGGATGCTACCACAGCCACCGTTCAAAACCAGCAGCCCACTAGCCCTGATGCACCCTCCACTGAGCGTGTCATAACCGAGCAGCCTGTATGTCTCACCAACGCAGCGAGTCTGAGCACAAACTCGAAAATTCTATCTGGAGTCAATGTAACACAACACTAACACAATTCAGAACTCTCAGGAGAACATGATGAAGCTGCGTGGTGGTGGTGCCGGCGACGTCTGCTGTGGCGTGTAAGTGCCCTGTCTTTCTTTCTCAGTTTCATTACAAGAGACGAGTCGCGACACATAAGAGACGAGGCATATACTAACGGGAATCTAGCTGCGCCGGTCTCCTCTGCTTCGAGTGCTGTGAAGATTGCTGCTAAGCATCTCACTACGATCAAAACGAATCTTTATGACTGATGCCATGCGATGCGAGCTATGCGAATATTTTATCTGGTGAATTCATGGATACTTCCACGACGACGGGTTAATCTCTGTATTCGATTTCGCTCATTCTACGGATTCGGATGTCCATGCATTTCAAGTTGAAGTGGATGTTGAATATGGGTTTTTACGAGATACAGATCTGATTGGATTTGAATTCTTTTGCTTTTGATGCTCTATTTGCTTTTGCGGTCTCTTTGTCTTTGGACTTGGAGAGTCGCACCCAATGATAATACCCTTTTAGCTGAGCAATTCAATACTTTATTCTGGAATCCTCTTGTTGACATTAATGTAGCAGTTTTATGTAGCATATCTTGGAGGTCGAGGCCATATCATGAGCTCACTGAGGGAGAGACTTGACTTCATTCTGAGAGTCTGAAACAACAAACAACATCCGAAACGAAAAGCAGTTGCCAAATCCTTTTTCTTTCGATAACCCAGGATCAATCCTTGATTAGTAGGTAACATGAAACGAACTCATAATGAATTAGAAAAATAATCTGTATCAAAACCAGGGGAATCACGAAAAAGAGATGGGGAAGAGAGAATCGGAAAGGGGCAGGGAATAGGGGTAACTTGAAAGGAAGACGAAAAAGGCGAAAGAGAATAGAAAGACAAAGAGATAAGGTTAATGATGTCCTCGGATGTACTCCTTTCTCAACCGATTAAGCTCCTCTTGCATGTCATCAGGTAAGATCAGATTCTCACACTCCCGGATAGAAGCATTCTCCAACTTCCTCGCAACGATCCGATCCGAGCCATCTTCCAATGCCCCACGAACCTGAATCAATCCGCCGGTAATATCGCCCAGAAAACGTGCGAAGCCCGGGTTCTCTCGAACGGCGCAGCGGGAACGCACCTGTTCCATGTGTGCGACCAATGCAGTGGTAGAAGGGAAGATGCGGCCACATTGAAGACATCTAAGATATTAGCATACACTAGTAGTAGTAGAAAATAGCGAAGAGGAAAGCGAGCAGTAGACAAAAATACCAATCGAATGGATGCAGACGCGAAAAATAGCTTCTTAAGAACTGAACTTACTGTGTCGCAGTGATCCATCGTCGCTCCATGGCGACATGGTACTCAAAGGCCCGCTCATGCTTAGTTTCAAAGCCGCACACACAGACATATCTTTGCAATCCCTCATTCCAGAATCTCTCCGGATTCCAGTCTGGTAAATGCTGGCGAAGCAACTCAGTTACAGGCTGAAGGGGGATACCGAAATTGCCATCCGGTGCAGGTCCCCGGTTAGTTCCACTGAGAGATTCTTCATCGTCGTCTCGTTGGAAGCGAACCAAATCGGCGGGACCATTAGGGAGCTCGGCGTCTGGATTTATGATTCGGCCGTCTTCATCTATTGCTACTGCCTCCATCAGGATATCTTCAAGAGTGCAGTTATTAGGTTCCTTGGGTTTGCGTCGAATGAAAGGCCATTCCATAGGATCAAGTGTAGGAGTTGGTAATTTGATGAGACGGCCTTCCTCTTCTTGTTTTGAATTGTTGATTTCTTCCGTCTGAGCTGACTCCTGGCCAGCCGTCAAGTATGGGTATTCCACTGGCTCGGGCGAGTCACAGGAAACATCGATGAGAATTCCCCCAGCTTCATTATCACCAGGGCTTCCGCTAGTTTCTTCTGCACTCAGAGCTCGGGGAACTTCCCCTTTGCTTCTGTTTATGAGGAGGTTGTCTTTGGGAATTGGTGCATCGCTCAGAGGGATAGCAGTAGTTGATGCGGATGAAGCTGTATCCAAAAGAGCTAGAGTGACTGGTTTTTCTGCAATTGTGCCCATAGGACCCTCTCTAGCCCTTTCCTGCCAGGCGTTGGCTACTTGTTCACGACGGTGTTGTTCCAGGAGCATGCGGGCGATGCTAATCTTTGGGCACTCGTTGTACTCGATGTGCTTCATCAAAGTAGAAGCACTCTTGAACTTCTTGCCGCATCCTGCACAGTCAATGTTTTGTTCGACAGGGTGGTTCTAATGTAATCAAATGTCAGCGTTGTTTTTTAAGCTTGGGTTCAAGGTGGGATAATGGAAGTATAGGATCTCACGAGCTGGATATGACGGGCACGTCCACTACTGCAGCGAAAGTCCAAGTTGCAAAGAGGACAGGTGAAATGCTTATCATTTGTTATCTTGTGGATGAAGAGAACACCCTGGCTGGGAAAGTCCACTTTGCATTTGAAGCAGTAGGCATGGTTGCTGTCCTGTTGTTTATGCTCGAGCATCTCGGACTCTGAGTTGAAGACTCGGGGACAGTCTTTGAAAGTGCATGGTACCTTTGGAGGGTTTTTCACAGCCGGCTGGCTGGACTTGGAGGAACTCATTTTTTGTGTCAAAACCACAGTTCAGTTGGGTGAAAAGAGAGTTCAGAAACCGAGAGGATGGAAAAGATGATAAATGGTGGGGTGGAAGGAGGTGAACGAGGTGAAGGGGAGGAGGGATGGAAGAGAGGTGAGAAAAACCAAGTCAAGATCTCATCAAATATCTTATTATATAGTACACTACTCAAGAGATGCTTAACACTCAGCATTGAACATGTCTTCCAGGGCAAATTGAAGATTTTATTTGTTATAGTACTAATTGCATAGAGAACACCGTGACGTGAATTCCAAATTAGAAGCGTGAGAAAGGCAACCTGGGATTCCATCAGGTTAGATATTTCTTTCCTCAATAAAGAACTATGGGAAGAAATAGACTTACCATTTTCCACGCAGTGTGATAACCGCCCAGTTATTCCCATCTGCATCAGTCTCTTTCTCCACCTTTGTTGAAAAGGAGATGGCACTCATAATTCCATCACCAAACTTCTCATTCAGAACAGCCTTGTATGCATAACCATAGTTCTGCACAATCTCATAAAGCCGATAGATCAACGGCTCCTTGGGAGGCATCTCCACCGATCGGCCCCGATCTGGGAATCCACCCAGCTGCTCTTCAAGCAAAGCATGGGGAACCTCCAGTAGCTCAGACAACTTCACAATATCTTCAGGCGATGCCTTTGCCTGACCATAGAAAATTGCTGCCGCAGCAACCTCATTTCTATTGATGTGAGTGGCAATTTGCTCAAAGGTCAGCTTCTTGGATGCTTTGGCTGAGAAGAGTGTGGGGGATGAGGCCGGGAGATTAGGGTGCTGGGAGGTCTGCCTTGAGTTATTACTTGGATCTTGAGTTATCAGTTGGTCTATTCACATACATCTAGAGTTGCGAGTGACATTTTGAACAATTTTGCAAATAATCTGAGGAATGTAAAGGGAAGTTACAACTTGAAGGAAGAAGAGGAAGAGAAGTTCTTATCTGCGGGGATGAGATCTGATGCGGGGAAATCTTGCATAATATATACCCTTTGGACTCACTGTACTGCACAAGTGCTTAGTGATATCCATGATCCTTCTCAACTCGGAGATCCAAGGTTACTCAAGTGCTATTATCAATCCCTTGAAGTTAGAATTAGATTTCTCCTGGGAGGTATCTTGATCAGGATCCCCATAGTACACTGGCAGGCAAGTCTGTTAAACTCGGAACATTTCACTCGGCTATTTTTTTTAATACTGTGAAGAAATAAGACCCGCTATTGCTATTTTGTCCGCTGAATGTTGGAAGATCGAACTCCCATGGAGCCAGTTGAAGTGTCCACGAGTAGTAGTAGCAGTAGTAGTCTTGAATGGATAAAGTGAGGGTATTCAGTTGACCAGTTGACCAGTTGACGTCATCCCGACTTGGAAGATATAAATAGAATCAGCATTCAGCCCTCACTGTATACTACTGTATAGTAACAGAGAATATTGAACGAGATTCAAGTTTAGAATTTCTTCAAAATGTGCAAATCAACTTGAATTTATAGGCATTTTAAATCAGTTACGAATTTTATTGCGTTTTATGGGCTATTCGAATTGTACAAGTGATCTAACCTTTGGCAATAACAATTGCCGATCTCGTCACGCTCCACATCTGCGCAGATGATGTATGGTGGCATGACAGCGGACAATTTGAATCTCACTCCGTGTTCCGTACTCCGAGCTGAAAATAGAGAGACTCAAACTTCCTGTGGCTTTAACTTCGCACTTTTACCCTGAAACGCGGAATTAGTTCGTTGCGCCAAATACGTGTCACGACACAGCCACGTACGTCTCCATAGTGGCTGGGCAGCGGGGCAGCTTAGCTTCATAAAACACTCCCCCCGCCCCAGGCTTCTCAGTTCTTGTCTTTCTTTTTTCTCTCTTTTCTAGCAATACCGCATTCATGTCGCACCAAAATGATGATCTAGCCTATGGTGGCTACTACGACTCCTCCCGAGGTTCTGGTGATACCTCCCGAGGCTTCGGAGATACCTTCAAGAAGCTTCGCGATACTTACAAGAGCCACTCGAGCTCGTCACAGGCTCAGCCCTCGGGCCAGTCTGGCCAGCCCTACAACCAAACCTCCAACCAACCCGCATCTCAAGGGGTATGACCATCTCTACCTGTTATTTGAATTCGCTCTAACATTGTACCTCTATTTAGCAGCAGCAGACATACCAGAACCAGAATCAGCCCCCACAGCAGTACGGATACAGCAGCCAAGCCCCCGATTCTCAATACCAGCAATCCGGAAAGCCCCAGAAGCAAGATAAATTTTCCGGATTTCTCGGAAAGATTCAAGGAACCGTCGCTGAGTACGGGAATGAGTGGGCAACCAAGGTCGGCAATGTTGTTGACCCTCAGGCTTATGCGCAATATGGCCAAACTCAGGCTACCACCCAGCACCGCTTTGACAGTTTTGCGCCCCCGAGAGAGCACAATGATGTGAAGTGGTATGTTGACGGCTGCAGCTATTTCTGGGCCGTGTCCCGGGCGCTTGAGAATGCGCGAGAATCAATCTGGATCTTAGATTGTGAGTTCCCGACCCTTCCGACTTGTGGGTCCACATCTAACTTGAGTAAATAGGGTGGCTCTCCCCCGAGCTGTATCTGAGACGGCCACCTGCCAAGAATGAAAATTACCGATTGGATCGTATGCTTCAGGCTGCGGCCCAGCGTGGTGTCCGTGTGAACATCATTGTCTACAAAGAGGTCACTCAAGCCGCGACTCTTTCCTCCGCTCACACCAAGCACGCCTTGGAGGCTTTGCATCCGAATATCGCTGTTTTCCGCCATCCTGACCATCTTCCCAATGGACACGAGGTCGCATCTGAGATTGAGAGCGCATTCCAGCATCTGACGCTCAACTCGACCAATCTGACCCAGATGAGCAAGGAGAACTTGAACCGTGTTTATGGCGCAACAGATGAGGCCACTCTCTTCTGGTCTCACCATGAAAAGCTATGCTTGATTGATGGACGAACTGCCTTCATGGGAGGTCTTGATCTGTGCTTTGGTCGCTGGGACACTCATCAGCATGCAATTGCTGATGTGCACCCAGAGGATCTGAATGAGACCGTCTTTCCGGGTCAGGATTACAACAACTCGCGCGTTCTGGATTTCCATAACGTCGCAGAGTGGGAGAAAAACCAGCTGGATCGACGAGTTTCGTCTCGCATGGGATGGTCTGACATCTCTATTAGTATGCATGGTCCAGTTGTGGAGGACCTACGCCGACACTTCCTCGAGCGCTGGAATTTTATTTATGATGCCAAATACCAGACTCGTAACAACTCGCGTTACGCCAGACTTGCGCTTTACGGCCAAGCAGCTCCTCCAACTGGTCAGCAGCAACAGCAGCAACAGCAGCAACAGCAAGGTGGCACCCAGCAGGGCAACCTGTACCCGTCGGGACAAGCAAGTCCCCAGACCCAGCAGCCACCCCAGCAGAATTTGTCTTCTCAGTTTGGAGCCGCGGCGCAGACCTCTAGTCAGAACCAACAGTCTCAGCCTTCTTGGCAGGCTGTAATCGCTCACCCATCTGCACCCCAATCGTCTGCTAGCCCGCACCCTCAGCAGCAACAGCAGACACAGGCGCAATACCAGCCGGGTAGTTACCCTCCTCATCCGAGCCAGACTCCTGTTCAGAGTCAGACACCACAGAGCCAAGCTCCATCTTGGCAGGCTGGAGTTGCCTCACAGACTGTGAATCAATCACCTGTCAGCCCGCAACCCCAGCAGCAACAGCAGCAGGCGCATGCGCAGACCCCATACCAACAGCATCAACCTAGCACTTATCCTCCGGCTCCCAGCCAAGCTTCAGGACACAGTGATTATCAACAGACCCCGACTTCGACTCAATCTTGGCCATCGGAGAAGGCTGACTATCCTCACCCTGGACAGTCTCACACGCCGTCCAACACTCAAAGCCCACCGCCATACTCCAGTGCAGTTCCAGGCCAGGATCATGGATCGCACCAGTACTCTTACACTGGAGACTCCTTCCCTCCACCTCCCCCTGGCCCCGTGCCCACTCAGTCCTCTGGCAATACATCCTACTCTCCCCAGCCCCAGGGACAGCAATCACAGCAGCCTCAACAAGCACATGGATCTTATTATCCTCCGCCCCAGAGCAATGTGTCTGAACTTCCAGCTCAGGAGAACTATCACCCTCAAGCCCAGGCTCAGCCCCAGCCCCAGACTCAGTCATCTTACTACCAGCAGCAGCCGACGCAGAGCTCGACTGATGCCAGTCAGACGCATGCTCAAGGATCTTACTACCCGCCACCTCCATCTCAAGAGTCTCAATCTGCTACCCGCGGAATTGGTGATCAGCAATATGAAGGACAGCGCGGCTTCGTTCCTAAGCGCTTTGAGGAGAAGTTCTATTCCTACGTCAACCCACTTCGGGGACAGCTTGCTGGACAGATCCACCAGTACCAGGATCGTCTGACTAACTATGGTCAACCTGCAATGCAGAGCCAAGGTCAAATGTCCTGTCAGATTGTGCGCAGCTGTGCGAAGTGGAGTAATGGAAGCCCATTGGAGCACTCCATTGCGACTGCCTACGCTGCAGTGATCAAGAACAGCCAGCACTTCATCTACATTGAGAACCAGTTTTTCATTACCGCAACTGGTGACCACCAGCACCCGGTGAAAAACACGATTGGAGCTGCAATTGTGGAACGTATTCTCCGTGCTGCGCGTGCAGGTGAGAAGTTCAAGATTATTGTAGTTATTCCATCAGTGCCTTCCTTCGCTGGCGATCTTCATGATGACTCGGCACTCAGTACTCGGGCTATCATGGAGTTCCAGTACAACTCCATCAACCGTGGTGGCAACAGCATTATGGAATTGATTGCGAAGGAGGGTTTCAACCCGATGGACTACATCAGGTTCTACAACCTGCGCAACTATGACCGGATCAATAACGGGAACATTATGGCTACTGCTGAGCAGCAGAGCGGAGTTAACTACGGTGATGCTAGCCATCAATATGAACAACACGCTACCGCACCTGTTCAGCAAGCCCCGCAAGGCCCAACTCGCACCGCTTTTGACCCCACTGCTCCATTCGATCAGTACCAGCAGGCTGCTCAACACGCGCCAGCAAACAAGGTGGCCGGTGCTCGTCGTTGGGACAGTGTCAGCTCGTGCTACATGCTTGGCGGAGAGGATATCCGCAACGTGCCATGGAATGGCCACCCGGACGCTGAGATTGATGCCTTTGTCAGCGAGGAACTCTATGTGCATTCTAAGGTAAGTCCCAATCAGCATCATACTCACCCGAAGAATTAATTTCTAACAAGAAGCAGGTTATGATCGCCGATGACCGCGTGGTGATTTGTGGATCAGCCAACCTGAACGATCGTTCCCAGCTTGGTGACCACGACTCTGAAATTGCCGTCATCATCGAGGATTTCACGCCCCTGCAATCCACCATGAATGGCAAACCCTGGACTGCCAGCCGCTTTGCCTCCTCTCTTCGCCGGGAGCTGATGCGCAAGCACTTGGGCCTGCTTCCTCCCCAGGACTACCAGAAGCCAGATTCCAGCTTCGAGCCCGTTGGAGTGCCCATTCAATTCGACTTTGATTGCCCGGAGAGCCGAATTGTCGCCGATCCACTCTCCGACGGCATGCAAAGCCTATGGAACTCTCGCGCCCGTAACAACACTGAAGTCTTTCGCAAGGTTTTCCACGCTGTCCCTGATGACAGTGTTCGCAACTGGGCTACTTACAAGGAGTTCTATGAGTACTACTTCCATGACGCCGATAAGGAGGCCGAAGGCAAGGAAGGATTTTACCGTCCTGCCCGATTCCAGTGGGGCCACGTTGTTCGGGACGATTTCCCCCATGGTCCCGAAGGCGCGAAGCAGGTCAAAGAACTGCTTAGCCAAGTCAAGGGTACTCTGGTGGAGATGCCTTTGATGTTCTTGGGCGAGGAGGATATTGCAAAGACTGGTCTAACTCTGAACGAGTTGACTGAGCCTATCTTTACTTGAAAGTTGAGATGGAGTGGTGCAATTGAGACGACGATATGACTACTTTCGCGAACTGTTCATTTTGTTTCTAAATTGAGATAGCAATCTACATACTTCGTATTCGATACTTGTTATCCTCCCCTGTAAACGTCAATCACCTGATTGTCCGGTTTAAGCATAATTGCCACGTTGTGGTCACCCCACACTTTAGTATTGTTCCCCGCAAGAACAATACAAAGGAGTGACTCCACTCTCTTTGATCTTATTTTCCCTTCCACTTAACCCCTTGATATCTTCCTTCTGAGTTCCACTTCAACAACTTCTCTTTGTAAACTGAAATGGACTCTTAATATTGTTTATGCGACTCGAGCAAATCCACCCAATTCTCGCTTTCAAATATCTCCAGCCATGGCGTTGAGAAGAAAGAACGTGGCAATTGGGCTGCGTAATTCACTTATCTCAGGCTGATTGCTAGACGATGAACAATACTAAGGGTAGATATGCTGATTCTTTGAGATGCTTAAGTTTGACAGCCTTCTCCGCATTAACCTGGCCGTTTTTCGTCGCATCAAAGCCAGCAGTGGTATCAGGTACCCAAACTTCGGACGACCAACCCGATTGTCCCTCGAGGAACAATACTAACGGTGAAACGCTGACTCCAAGGACAATATCAAGATTTTCAAAACAATCCACCACGTTGCACTGTCACCCCTGCTCCAGGCAAGAAGATCCAATCTTGGGTAGACGACAGTAATTCACTAATTGATGGAAATTGATCTTCCGCTCCAAACTGACTTTCTTCATCATCCACTCAATCACTCATCTTCGAATACAATCATCTCTACAATCTTCCGCTTTTTCAAAGCAAATCCAATCAATCAAAATGTCTGCTCCTCAGATCCGCAACTCTGCTATTGTTGAGGGTAAGCTTCCTATCATACACCATCATCATCCTCCCAATCGACCATCATGATTCCAATACTAACATTCCCTCAATAGCCTCCCCCGGTGATGGTTGCGCTATTATGTAAATCTTTACATAAACGCCAGCCAACTTCGCCATCTAATCCACCAACATGAGTGAGACCTGGTTCCTCAGTTTCCTCATGCAATGAAACGCTCAATTGATGGCTGAACAAGCTTGACTCGCACCAACATGAAAGCAGCTTCAATCGATAAAAACACCAAAAATAACGAATTATCTCGATCATTACCAGCGACATTCTTGGTTGTTACATTCCAGTTCATTCTTTTCCGGTGACGCTTTTACTTCTCTTGGTCTATTCTTTCTGGCCTACTGTGTCGAGGCTCTACTCTTCTGTTGGTATACTTCGGTGCAATGAGGAGAGCAATGAGCTGGATACTATTGGCTACTGGATTAGATAGAGATTCGAGGTTCATGTGCTCGCTCTACCGATTTTTGTGGACAGTCTGAGTGACGGGGGATGATGAGAAAATGGTGTGCAATGATGATTTCTTTCCTTTTGACTTCCGGGTTGATTTGACATAACTATCCGGTTGATGGCTACTTTTCTGTTTTCACTGGCTGGTGCTAGTTCCGATGGTTTTACTGCTTGGCGGTTTCCTGGATGGTTTGGGATTTAGTCAGATTCTTTTTTTTCTTTTGTTGGTGATGATAGTCATTAGGAATTCAGAAGTTGCCGCCCATTTTATTCTCTACAGTAGTTCTACTTCAGTTGAAGTGCCTCAAGTGCTCCTTGAATCAATTGTTCCAGATGTCTCGAGTTTGTTGCATTTGGACTAATTTTAGCATTCGGGATTGTAGAGTAAGCATTCAACGATATTCCAAAATTTTCATTGACATAGCGCTTGAGTACCTTCAAGTTCTGAAAAAAGCAGCATAGTATTTTAATGCTATTACACCGATAGATGTAATAATTAAAACCCTTGATCACTTTCGGATACTAAATTGTGCTACTCCATATGTGTACGTACTATGATGTCTGCCTGGGAGATAGCGCCGGGTGCCGCTCCGCCTCTTTGACAATACACAAGACTCCAATAATGCTCCGTGCAGTCAGCCTTGCCAATACATATGAACCTATCAGAGCCAATCAATTTTCTTCATACCCTGGCACTTATATGCGATGTTTCAGAAAATGCAAATTGCACACAGGCACATCTGCGAATAAATCGCCGGCTCCATAAGGCGGGGCACATGTGCAGGAATGGTGTAACTCGGAGGCTCGGAGGATCACGGGGACTTCATGCAAGAAGCCATTTTGCTCGATCTCAGGTATGTGGTTTTCCTCTAGGATGGTTGAATCCCAGCTTCCACATGCGCAGCTGTTGGTCAGTTTTTAGCGTCACTTCGTGGCTCCAATAGATGCGGGGCCTTTGTCTTGACTTCCAATGGTTATATCTCCGAGGGTCTGCGCAAACAACTACTCGCTGGTAATCTCAAGTGCTGTGTTGGTTCATGCTGACTGGTTTATAGCAGTATTGATTGAAATGCAAGGCTAACTGCTGGCAGCGAGGCTGGCCGGTTGACAGGTTGGATCTGTGGGTAGCACTAAGTCATTCAACATAAATACAAAGAATGCCCCACGGACTCCTCCAACCAAAAACATTTTCAACTTGAAGTTCAAGTTCCTCTAACCATTCTACGGAACCATTTTCTTCGCACTGGCAATATCCAATCCTTCAAGTTTTCGCAATGGCGATATACCTTTCGGATGCTAAGATCCAAGCAGTGGAGAAAATCCTCCAATATGAATTCCAGGGGAAGCGCCTTCTAGAACAGGCGCTTGAGGCCGCTGGTTCTACCAACAGACCCGAGGGAAATAAGAGGCTTGCACAACTAGGTGATGCCACTTTGCAGCTTTCCATTAAGCTAGCTGGTTTTGAAGCCAGACAGTCGATTGGTATGACGATCTTGGCAGTGGTATTTTGTCTCAATTCGTTCCAGGCTGACCAAAATAATAGGAAGTATCACAATCTCACTGAGCAAGAAAGCAAGCAACGAAAATCTCACCGCTATCGGATTTTCCCTTGGCCTGGACAAGTTCATAATCTTGAATCCTTCCTCCCAGGGCGTTGTTCAGCCGCGCCTCATGGCAACGACCGTTGAGGCCCTGATCGGTGCTGTCTATCTAGACAACGAGAAGTCCATCCAGGCTCCTCTGAGCGTTATCAGAGCCCTTGGTATCCTCCAGGCCGAGTGATCTCCTGCATGTTAGCTCCACCCGCCCCATGAGTTATCGGCTTCTAATTTCGTTAGGTGAATGATGTTCAGGAAGGAATTGAAATATGATTCTCGGAATCGTGACCAGATGCCTTGATGAAAGGGCTTCTCAATCGTTCATGGGAGGGGAGCATGTGACCATTGGCAAGGCGCAAAATCCAATTGTTACCGTTTCCCTCTCATGGAGGATCGAGAAGCCCTTTGACCAAAGGCATCTTGATACTATTCCGATGGTGATATTCCGATGTCTTGTTGAGTGGTCATTGATCTAGAATTTTGTGTCTTCTTTTTCGATGTCTTTGTCTTTATTTGAGTTGTTTTGCATCTGTATGCTCTTCCACGGAGCACAGGCGTCGATTCAACATCGGCATCAGCGAAGGAAAATTCAAGTTCCTTTGTTATTCTACGAATCTCACCTCAGTCAGTCACTATAGTAATCTATGGATTTTCATTCAAGGTTCATCGTCATCAAAATTCAAATTCTTCCAGGAAATTTTCTTTAGACCTCTTTTACTACTTGGATTCCTGCACTTTTCCTCGCCGCCTGTCATGATACCCGAGAAGTGCTTATCCCTACTACTAGGGCTATGTGCCAGTGGTCTATATTCAACATCATAACAGCTAACCTTCTATTGGACTGTAGGTCCTCGAGGCCTTAGATCCTTAACCCTGCACACACACCTTCCTTCACCTCTCCACGCTGCCACACAGTAGCATTTCGATCCCCCAACACCTTCCCTTCCAGATAACCCTCCAGCTAACCCTGTAGGTAACGTCGTAGGTACCTACATACAAAGAGGGGTCGGTCACCAGTCATCTTTAGACACTACTGACTGAGCACTTAAGTATGTGAACATCATCCATGTGGCTGTCTGAGAAGATGATATAAGGTGTCCATTGAACAGAGCTTGCTGGCTAAGAACTTACATATAAATGCTGAGGAAATACCTTTCCCAACATTTGAATTTCGCTAGTATAGTGCCACGCAAAGTGCGGCGTGAGGACTTGTTCACTGCTACTAGGAAGCACCTTGACCCACTCGTCAAACTATTCTGAACATAGTATAGTGTGCGTGCAGTGGATCCTTTCGTACTCCTGAGTCTTGGGACCTGTTACCTGATACATACTAGTAGTATCCACTCGGAATCCTTTGTTAGTCAATCCCGAATCCCGCCTCATACTAGTAAACCTAGCACACTCAAGTGTTGAAATCAGGCAGCCTAGGTAGGCTCTTATAAAGGCTTGAAGTATCCATGTCTCGATTTTCCACTTCAAAAAATTTGCAACTACTCTGAGATTGATACATCGAGCAATGGAAGGAGAGACCAACTATGAGCTGTCAGATATTGACAGGATCACAGTTCCCATGATGGTGAGAGCATTCCTCATCTATGAGGTATCATCCGCCAGCGATATGGAACGATTGGTTATCTCGATCAATGAAGGTGTTCAGAATGCAACCCGTCAGGTACCATTGATGGCAGGCGTGGTGAAATACAATGAATGTGGCAAGCCGTATCTCGTGACTCCTCCTGGAGCCCAGGTTGAATGCCACGTCCAGCGCTTCGAAAATGACGAACACAAATCGTTTTCCAAGCTAGCCAGCGAGTCATTCTCACCTGTTGATCTGGACTCGACAAAGTTCCTGCCTGAATTACCAGTCGACAAAAAGCCAGTGTGTGCACTCCAACTCAATGCAATTGAAGGTGGTCTAATACTGGCGCTCACTATGCTCCACACTGCTGGAGATTGGGAATCTATGCGCGCGTTTTTGTCATTGGTATGCCAAGGAAGCCAAGCCTATCATCAAGGACATAGCATGCCAATCTATACTCCAGACCTCAACAGATCGGCTTATAATGGAAAAAACAAAGCCGGCATCTCGAAGCATGAGTTGGCCGAAAGGTGCGAAGGCTTTTATCTCATGGAGCCAGGAAGTTTCATCCCAAAAACACCTCCACCATTTCGCACAGTCATCTATAAGATTTCCCAGTCAGCACTCGCGGATCTTAAAGCACAATGTACACCTCTTGATGTCGAGTACTTAAGTTCCTATGACTGCATGTCCGCCCTTTTATGGGTAGCTCTTACTCGAGCCCGAATCCAGCTTCATCCCGAGAAGACCGATTCTCAATCCCGGTTGGCACATCCTATCGATCTTCGCTCCAGAGATCCCAAAAATCTATCATCTGCACAGTACTTCGGGAATGGTGTGTTTCCGACGCTGGCTGGTCCGATAAATGCTCAGTTGCTCCTATCAGATGATGGTTTAAGCATCGCATCTTCATCAATTCGCAAATCTATCAATGAAATCAACATGGATTATATCAAGGATTGCACCGCGCTTGTCGCATCTTTAGGGCCGACTGACACCTTGGGGTACCACGCTGACTTCCATGACATGGATATCCTGATGAACACTTGGTTCTCTGGAAGTGCGCAAGATTTTGTGATTGGGGATAATCTGGCGCCGAGCACGTTTCGTACCCAACGACCGATTACAGGGGCCTGCTTCTTGGTTTTGCCCAATGTGGGCGGAGCCAAATCAAATGATCGTGAGGTTCTCATCCAATTGGAAGAGAGGGAATATGAGATTATGCGCCGAGACGAGCAATTTTCCAAGTTTTTTGAGGTGGTAGTTGCCAGTGGTTGATGTCAAATCATTGCCATGAACGGGCTTTACAGTACTCCAGATGTCTGTTAAATAGACGCCCTATACCGCAATGAGACTGATGTTCATTTAATCAAGCACATGTCTCTACATACTCAACTGGACTGTTAGCCGTATATGTAGGTGAATGGTTACCTACTCGTTCATGTATGTAAGTACCCACAGGTGCATCTGTATAATACAGAGAGAGGCACCTGAAGGAGTAGGCTAACTGCTGTATGGATTACCTTGGAAGTTGCACAAGTGCATAAGAGGAAAAGTTGAAGTGTTGGTTAACTATTAGCCTGCTGAAGCGGTCTATCTAAATCCCACAACTTTCGATCAGCAGAATGTGACATTTGCATGAACGGCTAGAGGCATGTTGGTTTTCTCTGGATTGCCACTAAACCATCCTGAACCAACACACTCTTATTAGTTTCCTGCGAAGAGGGGGCCACATCCAAAGCTGGGTTCCCCATAAAGAAATTAACAGGTTTGAGTCCAACAGTCATCTTCTCAGATGGCATAACAGGCCAGTCCTCAATCCGTGGATTGTGCGTCGATCCAAATGTATGCCATATAACAATATCCTGATCTCGCACATTCGTATCGCTTGCGGGGTCATTCTTCCGCTTCTCAATCGCTGATTGAATTCCTTCGCCGCCAAGTGACTGCATAGTATATCTTCCAGCAGGGAAGAGCTCGTTATCTTGATAGCGTGTTATCCAGATAGCATGACTTCCGAACTCCGATCGCTTAGCGTGATAGGACTGCGGATGAGCAAGTAGCATTTGGCTATAGCATGGCAGTATCTTGAATCCCACGGGAGTGCCGGTGGTCGGGTTTATTTTATTCTCATTGATGATCTTAAATGTTCGATTCTTGGTGAAATCTAGTTCGAGGCCCGTTTCTTCGGTGACTATCTCGGACTTTGTCGTATATCCAACACCGAACGGATTATGGGCGTTCGGATCATTGATTGGCGTTGCGTGGGACTCTTCAACTTGCAGTGAATTCGAAACTCCATCGATTGCGGGATCAATGCGGAGAGAAAAGAGATGTTGATGGTAAGGAGCTAAGACGCCGGGAGCAACAACAGTACCATATCCCACACTATCGCCGATATTGATTGGGCAAGTGGACAAAATTCCGGTCGCTCGAACTTCATAATGGATAGACGCATCTTGTCCAAAATGGAAAGCGAAAATATACTCATAGTTGCTGACTGTGATGATAGTCTGCAGAACAAGTATTCGTGAGCGGGCGACGATAGCATTTTGTGTTCTGAAATTGGTATGCTTCCATAGGATCCCATCATCCTGCTCATGGCAGCAAATCACATTAGGTAGCTTAACTGGCTCTCCAGTTGCCGTATTGTGCCAACCGTCAAAGTATTTGATCACCCCGAGGCAATCACAACCCAAACGAAGATTATTCGCGTTTATTCCAGCACCATCGTTTCCGAGATCAAATGCTCCTTTCCGAGGAAATGGAGATCGAGGGTCACCGTATGGAACAAACATCTCTGCTAGGGAGAGGCGGTAGAAAAGACTGCGTTTCTCATAGCGGATATCATGGAGCGTGAGGCCTTCGCGGTAATTAAAACCAACTCGAAACGTCCATTTCTCCCAGCTGACCAGATTCCCCTCACACTTGAATGACGGGCCTTGTGGTTGAATAATCTGATAAGGCTTGGTCGTGGTACGTGGTGGCGGGCGCAAAGAAGGATGATACTCGCTCAGATCTGTTGAATGGACTTTGTTGTGGTCGTATGGACAGCCTGTTGAAACACGATCGTCTTCAGATGAGGGAAGGTGATAGATCTGGGTGACCTGTAAATCCTCAGATAGTTCTGCACAAAGATTCAACGGATAGGCATAGTAATTAGCATCGGGATGATCCAAAAGACGCATATAAAACCAGCACTGCGAGATAGTTAGCAATGGACTATTCGTAGCTTGCATGCCCAGGTGAGCTCTCACCATCGTGGTTCGTTCAGTCATGTCTTTCATGCCATCTGTGGCATATGCCCATGCCTCAATGACCACAGTAGCATCTTTTGGAAGCTTGAGTTTCTGAATTTCCGATTCGATTCTTGGATCAGCTCTGCAAGCATTCTCAACTGCCTGCATGTAAGATGTATCGATATACGAGTGCTTGCCTGGAAGATGCTCCTTTTTAGAGATTATCCCTTGATCAAGATTGACAAGGAGCTCGATCAGTTCAGAAACGCCCGTTTCAGATTTGATTATCACTTGAGCACGAGCTGTCCTAGCTGGGATCTGTGGCGGGCATTTCATATGGTCCTACTCCAAGAAATTTATCATCTCATTTTTCTGTGGTTCCTGGAGCGTTATAACACGAAAGTTGGGCATATGTTGGGGGAGTGCTTCTCGAACGATATTTGCCGTCTGTCATTCTCATTTGAAACCATTCATGATAAGTGATTGCTCAATATTCGATATCTGATTGCAAATTCACCTGGATAATCTCTCTTGGACCGAGAGGATCAAATGGATGTGGAGAAGTGATGGCCATTATGAGTTCAATGTTTTGGTCTGCTATACAAAACTGGATTGGATTGGAACAATAGATAGTGAAACTATTTGATTTTGAGGCAATGAGACTTAGGAACTTGAAGTAATAGACTAGCAAGCGGTATCTGAGGATCAATAGCTGCAGATTCCTCATCAAAGATCACCGTGAAGGTATAAGAATAGCCGGGAATCGACGCTTGGCATGCCCCGCAAATGAGGGATATTCGCTAAGGCAAAGAATAGACGGGCTTCTCCACTGCTGAAATCGTTCAGATTCATTGAGTATGAACACAAGTCCACAGCCCTCTCAAAGTTGCTGAAACTGATACGGTAGTAAATCAAGGGGTTGGATAAGGAAGTTGGGCATTGCTCCCTGTTAGGGAGTGGACCCCACTTGCCTCTTCTCCCTTTCAAACCTCCTCATCACTACCCCTTCCAGATGTGATGTGTCACAATCCACGGAAAATCGAGATTAGCGCCCGAGTCTTGACTCTTGACAGACACATTTTGCGAAAAAGAAAACATGGTGGACTGTCAACACGGCGGTAAATGGCTCTGCAGCTATCACAGAAAGGGAAAGGCAAAGAGCCATTCAGGAACGACCATCCCACAAAATTATTGAAAGGAGCGTTGAAAAGATTCCAGAATGTGTTGTCACCAGTACAGCAAAAGGAATTCAAACGCGTCTCAGCAGTGCCTGATGCCGCCGGGGTCTTGTTTTTCGTCGCTGAACTTGACGCCGAAAAGGCAAGAAAGACACGAACAAGCATCGCGCTACGATCTTGCACCTTTTTGAGTGCAACGCAACAATTTGCTGGCGCCGTTGGAACTTTTGTCGGCTCAAATCCCACGATTGCAGCTCTCGTTTGGGGCGGTATCAAGACTGCTATAGTAGTAGCGAGCAATGTTGCCTCTTACTTCGACAAAGTCACCAACATGATCATGCAAATCGGTCGTTTCTGTCCAACATTCCAGCAGCTTGGCAAACTGTATCATGGCTGTACTGGCCTTCAGCAAGCATTATGCGATTACTATGCTGTGATCGTTGATATATGCGTCAATATTGTCGAGGTATCTCGGCGGACATTCGTAATACAGACAATTTCCCCTCCATATGGAGTCTTTTTGAGTCCGACTTCAAACCTTTTCTGGATCAATCAGAGATAGCGACAAAAGATATAACACTACAGGCTTTTCTTGCATCTAAGCAGGCAGATGATGAGGCAAAGAGGCTTTTGGAGTATGAGAGCAAGGAAAATTCGTCATTTAGACCATCTGCCTTGGCATTTTTCCGAAAGGCAACAACATAATCCGAGGAGGCCATGGCGTGGCAGTTAAATCAGACAAGGCGGCAAACGGCATCTTTGAAGATCCAGATCAGGCAGAATCTGTCTTCCGTTGATCACATTGAGCCGTGGAAGCGAGTTCTGAAAAAGCGAGTTCGCTCAACTGCCGAGTGGCTGACACAAGAGCCCGCGTTTCATGGTTGGAAAAATAACCCTGAAACAGCAATTCTCTGGTGCTCGGGGACGTTGGGCATGGGAAAGACCGTCCTCATGTCTAATGTGGTTTCCCAACTTCACCGGAAGAGTGAAAACATTGCTCACTTCTTCTGCCTTGCCGAAAATGAGAGCTCTCTAACAGCCCGAAATATCATTGGGAGCATTTCTCGGCAACGACTTCATTCGTTGATCGAACAAAGCAATCATGAGTCTCTATCCAGCATGCAAAGCGAAAGCTGTCACTTGGACACAAATGAAACAGTGGAATTTTTGCTTACGAGATTGGTCCCCGAACGGACCTACTACATCGTCTTAGATGGTTTGGACGAATGCAACTTGACTCAAATCCGTGCCTTGGACTCGGCCATAGACGCCCTTACAAAAAGTCCGGTTGCGAAGTTGAAGATTCTTTGTACCGGGAGGCCTGATCTAGAAGATGATCTATTCGGACGGACTAGACCACAATACCGCGTTGTAATCGATGAAGGAAAAGTCCACCTTGATATAGATCGATACATCGTTGCCTCTCTCGATGACTGTCTGGAGAGGAAGCTCCTAGTTTTGCGTGATCCAACAAACATCACGAGAATAGTGGATGTTTTACGTGACAACTCTCAGGGAATGTATGTATGCAAATTGAGTTTTCGGCGGGTCCACTCACTATTTGGCAGGATTTAGTGTTTTATATCGATCTAGTTCTTTACGTAGGTTCCTCTGGGTTAGTCTTTGCATCGGAGAATTATGTGAGCAGAACTGCGATGAAGATATACTTCACGCATTGCAGCACTTACCCAGGACCTTGGCTGAGCTTTTTAATGCCAAAATCCGTCGTATCCAGGGAGGACCAAAGCACATTCAAGCTATGAAATTGATTCAGTTCTGCGGTGTTATGAAGCGTCCTTTAATTGTGGAAGAGTACAGGGAGGTCTTATCCATCTCAAAAGACGATAAGGCTCTGAACATGGCGAAAATTCCAAACAATATACATCGAATCGTCCGAGGATGCTACGGGCTAACATTCATCGATGAAGAAGAGGACACCATTCATTTTATTCATCAGAGTGTCAAAGACCACTTGTTTTACACCAATTTTGGCCGTACAGCCCTTCTTGAAGCCGCAATGCGCCAAAATTGGAAAAGCGTACAAATTCTCATAGACGCTGGCGTTTATCTCGACCGCAATCACAGCGAGGGTGAAACAAATCTTCACATGGCATCGAGACAAAATGCGGTAGAGGCTGTGAGTAGTCTTGTGTCAGCTGGCTTCTCCCTTGATGCCAGAAACGCCAACATGGAAATGGCTCTTCACTTGGCTACATATAAGGGACATATTAATGTGGTGCAATGTCTCGCGGCGGCTGGCGCCGACCTTGATTCTTCCAACAATCAGAATGAAGCGACCCTTCACGTGGCTGCTCAGAAAGGGGCAGAAGAGATTGTGAGGACTCTTGTATCTGCTGGTGCTTCCATCAGCATTATGGACAGTCGATTTGAAACGGCTCTGCACGTCGCTTCATTTATGGGCCACATCAGCATTGTCCAGTGTCTTCTAGCAGGAGGTGCTGATATCAACCGCTTCAACATTAAGGATGAAACAACCCTTCACATCGCTACAGCACAACGCAGGCTAGAGATAATGAAGGTCTTTATTGCCGCTGGTGCTGATCTCAACTTGAGAAATCGCAAAGGGGAAACAGCCCTTCATATTGCTAAAGGATCACGAGGCCTAGAAGAAGAAACCGACATATTTCAGGATGATGGTCCCTTCTTGGAAGGCAGCGAGGACGAAACAGCCCTCAATCGGGTCGGGATTGAAAGCGCTGATGCTGCAGAAATTTTGATGCCCGCTGGCGCTGATAGTGATAGTGATTCATACAGACTGCATCACAATAAATTTAATCAATGATTTTCCAAGTGGCAGATATGCTTCTAATAGCTTTAATGGATGCCTTCAGACCTGTAATGGTGAACGCCTAGTCTTTCATCTCGATTTAACTTGGAAGTATTAGGAGTTCCAAATCCTTCTGTCCTGCGACAGAATCAGTGAGGCTCTCGTGATTCAAATTCTAAATTTCAATAAAAAAACATCCGTGGACATGCGCATCGTAAATACGCTTTCATATTGCCAGCGGCTGCCAGTGGGACTTGATTAAGAATGGTTATGTATGATGGTGCTATTTTATTGGTCAATTTTGAGCATTTAGCCCATTTTCTTCACGATATCCCTTCTCGAGAAAGGGATAAAATACATCACTAAAGTTAGCTGACTCCGGCAGCCTGTTTACCGTGTGGTGGCGCGATAAAAAGGGGTTTATAGGTGGGTATTCTCCATGTAGGGAATTCCCGTAGTAGGTGATGTCCGCAGTACTACCACCCGGGAATGATAGGTGGAGGCCAAGCAAAAGACGAGGAAAAAACTAGATAGAACTTGAGATGCGGCTGTATGAAATACTGAAAGTGATAGAAATAATGTCTTCTGCTCTCAAATCCTCAACTATCAAGACGCGAAAAAAGTTCCACTTCCATCTGCTCCGCTGCATCAGGCCCTTCAGCAATTTCTCCCATAATATCCGAACCTGGGGGAAAATCATGCTCCATGGTGGTCTCTCCCTCCCCTTTCACATTTGCAAGAATGGCTTGTCTGTAATGGCATCTTAAAAATTCGTCCCTGACGTGATTTGGTGAATTCGGGTTTCTGCAAACCGGATCTAAGATCCGGCCATCCACACTAAGCACATCAGGAGAGAAATCTATCACTTTATAACCATCCTGAATGCAAATTAGTAGATATAACAGATTTGAAGAAAGAAAAAATTGACTCACATCAGGGTCAATAGATATCCGATAGCTATCAAATCGTTTGTGTACTCCGGCGAGAAGTAAAAGACCGTTTTGAGCCGAATTCATCGGGTCAGCCGTCTGATAGGTAACGTATCTTGAGAACTGCAAATGTGCCCAAGTGTCGCGTCGGGTGAGCGGGAATATATGAGCTGCTTCAAATACGTCCCAGATATCCTCATCTCTATTGACGTTCACAACGCCACTAACGACACACTTTCCGTCTCGAGCTCTCACACTGTCACGGAATGTTGTATGCTGGATGCTCTGGCTTGATGACTCTGAATAAACACGGCGTTGAGAACGTTCGCTGCTTATTTGTAGAAGACCTCAAAAAACTTAGTTAAAATTATGCTGAATATGTCCAAAAAGACATACCACCGTGAACAGAGGGGGAAATATCGTAGTCACCAGTTGTCAAAGGATTTAGATCGACGGGGAGGATCTGTCCAGTCGAACGAAGAGTGATTCGAGGAATCGTATCAACCTCGAGAATAACATCGATAAGGATGCTGAAGAAGTTTGCATTTGTGATAGACGCGTTTTGGAAAAGTCCTCCAAGAAGGGAACCTGTTCTCCCATCGAAGAAGCGAACGTTTCTGTTACGGGGCATCTTGTTAGTTAAATAAGAGTCAAGTAGGAGCGAGCAGTTATTAAGAAGTAAGGTAAGATAGGATTAAAGTAAGTTTTTGCTAATTTTATACTTGATATTTAACTCTACTTTAATCTTCACTTTACTTTTACTTTTACTTTATTCAAATTTTTGACTTGGCTCCTATTTATTCTAATCTTCGTTTTTAAAACTAATAAACCTTCAATCCTTACATTACTCTCAACAACCACCCACTCTCAGAGCTTACTATTGTCGATGAATATGAAAATGAGATTTGGGTGGACCCACTCGGGCATGAGGCTATCCGTATAATGTGGGTTGATAACCAAGTAGGGAATCCCCGTTCTAATATGCACATTTAGTGGGCCCATGTAGGGATTCTCCAGAGTAGGGATTCCCCAAAAAGGATACTTATAAAGAGCCCAGAATTTATTCTAGAACTTGAACCTTGGAGGTACATAGAGCTACATCCTGCATATACACAAAACCCTTGGAAATATGGACGTCATTCTTGACATCCTGGACACTTTTGTCTTTGACAGATGCTATGCATCTCTCTTACCAGATCCAACATTCCACAATACAACAGCATTCGAACTACAAGCGCCCGTCAATCAGCATGTGACGAAATACTTTCCACTTCAAGCATCCGAATTAGCATATGCAAGTGAATGGAAACGGGATAACATCGCTCGACAATACATTTCCTTTTTTCTGATTGCACTGTGAGTCAATGAAATGGAACTTGAAGCTTGAAAATATGAGCTAACAAAGTCTAGAATCTTCGCCTGGCTCCTTTACCTCGTGGGCAGCTTCGTCCTCTACGAAACAATGTTCGACAAGAGAATCATGCAGCATCCCCGTTTTCTCAAGAATCAAATCCGACAAGAGATCACTCAAGGCATAACCTCCATCCCGATCATCTCGCTCCTTACAGCACCATTCTTCGTTGCCGAGACTCGTGGCTTCTCCAAACTATACGATTTCTCCTCCCAGTCCCCATTCTGGGGCTATACATTACTACAATATCCGCTCTTCATTCTTTTCACCGATAGCGGGATCTACTGGATTCACCGTGGCCTTCATCATCCGCTTGTATATCGCTGGTGCCATAAGCCCCATCATAAATGGGTTGTCCCGACACCATTTGCAAGCTACGCATTTCACCCCTTAGATGGATGGGCGCAGTCTCTGCCATATCATATTTTTCCAATGTTGTTTCCCTTGCAGAAGTGTGCATATTTGGGACTTTTCGTCTTTGTGACACTATGGACAGTTTTAATTCGTGAGTCACTTCTTTCGGTAGATGTTTGAGTTGCTACTGGCCTGTTCTAACGGATTCTAGATGATGCGGAGTACTTGTCTACTTCGAAGATTATTAACGGCGCCGCTTGTCATACCATGCATCATCTTTACTTCAACTACAACTATGGTCAGTATATTACCCTCTGGGATCGTCTGGGAGGTACTTATCGCACGCCTGAGGAGGACTCATTTAAGAAAAAGCAGAATGAGGAGCAGGCGGCGTTGGCTGCCAAGAAGCGTTTATAAGCATAAACTCAGGAAGAGAAACTGAGTATATACCATGTATCATTAATCATTAATAATATTCTATTTTTCAAAGACGATTCACGTAGAGCTCTGATGGCACCATTGAATGAAATCATTCAGATTCCCCAGCTCATCCGTTGCCGTGTTGTTTAGATACGCGAAATGCGATTGCGGCTTATCGGCAATGTTCAACGTAGTTGTTAACAACCACCAGAGCTCCTCGGCATGCTTGGGATAACCAAGGTGCAGGAACTGTTTCTGATCTAGAGAACCGATTACAGAATCCCAGATTCGCTTCCAATTTTTGGCCCCGCGATTGATCATGTCGAGTGGGAGGAACTGCAGCAGTCCTGTTCTCGCTTGAAATGCAAGTGAGCTCATTGCTGTGGAACTTATTAGCATTACCAGTTATCATAAAGCAGTGGTGATGAATTTACCATAGATAAGAATGAGAAGATCCTCTGGAGACAATGAGAGACTCCATGGGATTGGCTCTTCAGAGTCAGATTCGAGTAAATGGGTGACCACGTCTTTCAGAGGAGGTATGTCCTGTCCCGACGATTGTGTTGCCGCGATTTGCGCAAATGAAGCTGCGTCCTCTGCTTCCCAAAGCTCGGCAGACCACGGCAAATGACAATCCATTTCAAAGATGGAAAGTGCAGGATGATTTTTAAAGCAGACTGTCAAGAATCCATCTGCCAGGAAGACCCAGCAAGCAATTCTGGTTCGAGGTTAGCACATATCCTAACAAAATAGTATTCTGCATGTTGATTGTAGCATACCGTATACACACTTCTTCTCCAACCAAAACTCTCCATGTGCGGTCATCGTGAGTTTTAGGGGCGGCTGCGCGCTTGAGTTGAAAAATCCCTAATGACCGAACAGTCGATACCAAGCATGGATGTCGCATGATACGAATCCGTCTTCTTGTCGACATATCATCCCGTCCAAATTGAAGCATTTCCATTATGAGAGCACCTTGGACCAGCTGTACAATTGGCAATATATCCATCGGATCTTTCGAGGCTGGTTTGTTTGTCAGGTTTAGAATCTTGCGGAAGATGTACTCTTCTGCCACATCGAAAATCAATGGCGATAACGAGACTCCATCGACAGGAGTGGTATACGATGCTCCTGCAAGGAAAATTGAGAGAAGTAAGGGACTTGCTATATTGCCCGGGTCAAAGGTTGGAAAGTGAACGATGGGTAGGTGCCAGTGTAAAGATTGGAAGAAAGCCGAGACAAAAGTCGAGATATTGGATACTCCGAATAGCGCAGTGAGCTCCATCATATCAAGGGTTCTTTGAGACTCAATATTGCTCAACGCCATAGACTGCGAAGTTTCAATGAGTTCTGTCATCAATTCTGTTAATTGATTAGAAAGTTTTGACGGGAAAAGTGCATCCGCCGAGTATTGACAAAGAAAAGCATCCTCTGCAGCGGAAGACGGCAGGAACGGAAAGTCAGATCCCCGGAAGTCGTCTGAGAATATTGCTAGAGGATAGGAGGGTACGAGAGCATCCTCCAGATGAGAATATATAGACTGTAGATTCCTGCGCATTGATGACTTTGCTGTTTCTCCGATAGCAAGTCGGTCTTTTTTGACAGATGGACTGGCAAAATGTTGCAGGAAGAAAAATGGACCATTGTTATTCGGGACTGTGTGAGAAGCGGCAATGGACAATGAAGGTGGGATTTTTGTCAAAGACGACGGCCCTATCAACGGTGGTAACGACTGCTGATCTCCGAAGGTACACTCTCGACCAAGACTCTCGCAGCGAGCGCAAGGTAATTTTTTATCGCATGCTACCTTGGCTGAGAAACATGCATCACATGACTGTCTTTTTCTTCCGGGCTTTGCCGCCGGAGGAAGAGGTTGATCATGCTTCTTTGCGCATAATTTGGTATGTCTTCGAGTGACCTCTCTTTGGACAATATTAACGACTGGATTTCAGCTAGGGTGATTGATCCACATACGGTTTCAAGAATGACTTTTTGCAAAATGGGCAGCTTGAGGCAGGTTGCTGGGTATCTTTCAATCAGTCAGTCTTATAATGCCTGCGGTAAAGACACAAGTCGTTGACCCTACGGACAGCCTCGTGGCGGAGAAGATGCGTCTTCCTCTGGTAAGACTTATCACATTTTTTACACTTGAACATGGTTCAATTCCTGCTTCGGGTGTAATGTGGTGAGACCCAGAACATCGCAAATATAAGAATGTTGGCGCCAACTGGCATAACTCAGTGCATGCTGTGATGCCATTCAGGATCCGCGATGCCGCGTCAGGGGACTCGGAATGACGCTAGTCCTGGATAGGGATAGTGTATTATAAATAGTTCTTATCTCCACTCCACGTGAGGAGCTAACTTAATGTGGAAGTCATATGCAATCACTAGTAGTCCGAAAAGGTGCACACCTCATGGATATGCTCGATGCATTTCAGCCCTCCCCATCCCCATCTCACCAACCTTGGAAGGATGTTCACAGTTGACGAAAGACAGGAAAGGAATCATAAACAGTGATAAACTTTCCGAATATTCAATAATATGAATTGGAATGTATTGACCTTGAACAAAATAAGATGCTATCGGATTTATTAATACTAGCTTCAAGTTAGGATGAATGTATTCAACCCTAAGAAGTAGTATCAAAAACGTTCTTGGTACGCTCATAGAGCAATTCGCAAAGCTGACGCATATCCTGCACATTTTCTAAATCCAAAATCATCGTCTCGATCGCCTTCTGTCGCTCTTCACTAATAATCCCCGTCGTCAAGCTCCTCCATTTGTTAAAGATCTCTTCGTTGGATAGAGGTACACCAATGCCTCGAGGAGACACAACGTACTCAGTCAAGGTGGTGAAAGTGTCTTGTTTCTGATCTTCCTCATTCAAATAAACCTCAACGGATACACGTTGCTGCCATATGTTCTCGTCGACATCAAAAGCCAGATTATGTACGCACTGGATCTTGTCCATCAACATCCATACATCGTCTCTTTCCAATTGATCGGGCGCAAATTGCGCTGGTTGGACACTTCTTTCCAGCAACTGCATAGCAGCAGCATATGCAACCGCCATTTGAGCGCCGGTGGCTGTGATCGGTCGCTTTGGAGCCCAACCTCCCTTCTTGAATAATGCTTCCGACATTTCAACTTTGATATGTCGAATTCTATCCACTGCAGCCATTTCTTGTGGATACTTAGCCTGTAATGCGATGAGACCGTCGATAGTGGCATGGGTTGCAGCCATTGATGCATATGGCTTGATAACAATGTTATCGAGGTCCCAGCTCACGCCTAGTTCTTCTACAACCCTCTCAGGCATGTACTGAGGGGTGCGTCCATTCCCTAAGCTGAAGACACTGAGATATCCACCATACGGTCGCTCAAGCACCTGCTTAATCCCTTTGTATCCCGTGCTCGCCATGAAAGCAGCAAATAGCCCATTTCGGGTAGCAAAGCCGTGTTGCATGCGCTTGACCGTACTTTCATACTGCGCTGACATCAAGCCACAGGCCTGCGTGCAAGCAATTCCAATCGCATCCTCTATCATGTCGGACGGCAATTGGAGGAATTTCGTTGCCGCAGCGGCAGAAGCAGCCGGGCCGAAGATCGCACCGGAATGCCAGCCTCGCGATAGCACCTCGAAACCATAAATACCAAGACCAACTCGAGGGCCCGTCTCATATCCCACGACTGTTGCGAGTAGGAATTCGGCTCCAGTCCGGGGATTGGTCGCATCCTGCGAAAGATCATGTCCTTGCTCGAGCACGGCCAGCAGAGTCGGAAGCACAATGGAGTTGGAGTGGATCGGGGCTTTACTATGATAATCGTCGAGCTCGAATCCCTGAATGAAGGTACTATTCAGGAGACCTGCTGCCAGTGGGCCAGTTTTCTAACAATGGAAGCTCTCAGTTAGATAACTTCTATCAGTTCATTGTAGTTTGAACCATACCTTTTCCCATCCAATCACACCACATTTACCCTCCGATTCTATTGAAAGAACTCCGGTAACAGCAGCATCGGACCAGGGAAGATGAGCTCCAATCAGGGCACAGGCCAATCCATCAAGAATAAAATACTTGGCTCGAGTCAATTTCTCAGCGGGGATGTCAGGTAAAGAGAGGTTGGAGATCCAGTCGCATAGTTGTTTCGTAGCACCCTCAGGCTGCTCAGTCTCAGACATGGTTATCTAATTCGTAATCGTTATTCAACGTAGCTAGCGGTAGTAGTCAAGTAAATATTGAAACTTGGAATGAGAAGAGCAGATAGACTATAGGAAGAATGAGGGGTCAGTGGCAACGAGATTCAATCTACCAATTACTTTCAAGTTGCACAGAGGAGTACGCTAAGCTGCAGAAACACGTCTACATAGGGCTGACACCTTGCAGAACTGCAGCTCGGGCACTACTAGTAGTAAATTCTTCTAATAGTGGATTCGGAGTCCACGGGTCAGCACACTCGGCGTGCGTTGGTCCCACCAATGGGGATACAGCGTCACAAATGCACAGCATACACTAGTACTAACGGACAGGGATAAATCCGGAGGGGTAGCTTCAAGCTGAGGGGATCAAGTTGGAGTTGATATTCCAGCACTGGTAGTATCTTGCATAAGTACACGGAACGGAACGGAAGCCAGATACGGGGTCCTAGCCTGACTCGGTATGGGACAAGATGATCACGACACTGCAGCTAACTTGAAATGAGGTAGAAAATCTGAAGCTTGAGGCAAGTATGACGAAAGTTCAAAGAAGATCAAATGGACAGCTGCTAGCACATAAGTACATTCCCAGAATAAAGTGTTTCATATTTTCATAAATCTTCTCGAGTATCAACTAGTTCCAATTCTGGGTCTCCTGGCGAATCTCTTCCACCTTAGCCTCGTCTTCAGCTGAATACTTTGCCAGGTCAGCCTCATCCGTGCCAAAAGCTTCACTAATTGCATCCTCGATTTGATAGAGCGTAAGCCCCATCAGCCCCACAGAACGGGAAAGCCCAATTTGAGTCATTTCCTCTCCAATGAAATTCTCAATAATGCCCTCTCCACCTTTAGCATTAAGATCTGCCTCGAATGTATGGAATAAGACCCGGAGTGGATCAAGGACCTGGCTGCGGAAGAAAGACACTGTCTTTTCAAGTTGAAGTTGGTCGCGATGGGGAGATAAGAGAAGACATAGGTACAAATTTAAGGCAGAGTGAAGAGCTGGGCCATCCGTTTGGGTTAGGCTGATAAAGCTGTCAATGAGCCTTATTGATGAGGCAGGTTGAACGGATTGGAAAAGGAGTGGGAAGAGGGTCCAGAAATGCAGAGGGTCACGGAAGATTGTGTCAGAACACGGAGCTTTCAGTATCTCGTCTTTCAACCATGAGATAGCGCTATCCCTGGCGGATTGCAAATGACCATCTTCCAAGATAGTTCGAATCAGCTTGAATCGGGTGATCGCTGATTCATTACTATGCACAAGCTCTGCAGGGATATTTCGCACGATGCCATAGTCTTTGTTGGATGTACACCCTGTCAAAGCCACCAAGAAATCTTTGAATTCGGTCTCACTGGACGGCAACGTGGTTGACTCTTGTAGCGAAAACACAGTCAATGCTAGCAAAGAGTCAATAAGGGCTTGTGGCTGTCCTAAAGCGACTTGATCCGAGGTGTCGGTCACCCCAAGGAAGTTCTTGTAAATCAAAGCGAGGTTTGGAAAGATAGGTGTTTTCGGTATGGATTGACCGGATGCGAATAGTGTGGAGCCTGCTGTGCGAGCTGCGAGTAGCAAGAGTGAACCGTGACGCTCGAGTGGAATCTGATCTGCGGAGCTGGGTGTATCTTCAAAGTCCAGAGGCTGAGGCTGGTCTTCGGGGGATTTACTAATAATGTCTAGTAGGTCGGAGGTCTCAATGCCAACGTCTCTTGACAGTGCCTAGATAAAGCGGCGGGATGTTATTAATTGTGCCCCGATATTTGTCATTTGCCTATACGGGGGGGAGATTCGACATACCACTATCTTGCCCATAATCATGTCGCGCTCCTTCAGCTCCTTCGTAGAAACGTATGCCTCTGTCTGAGAATTCTCTGGCAACTTCAATTGCGGGTGGAAATGCTCCTGCATCCGGACCGTCCAGGACAGTCCTGGATCCATTGGGCTCGAGTGACTCAGCAAGTAGGCTTTGAGTACTTCGATGAGTCCAAACTGAATGAATTTCTCCACCAGCACAGACTCATGATCTGCTGCAGGGCGTGGTAATGCCACCTCTGCTTCTGGGTCTGGGGCAGATCCTGAAATGGAATTCACACGCACAACAGCCGACTGACTATTAGATCTTGGAGGAGGAGCCGGTCTCTTGTTTGGTGAGATATCTCGCAGGAACTCCAGAAGGGCTAGGGTGGTCTCGTCACTCGGCATGGATGTGTAGGCTTCCAGAGCTGCTTGAAGTGAATTCGCAACGAATCGGCTTGGGGCTTTGGTTCGGATACGAGTGTGAAGCTCAGATAGCATTGCCAAAAGGCAGTTGAATTGCCGGATATGCATGGGGAGGGAATTCTCCTCTCCAGTGTTGTCATCGTCATCGTCGTCGAAATCTTGCTCGTCCTCGTCTTCTGGCTGCAAATTCATCAAGGCCTCAGATACTCGGAGAATAACCTCTCGGGGATTGCCCAGTCTTGCGACATCATGTAGACAGTCAGTTGACGCAGGGAGCATGGGCAGGAGGAGCTTGACCAGGTCCCATCCGATGTTGGTGGTCAACGTCTCATCTTGCAGCAGGCGGTGCAGGAGGGGCAGACGGTCGGGAGTCAGTTGGTATTCAAGGAGGGTCAGGTAGGTGAGGTAATCGGTTGCAGGTGGTAAAGCTTTAACGAGCGGATTCTCAGCGTCGGAGTCCATGCTGAGTTCAAATGGTTGAAATGTTATGGTATGTACAAGTAGAGTTGTTGAGGCTAAGTTAGTCCGGCGCGGGGGAGCGGGTCAAATACAGTGACATCACCCCGCTGCGCCACACTGAGATTACTACAGGCACATACAGTAAGGAACATCTGATTAGAATTGTATTTGTTAAATACTTTGATAAAGAGAATACATAGGTAGCTCCCTAGGTACCTATCCATCTATCTTATAGTTATTATTACCCAATGATATATTCAAATGTTCAAATTCAAGTTGGTATCATCTTACATATATCGGTACCTAGTCAACTGGTGAGAAACGATGTGTAGTCCCTCATTCAAGTTCCCAAGAGTGCACATTATTGTCGCAATATAAGACGATTCCACTGGCAGTGTTGATACTAGAAAAGCTACCTTATTACGTACTTAGGTACCTACCTAAGTACCTACCCTGGTATATTCCCAAGGTTCAGTACGTTTTTATACAAGTATTTGAATGTCAAGGTTACTCCCAAGGTTAGGGCTCTCCAGGGCTCCAGGGCTCCAGGGCTCTAGTTACATATAGTGCTTACCTACATGCACCTGGGCACCGACCACCTCACCGGGACCTGAGATCCGCTTGTCGACAACCCTATCAGGGAAGTATAGACCTTAATTTGGTGTCTAGACTGGTTTAGGACGTAGAAAGAGACCAATTAGTACCAGTACAACCGAAGGTGTCAATTATATGACTTCCAAGGTTTCAATATAGAGATACCTCACTAATCAACCCAAAATTGGACCATACGGGTCTAAAACCTCAGGCTGGCAGCAGAATTCCGTGTCCCTGTTCCTTCAAAATGTTGCCGACTTCCCCATGCCGAATGAAGCATTTTTCTTGTTTCCTTCCTCTTTTTCTGCAAATAATAAATTTCTTGCATAAGTCTTAATTCTTCCCTTAAATTCTCACCACAGTGTACCTCTTCAATTTTTCCGCGGATTCTTGGTTCCTGTGCGGCCGTGCCTGGCGTCCCTGAAAGTACCTTCTGTCCGATCCACGCGATCTATACTCTTCCGCCCCCATCCAGAACTATAACCACTGCAGGTTTTCCACTTTGAAACCCCTGGCATTCACCCTGAAGTTGGGAGGAGAGGACATGTTCTCTTCGGAGACGAGAAAAGAAGAAACGATTAAAAAAAAATACGACCGGAATATCATTCGTTTTTATTCATCGTGAACTCCTTCCCATTCAGATCGACAAGATCGTCGCGAAGGCGTACTATATACCATGACGACCGAAATGCAATCCTTCTACACCCCAAGTACCTCTACCCAGAAATCCCATGCCTCTCGAGTGGTGAACGTGAACGAGTTGATAATTAAGTACTCGTCTATGACCCCCAATGCCTCGGTTTCTTTGCGTAACCAACGGCGCAACCCGTTCCAACGCCTTGTCGATCGTGTGCGACTCGAGTACTACCGCTATGAAGTCACCTTCGGCTTATACGTGATGACCCCGAGCGAGAAAATTGTGGCCAATACCATTGTCTTTGTTATCTTGACTCTTTTGTTGTGGGCGCTCGTTCTATATTTCCCATCCTTGCTCTACAACAAGCTCACCCGCCTGGTGTGGCTGTTGACTGGTCATAGCGGGGAGGAAGTAGGTGCGGCTCTTGGGATCCTTGACAACTACGGGAACCCCATCACACCCACATCCATTGTCGAACATGCCATGGCCTCATCATAGGCCCTCTTTTACGACCTTGGAAGGTTATTGCCTACCATGGATATATACCCATAGCGTTATTTTGTCTCAATTGCTGGGTTTGCCGGTTCATTCCCTATTTCCTTGCGCCCAGATCACTCTGGTACACTTTTGAGTGGTTCGACTTCAAGTTCTCGCGCTAGAACAGTTCTTGACGGACCTTGAGTGGGCTTCTACTCTTATATTTATCTCATTCTTGCTTCTGCGCTCATTTCTGAGGGTCCAGCGTACAACCCGACTTCGACCTTTTATCGTTATGCATTTTATGTTTGTTCTCTTTTTATTACACGACCAAGGGAACACACCATTCATACCATTCGTGACCACACAGACCTTCGCCCTATGAGTCTTAATGATGCGCACCGCCCTTACTTTGGCGGTCGACGATACTACACGAGCATGACGAACACTCGTTCACTTTCACATGGACATTCTTTGACTGATTCCGAGGAATCATCTTCTTACCGCATCCTAATATACTTGAATGTCAAATGTCTTCCCCATTCATGCCTCTTTGTATAGTACGTAATCGATAGTCGTATTATGGGGTCTCGGCTTCAATAATAGGCGCTTGGCATTGTGGCGGAGATTAAGGCGTGCGCACGCCGTTATGTTAATTCAGTCTAGAGCCTTGATTCTTGAATAGAATAAGGTATTCTTTTGGTCGATCAAAGTAGAAATCTGATTCAGAATTGAAAATAAACAAAATAAAACGAAAAAAGTACACATCAGATAATAAAGTAAACGGTAGTTATGGAGCACCAGGGTCGTCAGGGTCATGAAACCCCATAATGACGATAACGCGCGGCTGTGTTGATCAAAACCCAAAAATAACTAATATGACTGCCTGCAATTTCAATCTCTTCAACACTCTCTACTTCTTCACCTCCCATATTAAATTCTTTTGATGGGCATTCGGTCTTTATATAATCATATAAGCCCTCGTATAGCGCTCTTTACAAAGTTTCACGCTCCATTGGACCACCTCTTAGCGACTTCCCCGGCAACCGCCCACCATGGCTGCCAACGAATACTATCACGCCAATATCCCCAGTCCACCTCCATATGAGGCAAATCCAGCAAGGCCAGAACATAACTCTTCCGCTCCCGGTCTTGGTTATGCACACTCCAATCTCCCAAACAGAGATGACCCATCCGCCCCTTATTACAACCGCGAGAGCCAACAATCCTTTGCATCAGAAAATGGGGCCTACCAAACAGCAGGACGAGTTGGAGAGAATGACCATTACGCAGAGAACATCCCTTTGAAATCTCAAACTCAATTTGGGAATAATCAAGAGTGGATGCATCAACAAACTCAATACCCACCCTCACCAGGGGCCCTGGAGGACTCGCGACAGCGGGCAAATCCACGAAAGAAAGGGTTATTCCAAAAGAAGCCGGCTTGGGTGACATGGACCTTGACGCTAGTACAAGTGATCGTGTTCATCGTAGAACTGGTCAAGGCTGGTAAGTAGAATTCTCCCGCAGAATCTCTCAATCGGTGTCTTAGCTCGAGCTCTAAACAATGACCAACTAACATGTGTGTGTTTTATAGCTCAATTTACCGGATCGCCTATCGAAATCCACCCTTCGTTTAACGTCATGATCGGTCCCTCCTCTTACGTCCAGATCTGGATGGGCGCACGTTACGATCCCTGCATGAAGAATATCCCCGGTATCCAAGACGCAAATGCCACAGTCTACTTCCCATGCCCGAATGCGACATCCGACGCATCTGATTGCACTCTCTCAACTGCCTGTGGATTTAGCGGTGTCCCGAATCCCCACGCCTACGGCTCTCTGGATGACACGCCTGCGCCCAATCAGTGGTGGAGATTCATTACCCCCCATGTTCATCCACGCGGGATTCATTCACATTGGCTGTAACCTGCTCGTCCAAATGACCATGGGCGCTGATATGGAACGCTTGATCGGCATGTGGCGGTACGGTCTGGTATATTTTGCCAGTGGAATCTTCGGATTTGTACTAGGTGGAAACTATGCTGCGCAACTTCAGGCCAGTGATGGATGCTCTGGGGCGCTTTTCGGTATCCTCGCGCTTCAATTACTTGACTTATTTTATGACTGGCCTAATCGACCGTCTCCATGGGTCGAGCTTCTTTTTATGGTTCTTGGTGTCGCTATTTCGTTCGTTCTGGGTCTCCTTCCTGGTCTGGATAATTTCTCCCATATCGGAGGCTTTATTATGGGTCTTGCACTCGGTTTAACGATTATGCGATCTCCCAATGCGCTGCGTGAGCGTATTGGTCTGGCACGCCAGCCCTACGTCGCGATGAGTGGTGGAGCTGGTGAAGCCGTTCCTGATAACCAGAAAACTTCCTCATTCATGACCTACCTGAAGGGTCGGGGTAAGAATGTTGCGGCGAATGGTGACAGCGACCCCAGTCAAACCAAGGGACCTTTGGCCTTCTTTAAGGGCCGAAAGCCTTTGTGGTGGGCGTGGTGGTTGGTTCGCGCGGGCGCTCTCGTCGCTGTCCTCATTGGATTTATTATGCTCATTATTGATTTCTACAAATACCACTCCTCGAATTGCTCATGGTGCTACCGCCTCAGTTGTTTGGTATGTGATCATTTCCCCGGTTGTTTGGCCCTTTGCTAACTATTTCTTTCTTTAGCCTGTTCACGGCTGGTGTAAGGAGGGCACTCTCTCCTATTCCACCACCGACTCTTCTTCTTAGTGGCGACCGTGGCTCGATGTCATTACACTGGCACAAATATTGGCGTTATTTGGTGTAGATTTTACTTTACCTATGGTATGAGGGATATGAGAACTGTAAATAAAATTGCATTACAATTTGCAAATGACAAATTTCTTCTTTGTCTGAACGAAAGTTTTTTTAACGATAGTTTTTTTATAGTACATTGTTGTATAACAATCTAGCCTATACACATGGCATTAAGGCACAAGACACTTGTATGATGTTGTATCACATTGGTGTCCAAGTGATCAGATGAAAAGTCTTAGATATTACCTAGGTAGTAGCAAATACAATTCATTATTCCCTAAGGTTCTCCAATAAGCATTCAGATCAAACTAAAAATACATTCATGTCCATGGTACATATCCGGTGCCAGGTGGCTGAGACCGCGGCCTCAACGTGGCTGAGTCAGGACCGCTTACGCAGCGCAGTTCGTATCTGGGGCAGTCCGCAACCTCTAGAATTAGAGGATATCCCAAAGATCATTTTCAAGGTCGTTCGACCATGTGGATCTGTCGTTAAATCGATAGTTCACTTTCATCCAAAAACTCAACTTCAACCCTACGATCGAGCGTCCGCAGATGTACTTGGTCGTTTCTTAGCGATCCCGCTATCCGACCCATCCAGCTTCAACCATGGCCACTTTGGCCTCGTCTCCCCCGACCTCACCGTCATGGCCGAAACGACGCTCCAGGGCGTGGGCCCTTCGCTGTGAAAGATATTGCTGTGCGATTGCGGGGTGTTTCCCGCTAGCTTTTGTTTATGGCCTCACAACTTGGGCAGTTTGGGTGGAAGCTAGTCTGGGGTTGAAGGGATCTGAGAATACATGGATTGGTATGATCCCGGTACCGAGTAGAGGATCTAGAATTATAGGCCCCTTAACTGATTCTTTATGGTTCCGCAGGTCTCCCCAGCTCTTGCCTAGGTATATTTCTATGGATCGCTCTCAACTCCTCGTATACCGTTGCCGTATTCACCGATCCCGGATCCCCGTTGACAACGCGCCGAGGTAACGACCGCCATAATTACAGTGCGTTGCCGGTCACCGAATACCCCGAGTTCACCTCTTATACAGTCAGTTCGACTGGTGGATCTCGGTTCTGCAAGAAATGCCAGTGCCCGAAGCCGGATCGGGCACATCACTGCTCAACATGCAAGCGCTGTGTACTAAAAATGGACCACCACTGTCCTTGGCTGGCAACATGCGTCGGACTGCACAACTACAAAGCGTTCCTCCTCTTTCTAATTTACACCTCATTATTCTGCTGGGTATGCTTCGCCGTCGCCGGCACATGGACCTGGCAAGAAGTCCTGAATGATTCAGTCTACATGGACAACTTCCTCCCCGTCAACGTAGTCCTGCTCGCCATACTCGGTGGAATCATCGGACTCGTCCTTAGTGGATTTACTGCATGGCATATCAGCCTGGCGGTTCGCGGGGTGACAACCATTGAATGCCTCGAGAAGACCCGTTATGTCTCGCCACTGCGCAAAGCACTAGCTAGACGGCATCCAGATCACCAGCACTCCGGCGCAACGGGTGACCAAAACGGCGATCTGGAAAGTCTCACCCACCGTTTACAAGGATACGGGAATCAAATTCTCGATGCACACGCCAATGCCATTCCAGGCGTGACTCGCGCAGAAGAAGGTGAAGAACGTCTTTCTCCTGCGCCGTACGGTCCAGGACAGGGACCAGGATTCCATAATACATCTACATCCAACAACCTTACTCCAGCGCAACAAGCACTATCCCGCTCGTACGCCGAGATGGAACGTCAACGTGAACACGATCGATACCAAGACTATCTCAACGAGGAGGACAGCGAGAAAACGCCCCACGCTTTCGATCACGGCTGGCGACGCAATCTCGCACACCTCTTTGGCGACCGTATACTTCTCTGGCCGCTTCCGATCTGCACAACAACCGGTGATGGCTGGCGCTGGGAGCCGAGTCAGCGATTTCTCGAAGAGAGAGAACGCCTACGTCTAAAGCGTGAACAAGATACATACAATGAGCAGCAGTACCACCGGGAGCTGTATCAACGGAATATGAATAATAGCCATGCCTGGATTGGTGGAGCTTCAGGCAATACTGCCGGTACTGGTTCCTCACCGGCACAGCCGAACTGGATTCCTAATCGTGGAAGACAGGAAACGCCTGAACGTCCTCCAACTAGTGTCTCAATGCAGACACTCGCACCTGCTTCTCCACGGCCTAGACCTGGTGATAGTGACTATGAGGATGAGCCTGAGGGTGAGAGTCATGGACTCTTAGATCCGGAGGCAGCGAACCGTCCTCCGCGGGCACGGGAGACGGATGAATGGCGAGATTGGGAGTGATGACCTGGGTATGAGAATTTGCATTTTATAATTGTACTGGTTACAGGGAGATTAGCATTATTTCGGCGTTTGATCGGAGATTAAGCCGAGAGGCCAGTTGGCATTATGTATTTTATGTGGTAGACATACAAATCATTCGAAGGTTGCTCATTGGAATCAAATAATAGAAGACTGCAAGTTTATTTTCTCTTTAATCCCAAGCTCTCTATTCTATACATTTTGTCAACCGGATCTTGGAATTGATCAAATCTGAAATCTGATCTAATCAGTTCAAGCTCTCCACCTTCTTATCCTTATCGCCACCCAACCTCCTCAAACCATCACCACCAAGTTGAACTTCAAGTCAAACCCACCCAACTTGAATCGAAGGGCCTCAATCAAAGAAATCCAAAATGACAAGTCCATCAACAAAGCGTCTCTTAAAAGAATCAACAGACCTCCACAAAAACCCAAGTCCCTACTTCACCGCATCACCAATAGACGACACCAACCTCCACGATTGGCACTTCACTCTAACCGGACCTCCAAGCACACCTTACTCCTCAGGTCTCTACCACGGTCGAATAACATTTCCACCAACCTATCCCCTCCGACCACCCAGTTTCCGTTTCCTAACACCATCCGGACGGTTCGAGGTAAACCGCGAGATATGTCTCAGTATCTCCGGACACCATGAGGAAACGTGGCAACCTGCCTGGGGTGTTCGCACCGCGTTACTAGCTATCCGGTCTGAGATTATGGGTGGCGAGAGTAAAGGGCAGGTTGGGGGGATGGAAGGGACTGAGGCGGTTAGGGCTGAGTTTGCAAGAGAGAGTCTTGCATGGACTTGTCGTGAGTGCGGGGTTTCTAATGAGGGAATCATGAGGGAGTGGTGGGGGGTTTGTGTTGAACGGGGGGTTGAGGTGGATGTTGAGGGATATCGGAATGAGAAGGAGAAGGAGACGGAGGAACCGAGTGGAAGTGAGGATGTCTCGCAGGCAGAGACACCACAGCCACAGTCGCAGTCGCAGTCGCAATCACAATCACAATCTCAGTCAGAGACGCAGTCGCAGACACCATTACAACCTACTGTGGAAGCTGAACCTCCGACTCCCGTAATTCAAGCTACAGAAGTGACCCAGGTCCCACCGACACAGTCAAACGCTCTTTTGCGTGCCACAGCTACACAGGCTACGCGGACCGTTGTCGTGGAAAGTCCTACCGAGCCAGCAAACAGTCCTTGGTTAGACAGGGTGATTGTCGTTGTTGTGCTTGCGTTGATATTATTGATGCTTCGACGGACGCTGGATGTGGATGATCTATAAGGGATCTCTATCCAACGCAGTGCTTGTTTTTCAGCCCACTGTTCCCTTGTCTTTTTGTTTCATTCGAGTATACCTTGGCGTTTGAGGTGATTGGGTTCAATTTTCTGTTGGATATCATTGTATAGAGTATTGATTTTGTTTAGATTATGGTAATCAGGATGACTCTAATTACTGACTTGAATTGTCTGATTAATTTCGCTGGGTATCTCGATTCAATCATGATTTTTACCTATACAGCAGAATTCATTCATAGTAGAGTCTACTGGGAAGACAAATGATGTAATGATAATTATTGAATTCATTCATATCATCATACTCTCCTAATAATAATACATTTCAGGAAATTGACTCAGATCAAGAAGGCCAGTCGAACTGTCCACTGGCAGATATCATCTCAGTCGCAGTCGCAGTCTCAGTCGCAGTCTCAGTCGCAGTCTCAGGCTCAGGCTCAGGCTCAGGCTCAGACTCTCGACTTGGATGAGGCTCCTCCATCTCCTCCAAAGTAAGCCACCACCACTCATTCAGATTCCATCTCGTCTGTGCGCCATCAACAGTCTTGTTCACAACTCCAACCACAAGCAACCACTTCTCCAGCAAAAGTTCAACTTCCCACTTCATCAGACCAGGCTTACACATCACCGTAATACTCTCAATCGAGACACCAGCCCGAATAAGAAGACAGCCAAGCACAGAAGCAACGGATTTCATCCACAACTCCCGAATCAAACGGCCATGGATATCATACCACAGTGGAATATAATTCGAAGGCGGGGGTAGGGGGGGCTTGTAGTTTGATAAGATCCATGATTGGGTTTCCGTACGGATACGTGGATGTGGGTCGAGCTTCTACTTCAAAGCGAAGCTTAAGCTTATCCATCTGCCGAGTGAGGTATCCACCGTCCATGAGACCGTACTTCTCTCGTGGAGGGTTACAGGGGAACAAGTCGATGTGACCGTTCGCAAGTAGCTCGCCCAGAACAAGGGAATCACCGTCACGGCCGTGGTAACTAACTTTGAAACTGCCCTCTTCCTTGAATGCAGTGTCTAAGATTGTAGACTTGAACAGAGCTGCGCGAGCAAGCTGGTCCCCGTCTATGCCACGACGACGCTCCATGGCCTGGATGAAGAAATCATGCATCATGTAGTTCCGTCCAGGGACGGCACGGCCACGGTTCGCATTACAGATGACGCGGTCTGTCATGAGGGTTTGAGTGGCTAATGAAAGGAGGGCGTTTCCAAATGGCGCGAGTGTGCTTGCTGCTGCTTCGGCATCGTAGCGATCTTCTGGTGTGGTGACGTTGGCGCGAACCCATGTCTTGGCTAGTTCAAGGTTTTGAAGGTCTGCTCTGTGTGGAAGTGGAGGAGCGCGAGCTTGTTCCATGGCAAATGGAATGCGGGCCATGAGACGGCGTCGATGGATGCTCGTGATACTACCAGACGTAGCGTGCACTTCTTCTGGGACGGTCCCTTGTTCTTCACGAAGCTCGAACATGTTATCAAATTGTTCGCGGGTCGCAGGGAGAGTGGGAGCCTTTTCAGATGTGGAGAATTCAAGCTCGATGCTTGCCCATTCCACAACAGCTGGCCAGTTGTATCCTTGCAAGTTCTCATAGTCGATTGGAGGAACCTGGTCCTTTTCATAAGCCAGCAGGTATCTCTCCTGGAAGTCATATTGCATCTTGAGGATTTCCATTCGGTTTCTGGCGAGGATGGATTTACCATATTGGATGACTACTTCGGCATCACTATTAGGGAAAGCAAGTGGAACGAGGTCCCAATCCACGGATTTTCCGTCATTTCCACCAGCTAGAGTGCGGACTGCGACAATCGCAACCATGTATCTTCGAATAACGCCCTCGGGAAGTGGTTTCAGGGTAGTTCGACGGCGAATCGGGCGGACTTCCATGTGCCTGGATCCAGAAGAATCTTGCAATACACGTTGACGTTTGGGGGCCCGTTCGGCTCTCATTAGTTGACGGGTCTTCATACGTGAAGCTTTGAATTTCTTGGGAACTTCCAGCTCGTCAAAGTCAAACCGGACCGGTCCTTCGAGAGGTTGCGCGTAGAAGCTTTTAGGGGCAGTCTGGTCTATGAAGGGATGGTCTTCATGGAACGTGTCAAAAAGATCTTCATGGTTTACCTCGAAGTGCAGGATTTTCTCGGTGGCCCTCCAGAATCGTTGAGCATCTGTGCTATTCTTTGCCTTCGCACTTGGCGGTTCATTAGGCCGACGTGCAAATGCATTAAGCACATGGACGGGGTCTCCGACAATGACACCAAAGTCAGCATTGGCACGATTGTCTGCGAAATACCCTCGTCTACGCCCAGACTTTCTGTGATTGATAGAACCCGTGGCAAATGTGCCCGAAGCCGAGTGGTAAAACTGGCCCGGGTTCATCAGGAAAGCCATTTTCCCAGTTAGAGAGAAAAGAGTTGACAATGCCTTTGGTCGGCCAGGAGGTCTCTTGATCTTGGGTGGCAGCGGCTGATCCCATAAGGGATTGACCATGAATTTGGAATGGAAGAAGTGATGGATTCCCCCGAATCCCTCACCAAATTGGTGGGGGAGCCTCATGAGTCGTCGTACTCCAGGAATCTCCTCCTCGTCATCTTCATACTCGTCGGAGTCGGTTTCAGAGTCATATTCATCGTAATGATCCTCCATCATTCTTCTCAGCAACACTCTCTGCACGTTCCGCTCTGCTCGTTTCTCTTGGTGACGAACTGACATTGGCTTGTCCATGATCCGGACAGTAGCGCTAGATATTATAGGCACACTTGTCTTGGGACGATGGGAATGTTTAGCGGGGTTGAGATTTCTTGATAGACCCTGGGTAATCTCTATTCCTGGAGCAAATGGAGTTTTCGTATCACGATCATGGATGAGGAGCTCCGATCGCATACGCTGAATCAGTGGGTCATCAGGTGTCATTGTTGGTAACCAAAGTATCGACTTGGTGACCATTAAACCTCGAGTATCTTTACCAGTGAAGGTTGACTGCTTGAGAAGACCCGCTTCCACGAGATGAGTGACGGCAGTTCTCACGGTGCGAGTGTCTGGTTTTTCCTTGTAATTCAATTTCAACCACGCGGTCGTAAATGGATGCCAAAGCTCAGTGCCGCCAGGATATGCACCTCCTGCCTTTTCCACAATTTCCATGACGATCTTCCTGCGCATGAACGGCACAGAACCACCTTTTTCGGGTGTGCCATGCGTTTTGGGGGTATTATTCTTGATTTGCAGGATACTTTTTGCAATGGGTGTCTCTTGGGTTTGAGTTGGTCGTGATTTTGGTGTAGGTGTTGGTGTTGGCATTTTAGGAGGATCCATAGACTTTTCCGTCATACCCGGTGTTTTTGGAGTCTTGCGTGTTGCTTGTGGAGAAGCTATTTTACGCCCGTTTGTGACTTGCATTGAGGGGTCATCATTGGCATCAGCTGTGGCCGGTGTGCTCTCCCGAGCCTCCACTGAAGTTGAATCAATGTCAATCTCAGCGGTGGCCGACCCTGTTTGAGTAGCCTGTCCACTCTTTTCCGTGGGACCACGAAGACGCCTTTGTTTTGAAGGTCGTCCTTCAGAGTTTTGAGCTCCATTGATGCTTGCCGATGGTGTTTCCAACCCCTCGGGAACTCCAGGGGATTGATCTCTCTTGCTCCTTTTTGGTCGACTGGAAGTGACCTCAATAATTTGGTCCGGTTGAGCAGAAGTATCATCGACAGTGGCAGCTTCAGGGGTTGACATGGACTCCTGGATTGGCAGCGGTACAGGCTGTGAAGGCATCTCCTCGTCTGCCTCGGTGTTATCAGAGTCTGCATCATCCTTGGTGAACCAGGTCAATGAGGATAGATTGGGTGATTTGAAGACAGCTATCCGACTTTGCTTCGGGCGGCCCTGCTTCTTGCCTGCAGGTCTGCGCTTGCCGCGAGGCGTGACATAGATTCCAGGCGTAGGTTTTTCCATCACAAGAGCACTGTACTCTGTCCATGTCTCATCCCAGCCCATTGCCTCGAAACGCTCTTTCTTGGACATGCGCTTCCATTTTTCTTGCTTCGTAAGCTTTTTCTGTGGAAATGAAAAAGCTTCTGACATCACAGTGTCGCTGTCACTGAGTTCTGCCGTAGAACCCTCTATCTTCATCTTACTTGGTGAGACCTGAGTAGGATATTTTCTCGGGCGACCCAGTTTACGAGAGCTGGTGGTGGTTTTTGGCAGAAACTCGATGGCGACTGTGGACCCTGGTTGAACACCTGCACCAATTGTTAATATCGTCAGATACAAAAAAGAAAAAGGAAGACAACTGCCAAATTATTTAACAGAGGTCCATGGGAGAGCCGAATACATACGATACGAGCCATCTTCCTGGTAGACACCTGCTGGATCCTTGCGTGTGAGGCTGTAGTCAGAAGGTTTGCAGCATAATAGGCCTTGGGCCAATTTGATATTTCCATTTTTCATCAGAAGAGGCGATGTTATTTGGGGAAGACCATAGTTGTCGACTTCAAAAGGCGCTTCAACGGGGAAAACCTTGACCTTAGAAGCCTTGATCTTTTCGGGAGGAAATTCAACTGCTTCCCAAAACGCACTACCCTCATCGACCTTCCTTGCAAAGTTCCTCGCAGAGTAGTTGACATAGTGAATGGTGGTTTTTTGGACATCCGAATCCCGAAGAATCGCCATGTGCCGAAGATGAGGTGGTTGAGAAAATTGCCAGCAGTCAGTCAGCCGATGAATAAGACACTCAGATGGTCTTTTGAAATAAAGACCATAGCACGTGCGATTGATGTTATCATTGGTGATTCCCTTCGTTCCTGCCTGGTCAACAACATCTAAGACTTGGTTGGCGAGGTTGCGATCTGGGGTCCATTTTGGTACGGTACGTGCAGATTGGATGACGGTTTCTGTATCAACAATGCCGGTTTCTGTGTCTGTCTCTGTTTGCCGCTTTTCAGTTGCTTCCTCCTCCGCATCTAGCTCCATTTCTTCATCAATATCCGCCTGGTCCTCTTCAGCTTTGTCGATGCCATCCTTGCTGAAAACGTGGAATTTGTCCAAGTCCTGCTGAGTGGGCTCTCTCATCAGTTGCACGCATGAATGCATCAATCCAAACTGTGATTTTGCTTTCACTCGTCTCAACACTCCGATTTGCTCCCACTTGCGAAGAGCTCGTGACAGGACTCTTGTGTACCAGAGGTCATGAAAGTCAAGCATCACTTTGAGATCATTACGGCCAACGATGTTATTCTCGCTGGTTCTGAGAATTTCGAACGTTCGGCTAATGAAGGCCTCAAAGTCGATCATTTTGGTAGGCTCAACCTTCTTTTCGCCCTCAGCCTCCACGACCGCTGCGTTCATGAATCGACAGTGAATCAGAAGACTGGTACGTGTATTCTTGACCTGCACAGCACGCTTTTCGATGTACCCTTTCCTGACCAACGCGTCGGTTCTCTTTGGAACTGAGCGTTTATCTTGGCCACTGAGCTTGATCAGTTCTGTTTGGGGAAGTCCTTCGGATTTGCGAGCGGCGATGATGGAGAGCAGTGCAAATTCAGACGCTGGACACTTGGTGTCATCAGGCTCATGACCGGTGACTGCATACCATGTCCTCTTCTTAGAGACGAAGATTCGAACTTTGGAGGCAGTTGGTTTTTTGTTGTCTTCATTTTCCTCGGGTCCAGATGGCTTTTCGTTCTTTTCCGCAGACTTTTCAAGATCTTGAACTTGATCAAAAGTAAGATCATTCCACTGGTTGTTCTCCCCGATCGAGACTTCAGGGTTACGCGTGAGCCATGACCAAACCTTAGCTTGGAAGCGATGATCTACATTTTGAGATCGCGCGTTTTCATCCTGGGAAGAAGGGTAGAAAATTTCAATGCGTTTCACAACATCTTGTATGGTTGCGCCTGAAGATTGATCAGTTTCATATCCACGAAGGGAAATATTTGAGAATTCAAGCAAGCAGTAGCTCCACAGTGTATGAAAGAGGGGGTGCGTGTCATGATGATATCCCTGTGGATCCCATCATGCCCCTGACTTCGTGGTGTGGAGGGGTCCTCGTGCAGTATTGGAGACATGAGGTGTTTACATAGAGTCAAAAGTGGGTCTGCAGTCAAGAGCTATACACACCTTGGCTGCCGCAAAGGGCGACTTCATTTAGCAAGAAATCGATCAACTCTTGCAAGCCTCGCGCCATGATCAGCCCATATTATGAAGAAAAATGCCGATTGGATGGTTGAAAGAGAAAAGTGACGAATGATGGAAATGAGGAGAAAGATGAAGGAAGGGCTGGGAATCGAACTCACGCCATTGGAATTTCAGTGAATTTGCTTATCGGAAAACTTTTTTTCATATCATCACGTGATGTGTCTGCCTTGTAATTATGGCTGCCTTGTTATCGTCTCATCTCATTCCTCTTTCTTCTTCCATCTCCAGGCACATCTACAACACTCATTATTTTGAATGAAGCGCTCTTTCTTACTTCAATATTTCCAGCCATTGTCAGAGTTTCGTGTGAAACAATGGAATATTTTATTTATCCCCCCCCCCGAGTGTCTTGCTGATTCATATTCTGATATCCTTGGAGAAGATATGATTCCCTCATTAGAGACATCTTCATTAGCTCCTCGATAGAAGTGTGGTAACTCCCTTTTCTACTGAAATATTTGAAATATGGAAGCACCGGAGGTTTAAAGTTCATAATTCTTATCGTGCGTCGTCAACTTGAAGCCACCGACTCGAGATGTGTACTGTGTACTTCCAGATGATTAATCTGCATCATGTCCTGGGAATTTTTGTAACCTTAGTGCAATTACCCATTTTTTATTCCATGATCGAGATAGCTTTAGTCCAATTTGAAGTGAAAAGATACTCACGTTGATCATATACAACAAATGGATGGTGCAGTAGATCTAAGATTATGTACTAGTAACTCTAGTAAACACGGACTCACGGACTCGCGGACTCATTATGTGGCGGGATCCGCATCCGAGCTGAGATCTCCCGGCTCCTGATTCCTGTTTCCATACAACGCACTCTGCCAGGGATAACGCGTCCCCACTCTATATCTCCATTGTGTTTATACATTCTCCTGTGCATGGTAAATCATGTGTCTGGGCGTGTCTAGCCTCTCAAGTCGGCATTTTGGCACCCGACTCCGATCTACGAGCGACCAGGTGACCAAGAAGGAAAACATGCATAATTGCCAAGGTGGTAATGGTACACGATAATGTACTTTTAGTACACCATTCCACTGCTCAATCGAACAATATTAACATAACAAATCTGGATGCAAAAAAACGGAAGAATTCCAATAAGAAACAATCAAGTAAAGAGGCTAGGCATTATGCATGACATCACGGACGAGGTTACGTCAAAGGTACATTACTTCACAGCTTAAAATGTATGAAGATCAATGTACCCTCAAGCTGCCCGTATAACTCCGTCGTTTCCGGCCTTAGAGAGAAAAAAAAGTCTCATTTGGGTTAAGGTGATCATCTGAGTCTTTTGTTCTTTGATCTTTTGATTTGAACTCTTTCCTTATTTTATTTTTCATGCCCCTGAATATACGATTGATCTCTTCATCTCGCCATGTCCCATTAAGAACATCAAGCACTCCACTGTGATAACAATCCGATCCCCCTGGAAATTCGATCCCCAAATCCGCGCGCTCCGCCACTTGCCACGCTGATGGAGGACACCGAAGCATCCGTTGTTCCTGTCCATACTATACCCCCTCCACTACCATATTCGCTACATACTCGGAAAAAGGCCATCGCCTTCTTCTGGACCATCTTTGTTCTAGATACATTAGGTCAGCCGGTCGCGCTGTACTGGGGATTATGGTATGGGACCAATCTATCGCATAACTTGGGTACGTTGAAAACAACTTATTAGCAGAGAGGGTCTCCAAGAGGACATTGGTTAATAAAGGGATGTAGTATTTTCAATTGTGACGGCTTGTTTAGGAGGTATTTCGGTCTTCGAATACTTCTACCGCTTATACAACCTCTTCCGCAAAGATTCGCGCGCTCGACCACTGAATGCGCGGAAATCATGGGTATGTCGCTAAACATGAATGAAAAATAATTAGTTATATACTGACCAGCTCTATAGCTGGATTTCTTCCATATCAATTTCACCATTGTGTGGTTGATTCTCGCCGTCGAATTGATTGTGTATGTCTGCCCACACTTGCCCGGTTTCGCAAACAATGCTAATAACCTTGGAACAACACAGTGGAACGGTCCCTAAAGAACCATACGGTTAGGTTTACAAATATCCATTCAGTCTGATAAATAATAAACTAACAGCCGCAGTCCGCCTCATCGCAATGATCCTCCCAACAGTCATGTTCTACTTCGGATTCGTTCACCTCTCCCTCGATATCCTGCGCATGGCTGGTTTCAAAGCCCCCTTCCGTATCTCATCCACACCCAAAGGCTCCGTAATGCCAACAGCTCTCTACGCCCTAATTGAAGATGTCGTCGCCGTCGACGGTGGAGGCGGGCAAATCTACCGCTACGCCCTGCGAACAAGATATCTCTCTAGTCCATACTTCCGCCGCATGCTCTTCGAAATGAATTGTTTCTGGAGCGGAGGTTCAATTATATGTGCAGCCGCAATCACTGCTATAATCTTTACTGTTTCCGAACCTATCGCTTACACGGTACGTCAAACAAACAAACCCTTGAACCATTCTGAATCAGACTGACGTCATCGCATAGTTGGGCTGGACACTCCCTTTCGCATGGGCATTACTGTGGACTGCCATCACTATCCCCTGGGTACAAAGTGATCTGCGCCGAGAGAAAAAGGCCTGGGCGGAGAATCGTGGTCAGGGCGGAATTCCTTGGACAGATGACATCACTGCTCCGACAGCCCGGACGCGTTTCGAATCTGTCCAGGAACGTTTGCCGAATATTTTACCCTGGAATAGGGACAAGCAGAGTGCACCTTCGACACCTTCTATTGAAGGAGATTGTGTTGATGGTATGTCTCATGAGGCGCGAACTGAAGAGAATGGAGTGGCCGTGAATAATGATGTTGAGACCACCGCGGAACATAAGTCTGAGCAAATCCTTGCGGATGGGGCCGATGTTGATGTGGATGAGAAGACAACAGAAGAAATGCCTCGTGATACAATGACAACGACAAATACGACTACAACCCACGACGAACCGAGTCAACAACCTTGAAAACGAACGGAAAAAAACATACGGATACGCACTCATCTCACCTGTAACAACTCATGATTGATGATTTGGTTTTGTTTTTGGTCTTGATACTCTCACATCTGAGGGTGATATCCTGATAAATTTGTCATTTTCTGTTTTTTTTTTGGTGATTTTTTATTTTATTTTTGTGATTCAAATGTTTGCATATGATAACGCGTGGGGTTCGCAATTACTGATAGACACACTGGCAGTTGAGCAGGCGATATTGGATCTGCTTTTTGGCCCTTGTATATAGATACCCTTGGTTTTCTTCAAAACTGTGTTTATATCCATTCTGATATTAATAAAATGAGATTTATAATAAGTTAAATTGTATTAACCCTCTACTGAAGCTAATGCTTTATACTATACAGGCAGAGTATAGTATTCATAAGAGTGGGTAGTTAAAAAATCTCCCAAGAAGTAAACTGATAGAGGGTGCCTGGAAATCCTGGCGTTGATATGGTTTCTCCCTTAAGAGGGTAAATTTGGGAGTCCAGATAACCATCCACATCGTAGTAGCTCAGCGGGCTATCGTGTCTGGTCCGATTTGATTTGACACTATGATACCATAAGACTAGAATGCTAGGACTGAGGGTTGCTCAGTAGCATCAGCGAGCGTGAGACTTGCCTAAGTGGAACACCACCGTGAGAAAGCATGCAGCGGACTATGTAAAGGGCTTCTGCGGATGGGCTCTTTTTTGCTCTTTCTCTTGATACCCTTTTTATATTTTTATCTATTTTATTAGATTTGTTATGATTTTTTGAAAGTTGAAGCTTTCATCACCCCTCTCATTTGAAGCCTCACTTGACACAAACATCGCGAAATCTAAAGTCCCTGGATCGATCCGTGCTCCTTTCATTTCTTTTCATTCTTTTTCTTTTTCTTCTTTTTCTGTTCGCCTGTAGCAAAAATAATCTTCTATCTTGATATGTTAAACCACCTGACTCCGAGTCTTGTCTCCTAAGATACTGCTCCAGGAGCTAAACTATGTACTACTTGAGTACTTTGAGCTTGTAGTATATCATCATATCATAAGTCTGCTCTTGGACTCCTGATTACAAGGATATGCACACAATTGATCAATCAAGCCAGCTGCAATGAAGCAGCAGCAAAGGTATATGAATTATAAGATTGAAAAAACCTCCACTCCTCTATACATGCAAAGACCGAACAAACGGAGAGAGAGGTAGAAACGAAAGGCTAAAAACACAAGGGGAGAATATGCCGCGAAGTAGGCAAAAAAAAGAACAGTATCAGAAACAAAAGGATCCTCCCTCTCCCACCAGCACCCAATGATATCTGTAGACAATACAAGTAACGAAGAAGAATAACAGATCAACGCCTATGTACGGCCCGCTGCACGTTGGGGTATCTAAAGGAGATATAGGCATGGTAACGTATACCAGGGAGATGGGTAGGATTCTTTACATGCGTTGAGTATAATAAGAGAAGTAGGGCAGGGAGGTGGCTGAGGAAAAGCAACGAGAATTTTATCCAAGGAGAACCTCGGAGGTATGGTATGAAGTGTTTCAGGATTAATGATCAGGAGTAGGTAGATGATTAGGTGTGGTAGACGGGTTGATCAACCTTTGTTGCGGAATGTGAATTTCCGACTAAGATTGCGTATGGTACTGTTTTTGGTACTGTGAGATTCGTTAGTACTTGGTCTATGTAATGTGGAGAATATTATTGCGAGGTTCTCACCTTTCTTCCTGCTCGGGGCCGTTGGCTTCAACTGTTGTCACAGTGTGGCCTGCAGTCATCGGTCTACCAGGAGCATTGACAATGCGACGGGATTCCTAGAAGTAGATAAGTCAGTATATGGGATCACTCAACGGAAATATGTAGAATAGTACGAACCTCCCAACGGGAATCCACATCGACTTCACTGGCAGAGCGAGTGTCCGATATGACATGATCTGAATGATCGCGAGCATCGGAGCTGAAAGATACAGATCTAGCCAAAGGAGAAGCATTCGACTGCATGGACTTGCGCGACGGAGACTCGGAGTAATACTCGCTGTTCGAGTCAAAGCTCGCTAAGCTTGCAGGATGACTTCGCTCTGAGTCCATGAGATGGCTTGGGTTAGGAAGAAGTTGAGACGAAGACGCAAGCTCACGGAACTTCTTCTGCTGCTGCTTAGAAGGACGGTGATGAGAGAACTTGTTTCCGAGGATAGCAGGGGCGTGGGAGATAAGCGCTTTGGTGACATCTTTCTTGAGGCGCAGGGCAAGGTCCAAATTCGACCATGTTTTGTTTCCGTATTCCAAGACAGGGAGACGGAAGACGAAATCGTGGAGATCTTCGATGTTGTGTTCGCCTCTGCCCTTGTAGCTCATGCAGAGGACCACATCGTGAACTTTGACGTGAGCCAGTGTCATGTAGTTTGACGCGCGAGACATCATTTGAGACAGATCGTCCGTCGGTTCTTTTGATTTGCCCTTGGAACCCTTGCTCAGAGCAAACTTCTTCTTCTCCTCACTAGTGCTTTGGCTTGAAAGGGATTTATCGGTCGGCTGCTTGACAAGCATGCGGATACTCTCAGTGGACTTCTTCTTCGACAAGCCGCCAGTAGTTGCAGGACGACCTGTCTGCCGAGAGGATTCCGGTACGCTCAATCGAGTATTGCTTCTGTGAATTGGAGTCATGTGCAAGCCCTTGACATGGCTGGGTCGTCGATTCGACTTGCCCTCCTCGGAAAGCGAAAGAGTTGGCTGCAATCTAAGTTCAATGGATCCAGGACCCTTGGATAGCGATAAATCATCCATTGATACGCTGTCATCGTCGGCGCTGATGGATTGAGATATCGACGGGCTATTCGAATCATCATCGTCAGAACCATCCGATCCATCAAGCGGTTTCATATTCTTGATCATGAAAGGCGAGAAACCGCCGCTATCAAATGCACCTGCTCCCATATTCGGGAAGATGTACTCGAAGAGTTTCTGGCCAAGTTCGCGCTCCAGCTGAATCTTGAGTGGGAAGAGAGAGACCTCGAAATTGTCAACAACGGGGATTCCAGCAACTGCCTCCAACATGTGCCATCTGATGCGTAACATGAAATCATCCAAAGGACGAGGTTGGTCGGTGTAAGGTGCAATGATCTGGGGGTAGATAGCGTCAGGCAGAAGGTTCAACCCAATCAACCTTTCAACAGCCAGTAAGTTATGGTTAGACCCATCAGAATTGTCTGTCCTTTCATATGTCGCATTTCGAAGTTGGAATTCCACTAAAGGTGCAGATGCCTCCTTCATCAAATGCCAGACAACCTCGCTCGCAGAAATGCTCCAACGCAGCAGACCGTTGGTACCAGACGAGCTAGGCTCAGCACGTCTTTGAGAAGTAGTGATGGCCTTCATCATGAAGAATAGCTCATCCTCGCACTGAGACAGATCGTGCTCCAGTGCTAATCGGTCCTCCCAGCCCTGTTTGTCAAGGTATTTGGCATTAATCTGGAAGTACTCTTTGATCTCCTCCAATTGACGAATACGCGACTGGAGTTTGAAGACAGCCTCGGGAGCCCCACGGAGATCACTGAAATCGGAAGTAAGCATGATCTTCTCAAGGCGCTCATTCCGAACTTTCTCAAGCGGTTCACTGTAGAGCATAAGATCCAAGACAATGATGTACATGGAGTAATACTCTGCAGAGTCACAGATAGCGCGGAAATGAGGGAAATCGACACTGATTTGATCTATCCGGGCCTCCTCAGCGGTAGGGTGAGCATCATCATGGCCCTTGCCCACTTCCTCATTATACTTGAGTCGAAGATTGTTGTACTTGTCATAGCGGAGACTGGCCGAGGTCTTCTGCACAATGCGAGAAAATCCAAATGGATTCAGCTCAAAATCGAACATTGCTTCAAGCGTCAACCAAGGTGGCCAGGCAGATCCTGGCGCATTGCCGTATTTGTTGCCTGCGTAGAATTGCAAGTTGGCCATGAGGTTCTTCTGGGTAGCAACAAAGAACTGAGCTCCGTCCATCTCAAGAGAGAAGCGGCGTTGAACCAAGCCACTGACATCGTCTGAGACACGTTCTTTGTCCATGATTGACACGACCTTGAGTTCCATGCCCTTCGCAGCTACCATCAGAACAGACTTTCGGTTCTTCTCGCTAAGCAGTTGGATCTGAGGGGCAATGAGCCGCAGATAGTAGCTGTTTTGCGGTGTGAATTCTGGCGCAATATTCTCGCTGGAGTTGTCTGAATCCGACGGTGACTGAGAAGGTGACTGGGTGTTTGACTCTGACGGCTCGGTGTCCTCTGCGTTCACATAGCGCTTCGCGTCGTTCAGCAATTGCTCAATGCGGTCCTCGACGTTTTCGTCATCAATTTCAATATCAACGTCATTTTCATCGCGAGTAGTCGCCCTAGACATCTTGGGGTTCTTTCTTTTGTTTTTGTTTTGCTCGTCCACAATGTCAAGGATGAATTTGACGGCTCGTCTGGACATGTAGTAGACGAATCCACGACGCTGACTGACTTGGTGACTATATCGGAGAATGATATTTCGAAGAGAGTTGTTCCATTTCAATTGAACATTGTGAATCATGAAGCGATTGTTGAAGTCACTCGAAAATTCATCATTGGCTGATGAGTAGATGCCATCGATACCAGAAGCACGACCATCAGCAGTAGAATCAGCATCAATGCCGGTACGCGAGGAGTTCACACTTGGTGCAGCGTTCACACCAAGCCGGCTTCTATTAGGTGTCCGTTCGTCACGCGCCAAGAGCTTCTCAAGTCGGTTCAGCGTTGATGTTAAGAACTTGCGCCGGCGAGTGAGAGATTCGGCCTGACGAAGATAAGTCTCATGTTGAGCCTTGAGGTCTGCATCATGATCGACTTCTTTCATCATTTTGAGCTCTTGTTCTCCAATAGTCCGGTCGTAGTTGCGGATCTGAGCATCAACAGTAGCAAGACGATCCTTGATTAACTCAATCTGAACACGACGAGGATCATTGGTCTCGGACATCACGCATTCATGAGTGGGCTCATGTCCGAAAGTACTGTATCCAGTTTCTTCCGGTCCAATTTCGCCATGATCTGTCTGACGGAAATAGGTGAAGCGCGGGGTGAATGCCAGCGGAAGAATTTGTGTGCGAGGGTTGGATTCTTGTGGTAAGATCCAGTCAGGCTCAACAAAATCATCCATGTCAATCCAGTCCAGGTTTTGATCGGGGATGGTAAACCGGGATAGATCGACTGATGCCACTGGCTGCTGGAAGGTAGAGATGATGTCGTCTTTGGTCTTTTCGATGTCCTCTGCCGATGTGCCTTCAATGGTTGCCGAAACAGCACGGAAATCGGCCGATTGCAAGTCAATAAGAGCTTGGTGGATGCGCATCGCGCTTGTCTTAGTTTGCTTAGAGCGACCACGAGCTTGGGTCCTGACTTGCTCACGGCGTTGATGAATATCAAGTTTCAAGGAGTCGAGACGAACCTTTAGACCAGTGGCAGTCACAGCATCCTCAGAATAATCTTCACGGTCTTTGTGCTTGTAGATATGGGCCACAAACAACGGAGCGAGCAGAATCTTGTATTTGACAGTTGCCAAATGCCGGTTGAACTTCTTGCTAGTCTTAGTGACACCCGGGAAAAGAGCACCTTGACGAACAGGAAGAGACATTACGCCGGAGAACAGAGACCACCAGCTGTAGAAATGAGTGAAGAAACGCGGAGACAAATGGGTGGTGTTGTAGCTTGCGGATGGCTGAACGCCATCGACAGACCAGTTTCGGTTCAAGGGGGCAATGATTGATACAGAAAGATGGATATGATCGCTTCGGAAGCCGCGATAAGCATCATAGTTGGCGCGCTGCTCTGCACTGAGGAACTTCGGGTTTTTGAGAATGACCTCATAATGCGGCTTGAAGGCGAAAGACCGCGAATCTGCATCAATATCACGCTCAAACACCAGCCCAGCAGACCATTTGACATCACCAGAGAGCTTCATCACCACCTTCTTGAAGTGGGCAGCATTCTTCTGTTCACTAGACGCTGAGCTGGTTTCCAGGTCTTCTGTGCTCAGTTCATTGGCCCACCGAGCCTCTGCACTGTAGTCGGGAATCGCCAGTACATATTCACCACTGGTCACACTCATGAACTCCATTGGATCATCATTAGAGTGGATCTCCCATTTGACATCTTTGCGCCAGCACATGACGAAACCACTTCCGAATCCAGTCACCACATATGGATCACGAGAACCTTTGAGGCGCAGATGAACATCACCATCTTCCTTCCAAAGCACCTTGAGACGAGAGTGAAAGCTGAGTCGAATCTTGTCCCAGAATCCAACGCGATCTGATGGATCTATCTCAGGTTTGGTGAAACCTTCAATGATCTTCATCAAATCTTGAATCACAGGCTGGTAGGAGACTCCCCAAGAGATGCTCGTGGGTAGGCTTGTATTAATTTCAATGACTGGATCGGAGTATGTCTTGACAGGAGAGACCGAACGCCAGACCTTCATCTTGAATGGATCAATACGAGAGCCATCCGCAGCCTCAGTCGCCGGGATAAGTTCCACTTCGACTTGTCTTGCAGATTCATGATCGCGGAACTCTTCAGCGATGACAAAATTGGTCCGCAATGACCAGCTAGGAAGTCGTGGAGACTGTCCGGGACGTAGAGATGGGATGTGCAATAGGTCCAACGGATAGTCTCGTAGATTGACACGCGCTTCACCCATTTCGAGGTTGAAATTCATCGGAACCAGCAAGCCGTATTTCATGGATAATGGCATTCCCTTTCCAATATGGTGAAGAAACTTGGGGAATTCCTCGATAGGGAAAGAGGGCTTGTCGATAACCAGGTTTACATCACTGATCAAGGCAGACAACAGACCTGGTCTGTTCGGAATTGCGAGAATAGTCTCAGTCTCTTTAGCGTCATCCGGAGGTTCGTCCGCGCCAGAGAACAAGTTTCGAACTTCCTTGATGGAGGTTCCCTGGAATTTAAGAGCAGCATCAATCTTCTCTTTCCAGACTTGGGCATTATGTTGCTGGAGACGAGCCCATGCGGTATCTGTGGCAATTTTCTGCTCAGCAGTCAAGCAAGTTGCACCTTCAGTATCATAGCGGTATTTACCGCCCCGGCTACGAGGTGGTGGGTCATCTGGCTTCGTCCGTGTGTCCACACTCTTGCTCCTGCGAGTATCTTGACTTGTCCGCTCGCTACGAAGAGTCCGGTGGCTGGATCTAGCACGAAGTCGCGATGAAGCCCGCCGTTGATCCGACTCTCTTTCTCTAACCTTCTGTGCCTTTAGGTAGAAAGCCTCTTCGCGGGCTACACGTTGTGTCTGCTCAATCAACCCGGTTCGATAGATGCAGCCAAGCTTCCATTCGAAAGCATCATCTTCGAGTTCAAATAAGAGCGCTTTAGTGCGCAGAGTTATTCTTGGCACTTTCTTTGGACCCTTGGGCTCTCGGACGGAGACAAACTCTCGGCTGCGATTCTTGAAACGGTGATGCAACTGTTTGAAGGCCTTTGAAGTGTTGATAATATTATCAAAGATGCGATGCATAACCATATGGTGGGGCACGCCAAGTCTAATGAAATCAGCCCACAAGTCAATGGACCGCTCTTCGACTAAATTTTTGGGGCCCTGCTTGTATTTCATCTTGCGGAAGTCAAGTCGCACATTGTTCATACTACCAATTCTTGCCCAAACACCCTTGATTTTAGGTGCCTCAGCGTGAATTCGAACAAGATTGGCCTTGATGAAGGGGGTAGAGAGTCGTTGAGAGTTACCAGCTAGGCCGTAGATCTGAAGCATCATTGGAGGATCGTTCGGCAGATTTGTCTTGAGCTGAACAACAGTCGCCTTGATATCGACCGTAATAAGCTCATTCTTTGAAGCAGCGGATGGAGAATATGGGGGAGGTGGTAACGATATGCTTGGGACTCCTCTCTGCTTCTTTGGGGTGGAGTCGGAGTCTCGAGGTAAAGGCGTGAGCACATCTTGAATGACAGAAATCGCCACACCCACGCAATAGAACCGGTAGAGAGAGTATTGCAGGTAGATTCCCTTGAACATAGAGTTCACATGCAAAATAGGTCCCATTCGGTCACTTTGTGTGCTCAAGGCAATTTCAAACCGGGGGAGAGAGAAGAAAGGCTCCGGCTCAAGATAGTCATCGGATTCAATGACGAATCCATCAAATCCACGTACATGGAGCGCAAGCCGTCTGCCATCTGTAGCACCACGCTGAATGTTCTTTGGGGGAGATGTTGGTGTGAATCTAAAGGGCGATTCGTCTGCCATTGTCGAATGACTGGATGTACGCCTCCTGGCAATGCTACCAACGCTCTGCTCCGTCTTCTGCGCCTTATACTCTGCTGTCCAGGATTGCAGTTGTAAAGAAACACCTCGGGAAATATCAGACACGCTCTTATCCACACCAGCAACTTCAAGGCTGAATCCAGTGGACTCAAATGAGAACTGAAGAAGCCACGGTGGAATCTTTCTCATTGGACTAATCTTGCGCTCGTTATGAGGCATTGGGACACGCTTTGGCGTCTGGAGATGCGTACGGAATTGCTCGAGCACCTCGCGAATCCCGCGATTGACATCTCCATTGATCATGTGGACAGAGCATTCATTCAAGCTTCCTGAAGCGATGACATAGACCTGAGGGCTTGCATTCAAGTGTGCCTTGAATTCTAGAGTCTCGGTCGTGAGCAAATTATGCTTGTCACCAGCAGGGGTCTGATAGTAAAACTTGTGAGACGCAACACGGTAAATAGCAGAAAGCGAATAGTGCGCGCCACCCTCTGACGAATGTGACGATTCGATATCCAGCGAGATTGACGAAATTGATGAAATGAGGAGATTGTAGTCGTCCGGAGTACCTGACTCTTCTTTGATGGGGAGAACAAATCGAATCACGGGCTCATGAACAGACAACTTGATGGTTGCTTTGGGTAACAAGCGGGAGATTAATTGATGGTTGCTCCGCTTCTTGACTCGTGGAGATGATGCACGCGCTTGTGCCAATTTCAATAGTCGAGAGACATGTTGGGGTTGCAAATCAAGCGAAGGAGACGTGATAACCAGGTTGGCAAAGAGAATGTTGGAGTTGCGCTCTTCGGGATTTTCATCATCAAATGCATTGACGGTTTTTGATGGCAGCGTGGTCTTGATAGTCGTCGTGGCCATGGGAATATAGAGAATGTTGTCAGTTTCTCCCGAGTTATCATCCAAGCTGACAGAGAGGGAAATGGCTGCGAGCAGGGCTTGGTGAGCAACATCGTCTCGTTGGAAATACATGCGATGCTCAGGGCTCCTTTGGTCCATTCGGTGAAGATCAACACCAAGCTCATGTGAAACCACATTCAAGAAAACCGGCTGCTGGCCTGCGGAAAGAGACCCCAGGCTGCGAGAGAGACGAAAGAAACTCAGGGCAACCTGAATCTCTTGAATACCGCGGAGCAAAGAGCTAGCAAATTCCTTGGAGTCGGCGACCGTTTGTACTAATGAATCATTCTGGCTTCCAGGCTTGTCGAGCTCCTCCACAAAGTCAGCAAACGAGATTTCGTCATCCGTCTCTGGACTGCGCAACGGCTCCTTAGATGGGGCTTTCTGGGCTGATTTGATGCGCTGAAGTAGTAAACTGAGGTCATCGTATGGAAGATGTAGTCGACCAATTTTCAGCGCTACAGAAGCATCACGGAGTCCCTCCAGATCCTTGTAGAGCAACCCATGAAGATTCACTCCAACATTATCCAGAATCTCCGTCGGCTCCCGACCATCCACAGCAAGCAGAACGTTTTGAACATTCATGATCCATTCCGCAGGGCGTTGTTCCCTTGACATATCCTTCTTGCGCCGAAAGAGCTTACCCCGTTCCACCATCTTACTCCGTGTGTCCACCGCTAGCGACAACGACCCAACCTGAACCTGGCCAGCACCAACAAACTGCACAGTCGAATTGACAGCAGAGACATCAATCAGGGCCAGCCAGTTGATTTGTCGATGCAAGCTCTTCAGCCGCTCCTTGATCCGAGTCAATGTCTTCCATGTTTTGCTCCGCGGGGTGGCCGACTCGGGGGTTGCACTTTCGGGGACGGGGCTACTCGGGGTCGGGGATCCCAAAATATCTCGTGGTGCCTCTGTCTTTCCCTTTGCCAATGTAGTCGTATCCAATGTCACCTTCAATTCCGTCAACCGAATACTAATCCATGTTGGTTGCGCAAAGGACGGGGGGTGTAGCGAGAACCCGAGTCCACGTATTTCAATTAGGAGACCTTCCCTCGGGGCGTATGCGATTCGACGAAGAGAGAAATAGCCGATTCTTTGAATGGATATTCCTGTTGCAATACGGACGATCGCGAAGACGAAGAACGACGAGAGGTAAAGGAGCAAGAAGCCCACCAAAATGGAAGTCGGGTTGAAGAGGGTCATCGCGAGTCGCGATCAGCAGGGGCTGATCTGTCGAACAGGAACACGGCGCAGCACACAGGACATTGAGTGAAAGGGTTCGGTTTTTATTTTCTTCTTTTTCTGTTGTATTGAATTGTGTTGTTTAATGTCGTAGAGGGGGGTGAGGGAGATATAGGGAGGGTATAATTTCCTAGATCCTCAAATGAACGTGTTAATTTCGGTTGAGGGGGGTGTGAGATTTCAAGACAAAAAAAAAAGAAGTGAGCGATTGATCATACAAGGAATGGGCGAGAACATCCAACGTGTTCAGTAGCACGAACACCACATCCCCAAGTGGATCATAATGAGATTGATGAATTGTATGGTTCGGACGCGCCGGAGACAGTTGAACCACTAAATTGCCCAAACCGGCTTTTCTCGGCAGCCGTTCTGGACCTGATGATCTGTTAACTCCGTTATCTATATGTATGAGGGGTGTTTGTATATACAATATTCCCCTCGTTTAGACTGGTTCGGTTATTTTTTCTATGTAACTCTTAGTCTTACTTTCTTTAATTTGCATATGCAAGAAAGACTCGGAAGAAAAAAAAAAACTCATATTCACAATTTTGACCTCGTAAATGATTTCGTTTCGCAGAATTAACGTGGGGCTCTCCCTGTTCACGATCGGCGTTCCATGATTCGACCCCTTTTTCCCCAAATTTTGACAGAAAAGTGGATTAACTAGAATAAATAGAATACTATAGAATAGTAGAGGATCAATAGAAGCAAAAGTAGACTATCAAGGACTTGAATTCGATGGTATCATGCAACTATACAAGGGGGTGAAATGTGGACACGTGCTAGATGGCTGGATGGAGTAATCAATCCCATACAAGGTGCTGTACTATGTATGACCTTTATGTTAAAGGGACCCCGGGGAAGTATTAAGAAAGCATAAAAGAAATAATACAGAAAGAGAAAGAAAAAAAAAGAATCAGAATACAGGGTACAGAATACATCTGCCAAACCCCCAAAGTCAGAAGGATGCAGATGTGCCTGTGCGCTGCATCTTCCGAGCCCCCAACACGTCCGAAACCGTCGACAGGAAGAAATAGGAGCCGCCATGAGTTTAGGATGATGACTCGGGAATGGGACTTGTCACTGGTCGAGTCTTTTCGAGTCCCTCAATCTTCTCATCCAGAAGGGCAATCTCAGCTTCTAGACTGAGGAGTTTCTCGCCCAGCATTCCACGATACTCTTCATCGGATAGATGCCGAAGGGGAACCCATTTAGATTCCGCTAGGCGCACTGCAAGTGGTTTGGAAGGGTTCTGGGCCCTTTGGACTTGCCATGCATCAACTCTATTAAAGGCACTTTGACCAGCAAACCCGAGTAGAGAAAAGATAACAAGACCAGGAATAAGTCGACCTCCTAATCTCCAAAAGTCAGTGATCAGAATTTCTAGAAATAAAAAAAGTTCTACACATACCCATCAATCGAGTGACGACTCCGCCGGAGATTCCACCGCAGAATGCGCTCACATAAGTGCGTTCTTGCGGGGAAGCCTGATCCTTGAAATGAATTTTAAGGATATTGCTCCGCATCCCTGGAAAATTAGATTGTTAGTGGAATGGCTTTTAACTCCGTGGTTGAAGGGGTGTACGTACACCAATATGTTGAACCACATGCAAACCAATGGATACCACAAGATATTGAATGGATTACAGGGTTTGGTGATCGAATAACTCCCGATGCCCCTCCATAGATCAACCCGGCAGCGCCTAAATTCGTCAGAAGATGTATGGTGAGAAATCCGAAGGGTCCTGGAATCCATTTTTGGCCCAGTACGAATGAAAACTTACCGCTCAGCGCGCCTACTTTGGCGACTGATAGTAGGGTATCTTTCCCAAAACTGTCATGGGGCCGGTTGCTCCCGTTCATGTTGCGAACCAGTTGAACAGATATGCGAACATTCCTATGCTACTTGGCGGTGGAATTAATGATGCTCGACACTGCGTGTTGTGAATCGGTCACGTGTTGCTGATGTAATATACCAGTTGACTGAAGCGGCGCGTCAGATACAAGATTCAAAGTAATGAACCTTAGAAATTCTACTAGTAATTTTGACCTACATAGTAATAGATATCGTTATTTTAAGTAAAACTCTGGTCTATTGACTGCAGACCGATGAGATACCACCTGTTTTGTTGCTATGAAGTCTCAAAGTCCCGGGTGCGTTATAGTTCAGATGAAAATATATTCATTTCCTGACTTTGGAGTGCCCACTGGCAGTACTATCTGTAGTAGGTAGAGGCTCAGGCTTCCATCTGGGCAACTCCAGGGCCCGGGCTTGAACTTGAAGAAATGATCATGATGAATATTTGACAAAATTAAATTGAGAATTTCAGAACCTGAGGCCAAAAATACCTACGTAGTAGCCTGAAATTAATATAACCAAAATTCTCCAAGTCAGACCATCTCTAGTTTTCCTTCGCCAAAATATCGGCTACGTGATCCACCACGTTGTATTCCACCACCGATCGGAGCTTTCTGGTCATCAAGCTAGGAAAGAAGCCTGTGTATGTTGAAGGTTAGTCACGGTAAAAATCTCCATCTCATATGAAATACATACCCATGATTTTCAAGAACCCGTACATAATGTATTCCTGGATGGCGCCCATTTCTCGTTTTCTATTCTGACTTTCTCTCGCGGTTTCCAAGATCTGGGCTACATGTGGTTGGCGAAGGGCCATGTAATGTTTTGCCGCTGCTTTGAATACCCCCTTATAATCGGCTACCGAGGTAGAACTTTCGCTTGTCACTTCGTTACGCAGGTGATGTGACAATATGAGAGCCAACGCCTCTACATCCTCTAGTGCCTGCGAAGAGCCTTGTCCTGAGCTTGGAGGCAAAGCGTGCGCTGCATCTCCGACTAGGACGACACCGTCTCGCTCCCAGGTTGGAATGGGAGGACTGGTCCATGTGGGATACATGCTTTTGACTTCAAGTGAGCCCAGAATTTTCTGAATGACTGGATCTTTCCACTCCGCGTGTCTCTTGTGCAATTGTCTTGTCACATCTGCCTTGTCAATATTCTTATGATCGGGACATTCGTCGATCTCATAGGTTGACCACCATGCAAGAGAATCTCCTGGTTCGCAAACATGGTATGGAGAGTCGCGTTGAGGTGCATCTTCAGCGCTGTTTGAGAAGAAGTATCCAAAAAATCCATTGCCTCCAAATATGAAGTTCACGGACCCCTTCTCGACAACTGCTTTGACTTCTGAAGCAGGGATAAATCCTCCCACACCGACAAGGCCCCTGTTGAGATGGTTAGATAAATTCCCTAGAACATCATGATAGTCACGGAAGAATTGGAAACGTGAGATAACGTACTCATACTGAGGTGGATAGGGATCCTCCTTGGCATCAGGAAATATCGCCCGTTTGGCCGTACTTCGAACACCATCTGCGCCAATTACAAGGTCTGCGTTCACGGGTGGACTGCCATCCACGAAGAAGATCTGATTATTTCCATTCGGATTTGCCACAACCTTTTCAATCCGTTTGTTGATGATACGATCGCCCGGGACTCGTGCACGTAGACACCTCCAGAACGTATCGCGACTCGACATCACCATATTCATCTGTGGAGAAGCGTCGATAGAGGCAGCGGCCCCAAGGGAAAGAAGAGAAGATCCGTTTTTGCTTTTCAAGTTCGATGATGATACCGCATAACCACCGCGGACAACATCTCGAAGAAGACTCTCATCCAGTCGTTGCAGCACACGCAGGCCGTTTGCCGCGATGCCCAAGCCGCCTCCTACCAGGAGTGTGGACGAATGTGTGTGCACCTCTTGGCGCTGCTCTGATGTAACATCCACATCGGTATTGTATGCTTCGTAGAGGATGATTTCGTAAGGTTCAACCCCCACAGACTTTGGAAGATGCTTCTGTAGTTCCAGATACATTGTGCATCCGGAGATGCCGGCACCAATGATCACGATCTTCATGCTGGTTCCTTGAGGTTTCAAAGTGTAAATTGGAATTGCAGGTGATCTCGAAGAATTTATCTGGAGGGCAGAACCTGGCGAATATAAATACGCGAGGAGGCAAACTCGCCATATCTTGCATAGTTCAAGTCAGTGGACTGCCATGAGGGATATTAACCAATCATATGCCTCATGGCCCACTTGTCCGCAAAACTAGCCCAAATGAGCTTAGTGTATTATACCCTTGTTTATCGGATTATTATTATCCCGTGGTTCAGATGTATACAGTACCAGAGCAAAACTTTCGAGTCCGATTGTGAATGGGCCTGGTATCTATGGAAGCGTCATTTCCGGTATTGAGTAATAGCTGTGGATATAGGCAGCAATATTTGCGAAAAACTCTGACGGTGCTGCGGAAAATTGCAGTTCTTGGCCACATGTGCCCTGGAGCAGTTTTGTGACATCATCTCCCTCGTTGCAGGGAGCCCAGATTCGAACGATTTGTATCGGAAGCGCGACCATGATATAGCCACGCTGAGATATAGGCTGTGGCATGTTGGAAACAAAACTGAGCGCTGAAAAGATTGATCGGATGTGCTGTTGAATACGATTTTCATATAGATGTGCGGACGGTGAAACCAGGAAGAAAAGCCTGAAGACAATGACATTTGCTGCATCAAAAAGAGCAGCCAGAGCAGCGGTTGGCATATCCCCAAAAGGTAAGAGTAGAGTATCGTACGGATCGCCAGGTATATCGATACACTTTTTGTTGGTGGGATAATTTGCCTCTGGATTTGCTTGGCTAAGATCGGTCCGGCCAACACATTGAGACCACCATGTGTGCATATGGGTCATGATTTGAATTAATGAAGCACCTAATTCAGGTCCGGAAGAGCAGATATCCCCACCTTCGGACGCGATCACCCTATCTGCAATTGCTAGGCAAGGGGATAGGGAGAAAAAGATGTCCACAAGTTCGTCGAAGGGGCCCTTTGGAATTAATTCAAAAGGAACAGTCATCCACTGAAATGTGCAAAATGGATGTTCTTCATTTCGAAAGAGAGATGAAATCGCCTATCATTTAAAGAAAAAAGTTAGAAAAATATTCAGTATAGAGCAAAGTTTTCCAGCTAGGACGAGTCAGCATACTATCAATAGTCTCAAATGACGAAATATCTTATGCAGAAAGCCCTGGCGACAACTTTCAGGGCCTCCCCGGGCAATCATCATCGATGCACCCTGTACGTGCTGGAACCAAGCTCCTGAAGCCGTACCAGCTAAGCTTTCGAAATGGGTGAGCATTACAGCTGTACAAATCATATCATCACTAAAAGATGATATCTGTTGATGGGAGAGGCACTTCTGAAGACCTTGTAGAGCTCTCAGGTACCATCTGGAGGCCTCTGTTTGTATGGCAATGTCTCCTGCCAAGAAGCCGTAGAAAAACATTGAAGAAGCACGGATAGAGTGTTTGACTGCATTTTGGGTAGGTGACACTATGAATTCAGCGATATCATCGAGCCAAGTGGAGGATTGCTTGCCTGATATGGGCTCCTTGAAGGCAAACGACTCGATAAAATTGGATACAAACAGTTGGTCGAAGATTTCGACACGACTGGGCTGGTAAATGGACGGTAACAATGAGGATTCCATATTGTGTTTAGCAGCCAAGGAGGAATTAGAAATTTGCCGATGGACTTCATTTCCTGGAATCTTTCTAGATGCGCACACAGCTGGTGGCTGGCTTGGTATGGAATGTATGAACACAGCCCCCGTACGGGGACCTGTGCACCGAAGTCCTTTTTTCACACACTGAAAGCATTCTGGGCTATTCTCGTCACACTGTCAAACTTGATAAGCCGTTTGAGCTACTGAAATGTGGCATAAAATGATCTCACTTTCAGTCTGCGTTGGCGGCAAGTCGAGCAGCCTTTGCTCCGGCCGGGGACGTTGACCATGGCTCTAATTTGGACATTTAAGGCTGTCTGAAAGATCAGAAACACTAGTTGACATATCTGGAAAGCTCAGGGTATCTCCACAATTCATGATGCGATGTGTAAGGATAGAGTTGTCGGATTTCGCTCCTTATCCCGGACCGCCACATGACATAATCTGCCTGAGGCTCAACAACTGTATCTAGTTAACTAGTTAGTTATGTTAGTTAGTTAACTAGTTAACTTAGTTAACATTTGACCCTTCCAAGGTTGGAATCCATCGAGATTATGTTAAAGTGAGATAAACTATGTATTCTTTGAGAGGCAAGAATTTCTCCTCGGCTTGCGTATTCTTACACCATTAACTCCCGAGGTCATGATCCTATTTTTCTCTATCTCTTGACCTTGGAAGGGGTGATAGGCTTCATTGAGTCTACACATCAGACCTAAACCGACCCGAATTGGCCGGTGCTATATTTACCTACAATAATATGCCTAAGCCACCTGATATCGTGATCAATATCAATACTTTTGGAAGTACTTTACATTTTTGATGTCAAAAAATACGAGTAGCTTCAGTAAATGATCCATATGGAGGATGTCACAGCCTTATGGGTGACAATACAAGCGCACACTGATTTCAAATTCTTATGACCAAAATTCTTATGACCAAATTACTTGCGCTTTCCATGGATCTGATGAATCTAAATATTGATTAGACTCGAATCAATTTGATCAAGTTATCGCCTTCAGTATAGACTTTACTAACCCCGCCCTGTCATCCAGATTAGTACTAGTACGGCTCAGAATCTTGGAAGCAGTCAACTGGTATCTAACTATAGAGCCTGGAGTCATCATGATTGAAGAACTTGAATCATTCCATAGAGACTTGGACTATAAGCCTGTCTATATGTGGATATAGGCCTTACTATCAAACAATTGTGCCTAGGTACTGAACTTGAATCTTATCTAAACATTTATCCACTTTAGCTAGTAGTAGCATCTATATACTACCTAGTAGTAGGTAGGGTGATTTGATTCCAAGGTTTTACACCGAGTCACATTATTAGTAATCTATTAGTCTGAATCTACTGTATATATACTTCGCTGATCATATAAGTACTCTTAGTCTTTTAAAGAAAATTTGAAGTCGGCTAACTCCGGCTTATTGCAGAGCAAACATACAGATCTATGGTAGTCTCACAAAACTCAGCATCCAAAGGCGACATGGATTGTGGAGACAGAAATATTGTCCACTTCAAGATCCGCTTAGGATCATCGTCTCGATTATGAGATAATAAATTATAGAAAAAATGAAATCGCCAAATTAAATTAAAATCTCATATTTACAAATTTATAGTAAAAAGGAACCGAATCCAAAGTTGTTACTCCGTACCTAGAATTGTACATGTAAGAGCGGGAGGAGGCTCTGATTGGACTAGCGGCACCACTTAAAAATTATCACGGATTAACTCACCCGTCCACTTCCATCGTGCACGATTACCAACTTCCCCTCTACCCAACTTTTTCCTGAAAGTTGAATATTACAGACTTGTTCTCACACCTTTCCCAGTTTCAATACTCCACCTTTGATACACTTGGACTTTCGCCCCGGGTGTTTCGCAATTTTTTTTTCCCTTTCTCCACCCCTCTCTATCCCTCTGTGTGAAGCGCGCACAAGATCACTTGCGCGTTTCGTACTCTCTCTACCGCAATCATGGGTATGTACTAAATACCCTAATTTTTTCTTGCCAACTGTCATTTGGAAAGTCGCTCTTAGGGCTTGATTGAGACATTTGTGGTGATGAAACCCCCCCGCTAACGATTCTTCTCCACTAGCGCCCTCTAAACAGAAGGGCCAGAAGATGTCCATTGGCAACTTCTTGGCCGATGAGAGTAAGTAGTGCGACCGGTGAAAACACAATAATACAATTCATTCTGACCAGTATACAGGCCTTGGCTCTTGGGCTGATGAGATGGAGGATATGCCCCTCCCATGTAAGTCGCTGACATCCTCCGCTCTATAATTATACAGTTACTAACAAGATCTATAGCTGGTATGTCGCATGAAAAATTGCCCGAAAAATCGCAAGCGTTTCGATCCGTTCCTGAGTAGCATACTGATCTTCAATAGCCCCCGCCATGACCTCCAGCTTCGGCGGCCGCCCTGCCGGTGGCATGGGTTACGGCAGCAGCAACAGCTTTGGCGCCCCTCCCTTCGGTATGCGACACTGTTTACAATAGAATTAGAAACTTGGGAATGAGGAGGACTAACATGTGCGATTTTAGAGCGCGAGACCCGTGGAGGATATGCCGTTCGCGAACCGCTCGCCCTTCCTACCGAGCCCCCGTTCACTGCTCACGTTGGCAACCTCTCTTTCGAAGCGACTGCTGATGATATTTCCGAGCTTTTCGCTGGCTGCGGTGTGACTAACGTTCGCATTGTCGAGGACAAGATGACCAAGGCCCCCAAGGGCTTTGGTTACGTTGAGTTTGAGTCCGTTGACGGTCTTCAGAAGGCTCTGGATCTCTCTGGTACTACTCTGCAGGGCCGTACTATCCGCACCAGCGTTGCCGAGCCCCGTAAGTGATCATTGCCTTTCTTTTCATTTTGGTTAAGCTTTGGGCTAACCCGATATGATTTTCCTTCATAGCCAAGGAATCGCGCCCCGATATGCGTGATCTCGACTGGACCCGCCGTGGACCTCTCCCTGGACCCCCCGAGCGCCGCATCCCTGAGCGTTCTAGCTATGGCCGTAACATGGACGCCGCTTCAGATGCCGGTAGCGAGCGTGGTGGCCGCCGCAGCAACTTTGAGTCAGATGGTAAGATTCGTGATTTCAACAACTGGGAGCGCAAGGGCCCACTCTCTCCCTCCAGTGGTCCAGCCCGCGACCCTGCTCGTGACCCCCCCTCGTGAGGGTGGCCGTGGCCGTGACAATGAAGGAGGATCTAGCTTCCGAAGAAGCTCCCCTGCTTGGGGTGAGGGACGCTCTCAAGATGATGGCTCCCGTCCCCCGGCCCCTCGCCCTGAGCGCACCCCCACTGCCGCCGATATGGACAACCAGTGGCGCACTAAGATGCGCCCTGATCAGGGACCTAAGGAGCCTAGCAACCCTACCTCTCCCATTGCCCCTGCTGCGCGCCCCAAGCTGAACCTGGCCAAGCGTACCGTTTCGGAAGCTGCCCCCGCCGCCGCTGCCGGTGCTGGTGACTCCAAGGCTAGCCCCTTCGGTGCCGCCCGGCCCATCGATACTGCTGCTCGTGAGCGTCAGGTTGAGGAGAAGCGCCAGCTTGCTATCCGCCAAAAGAAGGAAAGTGATGACAAGGCCAAGGCCGAGAAGGCTGAGAAGCAAAAGAAGGAGGGTCGAGCTCCCGGCACTGATTCCAACAAGGAGGGTGTTGAGACTCCACGTGGCGGAGCTAACTTTGAGATCCTCCGGCGGGCCGGTGGTGAAGAGGGTGATGAGAAGGTTGAGGCAGATGCAGAGGAGGCTGCCGCCCCTGCCGCTGCTGAGACTGAGACCAAGGAGACAGCTACCAATGGTGACTGGAGAGCCTCTGAGAAGGCTGAGAAGACCGAGAAGACTGAAGAGGACGACGGTTGGAGCACTGTCAGCACCAACAAGCGCAGCAACCGTCGCGGTGGTCGTGGATTCTGATAGAGTTAATTGATACCCCAGAAGCAACTCCCGCTTTCCCCACCCAACTATGTGGCCAGCAGTGCGTGCAAAACAAACTTAAAAGACCGCAGATCCCAGCGTCCCATCGGGATTAATGATATGTTGAAAAAAGAACGGGCCCCAGGCCTCTCACGCCATGACCTCAATCGTCGTTTTCATATGAACATGACTTTTTGTCTCTTTCTTTGGGTCAGTTTTCTTTGCACTAATTGCTGCAGATGACGGTAGTTGTTCTGTCTCTTTTCTCTCACTTCTTATCTCTTCCCCTTCCCTCCTCTTGTCACCTTGTTTCATGATCTTCATGATCTTCCCCTTTCTTCTCAGGCTAGATCCTTGATATACATCTAGTCTTTTTGCTCTGATGATCTGGCAGTCTGAAAAGTTTATTATTTTCCTGCGTCTTTGTTTTTCTATTTGCTGCGACCCCGTTCTTATGTGTGCCGTATGATGTTCCATGTTCGCTATCTAGCTATTATTCCCATGCGTGTGACTCGTGTGATTTGCCCATGACCATTACAGCCGATGCGAAATGAAGATTACCTGTTTTCCTTTCCTTGTCCTTCCTCCGATTGATCCTAAGGGGTCTTGTTATGTCCTTTGTCTGTCATGACTAGGACCAAAGAATCAGTTTGAGGGGAAGTCCGAGATGGAACTCGAGTACCCTTCTTGGTCCTTTGGTTCTGTTGTCTGGCATGCTATGCGAACACGAATGACTCAATGAGTGATGAAGTAGTCCGCAGCGAGCATATAACCTCCCTTGAGCTTTCGATGACAATGAATCCCTTATATGTTCTTCCCTGGTTCTCCTTTCCGAGCCCTGACTTTATCCCTTTGCATCCCCTACAAGGCTGTGTGTGTATCTGCAATCCTGGTCATAGCACTTGTCTCCTCTCCCCAATCCGTATAGAATGAATTCAGGTCTTCGTTGACAGATCTATTTGCTAGTAGTATGTAGCCCTCACTTATAGTAGTGGATACATGTCAGAGCTTTGCGCTGCTCACTATAATTAAGTTCATTAGTTTGGTTCCCAGGTGTATACGTGTCAGAACTCTGAAGATTAAGAAGTTGACATTAGTCTATGCACCCCAGATGGGGTTTCTGCCCTATAGGAGACTGTCCAGGTGTGGAGCAGAGACTGAAAGTAAACCAACCGAGACTAATCTGCCCTATTGTGGGTCATTGTGTTCAGAATCCTCGTTGAACAGAACTTCAATTGAACTATTGAATGGTGCGTATGCGATTTAAATGGCTTAGTACTTTAGATTCCCCTATCTAACATTGAATTAAAAGGCCTTCAAATTTCCGTATGTGCAAGGTTATCTACTAATAGTTCCCCCCCTACTTTTCTGCTTTTTAAACTATTCTCATATCCTTACCACCAAGTGTTCTTCTCCCATAGTCAATAGTCAACAGTGGAAGTTCATATCCCTAGTTTTTTCTCTTCCTAATTATTGGGTAATCCCATGCTGAGCCTGAGTCTTTTGCGAGTTTTTCTTTCTCCTATAAATAAGTGCACTACACAGCGAGGTCTCACCCTTTGATATTAGTACAATCTTGGAAGCATTTGAGCTGCCAGTGAAACAATGTGAGAACTCTGTTCACAAGATTCTCAAGTCTTAAGCCCTGCCAGCCATCTGATATTTGATCTACAACAGTACAGCAACAAAGCCTCTAAATAAGACATGTGCAGGATGTCAACTGTAATTAAAGCAAGGAGCAGAGTATGATGACATGTCAATGGGGGCGGGGCGGCTTAAGGTACATGTACATCATAACGCCATACATTATCTCCAGCGCTTAATAGATGGATTTATACTAAATTAACTATTGCAAGAGTTATATTATAAGAGAAACCATACCAGTGATCACTTACTTAAAAAGGGACATAACTACAAGTATGAAACAAAGGGTACCTGAGAATATCAAATTATGATTGGGGGGTAAAACCCGGTGGCGCAGTATGTAAATTATTATTGAACCCCTTCAAAGGGTTCAACATACAATGTTTCACGATATTTCATTTCTTTCCAGATACTTTTCATCTTTTTATCTTTTCATCCTTCTCATCACTCTTTAGGTATTGGGTACATATCCTATTTAGGTACGAAGTGCCCAAGGTTATTCTTTCTTACTTTAACCTCGGAACTTCTTGACTCCACCCTAAAAAAAGAAATCTCGGGGTAACATCTGGACCCCCATCTGATCTTTGATCATGTCTACGACTATTACCACCGCCCTTGTTGGATCCTCAACCATGACTGTGGCTGCAGTTGAGACACAGTGTCCAACATGTGGATATGACGAGACTCACGATTCATCAGAAGCTCAGCTTCGGATCCAGGAGTTAGAGGGGTTAGTCCAGGATTTGACCAAGCGCGCAGCTATGACAGGTGAGTGATGACCACGAGCACTAGACTCGGGTGCTAGAGAAAGGGGAGATATCACCAGAAACCCCCAAGCAGAGAGAACTCTTCACCTGGGCATACTATATCTGCCAGACTCTACTCCGACTTCTGCGGTTATGATATCCGCCCTTAGAGCGACCTACTGGCTGACTTCTCCACAGCGAACAAACTCGCCGACTACGAAGACGAGATCCGACGTCTGCGCGCAACAGAATCCCACACACGAACGCTCTCACAATCCCAACCAATATATGAGTCACCGCGTAGTAGCGTCTCCCTGGGCCCAACCTCCCACACCGACAAATCCACTCTCTCACCAACCCAACCCCCAAGCCTACCCGACACAACCTCCCAAACCTCTCCACCAACATATCAAAGCCGACTCTCTACACTCGCCTCTCTTCTCCCTTACCGCCGCAGTAGCTCAACAACAACTAGCGCTCCCGCTTCCGTTGCCACATCATCCACTATTCCACCCCCGACGCCAGTGTCAGCACTACCAACAACTCCCACCTCAGTCCCACCCCACACTTTCGAAACACAGACATCGCCCGCAAGCAGCGACAATACATCTGAGCTTCAAGATGCACTCACGCGCGAACAGGGACTTCGCAAGGCAGCAGAGTCTCAACTCTCACAAGCTAGCACGGAACTGGAGGAGTTAACGGTGCAACTGTTCAGTCAAGCGAACGAGATGGTCGCACAGGAGCGTAAAGCGCGCGCAAAGCTTGAGGAACGTGTAGCTGTGCTTGAAAGACGGGATATCGAGAAGCGGAGTCGGTTGGAGAGACTGGAAAAGTCCATGGCGCGAGTGGAGAGGTTGAAGGCTTTGGTGGGATGATTAATGGGAGGGAGTGAAAGAGGGATTTGGTCTTCTCGACTTGTTCTGTCTCTGTGACGATTGTGTTATTTTCTCTGCTGGCGACACCTTTCTTGCGTGATGACCGTTATGATTTTATTCTTTTGATCTTGTTTGCATCCACCTGGATCATCATGCATTGGGCGCTGGATAATGAACCTTCGGGTTTCCCTGTGGTGCTTTTATGTCTCTGTCTTCTTCTGATCCCCATTTCACATGGATTTTTCACGGGTTGGCGTTGAATACGGATACTGATGGGGAGTGATGTGACTTTAATCCTTTAATTCTTTCTTGGCTGTGATAAGTTGTTCAAATTGATACCTCTCTCATGGACCCGACTTTATTCAAATAAATAGAAAGAAAATTTGGATATTCTCCTGGGCTATCTACTATTTTGAAGCTAAATCTAGAATTTTCTGCAGACTTGCGTCATGCATACTGCAATTCCTCGCCAGCAACTAAAAAAAGCTTCAAGCCGCGTAATCTGCCATCTCTCCGGGTGCCTGGAATATGATATCAACATTTGAACATGTCAGGTATGCTTCTTTACTTGAAAAAAAAGTGACCTTGAAACAGGAGCCCTCCAGGGCTGGAACCTTGGAAACGAGATTCGGTCCAAATGGTTGGACCTTCCCACCATACAGTATGGTGTCCACCAGGTGGACACGAGGACCCCACTTGACTCTGCATGCTTCTGCATGGCATCTGAGGGGTCTCATATGTATTATTTTCCCTTCTGCATACCCAGCTGAATACCAGTGACTCATTTCATTATCGAGTCCAATAGACTATACACTATCGCAATGACTGTCGGTGTAGCGATTATCGGGAGTGGTAAGTCTGCGCAGTCAAAATCTTTCTACAGGCGAATCGAGCATTGAATTGATCTGTTTATATACAGGCCATTTTGCCAAAGAGCAGCATCTGGTATGAAAAAATTCCTCTCAAAGCATTTCACTCCTCGATTAGTTCAACTTGAAGTTGAGTAAGTATCCACCACTAATCACTCTCACAGCCCGCCGTGAAAGCAGCAGAGCAGTTGCATCTGAAGGCCATATATTCTCGATCCCGCAAGTCCGCACAGGACCTCGCCGGGCAACTCTCAGACATTGACCTCTACTCCGAGGACTCCGGCGCAGGGAAAACTTACACAGATCTTCTAGCACGCGATGACATCCAAGCCGTTATTATCGGGTAGGTAGTTCCATCATCCAATGATGATCAAAATTTATGGACCAGAGCTAACGATAACTAGTCTTCCTATCCTGATTCAACCGGATTTCATTAAACAGGCACTATTAGCAGGAAAACATGTTCTGTCCGAGAAACCCATCGCTAAGGATGTAGCGACGGCTTGCGAGCTCGTGGAATGGTATCATGCTCACATCGACACGAGCAGGTTCATCTGGGCTGTTGGCGAGAACTTTCGGTACCTAACGAAGTTCATCTTCGCAGCTGAGCAGGTCCGTCAGATGGGCGCTGTGCGGAGCTTCCGGGTCAACGTGCATCAGCTGGTAAAGCAAGATAATAAGTATTACTGTAAGTCTTGATTTTTTATGATACTGGTAACTCATGCTAATAATTTCCAGTAACGGCTTGGCGCAAAACACCTGAATACCAGGGTGGATTTCTGCTAGATGGTGGTGTACACATGGTTGCAGGATTACGATTGATTCTTGGCGATGAGAAGATTCAGACTATCTCCGCACACTCACAACAGCAGCAAGACTACCTACCCCCAGTGGATACTGTTGATGCAGTTGCGAAGACCGGCTCCGGAGCTACGGGAGTGATTTCTCTTTCGTGGGGCTCCGCGTTCAATGATAATGTTTTCGAGTTCTCTTGTGAGAAGGGTGTTGTGAGTCTGCGTTTTGATGATGTCGTTGTTAATGGCCACAATCATCATATTGAGTTCGATGGGAAGGGAGTTGTGCCGGAGGTTGCGGAGTTTGCGACGGCTGTCAGTGATGGGAGATCCGTTGCGAGAAGGCAGTCGCCTGAGGAGGCACTAGCGGATTTGGAGGTTCTGGAACAGATGCTGCAAAGTGGAGAACGAGATGGAGAGAAGATGGTGCTTAACTGGCAGTGATGGAATAATGTTGCAGAGTTTGACAGGAAATTCTAGATTCTTAAATCTTTGTGCTAGTGCCTGTTCGAGTTCAAACAAATAGATTCATAACTATGAGCTATAACTATGAGCTATACAAAGGATAAAAGTCAATAATTTCAAGACAAAACTCAATAACAAAATCAGAACAGGCTGAAACGACTTGAATCGTTCATCTTGTACGTCGGGGTCGAGCTGCTGCCCGAGCTTTAATACTCTCAGAGAAATGCACCATTCTCCCAGCAATATCAACAAACCCACACTGCGAAGCAATTGCCAAGACCTCATCGAATGTAGGTGAACCAATCCACTTATCCGGCAAACGTTCCATGATAATCTCGCATTTCGATTTAGCAATATCAGTAGCTTGGGTGACCGAAAGTCGACTGTCCGGCGCAGGGTTCTCCATGTAATCACGGAGTCCATAACATATAGCTTTGAAGAGGTATCCAGTCAACTCAAATTCCTCGAATGCCTCATCCTCAACACAATCTACCATGGTTTCAAAGACCGACAAATTTGTCATATTCCGAGCTGCAAGCTCCAGAGCACATCCTGCATACTCATTTAAAAGTGCACTCTTACTACCACTCTTCATATCAGTAGGTCGGTCCCAGACTTTCAAGGGATCAAGTTGGCCACAAAGCCACCGAATACATGCAGGATTGTTACCTGCTGCAGCTATATGCAGTGTATCTTTTCCCTTGAAGTTCTTCTCCGCGACTTCATGACTCGAGTTAACTAGTAGCCAGGTCATATATGCATCCCCGTGTGGATTGTATAAAGCAGCGATATGCCAGGCAGTCTTTTCCTCACAAAGTTCACGTTTGCAGATATTCGCGATACTGAACTTGTTTTTGCGTAGTTTCTCCGCAATTTCGGGACTCAAGAACCGGTTCAAAAGCGCCCGAGTCGGGTTATCGACGTATTCTGCCATTTTTTTGCCCTTCCTATCCTTGATCAGCTTTTTGATAAGAAGCTCGCATGCCCATTCCCAATTCGTTCTGGTGACTAGTCGAAGAACAGCCATCTTCGCAGTGAAGCGATGATTATTAAGTCGAATGTGGTGGACATTCGTATAGTTGAAGAATTCATCCTCAGACATCTTCTCAAGGAGGTAGGTTAAGACGGCAGGGTTCTTCGCTCTAATTGCAGCTTCAACCCAGTTGAAGCCGTATCCGTCATATCCTTGGAGCTTAATGATGTCGTGTCGAATCAGGAAGTCAAGACAGTGTGCGCAGTTTGATGCGCAGTCAAAGGCAAGAGAGGTCAGGCCATGTGCAAGACCACGTCCCATTCCTAGTTGCCAGTCCAGATCGTTTGTATCTAAGTCTTGAATGGTCGCACCCTTCCAGTGTTGAAGGCGGTTTGTGAATTCCGCACTAGCCTTCTCGTAATCTGGGAATGCTCTGATGTATGAATCAAACGCCTGTAGCACGTGGGGGCATTTCATCCACTCTGCAACACAATAGTTTGCTACGTCGCTTGCGCTCTCCAAGATATGAATAAGGTGGATATCCCGTTGGAGGAGATTCGGGTTCGGGGATTCAATTTCAATCTCACAGCCGACTATTCTGTCGAGGAGGCTACAGAATATGTCAAGGCCCAGACACGGAGAGAAGATGGAATACCGGTGTGCTATATCGCGTTGCACTTCTGCTCGGAGTTTTCTTTCGAGTTTTTCTGTGTTGTATAGAGTTTTGTGGAGTTCGTGAGTTACAGGCCCATCTGTGTTGTCGGGGTCATGTTCCCTCTTGACTTTCCCGTCATCTGAGACCATGATGCCGAATTTAAGCTCACGGGCTATTTCGACTAACTCGTTAAAATAGGAATTCCATCGTCTCAATCGTTTGGGTGTGAGTGTCAAGGATGTAATCGCTCCATCTGGGGTCGATCGGTCGTCCGAGTCCAACTCCATTTCTGCTGGAAGTTCCACGTCTGACTCGAATTTCGAGGACATTTTGATGGAGATTATTGACTGTAGGTTTGAATTGATATTGGGTACAAAGGTTCAACGGTGAGGGTTAATAACTTTCAACATGATCAAGAGGGTGATCATTCATGCTTATATTTTTGAATACCCCTTCCTCGATTCGAGGATTTGTCTTCAAGTTCTTTGTTCCGAACTTTGGAACATCCATTGCCTATAATTAGTGACCTCAATACTCTTTGGTTCATGTCCGCCCTGAAACAAAGGCCAAAACATATTCTGCCAGCAAACCTCTGTTGCAAGTTTTGTTCAAAGAAAGGAAATCTGTCATGAATGTCATCAAAGTGGCGAAGGTGAGATTAAAGTGTTCTTTGTCTCGACTGTGATGGCAGAGCTCGAGGGCATGCTGCATGCAAGTACAGGGTTTTAGTTCAGGTCCTACAAACTGGAAATTCACCCGTAATTGGTGGTAGATATTCACGGAGGAATTTATGCCTTGACACTCCGATAAAGTTGATCATTTTGGTACCATATAAAAAAACATAAGGATGTAGACATCATGTAGTAAGTTGACCCAAGATGAAATGATCTATACAATAGAAGTCACGTGCTATCCAAATACGGATACCTATCTTGGCAGGGCTATGTGTCAGCAAGCCCTACGCTGACATAATCCACACCATTTCGCTTAGGTCGCTCAAATCACACTAGTGTGGGTCGCCCACGCCGCTCTGCTTGGAAGTTTTCGAGATTGACTTAGTTCCGACTCGACAACTCTCGAACGCCCGGCGAGACCCAGCAACACCGACAAAGTGAGTCTTTCACGTCCATTCGATTCGTTTCAACATCCTGACGGTTTTTCTTTTTCACAGATGGTCGCCGCAAAGAAGCACATCCCTATCGTCAAGAAGCGTATGTTCCCCGATTTTCGACCCTCCGATTCCCACCTGTGGCCTGGATAGCATCACCTTTCGACCCTACCAAGACGATATGAGAAGATTGAAATTGAATTGCACGAGGAGAAGGAGGAATCATTCAACATTTGAGGGGGGAATTCATCGATGTTCAATTTTTACACGGCAACGCGAATTTATCTTGAAGGGTTGAAGGGCGATTACTATCCATGGAAATTCACCACGCACACCACAATTATTCGATAAAAGACGAACTCAGAATGGAAGGAACTGACTGGATGCAATAGGCACCAACCGCTTCACCCGTCACCAGTCTGACCGGTTTATGCGTGTTGACCCTTCTTGGCGCAAGCCCAAGGGTATTGACAATGCCGTCCGCCGTCGCTTCAAGGGCCAGATTGCCATGCCCTCCGTACGACTCCCATCCTCCCAGCAATTTCGATCACCGCACTAACAAAGTCGAAATTATAGATCGGTTACGGTTCCAACAAGAAGACCCGTCACATGATGCCCTCCGGCCACAAGGCTTTCCTCGTCCACAACCCCAAGGACGTCGAGCTCCTCCTGATGCACAACCGCACCTACGCTGCTGAGTATGTCCAATCGATGCGCCTTGAACTTGAATCCGAGAAGTGATTCCGAACCGAATCTATACTAACTACAATAACTTTACAGGATCGCCCACGCTGTCTCTTCCCGCAAGCGCGTTGAGATCATCGCCAAGGCCAAGGCTCTCGGTGTCAAGGTCACCAACGCCAAGGGCCGTGTTACCACTGAGGCTTAAATGGAATGAACCTCAAAAGTTCTGTTTCGTTTTTTTAATCGGTAGTGGGTATTCGGAGCATGAGTGCGTCAGGGTTTTTGTACGGTCGTGATACTATCTCTCTGGCGATAACGAATTTCAAGGATTGTGCATGCCGTGCCATATGCGGCTCGCGCTTGGTCATGTGCTGGGCGGATAGAGCAAGAGAAATCTTCTCTGAAATGACAAACAAAAATTCAAAATCTTCTTCTTTGTGCATTATATGCATTATTCCTGGAGCACATGTTCGCTTGTTCTAGACCACCTCTAGCTGAGTACAGTCCTGGAGGTACTACCCCAGGACTGGATATAGTCAACATTGAAGTTTCAAGACGCGTCATTCAAGTTTCGAATGTTCCCAATTTGAAACCCATTATAGACCTCTGTCTCAAGTAAGATGATGTGAACCCCCCCAATCACTCCTAAAAGCACTGAGTGGAGCATGTAGTACCTTGCCAGTGGGACCTCGAAATTATCACTAGCGTTGATCATGCCAGGTACCTATGTGCAGGCGATACCTCCTATGTAGCTATATGTAACTTGTTTGAATGATGAGTGCTCCAACTTGAACCTTGGAAATCTTAAAAATACATCTGTTATGTACTACTAGTACATCCATATGTAGTACGTGTTCTCAGACATTGAACATCTGAGTCTAGACTACACTGATGCTTATCACCTAGTATGTATCCATTATTCAAACTCGAACATTTCAACCTACCAATTGACCTCAAGTGCTACTAGGTATCTAATTTTTCGGTTGGATAGGTACTATCAAGTCACACCAGTTGACCTGGGCAGCACCTGCATGTGGGTACTATATACAAAGCACTTCAAGTTCCAAGGTCCACGGGTTGGGGATATATAAGATCAACTTGCCAGAGCTTCAAGCTTGAATGTTGAATTGATGGATTTTTTCAATACTACATACATCAATTGATATGTAGTACTACTACTACTAGTATGGATGATGGATGTTGCCCACCTGGGCACTGACTCGGACACTGGCATTTTTCTCGATATATATCATCATGATCCCGGGTCCCGATATCCATTCTTGAAGGACCCACTGTCACCTGGGCAGTGGTATATACATGTACTCATAGGTATGTGCACCACACTCTTCACTACCATGTACCTAGTGGCAGCTTCAAGTTCACCTTGAAGCCCTCTCGCTTCAAGGTGCTACATTTATAACCAATGTGTTACTCAGGGCTAGTAACCACTGGCAAGTTCAATTCAAGTTCGCTCCTCAATTCTACTATGTATGTAGTAGTGGATCAATATATGGACTCAAATATTACTCCAAATCATCCGAGTCGTGATAGAAATCCGTGTGTATATCCTGCGCCAAACCTTTGCATGGATCCAAGTAGATCAATTGATTCATAGACGAGGGGTGTAGTGATATTGATCAAGGACTAGTTGATCTCTACGCTATTGGCTGGCCTGTTTCAAAGTGTTGATCTGGCAAGCGAGGGAAGTCGATGACCAGCCATTTTGATCCAGAACCCCATGCAGATCACACCTCCCAGCTCTCAATTAGATCGCTTGCTTGCCATTAGCCGATTCAAAAGGTGATCTTGATCTTGTGTGTGATCTCTGGTGTGTGATCTTGCGCGCAACCCTCAGGGTATAAATATAATCGATTTCCCTGTTTTCCTCTTCTTCTTCTTCTCCTTCCTCCACCACACCTTCAAGGTCCTCTACTTCTTCTTCTTCTTCTTCTTCTTTGGATACTCTATCCTCCACTCTTTTGTTGATACTGTCAGTCTTCTGTCTTCTCAACGTGTTGCCTGATCACCGACACGTTGATGGATTCATTTGTTGACATTTCTTCACCTCTTTACCATGACGCGTCTCTGCCCTAACATGTCTTTACTTTGTTGACATCACATGCTTCTATCTTGACATGTCTCTTTTACCATGACACGTCTTACTTTGTTGACACATCCTCCTTCATGGTATTCTACCTTTTCGGTCTCTCAAACATTATCAACATCAACTACAGTTGCTGTTACTCTGTGTTGACATGTCAACACACTCCAACATGACATGACCTTGTTGACATGACCCTACACTGTCATCACATCAACACACTCTTCCACCAATACATTCCAACATGACACTACCTTGTTGAAGTCTCTCAACCCTTCTCAACATCAACTACAACTGATGTTACTTTGTGTTAACACTTTGACATATCGTTCCGTCAACACACTCCAACATGACATGACCTTGTTGGCATGTCAACACACTCTTCCATCAACATACTCCAACATGACACTCCATTGTTGACATGACCTTACTCTGTCAATACATCACAATGTTCTACTCTGTCCACATTGTCCTACCTTCCATCTTTTGGGAACCCATTTATCCATCTTTGAGATCAATATATCTCTTCATATCATCCCTCGCTCTGATGAGCTTTTGTTTTTACTTGGGGGCTGTGTGGATCGGTTCGTCGCCTACATGACCTTCTACAAAGACTTACTAACACCCACGTAGGCAATTTCCAAATTCACCAGCCTGTGATCAATCGACGCCCTCCCTCCTCCGACGCCCTCCTTCCTCCGATTCGACATGCAGGTGGTGGCACAATCTGCAGGGACGACGACGCACAGAGGAGAAGAAGCTCCAAGTGCATTACCACAATACAATACGACATGCAGGGGTGGCACAATCTGCAGGGCGGCATAGCGGAGAGGAAGCTCCGAGTGGGATGGATAGAACAATGTGATTGCTGAAGCTTAATAAAGCTTGCTTTATATTTGTATCTGGATCCACACCTGGACCAAACTATTCCTGTACTACATGATCTGATTACTTGATCATACCTGTTCCACTCAAGGCTGTACTTGCAACTTGGTCTAACATCTCCAGACCCCCATATAGACTTGGATAAACAAACTTCTATACACAAGAGACTGGTATTGGCTGTAGGAATATATGAATAGATATAGAGAGTGATCAGACATAGAAGCTTAAACCCCAATCACTCTTCCGTTCAGCGATGTAGAAATCCATAATACATGTGGTATGACTGGTAGTGTTGTTCATTTTCGCCCTGATTCCTGCATTCAGAACTGTGCTAGAGCTATAGAACCGTGTTGGACCTAAAGAACCGTGTTGGAGCTACATAGTTGTTTTGGAGCTACAGAACTATGTTGGAGCTATAGAACCGTGGGACCTGCAGAACCGTGTTGGAGCTGTAGAACTGTGCTGGACCTGAAGAATTGTTTCGAACCTACAGAACCGTGTTGGACCTACACAACTGTTTCGGACCTGCAGAACCACCTGGGCAACATTGGCACTTTGACATTCTCACGCCTTACACCACACAGTATATGGATGGATTATAGTGGAAAATGGTCAAGACCTCCAGGCCGTATACCTTACTACTGGTAGTAGCGTGACCAACTCTCCGAGTCGTTCATTCAAAATTCTAATATTGGAATTCCGACATGACTAGGAACTTGAAGCTATAATTAGCACCATAGTGTATGCCCCCCCCCCCCCCGCAGGAGACGCCCACAGTCGGGCCCACTGGCACGTCCCCATGTACCCCGGGTTTATTAATGCTAGAGTTGTACTAGTGTGATTTAAATAAAAACATTGAGAATATGATGATTCTGATTGATATAATTCACAAAAGATTATTGCAGTTCGAAATAAAGAAACTGATTCCTGTATACAAGTATATATAGTCAACTGGTAAGTGGATTAAGATAAGAGATAAGCTTGACATATGACATCAGAGTGTTAATTGGCTCATTACTCGGAATTAAAGACCCGTGATCATTTCTTGGTAAATGCTTGAATTTGTTCTAGCCCTTCTACAATGCACTTCATGCACCATCTGTTACATATCAAATTCTATATCGGTGGCAAAACTCGGAACTTTCAATCCTTTGACCCGTCACATCCTAGGAATTTCTTGCTTCAATTGATCGTCAGACCCACTTGTTCAGGGGTCCTCGTGGGCCCTTTTGTAACACGGCGCTTACAAAAAAAGAGCAACAGGATCAGGCTGCGTGACGCTAAAAGAAGAGCACAATGGCAGTCAAAATTCAGATTCTCAAGTCTCCTTTCCAAATCAACTGTTCAACTTCAAGTTTTTAAGAAACTGTCCCAAAAAAGCTGTGGGATTTCCTCTGTGACAGGCCTTTCTATGCACCTATCATTACTCCAAGCAGAAAGGGAAAAAGTGGAACGAATCGCCGATCGGGCCAATGCTATCAAACAAGGCGCCAGCATAAAACCCCTAAAAGCCACAGGAAGGCGGTGCTATTTAATCCCCATTTCCTCCCTCTGAAACAGCTCCCAAAGACTCGTCTTTCTTTGTGCATCCATTCCTTTTTATCAAGATGGAAATGGAGGGCTGGTAAATACATTCATTACAGCTTGATTTTCATACCCGCCATTAACAATGCAGGCGTTCCCCGCCCGCTATTCCCGCTGGATGCCCATTCTAGCTGGAGTGGTTATAATCTTTCTTTTCTTACATTTACGAAAATCCGGCTTCGGAATATACACACCACAAGTAATTATCGATACCGATTTCAACTCTACAGATACCGCGCCCTCAAATTGGACATCAACACCTACAAATCAATCAGAAATCGAAATCGAAATCGAAATCGAAATACCCACTCCATCCTGTCCTCCCTTGCCCGGAATCGAAGATGTGCTAGTCATACTCAAGACTGGAATAACAGAAGCACAAGAGAAAGTGCCCGTCCACATCCGCACAACGCTACACTGCATCCCGAACCTTCTCATTGTCTCGGATTTCGAAGAAGACATTACCGGAGTCCGCACCCACGATGTCTTCCGGAATACGAGCGCTTCCGTGCGACAAAATCCCGACTTCGCACTATATAACCGAGCCCGAAAATCCGGCCGAGCCGGTCTTACCGAACAGGATTTGGTAAAAGTTGCCAATAGCGCAGCTGGGATGTCAGATAATCCAGGCTGGAAACTGGATAAATGGAAATTCCTACCGATGGTAGTTGAGGCGCGGAATTATCAATCTGATGCGAAATGGTTCGTCTTCTTAGAAGCTGATACTTTCCCCATTTGGTCGAATCTGCTGGGTTGGTTGGAGCATTATGATTCGAATCAGAAATGGTATATGGGGAATCAGATGCAGATTGGATCGAGTATCTTCGCGCATGGAGGTTCGGGATTCGTACTTTCCAACCCGGCTATTCATGCTGTTGCGGATGAGTATATGGACTCAGAGCGCATGGGTTATTGGCATGCGGAAACAGAACGACATTGGGCTGGGGATTGTATTTTGGGGATGGCGCTTGCTGCAATTGATATCCCGTTGACTTGGGCTTGGCCACATGTTACTGGACAGTCGGTTTGGGAGCAGGATGCTGTTAATGATGAACGGGGGAAGAAACAATGGTGTTATCCTCCCTTCACGTTTCATCATATGGCTCCTGAGGATATTGAGCAGATGTACGATTTTGTTAAGGAATGGTATGCGAGTGTAAGTTCGTCCCAGATTCAGATCATTGATACTCCCTTACTCATCTTTTTCAGGAACCCGGACCTTATATGCTATATGGCGATGTCTTCCAACGGTTCATCCGCCCAAAACTTGCAGATAGAATGGAGAACTGGGACAATATGGCGCCAGAAGAAGTAAAAAAGGAAGGCGAAGAACCGACCAAGTGGACATTATATGAATGCGCCGAGGAATGTGCTAAGAAGCCTCGTTGCTTGCAATACCGTGTCGACGAAGCTGGAACATGCAAGACCTCTGAATGGGCTCTCCGTGGTAAACCATCACCTGGAGTGATGACTGGCACGATGATGTGGAGGGTGGATTCTAGAATCCAGACTTTGGGCGAGTGTACCAACCCGCAATGGATCGTTCCGACTCGATGAGATGACCTAGATTGGAGGTCTAACTTTAACTTTACTTTCACTTTCACTTCCACTTACATTTTCTTTCTTTCTACCTCTCTTTTCATACTTTCTGTGGATTTACTTGGATCTGGGATAACATCAGGCGTATGGTATAGGTGCATTGGGATTGGAATACTACATCTGGAGCCTTGTTTCAAAGGATGTGCAATATTCAATTTTAGATACCATGGCAATTAAACAAAATTCTATATACTCAAGTTTTATGCCATCATTTATATGCAAATCGGATAGACCCCCTTCTATGCTAATCCAAATAGAACGAAATGGTATCATCAACCAACACCAAAGCATGCAATTGGAACTTCAATGAAAAGCTCAGATTCACCTTACTGTGCCGCGGACGAAACAGCTTCAGTCACCTCCGGAGCAGGAACAGGAGCATTGGTCTCTTCAGTCTTAGAAAGACTCGAAAGATCCAACATGCCCACCCCAGTCAACAAAATAGGACCAGTAGGAGACTTCGTTCCCTCAGGAGTCTGGCCATCATCATCAACCCCAATCTCTGGAGGAACAGTTCCATGTCCAATAACGACCTCCTCGCCATCATTAGCAGGAACCCAATCAGGAACCTCTTTGGGACCCTCAAAACCAGTCGGCGGCATACCCCAAGATGGCATCTTACTCCGGTAAGACCAATCACCATTGCGATCCGTATACGCAACAGCATGTAAGAAGATTCCAAGCTCATGAACGGTAGGATCAGAGTAAAGTGGTGTATCACAGACCTCACAATTCTCACCAGAAAGTCTCTCTCCCTTCCTCTTAGAATAATCCTCCGCAGCAGCCTTCTGTTCCCGCTCCATCAACTGCGCCAGGATAGCAGGATCCGTATTCGGAGGTACATCCGGCGAAGCCATAAAATGATTCCGGTAGACGGTATCAGGTAACTCAGTCTTACCCATTTTATTCAAACGAGCCATAATCTCCTCGTCGCGTTCTCCATGAGCCTCATTCTTAGCAAGTTCAGGACCGAAAACGCGGCGGTTCGAGTAGATCGGATCATTCGAGATAGGATGACCAAGGAACTGAAGATGCACACGAATCTGATGCGTACGACCCGTAAGTGGAAAGCAGTGAACAATACTATATCCCTCAGATTCATTGGCTAGCGTATGCGGCGGTGTCGCAGGACGCCCATCGTCACTAGCAGCAGGAACCGCAAAATCTGCCCCAGGAGGGTAATACGCAAGACAACGGAACTTCGTCGTGGCAGTTTTACCAGTTGCGCGAACTCGGTTTAGTCCTAGCTTCGGACTAACCTGCATAATCGGTTGATCGCAAACCAACACACCATCCGGGAATTTGCCCTTAACACGTGCGACGTATTCCTTTTGCACGGATCGTTCCTGGAGTTGCTTCGCCATTCGCTCTGCGCCCTTGGGATCCTTTCCGATGAACATCACGCCGGAGGTGAGACGGTCCAGTCGGTTACAGGGTCGTGGAAGCCAGCCCTGGCCGCGCTCGGCGCGGAGGATTTCGATGATGGAGTTGAAGTGGTAACGACCTGCAGCATGAACGGGGATTCCGGCGGGTTTGTCGATTACGATTAGGTCATCGCTTTCGTCGATGATTCCTATCGGTTGTGCGGAGACGGGTGGTTCGTGGCGATGGCAGGTATGCGAGATGACTTGACCGTTCTTGATAACGGTTGAACGACCGGAGGGTTTACCGTTTACAGCGACGAGGCCTTGATCGAGTGCCCATCTCTGAAGTAGTGTTAGTTCCGTAGTTCAATACTGAGGATTGGGTATGAACATACGTAGTATTCTGGGGTTCGGTCTCGGAATTCAGATGTGAAGATATCCTCTAGTGTGCGTCCGCGCCAGCGCTCTTTACAGTTCGTGTTATATGTATAATGGTATGGCTTCACGCGACGCAGACCACCTTCTAGGTAATATGGTGCTGGCCAGGGATCGCAGGGAGTCACGCAGACATCGGGCGGTTGTGCGACGGAATCGGCAGGGACAGCGAGGGGATCGATAGTAGTGAGGGCCATGACAGGCGGCGGGGGAAGAGGTAGTTTACCTCGCCGGAGCAAATAGGCCGTAATGCGCGGAGAGGGAGCCAGGGAGAATGGCGATTGACTTAAGCCAATTTGTCCAGTTGTTGGTTTGTGGCGGGGAAAATTGAAAGAAAAAAAAATTGGAGAACGATAAGCACACCGTGGATTCCACTGTGGAGTAATCCCCGTATTGCCACACTTTACTCATTTGATCTATGGAATAAGTATATAATACATAGTTCATAGAGATATTTTCATCTGAATTGATCATTCTATAAATGTTTGTTTGTTTCATTCATTTTCATCCCAGGTCTGATGCTGGGCTTACCTAATCTGGACCTCGGTTCATCAACTCCGAGGCAGTGGAGATGCATATCATTCCCCGCGAGCTCCAAGTGTCTTCAGACTATCTGCTACAGTTGAAACACGTTGAGAGAAAGATGGCACCTCCCGAATACGAGGCTAAGAAGCGCCGTGTGCGTAGTGACTACGGATATCACCAGGTTCACCAGACAAGATGGTAATATCAACACAACATAGACTATGAAGATACCGCAGTCACTAACGAGGATTATCAGGTTCGACAATGATATGTACGCGCATCTGAATAATACTGTTTACACAGCTCTATTCGACACAATTGCAAATGCCTATTTGATCGAGCATTGTGGCATGAATCCCTTTAGCGTGAACAATCCCACGCCTAAGAGCCAAAGCGGAGGATCTGCTATATCAGTCGGCACAGATCAGATTGGGTTGATTGTGTCCACACATGCTGATTTTTTCGCTTCTGTTGCATTCCCGGATATTCTTGAGGTTGGGCTACGAGTTGCCAAGTTGACCTCTTCCACTGTGACGTGGGAAATTGGCGTGTTCCGACAGGGAGAAGAGAATGTGAAGATGGTGGGAACTTATACGCATGTTTTTGTGTTAAGGGAGACGATGCGCGTTGGGAAAGGTGGGATGGAGGCTCAGGTGCGTCAAGGATTGGAGAAGATACTTTCTGGACCGGATTCGAAGCTGTGATCGGATTAATGGTTCGGATGTTTGTATATACGATAATCGCGAGAATCAAGACCAGTCAGTGGGCGGCTGCCCAGGTGTACATACCATGCTGCTTGAAGAGTCACGGAGCCAGGTCCATCCGAGACACATGTGCAGAATAGTACTTGAGAGTGTAAGTCTGGGACATAAGAAGGACTGGAATCTTAAAGTTTGAGATATTGATATTTTTTGACAATGTATCAAATTAAATCTATTGAGCCACTCATGAGCCCACAAAAGCGCTATCCATGCGCCGTCGTAGATCATCCCAAGTGCCTCGCTAAAACAAACCCAGTCTAGTCTAATCTATCATGTATTCAAGATAAAAAACATATAACAAAAATAAAATCAGAATCCCAAAAAGAAATGCACCCGTAACCCGGTCATCACGAAATAAGTCAAGTACTTTTGATAACCCATGACCACGCTTAAACGTTTCCGAAATCCCAAATGAAGCGCGAAAAAAGGGTATGGTAAAACAAAGATGAAGGGGCGGGTGTGAGGATATAGCATCCAAAACAAGGTAAGACGATCCGAGTTATTCCACCTTGGCCACAATAATACTACTGCAGCGAGAAACATTGGCACTGGTCGGCGGCGAAACACCGCGACGCATCGTCTCACCATCCTCATCAAGCCACCACTTAGGGTAAGGTCCAGGGATGAAACGACCCTTATCATCCCATCCAGCAACCCAGTGGACACCGTCATCAAGAAGGAAGAAGCGCAGCTTCTCCGGACGACCGCCTTTATTTAAGGGTGCGATGAAATAGCGCGAGCGCTCTTCGAGTTCGGACTCGAACATGTAGCGGTGCAGAACGCGACAGTAGACCAGAGCCGCGGGGACCTTTTCGTCTTCATCGCGGCCGTCACGACGGATAAGGTGCCAGCCTTGGCCCGGGAAAAACCGGTAGGTACCTGGGACAGGACTCTCCCAGTGTTGTTCGCGGTTGACGTCGCTGTTGATACGCTCACCGTGCTGAAACCAGTAGAGTGGACAGCAGAGGGTGCGTAGACAGAGGAAGAGGTTGGGGGCCATGATAGATGGCTGAATCAAGAAAAAAAAAACAAATGTTGGTATAGTTGCAAAGTGCTATGCAGAGCAGGAGCAACGAAGAGTTGTGTATCAAAGGCAAGAGCGAAGAAACAGCGCTGAAATGCGGGATGAATATATGTATAAACAGATCCAAGAGAGGACGGCGTGGTTATAAGTGGACGTCCATTGTGATGTATAATTCGAGATCAATAAGACGAAATCGATGTAAAAAAGGAGAATTGACAGGGGACCTTCAACTTCTTAGAAGTTAGGGGAAGGGTCCTGATGGGAAAAAGCTCTGGTGGCTTGGTATTTCAAACAAGGAATGTGAGTAAAAGCGACTGAGGACAGCCACTGTTCCAGGACTTGCGGCAAGAGACCGATTCGGGATATACGCAATGGACACTCGGACCAGAGGAAATGTCGTTATCGTTGCGGTGAGAGTGAGAAAGGGTGCACGGAGTACACGACGCCGGGAGGAGAGAAATCCGGGAGAAAAAGGGTGATAAGCTTGCAGCTTTACGCTAGTCCAACAGACTTTGAAAGAGTCCGGGGAGAGGGATAGCGAAGAGTTCAGGGCGAATCAGGAAAAAGGAGATAGAGAATATCAATGAATATCATAAATTGGTCGGGAGGGAAGAATCGGCGACTCGCAGCAAAGACAATGCGTCACACAGCCGATGTTAAGGCTCGATAGGAGCGCATGCGAGCATCACAGCATTTGACTGGAGGAAGGAAGCTGATATATAAAAGGAAAAAGAGAAATTGAATAAAAAAAAAGATAATAAAAAATCCTTGTGGGAGTTTCAGTATGGGTCTAGTTCCCGCGTAACTTGGTCGGCCCCATCACCTTAAACCGTAAGCTGGAGATGAAAAAGATGAAATTTTCCTCGCGGATCCACCCGAGCTCTTGGTTCACGCGCGATTTTTTGCTACTAGTTGTCTTGTTTTGGGTTGAATGTGAAATTCTAGATGGAATATACTAGTCAAAACTAGTAACTTCGTCGAGATGAGGATCATCGGTGTCTCCGTAAGGCTGCTCACATGGTTCTTGGCATATATGAAAGTACCTAATAGGTACTGATCATGCCATACATGTGCAGCGGTGAACTTGAGCTGACTATGAACCCACTATAAAGCTGACTAGATCAAATGTGAGATCGAAAAATAAATAGAAATTGAAAATTCATTCGCACGTGTACTAGAATTCATGACATCACGTAAAACAACTATTCCCATTGGTCTTAAGTCCATCGCATCGTACATTCGCGTAGGAGGTGGAGTATTAATAGTATACTACTAGCATTTGGTTAACTTATACAAGTCATGATCGACAAAGACCATGTGGCACTAAGCAGGGGGAATAAGGGAAATGAGATTGAGCCGTTTCAAGTACCGAGTATTTTCTTTCTATTTTAATATATTTCTTTTGTTATTATTTGGACCATAAAGAAGAAAGAAAATTTGACTTCATATGCAAGGGGCGGAAAACCTGGTATCTCATTGTAAAACACTCGAAAAATAGTCTCCGATCCATGCTCCTTCAATTGAGCCCCCAGTACTTACAAGTCCATCGGGCCGAATGATCACAATTCCTCCACTCTCCAATCCGAATTTCTGATGTGCCACGTATTCAAGATCGAAGAACAAATTCCCGAATGGATCCATATCCAGGGCTTCATACGGCGAGCATCCCGCCGCGGCACTAACCGTGATCCACCCCACATTTCCATTGAAATTTTCCTTGGTTTCCAAATCCTTTTTTAGTTGTAAAAGCCTCATTCGCGTAGTGGATATGTCGCCAGTGAATAGCACTGCCCAGAATTTGGCTATGTTGCGCGTAATCTCTTGAAAACGCAATTTGCGGCCTGTTCCCGGCATAGTCAATTCCACATCTGGGGGCCGACTCCCTGCTCGAACGCCTCCGAACTCGGTGGACAAACGGTTCAGATGATTAGACGTATAGGAAATTCCTAATCCCGTGTTAAATGAAGCCGCTTTTTCAAATATCGTACCAAGTACAATGTAAGGATCAGCGTTGGGGTCGCCTGTATACCACGCGGGCCATTTATGAGATATCAGGATTGAGATATCCTTGTCATACTCGATCAGTTGTTGAACGGCAGATATCCGCTCTGTTGAGTATGTTTGAAGCACGGCGGGATTTGTAACTCCGCGGATATGCAATGCTAGTTTCCAGGCTAGATTCACCGCATCGTGGATACCGGTATTCAATCCTTGGGCTGCACCGCTACTGTGAGTATGTGCTGCATCACCACAGAGGAAGATCCGATCTTGAGTTGAGAAGGTCTTGGCTATTCGTTGTCCGATAGAGTACCTGTGAATGAACATCAGCTACAAGTTTGATCAATTGATGATTGGAAGGAGCTCTGAGTCCTTACAGAGTCCACCAGTGTATCTCCTTAAAAGTGACATTGAACGGCTTCATAGATTCAATTGCTTCTTTCTCGGCGACTTCTTGTGTAACCCCGTCTGGGTATTTCGATGCGATCTGAGAACTGTATGCATAGCCGATGCGCGTCGCGCCGTGATCCAATGGAGCCCACAGCACATTCCCGTGGGTCTTGCTTTCGATAGCACTGGGAAGCTCAGAATGATGATCAAACAAGTTTCTGCTCTCACTTACCCATAGGAACGACTGATTGGCATGTCAGTTTCTACAACCCCGTCAATCCGAACCCATTTATCATCCGATGTATCTCCCTCGAAGGGTATCCCTGCATGCCGGCGAACGAAACTCCTTCCCCCATCTGCACCGACAAGATATTTACTAGAGAAGATCAGCCAAGTTTCATTTCACACAATCCAAATTGTCTATGTACTCACCTCCTAATATTGAATGTCTGACCTGTAGCCCGGTTCTTAAACGTGGAGACAACCCCCTTTTCATCAGAACGAAAGTCAATACATTCCGTTGCTTGATAATACGTGACGCCAATCGAGCTCAATTTGTCACGAAGTATCTGTTCCGTATACATTTGGCGAAGCACAAGGACAAAATCATATGATGTGTCTTGGATATTCTCCATAAATGTCCACACTCTCCCAGGGAGTCTGTCCGAAGTTAGTACTGATACAAAATAAGTTAACCTATCATGCAAGGTTTCCTACACTCTTTCTCCATCCTTGTAGGTGACGCTAGTTCGACACGCAAAGCCAAGTTGTAACATTGGCTCAATCAGGTCCAGCTGGTCGAGCATTTCCAGCGTTCTTGGGAAAAGAGCAATTGCGCGCCCGTACGCATCTTGGGATTGCTTGTCATGTTGTTCCAGAACGCAGACTGAGGTTCCGAATCGCTTTAGTTGATAGGCAAGGAGAAGGCCAACTGGCCCTCCGCCCACGATCACGACATCATATTCCGTGTCCCTGTTCATTTCGCTGGAAAATGCCATTCCGAGAGGTGCACTCATACAAGAATAGATTAGGAAATAATCTCACTCATTCCTGGAATTTGCTCATCAAGGCACGCCTGCTGCATCTTGGAGGTAAAAGAATGTATGAATTTAAGTCTTAATCAGGAACCGGCGATCACCTCCCCCATTGCGCATGGATGCAAATAAGATATCTAATCTCAGTGAAAATCAACTCGGCCGGCTACCTCGGGCAAACTCACGGCCTATCAATAGTGACACAACCGTCGGGAGTGCCGGCGATGTAGCTTGTGTGTCTCCAAGTCGCGGGGTATAACAGATGACAATGTCGGCCAGGCCGACTCAACCCCGCATCATGACATCTTCTTATCTCTCGATACTATCTGATAGTTAGTGTGAATTGACATAAAGCTGAAATATGGGAACCTGAATCGTCCTTATTTGCAGGGGTCATAACTTCCTAATAGTATTCAACATCGGCATTATTCCAGCACGAAAAGCTGTTGCATTCTCGGTCAAAAAAGGCCAGGACATCAATGTGATCAATACTTATGGCAAGCAAGTTGGAGATTTCTGGGCCTTCAACCCAGACGACCCCAATGACTTCTTGTCCATGGTTCATACGAGAACCGTATTAGTCAAAATCGCGCTGTCCAAGGGTGATCGGTTATACAGTACTCGGCGGAAGCCGATGCTGACGTTGATTGAAGACACGACTCAGGGAGTGCATGATATGATTTGGTCTGCATGCGATGCTGAACGGTATCGTATGCAAGGGTTTAATGGGTACCATGATAACTGCAGGGATAATATGCATAAGGTGAGAATATGAAGCTCGTGAGGTTGTCATCAAGCTTGCTGACCATGAGAAAGGCTCTCAAAGACAACTTCCCCGATTTCAAAATAGCAGAAGACTGGGATCCTGATCCCTTGAATTGGTTCATGAATGTCGCGATTGACCATCGTGGAGATCTTGATATTCGGAATCCTGTCAGCGAGAAGGGTCAATATGTCACTCTCAAAGCTGAGACAGATCTCATCGTCGTTATGAGCGCTTGTCCTCAGGACATGGCTCCTGTCAACGCAGGCATGCCAACCGATTGCGAATACCTACTCAGTGATAAATTGACTGATGATCTGAGTGCTCTTGCTTTAACATCTATTAAACCCAGTTCGAGCCCTCGAAAAGTGAAAGTTGCATTTTCAGTCGACTTTGATGCTGTGTCGCACTGGTTGGGAACTGGCTGTCATCCAGACAATAATATGGAAGACTATAGCTCAGGCATATTCGCCGGTCAGGTTGGCGTGCATAGATTGTTGGATATGTTTAAAAAGAATAAGATGGCAGATAAAGTGACGTGGTTTATTCCCGGACACACAGTCGAGACTTTTCCTGACTCTGCGCAGGCTGTACTAGAGTCTGGGGCAGAGATCGGTCTCCATGGGCACGCTCATGAGGGAATTTATCAGATGACAGAAGAACAAGAGAGAGACGTGCTCTTGAAATGGTAAGCTCACTCTTACTGAATGCCTGAATTCTGAGTTGACTTTTACCTCTAGTATCGACGTCGCTACTAAGCTAGTCGGAAAAAAAACCCCGTGGATACCGTGCTCCGATGTACACCATCAGAGAAACAACGATCAAGTTATTACGCGACCACGGCTTCCTTTACGACTCTTCCCTCATGCATCATGATTCCCAGCCGTATTTCACCTCAAGCGATCCACCCATCAAAACAATCGATTTCTCTCAGCCAGCATCATCATGACTATATCCGACCAATACAGCTTCTCAATCCTATCCTAATGGCCAGCATCCTCTTGTTGAGCTTCCATGTGGCTGGTATAATGAAGATATGATGCCGCTGCAGTATCTTCCGCATCTTCCTAATAGCATGGAGTATGTTTCGACCCGAGTCGTTGAACAAATATGGAAGGACAAGTTCATGTGGCTTTGGGAACATGGTAAAGAGGGAAACGAAGCTGCGGATTTTGTTTTCCCTATTCTCATCCATCCAGATACCAGCGGTATGGCTCATATTATTGGTATGATAGATAGATTCGTGAAGTGGCTTCAGGGGTTTGGGGATAGTGTTCAGTTTTATACTCATGAGCAGATTGCTACCGCTTGGTTGAGTGTGAAACAGAAGGAGGTGTTGGGAATTTAATTACCGCAGAGATGACTGGAGAGAATAGAGACACTAGTCTTAAGATATAAAATGGCTGTTGATTGCTGGAAGACATTCTCAATACCAGTGTTTATTTCCACCTTGATCAAAGCTAGACGTTCTCCACCTGTTGAGCGCCCGCCTTTTCTCCAATCTCCTGTTCATCAATCGCAGCAGCCGCAGCGGCTCCAACCTCTAGATGAATTTTATTCTGGAACATCTTTTCGCTCTTCAAAACAGTATCTTTAATGTCCGTCGAGGAAGAAAAGAGGAAGTCAACAGACTCAAGAGTCAACGACGACGTCTCTGGGAAGAAGAAATAGACAATAAGGCAACAGGCAAAGTTGAGAACAGCCCAAATAACATAAGTACGCCAGCCTATGTTGTCAATAGAGGCTGGAGCAATCTCAACAGTCCAGAACTGATTGGCCCATAGGAAAAACACAGATAATGCAAGCGCTTTGCCACGGACATGTAGAGGTAAGATCTCAGCGGGATAGGTCCACATATTGGACATCCACCCCCATGTGAAAAAGGCAAGGTAGAGAAAAATGAAGACTACTGTGATGATGTCCGATGCAGAAGAATCATACCACAGCATGATAGAGATAGCGATCATGCATGCACCCATACCCATATTTCCTAGATAGAAAAGTCGTCTGCGGCCCATGCGATTAATAAGAAACCATGTGAGGAGTGATGCAATGAGAAACCATATCTGCGAGCACCCAGATACCAAATTGGCCAAGTTGTCACTCAATCCAACAGAGTTCTTCAGAATGAAAGGGGCATAGTACTCCACAAAGTTGATACCGCAGTATGATTGCATCGACTGAGCCGCACAAGCAATGATAACACGTGTACGAACCTTCGCAGGTCCCTGCTGGAAGAGTGCACTCCAGGAAGCACTGTCATTTTCAAGTTGAATAACAGATGAGATATCATTTAGCTCGGCTTGAACCAAATCATGATCTTCAGGAAGATCGCGCAAGGCTGATAGAGCTGCCGTCGCAGCTTCCATATGCCCATGAGCGGCTAACCACCGAGGGGATTCGGGAAGAACAAGGGTGAACGCAAATGCGACAAGAGGATATACTGCCTGTAAAGCAAATGGAACTCGCCAGCTGACATCGCTATCCAAGAATCCCAATCCATAATCAACCCAGTAAGCGATATTCGTTCCGATGATCAGAAACGTCAACTGGACTGCAACCATCACAGCTCGCATATCGGCTGTCGTAGTCTCAGCTAGCCAGACGGGCGAGGCACTCGTAAATAATCCAAGGCCCACACCAAGAATTATACGTGATACGAGAACCTGAGCAAGCGAAAATGATGAAGCGTTGATTGCGTCGCCGATGAGGTGGATTATGCACGCGAGCAAGATAGTTCGGCGACGACCAATCTGCTCGCTGATCATGACGGCGGCCAGCGCCCCCATCATACATCCGATATCATAAGATGAGACGACAAAGCCTTGTACTGCGGAATTTGGATTGCCAATCAAGTTGAGAAAGTTCTTTTCAGAGATGATTTGTCCCATTAGACCATTGTCATAGCCGAACAGACAAAAGCCTGTTGAACTAACAACGGTCACTAGATAGACTAGAGGTTTACCTCGTAGAGATAACATCTTGAGGTTATTTAGTAAATGTGACCAAAAATTCTTTTAATTAATTGCACTTCTTATATACCCCCGGCTATTCTATGGACCTTTAATTTCCCCGCAAATACTCTGGGGATGCTCCACTGGCTCCTCGTACTGTTTGATGATGCGGGGAATATTCAAATGTTTGTCCTGCTAAGCTTGAATCCTTCACACCTTCGACTGAAGAAGCCAATAGATAATTGTTTTAGATACAGGGAGACTCGGAAAACATCCGATCCTATGCAAAACTCACGGTCTATATCCGATATTGTTACTGAGCTGATGGTGAAAGCTTAAAAATCTCAAATTGAGCTGACTATGGAAGATTACTTCAGGGGAAACAAGGAAATATTTATTCTTTAATTAAGCAGTCATCCTGAAGATCCTTTTTTAACTCGGGATAACTCCGGTGAATGAAGGCTTTCTCTCCGATGGACAAGGCAGGGTTTTGGATCAAAGGTCATTAATAATTGCATGATCTGATATTTCTCATTTGGTGGATATGCATTATCAATGGTATAGGCTGAATCCTGCTCCAAATTTTTCAATTTTAATATCCAACACCAGTCTTTCAAATCTAGGTTGCATGTCCCAAGAATATTTCTCACAGATCAGTAACATGAAGTACAGATATCGATGATGGCTTATTCTAGCTGCACCCGGGATAATTATCCGATGCATTTTGGAGGAGCACTCAATCTTGGCTAAACATACTGAGAGGATTGAGTCATAGTTTAATATGCCATTAATAGTTTCAAGTTCTCTCGATATCTTCGTCACACGCGCTTCTAACGTCTTTGTTATGGATCAGGTGACTATACCTAGTACATAAGAGGCTAGTATCATCCTGGCAGTCATATTGGGTCAAGTTCGAGTCAAAACAGTAGTGTTGGTTAAATAAGAATCATATGAAATTAAAACTGACATTGTATCCTTTGCTTCCAATGTTTGGAAACTCAGTGATCGATCTTATCTTGCGTATCTCTGTGTAAAGTGGGCCTGGAATGATTGAAGCACTCAAGTGCTTGTGCTGGGTCTTCTCCGCATTTTACCCCACTTCCCCAGAATCCTCCATACGCCTCATTCATCTTATTCTGTTGTACCTCTCAAATAAAAAAATTGGAAGTCGAAGAGATTCAAAACGCCGATTATTCGACATCAATGAGTCATTTTGGGCCTGAAAGAACTAAGAAAAAGCGTGTTCGACATTGGACCGCTGAAGATAGAGCTGTGCACCGAGAGTTTGAGAAGTCACGCCGAGAAGCCTTTAGCGAGCGCCTACTGGTAAGTACAGAATACAAAAATACAACCTGAAAAGTCACTAACTGCTCCAAGGAACTGACAAAATTACTTCCAATGCTGAAGGAGGAAATACGGCCTTCCAAACATATCATAGTGGATGCAAGCATAGCTCATCACAAGACCCAGCAAACAAAATGCGACCAGGCCGCTAGTACGATTCGGAAACTACTAGCTGAACGCGATGAGCTGTTAAAAGAGGTCAACAGTCTTCGTGCCTTGTACCGACCTGGCACCTCTATTCCACGCCAAGCCGTGCCAGTTGATCTCGGCGTTCTCGAGCTCCTTGCAGAAAGCGATAACTCGAATCCAAGTATTCTTACCATGCTCCCTGGAAAGAGACTAGATGTTGAGAAAGGCCTTAAAGAAAGGTCGAATACTTCACAACAAGCTTCTTTGTTGCCTGCAACCACTGGTACCGACGGATCGTCCCAAGGGGCTGTTTATCCAGAGCAACCTATTGAAACCCCGCCTTTCGCATATTCGCCAGTTGAGGCCGGGTGGGTTCTAGATAACCCCAGCAAGGCTACAACAGCTATGTCACAGGATCTTATTGATGCTTCCTTTCTTTGGAACCAATCGCCGGAAATCATACCTTCCCGACCAAAAGCTGGAGATCCCAGGCACAATAGTAGACTTAGTACTTCGTGCCTCGTTAGCGACTCGGCTTCATTTTGGAATATGCACCCTGGTGCTATGCTAGCAACATCTCCGGATACGAATCTACATTATGATCTCGGAGCCTCGCGTTTTCCTAATGATGTCCCATTACTGTGGCCTCAAAATACTGGCACCAACGGAACTATCTCAACGCAGAATGGACAATCAATGTCACCAAGCCAGATATTTCAAACTTCAGCTTCCATGTTGCCAAATTCAGAAAGTCTGTCTATATGAAAGAAGACTCTGACAATTTCCATATCAACCAGATAATCAAGAAAAACTCAAATATTCTTCATAGCCTCCTCGATCTTCGCCTGGCTTCTCTTCTCCGCAGCAACAAATAGTGCAAGAGCCTCTCGAAGCCGCTTCTTAGTCTGAGGGTCCTCTTCATTTGCCCTGTCCAGCTCGACACCTCCGTTCGCCAAGTAGTCGATATCAGTCCTCGACAGCTTGCCATCCCAGTTGGGCCCAATCAGAGGATCGACCTGTGCAAGCTTCTTCAAGCGCTCGGGAGTGGGTGCTGCATTTTTGTACGGATGACCCGGCTTGGGAACGCCTTCGCCTGGCTGCTTAGAGCCATCATATGGGAGCTGAGATAGCTGGGTGAGGACCTGGTGAGAGATTGTTGCTGACTGGCATCCAAGTTCACCAGCTGCCATGGCTTCTTATGGAGAAATAAAGCTAGATGTATCCCTGTCAGTAGCAGAAGCTCTGACGGAGTAAGATAACATACCTGGCATTCTTGAGGAATGGTTGTTCCTTTCCAGTTTCCTTGTACAGACGTTTGTACGTTTCAAGGATCTGAACCAATCGTGAAGACATCGGATGCAGCAAGGCTGGGTCATCAGACTTGGGCCACAACTCCAACTCATCGTGCGCGCGAACCTCTACCAGAGAGTGTTATTCATTGTCGCGAACTTGAGGGCATGAGGCTTACCATTGTAGTACGGGCTGATATACAAGCATGGTGCCTGACTTGCGGCAATTGCCTGATGAACACTAAAAAGTGTAGTTCCAAGAGTGCGGATACCCTCTTGCGACAGAATTGGACACGCATTCAGTGCTGGCCCAGTGCTTGGGATTTTGATGCAGAAGCGATCCTAGGAAATTCCAACACTCTCAAATTCCCGAGCGTATGTCCGAGCATGCTCGATTGTCTTTTCAGTGTCATAGGCATTGGATTGAAGAGTCTGCAAGAGTACTCGGCCTTGGATATTGTCGATGTTGGCCTTCGACATCAAGACGGCCTAGAAATTCTTGGTTAGCCAAAATTGGAGCGTTAAGGGGATTTGGAACGTACCATCCGCGTGTAGATTGCAAACCAGCCTTGGTCCTTGTACTCTTTGACTACACTCTTGAACAATTCATCGTTGATTGGGTTGCACATTTGCTCGTGGACCCAGCCTTGATTACTAGTCATTTCATGGGGGACAATTGGTAGGCTCAAGGTATATGCAGGATCCATCCAGTCAACGTCTATGTTTACTGAAGTTGAATTTTGGGTATTAGTGGCATATTCTACTTCCAATATTTGAAGTCCGAAGGAGATATTGATTGATAGGGAGAGGGATCCAGCTCACGTTGTTCTGATAGCTTTTGAAGCCATGTCACATTGCCCGCGCTACCCATTTTGCTGTTTCCAGTGAGGTTTTAAATGTTGTTATGGTAGAAATTTTCAGACAGGTGATTTATTGTTGCATTCATAGAAATGATAGGAAGTTCGAATTTATAGGCGTTTCTGGTAACATTTGTACAACCAAGATCACACGTCGTTCCCCTCCTAGAGCCCATGGCGGAGTTCATCTCGCATGGGACACACACAGGGCAACAGAAAAATACGAAGCCTTGGACCAGGAGGCGTCTTCCTTAACGTGTAGCCCTCACGCAGGGCAGCTGGGCATTCCTCCTTGGCAGCGCCACTCAAGAAACATTCCTCGACAACGCGGGAGAAAACAGGCTAAACGCTTAGACAGATCATTGTCTGATTGGTGGAGAGAACACTGGTTGCACGCAGGTCAAAACACCCAGCAAAGAAACTCTCACTGACACACGCAGGGCAGTTGTCGTCATTAGTCAAAGGAGAGGGGCTCAACACTGCGCGATTGGTTCGATCGCCTTCTTTGTTTAATACTAGCGCACCCCGGATTTTTGGCCGACGATCCCCCAGAAACACGCCAATAATATTTATTACTGAATCTGGTGGAGTATATATCCTTGGTTTGGGCCCAAGACTAATGTGATTGTACATTGCAGCTTGCAGATACGATCATGTCGAATGCTAGCATGGACGATTTCAAGCCAAACTCGGTGTTTGTCGAGGATGCGGAGCAAGCGCAGCACCTTGGAAGCTATAGCCAGAATATCAATGCAAGGTCAGTATGAGGATCTATCCCTTTTTCAATCAGTTGCATTGACAGTTGGTGTTTTTTTTTCTCTCTCCGTAGGATTCTCAATCCACTTGCCGGCGTCACCAAAGATGATCTATACGATCGCGTTTATCGATTCTGCCAAGAATATGGATTTGAAGACCAAGTCGAGTTATTTCAGAAGGGAACTCTGGCAGCACAACATCAGAAAGGACTTGAGGACCTGACAGAACTGAGTGATGAGGACAAATACTACCTGGAGCGAGAGTATACCCGTATGGAACCTTTCCGTGTGTTTGGTTGATTTAGTCTGACTCGAGATAGATAAATGGCATTTGCCGAAAGACCTTTATTTCAGCATCGCACAGTGTTCTCTAGGATCAGCAATTCAGTAAGCTCTATGAGCATGGAGAAATATTCATGAGTCTAACTTGAGCGCAGAGGATGGGACAATACGGGTGCAAACGGTGCCAACCTCTCATTTCCACAAGAATTTGGCATTGAAAATGATACTTGGCTGAAAGGTGTGATTAACTCTGGGTATGCCTCTTTCCAAAAGAATTATTACATGAGCAAAATGCTGACCATATTTTGCAGACCGACTTTATTTGGGCTTCTGAGGTTAGTTGATTCAAATCAATCTGAACTCTCACCTGATATCCACAAGTGCCTGGGCAGCAGATCCTCTCAACAATTGGCTTGGTCGCCGCGGTACCGTCTTTCTCACCGGCCTCTTGTAGGTGCATCAGCAGATCGGATGAATGATTGAGTTGTTGCTGATAGTACTCAAGTTGTGTCTTTCCTGTTTTAGCACAGGCTTTCACCTAAAACTGGTGGGGCTTGCTCCTCTGTCGTCTTTTCATGAGTCTTGGTGAGTACCAAATTGAAGCTATATGGTACTAAGCTAGCAAGGTCTATGTGTAGGAATTGGTGTCAAGATCTCCACGATCCCTGTCTTTAGCGCAGAAATAAGTCCAGCTCCTATTCGGGGTGGTATGGTGACCAGCTTTCAGCTATGGGTGGCATTTGGTACATTCATGTGGGTCTCAAAACCACCCTACTAACTCTACCATTCAATCTCTAACCTTCAGATTGTGAAATAGTGGCTTTTGCTCCAACTTGATATTTTATCGTGTTGGTCGGCTTGCATGGCGCTTCCAGCTTGCCGCTGCCTTTGCTCTTGCAGTGCCGGTTTTGATCTTTGTTTGGTTCTGTCCTGGTAGGTGACTCGGATAATTTAAAGACAAAGATTCTATCTAACAGGCGTGATTAAGAGTCCCCGAGATGGCTTATGAAGAAAGGTCGCTACCAAGAAGCATTTCACTCATTCTGTCGGATACGCAATACCGAACTGATTGCGGCTCGAGATTTGGTGCGTATGATAACCTCTGATTTGTTTGCAAAAGCTAACTTGATATAGTACTATACCCACTGCCAGGTAATGACTGAGCGAGATGCCTTCTCAGGAGTGTCCTTTGCACATCGCTTATGGGAAATATTCACTATTCCCCGCCTGCGTCGTGCCATGATCTCTAGCGCGATCCTAGTCACCTCTCAACAGTTTTCAGGGATCAATATCATGAGTTTCTACTCATCAACAATCTTCTCAGATGCTGGTTATTCTACCCGAGACTGTCTTCTCGCTTCTCTTGGTTACGGACTAACCATGTTCGTCTTTGCCCTCCCTGCTATATGGACGATGGACACATTCGGCCGTCGAAATCTGTTACTGTTCACTTTCCCGAACATGGCTTGGTGTTTGCTAGCAGCAGGACTTTGCTTCCTGATTTCAAGTGACTCCAGTGCTCGAGTGCCACTCATAGCATTTTTCATCTATTTATTCACGGCACTATATAGACCTGGTATGTGACGCTCACCGAAGTATATGATTTTGACTTACAATTATAGGAATGGGACCAATCCCGTCGATCTATTTCAGCGGAGCATTCCCGTTGTCTCATCGTGAGCTAGGCGCTGCACTCACAATATGTGTTAATAATGCCATCGGGAGTGTTCTGACTATCAGTTTTCCTTCCCTGTTAGCGAAGACCACCCCAACTGGAGATAAGTTGACGATTCTGTTCCTCACGATATTTATTCTAGCCATATATAGCATTCGGGTTCTACGCGGGGCTCAATTTGATTTCCTTTATCGCCATTTTCTTTGTCGTGCCTGAGACCATGTGAGTTATATACCTAGCATGTCCTATTTCGGATCTTAGAACTAAATAAATTAGGCAACGTACTCTCGAGGAACTTGATTACACTTTTGGAGTGCCTATTCACCGGCATGCTAGATATCAGATCGGTACTTGGCTGCCGTGGTTCATTCGGCGCTATATCCTCTTCCAGCGATCAGTCAAATTAGAGCCCCTGTATCAACTAGAGGGACTCTAGGATACATGATACATATGGATTCTCAAATTCAGCAAGCTCTTGAAGATTCATTAGCTAGTGATAAAGGATGTGTTAAGATGGATTTGATTTCCTTGGGCAATTGATTGACAGATCGGTACCCTGTTGAACCAAGTCCATGCGTACCTATAGTACCATACCTCCAAGTCAATTTCAAGTTTGTCGTAATATTTGTGCCTTGTATTGCTCCATCCTGGAAGGATTCTTTCAAGAGGAGGCGAGGTGAATTGGGTAGGACTCCATGCAATCTTCAGTCCAAAAAGGAAAGTCGAGTTGGAGGGTGGCACAGGAGTGGATATCAAAGTTTTGAACTTGATAAAACCGAAACTTCCAAGGAATGAGAATCAGGTTGTGTTTTCGAGTATCTGGTTGACTGACCACTGCTAGGGGAAGATAAGGCACAACTCCAAAGGAGACGATTGTTTCGACTCTTGACCACCTTTGGTCAAGTCCAACCTTGGAAAATAGATTCTGACCCTCGGGATTCGTTTACTCAGATTTTAACTTCTAGATCGACCTAAATATTTGCTGCAGTCATTTCCAAGTTCAAAATTTATCACGTTATTATTCTTGTAGTCTCATTCACATGCCAGGAATAATCCTGCTGTTCAGGTTACATAGTCTATTGCACATGTGTACTAGTAGTAGTACATGTAGGGTTTTCCGACTCAAAGAGAAATATAAATTTTGTGCCCAGGTGGATACAAAACTTGCTCACTTTTATCATGCAAGTATGTCCAAATTGGTACTACTACATATTTTGAACGGGAACTGAAGACGTGTGAGCAGGTATAGAGCTCCGACTCGGAGTCTGTCCACTTATGGAAATTTGTTAAAACATTTGAATGATACTACCATCGACGTTAGCAAGTTTTACTGGCAGGGACTATACTTCCATCAGTGATCTTGAGCGGTCAAGATATAACAGATATAATATTTGAACAGAGCATTCAAGTTGGCACCTAGGTTATGCAGAATAAAAAAAAATGAAACTCACTGTCTGATTATTAGATTTTCAAAATGAGCTGAAGCCAACCTTCCAAGCTTGGAATCGAGTATTTACCATATCGGGTTAGTATTTTCAATTTCATAATTGACATTCACCTGGGCAGTTCCAAGGTTGAAAGTGACCGCAGAGTAAATAATAGTATTCCAAGGTGACCGCTAATTTCTTAACATTGGAGCTTTGGATATAAAGGGATTGCTTTAATGACATATATATCTTTGTAACACAAAATTTTACGATAAACTTGAATTGACCCCCTACAAAAGTCGGTACCAAGAAGTTCAAAAGTGGGCGATAAAATCTGGTTTGATCTGGAAAAGGCTTCCAAGGTTGCCCCCCCAGATCGAGTAATCCGGTATGCATTCCAAGGATGTATCTCAACACATGAGTGTTGATACTTTCGCCTCATTTCCAACTCCTCACCCTGTAGAAGCGGTGACTGTTTATCGGCATGCAAACATGCAAACATGCAAACATGCAAACATCCAAACATTGAAGTACCAAATTGGTACTCAGTTGCCGTGGTTCATTCAGCGCTATCTCTTTTTCCAGCGATCTGCCAAATTAGAGCTTCTATATCGACTAGAAGGACTGTGTTGAATGGTCAATGAGTTAAATTTCAAGGATTTGAAGATTTATTCGCCAGTGATTTACCAATGTTGAGGTGGATGTTATTTCCCTAGGCAATTGATTGACGGACCAGTACCCCGGCGAACCAAGCATTTACCGATGTCCGTTCACATGTCATTTAAATGTCATTTCAGAATTCCACACTGACCAAATATATTGAAATCGAAGTTCTTGAGCCTCTGATTTATCTTTCGATAATGAGATTCATGAGATGGCGCTCGAATACTCTACAGTTTCATTACAAGTCAAGGGAGTGAAGCTCAATCTCTCAACAATACACTACTTCAACTTCAACCCTCCAATTCTCTTCCTCCACGGTTTTGGTTCCTGCAAAGAAGACCTAGCAGATCTACCACTTCACAAAAGTCTCCAAAACTACAGCTTTATTGCCTACGATGCCCCAGGCTGTGGCCAATCCACAAGCAGTGATCTTTCAACCACCGATATTCCCTTCCTCGTGGCAACATCCGAAGCGATTCTATCTCATTTCAAGATCAACGAATTCCATCTAATAGGCCACTCAATGGGTGGTCTCACAGCCCTTCTCCTCGCAAATCGCCACCCCGACCGGGTTCTCAGTTTTGTAGATATCAAGGGTAATCTCGCGCCCGAGGACTGTTTCCTTAGCAGACAGATCTTTCAGTTTCCCAGTGACGACCAAGATTCATTTCTGAACGAGTTCATCGATCGGACAAGGAAGAAAAAATCTTTCGGAAATCCCTTATATGCGAGTACGTTACGCACGCGTGTACGGTCTGAAGCTGTGCGCCCGATATTCGACTCCATGGTGCGGTTATCGGATGAAGAGGATCTGGTTGGGATCTTTCTTCAGTTACACTGTCGGAAGATGTTCATGTTTGGAGAAGAGTATAATCAGTTGCCATATTTAGGACGACTGGAACAGGACGGGGTGGAGTTGGCGTCGATTCCAGAGAGTGGGCATTTCCCGATGTATTCGAATCCTGTGGAGATGTATCGACAGATTGGCGAGTTCTTACATAGAGTGAGTTGATCAGAGTGATTTTCTGATGATAAATCCCATGGTGTATTGGTAGAAAAAGGAGCTCTTTCAGGCATCACAGAGATGAATGGATATGAGCGTGAATGATTCCACTTGACAGTATAAAGGATTCACACGCCAGATCAAAAAAAGGCTTATACCGACGCGTTTGAAGTTCATTCAATGTTATTACCGCCTAGTAAAGGCAGAATGCTATTGTTTACATCGTGGCGTAGGCAGTGATTATCCCATTTCTGCTCTCATTCGATGAAGTTCCTCCATCATACCTAGCATCTCCTTCTCCTCTCTCAACCGCAGCTCTTCCCTTCTTTCATCACAAAATCTTCCTGACATTCTTCAAAAGTCACACAAATTCTGAAAATCATGGAGCCAGAAACTCGGACTTGCACAAAGTGCCATCGGACTTATCCATTATCTCATTTTCGGCGACTGGGGGGGCTCTAGTTTAACAAAACAATGCCAGGATTGCCGCAGGAGGCATGCCAATGCTGTTCAAAAACTCAGATACGCTGCCCGTGAGCAGAGAGGAGATCTTCCAGCAATATTATCTTCAAATCCGATGGCAGTGATAGCCCATCCTCCAGCAATCTCATCTTCAGATCTGATACCAATAATAACCCATCCTCCAGCAACATCATCTTCAGGTCCGATGGCAATGAGAACCCATCACCCAGCAATCTCATTTTCAGATCCGATGGCAATATCGTATCCAGACCCTCCAGCGACATTGCATCCAGGTCCGATAACACTGAGAACAAATCCTCGAGCAATATCGTCTTCAGATCGGATGGCAATGAGAACAAACCCTCGAGCAATATTGTCTTCAGATCGGATGGCAATGAGAACCCATCCTCCATCGATATTGTATCCAGGTCCGATGGCACTCAGAACAGATCCTCAAGCGATATCGTTTTCAGACCGGATGGAAATGATAACACGTCTTCCACCAATATCGTCTGCAGGTCCGGTCTCAATGAGCGTACATCTTCCACCAATCTCGTTTCTAGATCAGATGTTAATGACAACAAATCCTCCAGCGATGACATCTTCAGATCCGATGGCAACGAGCACACATCTGCCAGCAATATCGTCTCTAGATCCGATGTTGATGACAAGAAATCCTCCAGCAATGACATCTTCAAATCCGATGGCAACGAGCACACATCTTCCAGCGATATCGGCTCTAGATCCGATGTCAATGACAACCAATCCTCCAGTGATCCCATTTCCAAATCCCGTGGCAGTCTCATCTAATCCCAGCACGAGCACTGATCGATTACCCCCTCCTCAGAACCCAGAGACACTTATCTGCGTGGACTGCTGTAAGAAGAAGCCTTTGAGCGAGTTCAGGTCTTCCCGGAACATGGATAGGATCAGAAATCAGTGTGCCACATGCAGATCTAGATCTTATCGTTGTCGTCTTTCTCGTCTTTCTTGTCTTTCTCGTCATTCAGCTCCTCAACAGGAATTGCCACCTCTTCCATCCTCACTTCCGACTATTCAAAATCACACTGATAATAACCGAAATCCAGACAGCGGCTGAAGAACTACAATGAGAGACAAAGGTCGGAGTGAAGAGATCAAAGGGCAGGCATATGTGTATTCTTACAAAAAAAATCATTTTTAAATTAGTATCCTTACAAAAAATTCATTCTTAAATTACTGCCCATTAAAAGGACTTTTTCAAGAGACACTGTTGTAGGCAGAAAGAAAAAAAATTGATCTGATTCACCATCCATTGTTTCTATTCAAACGCTGCCGAGATTATTCCTCTCTCTTCTTCTCTCTCCTATTCTCTCGCCGAGCTTCCTCTCCTCCCTCATCCCTCTCCTCCCTCGTCCCTCTCTTGATCCTTCCAAAGACCTTCCTATCTCCCAATTTTCCTCAAACACCACCCTTGCTCAAACTACCATGGATCAGAAAGCGAAACCAACCTGAGACTCAGAGCCTCCCCTCGAAGCACGCAAAGCCTAAAGACCCCAACCCGGATGAGGCAGAATTGAAGGGCGACCCGAAACTGATTGAAGGGGCCCGGCAGGCCCGGCCAACTTTGCTGTAAGTACCCTCCATTCTGAATATCTGTGTTCCCAGGCTAAGACATTGGTTATGAGATGGAACCCAGCGTGCCAACACAGGGTTTGTGGACAGCAGATCATTTACCATTCGCTGGAGTATATGGGAATGAGAAGCCACCAGGACCTTGAGCCCGTTGATTCAATGAGATTCCACGACTGGTCCCTAGGAAAACAATCAAGTCTCTTGGACACGATGCCCTCGATCATTTGTTGACTCTCAAGGATATACGAGAGTTAATGACAAGAGATACCGTAATTGTCCCACCAGATGCGCTCAACCTTATGCTTTGCCCAAGAATCCGGGTGCAAAGTGCCTTGATTCAAGTCAAGGGTATTGACAAAACCAACAACGCATGTGAGCAATGCGAGGATTGCTTTGGTCCTTGGCCCGGTTGCAAAGCGATCACAGATCCGAAACCCCGCGTCTCCGCCTGCGCCAATCGCTATTGGCGAGGTCAATATAATAATTGTCGCTACTACCGAGAATCCTCTATCTAGGCCGCGGAAGAAAGACAAGATCTTTGTGACTCATGATGAAGCGGAGAAGATCCTCAGATTGACCGACCTCACCAAACGCAGCAATGAGGCTCTGGATGGCATGACTGAGATTTTCATGTCGATTGGTGACTCCACACGCATTTCTATCATTCATGGACTCGGAGATTAATGGAGATAAACTTTACAGTCATCAGATATTGAACGACCGAGGTCATAGGTGCATACCGCGAGTTGACTGGGAGGGTGATTTCATGATTACTTTGAAAACATCAACTTGAAGAAATTGGCTCTTTAAGGCAGTGCAGAGATAAGACCCTGAGATATTTTACTAAGACTCTGAGTCTAACGCACGAGAAGAATGTGTGGTCTGACTCGCTATGCACTCAAAGCGCTCGTGCGATGCACAGTCTCACGATTAAAACCTGGCTCCTGATTGGATGTCTCATATTCCTCGATCCAATTATTGGCAAGATTTAGAGTAAATTAAACTGATGTTGATTCGTCAGTTCAAATAGATGGAGGTGATAGAAACTCGGTGAACGAACTAGCATCTACTCCGTACATATGACTCAGATTCCAAGGTTGGTATGGACCTGCTACCCACCAGTAAAAATCGAAGAATTGAATCTAGCACTAGTATGCAAGCTAGACAGCATTGAAAATATCATATTCAAAATTTGAAGCTCGGACTTCCTATGATGTCCTAGTCTCGCTTAGTCCATGGATCATACTAGCATGGCGATGCCAGTGAATATAAGCGCCAAGCAAAGAATACGTATTTGTGGCGCTAATCAAGAATATCTGAATGTCTCAACAGGGAACCACTATTTAACGCGGTGTCTTCCGATGAGAAAAAAAAATAAAAGTTAGTCTTCTCGGCTTTGGAATGCTCTCTTTTTGGCTCAGCCCTAATCAGTGCCCATTGACAGGTCTGTCATATCTATGAAAGATCAATTGGCCATCACAGATCCCTGTGCCAGATGTAGTTTAAAGGCCAGACCCTCAGACCCTCTAGAAAAATCGTGGAACATCCGTATACCACGTGGATCCGAAAATGGAGTGCGGATGATGTCTTATGCAGTTGGAAGTTTAATGGATTCGGAATCCATAGAGATCCACTTGAACTCGGAGTTGATCATAGATTCCGGGGTGCATATCTTCAGGTCAGTTTCTAGAAGATAATGGTAGAAGGATTCAAAATTGCCAAGTCGCCAAGTCGCCAAGTCGCCAAGTTAACGAGGCCACACATAAGCTTTCTTTAGAAAGTTCTTAACTTCTTATGCACCAAAGTCGCGTCTATCATACGCTTGGCTGATCTTTGATATCCAATCTGATAGCGCTAAAAAGCGCGCTTCTTTCCCAAATCGTATTGAGATAATTTCCCTTTAGATCTCATGAGCCTCATCTCTACAGAGTAGTCGGGGACCACATTCATGACTCATAGGCATTGGTCATATGTCCACCTTCCCCCCCCCCCCAAGATAACAGTCTGGTGGATTATATCCGCAATCCGGCTCCGAATTCATTTTAGCGTAGTTCTAGTCTAGGCACCGAAAAATGTCCTGCAAATGCATATTCAAATTGATTTTATTATTTTTTCCCTTGAAATTTTCGTTGTGGCGGGTCAGTCAAATGCCGGGAAAACACGGATTACGGCCATCATCTCCGATCTTGTTTCATCTCATTGATATCGTGACCCAACTTAGTTCATGAAGAATTTGCTGGTAGAGATCACTTTGCTTTTTTTCATAACCATAGTTCGCGAGATAAGCAAAGACCTGTCAGATTGATCCTATAAAATATTCTAAATAACTCTTCATATGGCTGCGCATCTAACGCGGAATGTTTAGTCAGACCAGATTAAGTGGATCCAAAATGACGCTTGAACTATCAAGTTTAACATGTCAGCACTGAAATTTCACTACTTATTGCGAAGGATTTAAACTTTCTTCACATGTATGTGTAGTGATAATGTGCATTATGTAGTATTCAAGTGGTGAAAACGTTTAAGTTATGGCATGATAGAACCGTTCCTCGTATTTGGCCACAACCTTCAGGCTTCAAGTTGGAATTGACTCGGGGTGGATAATGATTTTACCAGCACAATCAACGGGTGGCACCAGTGAGGAATGTTCGGCTTCCATCTTCTCGGTGTCCCAGGCCATAGTGGACCAGGTTCCACTAGACGGGGAACGTCCGAACCAAAAGAATTCCGTTGGTGCATATTCACCATCCAAAAGAGGCGAAACAGGCGATTTAGGACAAAAAAACACACATTCTTCGCCCCCAAGTGGTTTTTTCTGCTTCTACAGCTAATGTAACATGGATCATACACGTAACACCGCGCAAGTCGCGTGGCCCGGTGCACAGTCCGTCTCATCCTAGCTCTGCATGGTTGTACATCATTTCCCCGTCGGTCACCCGGCTTATATGCAGTATAGGGAGTATACAATCCTGCCTATCCGCCATGAGCCGACCAAGTCACCTTATTGGTTGGGCATTGCAATTTATTATGAATGCGGAGAAGACAAGCTTTAACCGAGCTTCCAAGGGACGGAGTGGAGCTCCAGTCGTCAGCAACAGCCACAAGACCACTACCATCGACGCTAGTCTAGATTTTTTCCACCGGCTCTTCGGTGAGACAAGCAGTAGACATGATTTTTTTGTTCTGAAAAGAAAAAAAAGCGGATCCGAACCATAGATGGCATCTTCCCGATAAGTCCCTGAAAAGAGAGTGGACGAAACCAAGCTAGACAACACTACTGATAACGGGTTCCACCAAATTCACCACATCCATCATGCAATCCAATAAAACTTCAGATACCGGGGATTAAGTCCGACCCACAGGTGCCCTATCAACTCCACAAAGAGGCCTTCTTGGCTGGGGTTACAGTTGAGAAACTAAGGTACAGTCCGCGTGGGCTTGTACCTATTTGCTAATGGGCTTATTTTATCTGCCGGGGGTGGGAATTATTTAAACCCCGACTGGGACCCCCCCTGTATGTACTCTCTCTCTATTTGTTTTTCTTCGAGAGAGATCAGCATTCGATTCACTTGAAAGTCTCATACCATCATGGCTGGTGTTATATCCGCCGCCAACATCGGCGGCGTTGCCGATCCTCGCCTCGGCAATGAAGCAGATATCATTGGTACTAAGAAAGAACACCCCGAGATGGATATTCATCACGACATTGAACCTCCCAATTTGAATGGATCCGGCTCCATCTATCTGGATACTAGCATCACATTCGAGAACTACACTTACTGGGCCAACCGATCCCGTGAGGCGGAAAAGAGCATTCGCACAGACAACGTCGGTTTCGCCGCTTTAGGAAACCTCCTGCTTAACCGCAAGGGTAAACGGGAGGAGCCTGCGGCCGAACCTACTGAGCCTGAGCCTGTTACCGATGAGAAGAAGGAAATTGATACTAAGGCTGCCGTCGACGCGCCAAGGTCCGACGAATCAACAGATAAATGGGGTATCACCGAGACTGAATGGGAGCAGGCACAGAGAGCTGCTCGTACTGCGACATGGGGATCGATCTTCTATCTGATCACCACTGATATTCTGGGTCCTACCAACGTCCCTTACGCTATTAGTCGTATGGGTTACGGTCCTGGTTTTGCCCTGTACACTGTCTTCGGTTTGTTCGCTTGTTACTCTGGATTGCAACTCTGGCGCATCTTCACTGGTCTGGATTCGACTCGATTCCCCATGCGTAACTACGGTGATGTTGCTTTCCGTGTTTTTGGGCCTTGGGCTCGTATTGGAGTCAACGTTCTGCAGAGTTTTCAGTTCTTTCTCAACGTTTCTCTCTTGATCGAGAGCAACGGTCAAGGTCTGGCACAGATGGTCGCCGGTGTGAGCAACACCGGTGGTTTCATTTGCTTCATGGTCGCTGAGGCCGTCTTCATGATTATCGGTTTCGTGCTTGGACAGATTCGAACCCTGCAGCGTCTTTCTTGGCTTGCCAACTTGGCTATCTGGGGTAACGTCATTGTCATCATTGTGACCATGGTTGTTGTCTACATTTACCCCCCCTAACTACTCTGCTGTGCGGGACAGTTTCGGTATCCTTGAAGGTCCTATTGTGACCAGCGCTGGTTGGCCTTCTGGCTACAGCCTGGAAGAGAAGGTCACTGCCATGATGAACTGTGTTTTCGCCTACGGTGGTGCTACTCTGTTCAACGAGCTGATGGCTGAGATGAGACGTCCCATGGATTTCTGGAAGGGTTTCATCATCGCTGAGATTTTTATCTACGTCTGCTACTTGGTCAACGGTATGGTTGTGTACGCTGCTCAGGGCCAGTTCGTCTACAACCCCGCTTATGAGGGTGAGTCTCATCATCTTTCCGGTTTTAATTCTTTTTGAGTGGCCTCAGCAGGATGACTAACAACATCATAGGAATTCCCAACACTCCTGGTGCCTACCGTTACCAGACTCTGTGCAACGCCCTCTCATTCGTCACTGGTGCTATTGCCGCTCTTCTCTACGGCAACATCGGTATCAAGGTCTTCTACTCTTCTGTCCTGCGTGATGTTTTCCACCTGCCACCACTTGACAGCAAGATTGGCAAATGGCTCTGGGTCCTGCTGGGTAAGTGAACCATTAATATACCGCTTCCAACTTGAAATTACCTCCTTTAACAAATGTTTAGTTCCCGTCTACTGGGTCCTCGCCTGGGTCATTGCTGCTGCCGTTCCCCAAATTAGCAACCTGACCTCCTTCGTCGGCGCTGCCTGTATCTTGCAGTTCTCTTACACTTTCCCTCCCCTCCTCCTGGTCGGTTACCACGTCCAGAAGGACGCCATGCTTCCCGAGGAAGAATTCAACCCTCGCACTGGCCAAGCCCAGCGTGTGGATTCCGGCATGAAGCGTTGGATCCGTGGATACAAGGTGAAGTTCTGGTGGAACACATTCGATCTTTTCTACGCTCTTGCAGCTCTTTCCCTGGCAGGTCTAGGTATTTGGGCATCCGTTGTTTCCATGAACGAAACATTCAAGAGCACGGCTTTGACTCCTTTCAGCTGCGCCAACCCTGCTGGTTAAGGATGTTATTGCTCTCTTTTTTTTGTTCAGTGATTAAGCAACTTTAATGCCCTTTGTCGCTTTTAGCTTAGAATAACCCTATATATGTCTAGTTCATCCATATAGGATTGGATGTCTTATGTCGTTCCGATGTATTGAAAAAAAATTATACGTTTCTCTCTTCATGTTTCTGGAGATTTTCATGCACTGAATGTGGATTTGGTATGATGTACGATATTTCTTCTTGGTTTAGATCACTGCAATCAGCAGGTCCGATATAATTGACCAGTTTTAGATAAATCGAGATTTTCTGATTTAAATTGCTGAATTTATCTAGAAATGGACCTGATTAACCAGATGAAATTAAAAATCAGACCTAAGCTCCCCCTTTCCGCTCTTTCATCTCATCATTCTCCCAAATTCTCTTCTCTCCACCCTTGAGCGCTAGGTCCACCATAGATCTCGCCATATCATCCACTCTGATAGAAGGTGCAAGCCCAAAGACCAAATTCCTCAAACTCATTCCCCGCGAAAGCACGAGGCCTGGTTGCATAATGTAGCAGCTGAAATCCGGCTTTGACTCCGCAAAATCCAAAAGTCCACTCTCCACCTCGCCCTAGTATGATTCAGTATACACTCAGCACTAATATACTGGATTTCAGCTTGAAGTAGAAATGAGGTGAATCATACCCGAAGACGCCGATAATCTTGCATAACCCACAACGGCTTATCCTGACCTCGTTCCGCTCCAGCACCACTAACATAGATGAACCGGAAAGGTTTTTGACAATGTTCTTCGAACTCTTTTGCTGCTGTTAAGGTGTATTCTATGCTCACACGACGAGTACCAGCTTCATCATTCTTTGGTATTTTGCTAGGTATTAGACCGAGTGTCCTAGCTGGCTGGTTACTTGATTATCCAAGCAAGGGGTTGAGGGGCCTTGAGGTTGGTATACCAGATACATGCATCTGCACCTTTTATCTCTTCGCGAACTGCGTCTGGGTATGAAAGGAAATCGTTCATTATGGCCACTTTGAGCTTATCGTGTTGGGGTAGGTCGCGTCGGCTGAGAGCTACTATCGAGGTGATACTCGGATGCTGGAGACATTGTTGTAGGACTTCATTCCCGATGAAGCCGGTGGAGCCAGTGAGAATGACTTTCATGTTTTTCAATTTTCAAGTGTTGTTGTATCTAGGTTCTTTTGACGATTAAGGCGTCCACCTGGGCAGCTGAGATTGCATTATTAAGAATGTCAGATGACCCTAAACTTTATCTTCACATCATATATGGATTCTAACTTGAACTCCTCCTCAAATAACTGCTTCACGGATTTTTTTTATTGTTTCTCATCCACCAGTGACCTTTCGTGGTTATTATTTAAGGCTGAGTATGAACTTGAATTTTTGTTATTAAATGGTTCCAGACATCTTGGCGGTACTTGATATCGTCATTTGAACCAGATGCCGAATTCAACATTTGAATGATAAAGTCCGATGAACAAAAGAAAACAGGAATAAATTTGAACCACATCGCATGTTTTTCCAACGCCCAAAATCCCGGGTTTTCCGAGGTTTCATTCATTCACGACTGGATATCTCATCAGAACCCTTCATTTCCCGTATAAGTGGGGGGGTTTCAGGGTTTCTCATTTCAGGGCCTTAGCCCGCAGATCGGGCATTGATCGAGAGAGCCTTGTGCTAATAGTGGGTCATCGAAGCGGCTGGGGCTTATAGATCGTCCATCATATAACCAAATTGGAAAAATAACCACGACCAGCCTCGAAAACAGGTCCAAGCGGTCGTTCCCTTGAGAAATGATTGACCCCTGTTCCACCACGTTAAACGTGATAGGGACTAGATTTCGAGATGGGGTTTTTTGAATCATTATGGTCAAGATCACCACTGCTCCAACTGTTTATTGGCTCGCTATTTACCCGAAAACACCGAGAAATGGCACGTTACGGAGAAAAGACTTGGCTAAAAACCAAACATTAACACCAAATCCTTTTAAGGAAAATAGTCCCCAGATCTCGGGTGCGCGAGTCTTCGCTTTCTCGTCTCCCTGATGCATTTCCCCGGGTTCCTCAGCACGGCCACGGCCGCAGCTGTAGGTATCATCATGCCGGGCATGGTTAATGCAGACAGCACAGCAAGCAGTACGACAACTATCTCTGTGATGCAGGAACTCATGGTCGAAAATATGACTCTGATGGAAGCCAGCGTTATCACGGTCGGACCATCACTCACAACTCTGGAACTCGACTGTAAATCACAATATAGCTCGAATTGCAGTTCTTCCGGTATGGTCTGGCCTCAAACAGTTATTGTCGGCGAATCGGTCCAGGCGATGAATTACGATGTTACCAGTTACTATGGTGGTACACTTTGGATTGTATCGGGAAACGCGTCCTGCACGGTCACGAATATCTCGATGGGTGCTTTGTGCGATTTATCGACACTGTCATGGTACTCTAGTGGTACAGTCTCTAATTCATCATCGGTCGATGGGCAACAAGTTACACTCGCGGCTACCTTGACGTATGCTACGGTCGATGTAGTTTCGGGACTGGATAAACTTGCGGTAGCAACCACTTCGTCTGGTGCTTCACCTGCAAGCATGGTCACAACAACATCTGCGCCGAATACGGGTACTCTTGCGCCTTCAAACACAGCCGACTCTTCTTCTTCCTTGTCATCGTCGTTGTCATCGTCCTCATCATCCTCTTCCTCCTCCAAGGCTTGGATTGCAGGTCCTGTTGTCGGTGCTGTAGCTGGAATAGCCTTGGTCGCAGGATTGATATTCTGGTGCATCCGTCGAAAATGTCAGGGCGATGATACTGTCCCAGGTGCAGAGAGTGGGACTCCACCAGAACTTCAAGGAAACTATGAAGCCCCAGAATTGCAAGGAAATTACAGACCTTCTGAGCTGAGTGGAAATTACGAGCCACCCGAATTACCTCCTGATCATTCCGCCAGGGTGGAGCTGGCTGCCGCACAATTGGACTTCGATAAAAAGCGCGAGATGGAACAAAGGGCAGTTTCCGAACTGCCATAATTAAGGACATGTCATTCCATTTTTTGGATCATAATTGATTTTCTATTGCATCCTGCGAGAGACTTGCACATTTGCATTTGATACCATGTATATACTGATCGATTCAACCTTGGAAATGATGAGAGAAAACGACTCCTTTCACACATCATGATAGCGTATATCATCCGTTACAATAAAGCATGAACTTGACTCGGAACAATTGAACCGAGTTTAATCCTCAACCCGACATCTGAAACCAAAGTTATCACTACTACATATTATGGATTCCCACATACTAGTATCATTTCATCGTGATAATACATACTATCTAATGAGGGCTCGAACTCGGAGGTAAGTCCAACGTACGTAGTAGGAAATAAGATGTCTTAACAGGACTCTAGGGCTGTAACAAATTCTAACTTGAAGCCCAAAGTAGTGAATTTAAAATGGCTAGATCTAAGCACTGTATTCGTCGTGACCGTCATGATTGTAGAAGGGAGATGGCGACATCCCGAAAACCGCAAGTCATAGGGGATATCAAAGAAATGCAAACCCCAGACGCCTTCTATGCCAGGAAACTAGGGATTAAGATCCCATTCTACTGAGGTACGCACTGCGCCTCCTCCTCGTCATCATCATCCTGCCATCCTTCCTCGTTGTCATTAGCACCAAACTCCTCAGCGTTGCCCAAGGATTCAAACTCAACCGTGTCCACAGACTCGGCCTCAATTGGCTCGGCAGTGGACTTGGGAAGAATCTCTCGCAGCTGCTCGACAACAGCGGGAGAGAGGTTCCAGGGCTCTTTCTTGGGGTTGGGGAATTCCACATTCACCACGAGGTACAGGTCGCCTCGTGCGTCGGAGCGGCGGATAGGCATACCCTCGCCCTTGACCTTGAGAACCTGACCGGGGACCAGAACCTGGCCAGCAGGGTGATTAATTTCGATTCCACGGCCATCAAGATGCGTCAAAACAACACGAGAGAATCCAGTTAAGCTCTCAGCCAGTGTGACGGTTATGTTAGCACGCAGGTCGGCACCTGAGCGTTCGAACACCTCGTGCTCTTCTTGGACAAGGGTGAAGACAATGTCACCAGGCTTTTGGCCAGGGATCTGATCGGCCTCTCCCTCCAAAACGACCTTATCACCCTCTCTAAGGAAATTGGTCAGTGATTTGGCTTCGCCTGCACATGGTTGGAATGAATACTTACTTTGAGCCTGGGGGAATGTAGATCTCGAGCATCTTCTTTTCCTCAACTGTCTTCTTTCCCTTGCACTTCTTGCACTTGTCCTTGGGGCTGAAGAAAGAACCCTGTCCATTGCAGACACTGCAAGGCTGGCTGGATTTGGTGTAAAACTGGCCCATTGATTGAAGGGTCTCCTTGAAGCCTACTCCATCACAGGTGGAGCACTTCTTGGCCTTGGCCTTTTCCTTGCCACCCTTTCCATCGCAAAGACTGCAAATGACATTCTTGACACCGGCAAACTTGACAGTCTTGCCCTTGTACATATCCGTCAGAGTGATCTCGTAGTTCTCGTGGGCGTCAGGACTCTTTCCAGGCTTTCCACGGGGGCCACCGTTCATGCCAGGCATACCTCCCATGCCACCCATGCCTCCCATACCGGGCATACCTCCCATGCCGCCCATGCCGCCCATACCACCGAACATCTGGGCCAACAGGTCGTCTAGGTCAGGGCCGCCCGCCATTCCTGGTTCTCCGGAGCCGTTGAATGCAGCCATGCCGTGGGTATCGTAGATTTCGCGCTTTTCTTCATCATACAGAATTTCGTATGCCTCTTGAACAGCCTTGAACTTGATTTCGGCAGCAGGACGCTGGTCTTCGGCGACTTTGTCGGGGTGGTTGGCAAGAGCGGCCTATACAATTCCATACATTAGTTATACAATAAACAAGCATACAAGGTGCGCCCATAGTACCTTGCGGTAAGCCTGTCTGATTTCATCTTTGGATGAGCCCCGCTGAATTTCCAAGACCTCTGTAACAATATATTAGTATTTGAGATCCCATTCAATCGCTGCATGGTGCGCGTGCAGAACTCTTCGTACCATAAAGGTCAACATCAACGGAAGCCACTATAATCTCAAGTTAGCAACATATAATGAAATGAAAGTAAACAAAGGCGCAAAACGCGGCGCTTCGCGGCATGGAGTCCATACTGATGCTTTGGTTCTTCCAAGGTTGTCTTGTCAAAATTTGTAGACAAAATATCAAGATTCAGACTTGAATGGGATAATCTTGCGTCTGCAGATATCCACAGTAACAAGGAAGTGAAGGCAAGACGAGGTAACAAGCCTTAAAAGTGAAATGTTGATAAGGCGGAGTTCGGTCGGCAGTTCGAAGTTTTTTTTTGTCACTAGCGTAATGCGGAGCAGCGGCGAAACTTCTCCGCACAAAATATCACCGAAACCCACTGTCTTCAGTACCTTTCAGTCCAGTACTCTTCTGGGTGATATCTCTCAATGCGATATTCTCAATTTTCTCAGGGCAAGTCACTAGCCCGTAGGTCTTGGACCTGCATTAATTGTAGGACATATTCCTCTGCAGGTGCCCAAGTTCGGAAGGGCAAGAACAACCTCCCCGATACACCTGCGCGAACGCGTTTCGCGCCTTCACCGACTGGATACCTGCACTTGGGGTCTTTGCGAACTGCGCTATTCAATTATCTTCTTGCTAAGCGAACTGGTGGACAGTTTCTGCTTCGAATTGAAGATACCGATCAGGTCTGTGGCCTCGAAAATCGGTTGTATGGATTATGGGCTGATTAGCGCAGAAACGGACAATCCCCGGGGCTGAACAAAGATTATATGATGACTTACGGTGGGCTGGACTTCACTGGGATGAAGGTATTGATAAGCTCTATATGCGCTACTATTTTGAAGTAGTCTAATGGAATTTATAGGACCTGTCGTTGGTGGCGCATATGGACCTTATAGACAAGTATGGTTTTATTTTTAATTGGCTTGGGAAACAACTGTTGCTGACTATTTTGTCCTATAGTCTGAACGAACCGCCCTTTATCGAACCCATGCTGATGAATTAATCACCAATGGCCCTGCCTACCGATGTTTTTGTTCCTCTGAGCGACTTGATTCCCATGCGCGTCACCGAAGTCAAGCAGGACTACCCCCAGGATACGATCGCAAATGCGCAGACATATCCTCTGAAGAATCAGACGATCGGGCCCACAAGGGGGAGACACATGTCGTCAGACTCAAGGTGGAAGGGTATCCTATGTTCAACGATTTTGTCTATGGCAAGACCGGGCAAAATAAGCCAAACACAAGCAAGATGGACTTTATCGACCGTGTACACGATGATCCAATCTTGATGAAATCGGACGGACATCCCACATACCATCTGGCCAACGTCGTGGATGATCACTGCATGAAGATTACTCATGTGATTCGAGGAACTGTAAGTCTGTCTGTCCAAAATGTTTGCCGAGTAACCCCTAACGCAATCTAGGAATGGATGCCATCTACTCCTATGCATATGGCACTGTACAATGCATTCAAGTGGACTCCTCCCAGCTTCGGTCATGTTCCTCTGCTAGTAGACAAGTCTGGGCAGAAATTGAGCAAACGTAATGCAGACATCGACCTCTCGTCGTTCAAGGACCAGCAGGGAATCTTCCCTGCTACTTTGCTTAACTTTGCTGCCCTTCTCGGCTGGTCTCATTCGCAGAAATCCGACATTTTCAACTTGGAAGAATTGGAACAAATTGTGAGTCTAAATCATCATGATATAACATATCGACAGGAGCTAATGTGTGGTTAGTTCAACCTGAAAATCACCCGTGGAAACACAGTCGTTGCCTTTGAGAAGCTATGGTTCCTTCAAAAAGCGCATGCCCAACGATTCGCCACGAATGGGGGCCCTGGTTTCGAGGATATGATTAATCGAGTGCGTGCCAGTGTGGAAGAGACGCACTCACAAGAAAACATGTAAACTTCCCACTTTTCAATTGATATCTCACAGAACTCTGACAAGCACCAGTGCGCCAATTCTGAAAGGCCGTACCCTCGAAGAGTATATCACGCCCCTAGTCCGTGCCGACGCCAAGTCCTACACAACAGCCTCGGAATTCAAGGAGCGTAACTCAACCTTCTTCACCACAAAGCTCGACCGAGCTCCCTACACATCGGCTTCTACTAGCACATCCACATCCCCATCTCCAGTCCCAATGCAAGCTCTGCATACAGCCGCAGCGGCTCTGACTCTTGTCCCACCCATCCACTGGAATATCGAGACACACCGTTTCAACATTAACTCGTACGATGGATCTGATGCAGTGGCTCTTTCCTCTGAGACAACAGGATCAACGGAGAAGGTTTTCAAGAAAGAGCTTTATCACTACCTCCGCTGGGCCTTATCTGCCTCGGCACCTGGCCCCGGTATTCCGGAAACTATGAGCATTCTTGGAAGGGATGAGACTGTGCGCAGAATTCAAGATGCGAAAGCGCTTACGCAAGATCTTGTTCAATATGTTGGCAGACGTGTGCCGAAGGGTTCTCAGACTATGGGTGATGACAAGAGCTGGATGGGTTCGCTGGCTGGTGGTCAGTAAGGTGAATGACACGAATTGAGGTTGACCTGTATGATATTGAATCTTGGATAGCTTCCAGGTTGTAATTTACTACTATCTCCGTCAGAAGACATAGGGAAATACTATGACATTATTGTTGTAAGCTTGAAGTTTAGTGTAGAACTGCTGATACAAGGAGGCTTACGTGCTATTAAAATGCTAGTAACTATAAGGACCGACTACAATTGAACGAATTTCAAGAATCGAAGAGACTAGTATTATCAAACATGCACATGGACTGTACTGCGCTAGAGACACAAAGGATAAGGCGAAGAACAGCAACGAACACCGAGTCCTGCAGTAGCCAGGAAAGACGGCAGGGAATAATTGAACCTTAGCACCAAACCAGCGGAGAATTAAAAAAAAAAACCATAACACAGGGAATTTAAATCAAAACACCATGCCATCCGGGAAATCAAGAGACAAAAGAAGCATTAAAACTCGTCCGGAGTTGTAGAGAGAAGTACTGTCGGTACGACAAGCGACATAAGAAAGCAGAGTGCCACCCTCAATAGCTGCATGGAAAAGCAGCGACGGACTTGATAAGCATCAACAGAAGAAATGTAAGCATAAACAGGAATGACATGATCAACGTCGTAATTTTGGACACGAAAGGAAAAAAGAAAAGATTCCAAGGTGCGATCGGTGATCAATGCATGCGGAAATAACACCAGCCCGTAAAGAGTCTAAGAAACTCAAATCGTAAGGGATCGTCAACGTCCATCGTGAGCCATGGAGCTGTGAAGAGTCCATGGGATCGTCAGTAACCAAGCGATTGCGTAACCACAGCTAAATATTCGAGGCGCCAGGAAAGAAAATTGCAAGAAATGAAACGTATTAGTGACAAAAAGAAGGCAGTTTTGTGAGCAGATTAATACGTCTCAAAGTCATCGGTCCATTCAGTGTCACTGCCTGCAACACGGAGAACCTGGCCAGGATGAGGCCCATCAGGGCTCACACTGCGAATGCCCTTGCTCTTCTTGCCCATTAGGCTCAAGCCATCGTCAGGGGCAAAGCGCTTAGGACCAGCGCGCAGCTTCGCGTAGTAAACATCAGCAGGATCAGCCTCAGACCCAGATCCATCATCAAAGGTCTCCCAGTTCTCAGATCCGGAAGTGGCGGTGTTGACGGTAGATGAGTTTGAGGTCTGTCGCAACGCGGGAGGAGGAGGAGCCTGCGACAGGTAAGGGTTCATTCGGGGGTATGTCTGTTGAGAGCTCAACGAGATTGAGGATAGAGAGGAATGGGAAGAGTGCATGCCAATTGAGCGTTGTGAGTTGGTTGAGCGTTGCGAGTTAGACATGACAGAACTCATGAAAGAGCGCTGGCGGTCATCATAGGGATCTTCCGGGCTGACCGGGCGAACGAACGCACCGGACATGGCACTGTTGCAACGCGGTGGCTCCAGGAAGTGACTGTTGCGGTCCTTTGACTCGACAGTCAGGGCACGCATTCGTGGGGGTGGTCCACGAGGAGGAGGCATCTTCCCATTTATTGTGCTAGATGAGTAAGACCCAGGCCCAGTCCGGCGCTCGGGAGAGTTGTTTCCATGAGGCATGTTGCTCAGAGGAGCACGGGCAGGAAGCTTGGAAGGAGAAGTTGCCCCAGACCGGGACGCACCATAACCGATAGTGTTGTGCTTAGGGCGACTTCCATTAGGAGTCTTAGTAGCAGAGCGAGGTGGAGGTGGTCCACGCATGGAGCTGCCAGGGCGGGCAGCCGGCTGTTGTCTAGTCGCACTGGACTTGATGGTAGATGGAGGTGCGGATGGAGTCTTAGATCGAGGCGGCACTGCTCGACTGGCAGCCGGGGTCAAGCTGTCCAGATAACGTTCACCGTGGACCAAGAATGGACGTCCGAACTCGTCCTCCCAGTGCTCTAACTCTTTGCGAAGATCCGCCTCAAGCTTAGGAAGTTCCTTTGAGATGCGCTTGCGCATCTTCTCCTCTCTGAGAAGCTTGCCTGGATCACGCTTCTCGCCCTTGTTGCCGCGGGCCATGAGGCGGGAAGCATCTTGACTGGATGACGACAAAGCCTCACGGTCTGCCAGCAGGCCACGGTGTCTTTCAATCATCTCCAGGGTTGGCGCGCGTTGTTCCTTAATGGCCTCCAAACGTGCGATCTCGGCCTCATGGGCCTCCAAAAGAGCATCGCTGCACACATCAGAGAAAGCAGGCGTAAAATCGAGCATTTCCTCCTCAGAGAAGAAGAGGGCATCCCACAACTCTTGCAGGCGACAGCGGGCATCCTCGACGAACAAATGCATATTCTGTCTCTTCAATTCGTTAAGACGTGACAGTTCCTCCTCGTATTCATTGATAGTTCGCAGACCACAGCCACGGTTAGCAGCCAAGAATTCCTTGCGATCAGCCTCTTCAACGCCAAAGCGCTCCCACAGACTCTCGACGGAAGTGCGAAGCTCCTTGATCTTACGCTCGCGGCTCTTCTTCTCGTCCATCAACTTGTCGCGCTTGGCCATCAAATTGGCCAAATCGGTCTCGTGCAGTCCAAGCTGCTCGGGAGATTCACGGTAGTTCTTCACGATGTTGGTATCGGTCTGTACCTGGGGCGTTCCCAACTCGGCCCACATCTTAATTATCTCCTCGCTGGTAGACTGAACAAAGGAAATACGGCGGTGATACTCCTCATACACGCGAGTAAACTCCGAGTCGAGGGAAGTAACGTAGTCGGGGGAAAGATCAAAGCTCGGGGGGGATAGTTGAGCCTGGCGCAGTCGGAGGCAGTTCAATGATAAGGAATGAGGCCTCGAGGTGGGATGAGTAGGATTCAAGCGCATCGACCAATTCTATTCCGAGTCAGCCAGCAACTCCAATAAAGCGCACTAAATTAGCTTACTCTTAACTTGTTCAAATCGCTCACGGTGGAGCTTGGTCATTGCGTCGCTCTTCTCGCGCAGGAATGCGATGCATCGGTTGAGAGGGTAGGTAATGCAAAGGTCCTCGCGATTGAGCTCATACTGGCCATTGGCGCGCTCATCACCGAGAGAAACTTCTATTTGTTGGATTGTTGTGATCAGGCGTTGCGCCTCCTGTGTCATCTCCTCTTTTTCTCTATATGTTGTGTTAGCAACAGCAGGCGTTTTAGGATTGATATGGGCGACCCACTCATCAACAATCTTAAGATGGTTATTCAAAGTTTCCGACAGCGCACTAAAAAGCTAAATCCATAATGTTAGAATACAAAGAACTTCTTTCAGGGTTGTAGAGAGCTTACCTCTGCCTCGCGAGTATCGCGCTCATGGGCAGGAACGCCGATCTCATCGAAGATCCCATGGAGCTGCTCAACAATGTTGTTGACCTGGGTGGTCAGGTAGCTCGTGTCTACAGCCATTGTTGGAGCTCCTGCCGGGTAGCAAGTGGATAGCTAACTCGAATCAAGGAATGTGGTTCGCTTCCTACGACAGGTTGACGACTGCGGCGCCGAGGGAATCAAAACAAAAGAAAACCCAATGCGTCCCGACACACGGAACCAAACCAAAAAATTGGTGACAAAAACGAAAGTGGGTTGGGAAGTTGAGTCGTCAGATGCGAGACATAAGAGAAGTGGGTGTGTTTATGAGGGGAACGGAGGAGTCAGCTTGATGGTTGGATGATCACAGGTTCATCAAGGAAATGCCCCGTTGTTTGGCGTCGATCGTTGTCCCGGGCAACGGCTGAGTCAGCGGGGGTTTTTCAGCTGCAATCTCATCCACGATTCTCACCGCTTTGTTTCAAAGTGTTTACCGCTTACTCTTTCTAGATCTCTCCCCTCTCATCGCTCTTATTATTCTGCCTCTTTACCCCACCGCTTTTCTCCACGATCATCACGTACCAGCTCAACCACACTGTCCATTTCACATCTCTCGCATCCCTCTCCAATCAAAATGGATGCTGCACAGCAATCCTGGGGTTCGTACTCCTTACAAATAAATCCAATAACAGCAAATCAGCTAATGCTAATACCTCTTACCAGAGCTTGATAATGCCGTCCGTGTCTTCGACCCCCAACGTGATGCACTCTACCAATACGATGAAGCCACCCACAAAGCACTGAACAACGAGAAACCATGGGCAACAAACCCCTACTATTTCAAATATGTGCAGATCTCAGCAACGGCACTATTGAAAATGGTCATGCACGCCCGCTCGGGTGGGTCCCTTGAAGTGATGGGTCTAATGCAAGGCTACATCCTCCCGGAAACATTCGTTGTAACAGACGCATTCCGACTGCCCGTTGAAGGCACCGAGACACGTGTGAATGCTCAAGATGAGGCAAATGAATACATCGTTTCTTATCTACAGTCATGTCGAGATGCGGGACGACGAGAGGACGCTGTCGGCTGGTATCACAGTCACCCTGGATATGGTTGCTGGTTATCTGGTATTGATGTCAGCACACAAAATATGCAACAGATGATGGGGCCGTTTGTGGCTGTTGTCATTGATCCTGAGAGAACTATCTCAGCGGGCAAGGTGGAGATCGGCTCCTTCCGAACTTTCCCTGAGGGTTACACACCTGCGAAAGAGACTCAGGAAGACGATGAATATCAGACAATTCCTTTGGGCAAAGTGGAGGATTTTGGAGCCCAGGCAAACCGGTATTACTCGCTTGAGACAACACATTTCAAGAGCACCCTTGACTCGGAGATCTTGTCCTTGCTTTGGAACAAATACTGGGTTGCTACTCTCAGCCAGAGCCCGCTTTTCGCCTCTCGTGATTATTCCAGCAAGCAGATGATGGACCTAAGTCAAAAGGTGCGCAATGCTTCGCGACAAATCGACAATTCTGGCCCGTCTGGTCCGCGTGTCGGCAGCACCGTGTTTAAGGACCAGCAACTTGAAAAGGTCGTGCGCGGTGGCCAGCGGATTGTCTCGGAGGAAGTTAAGGGTCTCCTGGCATCTGAGGTCAAGATGAAGCTCTTCCAGGATATAGGAGAGAAATCCAATCCAATGGCCTAAAGATACCCCCAAAATATTTGGCTATCTCCTCCCAGAAAACATAGATATCGCTACGACTGTCACGCTAGTCCCGTCATCATGAATTTTCCCTGGTTTCATATTCATTCTCATTTCTGAGCTGGTGCTGGGCGTCATAGGTCAAATGTTTGCTGCTTTTTTTTCCTTCTTCTTGGCTGCGGTGCGGTGCGGTGCTGCGGTGTGGTGTATCTAGATCCAGACTCTTCTGGAAAGAATGGATTAGATTCTGTTGGCTGCACAAGGTATCATCCTTACAACTGAGATCACTTATTAAAATACCTAGTATCCCTTCCGAGGTTAGATCGTGTTAATTCTTTGAGCTCCAGGGCTCAATTAGGAGTCCTGTGCGCCCACAGGTGTTCACAAGGCTTTTCGCTCGGGTACGCAGCATCACCAATTAACCTTAGAACTCTCTATGATAAAGAGATATTCTTAAAGTTGTTTGCGTCTACAACACTTCATCACTCTTTCATCTACCTACTTAGGTAAACACTCACCGCTACTGTTATATTGGACTGTGGTTACCTAGGCGATGTCTACTGCTATACCCTGCCTCTTTTTCAAGCTTATGACTCCTCATATAATCCCGGCTATGGTACACTCTTGTTATTATCATGTGACTAGCTGTAGGGCTGTCTTAATACACTTCCCCTATACTACCTTCATTGCAATGACTACTAAGTTTCTCCAAGTCGCTGAAGACCCCCAAATTTATTTTCCACCCACGACTATCCTTCAGATTCCATTTGTGATTTATCAAAATGAAACCCCGCATGCACTTCGATGATGTCGCCTGGGAAAAAAGCAGTGATATTGTCGACAATTGGAAATATGTACTGTATGCTCAGGATGCATGGAGCAAAATTGGAAACTTCCTTTCGAGACAGAATAAGCCCCGCAAAGATAATGACTTCTTTCCCTTCAAGAAGGACGCTTTCAATACCAACCTATTGATGACATTCACCGACGACAGCGGTGCGATTATGCGGTTCCCTTCACCTGGCGCGGTTATGTTTCCAGAAGTGAAAGTCCGGAATGAAGTCGCCATCATGAAATTTATCTTGGATCAAACTCCCAGTAAAATTCCAATCCCAGTGCCCTCTATCTCTTGCTGGGGCCAACAACATGAGAGTCCTGCGAATATGGGTCCATTTATCATAGTGGATTACATTGATCATTGCGGAAATATGAGAGATCCTCTTGAATTTCCAGACGGCAAACCAGGAGAACGGCCAGTCCTGAATCCAGACATTAGTGCTCTTCGGCTAGAATCTCTTTACAGCAAACTGGCTCAGATAATACTCTCACTATCTACCCCCACGTTTGACCGGATAGGTTCTATAAAACTAGATCATGATGATGGTTCTACATGGAAAGTCTCACATCGACCTTTATCCTATTCCATGAATGAGATTGTGCAACTGGGTACACTACCTCAATCCAAAGTCCCGAATATCATACATCATACTGCATCATCATACTTCGAAACCTTAGCAGAACTACATCTTGCTCACCTAATCCATCAAAGAAACGATGCCATAGAATCAGAAGAAGATTGTCGACGCAAGTTTATAGCAAGATATCTCTTTCGCAAAATTATTCAAGATCCGCGGTTAAATTCACAATGGATATTCCATGAGGAAGGCCCATTCCCACTTTGGTGCGATGACTTTCGACCGGAGAATGTTCTAATCAATAAAGATGAGGATATTGCTGCGGTAATTGATTGGGAATTTACATATACCGCCCCTGTCGGATTTATGCACGCGCCGCCCTGGTGGCTTCTTATTGAAAAGCCAGAATTTTGGCCTCGGGGTCTTGATGATTGGTGCTTGGAGTATGACAAACGACTTCAGAATTTTCTCAATACGTTGGTTTGTTACGAAGAAGAGGCAATTCGGACTGGTCGACTGGTAGAGAGTCAACGAATTTCTGGTCATATGCGAGATAGTTGGAATAGCGGGGATTTTTGGATCATGTATGCTGCAAGGCAGAATTTTGCCTTTGATGCGATATATTGGCAGAAGATTGATCAGCGATTTTTTGGAGCGTCTGGGTGCCTTGAAGTCTGGGATGTCTGGAGGGAGAGACTTGATCTCTTAAGCTCGGAAGAAAAGAAGGACATGGAGAAATATGTTGATATGAAGGTCAAGGAGATGGAAACAAGGATTCTTGCCTGGGAGCCAGGTCAATACACCCTTGAACATATGGCAAAGATGAACGTTTGATCGCTATGACCTTCTTGGTGGAGTTCATTACCGTTTGTGTACTTTGATCTTATCATAATCCAGTATTTATCATTTTCAACACGTCAAATGTTTTAGACTTTATGGGCTTAAACCTTGAAAATGATACATATGAAATAGATAAGATCAGGTTCTATTCGAATCACAGGGTACTCCATACAAGTACTCCCGAGGAAAAATTGTCAATAGATACAAAGAAGTGGGTCAGAAATCCAGAGATAATGCACCCATAAAAAGGAAATCGGACCAGTCATAAAGTCCGTTTGATAAGAACACAAGTTCGCAGGTCGTGACAGATCATAAGAGAAGACAGCATCAAGACATTAACCATCACAGGATGGCTCATATCACCTTGAAAGTGAAAAAGGTAAAAAGTGCAGGGAAGGAGGCGGAGATGACAATCAAGATGACAGGATATATCGAGGAGGGGGCCAGTATGAGACAAGCCAGTGTACAAGTCAAAAAGCACACAGAACCGACCTCTTTCTGAGATGGAGGTGTACGCAACACAGGCCCCCTCAAATCCTCGGAAGAATTCTATATGAAAAGAGGAGATATCTCGGAAAACGCAAAGAAAAATAAAAGAGAGTGCAATCAAAGACAGGTGGCAGCGGCAAGATGCATGAGTCTTGGATGGGAACGGCAATGAGATCATTGACCCATCGTAGAAATCGATTTGCCCCGCACCATCGAGGGGTAGGAGTTCGTCGAGGTCTCGAACTGCATTACCTCAGTACGGATCCAACGCAATCTGTTCCGCTGAACCTCGCATGCATGTGCATATGCTTGTGCAGTAGGCAGCTCTTAGCCCCGGTCGCAGGATCCAGAATTTCCTGAAAGGGCGCTGGCTATCTCCTGCTATTGGCAGCAAGGTGGAACATTGACTGCGGGAGGTCGGCGACGGTATGATTTGATTGGAGCACAATTGAATGTGGCAACAAAATCGAGCGCAATCTCGCTTGGCTGCGGCCACCTGCAGGTGTAGCGTGACAAGGGGGGTCACGTCCACAACTACAGGAATCCGGATTCAGAGAGCAATCTACGATTAATTCAAAAGCGGTTAGTCTCAATGCTCAAAAACAAGTTTCAAAGCCATATAATCTTGGCCGAAAAAGAATGAGGTCAAATTTGGGTATCGCCGAGAAAGCGCCACATCCACCAATGGGAATGTTGAAGAACACAAATGAAAAATTGCAAATAGATTAATCCCTGTTCACCGTAGTAGGGAGGTATTGCTTCCAAAAAGCATGGTGCTAGGTTTATTGTTTGATGAATCGGCATACCTTGCGATTTTCTCGTCTTCACGTTCACGAGGTTCGATTTCAAGACTTCGGTCATACATGTCGTGAACATCACCGGCAGCTTGCAGATTACTAAGAATATAATCCTGGAGCTCAGGTACTGGCTGCAGTAAGTAAGGGACATTCTGATATTGCTGGATGTCCCGAATGACTTCCGCAGTCTTTGCCCGTTTGTTAAAGTTGATCAATTCTGATGGCGTAAGCGAGGGGATTCCATCCTCGATGAAGGTCAAGTCCGTGAGGTAGACACCTAAACCATTGTAAGCTATAAATCGAAGCAGGGAAAGGAAAGGGGAAAGACACAGAATGAACCAGAAGTGTCTTGGGTCATGTATCATACCGAAGAAGGGAATGCAAGGCGGATTAGCAAGATGCAAGGTCTCACGATACTCGCCAAAGTTCTTAGTACTGGCCATCAGGCGGCGCATCTGTTCTAAAATTGAAGAAGTGCGGCCACTGACTTGACCCCATGTCCGACCCAGTCGATGAATGGGGGCAGTTCCAAGGGCAGAGATGATTGAAGTCAGGGTAGAGTAGTTGTTGAGAGAACGGCATTTGTCCGCGACATTGACAAAGTGCTTAATGACAACCACACGCTTCTTGACATCACCTTGAGTCAAGATCATTTCAGCAACCCAGTTCGTCAGTTGATTGGAGTGGAGAATTAAAGCTTTGACATTGGAAGCTGGCTCGGGCTCATCGGGGCCAACCTTCTTCTGCCAAGTTTTATTTAAGCACTCAGTCGCACGAATCTTGGAGTAGAGACGAGATTCGATAATAGTCAATTGCCGGGCAAATTCCGTCGGGTCGATGTCCAGGAACTTCAATTTCTTCATGTTCTTCGGGATAATTGGTGGCGGAGCAGCAGTGTTTTGAGTGGGAACAAGGCGCTTCACGGTGGTGTCTTGACCTCGAAGGCGTTGTTCAATAACTGCAAGGAGTGTAGGGCAACCCGGTGTTTTTGTCGTAGCAATCGAGTCTTTAGTAAATGCATGAACACGTCTCAAAAGATCCATGTTTACTTCATCGTTTGACTCCATCCAGAAGTGATCAAACCAGCTCTTGAGGATATTGACCACTCGGAATCTGATTGGTTTCTGTTTACGATCGATCCACATTTGCATGTCATCTGAGTTGAGACCAAAAGGAGGCTGCGTATTGAAGCGCTGTACAATCAGCTCGAAGAGTTCGGAGGCAGTAGTGAAAGAACGGTAGGTGAGGAGGAAAGTATTGTTAAAGGATGCATCGAGCTTGTCGTGGCGTGTAAGATGTTCAACCAAACCAGCAAGCGTACCACATTTGAGAATAGGTACGTCTCCCTTGGTATCATAGAACACTTCGCCCTCATGGTCCATCTTAAGGAACCATGGGGTCTCTTCGGGTTCCCTCATGGGCTCACGCTGGACAGGCTCTCGTGTGACTGTTGTCGGCGGTGCTTGTCCAAAGAATCTTTGAGCTTTGTCCATATTACGGCGAACCTTGCCCGGCTCTTTGCCAAGGGCGTAGGATGATGGGATGCCAATAGACTCTGAGGACACCTTGGTCGTTTGTGAATCCGCACGACTGTGAGTACTCTTGCTCGACGACTCATCTTCCTCTTCTAGACGGGTATCAACGCGAGTAATAGAGGATTGATCGTCAGGGATTTGTTCGAGAAGTAAAGACAGGGAAAAGCCGATCTGCGAAACATAGTTTTCGAGTTGCTTTGCCACACTTCGAACAGCTGTGATTCGGTCGTCAAGGGAATCACCACGAAGCTCTGCCCACTCATCCGGTAGGGGCGCAGAAACGGCTTGGCAGCTCAAAATGAAATCACCAATTGCATCGTACACTCTTTGCTTCTGTAAGCTAAAGTCCACCAGTTGAGGGTTCTGGAAACTCGTTCCAAGGGAAAAGAGGTTGATTGACTCGACAGTCGAAATCCATGGACGAAACTGCTCGACAACTTTGATAGCAGCCGCCGAGATAGCATCCGCAATTTCTTCGTGCTCTCGTGCAGTTACGATTTTTTGGTTCAGCATCAGTCGTTCTTCCAGTCGACGAATACAACCCACAAAAGACCTCCTCAAAATATCAATATGATCCAACAAGCCCGAGTCTAGGGACACTGAGGGCTCGATTCGAGATTCGCTACCCTCAGGAACAAGGAAAGAGGTTGGGCCGGAGGGATTCAAAGAAACGCCATTGTTCTGCCAATTGCCACCGCAGGAGCTGCCACTAACAAAGCCAGGAACGATTCTGTGGATTTGTTCCCCGCGCTGCTGGCGAGCAACATCCACATAGCCATACACACCTTGCATCACGCCATCGGCCTCTTGCAAGCATTTGTTGACGGAATCTGAGCCAGGCCAGTCGGCGGCAGCAATATGGGACGAAAGGACCAACTTCGAGAATTTTGACATCATGTCTCGGAAGTATGGGTAAAGGGCCTTGTTTGTGGAGATGATAGATGGGTTTCCAGAATGATTATCGGTGGTGTCAGAACCAGCAGCCAGAAGCATACGCAGATGATCGGAAATATCCTCCGCCTTTCTCACATACTCGGATCTTTCACCAGCAAGCAAGGTCTGGCGATAGGCTTCGACGGCATACCGCATGTTATCCACCAAGTTTGGCCATGAAACAGGGGGGATAAAACCATCGTCGACGAAACGAGACGGTGTATTTGAAGAAATCGAGGGTCTGGAGATGATTTCGACAACAGAGGTATTGGCACTTGTACCTCCTTGGCTGCTGTATGATGGCTGGGGACTCCTGCTCGCCTGTGGGACTTTGAAGTCTTTTGGTCCAGGGGGGTACAAAGAGTCCATCGAGGTGGCAGGCGACACTCCTTCCAAAAGAGACTGACGACGACGAGAGATAGAGCCATGCGAAGTCAGCATCAGCGATTCTCCTTCGGCTTCCGATGCAGAGCCGTCGTACTCGTCCTCATCTCTTTCAAAACCGCGTGCCATTAACTCAGGAGGCGGCCGGGTCTGGTCGGGGACGAAGAAGTTAGTCCGATCTCGAGGGCCGTTTTCATTCGCGGTGGTAGGGTTCTCGAACGGTAATTCCATGGTCGAATATCCTGTTAATGTGTTGAAATAAAAGAGACGGCCATCTGGTGTGGCCTGTGGAATCCAAAATGCGGCCTCCTCCTGATCATGTTTCCCGGGGATGCCTTCGATTGGCAGAATGGGCTGAGAATCGCGCGGATTCCCTTCCGAGTCCAGCTCGTCATCCTCATCCTGTCCATTCTCGTACTCATCCTCCAATCCTGATTCTGCGCTCAAGTCGGTATCGTCATGTGCATGTAGCATGTGCTCGCCGAAATCGTCCGCCTCCGTGATGATGGTACAGTAATTACTAGGGAACCAACCTCGGACATTGTTGATAACACCATCCCACCACCCAGTTTCTAGCTGATTCAGAACCTGAATGATATCGCCTCGTCGGAAACTCAGACTGGTATGATCGTCGGCATCGTAATCGTACATGGCCCGCACGAACAACGCCGGGGGCTCGGGGCTGACCGCATATCCGGTGGCCATCTTCAAGGGGGATTGATTGAGACGGTCGGAGTGCTGGGAGATGCTGGTCCCCCGACCGCGGAGTCGGGATGCAGTTGTGGGGGTGGTGGCCTGTTCGTCGGTGTTGTACTCGAAAGCGGTCGCAAACGCCGCAGCTTTGGCAGCCAGCACAGATCCCGTGTCGACCGGCAAGTCCACTGCAGGTGCGCGGTAATCGTACATAAGGAAGACGCTTTCTCTTTCTTCTGTCTCTTTCGCTCAAGTACACACTTTCTCGACTGGGAGATTGGTGGGCGAGACCCAGTTGAAAGGGTACTTTTGGATATTTCGGGGGGGGTTTTCTCACAGGTCCGCGAGGCTCATGGCTAAAATTGACGTGCTGTTGAGAGAGGGGCGTGAGTGGGTAATTTTTGCAACCCACTTTCCGGGGGTTGAAGAATAATGCGAGGACTTCACATATAAAAGCAACACAATCAATAAACCCACATGAGAGCGCCGACACAATACAAATTAATCCATGAAGTTGTAGAAGGGGACGGGGTAATAAAAGAGAGGGAGAATCAGGGAGTGGAGGCGGGACGGATAAGGCGTCTTTCTATGAGAGTTGAATGCATCTCAGTCCTGGTCATGGTCGCAGCTGGTATCTGTGTATTGCGGGTGTCATGTTACCGGTAATATTACGGATTTTGTTTGATTTGTTTGATTTTAAGTGACTTTGGGGCGTCAACTTGTTTGTATTGTTTGTATGAAGGTTGAATTTCGGATTTAACTTATAGGATCTCCTATTTCCTGTACTCCGGATTATCTGCGCTCACATACATATTCATCTTGACAGATCTGATGTATCGAGAATCATAGATTATGATCCTGCTGACGATTTTCACTAGGGGCTGTTCATGCTGTCTGACGGGTACCACCATACCGCGTGCGTTACCAGCGTCTGAGCACCGGGCTCCATAACGGAGCACTCCATCGACACAACAGGCTTTTTGGATCTACCGTGGCACCCTCACGCGCTATGGGCTCAAAGCAAGCCCTAAAGGAGAGGGGCAAAACGGACATCCACTTAATGTACGGCGTATTGTTTTCATTATGGTTTTGCCCCTCAACTCGCCAACCGCGCCTCCCAAAAACGTGGCAGTGGCAGTGGCAGTGACAGTTCATCTTGTTCCTCCGTTTCCTACTATGGCGCTTCTCCGTTCTTACTCTCCCCCCCCCTCGTGTGACAATCTGCCCCGTTACAGTCGCATTTTCCCCCACGTATTCATGAGGCAAACCTATAGCAGGGGAACAGGGACCACAGAACTAAAACACTTTACGAGGCCTACCAAAAAGACCAGGGGAAAAAAGGTCCCGAGGATCCTCTCCATCATGCCATTTCACCCTATCAGAAATCCTCCACGAACTTTTTGAGATCCAGACCGAAGCATGTTACGCCAGCTTTCGTTTCGTGGAAAGTGCGCCCATGTGGATCGCGGCTCACGCTGATTTGACACATAGGTGGGTTTTCGGAGCATGGACTCTTAACTTCGTCCACCCGTGCATTTAATCCAATAAGAAACTCGTTTTTACCCTTGCTGAGCATTATACGTTATACGTACGGAGTACGAATTATGTATCTTTGAACTGGGATATGTTTTTTACCCCATTGAACTCTCATAGTCAGGGGCAATCCTAGATGAAGAAAGGGTCTCAATGCCAATCAACTCAAAATAAGGGCTCCGCGGAACTATCGAATTAATGAACACTGATAAGGACCAAAAAAGGTTGAACAAAAATTATACTTGAATAAATGAAGGTTCCAGGCAAGGGGCGGTAGAACATTTGAAGACTAGTCAATCCCCCCCGGTATCAATAATTGACCAGCAGACTGGTGCAATAATACATGCCCACTGGCAGGTGGTGTTGCAACTCCGTGGGTGGAGCTCAGATCCAACTCAACGTTGAATGTGTACCTCCGTATTCCGTAGTCCGTCCCCTGTCCGGGCTGTCCCCCACGGGACAATATCCAACCAAGCTAGACAAGAATCTCGGAAAAATCAGATCCACGGCTTATTCCCCCCTGTTTATTGAATTCTATGCATTTTCCCGAGGTAGAAAATAACACCCCCGCAAAGCCGATAGCAAAGCCGATACCTCCACCAAAACGGTTTCTCAACTGCACGAGGCATCAAGCCACACGAAGCTACAAAGAAACCAACAAGTTCCAGAACCACTCTAGAAGGCCGATCTTATATTGTATTGCTGTGGCTGGAATAGCTTCCGCCAACGCCCGAATCCCAATGCCAGCCTAGAATCGTGTCCATTTCGCTTATCATTGCTTTCGCTGATGGTGCCTGCATTGAAATAAATTAACTTGCGCGGCAGCTACTGATCCAAGACATATCATTGGAATTTTTGACTGGGAAGAACAAGGGTAGGTTAACCCACTTAACCCACAAGAGGCTTGTTAAACCTGTGGCTTGAAATTTCGGATAATATACCACATGCAGGAAACCGGGTCTACGCCGTACAAGATCCCTGTCGGTGAGATAACATGAGTCTAGGATTGGAAGCAACTCCGGTTCATATCATCGCCATGATGAGGCCACCCAAACGATGATGAATGGCAGGGGATACCCATGCTCATCGGATTGCCTTGTCCATTGCCTCATTTTGTATGGAACACAATTAAGTGGATGATTATTTGATGATGATCCATCACGAGACTGTACCTCGTGATGTTTTTGTTATGTAAATGCCCAGGTGTTTTTCAATGTTTTACAAAGAATACCATTGACGAATGGTAACATAGCTTCTCCACACGGAGTAATGACCTAATAAAGGGACCGGCTAGCAACTACCTATTTGATGAAAAATAAAATATCATATTGAAAAGACCAGATCAATTCGGCATCATAGTTCCGGAACTATCAATTTGAATTGAGTTCAGAAGTCGGGGAAGTTAACTCCCACGTTTCATACGCAATTCTAAACTTTACTTTGACTAGTGCCCAATCTGCCATATAATCACTCATAGTTAATTCAAAATAGGCACTCTCTAGAGATTGGGAATACCCCGTCCCTGGTACGATATCAGGCACCCATGACTCTATTCCCTGTCAATTTACTTAATGCCGTTGGCTAGTGCCGGTGACAATGGTATGAGGGACGGAACCGTTAGGAAACTTCATCTCCACCCCGGCACATGCACTTGTGGAAGGAGCCATGCGTCCAGATATCTTGATTGTGTTCGAAATATTTCGGAGCACATCCTTGCAATGGAAAAACTTACGATGATGCCGAGGATTTTCTATTCTCGCGAAATGTTCTCACCAGGGAAATCAGGAAAAATCATGAATCTCCACTAGTGTCTAGTGGAATGGAAATAGCCCCGTTTGGCACGGACAATGGTTCATGTGGATCGGAGATCGTTTGGTTTGGTTGCGGGGTACAAGACGTTTCCAAGGTTAGAGCGTCTGCCATGTGAGAGTATTTTTTGATATATGGGCTCTTATTTGGAAAAGGTTCACAAGTTCCATGGAACGCTGACGGCTCCATTGAGTCTAGATGGTGATGTTCGAACATCACTCGACCTTGAGAACAATAAAGCTAGGCTCAATAATGAGACCGTGCGAGTCAGTACCAGTTAGCGATGCACATGTCGCCAGATGAATGACGATTGTTCGGTTAAGTCGGGATTATGCCGTGCAAACTCGAAACTTGGAAGTTCTAAATATTGGAGTAAATGAATATACCGTGCAGTAGACTGCATGGTCGACTGGGGCAAAAATCAAGATTTGTCTCAAATCTATGTCAAGCTAGCAAAAAGACTGTGGATCGTATTCCAATATTTGGGATACATAGGCATACCACTTGCGAACTCATCCAAATATTCGTTCTACATATACACATGGGCACCAGTGCAGAGCCCCCACATGTTCAGGTGTGTATGGGGTCTAGCAGGATGATACACATGTGGTTCTCAACTGCTAAACTCAACACTACTTAGGTAGTAGTACTACATAGTGCCGTGGAGCTACAGAAAATCTTGAACTTGAACCCGACTACTATTGACCAACTTGAATAAGTTGACCTCGGGAGCAATAGTACCTTCTACCTAGTAGATAGTAACAAGCCTGACATTGAAGTATGTTTAAAAAATACTATTCAAATCCATGTTCTCGGCTCCAACCTGAAGTCACAACATTCGAAGGTAAAGCAACATGATCACCGTTCGAAGCAATCACAATCAATTCCATTCCCACTGGCACCTGTACATGTGGGCACGAGTTTCAGCATCAAATAGTACCTAGGAGGTATGATTAGTCTATGTATGATTGCCAGCCCTGGAGCGCTTGAGTGTATCAAAAACTTCTGAATATTCTAAACATATATTAGGATAAATAAAACCTGAATCTTGATAATGACACCACCCGTGAACCGTGACATGTGCAACTTCAAATGTCCCAAGGTTGAAGCCAGTGCCTTGAAAGATGATTTTTCAAATGTTGAATCTGTCTTCCAACATTGAACATTTGAAGGTTTGTGAACCACATCATCCGAGTCATGATAATTTGCACTTGATCAACTTTGGCTGCCACTGGCAGTGCTTAAGTATTGCCAGTGAAGTTACTACATAGTAAAAATTTGAAATTGAACCCGAATGGACTGATGTACTAGTCCTTGAGCCCGGATATCCAGATAGATCCACCGTGGCGACTCAGATGACGAATATATGTTGATAATATGCAGTACTAGTAGCTATAAATTTAGAAATTTAACAGCTCGAAGTGACCCTGTAACTTGAACTTGGCACGCACGAGCTTTGTGTTCAGGTTTCTGTTCATGTTTAAGTCACCAGTTGACATATGTGATTAGTATCCCACATGGTTTTATCTACGCCGTGCTATTCAAGTTAACATGATGTTTTAATTTCAATATTGAAGTACTGTATATTAGGTATAATATCAACTGGTACTTAGAGTGTATTACTACTAGTATTCAATGCAAATCTCGACTGCTGATATAAAATATATCCACTGTACTATCCACTTTTAGATGAAAGGATTCTTTATTCTCATACTACATCAGACCAAAGCCCCGGTCTCTTCAACGTCTAAACAACTCCCTCGCAAAGATCAAGTAACCTGGAACCAGTTGACACAAGCATAAACTAATGCCCCCGGGCCGAGCCTCGGCCAATTCGCCACCGCAACTTGAATTTTCCTGTTCCTTGCAGA